GAACCCACTGTCAAAAGAAGGGGCGTCACCTGCAGCGTCTTCAGATCCTTCAGCCCCTGACGCCGTGGATCGAACCGACTCAATGTCATTGGGGGGTGGCTCTGCCCTTGGCGGGGCTCGTAACCGACCCTGTGCCCTGCAGTATTCCTCAGCAGCGGCATATACGTTGTTGCAGCGATAAAGCGCTTCCTTCACAAGCTGACCATCAAAACCTTTGTCTTGTAATGACGTCACGCGCTCCTTATTCACAACGAACGTCCTTCTTGCTACATCTGCCAGCATATGAGGCGCATCCGAGTTCGGGGCGGCCCCCGTTTCATATTCACCGTCGAGAGATGAACGCAAAATATCAATCAGACATTTGACAACAGAACTAGAGGACTGGGCGGCGAAGTCGGAATTCCACATGTCCCGAGCCATTGGAAGGATCTCCATCCGCAGGTCCACCAGAAATTGGCCTGGCTGAAAGAAGTCGGGTCGGTCACGGTCCCGATCACTGCTTGTCATGGCCTGTGTTTGGCTAGACTCGACGATGTTCTTCCCCGAGGCAAGCTCAGAGAAAAAGCTGAGGATAATTTTGATACCGCCATAAGCAGAGGTGAGTCGCGCTGAGACATCTTTTTCAGACTCTGCAACAGATTCGGGTGGCGTGAGCGTCTTGACCTCCTGCACGAAAAGTTCGCAGATCTCCTTTATGACTTTAAGGCCCCCATGCCTCTTGAATGCGAATAAGACAAGCGTAAGGTAATGCGAATGGGGACGATCAGGCGTAGCTAAATTTCAGTCAGCACCTACACCGTAAATGATCAAGAGAGATTCGGCCTACCTTCAAAGAGGAGATGCGAGAACGAAGACAGTATGACAATGAGGTAAGCGAAACGGAGCTTGGAACTTTCACTTGAGTTCGGAGGTTGGAACTGTAACTGCTCAAACACGGCCTCCGCTACAGCTTCCGCTACCATAGTTGCGTTCTGTTTCTGGTAAAGATCAATTCTCCTTTTACCCATCAGACCAAGCCCCATGTTATGGAAGAAGCCGGTGATTGAGGAGGGCAATGAGCTGAGGAGATACCGAAGAGCCTGAACATTCTTGAACGCTACACCATCTTCAGGGATCTTGGCTAGAGGAGCCTGTTTAGGCTCTTGTGCAGCATCTGGCTGTGCAGAATCACTAGCATCTGGGCTTTCTCTAGGAGGTTCCGTACCAGGCATGGCAGCATTCGGTTCAGGGTTCGATTGTCCAGTAGTAGGGTTAGATCTTTCTGGAGTCATCCCGGACTGTTGCACCTTCGTTGCCTGATCCCAAGTATCGGGTATGTTCTTCTCGAGTAATATTTCCTCCCATACACATGCTGCATGCAGACCTCCCAGCTTCTTGACGAGGGAGCAGTATCGGTCGGCCAAATTAACTTGTGCGAACGCTGAAGTCTGTTGGCTCGGACGAGTCTGGTACAAAGGCATCGAGTATATCTCACGGAGGAAATCTGTGAGAATTAGAGTAGCCCCCATGTGTTTAGCAAAGAATGTCCCGTTAGCTCTCGAGGTGCTAAAGGTCTCTTTGCCCTTGTCGTCGGATACCCCATCGGAAGTCGGCTTGATCAAAGGAGTAAAGAAACCTGAATATTCCGGCTCTCGCCAGAACACCGAGAGCATGTCGACAGCTCGCTCTGTTCGCTCCACGAGGGACGGCACGACCAAGTGAGGTTTTGTTTCCGCCAACATATGCACCAGTACAGCAAGCTCCTGATTAGCATCCGTGTTATGGAAATCAAAAGGAAGGCTTTGCAAGGTCGCGAAATCCAATACAAACTCCACACCTCCAGATTCAATGAAATACGTGCAGTTAGACTGGTTCTCGAAGAAAGCCCCCAAGAACCGCACAACTGGGTATAAATAGTCGGTAGCAGCGAGACCAGAGGCATCCACATCCTTGGGCTCAATGGCATCATTTGGAGATGGAAGGATCTGGCTTAGATCGCCGAGCTGCAGCTTTCCGCCGTTGGGAAGCTGATCGGAGGTCAGTTGTGGCACACCGAAAGTGGAAGCATTATCGAGCTGGTCGTCATTTTCAATTCCAATTGCATTCAGCAAATGGGAAGTTGAACCCGAAATGAGTGGCTTTCCCTCGGGGCCCTCTGTCCATAACTTGGCTCCCATCCCAACTGACCAAGCCTTCGTTCTGCATAACAGTCCAACACGCGCAACCATAACGATAACTGCGGTCATTACATGAGACTTCAAGGCGGGATGATGTCGCACCAATTCGTCGAAAGTTGTACCCAGAGAACGAACCAGGCTGGGGTCGTCTTTCAAAGACCTCACATGCTCGGGATTCTCGAAAATCTCAAAGAAACTCTCCAGAGCATCAGAGGACTTGAAAAGATCGAGCCCTGAGGCATTCAAGCAGATAGCCCCGAAAGCAGAAGGAATGCACGAGAGAGCTTCAGCAGCGGACATAATACCAGGAGCCAAACGCGCATCCGGCGACCTGACGACGGTATATCCCCGAGGTTTCTGACCATCATCTGCCGATGTCTCGGCAGCACCAGTATCAGGAAGCGTCGAGGGCTCCGCTTCAGTTGCAGCATCTTCCGGCTCGGCAAGTGGCTTCTCTGGTGTCTTCAGCTCGGAAGAAGTAACCGCTTCAAGGAAGCTCTTGCTTAATCCCGCCTCTGCTATTACTGCATAACTGGTAGGCTCGTTATGAATGAAGCTACTCAGGATGTTGACCGCATTACTCCAAACGTGAGAACCAAATATCCGAGCGTTTTCAAGCACTAGACGCAAGGAAGTCAGCAGCTGAGGAGAATCAATCAAATTCCGAAGAACACGGTCGAATCCGCCGCCATTGTGTTGCATGATATGGTTCACAAATCGGAACATCCAGCGAAGCGTCTGCTGTTGGAAGTACGGGATCTGGTAGTCGATAGCTGGAGTCTTGTGCTGGGCAGGGATTCCAGAGCCCTTGGATACATGTTCAAAGGATGTTTTGGTTTCATGATCAATTAGATCAGAAATTGCATCAAACCCCTTGGCACTAGTGAGCGTTCCCAGAGCATCACGGACAGCATGAACGAAGGTGTCCAGAAACTCCATGACGCGAGAGTAGACTCGACGTGCCTTTTCCGTTCGAAGGTTTAGAACATCTACAAACATAGGGATGAGGCCGGCAGAAACCAGAGTCTCTGGAGTTCTGGTACTAGAGCCCGGGAGGGTTCGCAACAGAGCAAGCAGAGCATCCCGCCATTCATCCTGGCTACCGTCGTCACCGTCAGTGTCTTCTGAGCCCAGCTCGTTCACTGTTTTTCGAGTTAGGAACATAAGCACACCATGGTTCACGTTGACGCTCAATGCAGCACAGACGTCAATGGCTCGTGCTTTATGTTTCGCAAGGGCATCGAGAGCCTGGAGCGCCAACGTCTGCAACAGCCGTGAGACTTGAAGATCGCCACTCGCACCCAGATGGACTAGTTCACCCAGCTGGTAGGCCAGTTGAAGACGCTTTGGCTGCTCCATATCGTACTGCAGAACCTTTTGTTGAAATAGCGCCTCAGGATAGACGTACGCTAGGTTGGTAAGGGCAAGGATTCTGATGGCCAGTATTTGCTCGCGGGTGGAGCTAGACGTTGCCAATCCTTGGGCGGTACGGATTCTGTGGAGTAGCTCATACTTCGAATCGTCCGGTACCTCATCTGCATGTGAGGCAATAAGGTCTTCAGCGGTCGACGAGGAAATCTTCGAATGAGGAATATCGAGAGTCTTCCCACCCCGAAGCGTCTCATCCGGCTTTCCAGGTGTAGAGACCACGGATGAAGGCGAATCTTCAACCGTAGACATACGGCTCAAGCGTGGCGTAGGATGAGTATGACTTCTGCGCAGAGGTGTTGGAGTGGTAGGGGTTTGCCCCGATGGTCCACCAGTTCCGGTTTCCAGTGTAGTTTTCACCGGTTCTGACGAGCCAGACGGATAATAGAGCAGGCGCACATTGCCCCACTCATCCCAGCCGTCATTCTCGCGCACAAGGGAAGACATATCATTAGCATTGTGCTTGGCCTGAGGTCCCTTGTCCTTGGGCTTCATCACTGCTGCCGGGGACACGGCCGTCCTGCCTGGAACAGAAGGGCGCGGAAAGGGCGCGGCAATTTTCTGTAACTTCTCCAAGTCGATGTTGTAGTGAGCTGCCAGTAAGCTGTGTTGGATGTGGGAGCCACCTCGTTGGCGAGAATGATAGCGCTGCGCTAAGCATAGAGACAGACGAAGGGTAGACTGAAGAAGAGAGAGGGAGGTGGTGTTCAGGAGTTCGCCCAGACGTTCACTGCTGCTGTACAGACTGCGATTGCCACACTTTTCCAATAACAACCTAGAAAAATCAAGGATAACCTCTAAGAGCTCCCTGTCTCCTTCCGTCCCATATCCAAGTTCGGCTAACTTGGCATCAACATCCTGAGAGTTTCCTGCACTTTCACCATGCACAAAGGATTCCACTAGAAAGTCTTTGCCAAAAGGCTTTGTCTGCGGGCCATTGCTAAGAGCGTATTTCTCGATGACCGAGGCCAAAATCTCGTCGAAGCGGTTCAGGACGTTGATCCAATGGTACAGATCACCTCTGGGGAAGGGCCATATGCGAGAGAAGGTGTTGAGGTGCGAAGGAAGCTCTGGGATTGATATAGTTGTGGCACGGGCTACGAAATCTGCCAGGTAAGGGGACTAGTTCGATAGAAAGAAACAAGGGAAAATTCAGTCAGCCTTAGAGCAACAAGAAAAGAAACGCGGGGTGAAAAGAGCAACTCACGATCGTAGCCTCGTGTTTTTGGCTTGCCACCTTCTTAATTCTCCCCATGTTGACGATGGGAGACAATGACAATCATGAGGAGGTGAATAAAACCAGGAGGGCGCCTCCTAGTGAGGGTGGGGTGGTCGTGAAGACCGGGTCGCGGAGCAAGTCGCGAGAGGGCCTTATGACGTTTTTTTTCGGACCTCTCCTTCCACGACAAAACCCGAAGAATGGAACGGCGAGGGGGGAGGAAATTCGGCCAGTTCCGTTAGATCACAGAAGCGCAAAGGAAAGAATGGACGGAGAAGATCTGGCTCAATCGAAGATGCTCGCGACAGGTCGGAGAAAATGAGGGAAGATAAGAAATGAGGTTGCGGCTTCACCCAGTATCACTGGGAGTCAGAAGAATGACAGGAGACGGTGCAGGTCGTCAACCCTGAGACTTTGACATCCAAGAAATATTGAAGCCTGCGAGAGAAAGGAATCGGAAACGATGCCTGGGAAAGGGTGGAGAGTGAGGAGGGCGTTGAAGGTTGATGGGGGGGGAGAAGGAGAGGAGGATGTGTCGGTGTTGGGAACTTGGAAGGTTCGTGAATCCGATGATGGGCTTTGGGAGCTCTGGGCGGCTCTCTCTGACTCCCGTTGGTCGCAGCGGTGGCTAACTGTACTAAGGTAGAGAGTGTCCGGAGCGGGTCTTCTTCTTTCCCCGCCGGCCAACAACATTCACTACCTACTTCGGTAGTACTACCGGGGGAGGGGAGCCTGGCAGGTATTGCTTGCTCCTCCCAGACATCCCAGAGCTTTCCCTCCCACTTTGGGCGTGCATCGGAGCCCAAGATTCTGCCATCAATCAGGCTGCTCATGACCCCATCAGGCCTCACTCTACGTTTGTTTACTCGGACGACCCCAGCTGCCGGGTGAGGACAGCCCCTCACTTGGATCGGGTCAGTCGCAGAGTCGATGGCCTCGTGTCAACTGGAACCTGCTCTCCAAAAAAACCCCTTCCGCGGGACTCCCAAGATATGTGTTTATTCACTGCCTTAGTGAGGTGATGTTTAGATCACGAATAAACCTGAGGTTGTCACCCGCTCTGTGGGATGGGGGATTCTAATAACCGGTAACCCGGCCTGCTCGGCCGGAAGGTATGCAAGTGGGGTGAATGACAAACAGGGAGATACATAAGTGACATGACATGCACCAGCCTAGATGATTCGGTGAGGGGAAGCCCTGTCATAATGATTACGGGCACCTCAATTCTATTTTTATGGGGCACTCCCCATAAAAATAGAATTGAGGTGTTTGCGATTATATATCGCTTGTGCATAGAAAAATAATAGTATTCCATTCTTATCATACAAGTCATTCACCCACATCCCTGTCCATGTCCGTATCATTCTTTCATCTCCATCCATTGAACCCCTAATTTGTTGCAAGAGCTGGCAAGGGACCATCCCATTGGATCTTCATGGTCGACGGGAATGGCCAATAGCTACTCTGGTCCGCAGTCATATACATCGCGATCCCGCCAGGCCCGGTAACTTTTTTCAGCCGACCTTGAGGCCCCGGAGCCCGCCGGAGATTGTCCAGTCGTCCCACCACCCTAAGCATTGTCGTGAGGGCTAACTTGCAAATACCCATGCCTAGGCACTGATGAGGGCCAAACCCGAAGTGAGCGTACAGACTCATATCGCGATCAAGCTTGACTTTCTTCGGTTCGGGAAAGCTAACGGGGTCCATGGAAGCAGATACCTGGAGGAGAATAAGCATCTATCCGCGAAAGAAAGGAGGCTGTTGGTCACAGAGACTCCATGCCACTCACCAGGTTGCAAATTACAGCTTGGCCTGGTTTGAAAGCCAACTTCGTCCCATTGTCCTCAACTACAGTAGGCTTTGCGACTACTCGTGGCAATGCAACAGACGACCGCAATCGAGCCCCTTCCATAAAGCTGCCGACAATTAGTATACGCAGACGAGTAGGTTTACATACATATAATGAGACGAGGGAGACAAAGGGTCATGGAGGACTTACTATCGTAAAAGAAGGCCGTCAGCCTCGGGCGTATCATCTTTGGCGAGTCGTTGGATATCTGGTAAATGAGTAGACCCTTCTTCTGAGAGGTAGTAATCAAGGCATTGCGAAAAGAGCTGAGCTTGGTTGGCCACCATCCCGCCCGCTGTTGGTAGAACATGAGTCCATACGATCTCAGGAGGAGGGACATTGGTCGCAAGCAGACGCTGGATCATGTGGACACCATATTCACTGAGTACATCGTGGCGGTGCAAACTATTGACCAAATTCGCAATAAACCCGGCTTTGTTAACAAACTCAACATTAGCCATTGTCAATTGCCCAAGCTGCTGAGTAACAGCCCGCGCACCGTGGTCGAGCTGGAATGACTTCCCAACATCGACGTCGTAGAAGATGGATGCGAAGACGATCGCAAGGATGTCGTACAGTTCTGACTCGGCAAAAATCCCTCGTGGGTTTGACTCGGTCTTCAGTGGCAAGGAAAACACATTTGCGCAGAAATGAACCTGAGCAAGGTTCGCGATGTCTCGAACGATGTCGACCTGGTTGACTCCGGCAACCTGATAAGAATGTTTGTGCAGGAGTTTCAGGGTGATGTCTTCGTAGAACCTCTTGACTTCACTCTCCCACTTGTCACGGTATAAGGCCGAACCCATCATTTTACGTGATGCAGTGTTTGGTGGCCTGTCACCGGAGAGCATGAAGTCCCGGCCATAAGGGTGCTTGTTGTGGTGCATCAAAAACTCAATCTTGGCTCCCCATGTAACCTTGAACGTCTCTTGGTCACCGAGGATAGATATACATGCGGCATTGGAGTTAATGAAAGGCGGAATAGGCGTATAGCTTGGTCGATCCCAGTTGTAATCCTGAGCAACAGAAAGACTTTCCAGGATCTTTTTGTTTTCGGATGGGGTAACTAGGGGGAAGTGTGCGTAGATAGAATCACCCTTGAAATGGTTCGGAAAAGCACGAAACACGAGCTTGTAAAAGACTTGACCTTGGTCAACAGAGTCGAGAGGCTGTATTTCATTATAGGCCCAGTTTGTGAGATGTTTAGGGGTCGAATCAACCGTATAGAAGCGGTCACCACGGACCAGAGCAACTGCATCGGACAGGACGGCCCTCGATATTGTAAAATTGGTGCACAACCCACTTCCGGGGACCATTGGGTCTTTCGTAGCCTCTACGATAATGCCAGGGTACATCTCCACCAGATCAGGCTCATCATATAATCGTTTGAGCTGATCGGCAATGTATGGATCTGGATTGATTTCTTCGAAGGTCTTGTAGGGCGCAAGGTCGAAAAACTTGCGAAACTCATTGAGGGTGGCCAGGTTCCAAGAGCGCGCTTGCATGATGCCGAGGGCCTCGATGTTCTTGAAGATTGACGGAACGTTGCCGGCACCAAAAGCACCTGCGCAATCTTCAACGCTATCTGCGAACATGTTGGCGAGGTCGCCATCGTCAAAAGACCCGTCTGCATTACGCTGTAACCCAGCAAATGGACGCTCTGCGGGTTGCTCCGGTAGGCCCGCCTCCCATCGAGCAACGCCCCTGACAAAATCCTTCAGCGAGACATCATTGGGATTCTTTCCCGGGAACAGATCTTTATACAGATCCTGCGTCCATTTCTCATCCCGCCGAGATATGCAAGAATGCCAGCGGTAGACGAGGTTGAATTCAGCAGACACCTGATTGCCTGTGGCTTCACCTGGGGCACTGCCTAGCAAGCTGTCCTGGATATCGGCTCGAGGATCCAAGCTCCAGAGACTGTCTGTGCGATTAATATTCAAAATCGTTCGAACATAATCCTTGAGAATGATGTTGATATAAAGGCCGCATGTGACTAGCCGACCGGTCTGGAAAAGATCGTTGTCGTATTTCGCATAGGCCTCGACATCGGACTCATTTGGTTTGGTGAAACGGCCGCCTTCATTGATGGTCGCCAAGTTCTCAACTACATAGTTGTGAAACCGATTGAACATCAACAATAGCACCCCGACGCCAGGAGGAAAACCTAGCACACGTTTGCTGGAGAAGCAGTCTGGCTTGAGTTTTCCATCTTTGAATGCTCTGACCATGTCCTGTTCGTCTTGGTTGTTGCCATAGAGCGGCGCAAGATCCAGATACGATGATGTCAAGCTCACCGTGTAGTCGTTGCGATCGGTTTGAAACAGGTCTTAGCAAATGTCAGCCACAGAACCCTATAATCCATGAGCCGCGCTAAACCCACCATGAATAATAATTGACGCCAGATGGAATAAAACACTAGAGATCTTATTCGGGTGCTCCTTGTACTCTTTCCTTTCCAGAAGAGAGGCGAACAACGTCTCTGCATCCGGAAGTGAAGGGGACTGGACAGTTCTCGGGCGTACAGATCTGGCGTAGTGGGTGCCAGCTGCCCCAATATGGGGCCACAGAATGTTCTGGTGATGATAAATTAATAAAGGTCTTATAGAAACTTGAGGGGGCTATACATTTCCTGAACCGTCGGCCTTGCGGTAGCAAGAATCTCGGCCGAGGTAACTGTATTTTGCCATTAGTATCCCATGAAATACCATGCATTGATGATCGACTTACGAGATCGGTGGATGCTGCAGGTCATTCCACAGTTGTTTTAGAAACGTGTTCGTCAAATCTTTTCCACCTCTAGAAGTCGAGGGCAGTCCAGCAGCGAGCTAAGTTCAATCTCAGGTGAGTCTACGGTCCCAGCTCAATAATGCGGGAGAAGGATGAACTGACCTGGATCACTCGCTCCATTATATAATGTCTGTCATTGACTGGCTGGCCAGTTGCAGTATCCTTGACCACCTCGATCAGTGTTTTGATATCATTGAGGTCGACATGGCTGAGATCGCGGACAATCCCTGTTTGACTTGGCTCCGTGATATAGGTTCCATCGCCTGTTGCCGTGGGCAAGGGTCGCAATGAGGCAGAGACAACCTTCTCGACCTGGGAAATTGTGTTCCCGATACCGTTCACGATGGAGTGGTTGTTTGCTCCAGACATTTCGTGCTAAAATATACAAGTCGTGGTCCAATAGGTCCAACGATGCTGTGTACATCGCACAAGGCAAGATCAGCATCATGACCCAATTATGCTTAACTGACGAAGTAAGAGAAAGAGGGGTAGATAGGGCTCAACTCGCATGACTCTAGGTCTATGGAAAGACCCAAACAAGGGCTAAGGTCATGAAGTCATTGAAGGTTGCTTACCCTAGGATGAAAACTTCTGGAACCAAGCCGACAACCGAGGAATGCGAACGGCGACTTATCAAATGCGGGGAAACCAAACAGAAATTTAAACCAAAGCGAAATCAGTATACAGTACAAGTACACAAGCTAGGAATCTGGGTGAGTGGGCTGGAATATACACAAAAAGCAAGGGACACATGTGAGAATGCATGTGCACGAGGGGAGGGAAGGAAAATAAGGGAGGATATCCCAGACACGGTCTTTATAGGCCTTGTCAGCATCATAAGGGCGGCCCAAGAGAAAAACCAGGAGTCGGCAACCCCGAGAAGCATGAATAAGAAAACGCATCGGCGATGATAGGCCCTGACATCCTGCCCACGACGAGGAATGCCCCATTAGAGAGGTGACGGGCGAGACCGACGGGCTTCTGATTCGCGTGCATGAGACATGGCCACGGCGGAGTTCACATCGTATGCAAGGCTAACCGACGGATGCGGACTATGATCGAACGTGCCTTAGTGAGATAGATGGCCTCGGTGGATGGCCTATCTACACCAAGGCAGTATGGCGTGCACAGCCGAAGCAGATACGAGGGGATGGGCCATGGACGGACCGTATCGCGAGGCATCGAAGGTGGGTGCCACTGGCCAACCCCGGCGACCAGACCGGCTGGCGCTCTTTTTCAGCCGGGCAAAACCCGGACGATCTGCGGCTGGAGCTCTCAAGTCCACCGTGGGGGAGGCGATTAGGTCATTGGAGGCCTGAAGAAGGACTGAGATAGTTGATTGGTATTAAGTTATCCACATTATCTTCTTCCTCTCCTCATGCGTTCACATCCGAATTCAGCCACAGTTGCCCCGGCACACTTTGGGAGTGTCGTTCAAATAGCAACGAATGGCGATATCATGGATTCCAATGTCATCAATATCATCCGGGAAACCCTATCAGAACGCTTCCATTTTAATCCCACCATTGGATTGTGGGCTTGCGGCAAGCACGGACTGCAGAGGTGAGTTGTTTGCTGGGCGATGGCTGTCAAGAGCGTGGACTGGTATTTGTAGGGGTGGGCCAAAACTTGCCGGGGTATACATGCCGCTAGCACCCTAAACAGCGGGGGGAAGGAAGGAAGGCTGGCTGACTGCCTGCGACTAAGGCGACACTATTTGCCTGAGTACAAAATAGTTCCGGCCAGCCCCATATGGCACTGCCAATGATAATAATATCGCCATTATAGTTATACATCAATCGGGACATCCATGGCGGGCGCATTTGTTTGGTTGAATGACCAAATGGCTGATACATGGCGTTCGCATTTTCAGTCCTAAGACTTTTTTTTTCATGTGCTCAGCTGCTCTCCCTCCATTTTCCTTTCGCTTTTTCTTTTCTTTTTCTCTGTCTCGTAGTCTAGTACCTTATCTTCCTCTCCATCTCTTCCCAACCTTCGACCTAACAGCTGCCAGAAATTTTGATTGTTCCTGGTTATACTATAGTACCTCCTTTGGCGGTCTGATATATGATATATGCAAAAGCATACCATAGTACCGACCTGGTCAGTATTTTCCTGGTTGGGAAGTAGTACGGAGTATTATGATATTATTTATGTACGGTAGTGCATGTCAGACGAAGAGAATAACAGGGATGAGAAAACGTGGGAGCAAGGAGGACAAAAGAACAAAGCAAGAAAACAAGGACAAGGCAAAGAGCAAACATCGCCTCAGGCTCGCAACGCCATTGTTACATAGTACTTGCTTGTTACGGAGTACCTTACGGAGTACTCCGACTGGGAATCCTCCCGGGCCACTCACTACTACACAATACTACGGAGTAGATGGGTATATACTATGTAGATAGCAGCAGACGGAGGCCGGACCCCGGCAGATCGTCCCACGTGATCTTCCCGGGCCGAGGTGCCTGGCTGGGGTACGAGTATAAACTAGCCCCAATTTTGCCATAATAATTGCTGGGCGCTCAACAACTCTCTTCCGGTGACCGGGAACTCCTGCGCCATCTTCTCACTGTTCCTACGAACCCTTGCTCGGTGCTCTTACATCAGCTCACGTGGTGTAATCCTCAGACAAATACTCGTCTGTCTGCCGAATCATCACAAGCCCGAGTGAATCCAATACATCCCAATGGCGTCCCTCACATTAGTTGTTGAGCCCCGGGGTAAGTTTGCGCCCGCCCGCCAGTCAATCCATCCCATCCATCCATATCCTCTATTCTAACCTCGACTCCCTATGAACCAGGCAAACCCATCAAGAAGCTCCCCAAGCAAGTCCAGGTTTCCTCCAATGCCTCGACCGCCGAAATCTACAACAAGCTCGCAGAAGCCTCGGGGTTCTCCATCCACCGTCTCAGAATCACCAAGGGCAGCGACCGCACCGTAGTCCCCAACTCCAAGGCCTCAACCGTTGACGGAACCGGTCTGAAGGAAAAGAGCGTCCTGCACGTCAAAGATCTAGGTACGCAAATATAAGCTGACATGGTCTCACAATCTCACTGAAAAAATGCCCCCACACTCACCCACAATCGCATAATCTTCAGGCCCCCAACTCGGATGGCGCACCGTCTACATCATCGAATACCTCGGACCACTCTTCATCCCAGCACTCTTCCTCTTCCCGCTCCGACCCTATGTCTACTTCAACTTCGACCAGCCCCTCCCCGAACCATCCTTCTTCCAGCTCCTGGTCTGCGCCCTGCTCACAATCCACTTTATTAAACGCGAATACGAAACCATCTTCGTCCACCGGTTCAGCAATGCCACCATGCCCGCCCGCAACATCATCAAGAACAGCGGCCACTACTGGGTCCTAGCCGGCCTGAACATCGCCTACTGGGTCTTCCGTCCCGACTCCCCCGCCGCCACCACCCAGGACGCCTTCCTCCTCTACAGCGGCCTGGCCCTGTTCATCTTCGGCGAGCTCGCCAACCTAAACGCCCACATGATCCTCCGCGATCTCCGTCGTCCCGGTACCACGGAGCGAGGCATTCCCTCCGGCTTCGGATTCAAGGCCGTCACCTGCCCCAACTACTTCTTTGAGGTCGTCAGCTGGGTCGGCGTCTACCTGCTGAGCGGAATGAGCTGGAGTGTGCTCTTCTTCATTGTCGTCGGAACCGCCCAGATGGCCATCTGGGCTAAGAAGAAGGAGCGTCGTTACCGTAAGGAATTCGGCGACAAGTACAAGCGTAAGCGCTTCGTTATCCTGCCCGGTCTGTACTAGACCACTAGCCAGTTTCTAGCAGCATAGGTAGTAGTGAAGCAGTTATGCGGGATGCGGCGCATCCTGCATATGTGTCTTGGCAAGTGGTGGCCAAGTAGATACCACGGGGACCTTGCATCAGCCTCATAAGTCTGGAGGTGAGAGAGAGGTCGGTGGTATTACGGTGGATTCTCTCTGCATGACGGTTGTTCTTCCCATGTAACCTATTACTATCATAGATTATAGTTTGGTTGTAGTTTCACGAGCGGCATGCGCAGGTTTCTTACCCCGGGAATAATAATTATTTACAAAATCAAGGCAATGAAATAATGGGATCAGTTCATGCAGCAGCCATCCACCGGATATCCAATTAGTCAATGCGCTCGCTTCTATATGAATAGTACATAATACATAATACATGATAATTAATCCCCGACCAATCCACAAACTCCCAAAACACCGATTGGTTCTGGAAAAGCGGACCCAAAACTCCCTAGGTATCTAGGTGGACATTTGACCTCCAAGTTCAAAGGGGTAAAATAGAAAAGTAAAGGGAAAGGAAGACTATTCATTTTTCAGCTTGCCCATCCAAAGACGATAATACGGCTCCACTTCCTTCTCGCAGCTCCGCTTCGTATCGGTGTCACAGCCAAGGAAGCGAATGGCAAAATCACCGTCCTTGTAGATGCCGTCCACGGCAGCCCCGGGTGAATCCTTGCTATACGAATTGATGATTCGTTGCGGGATGAGAGCCAATCTTGCCAAGATGGTCGGGTGCCATTGAACAATGTGATCCTGACAAAGTTGATGACGTGGGTTAGTCTGGTGATACACTTGGAATAGGAAAGTAGTGAAAGAAGAAAAAGAAAAAGAATTCAAAGGAGTTTGAAAGAGAACGGACTTGTACAATCCGGCTGAGCCACGCGGGCCAAAATGAAAGCCAAGAGGAAATGGGATGTGTCTCTTACCAGAACATGGGTTTCGGCCTTCGCGAAGTTATAGCTCAGGTATAGAGGGTCGAACCAGAAATCGAGAAAATATTTGGCAAAGTCGCCCTGTCGCAGGATGAAACTACCGGGACTCAGATCCTCCTCGTCGGTGGTGATGATGAGATCGACATCCTGGGCTTGAAGGTGCGAGAAGGTCTTAATAATGCTATCGGGGGGCACGACGGAAACGTCCTTCTGCATGAGGGATTCGAGACGAGTCTTCTCCAGCACATGCGATTCGAGCGATTTGCTCGGGTTCATGATCAGGGAGTGCGCGTCTAGGTGGAAGAAGTACTTCGAGTACGGGTGGGAGGCCATTGCGTGACGGACGGCTGGGACGACGGCCCAGGACTTCGGGGCTTCGTCGAGAGCGGTTTCGTAGTCAGATACATTGGCGAAAAAGTTCGTATAACCTGAGATCAATTGTAAGACATCTGAGTACTCAACACGAGGAGGCCGGCGGGATTCCCTTACCATGTCGCTTAGCATAATCCTCGCGGTTCTTGACGATCTTCTGGATGTAATCGTCGCTGAAACCCGCCCGGTCTAGAACGGTGACGATCACGACACTGGCGGTTCCTGCTGGTACGGCGGGGGCCCCTGTACTTGAGTAGAAGAACTGGGAGAGGAGGAAGAAGACCGTAAGGAGGGCCAATCCCAGGATGGCCACTGCTTTGAGCTGCTTTCTGCGCTGAAGTGAGAATCGGGACGACCGAGCGTACGGAGGGGCGATCGGAGTCCTCCGCGGAGGCAAGGCGAACTGCATGATGGGCGTATGTGTCCCCAGCGGGCGGATGCTGGGCGACCGAGGAGGATGTGAGGAGGATCGAACCGGACACTGTTGGATCAGGACATTCTAGCATGTAGTAGTCGGGGACGGACTTGGGGCGAAGGCAGCCAGCGTCACTGCTTGTAACTGTTCCGGCTTCACGGCGCCCCCTGCCGGATCCGGCAATGCGCCCCACGGATCTTTTGTTGGTCCGAGAGATCGCAACATTCCAGCACTTGCAGGTTGGCCTTGGAGAGATGCCTTCCAAGGCATGCCTCTTCACGTGGTATAGTTTTAGCGGTCTTGAACATGGCGTCTTTCCCGTCCGAGGAATTGTGTGAGACGTGATATCGCATAGATCTGCTCTACGAATGCATTGCATTGCGGAAGCACCTCAAGGCTACTACCTTCACTTTTCAACAATGGAACAAATCCTGTGTCTATAGACAAGGTGACCAATGATTTGCATATCCTTCCCACATCTGTCGGTATCCGCAAGTCTGCCTGCCGTAACCCTTCCAGTACTGGTTGCATATCAAGACTAATCGAACCCAAATCGCATTGGCAACATATAAATACACTGAAGAGCGAATCACGCAAATCCAAGCAGTCCATGCAAGATCTAAATAGCTGTACGGTCGTCATCCTCACTGTCCGCGAGAGATCGAAGCGATAAACAGACGCTGTTCACCATGACCGTAGAAATAATAATACAACAGACGCCCATCCATTGGTCACCAATTAATCAACCGAAATCGACTGTTCCAAATCGACTTGGCTAGAAACATGCCTTCTATGTCTCTAGTACTGTTTTTCGTTGTACGTGGGCTTCGTGATCTCCCTGATGTTTGTCTCCTCCTCCACCTGTGCCTTGATCTCGGCCTCCTTCTGCTGCACCCACTCCTCAAAAGTAGGCGGCTCGGGCAGACCCAGCTTCTTCCGCTCCAGTCGGAACTGTTCTTGGATCTTGGGGGTCTGCATGACCTTCCACCGCAGCTCCCATCCAAAGATTCCAAGCTCCCTGATGCGCCCCGGCCGGTCACTCAGAAGGTAGTTGTCGAGTCCACCGGACTTGCGGATCGTGCGCAGCGCCTTCCGTGTGACCTTGATGAATAGATCCTCCCCAAGCGCTTCACTGTAGAGCTTCTTCCGACGAACGTTGGGCTTCCAGGATCGGCGAGTCTTCCCCTCATTGCGGCCTTGGGAGATCTTGTTTCCGAATCGGATCATCGTGCCAGCGTAGAGGCCGGAGTTGGCTTGTTTGAAGACATAGTTCGGCCCGTATGGATAGGGAGGAATGTAGTCCGGGAGTTGTCTCGTCTTCTGCGCCGCCAATGTCGTAGAGAAGGAGCGTTTGGGGGTCGTGAGGGAGAGGTTGCGAAAAGCCGCAGAGAGGGAGAACGGAAGGGACATGGCCGAACGAGTCTGTAAACCCGCCATTGTGTAGATTATAAGGTCAAAAGGCAGTCGACCATGACAGGGAGTCGGCCGGGCAAAGAGAAGAACAGGCGCCGACAGAGCACAGCAGCGGCGGACAAGACCGTAGGAGATAGGCGTGGACCGTCCAGCACCGATGGTGAAAGAATTTGGGCCTCGCGGCTGACCGCCTTGGCCACGGGCGCCGTTCATTGATCGAGCCCCCCCAGCTGCGCTTGAATTTCGGCCAAAGCAGCTGCTTCCAGACTTACCTTTCCTCCATCATCGCTTGATTCCCTGACCTTGTCAGCTCTGACTTAGCTCTTTCGCATCTCCCATACCACCGGTCCTCCCCTTCGCCTCCACGATCGCGTTCCTGTGGCTTCCGAGTGAGGTCGCAATCCCTTCACCATGGTTCAAATCAGTGAAGTGAAGGGCAACTCGCGCGAGAACAGAACAGCAGCCCACACGCATATCAAGGGTCTGGGTCTGCGGTCAGATGGCACTGCAGAGGCATCGGGTGATGGCTTCGTTGGACAGACAACTGCCCGTGAGGTACGCGACCACATCGCCGTTCAGCCGTTGCTTTTCATTTAAGCTCATGCTAACCCCGGGATTTGGACGTGCAGGCATGTGGTGTCGTGGTTGACCTGATCAAGGCTAAGAAGATGGCTGGCCGGGCTGTTCTTCTGGCTGGTGGACCCGGAACTGGCAAGACAGCCCTAGCCCTTGCCGTGTCGCAAGAGCTGGGAACCAAAGTCCCGTTCTGCCCGATTGTTGGTAGTGAGATCTACTCGGCTGAGGTTAAGAAGACAGAGGCGCTCATGGAGAACTTCCGGAGGGCAATTGGTACGCAACATGATCGCCGGATGCGAGTGTCTCATCGTCACTAACTCATCGATAGGTCTCCGTGTCCGCGAAACCAAGGAAGTGTACGAAGGTGAAGTTACGGAGCTTACCCCCGAAGAAACCGAGAACCCACTGGGAGGATACGGTCGCACGATCAGCCATTTGATCATCGGATTGAAGTCCGCCAAGGGTACCAAGAAGCTGCGCCTGGACCCCAGCATCTACGAAGCCATCCAGAAGGAGCGGGTCACCGTGGGAGACGTCATCTACATCGAAGCGAATACCGGAGCCTGCAAGCGGGTTGGCCGTTCCGACGCTTATGCGACCGAGTTCGATCTCGAGGCGGAGGAGTATGTTCCCGTACCGAAGGGAGAGGTTCACAAGAAGAAGGAGATTGTTCAGGACGTGACGCTGCATGACCTGGACATGGCCAACGCACGGCCCCAGGGTGGACAGGATGTGATGAGCATGATGGGACAACTCATGAAGCCCAAGAAGACCGAGATCACGGAGAAGTTGCGCCAGGAGATTAACAAGGTCGTCAACCGCTACATTGACCAAGGTGTTGCGGAGCTTGTTCCTGGTGTTCTTTTCATCGATGAGGTATGTAGAGTTCGACTGTGTCCCCACAACGTTTGCTGACATTCTTCTTCTAGGTCCACATGCTTGACATCGAATGCTTCACATATCTCAACCGGGCCCTCGAATCCTCCATCTCTCCCATTGTCATTCTCGCCTCTAACCGCGGCAACACCGTCATCCGCGGCACGGACGACATCACCGCCTCCCACGGCGTTCCTCCCGACCTTCTCGCCCGTCTCCTCATCATCCCCACTCATCCCTACTCCCCTGACGAGATTAAGACCATCATTCGCCTGCGCGCTAAGACGGAGGGCTTGAACATCACTGACCCCGCTTTGGACAAGGTCTCGGAGCACGGTAGCAAGGTCAGCTTGCGGTATGCCCTGCAATTATTGACCCCGGCAAGCATCCTTGCCCGTGTAAACGGACGTCCAGGAGGCATCGAGGAAGCCGACGTGGCAGAGTGTGAAGATCTGTTCCTGGATGCGCGGAGGAGCGCCTCGATCGTGAACCAGGATAGCGAGAAATACCTTAAATAAATGGAGCACAATAGGGATCCACTTCACTTGGAGTTAATGTGAGCTTCTAGAATTATTCGGCAACCTGGAACGGGAATTGAAATCCATTGAGAGATAAGGAAACAGAAAGCGAACAAACGAGGAAACATCCAAGGCAAAGCTAAATGTATACCATGTCTGATGTGACTGTATGTTTGGTATGGCAGCTTTTTTTTTCTAAACTGGGAAAGAGCGATTGCTTTTTTTTTCTATGAATGAGCTATTTTACGTTAATGTCAACTAGTATTCGGATCTTCGCTTCCCATCTTCATTTACTCCATGTAAATCTCTCTCTTGATATCTAATAAATGACGACATATCTGCCCACCTTCACACGACGCCTTCTGGTAGGTAGTTTAAGATGCCTTCGTCGCACCAGTCTTGTTACATATTGGTCTAAAACGAGCTTTGACTCTCGCAGCTGGATTCGGTAAAGCACTCAACAAGACCAGGATGAGTCTCAAGATGAGGATATAGACGCGAATCAAACGGAGCACGGTTCGAATCAGATTATCCTTTAAGCGAAGTCTTGGAGATGCTGAGCTGGCTGCCTCCAGCGGGTCTTGGTGATACTGCACGTGGAATGGGACTTTGGCGCCTAGGTCTTCTATAGCGATTCTAAGGCCCGCGGTGACGGCATCCTCTAGGTGTCCGCGACCTGTCCAGTAGAAGCCATAGCTTAGACCGTGTTTGTTCTGGATGGAGGGAAGGCGATTTTGCGCGACAAGTGTTTGAGCACTGGGCTCTGGGTCGGTGAATTCCCATACGCCTTGCACGTGGCTAGGGTGTGGTGGGGTGAAGGGGTTTAGGGTGATGTATATGGGACCGTAGATGTGGGTTGGGATACTTTCAAGGAAGTTCGCGATGTAGCCGAGGCTGGAGATGTGTGATGATGGGTGGTTACTGGGCCCGATGATGTAGTTGCAGGAGGGCCCTGGGTACTCGGCGTCGGGCATGAGCTGGTTTGGATGGGTGAGTAGGGGTTTTGGGATCAAATACCCTCGGACTGAAACACACAAGGGATCATGGTTGAAACTTACGAGAGTATCTGAATGTAGAACTGAGATGTTTCTGGTAGATCCCAATTTTGGGATGATCTCCTTTTCTTCTGCAGTGGCGTGTGATCCAAGAATCTTGATGGTCTCCTGACCGTCCACGGCGAATATAATATGATTGAAGAACATCTCTTGACCGTCGGACGTCATGATACCATACTTCTTCCCACATTGAATTACCTCTAGCACTTTGGTCTTGAGGTGCACCTTTGAGCCAGGAAAATTCATGGACATAGTCTGAACGAGCTGACTCGCCCCTGGTCTAATACAACGCCAGTCCGGGGACGCTTGATGGGGTTTCAGCAACTGGTGGTCAAAGAGACACCGAACGAGGGCTTTCGCAGGCAGTCGTGACAGGAACCTTCCCGCATTCGTGCTCCATAGCATGGACAGTAGTGGAGCGAGATAGTTCTCAAGGAAAATGTTAGAGTATCCTTCGCTTGATAGATACTCATGCGTAGATAACCACCGCTGAGTGTCGTTGGGTTTACAAGGCTGATGACCAGTATCAAGTACATCCAAGGCCAAATACTTGAGCCAGATAACATCCGACAGGATGCGATAGGTCTCTATATTGCATAAGATCCATGGACGAAGAAGAATGCTTTTTAGCATGCTACCATACCACTGGAAGCTGTTGACGCCATCTGTGGCCCCGAAGGTTAACGGAGTTTTGACGGTGGTAATTCCAAGGTAGTGTAACAATGAAACCAGGTTGGCTGAGGGAGAATATTAGCCCTGAAGGATACATGCTGGGAGAAGGCACTGACGAGAAGCCTCAGCATTGAAAGTGGGCGAATCGGTGTTCACATCAACTCGATTGCTGTTATGCTCAAAAGGCAGAGTCTTGACACGCCCACCAAGAGCGGCTGAGGCTTCGAATAGATGAACATCATGCGAGGAATTCTGCAGAGCCCAGAAGGAGGTGACTCCCGTGCAGCCGCCCCCAATCACAGCTACACGCTCCGGCTGAAAGAGCGGCATGAAGACAAGAGCTGATGGCGGTTCAACCTGCCATGGAATAGGCCAACCCAAGCGAAAGACGAAAAGAAACTTGGAGAGTATAGATAGAGCTCCCTAGATTGGCGCTTCAACAATCAGGGGTAGAGTTTAGTGCACGGATGAATAATATGATAGATTATCTTTTCCTATTCGAAGGTACTAGGGTAGGGAACACGAGAGTAGTAGGGTAGCAGAAGGATCTCACAGAGAGATAGAGAAGGCGGCAGTGATAGACTTATCAAGACATTCACGCACGCTCAGATCCCGGGCTGCTACACCCTCTTGTCCTCATGTGGCGGTTGAATGTGATCACATCAGATGACAGAGAACAGGCTGGTGTGTCAGTCAAAGCCCTTGAACGTCTATTATTGAATGAAATTTGGGCTAGCAGTCTGAAAATGTGGCCCAGGAGAAAACTAGGGTAAAGATGTGACCTGTCACTGGTGCGAGGGGTTCAAGGATTAGACCGTGGATGGAGTTCGAGAAGCAAGCTCCACTGATCTGAGACGGAGGCAATAATAATAATAATAATACTGAGGGGGGCAAATCCTGGAGTTAATTGACAACAAGTCAAGTCAGGGGGGAACATTTTTGGAAGCAGTGGGCAGGAATGAGCCAACCCTAACTTCAGCCGCTCCCAATCGAAGGAGAGCACCGGGACTCTGGATGGGGTTCAACGGACAATGAGATCCATACAACGGTCAAGATGGCATCGACCGTTGAGACGACGACGTCAGCCGGAACCATCAAATGAATCCTCTGCCACTGCCAGGCTGCCAGGCTGCCTCGGCCGCGGATCACGTGCCCCGCGCCCGTTCCTGATGTCGCAAGCGGTCCATCCAGCTGTCTCAACCATTCCCTCGGTCTCTCTGGTATCCGAACCTCTGCTTTCCATCACCTACATCTCCGTCTGCCACTCCGATACCCTCTCTTTACGAGCCGATATTGCTTCGTTTGCTCATAGACAGCGTCGTTCACTCCGTTGGTTGTTTTAATCTCTTTCCCGGAGCAGCACGGGCGCCCGCCAGCCGCCAGCCACCACGAAGATAAGGTGGCTACTCTCTCCACTTACTCGGATCCGCAACCCCTATCCACTATTTAAGTCGGCCTCGATCTGCTGTGAAACATAACCAAGGAATCTCCAACCTACACAACCCCATCTAATACCATAATGGCGAACCCGTTAGACACCGATGCCGGCTCGGAGCTGTTCAGCAGCTACGAGACCGAGTTGAAGCTGGTACAAGCCGACCTGAACCAGAAGTTGGACCAGATCGCCGAGTCGAGCGGTGAACAGCGGAAATCAGCGATCAGACAAGCAGAGAGAGCCTTGGATGAAGCCACGGAATTGGTATGTTGGACCGCATCTTTAGAAGCACCGCGGCTAGTTCCAACTAACGAGTCGGATGCAGCTGGACCAAATGCGCATGGAGAAACAGAACATCCCATCGGCAGCACGATCGAAGATTAACACGCGCGTCCGCAACTACGCCACCGATATCGACGAGGCCAAGCGCAAGTTGAGGTCCCTTTCCGACGATCGCAAAGCGCTTTTCGGCGATCGCTACACAGATGATCCGCAGGACGAACATTTGGAACAACGACAGCAGCTTCTGTCTGGTACAGAGCGCTTGGAGCGTAGCTCTGCCCGGCTCCAGGAGAGTCAGCGCATCGCTCTTGAGACGGAGGATATTGGTCGCAACACCTTGGCCGACCTCAACCAGCAGCGGGAGACCATTATGAATGCTCGGGGTCGGCTGCTCGAGAGCGAAGGATATGTGGACACCAGTATCAAGACACTAAGGGGCATGGCCCGTAGGTACTGTCCCCCTAGCACTCAAGAACATCTGCTCAGCCTTTGCGCGTTGATTCTAACTGCTCTATAGGATGGCTACGAATCGGTTGATCACAATCGCAATCATCACCGTCTTGATCCTTTTGATTTTCGCCGTTATCTACAGCAAGTTCCATTGAGCGTGGGGTTGACAGGCGTTATTACAGGTGGCCACTCTTTTACTCTTTCTTTTCTAACGACACAATACATCTGCAGTCGCAGACACATCACGGAACGTTGTATGATAGCATCCATCAGCTCTAATTAGGCGACATGTCATAGTACCGGGTACATTGCAATTCATGAGCCGATCCCTCTGATCTTTATTTATTAAACATTGAAGGGTATAATACTTGGGTAGACAATCATCACTAACCCACTAATTCATAATCCTCATCGCCCCAAACGCAATATTCACCACCACCCCCACAAATACCGCCAATCCCTTCCTCCAACTCCAAACCCCCTCCTCCCTCCTCAACCACATGGCACACCCAACCGGCCAAAAGAACCCCATCACCGCCCCCAAAGCATATCATCCATCGCGCCCCTCGACCCCGGCCCAAACCCGCCATCATCATCCGCAAGCGAAACCACCCCCTCCCCGCCCTCCCCGCCCCCACCAACCATCGCCGCCGACGACCCCTCATCCATCCACCGATCCTCCAGTTCCCGCAACTCCGCCCCGGATGGCATCGTATCCGGGGTCCGCGACACCGACTGCACCGCTAGAAACTGCGACCGAAGGCCCGCCACCTCCGCAGGTGTAAACCCCGCTGACAGTAACCGGTCGAAGCCCCTAGGCGCAGGGGTTGTAGTACTAGCCTGCACATCTTTCCGCCTCCTTTCCCCATCATCTTGTGACCCTGACTCCGATGACGATGTTTCCTGTTGATGCAATGTAGACGCGATCGACGCTTCAGCGGCAAGATCGGTCGCCGAGAGTACTATGTCACCGATGGAGCAGTGGATGTAAAGACGGGGATGGTCGCGAGCAGGGGCTTTGCCTTTGCCTTTGGGATCGGAGGTGGAGTTTGTGTCTGGTGGTCGTGGAGATCGGGTGGAGGTGGGAGGGAGTTTCAGGGATACGGAGAGGGGGGTTTTGTCTTCGAGACCACGACCGGCGTGGATGAGGCGGAGACGGTGCGAGGAGAGGTGTGGGGGGAGTCGGGTGCGGATGAGTTGTTTTAGACCTGCGGAGGTGGTGGTTGAGGGGGAGTAGATGTCGAGGGGGAGGTCGGGAATGGAGGCGGAGAAGCGGATGGTCACGTAGAGGGCGTCGGTGGTGGTGTGTAGGGAGGGGGTAAGGGGTGGAGAGGGGGTGAAAAAGGAGGGTGATGCCATTGTCGATGTGCGTGTGAAGGTGTCAGGGCGAGTGGGATGAGGTGGTGGTGGTGGTGGTGTTGGGGATGAAGACGGCGATGTCGGTACGTCACGGCTTGCGATAACCCGATAAGGCTGCTGCCTGAGGTCGCGAGGGTGTAATGCACGTGATTCATAGTTCGGGCGAGTGGGGCATTTGATTGGTTGTTGGGGCTGCTTTCCCTTTGCGGTCGTGGTTTTGGACCTCTTCCAACTGGAAGTGCCATCACATTCCTCAGGTGAGAGTTATCCAACCGTGTCTGTAATAGATTTCTCATGGACACTTTAATCTCCTTTAGATATTCAAAGTTCTTCTTGCGGCTCAGGCTGGCGTTATGAAAGCCATAAAGATGATCCGTTTCCATTCCTTGTTGGGCCATGCTAACTGTTCAGTCACCCTACCATCTTCAGTATTCATCAATGAACTCAGAAAACAATCTAGCGACACGAGCTAAATTTGCGAGCAGGGCATTTCCTTGCTTCTCTCCATGCCATGGGGAAAAGGTGTACAAAATCGGACAAAAGGCCCGTAATGTCCCGCATGACCATAGCATTGCATTAGCTCTCGTTTTTCTCTAAATACTGACCATATTCGCGAGTAACATTATCAGAATAACATATCAATATCGTATAAGGCTTCTATTAGCCTCGGATAACTCAGCCGAGGCAACCGAGCTTCCCATATGCCTTGACAGATAGGAACCGTCCTGCGATCGGATCTCGCCCGAAGAACCCGATCAGGTTGTCGAATGAACAAGCATGAGTCAACACATTCGTTTTCGATCACCAGACCTATGGCTCATGACGTTAGTCCAGCCTACGGAAGAGATGTTTATGCGCCATGGCTTTGGTGTGAGACGCTGATTCGACTGCCCTTCTCCGATAATTGCCCAGGGTCGGGAGTATTATCCACCATGTGTGTGAGGATGTCAAGACATTTAAGCGCTTCATGTTTCCAGTCTGGGGACTCTCATCTATTGTGATCAAAAGCTCAAGGCTTTCTCGGTGTACTGTTTCTGCCTCCAGAATATACTATCTCGAGAACATTATCACATTTAAACATGGCTCCTATTGCAACAATTCCGTCCACGGCACCACCTACGGTGGTTGGACCTGCAACCAAGAAGGCCACTCGGCCAACCAACAAGCTCCCCCAGTCATTGATTGATGGAGCTTGGGTTCTCGAGAAGGAGACTTTCGATCCTCAGAAGCATCTGGGTTTCCAACCCCCAAGCAAAATCCACACGATGGAGGAAATCGGGTTCGAAGGACGTGGCATCTCACCCAATGCCGTGTCTGAGCCCTTTCCTCTCTTCACCGAGGCAGCTATCAAGCAAATGAGAGCGGAGATCTTCAGTGAGCCGGTACTTGAGAAGTGCCAGTACTCCTCGGATTTCAACAAGAACATGGTTCGGGGCATGGGTCCTACGTATGCTATCAAGCTCTGCTCCACGATAGAACAAAGTTTTGCTCATATCTATTTAGTCTAGCCCCATTTATCTACGATGCCTGGAAGTCGCCGGAAGTCATCGCCAGAATTTCAGAAGTAGCCGGAGTGGACCTAGTCCCGTCCATTGATTTTGAGATTGCCAACATCAACATTTCCATCAATAATCCGAACGCGGAAGTAGCTCTGAACGACGACAAGCCCCAAGAAGACGAGCTCTCTGCTGTCGCATGGCACTACGACAGCTTTCCTTTCGTATGCGTGACAATGCTCTCAGACTGCACCGACATGGTTGGCGGAGAGACCGCATTGAGAACTGCCACGGGAGAGATCATGAAAGCCCGCGGGCCAGCGATGGTGCGATAACCTGAACATATAGTATGAGTGTTGCACTGACCACATATCAGGGCACCGCCGTCGTAATGCAAGGGCGATATATCGAGCACCAAGCTTTGAAGGCACTTGGAGGTCGAGAGCGAATCAGCATGGTCACCTGCTTCCGACCCAAGTCTCCATTCATGAAAGACGAAACCGTTCTCACCGGTGTCCGCGGGATCAGTGACCTATCCGAGCTTTACACTCAATACACTATCTACCGACTTGAAATCCTGGAAGAACGACTCCGGGCTCGGTTGAAAACAGAACGGCAGCGCGAGCTGGCAAAGCGCCAATACGACATTGGAGATGCGAGAAGCTTCCTAACCGAGCAGAAGGAGTTCTTAGAGTCTATGCTCACTGAGATCATTGAGGTGTGAGAAGCCACATAGGATTCATGATGGCCAACTGGCCATTCCTGATGCCCTGCTTGTCTTTCTGATCCCTCCGTTATATATGAAGTTATAGTCTTGATGAAATACGAAGCGAATTCCTTTACGTAGTATCTTATACTATCTTACTAGTCCAGAAGCCCTTCTACTTTCCATAGCGCAGAACCTTCTCCAACCCTTGGAAAGAATATCTCATTATGACTTCATCGAACAACTTCACTATCCAAATGATCACCATTGACATCCCCTTTCAGAAGTAACAATAAGAGACCCTCCTACAATAGACTATCAACCCAGCCCAACCAAAACTACCCTCAAATCCGCATAATACTTAATCATCCTTACTGTAAAAAAGATAATAACCCACGACTTGCCCAAAAACCAATTTTCTCTCAACTCTCGGCCCGAAAATAGCGAACATTATCCCCAGACCAACTAGATTATCGTCAACATCACGAGCCTAGACTTATCGAAAACCAGCACAGAGGCAGAAAGGGTTGCTCAGATATTGGAGTTGTTATCTCGGAAGCCGGATCCAAGGCCTATGACAGGCAGGGATCGGAATCCTTCGAATCTAACCGATGGATGGGGATCCCGAGGAGGGAGTGAACTAGATAGATACGTGCGGGGTAGGTATGGAGTAAAGCTGCACTTTATCTGATTCCGCGGTATTTACTTCTGTATTACTACTAGTAGTCGGAGGAAGAGGGAGAGAGGGGGGCTCTGTGTTCGTTTGGGTGGGGTGAGGGAGGATGGAAATTGATACTAGATGACTGTTGGTGATTGAGATGGTGATGATTTGATAGGTGCTCGGTCGATGTTACACGGAAGAGTTTGCTATCTGGTATTTTTTTTTTCATTTCTTGATGGCTTTTATTTTATGAAGGTTATGTATAAAGAGTTGTGTGAATATTTGTAAACTAGCGTACTGTCAATCTGAGTCGCGACCATCCCAAAAGCTTTGTTTTAAATGACATCGAACTCGATAGTTCCCCAGTTTTCAAACGTGCAGGACCAATGCCCAGCCTTATCCATAGAGATGGCCTGCAGGCAGCTACCAGGAAGAATGACCTGTCCTGGAGAAAGTCCGACATCGTAGGCAGCCAGGCGGTTGACCAGCCACGCGACAGCGAAAAGGGGGTTGCCAAGGACATTCCCTGTGTTGCCTGACATCACCTCGCGGCCATTAAAGTGCAGAGTGCCTCGGGTGTCACGTAGGTTCAGCTCTGTGAGACGTCGAGGAGTGCCACCGAGAACTACTGATCCCGTGGACCCATTATCCGCCAATGTGTCGGGGAGATCGATCGCCCAGTTCTGTACACGGGAATCAATGATTTCAATCGCCGGGATCGCGTAGTCGATTGCGTTGATGACATCAGCTACAGTGACGTTGGGCCCACGAAGAGGGCCACGGAGGATGAAGGCTGGTTCTAGCTCAACGTAGGGCTTGATGTACTGGTTCAATGCAAGGGTCGTCCCCTCGTAGATGAAAGTGCTGGCGAGCAGAAAGCCGTAGTCCGGTTGGTCTAGTCCAAAGGCGTCCTGCATGACTTTGGCGATGTTGCCGAGTTTGTAGCCGACCAGTCGGTCTCCGTGGTTTACTGCGTGGTCGACATTGATTTGCTGTACTCGAAAGGCGTCGTCAGCATCAAGAGCTGGCCAGGTCTTGGTCGGTGCTGAGATGGGCGTCCGGCCCTCGCGTGCCGTGCGTAGAGCAGCGGCAATGTCGTGCAATTCCTCGGTCTTCATGGCACCTTTAGACATTTAGGTACTCAGCGATGGCACTGCGAATGAAATCCAGATGCGGTCTGAAATCGGATCGGCAGCTCAAGCCCTTGAGCTGGTTGGAAAGAAGCTCGCACAGTATGTCAATCGATGAATGTGTTAGGAATGCAGGCGCGGTGAAGTACAGCAATCCACGTAGAAAGCAAGGTCATATCTTTATAAGGGAATATCGCATGAGGTATACCAATGCATACGTGTTGAAGTCGGACACAATACACCGAGCAGCTTAGGCTCCACGACTGCCTGTGGAAACATATCCGAGAGTGAAGTCCTTTGCTCGTCGCGATGCCTCGTTGGAATCGTTTCAAAGTTTCGACGAGATCTAGAGAAAGAGATGAAGCTCCGAAGCTCCATCCGAGCCTATCTGCACCGAGCCGATACTTACAGATAGATAGATAGGCCTTGCATGGATCGGGTTACGTATCCGCTTTCGATCCCATGCGGGGCAATCGATCTCGGCGGAAGCCTCCTTAGTTTCTCTAGAGCAATCCGAGCTCGGAGGTAGCTCGCAAGCTCTCGAAAAGCAAGGCGCAAGGCAATGATAGGATCCATCTCACCCGATGCACCTATTGTATTTCAGTAGAAAGCCAGCAGGTGACGGGACTGCCATCAGAATGACCCCCCTCCCCCTTTTCATAGGCCTACGCTGTATTCGTTGCCAAGTTAGTGGGTATGAGCGCTATAGCGAGTGCTAGTTGTTGACAGCCACATAAGCCCACACTCGATGGAGATCTCGATGAAATGTCCATGCCATTGGTAACTCGAGAAAAGCGTCTCAAACGGACAAAACTACCGAGAAACCGGTAGCCTGGCTCTAGATGCAATACGTAATGCTGGCCGAATTAGTAGACATTGGTGATGTCAATGGAATAGCTGTTACCTCTATCGTAACTATTCCGGCTTCTCGGCTTGGGACTTCGCATTTGACTTCCTCATGTGGGAATCAAGGCCTCTCTCGTGTGGGGAACCCTTATCAAGAACGGTCTCCAGCGATCCTCCAACTGGATCTTCGTCTGAATGTTTTCCAAGCAGGCAGGCCTGGTATAAGTAGCCATATAATCGACATTGAATGCGCGCCCAAAACAAAAGCCAGATAGGAGAGAGAGAAAACGGACGGCATTCCAATACAAACCCATCACCGATGCGCACATGCGACGATTGTACTTCGAATAATAGGCTTCTGTATCGACATGGCACTCATGGACCAGCAACAAATAGAGCCGGATGCAGCCAAAAAAGTAGACTCGATCCTAGAGCCCCAGAGCGACATCCCAAGCGACTGCAATTTGGGCGAAATCGTCCAGAGGCCTGATGATCTGCAACGCCATCTTACTTCTCGCCAGATACAATTCATTGCCATCGGAGGCTCCATCGGAACGGCTCTGTTTGTAAGTATCGGCTATGCCCTCATGCATGGAGCAGCAAGCCTTCTCGTGGCATTCATCCTCCAAGCATGCATTATGGCCCAGGTCAATAATTCGCTGGCCGAAATGACCATCTTCATGCCGGTCAGCGCCGCCTTCATCCAACACGCCAGTGCCTGGGTTGACGGTGCCTGGGGTTTCATGATCGGCTGGAATTTCTGCGTGTTTGAGGGCCTCCTCATTCCATTCGAGATTACAGCCCTGGACATGGTTCTGTCCTTCTGGCGCGATGATATCCCGGCGGCTGCCGTCATCTCCACTTGCATCGTTCTTTATGCGTACGCGCTTTCCTAGCCCAGAGCCAGTTGCTTGTAAACCTGTGGAAGCTAAACTAGACGCGCCAGGATTACGAACTTATTCGGGGTCAAGTACTTTGGTGAGGCCGAATTCTGGCTGGCGGGAGGGAAACTCCTGCTCATCACCATCCTGTTCTTGTTCACCTTCATCACCATGGTAGGAGAAAACCCGCAACATGATACGTATGGTTTTCGGAACTGGTCAAAACCGGTATGATAATCGGATTCCGCATGCCCCTGTCACTGAAGCTCCTGGACTGACCTTCGTATTTCTAGAGCCCGTTTGTCGAATACACTTCCACTGGGGACCTGGGCCGTTTTCAGGGTTTCCTGGCCGCCTTGTGGCAGGCTGGCTTCACAATCGTGGGTCCCGAGTACTTGGCCTGCGTGGCTGGAGAAGCACAGCATCCCCGGAAAACGCTAAAGTCTGCGTTCAAGTCCGTATACTGGCGGCTTGGGGTTTTCTTTATCGGGGGTGCCCTCTGCGTTGGTATCATCCTTCCTGCTAACGATCCGACCCTGCTGAGAGTGTTGGGTGACGGGGACACGGGCACCGGCGCGTCATCACCATACGTGATTGCTATGACCAACATGGGAGTCGAGGTGTTACCGGACCTAGTCAACGCCCTCCTCTTTACCAGCATTTATTCGGCTGGGAACGCATATGTCTATACCACTTCTCGGAGTTTGCATGGTCTGGCTCAGAATGGCCATGCCCCCAAATTGTTCCGCAAGTGCACCAAAGACGGGGTTCCAATATACTGCCTTGCAGTAGCGTTGGCATTCGCCTGTTTGTCTTTCTTGAAATTGGGTAGTGGCTCGGTACAAGTGCTGACCTGGTAAGTCTTGCCTAAGTGTATAAACGCCGCACAGCTAACCCCTACAGGCTCACAAACTTGATCACCTGCGGGACAGTAGTAACATACATCGTCGTGTGTGTCAATTATATCTTTTTCCACCGAGCACTGAAAGCGCAGGGCTTTAGCCGCATGGAGCTGCCCTATCGAGGGTATTTCCAGCCCTATGGGACTTGGATTGCTCTGATTTGGCTCTTGGGTATTGAAGTCTTCTACGGGTATGCGGTGTTCTTGAAAGGACGGTGGGATATCGGGTCTTTCTTCAGCGATTACACAATGGCGTTTCTCGCCATCGCTACCTATGCAGGATGGAAGATCTGCAAGCGCACCCGGTTTGTCCGTCCGCAAGAGGCAGATCTGGTGTGGGCTCGGCCGGCGATTGATGCTCACGAGGCCGTCATGGAGGAGGTTCATCAGGCTGGGATTCGCGAACAATTGATGCAGACTTTGCGAACCAAGTGGGGAGGTGGTCGCTCAACAAGCACCTGGATGGTCTAATATGGTCAACGATCAGCCTGTTTAGTCCAAAGGATGAAGGAGTTCTATCTCAAGGAAAGTGGTCCAGAGTACGTACCATATTGCCAAAAGCGCCACCAAAAGGGTAGTGTTCCCAACAATGTATGATCTTTGGCCTTGGGCGTGAATACAAATGTGAACAAAGATACTGGGCTCGTTCCCATCGCAGGCCGACATCACCTAACGCTAGACCAAGCTAGGCAGGCGGTCCCCGACCGGGATGTATCAATTTCTCCACTTCTCCAACACCATGTTGGAGAGAAAGGTAATTTCCTCGAACGCAACACCGTATTCAAGTATAAGTCATCATGTCTTGCCCAGTTGCTTGCAGCAAAAGATTGCCCATATAAAAATCAATGTTATGTCACGACTTCTCGGGGCTACTGTGTACTTGGTTCCTGGTCTGTAACATCTGAGAACTAGCCCCGCACAGTCTCCAACTCCAATACCCTGACACTTCCTTGTCCTTGAAGGCTTGCCTTCACGTAGATTGCGGCATAGCCGGAGACAGGAACTGGCCCGGCGAATCTGAGCAAAGCAATTATAACACCCTCAGGATGGAGCAGCAATTACTAAGAGGAATGATAAGGCCGATCGGGTCTCGTGATTATAGTGGGCTCTTCCCCTCATTCCCATGTCCTATCCATGCTCCTTATCCTGCGCTCTGCGGTTTGATGATGTCCTTATCTGCGGCCTCTCTGGTTTCGCATTTGCTTGTCCAAGCCACTGCCATCGGGTGTCTCTGGTGATTCTTTACAATGCAAGCTGAACCTCGCAGATTAAAACGAACGGCGAACGCGTAAGAGATCTAGCAAAGCCTGTTGGGATCCCGACTCCAGTTCTGATCCGCTTGTCCGCTTCTGTAGGTGTGTCGCCTGTCGCCAGAGCAAGATCAAATGCTCCGGGAACGAGCCGTGTGCCAATTGTCAGAGACGCACCCTGCCTTGTCGGTTTGTCGAAGAAAGCCGCAAGGTGCTAATATCGGAACGGTAATCTAAACCCGATGGTTTTCGATCATAGGATGCTCATGATGTGCGATAGGTGTCTCCGCGATCTGCAGACCCAGGCTAGAGAGCAGCACGGCGAAACGGGAAAACGAACTCATGATGTTGCATTTGGCGAAGCCGAAAGTAGGTATATATGACATAGGCCATATCAATTGTATTCTCGTCAGAGTCTCACCTGCTAGATTTTCTTCATCCAGAGCCGCGGTCACCGGGCGCCAATTGGCCGAGTCCATTCACACTACCCTCAATGACGATGAGAAACACCCATGATAACCGATCTCAATGGGGTAAGACCAAACAGTTCTTTTCTGTTAAATGGCTGGATTCATCCGCTTCTTAAGTTGACCTACGTAGTCTGGCTGGCTCCAACATCCACCTGGTCCTTTACCGCTCGCCTCACTCTGATGATGACCCAAAGACTTCATCCAGACGTCGCCTACGATATTCCATACTTTTTGGATGGTGACATCTATCCCTTACAGTGGAAAACGTCTTCCGATACCGCTCCCGACATTAGCGGTCTTCCATCAATGGACTACGCTCTATATCTCTTCAACACAGTCAAGTTTCGTTTGGGCCAAACCTTTCGGCTTCTGGATGAGGAGGCTTTTACCTCGCACATGCAGGAGTTCTACTACGGTGATGCAGCAAAGAAGGTAGCTGACAATCCGCTATGGTTTGTTCAATTCCTGCTAGTGCTGTCCTTTGGAAAAGCATTCCTCGAGCAGTCCAGGAAGAAGGATCCGCCAGGTGCGGAATACTTCATTCGTGCCATGTCATTGATGCCGGATTATAGCTCTATTTGGGGGGATACTCTTCTGGCAACTGAGATTTTAGCCCTGGCTGCTTTATATCTCTATTCAATTGATCGACGAGAGTCGGGGCACCTTTTTGTAAGAAGCACAATTACCCCCTAATGCACTTTCAAGGAGGTCTAACAAGGTATAGGCTAGCCAGGCCATCCGTATCGCACAGTTAGAAGGCTTGCACACGGAACTTCCAGAGGAAGAGCTTGGGTCAGCAACTCTTGATCGCTGCCGCAACCTTTGGTGGACTCTATATATCATGGATCGGCATTTTTCTTCGTCGTTGGGCATCCCGATGATCGTGCACGATAGTGACATCACAGCACTGATTGAGTCGCCAACACAGTCATGTCAGAGAAACGCAACACTAAGTCTGAGGGTGAAATTGTCACGGCCATTGTCCACCATTCTGGGCAGTAAGTTCTTTTCCTTCGTTCTGGGTTCATCTTAGCTCACGGATAGGTAGCCGTATACAGGACTGAAAGGCGGCCTATCGAATCATTCATTGAAAAGACAAAATCCATCCTGAACACAATGGCAGACCTGGCCAGGGAATTGGAGGAGTTCATCAATACCAAGTTCTCGAGCCCAGTCAACTCCATGTCCAAGGGGATGCGTCATATCCTCTTACTATATCATCAAGTATGTCGACACCTGGAAATCGTAGCTTCAAACTCACGCAGGCTACCAGTGTGTTATTTTTGCCACACGACCTTTACTTCTTGCGGTTCTCCGGGAGCGTCTGGACACACTTGGTCTCCCATCAGAATGTTGTCGACGAATCGTGCCTCTTATGGAGACATTGATTACAACAGGAATAAACTCTGCGACCAAAAGCCTGCAGTTACTCAAAGCCTTGGTTGACGAGGGCCTCCTAGGTAAGTAATATGCTGCAAATGACAGCAAACATTCGTTGAATGAAATAGAATCCTTCCTTCCATTCGACATTGAATTCACATATGGCGCTGCTATTCACCTCACAATGGCCAGTACACTTGTCCCGGATTTAACGGGGCAGCGCGGCTCCAGCCAACAGGCGCATTTAATCCTTGACGAGATCATCAGCAAAGGGAACCGGGTGGCTGAAGTTCGCAAAACCGAGCTCGCTCGTTTAGAGACCCTCTTCGAGGGACTAAAACAGCGGTATACAAACGCGAATCCGATCAGCACCGCTTCAGCAGAAACAAACGATGGTGAACAAACCCAGGTAACTGACACCATGCCTGGTAATAATAGGCAGAACGAGAACTCGCAGTTGCCGTTTCTACCAGGGGATCTCAACGTCTCGGACGACCAGGACGAGCTGCCTGAGATTGGCTTGTCGTCTTATGATATTGCCGCCATTGTGGATCAAATTGATTACAGTGCTAGTCCGTCTTTCTGGCTAGCCCAGGAGGATTTGGAATGATATCCGTGAACTTAAGCCTGGATATTTTTAAGCGTGGCCCTCAACCTGCTATTGGACACAAGATACCTTGCTGGGGAGACCGTCAAGGCTCATGCCACTAGATATAAATGAATTACAATGACCATGTTCCACACGTCGACATCCCCTGCCGTAGATTTAGGAACCGATACCCACCGCGGGAAGCTGATCCGCCGGTTCGTCATATGTCCAAAGTGCATCATGGAAACAACCAATACATCGTTTTCACTTCTTTGCCATCCAGGATACACAATGCCTATCGGATAGGAAACCCGATCTCCGAACAGAAGCCGACCCGACCGACCTGAGAACAGACATACACAAGATATAACTCTCTTCCAGACACACATCTCATTACTAGCAACGCCAACACAGATATCCACCACAGACAGTTTCAACAAAGCAGTTCACTAAGTCAACTGTTAGCACCAATCTCAAAATGACCCGTCTGCCCCTCCCCATCCCTTCCCCCATCCCACCTTCCTACGAACCCAAGACCTCTCTCCGCACCATCCCCGCTACCACCCCCATCGAATACATCTTATCCATCCTCTGGCGCGACGGCGGCGTGATTCTCTCCGACTTCATCCCCAAAGAAGAACTCACTGCCATCGACACCGAAATCTCCCCCTGGAGCAGCACCAAACGCCGTTCCACCACCACTACCACCAATGGCCCCAGCGACGCCTTTTCCACCATACCTTCCCAAACAACTCTTATCCCCGGCCTAGTTGGCAAATCCCCCACCATGGCACGGATCTGCTCTGGAAACCCCACCCTCGAAGCCCTTCGCACCCGTATCCTCGTGGACGAATTCACCATCAACCGCGAAGACAGCGTTGAACCGAACCGCCTCGATCCCCTACTCAGTCTCAGCGTGGCCATGAATATTGGGTACGGGGCGCCGCGCCAACTTCTCCACAGAGACGATAATGTGCACCACATTCGCCACGGATGGAAGAATGAGTGGAGCTTCGACGAGGTGAGTCAATTTGGGTGTCTGATTGCTGGATGTGATGTGAGTAGGGAGATGGGGGCTACGATGTTTGTGAAGGGAAGTCATCGGTGGGGTGATGATAGGTGGGCAGAGGTGGATGATCGGAGGGAGGTGTGTTTTGCGGGTATGTTATCCTTTTACATTTTGCTCTGTAGTTGCATTTGTTCCTATGCTGATGTTATGATGGTGGTGAAGAGATGAAGGCCGGCTCGGCATTGATCTTCCTTGCGTCGGCGTTCCATGGTGGTGGACATAACTCGCTTCCTGATACGGTGAGGAATATGTACGGGTTGTTCTTTGTGAGGGGACATCTCCGGACAGAAGAGAATCAGTTTCTGGCTATTCCGAGAAGTGTCGTGACCGGGATGAGTCCGAAGATGTTGGAGTTGCTAGGGTATAAGAAGCCGACGACGGCGTTGGGGATCGTGGATAATATGAGTCCACACGAGGATGTGGAGGGGGTTTGGGCGAGGGTTGTGCAGTAATGTTTCTCTGCGAGGTTGAGTTATTCCTTTGTCCGGGATATATACTTTCTGGAATTGTCGATTTTCATCCTCGTGTTCCATTGAACCATTCGTAGTCATGAATATATGGTATTCTCTGTGAATTTAGTCAGCCACATTGGTTCCCAGAGGTACTACACAATTGATGAGATCTTTGCCCTTGGAACAATCATCTATGAAATTGACGTTGGGCATCCAATGTATGCTGATAAACCTAGCAGAGAAATCAGAAAGTTACTACATCAGCATACCCTTCCAGACCTCGATACTGTTGCGCCTGATATGCGGGTGGTCATCAGAAAAAGTTGGTCAGATAGATACAGGTCCGCAGATGAAGTCATATGTGACTTATTAAAAGTACGCTACTAAGTAAAACCACACTACTTGGCCCCACTGACCCTCTTTTGGGTGTGACGGACCGCGGATATCTACTCCACCTGATCCATACTACAGTACTACCTAAGTACTTTAACCTAGACTAAATTCAATTGAGGTTTGAAACACCTTGAAGAAAACATCAAACCACCCGGGGGTTAATGTGGTCAAGTTGCTGAGCGGGAAAGGCTGAATAATTAGATGGAAAAACAAAGGACCGATGCCGGTGTTGATTTTCAACTGTAGCCTGCTCTTCAATCATCCCTCCTCCATCTTGTTATCCTTCATCTTATATTCATCGGATCCAAGGCTTCCAAACCCGCAAATCATCACCTGTGTCAGCTTTTTGCTCGAAGGAACTTTACTCAGGACAAGCAGCCACCTTGACATTACTTGAGAACTACGATATACGGATACGGTTACTTATAACGAGCTGCATCCTCCCGCCCCTCATCCATACCGCAATGGAAAGATCACCAACTAAAGAAGAGCTCCTGGCTCTCCTACAGGAGGTAATATCTCATGCTGACCAGGCATATTCAATGCTGACCAGACAATGTCTCATGCTGACAGGCAACATCTCGTGCTGACCAGGCATATTCAATGCTGACCAGACAATGTCTCATGCTGACAGGCAACATCTCGTGCTGAACAAGAAAGATCTCGCGCTGAAGAGGAAAGATCTCGTGCTAAACAGGAAAGAAATTGTGCTGAGCAGGAAAGAAATCGTGCTGAACAGGCTGAAACACACATTCAAAATTTAACTTTTGCGGAATATCTGCGAGGCACCCATGACTTGATATCAAAGCCCTTGGCTATCCAAACCAATCTGGCACTTACAACCAAAGGCCCTATCACTAGTCCAACCGGTCGCATCTGTCCTGAATACCTCGAACCCTTTGACTTCCGCGAAATGTACCAAGACCTCTTTGATGAGATTTACCAAATTTTTCAATCTCCCACACCAAAGCGACTGTTCCCACCCTTAATTGTCCTGAAAGATAGAGGACAACGGGCATGCGACCGTGTCTTGGCAAGTGAAGACGACTTGATGAAACATCAACAAGATGAAGTGGAAACTCCCGTGAAAGAAATCATTGACAGGCTACGGGAAATAGCCCCAGATCGATTTCCACTTGGTGAAGGTATAATGATTGAAAATCATTCCAATACCATCATCGAGGACCCAGAGACGATGAAATCTGCACGACCTACAACAGACAGACACTGCGTCTATCATCGCACTAATGATGTCCGAAGCTTACTTTATATGATTCAATATAAAGCTGGTCATAAGCTTACTGATGCATTCCTCAGGGCGGGCCTTCGGCCAATGAACATGCTGGAGGAAGTTGTTCAACAAATCAAGATTTCAACAGATCCTGATGAAAAGCTCCGCTACCAAGCTACCTATCTATCATGTGCTGCCCTTACGCAACACTTCCAAGATATGATCAAGGCAGGTTGTGAATGGGGTTGTGTGTCGAATGGCCACATGAAAGTCATTCTTCGTATTCCAGAAGACAGACCAGAAACCCTGCAGTACTCTCTCCTCGAGCCCAGTCGAGATGCTGAGCCAAATCCAGATGATGGTCTTGGTTTCCGTTACCCTTACACAGCTGTTGGTTGCATGTTAGGGCTTACGATAATAGCATCCCGATCAATGCAACGCGGCCAAGCTTGGCGAAACGCTGCTACGAAAACGCTGAGCAGATGGGAAGTTGACTTTGAGCATGTCCTTAGATCTATCCCAGAATCCGAACGCAAGGCAAGCCCGCCAGGCTCAGCCTACCGAGGACCTAAGTACCCTATCAATCCTCGATCGCCTTATCTCACGCGACAACGTCGGCTAATCCTGGATGGCGCTCCTTCTTTAGAATCGAACAGGAGCCCATCCCCCGACTCGTCAGATAATGACACACGCCGAAAGCATATACTTTCTTCCCCCATCGAGGACCGAGGTAAACGCCAGAGAAAGGCTCCAGGTCAGACATTTAATTATATGTTTTGCACACAATCATGCCTACATGGACTGTCATCACAATCCGAGTTCGATGATAATTGTCCTAACGTACATCTTCATCAGAAACACTCGAGTGATCACCGGCATCCTTTGTCCCGCTCCACATTAGTCGAGTGTATTCGGCACCAACTGGATCGTGATATAGACTCTTGCTATCCTCTTGGACAAGAAGGCTTGCATGGATCCATCTTCCTGATATCACTGCAAAGCTATGGCTACACATTAATTGGCAAAGGAACCGAATATCTGTCCACCCTGGAAGGATCTATCTACCAAAAGTTGGAATCTGTACAAGGGCGTGCTGTTCCAGTCTACCTTGGGGATATCAACCTGCAAAATGTCTATTATCTTGACTCCGGGCGTGAGATCATCCACATGTCACTTATGGCATGGGGAGGGGAGATACTCCAGCAGGCTGATTACATATCACGGGGGCGAGAAATTGAATATACCCAGAATGAAATCCAAAGTTTGGGTGTTTTGCATCTAGACCTCCATATGCCTAATATGCTATGGAATGCGGAGGTGGAACGGGTCATGTTCATTGACTTCAGCCGGGCAAAAATCATTGAAAAGAATCGAAAACGCAAAAGGTCAACCAGCCCATCCGCAGATGAGTCAAAACGGGTTGATGCACATCGCCATCCTTTGCCAATTCCTAGGAAGGTTGAGCCAGCGGAGTAGGTGGTCGACAGAATAACCATCACAACGAAGTATGTACAGGATCAATTCCTCCAGTGACCACCATCTTGATGTTCATATAGTCCTCAATCCCATACTTGCTGCCCTCCCGACCCACGCCCGAGTACTTCACTCCACCAAACCTGCACAGTGTCAGTAAGCATTCATTCTCCAGCAAGAAAACCACCAAACTCACGGTGCTGGGGCATCTGAGATCACCCCCATGTTGATCGCCACCATTCCAGCCTCCAATCTCTCCGACACCCGGTGCGAGCGAGCCAGATCCGAGGTCATGACATAGGACGCCAATCCGACCTCGCAGTTGTTGGCTCTCCGCACGACCTCATCCTCCGTCGAGAACTTGCTCAACGCCGCCACAGGCCCAAAGATCTCCTCCGCCGTCACCCGCATCGTATCATCAACATCGCCCAGAATGGTCAGCTCATAAAAGTTCTTCCCCATCGACAGCAACCGCTTCCCTCCAAGAAGCACCTTGGCCCCCTTCTCAACAGCATCTCCAACCAGCTCCTCAACCTTGCCCACTCCATTCATCAACGGTCCATGCGTGACCGCCGCATCTTCCAAACCATCCCCAACTCGAAACTTGGCAACCTCCTCAACCAACCGCTCACAGAACCGATTATAGATGCCCTCCTGCACAAACATGCGATTGGCACAAACACACGTCTGCCCCGTCACCTTGAACTTACTCACCAACGCACTCGCAACCGCAACCTCCACCTCAGCATCATCAAACACAATAAACGTCGCATTCCCCCCCAACTCCAAACTCAACTTCTTCAACGTCCCACTCCCCTGCCTCATCAACAACCTCCCCACCCTCGTCGACCCGGTAAACGAGATCTTCCTCACCCTCTCATCCTCACACAACCCCCGCCCAAGCACCGGCGTATTCTCCAACGCCGTCACCACATTCACCACGCCCGCCGGCACCCCGGCCCTCTCCATCAACACTACCAATCCATTCGACGCAAACGGCGTCACCCCATCTGACTTCACCACAACCGTACACCCCGCCGCCAACGCCGCCGCAATCTTCCTCGCCCCCATCGCCAACGGAAAATTCCACGGCGTAATCAACCCACACACCCCAACCGGCTCCTTAAGCACCCGAACCCGACTCCCCGAAGTACTATGCGGAATCACGTCCCCGTACACCCGAGGCGCCTCCTCTCCAAACCACTCGAAGAAACTCGCCGCGAAGAGCACCTCCCCTTCAGCATCCCCCTTCGCTTTACCGTTCTCCGCTGTGATAAACCGTCCCAGATCCTCTTTATTCTCAACAAGAAGATCATACACCCAACGGAGAATCCGCCCCCGCTGTCGACCTGAAAGAGACCTCCACGCCGGAAAGGCATCTGTCGCTGCCTGAATCGCTAGGTCGAGATCCTCGGTCGTAGATTCAGGACACGTGCCGATGATGGTCTCGGTAGCTGGATTCAACACGCTGAATACGTTCGTAGATGCTGGTGTAGATGAGACCCATTTTCCGTTGATGTAGGCACGTTCCACAAATAGACTGGGGTCAATTAACTGGGCTGCGAAGGTGGAGGTCATCATGAAATGATAGATGTAATTATAGCTAAGTAGTTGATGGTAGAACTGCAATAAGAACTACTATTGATATTATGTTACGACATGGCGGGGGGCTAAAGTATTGGGATCGTTATTCCATTTCGATGATATGAATATCAGCTCGTAAGTCTGTATGCTATCCGATAGGTAGGCTTGTGAGGAAGCCGAGCAAGTAGCAGGGATCGGGCATGTCATCCGAGATCAGATCGGTGGGATATCGGCTCGGATGTGGGATCCCGAGGTACGTGCTCCGTGCTCGGATGCATGCGATGCGATTGTTACGCTGCGGGGATAAGATAAAGGTTTAGTAAATAGCGGGTTTACATCCATACGTTGGAGTCCTACGGGTTGCTAGGTAGTACTAGTGGAGTGAAATTTTGTCATTGTTCATGGTCATTTTATGAATACACTGATTGTGTTGGATGAGGTTATTCCAGGCGCTTGAGATGGAGCTGCCTTGATGAATGAAATGTCCTGGTCTGGGGTGCGATGAAGAAGAGTTGAAGGACCATGTGATGTGTATGTGTGTGTGTGTGTGTCGCTGGCGAAATTCGAGGCATAATTCCTGTCCCGCACAAAGAATAAAACTTCATCGGATCGACCAGAGGCCAGATCCAGAACCCAGTAACAAAGTAAATGATGTATTGCACAGTAGTGGGTCTTAGCCCGGGAATCAATAATGTATGTCCAGCAATGTAAAAAGAAGGATTGTCCGAATCCATGAAATCCGCCCACCAAACGCCGGCCAATGCACAAACGCGAAAACCCATACAATCATCCGTATAATATGAAGAACACATTAAATCTCGTTCCGATCGAGAAATTATACCATGAAGGATTCGCCGCATCCGCATTGTTCCTCTGTAAAAGTTGCGCCGTTAGTAACCGTTCGTTGCCCGGGGCCTCCCACGGGCGAAAGGATGAGATGCTTACTAATATTGGGGTTGCGGAAGACGAATCTCCTGCTCAGCTTGTCTTCCAGCCAGTCCATCTCGCTGCCGATGATGCTGAACAAAGCCTTGCTGTCGATGAGGACCTTAACGCCGTCCTGTTCCACCACCTCGTCGAAAGTGCCCGGCTTTTCCACGTATTCGAGGTGGTAGGCGAGTCCGGAGCAGCCGCGGTTCTTTACACCGACTCGGATCAGCTTGGGGTCGGGCTGTGATAGGAGCTTGCGAAGCTGCTCGATCGCCACAGGAGTCAGCTTCATTGCGGCCTTCCTGGCACGCAGCTTCCGGCGGGGCTTTTCGGTGGGTTTGGCTGTGGTGGTTGAAGGGGCGGTGGAGGTGGTCTCGACGGGCTTGGACTTCTGGGCTTCGCTTTCTCTGAGGCTCAAGTTGGAAAATCCTTCCTGGCCGGGCATCTGGGGCTGGCTCATCTCGCGAAATGAAGGGAAGTCTGCGGCGATGGAAGAGTCGGTGCCGCCGCTCCGGGGCGGCGGGAAAGAGGTGGGCAGCGAGTGTGGACGGTAGGCGGTAGCAGTCTGCATATCACGCTTCGAGGAGCGGTGGGTATTTCCATATGAAGAGAACAGACGAGAGGTCTGCGCTGAGCGTCTGGTGGACGACTGTCTCAACCAGCCTAGAATCGTGGCGGATGATGTCACCGGAGACGGCATGGTAGCTTTGCAGAGCGACATCTTATTGTGATGTGAGGTAGATGATGAAAGCAGGTACTCTATGCGGTAGTAGAGGTAATGGGAGAGTGAAATCTCATGGAATCTAAGCGTCGTGTCGTCGCTGAATTAGAGGAAACGATGGGAGGGTGAAGATTGCTGGGAGTCGGAAGTTGAGACTGTTTGGGATGGAAGACTGCCGGCGGTCGGTTAAAAGGTCCCAGGGCCACCTCCCGGCCAGCCAATCAGCGTGCAGGTGTTTCTACACAATCACGGTGGCGCCACTGCTGGCACCTGAGCGAACGCCTGATCGAGCCCCAAATGTTGGGGAACTGCCCGTGGCAATCTAAATGGCCCCAGTGGCCCAGTGATCATGCAGAAATCCCGTTTCCTACCCTTGTCATGAAGCCGACTTGGTCGACGATTAATTCTCCGCTTCCGTGATTGGACGGTTGCCTTCACTTCACCGTCTGACTAACACGGCTGCCTGAGTACCTCAGGCGCCAACAATGACTAATGGGTTTCTGTCTTGTTCGATGGCTTAACAATGAACTATTTTTACCAATTCCTATCGAGGGGACAAAGAGGACCCGATGAGCATCAGAAGGCATGCCCTTCCAGACGGGCATGAGTATCACTGTTTCCTCGTATATCTGTTACGATGGGAATTTGGAAGCTGGGTAAGCACCCTGCCTGTTTTCAGTATGGAGACAGCGGACTTTACTATGTAGAATATCTACACAAGGGTCATTGAAGATGCCACATGGCCCGACTTCACATGCCCCTGATTATGTCATCTAGTCCAACACGCAGGGACAAATGTTGTCATCCTTGGGAAATAGCACGACAACTCCTAGATTAAAGACAATGATAGAACTACAAAAGTCTGGACCCTCGTGCATCGCGCAATCCAAGCGACCGTGGCGCGGGGGGGCTGTGGCTGGGGAGCAGAGGTCGTGGAGGCCTTAGGCTGAGTGAGAGTGGCTGGAAGTGGGCTGGCCCGAATAGGCCGTAAAAGAGTGGTCGAATAAGACGGCGACAGCTGGGACCCAAAGACTAGGAGAGACAGTCTGGACACCGTCACTCGGTCCCTCCCATCATCGGCTCCTTATCCATTCCCAGGCGGGCTCTTTGACTCCCCTTCTGCGATGCTGGCAGACATCTCATGTTCTATGCTGACCGCCCAACATTCGATCGAACGCAATGGAATCCCCCTTAACCCAACAAAGTAGACCCGAAACCTTCAAGCCTAAAATCGTGCAACTATACGAGAACCTATTCCAAGTGTGTGCCTTAGTCCCGCTCCGTGATAACCCCCCAGCTGACATCCCCTCATAGACCACCGACTATGCAGAGCCATCCGAGGGGTTTTGGAGGGAATTCTTCTTGCTGCCTCCTGATCGTACCCGGCTTAATGCGGTCCTAGACCAGCTCAGTCCGGATGAGACCCTCAACTTGCAGGTCGGCCTGCCATTTTCGTTATCGCATCTTTAAGATGGCGGCATTTGCTAACTGCTTATCAGATTCAAACCCAGCAGCTCTTTGCTCGTGCAATCCGCGAGGCTTCGTCTGCATCCAGTCCTGCGGCTTCATATGCACTGGAGGTACGTGCACTGACTCTACGGTTTCCAATCAATTTCTAAGAGTGACCAGACCTTGACGGTCTTCTTAGCATGCGTCTTGAAAAAGAAGTACACCAATCCCAGCTCGGATGTCATCACCGTTCTTGCTGGTCTCGACGACGTGGACCATGTTATCTCGAACTTTGTCGCCGTCCTCGATGGCATCATCCGGAACAGCAGCAGCTGTAAGTGCCCTGTTGACAACTGATTCACGTTTACTAACAACCTTAGATGATCTCCGGCTCAAAGCTATCAGGACCGCCATCGCAATGACAGGCGGCGCATACAAGACGAGCCTGGTCTCCTATTTCACGCACCGGGACCTGTTTCCTTCTCTCATGAAGGTATGTTTCCATCCAGACATTCCCATATGCAAACTAACATGTGCAAAGTTTATTCAAGAAACCGATACTCCGATGCAAGTGTTTGAGCCGTTCGCTCTTCTGGGTTTGCTGGCAAACTACAACAAGTTCGAATTCCAGAATCCTTACCAACTGCGGCTCGACGATTTTGTCAACGAGTCCAGCATTCAAAAAATCGCCAAGGGGGTCGGTCTTACCTGTGGCGCCCTGAGAAACGGCTATGTCGCAGTGCAAGATGACTCCCCAGAGGGCTGGACACTGATCGGGACCCTGATGTATTTCGGACTCGGCGTACTTTCCCCAGGGAAGAAAGAGAAGGCCACCGCACCCACTATCGAAGAGGCCAAAGATCTCTTTGCCGCGCTGTAAGCCTATCCACACCCCCTAAGCCATCACGTCCCCACTAACGACACCAGTCCGGCACAGCAAGCATCTATCCTCCTCGCCACCTACGACTTCATCAACGCCAACAAGCTCTTCGGCTACCATCTCATCAGCGCCGCCCCCGAAAAGGACAACGAAGAGACCCCATTTGCCTCCTTCCTCTCCCTGACCTCCTACCTCCTGCAACACGCCTACCGCTCCCCCCGCGTCGCCCACTACGCTGAGCTAAATCTCCTCACCCTGCGCATCCTCTCCGAAGACAGCACACTATGCAAGCAAATCTGCAGCGAAGAAAGCAAGCGCAAAGTGCGACTCTGCCGCCAGCGCCAGCCCTACCTCCCCTTCGTCCCCGGCGACCGGGTCCTCGCAACCACCATCTTCGACATCCTCATCGACACCCTCACCCACAACCTCCGCCGTCGTCTCGACGTCACCCTCTACAGCCACTGCATCGCCATCCTCCTCCGCCTCCTCACCTACCTCTCCATGAACAAAATCCGCCTCCCCTACCACTGGTCCGAACTCTGGCGCACCCTCCTCTCCCTCATGCGCTTCCTAACCACCTATGCCCCGGACCTCACCACAAACCCCCACACCACCACTCTCACCACAACCCTCATCAACCTCATCGCCTTCTGCGTCTCCTCAGGCGACACCTTTCTCCCTGATCCCCTCTCCTACGACGACCTCTTCTACAAGCTCGTCGAAACCGGCCCTATCATCACCCGATTCCGCGACGTCTACAACTTCAAGACCTCTACCTCCGCAGACCCATCCAGCAAGGACGTCCACGTTGCCGCAATCGATACCCTGATTTCCGTCTCCACCCACTTCTACACGCTACTTTTCGTCCCGGATCAGAATCCAGATGCCGGCGGCGAGGCGGCGCCCGTGCCGGCGAATCTCAAGAAGCATTTGAGTCCGCGAGAGGTTCATCGCATTATTAAGCAGGGGTACGAGACGCTCAGTATTCAGCCACCTGAGGGACTGAGTGCTTGGACGAGGTATCGTGAAGCGGATTGGAAGACCGAGTTGAAGCGGGCGGCTAGGTGTGCCGTTGACGATGCGAGGGGGTTGGTTGTGTGAGTCTGTTCAGTTGGGTTGTTGTGCTGTTGTTGTTTGGCTTTGTAGCTTTGTTTGTGTTGCTCGGTACAGTGTTGTAGATGTGCTGGTGGTTAGTTCGTAGTACTTCTTTTTTTGCTAGTTGTGCTCAATTATACCTCTGGTGGGTTGTTTTGTATGGTCATCTTCTCTTTGTATCTGCTGCTTGGACAGAATGAGCTGAGCTGATCACGGGGACCGAAAGAAACAAAGAATAAGGGAGAGGATGGTTTCGCCATCTGATTCCAATTCTATCCTGATGTTACAGTAAAAGCATTGTCGCCATAGCATACATAAAAACAGCCTCGTTCTCGCTGCTAACCATATATCGCAGCCCAAGCCAGTCAACGCGAAAGAACTAGAGAAGAAGAAGGGGACAACGAAAGAGAATAATGATATGCTTGAAGACGAAAGACAAATTTAACGATGCATAAGTGAGCTGCGTGATACATTTCTCGAAGTTCAGACTAAACGCGATGTGGCAGTCCCTGGATTGGGGTTGGGAACACCGCGCGATTTTTCAATGTATTCGTTGCTTGCAGTCATGTATCTCGTGGCGAAATATTTGCCCGAGTTCTTGCTCAGCCAGATGGTGAACTTTGATAGCTCCTCCCGGAGTCTGTTTGTGGACTGGAGGTCCATATTCGTTTGAGCAATGAGCTCGGGCATGGTCGCTGGAAGACTTCTTTAGTAAAAGAGTGGATTGAAGAGGGAGGAAACACATACCGAACAGGCGAGTCAGATGCTCGGCGCCGTAGATGTCAACCGACCCTTTGTCAGCATAGTCGCCCGATCCTGCCTCCCACTTTCTGCGGAGAGCCCGGTATTGCTCGCGTTCGAACCGGTACAGAAGAACTTTGTCAAGTGCTTTGTCGAAGTACTCGCGTACTCCCATGACTACTTCATCGAGCACGTCCATATCAGCCGAGCTCGTGCGCTTTTCTTTCTCCTCTCTGACGTAGTCGTCGAGAATTTGATTGACCGGAGACTTGGCAGGCAAGGCCACGACTTGCTGGTTTTTGGTGACATTTTCCCAATCATCCACTAGAAGAGACTTCAAATTATCCGGCATTACAATTCTTACTGATGGCCGCACGTAAAAGCTCTCCTCCTGCGGTGATACAGTCAGTATGTGGCCTTGATGTGTGCATGCCCCCTATACGCTCGCCATTGGCAGTGTGACGGGCTGCAGGGAAAATTGGAGGCAATGATTGCAGCCGACTTGCCTTTTCAATGTCGTTGTCCCGAGCTCTCTTGGTTCCGCGGCCAGGCACGGAGGTTTGCCTTTCCTCGCTGCCCCGGGCCGAGCTGCGGTCGGAGCCTCCCCTCTTCTTGACGGAGGCCTTGGTGCTCTTTTGGCGGAATGCAGCCTCTGCTTCACGACGAAGCGTCGTGGCCAGCTCCCTATTCTCCTCCGTAAATTTACGGAGGCGATCTTGGGGCACCCAGTCATCCCAGCTAAAAAGACCAAGACAATGTCAGTGAATTAAGCCCAAGCAGGACACCTCTCCGGTCTGGAATAACGGTGGCATCATCAACAGGAGCGAACGGATAAGGAAAACGAGTCATTTTGTCAAGGAGAGTCTGTAGATAAGATCTCACCATAAACAAGGAGGCAGTAGAACCAATATGGACGATAAGATGATGGTGACACGGGATCAGACGTACGTGTTCTTCCAGCCCTTGTAGTGGACCAGGTACTCGAAAGGACTCTTGCGGTCTTCAGGGTCCGTGTGCCTCAGGTCAAGGATCTTGGCCTCGTACAGAATCTCATGATGGAAGCAGAGGACCTTTTCGTCCTTTTGGTAGGTCATATGGCTTGCAGGAGCCATTTTGAGATGAAGTGGTAGATCAAGGGATGTTTGCTGTCAATGAGGGGTAAGACTGCCGTCAAAGGCGTGGAAATCACCAGCCCCAGACTCTAGCAAGATGATAGGGAGAAGATCCGAGCAAAAGCTCGGTGTGGCTCGAGGATACTGGTATTTAAAGCCCAGTCGAGTCCTTTTTGCTGACAAGCACGTGCAGCAAAGTGGTCAAGAATTTGAAAACCGCCGAACAAGACAGCAAATACGATGGCACACGCCGAGGAACGATGCGACAGATGCAATTTCCCCCAGACGGCACAAAATCCAGCTTATCAGAAGCCTGAATCTCCTCATAAGATAGTCGGTTAGATCAAGTCAAGGTCAGAATGTCCGATAGGGACGGGATACTGGCAGTCTCACAATGAATTGATGGCTAGCTACGATAGCAGGCTCACACACGATCCAAGAGAATAATTCAATGGCCAGAAGAGGATGCAGAAAGCGAAGTGGTGAGGGATCCAAGGATGTCGCGGTGTTGGGACAAGAAGAGGAAGCGGATCGACTGGATGGAGGAACGCGTCCAAAAGGGCAAGTCACGAACTTTCCTAACTAGTTCTAATGGCTTTGGCCCGCCGCCGTCTTTCTTCCTTACACACTCTATCTATCTATCTCTCTCCATCCAGCACTAACCACTCCGTATATCCTCTTATTCCACTTTTGCTATCTTCTGACTACAATCTTCCGCTTCGGCGAACTTAAGCCTGCTGCTCTATTTTCTGTCAAGTCCAACTCCCGCCACCTCGGTCCTCGTAAGTTGATCGGCGCAAGACGCGATTCATCCCCATTGAAGGTAACACAGCAGCGACAGAATAACAATACTCCGAAGACGAGAAAAAGGGAGAGAGAGCCTAGAAGAATTAGGCCAACTTGATCGAGGCTCTAATCAATTCACTACTTTTCCCTCTTCCTGTGGATTCACATTGAACCACCATGGCGCCTACCGAATCTTCCATTCTGAGCAATTTCCTGCTCTCTCCAGCTCCGCTGCCAACGCTCATATCGTTGCAGAAATTTACGGAGCTTTTTCCAAAGCGGCTGCGGTCTCACCCGCATATTAGAGCGCTCTACCGCGAGCTGCAAGAGCTCCGGGAACATGACATGGATCTAGTCAATGGGAACATCGACAAAGAAGTCCGTCAAGGAGAGAGCCAAAAAGCAGAGCTCCGCAAGTCCATCGCGAAAACTGGCGTCGATGGACTTACGTCCAATGACCAGCGAGAAATGGATATGGATGTTCAGCTATTTGGGCAAACATCCTCTACCTCCGACTATCATTCGGCTTCCAGTCTCCTGGACGCCATGGAGAAGGCATGTTCGGACATTGAACGCCAAGTTGCTGAGATGGACGAGAAGGCAACCTTAATCCTATCTAATCTCAACAACACCGTCGGTGACTTGAGCGACCTGCGCTACGGTAAAATGCAGGGCCCCGCCGGCACAAGCGGCGAAGACATGGTGGTCGAAGCCATCCGAGGTCTGAGTAATTTGGAGGATGCTTGCTATCGTAAAAGCTAAGTTCGATAGCTGACAAATGCATCGATATTCCAAGATTGGTTCTGCCTCCTCTCGGCCCGCTCAAGTGCCACGACTAATGGCATGGCCAAATAGCTCGCTACGGTGATGCGCACTGGTACATTTGGCCGAAGGATGAACTATAGTTGTGCGGTATGAAGCTCGTACAAATTCAGACCAAAGCACCTCTTCTTGCACGAGATCATATGTATTCTCGAGAACAACAGTTCTTCGCTTGCTAAGCCACGATCACTCGATATTTTGGTTAGAGGCAGATAGTCCGAACCTACTCATCAACCGCGCGGACATCATGATCTAGGCGAACTTGACGCCTGGCTTTTGGATTATAAAGGATAGACAGAACGAGGGAACTTCGTTCCACGATTGGACCACAATCAGGGCGCTTTAAAGATTAAATCCCGATCTTGTCCTCTTACTATTTTCCTCGATATTAGATGTCAGAAGCCTTCTATGATGATAGCAACTCCAGTTGCAGTACAACCCTTTTATCGTTGTATATCTCTGGAAATTCCGTAGACCGACTGGGCAGCTCCATGCCAACATCCCGAAAGGGAAATGCCGATAAGATACGAGATTATTGGCGTGACGCGCTAATTTCGCCTTTTCAAACCTTCCACCGCGAAACCCGACCCCCTCTCCCTCGCGTTCTTGCTCCATATCTTTTTGACGCTCCAAAAGCACGGGCTCAAACAAGTCTTTTTTTCAGGAGCCGTTTTCGATTCGAAATCCCCCAAAATGCCGTCGATTCCCCTCCACCCTCGCGCGTCCAATTCGCCCACACGCGTAAACAACCCTCTTCCCCAGCTTCTGCAAACCCCCTCCGGCCTCGCTCTCCTCGAACTCCAAGGCACAATCAATATCCCTTCGCAAGACAACGGCGATAGCAACCAGTCTACAATATCATCGCCCGATGGCCCTCACGATCCTAATGCTGCTCCCGTGTTCGAGACGCCAATCGGCAAACTCATGTTCCCGGACTACTCGCCACAGTTCACGACACCAGACGACACGAAATGGATGAAGAGAGTCTATTTGTACGTTGGACGATACCAGCGAATGACTGGGGAGGTGAAGAAACTACCACAGCCACTTGCCCTTGTGCAGCGGAGGCAGAAGGAATCAAGCGCTGCTGACGACAGCGAGGATTTGGAGATCGTCGAGGTCGTAAAGTACAAGATCTTCTTCAAGAGCAGGCCGGAGCCTGTCAATGACATTTGAGGGAAAGTCGATTGCGAATCGAAGCCCGAAGATTGGAGGTTCCTTGGCAGTTTGCGCTGCACAAACCGGTTATGGGCATTGGACTGGATTCAGAAATCTGTCGGTTGAGATTCGGACTCCTAATCTGCCCGCGCTGGTCCGATCATGGAGGCAACCATGGTTCTTATCAAATTTTCAGCGCCGATCGTGGGATTTCGAGTCATACCGGTGTCAATGGCTGAACTTTGTGCCCGGTTTATTCACAGGCGGTGGTGGGAGTTGATCTCGCATACAAGCTTGATATATAGATCGACCACAACATGCTGTTGATCAGAGAGATCGAGGCAATTAGCCGTCGCCCAATAAGGTCAGCAAGGAAGGGTTTGAAATCCGGAACTCAACGAACTGAATGGTCTTTCTGAGGCAGGAAGGAAGGCATGAGGTTAACTCTTACGGAGCCTTGGGACTATTTATTGTGCTCGGTCTGAGATTCTGATCCGGTTTCGACAACCTTGTATGAGCGATACACGCCAGCTTCACTCAACTATCTCATCATGGTTATCCTGGAGCAGCTGAAAGAAGACATCTTCCCTTCCAAGTTAGGCCCAGAGTATGTGGGCTTTGATCACATCGCTTGGTACGTTGGCAACGCCAAACAGGCGGCGAGCTACTATGTCACACGCATGGGATTCGAACAGGTCGCATACCGAGGCCCTGAGACCGGCTCTCAAAACATAGTGTCCTACGTGGTCTCTAACAATGCCACCTCCTTTGTTCTCACCTCGCCTGTCCGCGCTCTAACCCAGACGGAACGAGACGATCTTCCCGAAGATGAGAGACGCGCCTTGGCGGAGATTCATGACCACCTGGCCAAACACGGGGATGGGGTCAAGGATGTGGCATTCCAGATTGAAGGCGACGTGGAGAGCGTCTGGAAGAGAGCAGTTGATCACGGTGCTTCCTCGATTACCCCTCCTCATATACAGCACGATGGTGAGAAAGGTGCCCTCGCCCTGGCCACGATCGGGACTTACGGAGACACTGTGCATTCCCTGATTAATCGTCAGCGGTACTCGGGCCCGTTTCTGCCCGGTTACAAGGCATTAACAGATCGAGATCCCCTCAATCAGCAACTGCCAAAGATCGGATTCATCGAGATCGACCACTGCGTTGGCAATCAGCCGTGGAACGGTGTTGATCCAGCCGTTCAATAGTACGCAGCTCTTCTGTGTTTCGTCGGTCAAGGCTAAGCATACTGGCAGCTACGAAGACTGTCTCGACTTCCACCGATATTGGACCGTGGACGATGCCGGCATGTGTGGTGAATATTCAGCCATGCGGTCTGTTGTCGTCGCCTCGCCTAACGAAGTAATCAAAATGCCTCTGAACGAGCCAGCTCAGGGGAAAAGGCAGTCACAGATCGAGGAGTACGCGTGCCCATTAGCCGGGAATTGACCACAGGGCAGGGCTTACAACCTGATAGATTCGTTGAATTTTACAACGGCGCTGGTGTCCAGCACATCGCCTTCCGGACCCATGATATTATCACGGCCGTCACCCGACTGAAGGAACGCGGCGTGGCATTCCTTCGCGTGCCGGATGAGTACTACGACGATCTGCGACGGAGACTCTCTGACAGTGGACCCGAACTAAACGAAGATATCGACACGCTGCAGAGACTGCATATCCTGGTTGACTTTGACGAAAAGGGATACCTGCTCCAGATCTTCACGAAGCACGTCGTGGACTCGCCGACGATGTTTATCGAGGTGATCCAACGCAACAACTTTGGTGGGTTTGGCGCGGGCAACTTCAAGTGTCTCTTTGAGGCGTATGAGCGCGAGCAAGCGCTCCGGCGGAATTGGTAGTCGAGCAGACGAGCAGCCGATGGTCCACGATTCCGCCCTTCAACTTCCCGAGAAAAGTTATACCCGGGCGGAATTGGCACGAGGAAATATTCCGCTTGTCATCCTGCAGATTAGATGCATGCATACCTTCTACTTAGTACACTACGGACAAACAGATCAATGCGAATCTCATTCACAGAACTCATACCTCCCTTCTGAATCAATCAATCAATCGATCGATCATACAACCAATCTCACCCCAAAGAATCCAATAAACCACTCTACCCAGTATCCCCACAGTAGTATGTACTCCGTAATATCCCCACCCGCACCACATCCGAGGGAACCCATCCATCCATCCATCCATCCCTCATCCGACATCCGTCGGAACCCGAGCTCCATACAGAGAGCACACCTTCCTTCCCTACAGTTGATCCCAACACACTCCCCCTTGTTCTCCAACAACAATTCCTCCAATCCCTCTACCCACACTCTACACACATTACTACTTACTTTCCCACGGACTAACAATCTCACGTCATTCCCTCCCCCAACCCCGCAATCCTCCCCATCACTTCACCCACAAGCATTGACATAAATCCCTCCCTCTCTCCCCGTCCACCTTCTCAACCCAATGCTCCGCACCTTCTCAACCCTCCCCCGAAAAATGGCCCCTATCGAACGCATCACTCTATTCAAAATCCCCAATGAGGCGGATCGCGATCGCGTTTTAGATCAGTATAAGGTTTTGGCGAAAACTGCTGTTAAAGTACCCTCTCCCCCCTTACCCATCCCCCCGCCTACCTTCCCCCACATGCAACAAACTTGGATGCCAAACCATACTCACAAATGGGCCCAGGACGGAAAACCCTACATCCTCAACACAGCAGCAGGGGCATCATTCCCCGATGAGCGAAACCAGGGATTCAATCTTTCGGTGAAGACGACGTTTGCGAGTCTAGAGGATATGGTGTATTATGATGAGCAGTGTGAGGCGCATAAGGCGCTTAAGGCGGTTGTGGGGCCGGTGAGGACGGATAAGTTGACGACGTTTTTTGAGAGTGTGGTTTAGGTTTTTTATTTCTCATTCATTTTGTGTCTTTGTTAGGGGGGAGGTTGTGGATGTGGATGTGGATGTGGATGTGGATGGGGTGTGGTTCTCTTCTTGTGATTTATATTCTACGTGGAGAAATTGATTGTGGTGATTATTTTGATGAATGATGGTATTAAGTGACAGGATGGATGGGTCTAATTGTGATTTGGCTTTTTGGTAAGGTCTATTCATCATGGTATACAAAGTAACTTGGTATACACGACATGCATGCTATTTCGCATATAGAAGAATATCACAGCACGAGGGAGAAACCAGGATCATGCCCGGCTCGCTGCAGAAAAACATAATACAATTAACAACATAGTCCTCGCCATGAGCCTTGGTCGAAATACAATTACCCAACAAGGCCCCTCGTGCCAGCCGCTTAAATGTACAGACAAGTTAAATCATCGACGATCCGGACGAGGAAAGAAAGCAGCAAGCAGCGAAGCCAGGCAACACCCGCTAAACTCAGGTTAGAATATATCTACATCCAGCTCAGTTGAGAGCCTTGCGGAGATCGCTCCATTTCATTTTCAGGTTCTCGTGTTCGTCGTGAATCTGCGCTTGTCAGACGGATCCTCCTGAAGGGACTGGTGACACTTACCTCGGCCCATTGCATCTTTGCCTCGACCAGCTCCTTCTCCATCTCCGCCATCTGTTCCACCATTGACCGGTTCTCATTCTGAACCTCGACGTTGCGCTGCATGATGCGTTCCATCTCCGTCCGCAGCTTCTCTTCCACCTCCGCCGGTTGCTTGTCCACAACGTTCTTCAGTTCCTTGACCTGCAGCTTCATCGCATCGTTGATGTCCATCAGTTCCTCATTCTCCACCTTGACGTGCACCAATTCGGATGCAAGCTGCACATGCTCTTTGTCAGACGCCTCGGCTTGCTCCTCCAGCAGTCGAATCCGGGCACTCTGGGAGGCAACCGTGTGGCGAAGGTGTTCGAGCTCCTGTTCGCGCTCCTTTTCAGCTCGCTCTTTCTCCTCCCATTCCACCGTGTAGGCACGGATCGTCTCAGGCTCGAGCGGGATGGCACAAGCGTCCTGGACCATAATGTCGGCCCGGTAGACTTCCTTGTCCGCAGCCCCTGAGCTCCCAAAGAAACCAGACTCCAAGATAGACGACGCAGAGGGTGCTTTATCAATGTACACGTCAAATAAGCGCTCCTTCAAAAAGGTCGTCAACGGCGCCATGTCCTTCATACCCAGCAGCGTGTCCGCATTCCTGCGCATGATAGCCAGGGCAAACTTCAAGATGGTGTTCTCAAGGCCTTCCTCAAAGATGAGATCGTAGACGCGGAGAACCAGCTGAAGAGGGAATCGGTAGGCGAAAAGAGTCAGGAACCATTGAGTGGCGTACAACTGTGGCGGCACTCCGCGCCGCCGAAGATGACAATAGAGAGCCGGCTCCACGTCCTCCAGCAGACGTTCGAATAGATATAAGCTACGGTGGAGACCTGGCATATCGTGGATGAACAGCTCCCGCAGCCCGTACTGGTTCATGAGCTTGACGAGGAGCGTGAATGCTTCGGCCTCGTCCATCTAATGTGAGATCGGCATCAGTGATAATGTTCTCGACATTCTCGTGAATGGGTCAGGTCCTTACATTGAATAGCAATGGCATAACAATGAAGTTCATTCCCTGAGCATACCCCACCGCCTCATCGTAGAGGGCGTATGCCTTGCAGAGTCCGAACAGCCCTTCCTGGTTACCTTGTGACACGAAGTAACGTGAATAACTCGTGCGGGCACCGAGATCACGACGGATAGTCTTTTCCAACTTCAGAAGCGCGGCCGCGTCCTCCTTGGCTTTCTTCTTGCGAGCTGTTTCATTCCCGGCCTGCTCCTTAGCCAGCTTCTCGGGGTCCACCTCGTGAGAAGGGCTTGGTGAGCCATTGAGAGAACGGGCCAGCGATGCAGAACGTTCCGAGCGAACGGATGAGCGGGAGGAAGAAGCTGCGGAGTCCTTGTCTCCAGCGCCATTGATGGTACCATTGGGGGTACGCTGCCTTTCCTTATCTGTGCCACGGGCAACAAGCTCCCGGTAAACTTCCTCGAGCTCGGGGTTTCGGCTGTCAGCCAGGACCTGCCAGATCACTCCCCGGATAGTCTGCGGGATCCCTCGTTTGATAGCGGCGTTCAAATCATTCGAGTTTGCTCCCTTCAGCGCTTGAGCGCCATTGTTGACCAGTTGCTGCCAGAGCTCCCAGTCCACCGGTGCAGACGCATCGGTTGCAGAGGTTGAAATCCCAGCAACGGTGCCCGGAGCAAGGTTGGGATTGACGGTCGCTGCTCCACTGGGCGGCGACGTCGCGACTGCGATGCCATTCTCTCCTTCTTCCGGGATGCTGGGTGGAGGGCTTCCGGCGGGCTGGCTGATGCTTGCACGTCCCGATGCAACGCTTACTTCGTCGTAATCCGACGCTAGCCCTTCCTCCCGCATCCTCAGCTGTTTGAACTGGTCCTTCAGACTACTGCGTCTAGGCCTCCGATCCGCGTCTTCCCCATTGTGGTGTCGACCCGCCAAATCCGCATTGCTCGATATCGTTGAGATGGACGCAGCCGTGTTCCGACGTGGTTGTGCTGGCGGGGACTTGGTGTCTTTTCCACCCGACGAGCTTCGGGAAAGCCACGCGAATGGGCTGGTAAATGATCGAGTAGGCGGAGGAGGCGGCGCAACAGGAGCTGGGTCCTTTGCGGGAGGAGCATTGCCAGATACTCCCTGGGACGACGTGGAATCTCTCGAAGGTAGTGGAGGGGCGCCAGCTTTGAGCTCCTGGCTCAAATGCTGGTTCTCGATCGATTCGTCATCCTTGTTGCTGCTGGCAAGATTGACGTCGTCGAGAGAGGTTGTGGATAGTCGATGTGCGGTCAAAAGAGGGGATTTCTGCAGCTTTTGTTTGGGAGGGGTATCCTCCGCTTCCGATTGTGCGCCTACGCTATCATCATCGGTGTCTTCGGCCGTCTCGTGATCCTCGTGAGAAGGCGTGGGTAGCGGGGGAGCTTCCGTCAATTGAGGTGTCGCTACATTCGATCCGCTGGGAGGGCTGTCTGTCAAAGACCGGGTGGAAGAGCTCTGAGGGATGGAAACACTCAGCCTGCCGTGCAGGTTCGGGGATTCGGGGGCATCATCGAAGGAATCCTGATGCGATGAGGTGGTGAGTTTTTCTTCATGGCCGCCGTGTGAAAATCGGAAGAGCTTACTCCTTCGTAGTCTCCGCTGTTCCGTGTGGAAGACATGTTGGAACCCGACCACCTGGGAGGGCGCCAACTATGAGAAACCAGCTGGTTTCTTCAATCCAAGTTCCGATCCGCACAAGCGAGGCGGAAGAAACGAAGTTCGGGATGGTGGACGAAGACAGACCAACAATTATTCCATTGTAGGGAAAGAGGAGGACAAAGGAGAGCGGGTGTGTTGAGCGGAAGCCGCAGGCCGTCGTTCAATAGGCGAAATATGGAGGAGGAAGGGGGGAGGTTGGATACGATGGGATGGATGGAATGGACCCAGAGCCAGCGGGTGGAATTCCGGACTGTACCACGGGACTGGCAGGGGAGATGCCCGCAATGGATCTAGAAGAATGAATAATGGGAAGATGGTATCTCCTTTTCCCGTCAGCAGCATGAACCCCAAGCAGTAGCAGCAGCAGTAGCAACAACAACAACAACAAGGAGGAGAGTTGACGGTTGCTGAAGAGACTAACAGTAGTACGGAGAAACAGAGACACACTAAAGCGATCCCCTGGCAAGCAGCTGGAAGAAGAGCTTGGCGAATGAGCGAGGCCCGACCCCGTGATTTTGGATGTTGCCTTCCCCCTTAACTAACGCGACTGGCAGGTGCTTACTAGCCCGACTACTTCCTTAGCCTCTTAGCTATCACCTTAGTGTTGGTGTTAGACTACAACCTGCTGGGGGGGCTCGGTTGGATGGCGAGGCAGGCAGGTTGGCTGGCAGGCGGTTAAGTGACGCTTCTTTCTTCGTCAGCCCTTCAGGTTATTTTGGGGTCGGAAGAATAATGATTAGTTCCTGCCAGACGAACTATTCGGGGGGATTCTTCCTGGCCATTCACTTCCAATTCCCCCGAGTCGGCAAACATTCCCGTGACCCCCTGTTATTCTGAAACTCACCAACAAAATCCATCCCGATGGTTGGTCCCACTACGGAGTACTACGAGTCCACGACAGTAGATAGACAGTTGGAGCCATCAACTTGCCATGTCCACCACCCGCAGCAGCATGGCACAAGAAAAAGCAAACAACAAAACAAGATCGGACAATCTTTCAAAACAAGCAAAAATCTCCCCGCAGATGGCGCCCATAGATTACTATACATATCCATAGGCAAGGGATGATCGTCTCAGCGCCCGAGCGACTGTTCAAAATCCAGCCACCGTTGAAGTCGCAGCGGGTCCAGCTTCTTCAATTCCGCCAGCCAGTCCATCACCTTCGTCTTCGATTCCCCACTGGGCGCGCTTCCTTCTACCCTCCACGCCAACATAGTACAATCGATCAGTGCTTGGTAGATGTATTTGCAATCTTCCGCCCCATCCAGCATTTCCTGAATCTCGTCGATTTCGTGTCGGAGATAATCCAAACGCTCCGCATCACTCAACTTCGGTGCCAGCGTCTGATCCGCTACCGATGGATCGAAGGTGCACATCAGGTTTTGGTGATAGAACCACAATGACTGGTCATACGGGTCGCACAGGGCACGATGGATCAAGTCCAGTTCTGCCAATATGATATGTCAACACGCATACTCGTACGCTGTCTCCACGCCACGCAGAGACCAAAGAGTGACGTACCATCATCGAGCATTTTCTTTCGTTCCTCATCACTAGCCGCGTTCTCGGACAACAAGCGCTGGATGAGCTTCGTACGATAGTGCCAGGCCGAAAAGTTGGAGAGATTAGCGCCGATCATCTTCTTTGCATATTCAAACTCTGTTTGGGTCATCTGCTTCCCTTCCTGCTCCTCCGACTTGAGCTCTCGTAGCGTCTCCACGACAAAGTGTCTGTAACCCCAACCATGAAAGTTCCTGCTGTCTAAACTAAGCATCTTCCCTACCAGGGCCAGTTCTTCCTGCCAGAATTTCTGCGCAACAGGTACTGGGAGCAGACGCTTGGCTTCATCCAGAAGCCAGGTACGGTAGTTCCATATCCAGTAGCACTTGGGATAGCTACGCAAAAGGGGAACCAAGAACAGTAAATCATTCTTGATCAGAGTGGAAATCTGGGCAGTAGCAGTTTCACCTGAGCCATCTGATGCGGCTCGCGAAAACTCACTTCGCAAAACCTGGCGTCGATAATTCCACACGGTGTAGTATTCCGGGTTGCTGGTCAGTAATTCGCTTATTTTTTGTAGAATTTCTGGTGTATATTGGTGTTCAGCGATCTTATCACTATGGTTAGCCAACATGTGTGATAGACTGATTACATACATAGCATACCTTTTCACGGACCGACTGGTCGAGTTCGCGATATTTCTCGATCTTATGAAGCTCTTTTTGACGACCCTCTTCGGTCCGCTCCGCTTGGAGCGAGTAGCGGGGAATCCCATGCTGCCTAGCGGTCAGTGAAGGAGTGCAAAAGTCTAAGGGAAGGATCTCATTACGGCAGCCATGCCAATGATATCTTGAATGTGAGCGTGAGAAGTGGACACTGGACAATGGGCTCACAGAGTCAGGGGAGGAGGAGGGACTTATCGATAAGCCGGCCGAGTTGAAGCGGTTGCCTGAACGGGGAAGCCGCAGCCACCTTCCCAATCTAGACTAGTCACGTGCTGTATACTTCCCCGGTCATCGCGACACGGATCGCCCACTCTTCGGTTCCCATCTTCCAGGCATCCATTGGCCATGTTACCGACTATTGTGTTATCTCTAAAGCATGGCCGTGCATCGATAAGATTCACATGTTCATTCTTTCTATCAACAGACACATCTACACGCTGACATACACTAATACATTCGAGTAGTGACCGGTTGTCGGTCTACTAGGGGGTGAAGGCCGGTGGGCAATGGGTTGCACAGCAATAAAGTCAATGGAAAGCTCTATTCTAGAAGATGCAAATGTCTTTCCAGATCCTCCTTCCTTCAAGTCACTCATCCGAATAGGCAAATCGGTGACATCCACATACCCCACTGCCAACCCTCTATCACACCTAGCGCCTGTCACTCATTCCAAACTTAACCTACACACTCCTTCTGCAGGAAAAACAAAGGACAAGAACAATGACGACAAACATGTCCCTCAATCGCCGCGCAGGACAGCCAGAAGCTTCGAGTCAATCAGTGATGCAAATCATCCACCGGCAACAAACCACGCCCGTCTTGACTCTTTAGCGCCAGTCAGAAGAAGCTATAAGAGAATCAGAAACCCTATCATCTTCAGCACTCCTGACACCGAGCTGAAGGGCCCAATCTTGCCAGATAGGTTCATACCCAGGCGAGAATCCAACAGCAACGCATCAACGCCCTTCCGGATAGGGAGGAGCCCCCGAGAATTATCTCCGGAAGAGAAAATCCTACGTCAGCGCTCGCCGAAAGAGGACCCATTTATGCCCACGCGCTTTCGGAGATATGGAAGCGCCCCGAGGATAACATCAGACCGTATATGCAGTACTCACTACGGCCCTCACCTGGTCATCGACCCAGCCGTTACGGGCAGCGATTTTCCCCGTGGTTCAAGAGATGTCTCTCGGCAGGTCAGTCATGGGGCAGTTTGGAACGTGGGAGGAACATCGGCTGCGTTAGGCCGACGGTCAATGGCGACTCCCAATGGTTCGGGCGGACAGTTTGCGAGTGGAACGACTGCTCCGATGTTTGCCGCCAAGTTTCTGCCCCAAATTGCTTCGACTGAGGAGCGTGAGAAACACAAGTCCAGGGTGGCGCTCGCCTTGAACATTGACCCAGCAAGGAGACTGCTGAAAAACTGCAAGCTTTGGCCTCTGCTTGAGTCCTTGCCGAGCCCGTCTTCTCCAGACTACGAGCGATTCGCCCCCTTTGTTTGGAAAGATAATGCCTGGAAGCGAGCCGAAAAGCATCAGTGTAAGTGTATGCTCCTTGAGCAGGCTTGGTTCGTAGCCTATGAGCCCTTTGTTATGCAGGAGGTAGAAGGTCCTATCGTTTCGTTGGAGATATACATCGTGTCTTTCTCACATATGCTTTATTCCCTCGACTAGTAAGGCTACTCACGAGCACCCCCATTTGTCCTCCTCAATATTTCGGGTGTCTTACAGTATATGGGATCGTCAATGACAACTGCTGAAAATATTCATAGGGATGGTTGTGTCGAAAGAGGATGAGAGAGTAGTCCCGAACCGTCCATTCCGCATTCTCGACGCCCCCCTACTCCGGGACGACTTCTATTGTTCGACACTTGCATACTCCTCCATTTCTGGCGTGCTTGCTGTGGGTCTCGGCCACCGTGTTTACTTGTGGTCTGAGGATTGGGGTGTACAACATCCACCTCTTAGCGATCAACATCCCTCAAACTATGTGACATCACTAGCATTTTCCTCTGAGAATGGCAGAAAAAGCATTCTGGCCGTTGGAAGGCAGTCTGGCATGTTATGTCTCTGGAGCACGTTGGAGCCCGAGGTACGATTCGAAATCAGCCACCCTGATTCCATCACTTGCCTGGCGTTCAGACAGACCAAGTCTCGGAGACTATCGGAGAGACTCCGCAACGTCGAGGTGGACGTCGAAGATCTCGCCGTAGGTGATGATCTTGGTAATATATGGTACTACTCCGTGGAATGGCCCGATGGTGAAGACGCGGATCAATACGACTGGCATGGAGCCATGATCTTACTCGCCAAGATCTCAGCACACACGCAGCAGATCTGTGGCATTGCATGGTCCCCGGACGGATCCTATCTTGCAACTGGAGGAAATGACAATTGCTGCTTGCTATTCGACCTTCATGATATTCTGCCTCCACGGGAATACAAGCTTTCATCCCAGGGCTGTCCGTCGCATCAATCGCATCAGTCAGAGGGGACAGAGTGTACAAGCACGTTTTCCTGTTTTGCCGCGAGTGCTAGCAAACGGCTTTTCCGACGACGCAGCCTCATCAGTCATCTTCTCCCACCCTGGGCGTTTTCCTGCGCAAAGCCACTGTCATCCGCTCTTCTCAACCATACTGGGTCGCTGATCACTGGGGGTGATCGAACAGTGTTGGTCCCATCCAACCGGCAAAGGCATCGGCTACCCCATGGCGCTGCAGTCAAGGCGATTGCATTTGCCCCTTGGCAACCGTCTCTCTTGGCTACCGGCGGAGGATCAAACGACCGAGCCATTCATTTCTACCATGCCCCGACCGGCGCGTGTCTGGCCACGATCAATGTATATGCCCAGGTGACCAGCCTGATTTGGAGCCGAACTCGGCGGGAAATCGTGGCTACATTTGGATTCGCACAGCCCGAGCATCCGTTCCGCATCGCAGTGTTTGCCTGGCCGAGCTGTGCGCAAATCGCCGCGATTCCCTGGGGACCGCATGGCAGCAGCTGGGACAGCCCTGAGAATGACCTGCTGGTTGACTGCGGGCGTGCGCTTTGCGCCGTGAGCTATCCCGGCCGCCCCCATGACAGCGAAGACCGAAGCGCGGATCGCGAAGATCAGTCCTCTACATCCGGGGTGATGCACGACCGATTAGCCGGACCGGGTCGGAGTGAGCCCAGTCGACGAAGTGCCGGTCGAGCAGTTGTACAGCCCCGAGCCAAAGAAGGGGGTCTCTGGTGTTCTCGCACGGTACAAGAAGGGTGCATCATCGTGGCTTCCAGCGATCAAAGCGTCAAGTTTCATGAGGTGTGGAGCGGGCCCAAGCGAGGCACGGCTGTTGTGGCCGGGCCCCTGGGAGGCAGTGGGATTCTTGAGGGGCTGGAGGGGCTGGAGATCCTCGGGGACGAGATCATTCGTTGATAGAAGCAGGGGCACCCATCGTTACTATTGATTAGCCCGCCGAAATGGCTCCAGTATCATTATGGTGCCAGGGTACGATGTACATCCTGTCTGTATTGTTATGCTTCGGTGAGAGTTGAACCTACCTAATACTAATAGACTGGACCACGGCGCCGATCATTTTCGGATCGGGGTTCGTGCATCAATAGCGCGTCTTGCCTGACTCAAGCTTCGATCGTCCGGATCGTGCCCTCCGAGGCTGAAGAATGGCCCAGTTACACAGTGGTGCGTACTGCGTAGACAGAGGATTGTCCTAGTCAAAGGTCTGCAGAAATTGTAGTCGTCTGTCCTGCCCTCCTTTCACCACAGAACCCATACTGTGAACTACCCTTACTTTATATACCAATTGACTTCTACAACGTCATCAACGTAACCATGGTCTTCCTCCCTGCCTTGTTCACCACCGTCCTTGCGGCTACCACCGCCGCCGCCGCATCAACCAACACCACGACCACCACCTTCCCTAGCACCCTCAACATCACCACCATTACCGCACACAACAACCAATCCGCCCTGGAATGCTGGTCCCTGGACCCAGGCTATGCTACCTCCTCCCAAGCCGGCGTCTCCGGCACTGCCATGCTCTCCCTCGGCCCTGTCACCGGCAACGCAACCAACATTCTCATCCCGGAGGCTTATGATGGTGGTCGGCATAATGCTCCGACGATTCAGTACGTCCATCCCATCCCATCCCACTATATTGTACATCTCGATCATCGTTGTGCGCATGCATGCACATCCACATCCGCCTAAGATATAATAAAGTATAGTAGAGCATGCTAACCAAATGAAAAAAAAAAGATGGGTGTTATTCCTCTCTGGAGTGGCTCATATCACTTTACCCAATTCGACGGATGAGGCGTGGGTGGTGGGCGGCCGGAACGGAGCTATTCTGGCGTTGGATACGGAGGAGGTGAGTGCGTTGGGCCATTCCACGGTGTATCCGACGCAGGAGAGTACGGTTGCTTTGGAGGTGCCATTGGAGAAGGTCCCGGGGCATAGGGTGTTGCATAAGGGGGCTTGTGTGGTGGGGGAGATTAGTGGTTAGGTGCTATATATACATCATCTTAGTAGTTAGTAGTATAGTATAGTATATATTGTTGATGTAATGGTTAGGATTTTGGGGGATAGGAGATACTATATTTATAGAAGGGTTAGGTACTAGGACGGTGGTGTCAGAAGAAATGATATGAATCATATATATGTAGTTCATACTCCTCCCCTTCTTCAATCCTTCACCCCCCCCCCCCGCGGTCTAACAATGCACCCAGTAATAGTAATAATGTAATGTAATCGAACAAGAAGATAATAGATCAATAGATAGATAAAATAAACCAACGAAAACAAACACAAAATTCCTATCCTTTCATTCCCTTCCTTCCGCTCTCTCTGACTTTTGGTGGGAGGAAAAACAAATCACGACCATCATCCGGGGACACACAGTGCTGATGAACAGGGTATAGTAAGATCTAAAGGGGAGGTCGGGTCATCATTCGGCGGTTCCTTCTGGCTTCTATTTTCTGCCCTTGTTCTTGCCTTTGCCGCGCCCTCCGCCGCTCAGTCGCGCCTTCTTGGACGGTGGCGGCTTGGATGTCGCCAGCGCTTCCTCGTCCGACTCCTCGTCTTCCGTGTCCGCAATGAAATCTACCATTGATCCGGCACTCTCTGCGTCATCGTCGTCCTCGTCCTCGTCTTCCTCCAGAGACTCCTCCGCGTCGGATGAGCCCGCGGATTCCTCGGCCTCCACGTCCAGGATGTTCTCATCCTCCTCCTCTTCCTCTTCGCTGCCTTCTTCATCGTCCTCGGACTCGTCGCCGGACTGAACGCCGTTCAGCATAGACTCCTCTTCATCGAACGCGTGGTCGCGTATCGACTTGGTCCGCGGGGTGATCGGGTTTTTGGCATCGGCGTCGCTTTCCTCGTCTTCGTCCTCCTCCTGGCCCTCCACGTAGATGATGTTGTCTTCGTCTTCGCTCTCCATGGCTTCTTCTCCGCTGCGGATCGACCGCCGCAATCCAAGCTGTGCGTCCAGCATGTCCAGCTTACCCTTGAGCAGCAGCAGCGAAGGCAGGCTGGAGGAGCGCTGGTCCATGACCTTGAAAAGGGTAGACATCCGCTTCAGCAGCTCAGGCTTGCCGGCGAGAGCTCCTCCGTGTGCGACGCAGGTCCACTGCACCCACACGAGGAGGTGGCCGTACCGACCGGGGCGAGCCGAGAGGCGCTCGGCGAGTTTCTGGAGGAGGGTCGCTGCGAGGGAAGAGTCCAGACGCTGGATGGTGGAGCGGATGATGGAAAGTTCGCCGGTGTGGAAGCAGGACTCGAGCATGGCGTTGTCGTTGGTCTTAAGGGATTGGGAGAGAACGGTGGAAAGCGACACCCCCGAGGGGATCTGCTGCACTGCAGCGCTGGGTTTGCCGGGAACAAGCGATCCCATATGAACATCGTCTTCAAGCTCAGCCTCAACATCAACTTCCTGGTTAGCGCGCATGAGCTCTCCGAAAGAAGGCTCGCCCGTCTCTTCCTCTTCCTCCTCGTCCGAGCCGGAATCTTGTGCACTGCCCATCTCAACATCACTGTCGGCGTCCGCCTTCTTCTGCAGCTGCTTTGATTCGTTTGTTGTGGTGAGTTCTGCGTCATCGTCGTCCGACTCTTCGTCGCTGTCAGCTACGGAAGCAGCATCCTTGGAGTCTTGCATCTCGATATCATCCTCGATAATATTTCCCTGTTCCACCACAGCTTTGGACTCGTCGACCTGGTTCTCGTTGGCGTTTCTCGCTCCGTTCAATGTCACCGATCCCAGCACTGAGCCAGACTTGGTCTTCGCGATCTTCTTAGTACCCGTGAACAGCAGCTCGTCGGTTTCTTCGTTCAGCCACTTGATCCGCTCGAAGACAGGGACAACACCGCCCTCCGCCCATGCAACGACCAGGTCCGGGCCTTGGAACGAAGCTGCTACCATCGAGACGAGGGCGTCGGATGTTGCGGACACGGTGACTTTGATGAGGGAATCGGCTCTCCGGGTGGCTTGCTTCGATCTGGCCTTTAGGCTAGCGGCGCCCTTGGCAGTGGTCTGGTCGTTGGGTAGGACGAATGGCCGAGTGAAGAGTTCAATGGTGCCGTCCTCGGTGACTGCGGCGACGACCTGCTTCTCTGCCGGCAGAGTAGTGCCTTTCCGTTCCGCACCAGTGTACAGAGACACCGATGACACCCCATTCTCGGCCACAAGGTTCATGGCGAGTTTCCGTTTCTGGACATCGAAGACCGTGATGTAACGGTCGCCATCCGAAGCAAGGAATAGTCCCGTACCGGCGGACTCGGTGGAAGAGGTGATGATGTTCTGGATAGGGTTCCGCATCGCGTCGAAGGTGATCGGGGCTTCATCTTTCTCCACACTAACGACGTACGGGGTCTGAGAGGCGCAGATGACAGGCGGGTTTGAGGGAAGGGGGCGCGCAAGAGTGCTGAACGTCGAAGTGGTGGGCAGGTTGATTGTCCTAAATGGCTGTTAGGCAAATTGTGGGAGGCTTGTATCTGAGGTACTGGGGAAGAGCTACCTGGTCCTCTGTCCGGTGTACAGGTCCCACTGCACAAGCTTGTTATCCCCGCCAATACTCCAACCTTCCTGCCCCGATCGGCTAGAGGTAAACTTGAAGTCTCTGATACCTTTCTCATGTCCGTTCGCAAGCGTTCCAACGATCTTGTCCTCCACGGGCGAGTACATGCGGATCTCGGAAGCGCTTGTACCGAAGGCAACAACTACGTCTCCCTGGTCGAATCCATCGCCATTGACGTCGGAATGCCTCTTCCTCTTCTTCTTCGAGTGCTGATCACGGTTCTTGCCGCTGGGATAGTAGCCCCAGTCTAGTGAGGTGACAGTCTCCTTAGGACCCAAGGCATGCTCGCACTGTAACCGTCCGGTATTCGTATCGTGGATGCGGATATGTTGACCATCGAGACCCTGGATGACCGATGCGAAAAGCGCCAATTGGTATTCCGACGGAGCAAAGGAGGCCTTCAATATCGAAGACTTGTTCCCGGTATATGTGAGGCCGGATGCCGCGAGCGACGCAGCGGAGGAAGTTTTCGTAGCGGGCGCGCGAGACGCTTTCTTGCCCATTTTGAACTGACTGTATTGGCGGACGGGAGCAGGTGCAGAAGAATGTGTCGCAAAGCAGGCACCCAAATGTACAGAAATCCTAGCCCCGCTGCGGATAGGAACAAAACCTCGTGTGCTGGAAACCAGTTGAGCTGCAAACCGTCGGCGTCGATTGCTGGTGTTGCTGAGGAGGAAAAAAAAGTTCTGTAGAGATACGCTTGGCCCGTTGCGGTCTAGTCGGCTGTGAACCTTAGTTCCGCTCGGGGGCGTCTTATCTAATCCTCCGCGCTGGTGCTGTGAGTCTGTGACCCCCCCCCAAGGCCACTCGACTACAGTCTATTCACTACCTACTCCTTCTCCCACCACCCACTTTGACTCGATGATGCCGATGCCTTCCTTCACCATTGCAGGATCAATCGGCTTCGGATCAGAAACCTTTGCCTGTCGATGTTTTCATGATGGGTCGGTTTATCACTGTCTTCGCAGACTTGGCTGATCCACCTGTGGTTGACCCAGTTGCTGCTGCAGTCAATGGCTGCAATCCCTCCTACCTATACTTAACTCATGATTCTTTCACCGTCGTGGCACACCCAGGTCCTAAGCTCTTCCCTGACCACGTTGGCTAGTGGTGACACAGAACGCCAAATTTACCCAGCTTTAAAAAGCAGCCTCCTTCCACATGCCCCTACTGCAACTATAAAGTCACTCCTGATGTCTGCTTCCATGGATCCATCTAGCTTATCAATCCCTCGCTCCTCCTCACACTTGGGGGGACACACTGGGTACACTGGACAACCTGCGGAATGAATGACTCACTCATTTAGACACATCCTGCTACCTATGCAAGTACCCACGTCTTGATACACCGAAAGTTAGGGGTTATGGCTGAGACAAGACATATCCGAGATGATGGAGCACACTGGGGTAGGTTCCGATCGAGACCAACAGACCAGGAGTGCAGCAGGCGCCACAGTTACTCTACGGCTGCCTAGACGAGTCATCCAGTCAACCAAGGAATTATGTGAGGAAGGAGCTTGTCAACATCCATTGGAAATTCCGCATCCACCGCATTATCTATCATCACTGCTCCCTGTGAGTCATGCTTTGTTGCTACTCTATACGGAGCACCTTCACCACTACGGTATCCGGGCGCGAGTGTTGTCATTTGTCACTCGGATTCGGAATCGGAGATTGGAATGGCTGGTTACATCAGCACCCAGCCTAGTCCGAATCCGATGCAAGGGAGGGCTCAGGGCCTAACCCTGGGGTTTCATCAGGTCAGCAGACCACCACATCCTGGCTCGGCGTTCAGCCAGCAGGCTTCACCCCAAATCCATGATGCACTTCCTATACCGCTTGAATGCCTGACAGATTTTTGGGTATGTCACATCTGACCTGACTTGCCCAAGATATTATCATGATGCATCTGTTCGATAATGGGGCTCTGTGCCGATCGTCAGTTCCACAAGGTCTTGAGGTGGCATTTGCCTGCTCTGGCTGCACTTGAGCGCATCTTGTTATTTCCCAGGCTGAAGACCTTGAATTTTTTTTTTTTTTTTTTTTTACCTGGTGTTTTCGAGGATGTTTCCGACAAAGGGACTTCTGGTACGAAGGGTCCACCATCCAGGGTTGGTTGCAGCCAATAGGAATCCCAAACTCGTAGAACGCGTCATACTTCAGCCAATCAACAGCTGTGGAATGGCTTGAACTAGAATAATTGGGACTAGCGTGGCCGATGGAGTTAGCGGCAGAGGACGGACGGGCGCAACACGGCCGTTCGTACTTAAGGATTCTAGCACCCCCTCCGACTTTCTCAGTCTCTGTTTCTGGAGCTGAGCTGAAGCTGCGCGCCGGTCACGCTTTCCTTTACCCTGCCCTCCCCCGACCGCCCGTCCGCCCTTGTGCGTATGTCCTCGGCTACCCCTGGACTCGTCTTCTTCATATAAACACGCTATAAACGCGTCATTCGCGTCGCGCTCCATCCCAGCCACAGCTACTGCAGCTGCTTATTTTGTTCCATTTCTATTTTTTGCCGGGCCCCCGTCCCCCCTTTTTTTCTTCTAATATTATTAGCAACAACTCCATCGCTGCCGACCACACGGACTATTCCTGTACTTTCCTCCTCACCCCTCTCCTTCTCGGCATCACACCTTTTTGGCCTCAGGCAACCATCTGGCTTGGCACGTGCGATTTGCGGGTCGACAAACATCTGAGCTTCAACTGACATTCTCCTTCTCACGTCTTCACTCCTGCTCTTCCCCTTGTCCCTTTGATTTCTTCCGTCTGGCGACCCTGCCTCGCTTAGTCAACCAGCCGGGCACTTGCCGCTCACGTGATTGCTGGCCTCTTCCGCCCACCGCCTCTTGGCACTATAAATTCCTCCTTCCTGTCGCATTCTCCACCCCTCCGGCCCGCGCTAATCTTCATCCTTTCTTGTATCTTCTGCAACTTTCGTGGCGTCGCAGCATCTGTGGCCTGCGCAGGACATCCGCCTGCCCCTGTGTCTTCTGTCATCTAATCAGCTGTTTTCGCTCGCCAATTACCGAATCCATACATTAGTCTGTGTTAGCGCAGAGAGTACCTATTCAGTTGATTTGTGTTGCCGTGGCTCTTAAAACTCTCCGATAACAGAGCCCAGCTCCCGCACCAGAATCGCTACCTGTTAGATTCTTTGTATCCCGGTCCTGTCGGAGGACTCGATCCAAAATTCAGCCACCTCAAATGGCGACGCCGCCTCCCGAGGCTCCCTCTGCTCTCAAAGAGGAGAAGCCTCAACTGCCGCCGTCGCCCAATGGAGTTGCGCCTGCGGACGTCGGTCGCACAAGGTATGTTCTTGTTCTCTGTCGGTGTCTCCGACGCGTGGTCGCTAACGGTTCTCAGTGCGCCTGATGCTGTAGCCAATGCGAACCCCGACGTCTCCGTCAACGGCTCGGAGAAACCATCGGAGGACATGAAATCTGCTACGGCGAATGGGAATACTGCCGAGCAATCTTCAAACACAAATGGTCTCGCCGCGACTACTTCACCGCCCAAATCACCATCTCTTCCGACCGCCGATACTTCCGCGCAACCAGCCGTCGCGTCCGAAGAATCTAAATCTTCAAATGTGGACTCCGTTGCGACTGGGGATGTCAAGAAGGAAACAGCTAGTGATACCACGTCTTCCGCTGCACGGATCGATGGTAACGGGGCCGCTGGCGTTGGCTCCAAAGACACGCGGGCGCCTCAGGATGCATCAAAGCCATCAACTGATACGCCATCCGGCGCCAAAGTGGAGAGCATCACACAACCCTCCCGGGATTCCACTGCCGTGAAGACGGATCTACCGCACCATCCTTCAACCAGTGCGAAGCCCGATAGCACGACGCCCAAGGTTGGTACCAGTACTGCGCCTTCGGTGCCATCCTTGCAGTCTGTTGACCAGGAGATGCGTGACGCACCGGATGTCCCAGTCTCTCCCACCAAGTTTTCCCGGGAGCGCGAACCTGATCCGAGCGATGAGCGCGCTGCCAAGCGTACCAAGATTGGGGGGCAAGGTGCAGCGCCAGGCGAGTTCAAGATTCCTGATCTGCCTGCACCTGAACCACGTTATGAGAGGACGACCAATGGAGACTCGTCCATAACGAAGGTTCAACACAAGTTTCTCCTTAAATCCATTCTAAGCTTGAAGCGGATGCACGACTCTCGCTTTTATCGGGAGCCCGTGGATCCCATCAAATTGAACATTCCCCACTATCCGACGTTTATCAAACGTCCCATGGATCTCGGAACCATCGAGCGGAAACTGAAGAACAACTTGTATCGGACGGCGCAGGCTGTGATCGATGATTTCTATCTCATGGTCCAGAATTCTTTGACGTTTAACGGTCCCGACCATCTGGTTGCTATTGAGGGACAGAGACTCAAAGCCACGTTTGACAAACAGATGGTCAACCTGCCGAGGTCCGATGAGGTGGAGGATAAGAGGCCCAAGAAGCCACTCGCGAAACCCTCGACAATTCGTCGCGACCACCGGCCAGCTCCAAGCCCTGGCGTCGCGCGCGCCACTGCCGCTTCCCCCCAGGCTACCACTTTTGCTTTGGGACCGGAAGGCCTCCCTCTCATTCGTCGTGACTCGGCCAATGCGGATGGACGTCCGAAACGTTCTATCCACCCTCCCAAGCGTGATCTTCCGTACTCCACGAAACCAAAGAAGAAGAAGTATCAGTGGGAATTGAGATTTTGTCAGGAGGTACTGGATGAGCTTCATAAACCGAAGCATTATACTTACGCGATGCCTTTTTACTTCCCAGTCGATCCGGTGGCACTGAACATTCCTACATACCACAGCATCATCAAGAAGCCGATGGATTTCTCGACGGTCCAGACCAAGCTAAAGGCCGGTCAGTATGAAAATGCCAAGGAGTTCGAGCTGGACATGCGTCTCATCTTGAAAAACTGTTTCAAGTTTAACATCCCGGGCGACCCCACCTATGTGGCAGGCCAAAAGCTCGAGGAAGAATTCAATAAGAAGTGGTCCAAGAAGACACAGTATCTGGAGCAGCATGAGCCTCACGTCGAACATCACAGCGCGGAGTCGTCGGAAGAAGAGAGCGAGGAGGAGGCGGACGAAAGCGATTACGATGCGGAGAAGCTTAGTCTGCTGCAGAAGCAGATGGAGGAGATGTCTCGCCAGATCGAAGCGATCACCCAGAAGAAGAAGAAGACTCCTCCTGGAACCAAGAAGCTGGCTAAGTCCAAGCCCGGCAAGAAGGATATCAAGAAGCCTAGTTCTTTGGGATTAGGCAAAAAGGACAAGAAGAGCAGCAGCAGCGGAGCCAAGGTGTCATCGAAACCGGAGAAGCAGCATTGGGTTAGCTATCACGAGAAGCAGATAATCTCCAACGGGATCAGTAGTCTTCCGGACAAGAAGATGCAGGAAGCGCTGAAGATCATACAGACCAATGTCCCGTCCCTGAAGGTATGTTCTGTGTTCTGATTTATTCCGGCAGAGAGTCTAATCAATTATCAGGGCACCCAAGAGGCTGAGATCGAACTTGACATCGATGAGCTTCCCAATGATGTTCTGCTTATGCTTCTCCGATTCGTGAAGAAGAACGCGCCGCATGTTGTAGAAGAGGATCCTGCCGCCGTGGCTGCAGCGAACGCGGCCGCCCCGAAGCCCAAGAAGAACAAACCCATGAGCAAATACGAGCAGGAAGCGCAAATCAACATGCTTGAGAGCAACCTGTCTCGGTTCCAGGGCGGCGGCGGCGGCCGTTCGCCCGACCCTGTCCCATCCGTCGAAGCCAATGAGAGTAGCGATGATTCCGAAGATGACTCGGAGGAAAGTGAGGAGGAATGAACTATCGCTACTGCGAACTCATGTTGATCTTCTATTTTGAGGCCCGTGCACCGTGACTGGCGTAGTTAATCCTACCGAAGGCTACGCTGAATTCTGTCCGCAACCCACTAATGAGCTGTTGTCTGTTTTCCATCACTCTACTTCTGTTCCTAGCGACCTTTCCATGTTGGAGGACGAACCGATGTGCATCGGTCGTCCCACTTGTACATATGGTGACATTTGGGGAGATTTTGAAGCCGATTTGAACTTTTTGACGGCCGCAGCGCAACAGGATGTCCGCATCCGACGTGATTTCGTTGAGTTTGGATGGATCTCCGTTGAGCTAGGTCGCGTTCTACGCAGCGGTAATGGGGTTGGGATGGACGGTGTTGAGGCTAGGGGCATGTATGATTACGAAAGATATGTGAAAACGGAAGCGAGATATTAAGCTTGTACTATATGGTTGTGGTCTTGGGGTTGTACGGAGTAGCCATTAATATCTGATACGACGTATCGACAGTTATACACTTATACACTGCATCGAGTAGATCTGCAAAGTCACGGGGATGGGCGGTGGCGCCCGACAGATATCGACTGGACCACCCTCTGGCTTCACCACCGCTGCCCATGATCCATGCATGAACCATGAACCATGATCCCGCCCTGCGACCCGGCCATTCTCGACAACAATCCCCAGTTCAAGACCCTCTACCACCACCTCACTACCACCTTACTTAACCCCGATGGCTCCACACGCGCCCACGATGCGCTGCCCGCTCGGAAAGCGGTTCTGGAGGTACGCTCGCTACCTTACCTGCCGTCATCCGTCATCCAAACCATCAGACAATCCAATCTAACCCTAGCACTCTAGCAAATGAAAGCCTGTCGAATCCGAGATGCAAAGAAACAAATTAAGCAGCAAGCTTTACGCCGACTAGCCTTTGACCCGGACAGCAGCCTCCCAGACGACGTCAGCCCCATCTACCCCCAACCATCCCCCTCACCCTTCCCCAAACTAACAACCGCCCACCATCAGGCCCGAGACCCTCTCGCCATCACCACTTTCTACCTCGAATCCTCCCCTCACCTACTCGACCTGGACGACGACCCTTCCTCCACAGCAGACATCCAATCCCTCCTCGCCCCCGACATCGACCACTTCTACTCCACCCTCCCGCTCCTCGTCACGCCTCTATCCACCATCCTCGCAACAACTATCACCGACCTCCGCACCATCGCAAACGCAGGAAATGAACCCCCAGCAGACAACAACCTCCCGCGTACCCGCGCCCGTAACCGCCAAGCCATGCGCTCCATGGCCCAGACCCCGCTCTCCGCGCAACTAGCGGATCGGATCCGCGCTCTGCGCCAGATACAATTGACGGAGCTTCCGGCGGCGAGGACTCGGATGGCGACAACGGCGGCGGAGGTGCTCGCGACGCGGGCGGCCGTGTTGGAGACTACGGTGGTGCTCTTGGAAAGGGCGAAACATGGGGCTGTGGCGAGGGCGACTAAGGCGAAGGCGGAACATTTGGCGATGGTGGCGGAGGGGATTGAGGGGAAACTTAGGTATGTATTTGTATATGCAAATGTGGTTCTTGTATGGTGGTGGGGGTTGGTTGGGTTGGGTAAGGCTAATTGTGAATGTGGTGGTAGTGTTACGAAGTTGGATATTCTGGCTACGATTCATACACCGGAGGTGGTGGGTGCGTTGGGGAGGTATTATCGGCATTTGAAGGACGTGAGGGAACGGTTGGAGGAGAGGCGTGTGTTGGCATTGGAGGAGTTGAAGGGGTATGAGGATGTTGGTGGTGGTAGTGGTGGTGGTGGGAGAGATGGGGGCACAGGTAGGGGGAGAGCGGACTCCGGGGCCATGAAGGAGATTGCGCGCCGGTATGGGGGATTAATTCGGGAGGTGGAGGATGTGAGGATGGAGATTGAGCGGTTGAGTGTGTAGATTTGATTATTATGATACCCTTACTGATACTAATACTACTAATACTATATGACCATAACCAGATCGAGGTATAAATAGCCCCCTGTCGGACCCGCTGGGGTCCCGCTCTCAGATCGGTGATAGGCGGATAGGGATCTACTCAACTCAATGCTCATGTATCAATCCAGGTGGCCCTCTCACGCGGGGATTCTTTCAAAAATGAAAGCAGTGATCGACCCCGTTGTCCCTGACCTTAGAGCTACGGTTTAGATCTGTGGTCAAGAGGTCTGTTGCTTCGATGTATGGGGACAGGAATACACTGTGTGACTATTCAATGTTCTCTCATTTCTAGGGTTTGCGGATTTGGAGGGGTCAACCACCGGTATTGATGTCCCAGGAATGAGCATTGATAAGAAATACGGTCACCATACACACCCGGCCATAGTATCCATCTGAATCTGCTTCTAGGCCTAGGTCTAGGCCGTCGAGACCAGCCGATTTCTCTGGGTCCATGGATGCACAAGAAGTATTGGTGATCGTCAATGTTGGCCCATTCTGAAGAGAGTTGATGGTTGCACGGAAATATTCTGTACAGGAGAGAGAGAAATCCGTTCTCGGTACTTGAAGTTGCCGGCCACCCCTCCACCGTTCCTTCTACATAAACTCGCCCGGGACTCGCCCGAGATCCATCTCCATCATGGATCTATGCAGTTTCCACCATATGAGGCATTATTCTTCCATGTCAGGAAGGCGGGTGATTCGACGTTGCACACGGCCTTTTACCAAAAATAAAACAAGAAGAGGAAGAAGAAGGAGCGCCATACTAACGTTATCACTGTTTTTATAATGTCATCACTTGCAGGATTTCTGATTTCAACCATGATATTGCACGGTCATTCCGCCGATGTTGAACCATTGCTGCAATGAGTCTTTCCTTGACTTCCTCAGATCCCATCAGAGAGAATCTTCCCGATGGCGGATATGGCTGGATTTGTGTCATTGCTGTCTTTCTCATCAACGCGCACACTTGGGGTTTCAATAGCGTAAGTTGCCAGACCATCCAACATAACAAGAACCACCAGCAGAGAAACGACCAGCTAATCAGGTCAAGTGCTATACAGTCTTTCTGTCCTACTATCTGTCCGAGGATCTGTACCCCAACGCCAGCCCACTTCTCTATGCCTTGGTCGGCGGGCTGAGTATCTCCTGCGGCCTTCTGGTTGCACCCTTGACAACCCTCCTGAGCAACGTCAGTGGAACCCGCCTGGTGCTCAACCTCGGCGTGTTCTTCCAGGCCATTACCTTCATCGGGGTGTCCTTTGCCACCCAGAGTTGGCACCTGATCTTGAGCCAAGGTATCTGCTTTGGTATCGGCATGGGCTTTCTGTTTATCGGTTCCGTTGGAATCATTCCCCAATGGTTTGACCGCAGGAGAGGCTTGGCCATGGGCATCACCGCCTCTGGCTCTGGTATTGGGGGGCTCATCTATTCCCTCGCGGTGGGTGCCATGATCCCGCGTCTCGGCCTCCCGTGGACCTTTCGCCTGCTGGACATCGTCTCCTTTGTCGTCAACGCCATCGCTGGCAATCTCATCCGAGACCATAACCAAGCCATCACCGGAGCTTCCACAGGAGCCTCTCGTCCCACAATAGTCATCTTCCACCGCCCCTTATTTCATCAATCCCCGTACCTTCTCTTCATTGCATGGGGCATCTTCAGCATGCTGGGCTACGTGACCCTCCTCTTCAGCATCTCAGACTACGCTCTCTCGATCGGACTGACCTCCCACCAAGCGAGCATTGTCAGCGCCTTGCTCAACTTGGGTCAAGGGCTAGGGCGCACGTTCATTGGGTTCTCAAGTGACCGATTCGGCCGTCTCAATATCGCCGCCCTTTTCACGCTTTTCTGCGGTGTGTGCTGTCTGGTCATCTGGGTCTTCGCGACGAGCATGGGTGTGCTTTGCTTCTTCGTACTTCTGGCCGGGTCCATTGCGGGCACGTACTTTGCCACCGTGTCGCCGGTGCTGGCTGAGATTGTCGGGCTTCCGGACCTCCTGTCAGGGTTGAGTGCCAACTGGCTCTTTCTGGTGGCGCCCACGCTGGTGGCGGAGCCGATTGCGCTCGTCATGCGGAATGAGCGCTCCGCAGATTTGGAGTATCTCCCCGTGGAGATCTTCGCGGGGTGCATGTATATCGGAGGAGCGATGTGTTTGTGGGTGGTTCGAGCGTCGAAGGTTTGTCAGTTAAGCCAGGGTGAGGGTGAGGGTGAGAAGGCTCGGGGCTGGCTCGATCACCTGAAACAGGGTGCACGAGGGTTTGTTCAAGGGGCAGTTGCCATTAGAAAGGTGTAAGGGAATTATTAGTGGATTAATCAAATCAACCGTTAGGCTAGGTAACAGCGAGATAACAATTGTTACAATCCCAGAACTACTAGTTCACAACTGATACATACTAGGTCAGTATGATTAACAACTATCCAAGAATGTCAAATCATGCCCTCTACTGACCTCCCTGGGGCAACTAGCTATATCGAAAAGGTACACACCGTACTGATACTTGCCGTTGATGGTGAGTATAGTTGTCAATATGAAACCCCCAATTCAAGTTCTTCCGTATAGCTCCCGCATAGATAGTTACTCTTGTGTGAGTCGGCATAGTAACAAGTTGCATTTACCACAACTGACAAAAGTACTAGATCTTTCATACTAAGGATATAATTCGCTTCATATATTAACAGCCCTCTTAAATCAGCCTTGAGTTCAAATCTTACATCTATGAGGCGGCATTCTGTTGAATAATCAACCATGAACCAACCAATCAACAACCCCACAATCACCTGACTACTCCATTTCCTCCCCTCCAAACTTTTCCCTCCATCGATAAGATAGGACATCACACTCAGGCACCAGATCCCACTTTCTTTCTTTCCCTCCTCCACCCAATCTACCACCACCGCCGCCACCAATAACAAGAAAACCAAAATGGCCGATGAATCCCTCTCCATCTACGACGAGATCGAAATCGAAGACATGACCTTCGACCCCACGCTCCAGATCTACCACTACCCGTGTCCATGTGGCGACCGATTCGAAATCGCCATTGATGATCTTCGCGATGGAGAGGATATTGCTGTTTGTCCGAGTTGTAGTTTGATGATTAGGGTGATTTTTGACGAGGTACCCCTTTCCCTCCTCCCCTCTATTTTCATATGTTATGTGTATTGGGGTTTGTTGGCTGACGAAGATTTTCCTCTAGGGCGATCTGGCCAAGGATGGTGATGATAAGGGATCTGCGGCTGTTGCGGTGCAGGCGTAAATTATAAAGCCCTGTGATTTGAAGGGTTGGTAGATGCCTGGATTTATATTGGTTTATGGGATGGATTGGATTGGAGTGGAGTGGAATGACTCGCTCGCTATGCAGCAAGGTTACCCGCTGCTGCGTGCGCCGGACCAGCGGGGATTGTTCGAGTCGATGGATGATCCTCGAGGGGATATACGGAGCTGCTACCTACGCATGCTCACCCCGCTATCGCTACGGCGCCGTAAGGCGCGAGCTGAGGCCGCGCCAGAGAAGGCGCATTCCATTACCCGGTGCGCTATATGCTTCGCTTGATTGTCAGAAGCGGTAGCTCAACTTGAACGTGTCATGTCTTGTATCTGCGCAAAGTAGCAGGAGTACTGCTGCCGAAGTGTATTATCTACCAGATTGAATAGCACAGAATCCATATCCTACAAATTCCTCCCATAACAAGTATGCACCGTAACTCATCGCCCCGTAACTCCTGCTAGGAGGACAATTACTCATTAATCTCACTGTACACATCCTTCGGCAGGTTCAACGTCAACTCATGGTTCAACAAATCCGTCAGGTTCGATCCATCGCGGAGATACACCCACTGTCCGTTGACGAACGGCCGCGACTCCTGCTTCTCGTACATGCTATCCCCCTCCACAACCCAGTCGTACCGTTTGGGGCCGGAAATCGGCGAGCTGAGCCAAATCTGCTTGTTGGGGGGTTGCTTGTTCAGCACGTAGGTGCCTACTCCGGGGACGATGATGTTCATGACGCCGGCCTATTCGATCAATCTATTGTTAGCCTAGTTTCTGTCTTCTTTGTCTCTTCTTTGCTTGTAGAGATGCGACGAGGTAGGAAGGGAAGGGGAACGCACACTATACTCGGCCTCCATATCCGATCCCCCTTCCTGGAGATTCTCAATCTCAGTCTGCACCACGTTCAGGTAATGTTCCGCGTAATCGTGGTACTGGCCGTCCGTCAACGGGGACGGTTCGGTGACGTGGGCAGCTGCGCCGGCGACATTTGATTGGGGGTTCGGGGCCGGGGGATCCGCGGAGTCGGGGAAGATGCCTTTGCGGGGGACTGGAGTAGAGTGGAAGTTTTGACGAGGATGATGCTGGAGTTGGAACCGGGGTGCTGCTGCGAAGCGGGCGGCGACGCGGAGAGAAGGGCGAGCGATGGCGGGGGAGAGGATTGCTCGGGGGAGACGGGACATGGTTGATGGGATGGGATTCATGGTTATTATAGTGGTGGGTGGGATTGAAGGGTGGTGGAGGGAGATGAGGGACAAGAGGAAGAGAAGGGAGAGAAAGAAGGGAAGGGAAGAAGAGGAGAAAGAAGCGGAAGTGATGGCATCACATCATTCATGCGGAGCTGGCCGGGCTGTCATTGGCTGGGCGGAGCTATAGCTTGAATGTCTCCGCTTCCATCTGACAGCGGCGAGTCTTGTTGCTTACATCCACCGCAATCATTCACAATTGTTCTTTTAACATCTGCCAAATACTCCTGTTATTCTCTGCAAGTGACACTATCTGAAACCCATCTCCCCCATCCGACCTCCATCGATACCACCCCCACCTCCTCCTCCTCTTCCTCCACTACCACCAGCATTAGCTGCATCACTGCATCAGCATCAGCCTCAGAATCAGCCTCGCCCCTCGATGCTCCCCTGCAGGCCCCTCCGGCCCTGCATCTCAATCCATACTACAATATCTACCAAATCACCAACAACAATCCACCTCATCCGATCATACCACCACCACCACCAAACCATGTCCACCCCAAGAAAGAAAAACGCCCATCCCTCACACACTTCCTCTGCCTCCCCCTCATCAACACCACCTCCCTCCCACAACTCGAATCCTCCCTCGCCACATTCAAATCCTCCATTCCACTCCTCCCACCCCCGGACACCACCACCCACCACTCTCTCCGCCCCCTCCCCCAACCCCAACCTCTCATCCCCGCCTCGGCCCACCGCCCCGTCGGCACCCTCCACCTCACTCTCGGCGTCATGAGCCTCCCCACTCCGGACCGTCTATCCCAAGCCCTGGACTTCCTACAAAGTCTGGACTTGGTGTCTATGTTGCGTGATTCGACATCCACCCTCGCATCAGATAAACAAGAACCATTAATAATCTCGTTGAAATCGCTACACGCCCTCCCAAGACCCAAAGCCGCTACTGTTCTGCATGCTAGCCCTGTTGATCCTACGTCAAGGCTATATCCCTTCTGTGTGAAACTCAGAGATGCGTTTCTGGATGCGGGGTTTTTGGTTCCGGAGGCGAGGAAACGGAAGTTGTTGTTGCATGCGACGGTTGTGAATACGATTTATGCGAAGGGGAAGGGGGTGAGTGCACCGCGGAGTAGGGGGAAGGGATTTGCTGGAGGGGGAGGGGGAGGGGGGAAGAGGAAGGAGCAGTATTCGTTTGATGCGAGGGGGTTGATTGCGAAGTATAGGGGGCAGACACTTGGGGTGGAGGGGGAGAGTGGTGTTGGTGATATTGTTGGGGAAGGGGATGGGGTTAGTGGGAGTGGGAGTGAGGATGGGGAGGGTAGTCAAGTTGGAGGAGAAGGAAACGGGGATGAGGAAAAGGCATTTGTCTGGGCGAGGGATTTCCCTATCGAGGCGGTGGCTATCTGTGAGATGGGAGCGAAGAAGTTGGAGCCGGATTTGGGGGGACAGGATGGGGGGATGAATGCGAGGTTGGGGGAGAAGTATCGTGTTGTGGGGGAGAAGAGCTTGTTGTTTTAGGACACATGTGCCATGTATACGATATGATATGATATGATATGATGATAGTATGACATGCTATGGTAAGAGCAAATAAAATCTGCAGCACGGATACAGACAAACATGAACATGATCACCGCCCTCTAACAAACACAAACACCAAACGCCTCGCTGAAAGACACCTGCACGCTGCACTGCACTACCGCACTTTACTCATCAGGGTCTCCATCCCCCTCTCCACCGACAACTCGGCCGCCTTCACCTTCACAGAACTGAGCATACTACGCTCAAAGTCATCCCTTGTCCGCAACACCGCCTCCACCCACGAGAGCTGCAGATCCCAATACTCCGTCTTGAAGTTCTCATACACCGACACCAACGTCGGACCCTTCTCCGTCTCCAGCAGCCGGACCAGCCAGTCAACCAGACGCCATTTTTGCTTGATCGTGCCGGCGAACGAATCGGGGTAGTTCTGGAAGAAGGCAAAGACGGTGAGGACGTCGTCCTTGAATTTGTCGGTGTAGGGGTCGGTTTGGTGGCGGAATTTGACGCCGCGGTTGCGTACAGAGGACAGGTACCGGACCAGTAGTTCGTCGGAGAGTTCTTCGACCAGGATGTCTGTAAGGGAGGGGTGCAGGACAGGCGAGTAGTCCGCCATGTAGTCTTCGAATGTGGAGGTGATTCGTTTGATGGCGAAATCGCCGTACCATTTCTGGGTGAAAAAGTCGGGGATGGTGCTGCGGAAGTCAACGGCAAAGATAACCTCGACGAATTGAGTGAGGCAGTACGTGCTGAGATCGACGTAGCCATCGCGGAGAGCGTCCAGTTCCGGGATGGCCTGGGATGCCATGTATTTCGGGTCGACAATGGTTTCAAAGTCGCGCTTGAAGCGCGTGAGGTAGCCGAGTTGGCCGGTTTCTTCGTTGTCGTCGATGCACGCGATTTGGTCGTTTGCCACGGCGACGAGCCAGTCCTGGAGGAGCTGGAGACCGTCGAGCTGGTCGCCGCCCGGAGCCTTGTATTTCGCGCATTCTTCGTCGATGAGAGTCTGCCATGCGGTTTGGCGGCCCTTGAGGACCCGGAACATGGCGTCGATGATACCCTCCACCACGTCCGTACGGGATGAGGCACCCGAGGCCATGATCTGCTCGTGGAGCATGCGCCACATGTCGGGGAGAGTCTTGGTACGGAAGCAGCCCTCCGGGTTGGTATCCAAGGAATCGGGGATGCGTTCCACGAATCCCTTGCGGTCGGTTTCGGCAATGCGGTTCGTCCAGTCTTCCACCGCGCGGATGATGATGTTCTGCCATTGCCGGATGAGCTCGGGCTCGCGGTCGTCCAGGATGTTGGGCTTGAGGTCGGACTGTTTCCAGCCAAGCTTGTTCATTTTCTTGTAGTATTTCTCGGTCCAGTGGATGATGGCCAGCAGGTTATCGGCAGGAAGTTCAGGGTCGTTGATCAGTCCGATGAAGAAGTCATGCATCATCCGATGGTAAATATCCGTATAGGTCTTGTAGATCTTCCACTTCTTCGGCACCAGCGCTTGCATGCCCTGTTGAACAGTGTAAAGGTCGTTGAAGAACCACCGGAAGCTCTTGTCCAACTGATCCGGCTCAGCCAGGAAGTCTTCCTTGGTTGCTTCGAACTGGTTCTGCGCATAGAACTCGATGGCCTTCAGGAACTTCTCCTTATACCCTCTCACAGTCTTAGGTCCCACATTCATCGACTTGAACCGATCCGCCAAATCCTGATGATCCTTCTGCGCCTCCTGCAACGCACGCACCGTATCATCATTCTTCTCCTCATTCATGACCACAACCGCCAACCGAACCACCATGCTGGGGTTATCCGACTGCACCAGCGGTATCAGATTCATGCACGCCGTACCAAGGTGATCATCAAACCAATCGATCACGGAATCCAACCCCTGGAAATAATCCGCCAACGTCTCCTCACTACTCGGATCCTGCGCCTTGCGTATCTGATCCATCGCCTCATCTCTGAAATCCCGCAGCTTGGAAATATGCATATGAGCCCGTAGCAAATTCGGCTGATTCTCCAAATCCTCATCATCCTCCCGCAACAGATCCTCAACCACAGCCAGATCCTCACTGAAATTCTCCAGTCCCTTTTTCATCATCAACGTCGCCTCAAAGTTCCTCTGCACCTTGGCCAGCCTATCAATCTGCGAGAAGTCCTCCACACTTGTCTGCGACTCCGCGCATAGCTTGTCGATGCCTTGAAGCTCGTCCTTGGTCTTGGATACCTGCCGCTGGCCTTCGGTGAGAGCGTTGATGCTGCGTTGGACGGTTTCCAGCTGATCGCGGAGACCTTCTCGGAGTTGGGCATCGACGGCGGCTTTCTTGCGCGAGTATTCGGCTTTGAGCCCGGTGATCTTGTCCAGGTCTTCGGGGTGGCGGAGGATATCCTCCAGGCGGGGCATGGCCACCGTTACGCTGTTGTCTTCGCCGCGTGCCATTGTTGCTGTTTTGCTTGCACAGGAATATTATACTAGCTCCGTACTCGGTCGTATCATCCACAGTCAAGTTGAACAGCTAGCCAAGCTCCGAGGGGTAGTCGCCAACAACGAGCTTGACGTCGAACCGCAAATAATATCCCCAAACCAAGAAATATCTTCAAATAAGCATAGCGACCACCGAGTCGAAAGTGTAATAACCGGCACGAGAAACCAAAAAGCCACCGGTGGTATAACAGAACAAGTAGATCGTAAGCTAATTAGCTATCCCCTCCTAAACGCGCAGCGCTGGAAAAAAAGGGTATCTGCATCCACAACACCAAACCATTAGCCACCAGCAATCCCACACTTGCAAATAACAAAGCAAAGCTCACCAATGTCTCATCGAGCCAATCCAGCTCCGAGGATGCAATCGTGGAAGTTGTTGTATGCCAGACTCGCCATAGTAGTGAGTATGCCACCCGCTCTTCCGCCCGCCGGCAGAACCACTCCCCACGTGACTCCCCGCCCGACTGACCGACCAACCGCTCGGGAATTTTGCGGACAAGTCCAGGTCAGTCCATCCAGTCCATCAACAGCCAAATACCTTCACAAACCTCACTCACTCCTCACCATTGAAGACCGGAGAACCTCCCGCCTCCTCGATCCCTCGAATAACCACAACCCCAATCCCACCACCCTCCACAACCACAATCTCATCCACCTCAAAAATGAGCAGCTACTTCCGCATCACCCTCATGCGCTCAGCAATCGGTCTCCCACGCCGCACGCACGACGTCCTCAAAGCCCTCGGATTGAAGAAGCGCATGGCCACCGTCTTCCACCCCGTGTCGCCGTCCGTCGCCGGTAACATTATGAAAGTCAAGGAGCTGGTGCAGGTGCAGGAGGTGGATCGTCGGCTGACGAAGCAAGAGGTGCATTTGGAGCGCAAGCCTGATCCGGGATACTATGTTGAGAAGAGGGCGTTTTATGAGATGAGGGAGGGGAGACGTGGTTGAGAGAGAGATATATACCGTTGACCTCTGTCTGAGTTGTGCTGTGCTGTGCTGGGGGGCTCTGTGATGCCTGGTTTTCGACTACGCGTGGTTATATTATTGGTTTTTGGTTTTTAAATTTGCGATTGGAGTCGGGGTTTATGTTGATTTGGTCGATTATCAGGCAGTGCATGGTAGGATGTGCAGAGCAGGGCAAAGCAGGGCATGGCACGCTGAGAAATGTTGAGTGGTGATTCGTATAGTGGCCGGCCTATGCTGTTATGGGTCTGTTTTATATGCGAAAGGGGAAGGGATCCCGAAGAATGAGAGTTCTTGTTGAAGTGATTCGAGGCTTCTTTGCATCCAGCGGTTGTCTTTTCGTTTGTTGGTAACCAGCCCCGATACGATTGCGGTTTGTCGGGCTGGATCGGCTTTGCATTGTACTATACTATACATACACTGTCATATTATGGAATGGGATCTACATCTCCAGGATTCATGTCTGGAATCTTGTCTTGTCTTATAAGAATATGCTGCTCCGTGATGGAGTTGAAATGCAATGCCCAACCTATACACCGTAACACCGATGGCCCGCTATTTTCAGGAGCCTAGGGCCTTGCTTTCAAACGTATTGACAGTTTAGGTCTTGAATCAGTCATCTAAGCTTTATACAGGGTATCAAGGAAGCCCTCGGCCAGGCGGCTGACAATACTCTTGTCCGGCATGCTCCCGGCTACACCATACAGCGCAGCAGTATCGCCTCGCTTGACGACGTACGCCTTACCTTGCTGCTTTCTCTCTTCCGCCTTCGCAAGTTCCTTCTCCACAACCACAACCAAGTCAGAAGTGAGCGCATCAACGGCAGCGGACGTGGGCACGGTGAACGCGACGTGGATCGCCGGCGGGGTCTGAAGAGCATTTAGGTGCCAGCCCTTCGCAGAGAGGTTGTCCGCAATGTCGTAGACATCAATGGCCTCGTTCGTGCTGTCGAACGCGACAACGCTGACCATAGGCTTCCCAACAATTCCCAGGTTTTTAGACAAGACCGGGTGTTCTTTGATCGATGCTTCAAACTTCTTGGCCGCACCCATGATCTCCAAGCAGCTCTTGATGTAACCATTCTCACCGACACTCATCAGACTAGCCCAGCATCCAGCGATCAGGGCACCGGGCCGAGATCCCGCTACAGACGGGGATGCGTAGACACCACCCGACCAGTCAGGGTAGATGAAGTATTGGTGGCTGCGGTAAGCCTTGTTGCGATACAGAAGCACCGAGTTGCCCTTGGGTGCAAATCCATATTTGTGCGTATCGACACTGATGCTGGTCACACCGGGGAGGCGGAAATCAAAGCCGCCCTCTTCTTCGTATGGCGACGGGAAGCCGGCCTTCTTGAGGAAGGCAATAACAAAGGAGCCAAGGCAGCAGTCAACATGCAGAGGGATCTTGTAGGCGGTCGCGAGGCGAGATAGAGCCGGGATATCATCAACAATTCCGTGAGGGAAGTTGGGCGCAGAACCGACAATCAAGACGGTGTTCGAGTTAATCAACCGGCGGACAGCGGGAATGTCCACCTTGTACTCGGGAGCCGGGCAGGGAACGCGATGGAGCTTGATCTTGAAGTAGTTGCAAGCTTTATAGAAGGCAGCATGAGCAGTATCGGGGATGATCCTATGGCTTGTGTCAGCGGATCTACCGGAGACATATCGAAGGACCTATACTCACATCTCTGGTTCTGTCACACCTCGTTCGAGGAAAGCCTTCTGTCGCGCACCCAAGCATGCCATGATAATCGACTCCGTACCGCCACTGGTAGTCACACCTGCGCCATCAGACGGGGCATTGAACAATGCCATGACCTGCGCCTAGTAAGCCCATGTCCATCCGAAACCCAGGACATAATTACCATAGCCACGACTTCGGCTTCCATCTTCCGAACACCAGGGAAAACATCGGGGTGGATGGGATTCGCCACACCGAATTGTCCAAAAGCTTCTGCCTGGAGCTTCAGGAGATCCTGTCCACCGTGGTACACAGCACCACTAACGCGACCGTCTTCCCAGCGCGTGTGTTCCATATTCGCCAGCTTATCCAGCTCAGCGCGAACCTGTTCCGCCGTCCATCCTTCCTTAGGAAGGTTCAGATATCGTGTGACACCGGGACCACTCGCGATGAGTTTCGACTCCAGGCCCTCGATTGCCGTAGACACCTGCTTATCAACCTGACCGCGGACACCGGGGAATCGCAAGAAGACCGAGTAGAAGAAGAGACGGACGGAGGCGTAGACATTGCGGATGCTGCCAAAGATGCCATAGCCCCGCAAAGAATAGAACGTCTTACGAACGTAGCGAAGAATAAAGAGTATAAAAACAATATTCCGGAGACTGTTCACAAGTGATGACACGTTAGCATGGACTTCACGAGAAATGCCCGACCAGCGAGCGGTTCTCCGCTGGAGGGCGGGGCGATGGAATGCTGCTCGAGCACTTACAGATCCAAAGGCAAAGCCGCCAGCTGGGTGCTGGGGGCCCGGCTGTAGCCCAGCAGTTTATTCTGCAGGGCAGCTGGAAGTAAAGAAGATGCCATGATAACAGTATAAACGAACCAGGAGTCGCAGGGTCGTAGAAGGACGCGACGACCTCCAGGAACGGGGAGGAAACTGGGGAAGTGAGAAGGGCGCCGGTCGGATGATGCAGGAAACCGGAGCCGGCGCGATAAGAACCAACCGCGGATGCTGCCTCGGTTGCCACATGCGCACCTGCTCTCACTCCCGTTCCCCAAATCCTACGAAGTATGACATCTACTGCATGACAGCCACTTTATAATTTTGTATCTTATATATTGTAGAAATATAACTGCGTATGTACAGGGCCCACAAGCGGACCAAGGCTTCCTAACACCGGCCTCCCTCTTTTTTTCCATCAGAGACAATGAAAAACTTTTGAAAACCCGTGGAAACCAAACAAACCATCCTGAGAAACACAAACATCCATTCATAAAACAAACACGCAAGCGAGAACGTCTTCCGCCAAGGGAGCCGCTAAAAAGGTATGATCAAAGCTCTAAAAACGATATAGACGGTCTATCCCAGTCGGAATATATGCAAGTAAAAAAGAAATCAGAGCTGAGGCTTGCTTAGAGAGCGCCCTGGGCAGCCAGCTCCTTCTCCTTGGCAGCGAACTGAGCCTGCTCGTCGGCCGTGAGGTCAAGGAGGGGCTTGTTCTCGCCCAGCTTGAGGTTGCGGTAGTAGGCACGGATGATGCTGTCGGCATCATCGACGGCGATGGGACGGATATCGGCAAGAGCCTTGATCTTGGCAGTGCACTCCTTGTATTGATCATCAGTCATCGAGATGTTGAGCTGCTGAGCACGGGACTTGATCGCGTTCCAGCCGGTCAGACGAGAGGCGAAGTGAACGTATCTCGACATGCCGAAGTCGGCAGGGTTGATGATCTCGTAGGTGCTGGGGTTGTTGAGGATGGCCTTGGCGTGGATACCAGCCTTGTGGGTGAAAGCGCAGAAACCGGTGATGTAGTTGTTGAAGGGAATGTTAACCTCAACAGCCTCGGCAACGAGGTCCTCAATGTCCTTGAGCTTCTCGAGCTTGTACTTGCTCTTGACGTACTGGGGGTCGGCGACCATCATGCGGGCCATGAGACCACCCAGAGGAGTGATACCGTTACGCTCACCGATACCGAGAACGGAGGTGTCGACATGGGTGGCACCAGCCTCCAGGGCACAGTAGGCGTTAGCAATGGCGCAACCAGTGTCGTTGTGGAAGTGAGTCTCAATGTCACATCCGACAACACCTCTCAGGACACGGACAAGCTCGTAGACCTGACGGGGGGAAGCGCAACCGACAGTATCGGCGATACCGACACGGTTGACACCAACCTTGTCGACAGCGGAGTAGATGGACAGAAGATCGACGAGGTCAGAACGGAAGGAGTCCTCGCTGGAGAAACGGATCTCAATGCCCTTGGACTTGACGAATTCGATAACTTCAATAGCAGTGTTCTTGATGTAGGTCATGTCCTTACCGTGAGAGTGCTCACGGAGGTAAGAGGAGGTTCCAATGACGACATCACTGGCATGCCGTTAGCGGGAACATGATATATAGGGTGGTGAGTCACTTACACTCCATCGACACCGGTCTCGACGGCGATTCTGGCATCGTCCATGTGGCAGCGAATGTGGGTAAGGATCTAATTCAACTATTAGGATCTGGTGGATAGTGTTCGATGCAGGCGGTTCAACATACCTTAGCCTTCAGGCCAAGCTTGCAAATAGCCTCGCAGTCCTTTCTCGACTGCTCAGAAGCACAAGGGCTGGTAAGCTCAATCTAAGTTGGTGGTCAGTGCACGCTCTCTTCAATGAATTGACATCATCCCCGGGGTATGACTCACGTAGTCAACACCGAACTCGTCCAGAGCCTTGGCGATCTCGATCTTCTTCTCGGTGTCGAAGAAAGCGTTGGCAAACTGCTCACCCTCACGCAGGGTACTCTCGATGATCTGGAAGCGGGAGACGTTGCTCAGGAAGTCGGTAACACCGACGTTGTGGCCGTAGGGGTTGCGAGAGGCGGAGGGGTGGGGGTTCTGGCGAGTCTCGACGGCAGTGAAGCCGGGGTGTTCACCTTTTGAGGAATCAGTCAGTATGGCACTTGCGCATCGTATATCTCCAAGATGGAATCATACCGTTGGCATTGGCGCCATTGGCCTGCCCATTGGGCTCGTGGTCTGCACCGGGGCACATTGTGTTATATTTGGTGGGGTAGTAAGTAGATAGATGGCTGTTGCGAAGTGGACGGTTAGAAACAGGAGAACGAGCAGGGAGATTTGAGAGAGAAAAAGGCAGATGAATGAGGAGGACTAACAGCAATGGCAAAGACCTGAGTCACGATCGATTTATACGGCAAGATGTAGAGAAAAGCAGGGAGGAGTCATAGGTAGGTCCAAGGAGAAAGAAAAGTGGGTGGGGATGAGAAGGCGGGCGGTCTAGTCCTGATTCGCCTGCGATGGCTATGACTCGTTCTCGCTCGGCCGGTCCCTCGCTGCGGCAACGACGAAATTTTCACTCGCCCTCTTTTTCTGCCTGTGGGGAACCTGGACCGTTCACTGCGCATCCGGCAAGCCCCAATTGCTCAGCGTGAGGATCTTTCCCCAGTCCCCGACAGCGTCAGCCAATGCGCTATAGGCCTTGCCCTCATTAAGGTCCGTCACATTCCCCAACTGGGCTACGGGGACTCTGGAGGCTGCTGCGACGGCTACGTGGATTTGCCACTTGAAGGCAGGCCAGCAGCCCGAGAGTATCGTTATTGGTACAGGTGGCTGACCGAAGTTCCTGAATGGTAGATCTTCGTTTAAGCGTCCTATCACTGTTCCGCAGGGCTTTTCCATTCAAGTAGTGAGGGTTTGCCTCTAGGGTTGTCCTTTGCTAGTTAAGACTAGGTTAGCTAGACCCGACATCGGCAGGGGGCTTCCCCGAGATAGCGTCTCCATCGCCGCGTCGAGATGGCAACGATTGATAATCGTCCTTCCACCAGAGTCCTAGGAACCCTTACTATTGGTGAATTCTGGCTGCTGGTCTCCAAGCGACCTGGCAACCGTATCTAGAGCACTGCGTAACGCGAATTCTAGCCGTGACTAAGGTAGCAGCCTCTTGGGGTAGGGTGAGGGGTACTTTTTTGCCTCAGGTGTTTTCTTTGACTGAGTCACATCAGGTACGTCACCGATTGCCGATACCGCCCCTTGATTTTTATTTCCTGGTCTTTCGTTGGCCGGCCTGCTTACCTCAGGCACTATCGCCCAATTGGGGAATTTGCTGCAGATCGGTCCTGCACCGGCGCGGTTTGCATTAGTCTATTTCTGGTATGGTCGGGAGACCATCCATTCCTTATGCAGGGTGCCAGATGCATCGGCCTGGTGCGATCTCTATCTAGTCCTCGGTAGTTGCACCTTACTCAGTCGGTGATAATTATATTTCACTAGACTAGCAAGCGGTTGTCTTCATTCAACAATCGTGGAGTTAGATTTTCGAGATAAAACAAAGTCTGAAACGCGGTAACCCCCGACCTTCTGTTGCCATATTTGGGTTTGCCTCGGAGGGTGCCGAGAGAAATATAGTATGTCTGACTCAAGTCTACTATATCACAAGAATAGAATAATTCTACAATGAACGCACCCTAAGTACGACTGCCGATTCTCAATAGAACGTATCATTATTATTTAGCTCTAACAACATAGCAAATATCAAGATAAATGACATGGGCGCCCACTGAACTTCCAACCACGGAAATTGTACTAGGATAATATGCAGAGCGGTGAAATACGATTTCTCATTCAATGCCTAGTACAAGGTGGTCCAGAAGAATATGTTTCAAAGGTGTATTCTTCAAAGCAATGCGTCTTCCTCTCACTTCTGCGAACAAAAAAGGAGGCAGGTCGGAGGAGATGAACCCATGACAAGGTCAGATATGAGCAACGTTCTATAGTCTGTGCCAGTATAGTAATCGCTCAAGCATGCTTGATAAAGGGATATTATATAACTCTGGCATCACTGGATATACAAGTACCTTCACTGCGGTTTCTACTTAGAATGATTATCAGTTGAACTTATCTGACGGATTTAGATTGTGTTAGAGTGTAAAGTAGGTGAAGATCAAAACAATATGCCGGGAAAATAGAAATATCAAAGACACTGCGTGAGAAGCAAGAGGGCTGGCCCGTAAGGCACAGAACGTATTAAGCCGCGTTAAGGGGCTATATCTTAGCTATGCTGCATCTGCAGGTATAAGTCAAGAAAATAAATTTCTTTGTTTGGATAATTACATCTACTTTTAGCCCTCGCTTGACGTTACCTGCAGGATACTCAAACTATGCTTGGATGACTGGCTTCTGGACCTGACATAGAAGTCGTTGGAGACGACTTACCATTGCGTTATTAGGACCCGAAGAAAGAGGTAGAAGGCCGGTAATGATTACTCGCATGACATTGTTTGCTTGAACCCAGCTCATCAACCGACCGTCAGAGTGACCAGGTAGAAGATGAAGCAACACCTATTTGCGGAGGCTAACAAGCCATGCATGCGGTGCCTCCAGAATTCAACGGTTCTAACACGAGCCGCTCCAGTGCCGCTGACAATGACTTGTCGAGGATGTTGTACCTCCATGATTATAGCCCATGATCAGGAACAATGAAACCGGTTTCGAGTCGGGATATAGTGGCGAGTGGATTACGGATTGACGAGAGCTGGGACGGTGCTCTATGAGATGTAGAAATAGCAACGGAGCATGTAGTACTAGTGGTAAATATGTCAAGAGAATGGACTCTGATACTTTGAATATATGAGAGGTGTCTGGGTTAATCAACTACTGCAACACGCGCGATTTCATGATACCATTCGTATGGGTCAGGTAAGCGACTTCCTCATGTTTCGTCCCCAATCCTCGAGGATGTCTCTGACGGTCGCAGGTCGGCAAACGTGAGGGCCCATACGTCCCCTAGCAGAGTAGGGAGGGACAGAACCCCTCGGCTTCAACACTCTAGACCGAGAAAGGTAGTCCTAATCCGATATAGAAATTATGGAAACCATCAAGGTCATCTGGCAAGAGTATTGAAAGCTAATATCAGGAGATAAGAGTAGTACCTACACGTGAATAGCTTTGGTAACGGTTTTGTGTGATTGCAGACTGGTGGGCTATAGCATTGCTTATATGTGAGCAAACAATGCTAAAAAGAAGATGTCCGGCTATGGCATCGCTGTTTAATAGGCAAAGACACGTTATAGTCAGCATAGAGAGGAAAAACCTTCGATGTCTCAGGTAGGGTTTATGAGATGTTCGTCGAGACAAGATGGGTGTGCTTGAGGGATTCACTTACCATAAGAAGCAAGTTGTGCGTCTTAGCCCATAGGCTACTCAGCCAATATACTAGATGGAGGGATACCTAATGCTCTGGGCCTTGACATATGTAGGTTTTATTGTTTTTGCCTCCCATTGGAGCTGCATCTCTTCTGGTCCCATGAGAAGCGCGACCTCCATATCGTACCAAGGCAGCCGCCCTGAAATAAATGATTGAGTTGAGTGCTCAGTGGAAGTGTTAATTTTCGCGCCTTAGATGGTAGCTGTTCCATCCTGGAAGGTTCTAGCTTCAATCTATCGTCCCGGGCATGCTGTCTTGATCATTTGACCCGACCATAGACCAATCCAAGCTTGGGTTTGTCGAAAAGGGCGAAACTCGGACTTAACGTAATGAAGAACCGGTAGCGCTGATTTGAAGATGATTGTTTAGTTCTGGGAGATTGAGAAAAGAACGGACATAGTTGCGACGTTTACGCAGTGGAACTGGACGGTAGACCCATCCGCTCTGTCCGTGTTGGAAGTTCTTCTTGCGTGCAACAGCGCAAGCCTCGATGGAGAAGTCGTTCATTCGGACTTATTGAACATCGACAGCATTCTAACAAAAGTGCTGATCATGTCGTAACATCGGGTATTGGTGAAGAGAAGAGTCCACCTCTAAATCCGCGGGCGACACGCGCTGCCCAGAGCAGCCTCTCCACATGACCGTGTCTCTGCTGCCATTGTCCCTGATACCGGAGACGCCGTTCCACACTGTAGTTCATATGACAGCACTGAAGTTGAAAGACTGACCAGCCACCGGCTCCGTCGGCAAGTCTTTGATGGCAGGGAAGTGTGAGAAGATGCCTTCGGGTATACGGGAATATGCCCTGATCGAGTCGGCCATCCTAGCTATGCATCTGCATGAATGAACGATTCAGAAAGGGGCTCATTTGCACCTGTCCCGAGCATAGCCGCAGTACCTTGCCTTCTTTCAGGCAAATTGGGGGTTGCAAAGAGCCAACTGTCAAATCCTTCGTCCTACATCCTGCAGGATTTTTGCTGGTATTGTCTTCCGGCTCAGGATGCATGAGTGTCTTGAATCTTGTCAGTCGCCATCTGCACTAGGATATCTCCGGGGGACGATGGAATGTCCAGCTTTTTTTTTTTTTTTTTCATTGCTACTGCAGTCATCCTCACCGATAAAGTGCCGGCATTCGGCGAGGCGGGAAGGATCTGAGGCGGCACAGTATGGCCCTATTCAATGCCGGCTAGTGGCTTCAATTATATTCGATTGACTGCCAAGAAAAATGCGTCCCATGAAGAATAAGTCATCTGGAGATCATCTGCCATCTATCATATAGCATATGTAGTTCACCAAGGATGGAAAGTACTGTCTCAGTCCATGTCCGGGAAGGTTCTCCATACTGCCCCCAAATGATCAAGATGTGACAGGAGTAGGCTAGGGGTGGCTGTGGCGTTTGATACGGTTAATTTTATACCCAGTCTGGAGAAACCTAGAACAGGGCTGATCTGGGCTGCCCCAAGTGGCTGGGATTGGGGGCGTGAGTCGTGATACTGATTGGTGCATAAATAAGGGGAGATCCAGGTGAAGAAGTTGAAAGTTCCCCCCATGGTTCCATCAGAAAGTCTGTCTGGCCCGTGCCACCCGATGTTTGGTACCGAAGACTTGGGGCGCCACTCCAGAAGAAGTAAACAATAACAGGTAGTAGTACGGAGTAGTGTAACAGTATTACTTGGTGGTGGCCAATGAATCTGGCTCGAACATACTAGTAGCAGAAGCAATTATCATCATCTTCTGTGTGCTCAGTCAGGAGTGAGTAATGCAGCGCCTCTGAACCTACGTGGCATGAGGCAAGAAGATAGATAATAGAATGATAGATGGGACTTGAATAATCGAGGCTATGTCGCCATTCCCCCGGGCCCCTCCCACAGAGTTCCCCCGGGAACCCACTGCAGCCCACGCCCACTCCAGCCCAGCGTCGGAAGCGCCCACTGCTTACTGCTTAGGTCAGATTCTAGGCGCTCCTCGATCGACCGGACGCTCCCACCCGCTGAAGAATTCGTCCCCGGACACTCCCACTGCTTGGTTGCCAGAAGATCGGCCGGAATCTCCCACACTGAAGCTGACCTCAATTTCCAAGTGAGACGCCCAGACGGACGGTCCCACCGAGTGCAAATGAGTTACCTAGGTTGGAGTTTGTGTACCGAGTCACCACTAAACCACTTGTCCTGTCCGTTAAGCTGACATCAGATCGACCGGAAACTCCCACTTCTCCCACTTCTCTCACTTCTCCCACTCCTCCCACTTTCCTTCACATAGTACTCAAGAAAGTACTCCGCACTCCGTCCTCCGCACTCCGTCCTCCGCCTCCGACTGAAGATGAAGAAAAAGCGCTCGGACCCGACCTAGGACGGTTCGGCTGACAAGAGGTCGACCGGTGGGATGGGGATTGATCCAATTCCCCGGGCGCTCCCACGCCTTCTGGGGAGATTTGGATCCTTCCTTCGTCCAAGTGTGAGGCCAAATCCCGGCGTGGATGGCTTGGCTCTCGGCACGCGCCCATCGCTTATTATTCTGGCCCCTTCCACGAAGACCAATTTCCTCCCCGGTATTGGCTGGTATGGCATCTGACACGTCTCGGGTTGAATACCCAATGCGATTTGGGATTGCGATTCTAGAATCATCAGAGAACTAACGGTTTAAGCACAGGAGGACAAGGCGTTCCAATCCAATCTAGATCTACCGCCTTGGAATATGCCACCTATGATCACCATCACCCTTAACTGAACCCATCTCCAAGGGGCCTCGTGAAGTCTACACTACAGCGGAGCCCCATGTATGGGAGAGAGAGAAGAAATTAGGTAATAAAGGGGGATTGACATGTTCTCAATATGGCTATCGCCCCTAGGTCCATGGCAGTCCCTCGTCAGTGGATAGCGACGTAGATGAGCTCCCAGATACTGCCCCTCTATGGGATCCTTTTTTGCTGCCCCCCGGGGTTATGTCTCAGCATATCGTACTTGGTGAGCACTAAACTCCCAGTTGGCGCCTGTTATCCCCAAATCAGATGTCCCACGCGGTTGATAGGATTTGTCCCCTGCAAAGTCAAGTTCCCACTCTGCAAGTAGGAAGAAGATAGGTTAGCATCGGGCCTAACAGATGAGACCGTCTGAAGACTGGCGGGTCCGAGAGCTGCAGAAGCCATCCCGGGCCTCACGTGGTAAATTACCAGGGCCTTCCTGCAGCGTGAGAAAGCATAGTGCCATCAGGATTCGACATAGCGCCACGCGGAGAATTTTGGTGTCTTTCCCCTCTGCAGACCCACAGCCGCTGTGGATGTGACAGTCCATGGTGGGGGAGGGGACGTCGTATCGGCGCTTGGCTTAACTGGCTGGACCATCGTGGCAATGGCCAATGCCCTACTCGACTTCCAACCGTCTCCCTGAAGAGAGATCGAGGCGAGGCTTTCACTTGTGAGGGTTATTTTTATCATCAGTTCGACATAACGATATTTTTCCCCTAAAAAAAAAGGGTTGCTCGATTTCTTTTCTATTCGGCTTTTATAATCATCCGGCCTCGCATTTGTTGCTGGGGAGGCGCGCTTGTCGTTGAATGACGACGAGTGTCAGAAGGAAGAACCATCGTCACGGATCCCATCCGTCCATCAGCCTCCCAGTCGGCCAATCAGTCCACCTCGTGTTGTTAGTGACTTTAGGTGCTTCAGCCTCTATCAATCAACCTTTTGGCCCCAATTCCTCCATGCCATATTGCCTCATCGATAGTATAATATGGCACCAGCCCGCATTCTTATCTGGATAGGATCCCCCATTGTCTAAACAAGTCTTATCCACACTCCTCTTGAGGTTCTTAGCACATTACCCGGAAGACTGAACCGCATGGCTGCAGCTACCAAAATCCGTAAGCCCAGATGGTTTCTTTTTCCAGTTCCCTCTGTCCGATACTACATCCCCCGCTCTTCCCTCCCACCCTCAATCTGATGCCTGCTCTTTCCAGCCGCGCGAAGTCTCAACGGCTGCTGGACGTGTCGTGTCCGTCGGAAGAAATGCGACGAGACCCGTCCTGCATGCACCAGATGCATCTCTCTGGACCTGGAGTGTCACGGCTACGGACCGAGACCCTTCTGGATGGACAACGGAGCTTTGCAGAACGAACAGGCCTCCAAATTTCGGCAGATGGTCAGCCAAGCTCGGTCCAGAAAGCGAAGGCAGAAGCTGCTTCTTTCGACTCGCTCATCGGGGCGCAATCCTGGTAAGGATCCAGACCTATGGACATCCTGGAAAGTGCCCGCGCTAAATGTATTCCCTGTAGCGTACCCATTCTTTAATGCAGCCCAGGAGGAGTTCCATGATCTCCCCCGAGAGAGCGATCTGGCCGCCTTTAATGCCCTAGCGTGCAGTGCTCCGATCCAACACCATCCCATCCCCACCACCGAAGCCCCCTCGATCTTTTCGGATGAAGACTTTGCCGTGTCCCCGCTCTTCTCCAAGAACATGGAATGGGCGCAGAACTCATCCTCACCCGCATCGTCTGTAGAAGGACTGCTGTTAACCCCCAGCTTGCACGGGCTGCACGAACCCGGGATTGTATGGGGGGGCATGGTGTCGCCGGAAGATCTTGGACTGGCCACGAGTAAAACAACCTTGTCGGACCTTGACGATCTGATGTGGAGCGCATCCCTGGATAGTCCCCACTTCCAGGAGGCTACTTTGCCTACCGACCATGGAAACGGTAAACCTACGTCCGACATGCATGCGCTGGCTGCTGCAACCTGCGGACAGGCCATCTTGTGGCCAATGAGCCCCTCCGACTCCGCCATGGGAGAAAGAGCTGAGGATGAGTTACTGATGCACTATCTGGATCGGGTCTTCTATATCCAGTATCCGTTTTTCCACTCCCGAGACCGACGAGGAAGGGGTTGGCTCTTGTCGATCCTCCGACGAGTCAAGCCCGCGTACTATGCCAGTCTGGCACTCAGCGAGCGCGATCTTCTCTCAACCTCGCTCTCCAGAGATGAAATCACGACGCGACTGACTCAGTTGCGCGCCAAAGATGGCTACTACGATATGGCCCTCCAAGGGATGCAGCGTATTATGGCGGGTTCGTTTGGCTGGCATGCACCAACACATCTAGCAAACAGCCTCGAAGGTCTTATCTCGATACTCCAACTCCTGTTCTGGGAGGTAAGTGGCTCACCCAAGTGTTGCGATACGATCCAGAGAGCTGATGTTTCACCGGTTCCAGATATTCGCTGGTGGGACCAAGAACTGGCAGTGGCTTCTGCGCATGGCTGCTAATCTAATCCCTGCCCTGGTGCAGGCGCGGATGCCTCTTATAATGCCTGATGCAACAGGCCCAGCCTACCCCAGTGGACAGTCCGACGAACCAGGCCCGTCCTCCGAAGACAGATCTGCTGCCGATTTTCTTCTTGGTTCCTTCATATCATTAGACATCATCGCCGCTGCTTCAACTCGGCGAGCCCCTTTCTTGGAAATCGATCACGTTCAGGCGCTGGACCGCCTTGAGATCCCGTTAGAAACCCTGGTGGGCTGTCGAAACTCGATCATGGCCCTGATTTGTGAGGTCTCTGCGCTTGATCGTTGGAAGAAAGAGTCGGAGGTGGCGCGCAAGCTTAGTATCATTGATTTAGCGAAGCGTGGAGGGCAATTGGAGGAGCGTCTACGACAAGAGCTGGCCAGTCTCGAGCAGATGCCGGTGGCTGAACCGTCGGTATGGGGGCCCTCTCCGATTCCTGGCGCGTGTCCGACTCACCCGGGGATCAGCAAAGCTTTTGGTCTTGCGGCCATTGCCTACCTCCATGTTGTCATTTCCGGCGCACATCCCGAGCTGCCCGAAATCGCCAAGATTGTCTCCGAGATCATCGTGGTCTTTCAAACTCTCCGCGATCAGCGACTCTTACAAAATGTAGTCTGGCCCTTCTGCATCTCGGGATGCTTAGCGCTGGAGGAACACCAGCGTTGCTTTCGTGACCTTTTCGCGGCGTCCGAGGGTACTGAACCGACGGGCGGGACCCTTGGTGAGGCATATCAAGTGATGGAGGAATGCTGGCAGGCGAGGAAAAGTCGGTCATCGGATTGTGATTGGGTTTCGATAATGAATGAGCGTGGTGAATACGTGTTGCTTCGATAGAGTAGACCGGCGGACATAGACCATGCGACTTTAACGATAGAATAATGATGGAAACGAGTCATATATACCCAAATCAAATTCAATGAAACCAAATCATTTTCAAAAGACTTCGGAGTGATTCTGTTCCCCCAATGCCTGTATATACCTTCACTTTGGACCCCTATTCGGCCACCGTATCTTGTCGGGTCTGCCTTGCGGTGGTTCGCTTCGCTGCACGCTTAACAATCACACTAAACCCCAAACTGGGCGACGCTGGAACATTAGAGTGATGAGATGATGCATCCACGACCCATTGTCGAATCGAGCCTCTCATTGGCGAAGACGGCGAGGTCGTGTTTGGTGGGCGCCGGCGGTAGAGCTAACCAACGACCAGGATCTTCCGGCGCCAGCGACCGTCGTATGAATTAGTATTCTTCAGCTTTTACCAGCTTGGGGCTGACTGCTGACAGACCGGGTGGGGGTGACAAATCTCCGGCGTAATCAACGTGCCAATCCACTCACTAACTAATGCCCCTGCAGCCGCTTATGAATAAATGGCCCGACTGCAGAGTGGGTGGGAGAGAGAGAGAGAGTGGGAGAGTGAGGTGAGAGTGAGAGAATAGTAAGAGAGAGTGGGAGGGTCCGCCAGCCCTAGTGGCGGGGGCCGCAGTGGGAGCCTCCGGGCCTAACGGGTTGGGCCCCGGTGGGAGACTCCGGCGTCTCGCTCGATCCAGACCCTCTTCTTACTTCTTATATGCTGGATGGCAGCTGTCATCTTTCAAAATGTCCGAGAGTAAAGACGAGCATTTCAGTGAACTTGGTGTGGTCCTGTTTACACCTCCTTTTCCGTTCATCCTCAATCCTCTCCCTCTCCTATCCCTCCTCCACCTCCACCCTCACCCTCTACTATGGCTGCAGACGAGAGCCGAGAGGCTGCCGTGATGAACCCGGCCTACGACAAGGAAGAGGGCCAGCTCTCGGAAAAGTCCGCTGCCTCCAACCTGGATTCCGAAGACCAGCTGCCCGCTCCCAAGGGAGACGAAGATGCTCCCCGTGAGATCTCGGGCTGGAAATGGGTCATTGTCGTCATCGCCATCTACAGCTCCCAATTCCTCTTCGCCCTGGATAACACCATCGTCGCCAATATCCAGCCGACCATTGTGGAGGACTTCGATGCCGTGTCCAAGCTGTCCTGGATCAGTGTTGCCTTCCTCATCGGTGCCGCGTCGACCAACCTGGTTTGGGGAAAGATCTTTGCCAACTTCAACGCCAAATGGACCTACATCATCTGTATTTTCATCTTTGAAGTTGGATCCGCCGTCTGCGGTTCAGCGCCCACCATGAACGCCTTCATCGTTGGCCGTGCCATCTGTGGCTTCTCGGGAGCCGGCATGTATGTCGGACTGATGACCATGTTGGCCGTCACCACCACCATCAAAGAGCGTCCCACGTACATTGGCGGTGCGGGTTTCACCTGGGGTGTTGGCACGGTTCTGGGACCCATCATTGGTGGTGCTTTCACCGACTCGTCTGCCGGCTGGCGTTGGTCGTTCTACATCAACCTGTGCATCGGCGCTGTCTGCGCCCCTGTCTACATCTTCATGCTCCCCAACAAGGATCCTCGTCCTGGAGTCAGCTTGGGCGACCGTGCTCGTGAGATCGATTACCTGGGTGCGGTCCTGACCATTGGCGCTTTCATTTCTGGCGTCATGGCCATCTCCTTTGGCGGTGCCACTTACGCATGGGACTCGGGCAAGATTATCGGTCTCTTCTGCTGTTCGGGAGTGCTTTTCATCCTGCTGGGCATCCAGCAGGGCATTCCATTCCTCACCACCAAGGAACGCCGTCTGTTCCCCGTGGAGTTCTTGCGGAGCCGCACCATCTTGATCCTGTTCGCCATGACGGCCGCCGGTGGTACTCTCATCTTCCTCCCCGTCTACATGTGCCCACTTTACTTCCAATTCACTCGGGGCGACTCTGCCCTCCAGTCCGGTGTGCGTCTGCTGCCGTTCATTATCCTGATGATCGTGGCTGTTATCGGGAACGGTGCCATTCTTTCTGCTCACGGTCTGTACATGCCGTGGTTCCTCGCGGGCGGCATTCTCTGCCTCATCGGCAGCGCCCTGATGTACACCGTTACCGCGACGAGCTCGATCGCCAATATCTACGGATACACGGTCCTCATTGGGTTCGGCGTCGGTCTTTTCTCGCAAGCATCCTTCTCGATCGCTCAAGCCGTCGCGGAGCCTCGCATGGCGCCTTCGGCCGTCGGGTTCATCACCTGTGCGCAGATCTCGGGCTGCACCATTGCCCTGGCCATTGCCAACGCCGTGTTCCTCAACCAGAGTATCCAGGGCGTCAAGGCCATTCTTCCCAACATTGACTCCACGGAGGTGGAGCAGACCATTACCGGAACCGGGTCTCAGCTCTTCGACAACCTCACCCCGGCCGTCAAGCAGGAGGTGCTGGAGGCCATTGTGAAGGCGCTGAACAATTCCTACATCCTGTCCATGGTTGCCGGTGCATTGGTGGTTGTGTTGAGTATTTTCATGAAGCGCGAGAAGCTCTTCATTGCTGGCGGAGCTGGTGGTGTTTAAGCAATTCTGGGGGCAAAGGAAGCTAGGGGATTAGGGCAGGGCAGGACAGGAGTGGTGATGGGCTCCTGATTTCTTGCAATAGATACATTTGTTTACAATGTACTTAGAACGGGGCGAATCTCTCTTCAAAACGCTGGGTTATATATATACCAGCCATGGATCCATGAGCCATGGGATTTTTAATGTGACGAACTTTTTATGATCAACTCCTCCATCCACTGTAATCTCCCCACTTTGCTTCCTAGCAGAACTAAACACCATTCATTAATCTCAACCCTCCTCATAGCCACAAATCACCTAGACGAGACAGTGGACGCATCCAGCTCAATGCAGTCACCAGATTCCCGTAAACCACCATGCTCTCGTCAGAACGGCCAGCCCATGACTACAAGCGCTATGCAACCATGCCCAACGGTCATCATTGCCACGTTCCTGTACCATGTGGCCAGCCATGCGAGACGTGCCTCACTAGCTCTACCGCGCAAAGCCACGCTGACTGCTCGCCTTACCGCGCAACAGAAGGATGCTTAGCCTTACCGTCCAAGACCAGAGCCTCCTCAGCCCCGTTGCCATGGCTCGACCGTTGCAAGCGACTGGCCGATCTGGGGCCTTTTAGCTCAACCGCCAGAAGCTAATGCAGACTGAAGCGGGTCCACGTGGCGAGGAAGGAAATGCAGGATGGCGCATCGCCGTTTCTCGAACCCTTGGCTTGCGGCTTACCCACCAGATACGAGTGGGATGACTTGACCAGGGTGCATATCTATAGAGCCAGGGTCATGCAACCAGAGGAAGAGAGATAGACTTCTCCCTACCCAGCTCTCCGAGTCCTGGTTGACGCGATACCCCCGAATGTCAATGTCAGTGTCAACGACAACATGATTTCCTACTACGAGATTCAGGACTCCCGCCAACCGGCCACCCCCATCTCTCCCCCCACCTACCAGGCCATCAAGGGTCACGAACACACATCCTACCAACCTATCCAAGACCCCGAGAGCGCAGCCCGGTACTGGCAAGACCTATTTCGCCCCGTCGGAGCCCAACCCCAGCTCCACTCCTTCCCTCTCGACCACCAATGGCCTCGCTCAGAAACAACCATCAGGGCCCCTGAGCACCTCTTCGAAGCCGCTCTGGAATTCAGCGGCAGATACGACATTCGGTTAGACGATCTGATTTACGGGATATGGGCCTTGGTGTCCATTCGACACACGGCTGGCGGCCAACGCACCGCCATCTTCACGGTTGCTGGCCGGGATCGCTCATTTTTCGGATACGACGCAGTGAATGGTCTGGAGGGCCAGGATTTCCCCCTCGTTTTGTCCGTGCCAGAGGAGATGGATGCTCTATCGTGGATCCGTCATGTTGGAACCGTCAGCGCCAAAGCCTCGACGCATGCATACATTGGCTACAAGCAGATTCTTAAGAGGACGTCGGCAGGACACCCGCAAGTCAAGGTGTCGATTATCCAGGATGACAGTGAAGAAGAGGTCATGACAGCCGATGCCGACTTCCCCTTGGTGCTCAACTTGTCTGCCTCGTCGGGACTGAAGCTGAGCATGCGCCATAACCTGGCTGTTCCCCGGACAAACGTGCGCGTCCTTCTGGATCACTTTGCAGCCACTCTCCAACATGTGGTGGAGAACCCTCAATCCAACATCTCGGCCTTGAATATCACCTCCCCCGCCGAGAGACAGTTGATACACGAATATGGCAAAGCCGCGATCCGGGCACGCAGCGGGCTGGTGCATTCGCTGATCGAGAAACAGGCCCGGCTGAGGCCTGATGCCCACGCCATCCAGTTCGAACTGGATACCCCCATCTCCTATTCCACTCTTAATAAACGATCGAACCAGTTAGCTAGGTATCTTCGCCAATATGGAGCGTCTTATATCCCGGTGCACATGCGTACATCGGCTGACTTTATCATCGCTCTCCTCGCCATCTTGAAGGCCGGCGCTGCCTATGTGATCTTGGATCCGGATGCGCCAGCAACTCGCAAGTCCTTTATTGTTGAGGATGTCCATGCTGATTTTGTGCTGGTGGACTCGGATACTGCTGGCACGTTTCCTCGCGAACATAAGGTGAGGGATCTTCTGAGTGAGTCCATGGGCAACGATGAGAGCGACCTCGCCATCGATCAAGATGCCAACGACGTTGCCTACGTGATCTACACGTCCGGGTCTACTGGAAAACCCAAGGCAGTTTTGCTGGAGCACCAGGCCGCATACAATGGTCTTTTGGCTTTTCCCCGAATGACTGATTTGCGCCAGTTGCTCTTTTTCAACCCGGTTTTTTCGGCGGCCCAGCGATCCATCTGGGCCACTCTGAGTGTGGGTGGGTGCTTGTGTCTGGCTAGCAAGGCCAATCTTACGGTCCATATTGCACGAACGATCAACAGCATGCACATCAGCTCGGTCGACATGACCTCGACTACTGCAGCCCTGCTCTCGCCGGAGAGTGTCCCCTCTCTTCGACGCATGGTGCTGGGAGGCGAGCTGGTGAACCCGGCGGTGGTGCAAACCTGGGCACACCGTGTGGAGCTCCTCTCGTCCTACGGCCTCAGCGAATGCACCCAGCTCAACTGGCGCTACAGACTGCAGGGTGACCAGAGTTCGCGCATCATCGGACAGCCATTCGACACCACGACCTCGTATATCCTCACCCCTGGAACCACCACCCTGTCACCACTCCTCATCCCGGGAGAGCTCTGCCTTGGAGGTGCCCAGCTGGCCCGGGGATACTTGAACAACCCCGATGAAACAGGACGGCGCTTTATCCCGAACCCGTTCGGGCAGGGCAAACTCTACCGAACCGGCGATATGGCAGTTCGTCATGCGGACGGGTCGATTGAGATGATCGGACGAATTGATTTCCAGGTGAAGATCAACGGACAGCGCGTTGACCCGGCCGAGCCCAACGCGGTGATTCAATCCTTCGAGGAAGTCAAGCAGTCGGCCGTGGTTCCGGCCACGCTGGGCGGCAAGACAGCCCTGGTGGCCGTGATCGTGAGTCGCGCCGACGGCGACTGGGAATCTCTGGTCGGAAACCTTCGCTCGTACGTGGCGACCAGAGTGCCGCTTTACATGGTTCCTGGATTCTGGATTCCTATGGCTGCCCTGCCTCTCAACGCTAATGGAAAGGTCGACATGCCGGCCATTCGCAAGATCGTCGAGGATCTCGGTCAATCCGGTCAACTGATGCCCGATCGGCCGAAGCACGAGACAAACGGAGTCAGCCTGACTGATAACGAGAAGGTTATCAGGAGTGTTTGGGCAAGGTTTTTGTCTTTTTCTGAATCGGACATCTCCTCCGAGGACTCGTTCATCTCGTTGGGCGGCACATCGCTTGAGGCTATCCAGGTCGTGTCGCAACTTCAAACCGAGCATTCCTTGATCCTACGAGTTGAGGATATCATTCTTGCCCACTCATTGTCTGATGTTGCGAGCCTCATTCAACAGAAGCCCGGAGCCAAGGTGGTCAACGGTCATGCTGCCCCCTTTGCGCTGCTTCGCGAGACCCCCTCCCTGGAACGCTTCGGCATCAACCTCGCTGAAGTCGAAGATGCTTTCCCCGTCACGCCGTTCCAAGAAGCCATCATCGCCAACACGATGATGGGGGGTACTAAGTACATCTACAGTCGCTCTTACAGCTTCGCTGGACACAGCTACGATGCTGTCAGGAATGCCCTGGTGTCGTTGATGAAATCTGAATTGTTCCTTCGATCGACATTTGTCCCAGACGGGGTTTCATTCATGCAGGTGGTTCAGAAAACTGCAGACCTCCCCTGGGAGTCTTCTCAGATGGATCTGAAAGCGTACATGCAAGAACAGATCTCCAAGCCAATGCAGGCCGGCGGACTGTGGTGGAGAGCCGCTGCATTGCCAGGAAACATCCTGGTCATCACCATCCACCACGCCCTCTTCGATTACTGGTCCAGCGAGTTCCTCCCGGAGGACCTCACGTCTCTCCTTCTGGGATCAGCTCCCGCTCAGCGACCTGCTTTCAGTCGCTATGCGGAGCACCAGCAGCAACACGACGAGGTCACCATGCAGAAGTTCTGGAAGGGGTATCTTGATGGTGCGGTGCCTACTCGGCTTGGATCTCATACCGAGCACCAGACCATGGTGGCTGCTAATTTGGGTAATGATATGAAGGCCACAGCATCCAATCTCAAGGTCACTCCTAGCATGCTTCTGTATGCTGCGTGGTCTATTGTCCTCTCTCTTACCGGTTCCACGGACGACGTGGTCATGGGTGTTACGCTCTCTGGACGCGAGGCTCCCATCCCTGGCATCCTTCAGATGAGCGGTCCTACGTTGATGATTGCTCCTCTTCGGGTCAAGGTCAACAAGGCCAGCTCGTTCGAGGCTCATCTTGGGGCTGTCCAGTACAGTCTGTGGGATGTTGCCAGACATGCGCAGTATGGCCTGCGCAAAATCTTGAAAGTCAGTCGCCAGCCCAAGGATCTGTTCGATACGACGGTCAACTTCCTGATCAAAGTGGCGATGCCAACTCCACCGGGAGGATTGAAAGTCTTGCCTGAGAAGAACTACGGCACTCACGATTATATCAAGCTGGAGCTCAGCAACGACAGTTTGGATCGCATCACTCTGTCCTCGACGCTTGACCCGGCATATGCGCAAATGCTGGTCGATTCCGTCGCCGTCATCTTGCAGACAGCATCCGATGCACCACTCACCAAGCTTGGGCAATTGGAGTTGGTGCAGTCGACGGGTAGAGTAATCAGTGGACTGGAGAAAGTGGTTGATGGACCGGTGGAAGAAGTTGCACACAGCGAACCGAGGTATGCATCCAAGACCGAGGATCGGAGCTCTACCTCGACATATCAAGATAACGAACTCGGACATTCCGCGTTCCATCGGATTGCTTGCTCCTATCCATCGAGAACGGCCGTGGAAGACGCAGCTGGAAACAGCATCACCTACGCGGGCATGGCAATCAAGGTCAACCAGCTCGCCGGCTTGTTGAGAGCCAAGGGTGTGGTGCTGGAGCAGGTGGTGCCCCTTTTGCTGGAGAAATCCATCAGCACCATCGTGGCTATGCTGGGTGTGCTGGTCTCTGGGGGTGCTTTCCTGCCCCTTGGCCCTGAGAACCCTCGAGAGAGAAACCTGGGTATCATGGAGGACTCAGAAGCTAAGGTCGTGATCACGGATCGACAGAACGCGAGCTTCTTTGATGACCTGGTGTACGATGTGATTATCATCGATGCCTTGGACTGGGAGACGATGCCAATCAAGCGAGAGATTGTGCCAGAGCTCCGACCTGATAGCCTGGCCTACCTGATCTACACCTCAGGCAGCACTGGCAAGCCCAAGGGAACTCTTCTCACGCACCGGGCCCTGGCCACGGCCGTGGAGGGGATTATCGAGTCCACCAACATGGACAACTCCCACCGGATTCTGTGGGCGCTGAACTACACCTTCGATGGGTCGTTCTTCTCGCTCTTCGCGGCCCTGGCCACCGGCTGCACGCTGTGTGTTGCGCCGCAGAGCACCATCGTGGCCAACCTGGCGGGCCTGATCAACTCCATGAAGGTCACTGCTGTCTGCGTGACTCCCACCATGGCTGGTCTCTTCCATCCCGACGACGTTCCCACGCTGGAAGTCCTGGCCACCGGCGGAGAGCCCGTCACGCCTCACATGCAGACGGTCTGGGCACCACGCATCCCGGTTTTCAGCGCATACGGGCCCACGGAGGCCACGATCTGTGTGACCACCACCGCCGTCACTCCGGACATGAACCTGCGCAACATCGGCCGTCCCTATCGGAACGTCACGGCGCAGATCCTCGATCCCGACACCCTAGAACAGGTCCCATTCGGCGAAGTGGGCGAGCTCTGCGTTGCCGGACCGCAGCTGGCAAGAGGATACTTGAAGCGCCCCGATGCCACCGACAAAGTGTTCCGGAACCAGCCTGGTGGCCGGATCTACCAAACGGGCGATCTGGCGCGGTGGCTACCGACCGGCGAGATCGAGCTCTTTGGCCGCAAAGATGACCAGGTCAAGATCAATGGCTACCGGATTGAACTGGGCGAGATTGAGAGTGTCATTATGCAAACTGGGCTTTTCAACCAGTGCGCCGTTATTGCAGCCAATGTCCTCAAGAAGAAGCAGCTCGTCGCCTTTTGCTCGGCATCCGCCCCAGTCCCCGGGGAGGCCAAGATGAAGCTTCTGCCCCCGGCACAGGCGCCCAACATGGAGGAGGTCAAAGAGCAGCTGATTACGCTCCCCAAATACATGGTGCCTTCAATCTGGCTTCCTCTCTCGGACTTTCCTCTTATGGTCTCGGGCAAGATCGATCGCAAGCGCTTGCTGGCCCTGGCCGAGGGCATGGCTGACGACGAGCTGAAAGAGTATCTGCCCGCCGAAGAGGTGTCGGAGATCAGCACCGACGCTGAGCGCAAGTTGCAGCTGCTCTGGTCCAAGCTGTTCGACACTCCCGCCGAGGACATTCACGCCAACTCGACCTTTCACGCCCTGGGCGGCGATTCCATCTCTGCGTTGAACCTGGTCAGTCTCCTCCGCCAGGATGGATACAAAGTTCGCGTGAACGACATCCTGACCAGCCGCACCCTACGCGAGCAAGCCACCCTGCTGGTCGATGAATCCGAGGCTGTCGTTGCTGCTGCTGCTACGCCAGCCCCCGTGCCGGCCGTCGCCTTCCAGGCCACCGACGCCATGTACGAGCGTCTGTCCCAGATGGGCGTCTCCCGAAGCGATGTGGAGGACATTTACCCCTGCAGCCCCGGTCAGATCGAGTTCCTGACCCAAGGCAACAAGCAAGAGCAGTTCTGGCAACTGATGGCCGTTCGCAGTCTGCCAGCCGACCTCGACTTCGACCAGTGGATCTCCCTGGCCATGACTCTCACGCAAAACAGCCAGATCCTGCGTGCTCTGTATCTTTACGCCGATGACCAGCGTGACCCCCGGACCGCCGTCCAAGTGGTGCTCAAGGATCCCTCCCTCAACCTCACGTACCACACTTACCACACCGACGAAGAGAAGGAGCAGATCATCTCCGCCGACTGGGAGCAGCGCTTCGACCCCTCGAAGCCCTTTGTGCGCTACACCCTCCTCACGCACGCCTCCACGGGCACCCGCGACCTGGTCATCAAGCTCGACCACGCCTCCTACGACGGCACTCTCCTGCACATCTTCGACGACCAATTCAAAGCCCTGGCGCGCAACTCGCCACTTCCCCCTCTCACCCCCTTCAAAGACTACATCAACTACACCTCCTCCATCCCCAAACAACCCCAACTCACCTACTGGAAAAACCTCCTGCCCTCCTCCCCCTTCACCTTCCCCTCCCAACTCACCAACCCCAAACTCTCCCGCCTCGAAACCCGCCCCATCAGCAGCACCATCGGCATCGACTCCCTCGCCACCACCGCGGGCGTCACCGCACCCATCGTCTTCCAAACCGCCTTCTCCCTCCTCCTCTCGCACCTCAGCTCCTCCCACGCCGTCACCTACGACAACCTCATCACCGGCCGCAACGTGCCCCTCCCCAACCCCCAACTCATCGACGGCACCTGCGCCAACTTCCTCCCTTTCCACTCCACCATCGACCCCTCCCAACCCATCACCGATCTGCTGCAATCCACTCAGCGCGCGTTTTGGGATGCCTCGGAGAACGGCCTCGTCTCGCTCAGCGATATCTATGATGCCTTGGACATGGATCGCACTACTGCCGCGGCGAAATGTCTCTTCTGCTTCCAACCCTTTGACCCCGTTTCGGCGGGTGAGTTGGAGGATTCAATGCGGTGGATCGTCATGAAGATGAGTAAGAACAAGATGTTGTTTAATTATGCGGTGCAGTTGGAGGTGGTTAAGGCCAAGGGGAAGGGCGAGTATGTGTTGCGGTTTGCGTTTGATGAGCGGGCGTTTCAGAGTGAAGAGGTCACGAGGGCCTTGGATTGGTATGTGGGGTGCTTGGAGGGAATGGCCGGGGGTGAGGTGGTGGGGGAGCTGGGGGTGTAACTTTCTTTTTCCATTGTGTGCCTTTTGTGTTCATTCTGTCTTATATGTTTGGAAGAATTTGTGTACAGCTGGGAGGGAGTGTCTAAAGAGTTTCTGGTGTTGGTGTTGGTGTTGGCGTTGGGATACTTACATAGTACCTTACCTTTACAGGGTAGATTTCCTTTTCTCTTTGGCGTGGTTAGCGTTTGTTCTGGTTCAAGTTTGGGTTTCTTATGTTTAGATTACATACAGTATATACTAGATTGGAACATATACATGAAATCATACCCCTCAAGTACATCCTCCAAGTGACATCCCAGAGAAGTAAGACGAAACGAAAGTACTAAAGAGACTTCTCGTATCCTTGCTTTCAATAGATACCCTTTTTTCTATTAATGTCCCTATTTATCTATCTATCTATCTACCTTACCTACTACTACCACTCAATACAGACCGTTTCTTCCCACTATATTTAGAACAAGGATTTAATTGATGTGTTCTAACCAGGCCGATTCAAACAATACCAATCTATCGCAAATGAGTTATGAGAAACCAGGGTATGACTACTATTTAAGGTCTAAGGGCAAATTGATTAAACGAGGATGGAAAGTCGTATGGGGGTGGGGGGTAAGTCACTACTTACTTTGGTTTGGGTCACAAAAAGGGTAACTTAGATTCTATAGATAGGAAGTAGATGGAATGCGTTGGGATGGTTCTGGGATTTTACTTTATCTATTTATGTATGTATGTATGTATTGGGCTTTTTCGGTGATACTTTGTGTATGATTCTTGTTTTGGAATTGCTTGCTTCAGTGATACTTTACTTTACTTTGCTCTTAGTATTGGTAATTTTTGAGTATGAAGTGTATTGTCATAGAGAGTATCTTATTTTCTATCATGATCGTAAACCTAACCCCGAACATAAGAAACCATATACTATAAATAAAGAATATTCATGTATTCATAACCATTTACGCCTTCTGTCCAACAAATACAAACCGACGGACCTTCCATGCCACGCCTCCTCTTGCTTCCACAACGGCCTTATCCAACAGGTCGCGGAATACTTGGTTCTCTTCCCCGGGAACCTTGCTGATCAGTTCCCCGAACAATCCCAGGTAGTTCATCTGGTCGAGAATCAGGGTGTATGCGTCGGGGGAGAATTCATCGCGCAGGACCTGTTGAAGGCCTTGCTCGGTGAGGGTGTCGGCGAGGTGGACGGACCAGCTATTGTTTGTTAGATTATCTTAGGTTGGGGGTGGGGGAGCGATGGACTTACGTGGGTGTCTTGGATCTGAAGCGAGTGTCGATCCTCTTCATCAGGTCTTCCGAGTGTTCGGAGACAGTGGCAGGGTCACTCTTCACCAGGGGACGGTTGCCTGCGTCGTCGTTGGGTTCTTCCCATTGGAGGTAGCCGCCGGGTTCTGCGTTGGTTAGATGATATGATACGAGGATACAGGGGTAAGGGATGGGAAGCTACTCACTGACGAGCTTCATCAAGTTCTGGATCACAGGAAGAGGATCACCACCGGCTTGGAGGACAACCTGGACGAGGAGGCGAGCGTGCACGACATCGTACTTGTTGACGTACTCGGCGGGAATGTCTTGGAGAATGTTGAGGTGGCTGAGGGTGACATTACGAGGGAGGAAACCAGGGGCGGGGTATTGTTCGCTGGAGATGTCGAAACCGTGGAGTTCGGCATTGGGGTATTGGCGCTGGAGGTCCAAAAGCCAGACACTGGGCTGGTTAGTTTGGATAGGTGGTGGGAGGTGGTCGGACTCACCCCGTGCCGGTGCCAACGTCAGCTATGGAGATGTTGTCGCCGGAGAGCTTGATGGAAGGGTGGAGAAGGTATCCGATGTTCTCTTTCCAGATATAGTGCTGGAGGTTGAGGCGGGTGGAGGCGATGACATCGCGACCAAGTCTGTAGGGGTCGGAGGCGGCCATTGTGATTGAGGCGATAGATAGGATGAAAGGAAGAAACGGGATGATGCGAATAGCTGATGGTTGATGGGCTGATAGATAGAGATGAACAGAGGGTTGAATGATCTTTAAATCACTCTGAGATCAATCCACAAGATCCTGAGGCTGTTCATCCCACGTGGGTATAGATGTAGATGCGGAGGGATCCAATCAAGCGGGATACCGCAGGAGTAGCTCTCCCGCCGGCCGTTGGGGCTGCATCCTTAGCGTTGCCGCGGACAATGCTGACGATATCTCCATCCGCGCGTCTGGAACACCATCCTTCTGGCTGACACCTGCGCGCAGGAATACGAGAGGAATATGGATGGGCATGCTCATGGCCTGATATGGCCTGGATATGGCCTGACTCGAGACTCACGATGGACACAACCCGATAGTCATTCGCGACGTTTAAAAGGTCATAGCAGCTGGTTGTGAAAAAGCATCCTCAGCCAGCACACGAGCTTTCAGAGTACCGTTGATCATCACCCATCCACAAACATCTTCACGATCCCATCATCATGTCTGAAGTCACCAACTACCCCCTCATCGAAGGCATCGACATTCACAATGCCGATGCCGCACACGAAGCCAACGCTGCCTTTCTGCGCAACTTTCCCATTGACCGGAATGTCTTTCGCCTCTATGCCCGTTCAACCGGCACCTTTCTCCCCATCATGGAGACCCTCGACGCCATCCTCAACGGTGACAAGCGCACAATCCAGCTCCTGGACTACCAGCTCATCGTCCTCCGCATGACCGGTCTGATCAAAGCCGAGTACCTCTTCGGAATCAATGAGCCCATCTCCCGCATCAACGGGCTGGGAGACGAGAAGATCGAGGCCCTGCGCAAGGGACTGACGTCCAAGGAGCTGATTGCCATGGGTACATGGACGGAGCGGCAGCAGTGTATTTTGACTCTGGTGGAGGAATCGATTCGCACATACGATAACAACGAAGAAACGATCCGGTGGGCCAAGCGCATTATGTCGGATGATGAGGTCGTGGAGTGCTTCATCGTCCTGGGCTTCTATACCACGATTGCGCGCATGACGAAGGGATTGCGGGTGCAGAAGGACCCTGTCATTCCCCATTTGTCCCAGGCGATTGTGGACACTATCACGAAGAATGACAAGGAGGAGTAGTTTTTGGTTGGAAGATGAAGGATGGATGGAATGAAGTGTGGGGGACTGGATTTCTCACGAGGCTGTTTTGTTCTGTTTGCTTTCTGTTTGTTGCTGACCAAAGCGAGTATCTATCTGTATGATGTATGTATCGAGAATCGAAATCTCATATACTTGTTCACTTCAAACTAACCAGATGTTATGTCATGAATCGTCAAATATCCAGCTAGATGCCTAGGTAATCTCTTGGGATAAAGATAAGGTCGTATCACGAACAGCAGATGGTTATCCTTCCAGTCAAGTAGATACCAAAGACACTCGGAATGGTCATGTTTCTACCAGTCTAATTAGTTCTGCTATTACAAGGTCTATGTAGAGGCTCGTCAAGCATGGTTTAAGCTGAACAGTATGTAAGCATGTTGGTAATAGCACGAAACTAAACACTACTATTTTGCAGTCCTATGTGTACAAACAGTCACTCAAGGTGAAGCCACACGTGACACGCAGGGCTGCTTTTTCCCAGACATGGTCAACCTGTCAGTGTGTTTCTCAACAATATCTAACACATACAATTTTGCAACCATCGACCATGTTAACATTCTTGCAGACGTTATACGCCCCGCTGCTCTACACCTTCAAGCTCGTTTCCTATCCAATAGATGTCGTGTTGGGCTTCCTAGGTAGAGCATGGGGAGCAACTTGGAAACTATTCGGATATGACACCAAGGTCATGGACCAAGATCCTCTTCTAACTTATCGGACTGTGAGTATCAGTTGACCCCCTTCACCCTAGAGATGTGAACTCATGAGTGCCAACGCAGGCCGAATTTCCACCTGACGCATTCAATGTACCGGACTATCCTCCTAACACCACTGTCATCTCTTGCCATGGATACTACCCACCAGGGGTTAGTAAAGTCATTGGCCGTGGTGGTTGGTGCTACATCGGCCTCATCGACGACTCGACCGTCCTCAAATACCCAAAAATTCCCGGGGAAGGCGACAACATCAAAGTCGAAGCCCAAATTCTCAATATCCTTGGATACCATCCCCGGATCATCAAGTCCCACGGGCTGACTGATCACGGTCTCGTACTGCAGTATGCTCTCAAGGGAAATCTCGACGAGTACATCACACACAACCCAGATGTTTCTGTTGAGCAGAGACCACATTGGTGCAAACAGACCGCCGAAGCAGTCAGTTATATCCATGAAAAGAATGTTATGCACTGTGATATGGGTCCTCGGAACTTGTTGCTCGATGATGATCTTGACATCTTACTTGCGGACTTTCAGGGGGTGTTGAAATCAGCCGACGGCAGAATATTACTTGACGGGTTATCTTGGGAGTATCCTAAATACTATTGTCCCCGGGCACATTGCGACTACATTGATGTCAAGACTGATGTTTTTGCTCTCGGTTTTGTAATATATTCCATTATTATGGGCCATGAGGTCTTTCCGGAATTGAACAGCTGGGAGCACGATGAAGAGATCGAAGCTCGCTTTGCCAACGGGCAGTTTCCTACAGACAGACACCCGTGTTTCGAAATTACAGAAAAATGCTGGAAACAGTTGTATGAGTCTGCTGGCGATGTTGTTGCTGATTTATCTCAGATACAGCTATCAGATTGAATGAAGGGGGATCTGAGAGAACTAACGGCTTGGTCGATTAGATCACATCACCCCTCTGCTCACTCTGCCTCTCTTATTATTCTATCTTTTTTTGCCGCTCCATCAGCAGAAAACACCAGATATTGGTACGTTCAATATCAACATCTCGGCCAGATTCCGATTCTCCTAAGGATCATCCCACAGTACTGATCCTTGTATCCTCCACAGTTTGGCCTACCGCAGGGCGGGAGAGGGTCGCGATGGATGTCCGTATGCTTAGGTTGCGCAGTGCAGCTTTGGAACTTGAGAACATAGATGAGTCGGGTACGGGAGAGGTCGACCTGAGCCTTGTGAAAATCTGTATTTCTTTTTTCTTAGGGTCTACGGATGGTGTACTTAAAGATCAATCCTCACCTTGGATTTACTCAAAACGGTCGTGGGTAGGTAGTGTGGTCAGTTGGTCCGAAGACCAATAGTGAAGAACATCTGGGAAAGTGGCCTTTTGAGCCCCAAGTGAATGGCCATCCCTGTATTCCAAGCATAGTTGTAAAAAATAACTACTCCCTAATTAATGCCGTTAACTCACGTAATACTACTCGACAATGCACAGGGAGCAATAAATCCAATTACGGACCTAATTCTATGTTGGCGGCAAGCAGGGTCCTCGATTTTCTGAAAGACATAAGACTGAATCACATAGCATCATATAGGTGGGGGCCGTCGATTGTTATCAAGCATCCAGTCATAGATCTTATACCTCTCCCGTTGTTCACTTGTAATTGTGTCCTCTGTGTCCTTGTACTGAACCTCAAGCCAGGCTTGCCATGGCCAGTTAATCCATTCAGGAAAGAAACCCTGATGACCGTAAAAGGCATTCCATCTGAGTAAAGGACTAATTGCAACACCAGGAAAATATCGATTTTCTTCCCTGCTGTCAGAAGGGAAGCGAGATCTTCCAATGACCGACATTCCCAGGTCGATGATAACTATTCTCAGTTTTCCCGAGTTATGTCGTTTGACCACGACATTCCGTGGACGTAAGTTTAGATGGCGAACATCTTTGGCGTAAATTGAAGACTCCCCGGCAACTATCTGTTTCATGATCTCCTGACGCTCTTCGCGTGGGAATGTTTCGGGTTTGAGGCTATCCATAGATGGACCATCGACTCGCTCAATCAGAATTAATCGTACCAGGCGAAAACGCTCACCAATATTTATCCTCAAAGTGTAGGATCCAAAAAACCGAGGAATAACAACGCCGTGTAGGGCTGAGAGATGCATGTACGCGGCGCATTCATGCGTATACTGATAATCCGTTCCAAAGAAAGGGTATTCCTCAAAGTCGTCATATAATGGGTCGTAGAATTTGGCGACCATGTCCTGATCATTTGGTATATGTGGAGAAGAGGAGCTATTCATGCATCTGACAACGAATACCTGGGATGTCTTTTCGTGACCGACTTGGAGTTCCTGAATTAACTTGATGGATATGGAGTCGCTACCGTCTGAGCCGGGCAGTGGGGGTTCTGGAGACATAGCTCTGTGGGAGATAGGTCCAAACGGGCGTGACTGGTGAGCTCACTTTTGGGTATTGGGGGCGGAGGAATGTGGGACTGGATGGTTATTGAGTTGTTGAGGCAGTAGGGGAATGACTTGTAGTGATGAAATTCCATGGTGGAAAGAAGGTGGGTGCTGTTGATGGGAGAAAGAAGGGATGGTAGGGGACGGCGTTGTGTAGATCATTCAGTCCACGTGAATTAGATTTGGCGGCATTAGTCATAATTACCTGAGTGATTACCCTAATTTTCTGGAAGCAAATTAAGGTAGATTCAGAAAAGGTATATCGCTGGCACCTAGTAAGTTAAATAAGGACCAGCCCTCCTGGATTAGTATTGACATTGTACTCAGAATGCTTAATCTTCATGTCCAAATTGTGTTTATCTACATTCTAGTCCGTATGGCCAGTATAGTATCTGGTGAGCCCGGTACTCCGGCCGGGTGACACAGCCTACCTGCTGATCCATGGGCGAATTGGTAAAGCTATTCCCCTAGGATAGCACCCATCTGTGGATACCAAAAGAAGTATTGGTCCCACTACGAAGCGCTATTCGCGGTTCGTCAGCCCTGGTCTGGCAGATGACGGGGATCGACAGGGGATATTGCGATTCAATTAGTTGATCTAAATGTTGATAAGGCTAGGAATTCAGTTTGAGTATACCAAACTAGATAGTAGCTCTGCTTTCCTTGTATCAATGTGTCAGCCATGTGGCTAGGAACGGTAGTGTTGTCTATAATATAAGAGCGAAAGCCGTTTGTTTCAGTGGGTATTTCCGATGTTGTCATTAAGGGAGGCGCTACAGCCACACCGGCATACTATAACCACACTTTCTGCTTACTCCACCTACTATATTAGGCTTACTTTTCATAGGCAGCAGGATCTTTACTGCTCGAAGGTATATATCTGAGAAACTATATTTATGCTTAAGGTTTCAAGAATGTTGAAGACTACTGACTAACTTGTTTGTTCATATTTAAAGCATTACATGAGATGCTATATAAAGTCTTTCTTACAGACCTAATTAAAGCCTTATTTGGGTCTTATTTGAGACCTTATGTCAAGCCCTATATGAAGTCTTCTGTAAGGCCCTATATAAATTCCTGCGTGAGGTGCTGCGTGAAGCCCTGTGTGAAGCATTGCATGAAGCGCTGTATAACTTGAAATCTTAAATAAGGCTCTGTGTAAGCTCCTGCATGAGATACTACTAATAATATATAATAGAATAGCCTACATAGTAGCTCCATTGTACAGATTGAGTAGGAGGATGTGTGGTTGTACCCTGGCCGGTGAGGCTGTAGCGCCTCCTATCATTGTCAGATGTTATATCAAGAGGCTCTGTCTAATCGGGTAATCACAGACCAGTCAATTCTAAGACTATATATTGCCCAAAACATGCAACACCCGCGAGTGCCTCGAAATCCAGTCCTCTTCCCGAAAATCATCCAACCCATCCACGTTCATATCTGCCAGAGCCCGGTCCCATGCGTCTTGGGTCGAGGCCTCCCATAACGCATGGTTTTCCGGAAGCGGGAACTGCAATTCATCGGCAGTTAGCAGTATGCTGCTCATAGAAACACCATCCACGGTCTCGCTTATTGCAGTAGAGCCATATATCGTTGTGCACACTTTGTACAGGGCGATGTTGAATCGTTTCACTTCTTCAATACTAACCAACATATATTGAGCAATAGCAGGTTCCTGATACTGCCGCAGGATGCGAGGATAGTAAAACATTCCCCGGTTGCGGCAGCTTTGGATAAGAGACTTGAGCAGTAGCTCGGTGTCAGTACGGAGCACGGAGGGCTTTAGATCCAGGCCAAGAGAGCCATGGGTTTTGTATATCAGGGAGAAGATAATATGTAATAAGATAGCCTGGTAGATGGGTATGGGCCACGACCCCGAATGAGGTATAAGTGAATCGGTGGCCGCATCCCACTTCTCCTGTAGACCGTGTTAGTGACTGGTGTATAGATTGCAAGATAGCACTATTTCTCCCACACCTTTTGCTGAAGGATCGCCGAGTTGAGCTGCTCATGCAGCTCGACGGCCGCACACCGCGCGCTCCTTTCGCCACTAGCCCATAAGCCAAGCACGACCATAGACTGGACTAACATGGGAATCTCATGGCGCACTCGAAATGTTCCTCGATGAACGAACGGCCAATGTGGGTGGAACAATTCGAAGAACAACTTGACAAATTGTTCTTCCTTGGACACTGTAGGCCGCGGGCTCACTGACCGTCGGGGTTCGGGCGCCGGGGAGTCCTCGCCCTCCCTGAGGGAGCAGCGGATGCCTCGATGCTGACACTCCGTACAAACTGGCTTTCCTTCGCACCGAGCCTTAATGGCCCGACAGTTGGCACAAGCTCGTCGGGCTCGATGGACGGGCTCATTCAGTTGATGCTTCACTCGCAGATGCCGACGAAGTGTGTCACTAAGGCGCGTTATTAATCGACAGAACAACAATCATGCACTTGCGCGCCCGCAAGCTGTGTTTTCGGTGTATACTTTCGTCCGAATTCCTGGCCACAGATTGAACATGGGAATGTGCGATCCTGGATATGTTTGGCTTCATGGCGGCGAAGGTGCTCTTTACGCCGGTAGCGGGCATCACAATTGGGGAAGCGACATACGAACTCCCCCAGCGGATCATTCCTGGTCAATTTATTCATGGCGGATGAAGGATCCATCACTCCGCGGACCGGGTAGGATAAGGTGGGAGGCGTGACGAGGACGGGGGGGATGCCCCGGACATGGTGAGGGATGGAAGAGTATACTGTGTAGAGGGCTGCCAAAGTTATGTAATGGCTGGCAGGTGGGCGCGCGCCTGGGTGGGATGATCCGACACTAGTCATTTAACAGCTGCAGCACCCTGCCTCGTGTCCACTTGACTGCTTGAAGGATAGTGTGTGATTTAGTCGACTTCGAGAACCACTAAACTAATACCACCGAAGTGCAGAACAATCTTCCCTAACTGCCATGGCTCATAAACTGGGGCAAGCGCGCACTGAATCCTGGTGCCTTACTAGTCTTACCGCACACGCTGGTCCAGCTCTCAGACCTTCCAGCTCTTTAATTTCGACGAATCGCGCTTGAACGCGAAGCTGAGGCTGCGCTCTAGACCATCCTGCCGATCGGGCTGCGCCACGGAAATGTCCCAGTCCATGTCGTCTGAGTATCTCTCCAGCGAAGACCCACCCAGCTCACCTCTGCTGCGCCCTAGGCGCTGGACCTTAGACTTGCGGATCCCATAACCCGGACCCATGATGTTCCCCAGATCAATCCGCCTGCTCTCTCGCATGCCGAAATAAAGACCGGCAACAACCAATATTACCACGCTGAGGCTCACCGGCAGACCAATGTATAGTGCTAACTTATTAAAAGGCGTGCGTGGAGGAGGTATGCGATGCTCCACTGGCTTAGGGTGGAGGAAGACTGTTGGACCCTGTCGGGCACTTGCCCGCTTGTCGGACACGGCGTCTAACTCGATGATATATAGGGTCAACGGATTTCGCTGCTTTCCCTGCAGCCATGCCTGATGCATATGAATGTGGGTATATCCGTAGCTGTTGTCTGTCTTGTCGGATGTAAATGCCGAATCGCCTTTTGTGGAGTGGGGGTATCTCAGCTCGATGGTGATCGTGGCATTCAAGGGATAGAAGTCCGCATCCCATGTAATGTAGTACGTCCCACCCACAGTCACATTCGCACCATCTTCTGGGAGACAGAATGGCCGGAAAGGGCCGCGAGGGTCAGTGCAGACAGGGAAATCACCCGGTGGTACTGTAGGGGTATAGGACCGCAGGTTCGATGTGGTTGTGTGATCCGGGGACTCGTTGTTCCAAGTTGTCACTGTTGGAGGCCCGCAAGGCTAAGTCAGACAAGATTGTACTCCTACCTGATCACCAGTACTCTCGGGAGCCCTCACCGTGAATATTCGTATCATTCTCATTAAAGATGGCGCCAACGTTCCCAGCAAACAGGGTAGTTGCCGCGGTTATCATGAGTAGAAACCAGGAGCTGAGGCTCCGCCAGGGGTGGATCATCTTCAGGATAGCTGCGATGCAATGTATATCGGGCGACAGAATATCCTTGACGTTATACACTATATATTCAGTAAAGGACCTATAGGTAGTACTGCACCTGTCGATGACATGCGGATAAGGCCGTGTATTTTAGTCATTGCGAGGACTGCAGTTGGTTGCTGCCGGTGATGCAGCAGGACGATACCGGGGAAGGTGCGATGATGGCTTGGAAGTGTTACCGTCCAGGAAACAGCAACCACGGCCGGTGAATTGTTTCTTCGTAAAGGTCACGCGTCTATCCAGTGCTACCAGTTCATCGAGGGTCATGCCACAGTATATTCCTTTTTCTTCTCGCTAACTTGCTCAGGCTTCGCAATAAAGACACCCCATTTTCTCTGACCGAATTCATCGCCGCAGTTCCAGACACAAAACCAACACAGTAAGTGAGGGAAGCTGTCTGGATGATGGCTCCACCGTTCCATTGGATTGCCCGGCGGCATCATTGTCACTGTCAACAAAACCATTGTGACCATCGCCACCTGGTGGTCAGTACCACGGATCCTCTTCAGCTTCATCCTCCAACACAAACCCACATTACAGACACCGTGCGCAGCCGCCAGTCAACGAGATTCAATACTTTGAGCAGCTGAGGCCCCGGGGTGCACCATGGGTGGTTCCAGAAGGGCGGAATCCCCGCTCCCGCGGCCGCTGGATCTCCGGCCTGCCATTTAGAGTTAGGCCACCTGTCGCGGACGCTTACGCCTATCGTGGCTGTTTCAACTCGACCTTCATCCCAAGTGCCTGTCCTCCCCTGCTGCCTGCTGTCCGTACTTTGGCTCTTGGAAAATCTCTTTTTTCTCTCCAAAGCGCGCCTGTTCATTCAATAACAGCCCAGGTTGGTGTTTTCCTTGTTTCCATCCGCCGGATGGAATAGATCTCCCGACCCCTGTACTGACCACGCGTCATCTCGGCTCCCAGCATCATGCGCTTCATCCAGGTCGTCGCCCTCCTCCCAGCGCTTGCTGTGGCTCAGGAGCAGGTTCCTCTCGCGGACCGTGTTCAGGGTTGGTTCAACAAGGCCAAGTCTTACTTGCCTACTGCCACCCCGGTCGTCCCCGCTGCCGTGGTTGAGAAGGTGGTCGAGAAGGCCGTCAAGATCCAGGAGAAGACCGTCACCCCCTTCAACGTGACAAACTGGCAGTCCTTCCTGGAACCATCTTCGGAAGCCCAGGATTGGTTGGTCTATGTTACTGGAGGAAACAAGACCTGCTTTGGTCGCTGTGACCAGGCGGACAAGTCGTTCAATGTAAGAAAACCCCAGAAAAAAAAGGGGGGCACCCACTTTGAGTCTAGAGGATAGTTGCTAATTTAATCTACCTTTTTAGGAATCCGTGCTCCTCTTCTCCGCCGATCCTACCTCTCCTAACCTCGGTAAGCTGGACTGCGAATCGAACCAGGTTCTCTGCTCTGCCTGGGGTGCCGGTACCCCTTCGGTCTGGTACTTCCAGGTTCCCCAGGCTCAGCTTGGTGAGGAACGCCCTCCTACCGCGCTTCACACCGTCTACCTCAACACGACTACTGTGACCCCGGAGACGATCTACAAGGTGCACTCTGAGAAGGTCTACGAGACGACCCCTGCTTACGAGGGTGCCCTTCACCCCACTGATGGCTGGCTTGCCCAGAACGGACTCCTGCTCCCTCTGGGTTATGTCATCTATGGATTCAGTGCGATCCCCAGCTGGCTCTTCATGATCCTCATCAGCTTCTTCAGCCGGACCTTCATGTAATCTTCCCCTTAGCCTTTTTTTCACGCAACTACTAATGACTTCACCAGGAACCGTCGCCTCGGAAATGTCGGTGCTCCCGTTCCCGCTCCCGCTCCTCAGAACTAGACGTCGCTGGTTATGGGACGATGGCGCTCCAATTTGCATGATCAGGATGTATATATAATGAAATAGCAGTACACCTTCAGGTCAAATTGGATACATCTTGGGTGATTCATTGTTATGGCGTTGCTCCTCTGATTAATGTATTCCTCTTACACGTAAGGTCTCGTCGGCCCGCTGACAGATACATCTCATGGTCAATTGGACCATTGATGTGGGCGTGATTGCCAAGATGATGCGTGCGTTCCGCAAAGACCGCCGGGGAATGCCATGATCGACCCATCGGATTGACAAGCCATCTTTGATACCCATTTTTCCAGCTTGTGCCTCGACCCAGATGGACCTTGATTGTGACGCATGTCTCTAGCGATGCCTGGAAACCATCGAAACGCCACCAATGGCTTTCCTAGGTAAGCGCTGCAACCGCTATAGTCTTGATTGCTCACTACATCATCATAGTTGGCCAGAATGAGCATACTTTTCAATGAAAGCATGACTTTAATCTATGATTCAATCACTGCAGGCGACTACTTCCCCAACACAAAAGCGTGGTTTCCGGTTGCGGGGATCCTGACATCTACAGATCCGTGGAAGCAACGTTACACAATGAGGACTCGGTGTCATCGATCGCTACTATACCATCTACCATGGAAATGGATGCTGTCACAAATTCTCCACGTGTAGGGATATAAATCGCAATGGACCTCGAGAGCCTTCTAGAAGCATACCAAAACCTTTGAGAGTTGTCTAATGATCTCTTTTGATTTACCACCCAAAGTCATTCTCCTTTGCAAAGCTCGAGAGAACTACTCCAAAAATGGTTCTCAAAATTGGAATTGATCAGGTTCCAAGGAAGTTGTTTGAATTCCACAATGGCGATGATGGCCTGATCTCTGCCAACTATGTCAATAAGGGAGAGCCTAGCGATAAGCAACGCCGCCGCGTCAGCCAGAAACAATGGTCATTCGGGTTCAATGATTTTGTCATTGCTGAGTTGACCCCCTACATGGCGTACGCCGTCACGGGCAACCTTCAGACCCCCCGCTTTCCCCCAGACCATATAAGAGCAAAAAAGGATCAGCATATACCTCTCATGGAGATGGCGGGAAAATGGCGATCGGGGTACACTACCATGGCCTATGGATGGGGCAACAAAGATGATATATTCGATGTCAACGTTCAAAGCGAGTATGTCGACATCCGCGAGCCTGGCAAGGCAACAGAGTTTACTGGAGAGCCCTTTGTCTGGCTCGTGGCCTTGCCCATCCCTGGTGGCCTCAAGAACTCGGATACCTTTTGGATTGATCTCAACAAAGGCGTGCGAGCTTTGTACTTTCCAGCTCGATACGTCTACAACAAGGACTTCCCCAACGACGCAGCATATGCTAAGATCAGCTTTGTCGAGGAGGGAACCCGGAAGCTCATAGATGCCGCGCCTCTGATGGTCGAAAGCTCGCTGATGAAGATATTCGGCGGTCCGGGAATCAAGCTTGCGGAAGTCACTCGAGAGACTACGACAACCATTGGACTCCAATCAACACAGCATATCGGGGCATACAGCTTTGAGAAGAGTTTAATCGTCAACATACCTAAGTTTATTGAACAGAGTTATCTAGTGTCCACCAACGCAAAGGCATCTCCACACGACGCAATCTATCTAGCTGACAGCAAAGATATCTCCGCCAGACCAAGAGCAACTACAGACGATTGGAAGTGGCCACAAGACTGGTTTTGGGGAGGCTGGACGAAGATTGTGTACTCGGAGTACCTAAGCAGGGTAGAGCAGATGAATCTTATTGAACAGACGTCCTCAGATTTGGGTGTGGGAGAGGAACTGGCCTTGCGATTACTGTTCATGGCTGCCTCCTTGGTTCCTTATGTCGGGCCTTTCTTGGCCACCGCCGGGTCAACGGAGATTGAAAGGTTGAAGAATATCAAGTCCACAAGCCCAGCATCAGATTTGACTGTGGCCTCTGTATCTCAAAACACCTGGGATTCGACACCAGGTGAAGTGAAGGAGGGTATTGTCAAAGGTATAAAGGTCGCTATTTCGTTTCTGTCAAAGATCAAGCGTTGATTGATCTGGGTATACACTTTGGGGATGCAATCATGTAGTACTGCTTTGGCCCGGGGCTCAACCTCCGATGTGCCATGCTCAAGATTCAACATCTTGACTCTTTTTACCAGATAAACCATAATGTTATCAGTTACCAATGACCTCCTCTGTCCAGCTATTTTTAAAAGCCATGTGCAGACTTGCCATGGACATGCTTCCCTTCATATCCCTTCTCCAACCCCTAGCTAATCTCCACTGCACAAAACACCTAGTCAGCGGAGCAACTTATGCAACACCACCATAAATAATGGAAATAACATCCACACTCCTACTAAGTGTGAATGTGACGAATATTGTGCTACCAGCAGCAGCACATATCCACCCTCACAAACCATGGTAACCCTTAGACAAATAAACCCCCGCGGATAGCTTACCTCTCTCTCTGAGTCTCTCTATAGTTACTTTCCGCGGCCCGCTAACGTCACCGCCGCGGAGCCCATCGCAAACCCACCCAAACTCAAACCCAAACCCCATCACCTCAACCACCCCCAACCTCGCAAGTCGCAATACCCTCTCAAAATGGCCGACTTCGATCGCACACCCCCCTCCACCGCCGCCTACGTGGTCGCCACCGCCATCCTCGCCGGCATCACCGGCTACTTCATCGGCCAAGGCAGCTCGCTCGGCCTCTTCTCCACGAAAGAAAAAGAAGGCTGGCCGAACAGCTACAATGTGAAAGTGCACCGCGATTCCTCAGACGAGTACGAATCTGAGGAGGAGGAAGACAGCGAAGACGAAGGCGATGGCACCGAGCTCGGAAATTTCGATGAGAGCGCCGAGGAAGTCAAGTTGGTTCTGGTCGTGCGGACGGATTTGGGTATGACCAAGGGTATGTTTTTCCTTCCTGAACCTACGTCCATGCCATAATCATCATTGGTATTGTGAAGTACTGAGGCGCTAATTGATACTCTGGTTGGCCAGGCAAAATCGCAGCCCAATGCTCGCATGCTACGCTCGCGTGCTACAAATATCTGGTCGCGTATACGCCCAGCTCGGGGATGTTGCGGCGATGGGAGTCGCAGGGTCAGGCGAAGATCGCGCTGCAGATTAAGTCCGAGGAGGAGATGGAGGAGTTGCAGGCTAAGGCGATGAGTTTGGGTCTTTGCGCCAGAGTCATTACGGATGCGGGACGGACGCAGATTGCGAGTGGGAGTCGTACGGTGTTGGGCGTTTTGGGACCCAAGAGTGTGGTGGATAGTGTGACGGGACATTTGAAGTTGTTGTAGATGTAGATTATGGTGCCGCTTTATATTTTGTCGCGTGGGTGGACGGACGGTCAACAACCGTGAGGGTTTGGTGTTGGGAGGTTTCCATGGCGTTTGGGTCATGCGGCGAAGTGCGCGAGCATGGGTGCAAAAGCTGTCGTTCCAAGATCAGAGAGCATTCTGGTCATGATAGACAATACTGGCTGGGTATCTGCGATGCGGCATGCGCATGCGGATCTCACCAACTACGAACAGTATCCACTACAATATTATTTCTAAGGTATAAAATGTTGGCAGGTCATGGTTATTCCCTAACCTCAGTGGCCGACGGCCAGTTCGGTAAAGAGAGTAGGAATATGACGCCGTCAGCAACCGAGTTCTTCAGCCGAGCTCACCAAGTCAAGGACAAGGGAGCTCAAGACCAAAGTGAACACCCAGCGCCAACCTTTAATCTGAGATCTGTCGACCGGATTGCAAAGACCATCCACAAGATTGATGGCTCCTTAAGTCGTCGAACTGTCCAGCGTTCAACCGAAACACAGAGAACAGCAGAACTGCCTCCATCAACGGGATCGCTGAACACAGATCCGTGTTTGTTCGGTTCATGAGGAAGAAAAAAAAAAGAAGAGGAAAAATTGAACCGGCAAGCCTCTATTTATCCGTCCCGCCAAGACCGCGCTAAGAGTTTCTCGCGCTAACCCTTGCCGAGGATGGCTCGGATTACGTAACAGCTTGGTTCTGGTTCTCGGTCGCAGCGCTTCACTTAGACAATCGATCTTGTTCCTCATCCATATACGCCATCGAGTTAGAGCCACCACCACCCCACGGTCTGCGTTCCATCCCCCTTCGCCTTTTTGTTCGTCTGTCGCCAAAATGGCCGACGCGGTTTCCATCGAACAGAACAACAAGATCCGAGCTGCGCTCGGATTAAAACCTCTCCCTGTTCCTGGCGCCGACTATGATGACGACTCCGACTCGTCCGCCTCCGAAGATGAAGACCCCGGAAGCACCCTCGAGTCGCGCGAGGCGATGGCATCCCAGAACTGGAAGAAAATGCAAGATGACGCCGAGGCGAGGCGGAAACGAGACGAGCGGAACGCTGCTATCAAGCGGGCGCGTGACCTGGCTCAGAGAGATGCGAAACTGGAAGGAGCCACGCTTGGAGAGTCTGGGGATGCGGACCAGGATACCAAGGCTTGGCTGATGCAGTCTAAGAAGCGACAGAAGAAGATCGAGAAGGAGCGGGCGCGCAAACTGGCAGCAGAGTTGGAGGAACGGGAACGTGCGGCGGAATACTCAGCGGTCGATCTGGCTGGTATCAAGGTTGGACATGAGGTCGGCGATTTTGAGGGAGGCGAGGATCACATTCTTACGCTGAAAGATGCGACGATCGATGAGAATGAGGAGGAGGGTGATGAGTTGGAGAATATTCATATGAAAGAGAAGGAGAAGACTTCGGAACGGTTGGAGCTGAAGAAGCGGAAGCCGGCATATGACCCTACGGAGGAGAACACTAGCATTTTGGCACAATACGATGAGGAGATTGAGGGCAAGAAGCGGAAACGCTTCACCCTTGATGCTCAAGGGTCTACGCTGGAAGAACGGGAGGCAAAACGACAGGAGGTTTCGGACAAGTTGAACAAGAATATTATCAGTTTGGACTTTGAGACTGAGACGCCTGCGTCCGACTACATGGATGTGAGTGAGATCAAGATCAAGAAGCCAAAGAAGAAGAAAGCGAAGGCTACGAAGCAACGGGCTGTTATTGACGATGACGAACTATTTCCTACTCCCGACTCGACGGGTACACCGAACGGCAACGCTATGGATATCGATACCAGCAACGGAGAACCGACACCGGCACCTGCTCCCCGGAAGTGGGCAAGTGAAGATGTTTCGTTCGTGGATGACGATGACCTGCAAGCCTCCCTTACGCGCCAGAGACGTGCTGCATTCAAGAAGCGGCAGAAAGTGCGGCCCGAAGATCTTGCCCGCCAGCTTCGAGAGGAGGAATCCCAGACGCCAATGGAAACGGGCACTCCGGACGGAAACGAAGAAGAGCCCGGCCTAGTGATCGATGAGACCTCCGAGTTTGTCTCCAACCTACAGAAACCCACCCTGCCTGAACCCCGTGAGAGGCGGACAACGACCCCCGCCGAAGAGTCTCGTGCCAAGAGTGAAGGCCCTAGCGCCCAGGGAGAGCCCGAGGACGGCGATGTGGACATGGAGCGGACATACAATGATATTGAGGATGAGGAGGATCTGAAGGAACGGATCAAGCGCGATGAAGCTCAGGCCCAACAGCATATCAGCACCACCGGTTTGGACGAGGAAGCGACATTGGATCAGGGTCTCGGTTCTACGTTGTCTATGCTCAAACAACGTGGTCTGGTCAAGGGATCCGACGCTGCCGACAACAACTCTCTACTTCGGGATCGTCATCGCTTCCTGCAGGAGAAGAGTCGGCTTGAGACCGAAGCCGAGAAACGCGCTCGCCACCAGCGTGAGCGCGACCGCGCCTCGGGCAAGCTGGACCGCATGTCTGCACGTGAAAGAGAGGAATACGCTCGCTGGGAGAACAAACAACGAGACCAGCAGGACGCGCGGCACATGGCAGAGGTGTTTAACCGCGAATACAAGCCCGATGTGCAGCTCAAGTACGTGGACGAGCATGGCCGGGCGATGAACCAGAAGGAGGCATTCAAGCATCTCAGTCACCAGTTCCACGGCAAGGGAAGTGGCAAGATGAAGACGGAGAAGCGTCTGAAGAAGATCGAAGAGGAGAAGAAACGCGAGGCGATGAGTGCTCTGGACAGCAGTCAGCACACTGGTATGAACAACGCCATGGGTGCGACAGCCCGCAAGAACCGGCAGGCGGGTGTGCGACTGGGCTGAGGGTTACGTTGCTCTCTCAGACTTGTGTTCGATGACCTTGACCTCCCTCCGGAGGCATTTAATGGATTCCCGCTTACTAGGCTACGCAATGTTGTACAGATATACCAGTAGAAATAGCTACATCTCACATCCATAGATCCGTTCGGCTCAGAGGAAGTAACAGCGGTCTTGTCCGCTCGTAGGACTGTTGGTAAGATGTACTCCGTACTCCGTACTCCGAGCAGATCGCTGCAGGGTGTCCTCGTTACTCCGTCGACGGGTAGGTGAGCATTTGTTGATACTGATAGTGGCCGAGTTGGGGACTTGGCGTGTGGGGGAATTTAACCGAGGCCGGGTGAGATGGCCCGACCTCGCCGGGCTCGAGGCAGCGAAAGCGCTTATGGTTCCGGGGGATGGGACGGCCGGACATCCCGGGTTCTTGTCTAGGGCGGCCAGACCGGGCCATGTTGGAACATACCTATTATGTAGGTAGGGATCGGGAGTGGGAATCAGTGCTGATGATATAAGGTTGGTGGTGGTTGTGGTGCCGACGAAGGATTACCCCAACTCTCGTGAGGGGAAGGGCACCTCTGACCTCAGGCCATCAAGGGTGCTGACGGTGGGCCTCGATACTCGATCAGTTCACCGGGACCGGGTCGGGCTCATCATTGTGGTGCGATCAATGGCAGAATCCACCCTCCGGCCTCCAGCTCTTTGATGACATCGGCTTGATTGTATGTTGTAGTAGTTGTACGATATCTATCCTCCCTCAATCATAGGAAACCTCCCCGCGCGTAGGCAATGGATGCAGCCTGTCGTCCATGCAGATGCCAAACATGCTTTCAAGACGCGGGCATGCAAACCAGCCAAACCGCGTGACAGGAAACAGAACCCAGAAAAACCAGTAAAAAACCGCGACGGGCAGCTCTTTCCCAAAAGAAGCAAGCCAGCTCAGATGCGGAGGACGTGGCCAATCCGAGGGCGCCCGCGTTTCTCCCCGGAAACTCCCTAGTTTGCATGAGTCAAAAATAAAATACACTCGCCTCGTCCTTTTGGCACCTCCGTCCATCATCTTCATTCATCATCATCCTTAGTCCTTTCTCGCCAGCTCCTTTGGCCCGTTCTTTTCTTCTGACCATCTCCTCTTTGGTCCTTCCGGGTGCTTGCTCGTTTTACTTCTCTTCTCTGTCCCCCATTCACCATGTTGTCCACCCTCAGAGTCGCCAGCCGTAAGGCTGCTTCGCGTGACGCTAGTGTGCGCACCGTCATTGTCGGCGCCAGACATGCTTCCGCCTGGTCCAACGTTCCTCAGGGTCCTCCCGTAAGCTTGCCAATCGATTACAATTGTCGTTGTGATGCCATTGCTGATCAATTGGGTGTGTAGGATGCTATCCTGGGCATCACCGAGGCCTACAAGGCCGACAGCTTCGCCGAGAAGATCAACCTGGGTGTCGGCGCTTACCGTAAGCATCTGTCCTGGTTCGACTCGTTGCTGTCCAACGCAACAACCAGCTTCGCCAAATGCATCGTCTCTAACCAATTTTCTGTGAGCAGGTGATGACAAGGGCAAGCCCTACGTCCTGCCCTCCGTCCGCGCTGCCGAGGACAAGGTTGTCGCCTCCCGTTTCGACAAGGAATACGCCGGTATCACCGGTATCCCTTCCTTCACCAAGGCTGCCGCTGAGCTCGCCTACGGTTCCGATTCCGCCGTCCTCAAGGACGACCGTCTCGTCATCACCCAGACCATCTCCGGTACCGGCGCCCTGAGAATCGGTGGAGCTTTCCTGCAGCGCTTCTACCCTGCCGCCAAGAAGGTCTACCTCCCCAACCCCAGCTGGGCCAACCACGGTGCCGTCTTCAAGGACTCTGGTCTGGAGGTCGACAAGTACCGTTACTACAACAAGGACACCATCGGTCTCGACTTTGAGGGTCTGATTGCCGACATCAAGGCTGCTCCCGAGAACAGCATCATCCTTCTCCACGCTTGCGCTCACAACCCCACCGGTGTCGACCCCACCGAGGAGCAATGGCGCCAGATCAGCGACGTCATGAAGGAGAAGGGTCACTTTGCTTTCTTCGACATGGCCTACCAGGGCTTTGCCAGTGGCAACGCTGACCGTGATGCGTTCGCCCCGAGACACTTTGTGAAGGAGGGCCACAACATTGCTCTGTGCCAGAGTTTCGCCAAGAACATGGTAAGACGAGAGATTCGGAGGTATGATCTGACGCTAATTGAGTGATAAACAGGGTCTGTACGGTGAGCGTGTCGGTGCCTTCTCTCTCGTCTGCGAGTCCGCCGAGGAGAAGAAGCGCGTCGAGTCCCAGATCAAGATCCTCATCCGTCCCTTCTACTCGAACCCCCCCATCCACGGTGCCCGCGTTGCTTCGACCATCATGAACGACCCCGAGCTCAACCAGCAGTGGCTGGGTGAGGTCAAGGGCATGGCCGACCGCATCATCGAGATGCGCTCTCTGCTCCGTAAGAACTTGGAGGAGCTTGGCAGCAAGCACGACTGGTCCCACATCACCAGCCAGGTAGGTGTCCTCAATAAGAGTGGTGTGAGTGGTACTGACGATTGATAGATTGGCATGTTCGCCTACACCGGTCTCAAGCCTGAGCAGATGGACGCTCTGGCCAAGGAGGTATGCAGGTGCTATCCCCTGTCATGTTCTACGTACTAACGCCGTGTAGCACTCCGTTTACGCCACCAAGGACGGCCGTATCTCCGTGGCCGGTATCACCACGGGCAACGTCAAGCGCCTGGCCGAGTCCATCTTCAAGATCACCGGTTAAATGGGCAACCAGAGGAGACATTTGCTCATATACGTAGACCCGGGGGTCGCCCCCCGTTGTACTGATATCCATGTGTTACATTAGCATATATAAGCAATAGTTTCAACGACGTATTGGATGATGTTACTTGCTGTGCCATATATGGTCTTGATCGATTGACTGGGACGGAATAGTTGCGATCCATTGCACCGCTCTAGACCAGTCGACCCCATACGGAGTACTCGGGACACAGGTCACAAACCGCGGCGAGTCCACCTGTCGCCACACCAACGCACGAGACGGGCGAGCATCTGGCGGTGTAGCCAGATCGTACCAGCCACCACGAGACATGAGTTGGCGCATAAGATCGATCTATCAGCAGCCTACTCTGTAGTCGGTGGCATGCATTTCATCCGGTCGATAACGCGGTCCTCGTTCTCTGGAATGAGTTACTACAATATCGAGTGGGCGAATCGACTGTTCAACGGCCAGAGAGCGTACGGCGAAGTGGATAACCCCCTGAGTCATAGGTAAGGTAGCTATATCGGGCACTTTCAACCGAGATCAGTAGATCGAATCTCATGCACAATCTCGTACGATACAATCATAACTTCCTAGTCATGAAGCATCAACTGATGTATACATACCTACTCCTTAAGATTAATAGCATGACCCCCTATTTATCTCATACTTCCAACAACTGAGGATCAGAATTAAACTCCTGTATCAGGTACCTAAGGTCCCAACCGATGACTGACTTACTTATCTTCAGACACCCCGTGGTTAGTGGTTACACTCACTATCTTGTGGGCCCGGTCTTCATACTATATCGATCATTAGTCACGTCCTGGTCTTCTCCACTGTCTTCCTTCCTTTCATCCTTCCGACAATACCTAGGCAGAATCAGATACCTAGGGGAATGGATACCTAGGTAACGGTCTGCTATCCGGGTGGTATCCGCAACGTTGATAATACAGTATTCGTCAAAATCTAATTTAGAATAGAGATAGCTAGATAGCTAGATGATAGATAGACATGTATGTCTGTAAATATGTATGTATGTCTCCCACCCACCACCTACCTAAACAAAATCCCTCCTGCATGTAGATATGCAAGTATGAAGACCGACCAGACCAATTGAAAGAAACCCCTGTACTCCGTCCGTACTTCATTCAATCAGGTAAGTAATATCGCGCAGTTAAGCGTAGCGCGGCAGTGTCGCTTAGTTGATTTCTTTTTCTTTTTTGGTCTTTTTTGTACTTGCTTACAGGTACGTGTGGAGGAGTTGGTTTAGTGAGACGGAGTAAAGTGTTGTGGCTAAGTAGGTAGGTAGGTAGGTAGGTAGGTACCTAATGCTCAGCCTCATCATATATTGCTTTACTTAGGACTTTACTTTGGGGGTTAGGATGGATCTATTTAGTACGCAGGTAGATCCTAGTGAGGCGCAGACTAATTAGCCACTAGATGCTATCCCTACCCTTACCCCTACTAGTACAATAGTCATTTGAGGCTGTTAGAACATATCCGACCGATGGAATATTTACCTACCTACTATCTACCTACCTTCTCTGTATCATATCATCTATGTGTGTGCGTATTTTACATAAATCCAGATCTATCAATCCTCGTAGAAGTAAGATGTAGTCTCTACCCATGAACAATCCCAGCGGAGTAAGTACTAGTAAGCAACTTAGCTCATCTCATCTCACCTCGGCAACCAACAACCACCCATAGTCTATCCCATGGCTATGCAACGTTATTTATAGAACCCCTTTCAGTTCAACCCAGAATAGAGTATCTATTTTGTATGGTTCCCAAATGCCCGGGTGTAGGGAGCCGAGCCGGACCATCCCATCCCTACCTACGAACATAGATAGGAACAGGGGTGTGGTTCCTTTGTATGATGAGACAGGGGTATTTACCTAGGGGGGAGGGTTGGCACGTTTCAGCCGGGTTATGGGTTCTGTTTCACTGCAATGGTGACCTGACGGTTAAGGTAGGTCCGTCCTTATTTTACTAGGGTAGGTAACTTGGGCTTGGTGAGTGGGTGAGTGAGTGGGGGGGATAGCCTACTTAGGGGAAGGGAAAGGGAAAGGGGTAGGTAGATTACTAGATAGGTAGGTTCAAGGTTGATAGATGATGGATGATGTGGGGAGGAGTCTTTTGATCCCTTTACTTTGTCCTTTCTATCTGGTTCTGTTCTTTGGATTGACTCCGTGTTTGAGATATCCATTCCCTACCTACGTAGTTATTCTGTCGCTAAATTATTAATAGTAAATACGGAGTAGTAGTGGGTGATGATTGATGATGCACTGTCATGATGTGCTGGCAGGTCCCCCCCCAAGATTACATACCTGTCCGGTAAGTACATACAGTACCGTACCAGACACCATCACCACCACCACTCATCCCTCGCATGGATCAGGCCCACCAATGAACAATTTCCCAGCCAGCCATCCCCCACCCGCATTACCCGTTCGGGCTGGACATCTGAACCTCCCGCTGGAACTGATTGGGTGCATTCCAGTCGCATCTCTAATTCTGCTTCTGCCCTGTCCTGCCCTGCCCTGTTGGACGAGATGCATCCTGTTGAGTGACGGCGCTGTCACACGTTGATGGGGGGAGGGGAGGAGGGAGTAACTATGTCCGCTGAGTCGGCTGGTTACTTTTCGATCTCGTGAGAATTCTAGAGAGTGTGAAAGGGCCACGAGATAGCAGTGTAAAGACTACTACTACTATTACTACTACGGAGTATTGGATGGCAATTACGTCACCCACTGCAAAAACAGGTGTCGAGGGTTCAGTCGAGGTGAGATTCAATGGATGCATTGGACTTCCAGCCACAGTTGGTGAAGATGCTACGCCGGCTAGGTAGTCTAGTAGTAGTGCCTGCTACGCCTCGTAGTAACTCCGACTGTACGGAGTAATGCAGGGCCCTCATTCTCTGGGTTGGTCTAAGCGGCAGTGGCGAATGCTGGGTAGGTATACTTACTTACCACTACTAGTACTTGCCTGCCTGCCTTACTCGGGCGTTCAGGATATTCCTATCCTATCAGTATTTAACCTATTTGGTTGGCGAGGATAAGAGGGAATAATAATCATGTCAAGGCGGATCGGATCCCACTTCACATCACCGCCGGGGCTCAAAACACGTGGACCGCCTCGCCAATCATCAACACGAGTTCAGAGGCTGCCCAGTTCAGTTGCCCAGCGCGCAGGCGTGTTCTCTACATCGCATACATACATGAAACTGAATGCCCAAGGATCAGGTGTATGCAGTCGTTTGGCCTATTTAGTCCCCTTCGAGTGCTGGCACCTGTACATACTACATAGATCCTACAAGGTTTCTGTCAATCGATATGACTTCCTTGATCGTTAGACGTCTGAGTCCTGTGCGCATTCTTTCCCCACCTTTCCCATGTACCACTACCGACCCTACAGGAACCTGGTGGTCCCAGGATGCGCCTTGCTTTGCCGGGCTACTGTATGTGCTCCGTATGCTGATGGCGAATCCCTGGTCAGGGCCCGGTCACGGAAATATCACCCGGTTGAGCGAGGTCAGGACGGCGTTAGTAGCCTCAAGGAATTTCAATGGACCCCATGGTGATCATAGTGGATGCCTCGTATGCATATTGCATTGTGTTCAGACGCAAGTCTAGAAGCTATCGTCGTCCTGAAGAAGCTGACCGTTCATCCCTTCATTACTGAACTGGAATGATCACAGGGCGGTCCATCCTTTTCGGGGTATCCGGCCACCAATTATTCCCTCTAGATGAAACCTTTTTTTTGGTTCCTTTTTTTACCTACCCTGTCTGATTCTGACTAACGGACGGACATTGTAGGGATTTAACTAATTTTCATCAGCCAGCGAAAGAGTGACTCCCAGCCAATGGATGGCCCAGGGGAGGGATCATCTAGTTGGTCTGTTTCGGTTAGAACCTCGGCCGGACTGTAACCTGGCGCTGGGATCATTAATTTCATGTCAATCCTCATCATCTTGGATCGGTCTCCGCGATCTCTCCCATTCTGCACCCCCGAGACCTGCGACTTTAGTTCCGGTGTTCGAATTTCTCCTGATTTGGGAGGGGAGCGGAGGATCCGATGGGTTTTCCCCCCCGTGACCTAACCAGCCTGTCCAACCCCGACTAGGAAACTCGTGTTGTTTCTGGCTGTCTGAGATGCGTCCATCACCTCCCGATTTGTGCTGCGCGTATCTCTGTATTAAGTTTCGACTGCACGAGAGCAGAGTGTCCTGCCCATGCAGGCTGGCCATCTTGCATCCATATTTTCTCTCCTGGCGGTGCGGGTTGACTCTTCCTGTTCCCCTTCCCCTTCCGACCATCCGCCGGAAATAAGAAAAGGGTCGAGGCTGGTCGGCGGGTGATCTACCGTCAAGCTGAACCGGTGGCTCAGCGTTTCGTTTCGTTACTGGGCAGTACCTGGTATGGCGGGAGTCAATCATGGGATGCGGCACGTCGAGAGAAAACCGTTCGGATGACGGGGTGCCCTGAGCCATTTGCGATCATGGTCCATGCAAAGCAAGGCACACAACTTGATATCTGATCTCATGGGATCGGTTTGATCCTCGACAATCCCTTCTTTGGGGGTAAAGTTTTCCTATCTTTCCCTGCTCTACTTGCTCTGCGTGCTCTGCTCTGGTGGTTTTCTCTCCTCCCAGTACCACCTTACTGCCAAGCGTGTAATAAACCTGCTTAGGAATCTACTTCCCTTTCAGTCAGTCAGCCAACAAGGTATTGTGTTAATTACCGGCCGAGTTCTTCAAGAAATAATGCTACTCGTTTTAACTTTGGCCTCTGACGTCCTTCTCACTCTCTATATGCGGTGCCGAATCGTATTGTTAACTCTTTTTTCTTTTACACCCCATGGCTTGGGATTGCTGAATGTAACGCCCCACGATGCGGCTCCCCATTGTGGTTGTCCAGGAGAATCGCCCCGATCAAGGCAACAGGACGATGGTTCCAGATGAATGGACGATGTGCTGGAAAGACCCATTCTTGTCACCAGTGGCAGTGGGGACGCCGGGTGGCAGAGGCATGGCCATGGCGTAAGAAAGTAGCAGCTAGATAGGTAGCAGCTAACTACTAACAGGAAGTAGCTAAGGTCGGTCGCGCTGTTGAACAAGCACTTCCGTTTGGTACCACCCTCCTACGGCCACCAGATGGGTCGGTCGTACAACCCAGGTTACGACACGTCTGGTAAGGTACGGAGTACCGGGCCCGTAATCGGACCCAACCCAGCCAGGCATCACTTCACGGCCCTTTCAAGGCATTGCCAGACAAAAAAAAAAGGTTCGCGGAAGAGGTCATTATAAGGTGAAACCCACTGGCTCATTATATCAAAGACAACAAACTAGACAAGGGCAGAGAGGGAAATAACCCCAGACCATGGACTCGACCACGGTTCCTTGTCGCTCTGGATGCATCCAAGGTGCCAGGTGCCCCTCGGATCGATCGCTGGTAGGGATCAATCGTTCCAGAAGAAACCGACTCCATCCATCATCGCCCGAGGAAATGGAATCGATACACACACCCCCCCGTACTCCGTAAGTCTGCGTAATACCCGAACTGGGACCCCCGTCAAGGATCAGACTACCTCCCTTAGAAAGTCTTTAGCACCGACGAAGTTGGACTCCATCCTCCATACCGTGTAGGCCGTCTGTCGTACTAGTGGCTGTACTATCTTTTCTCCTTCCTAATATTATTCGTGTTTCCCTTTTGATTATTATTCTTCCGGCAAGTCAGTCAGTCAGTCAGTCTGTCAGAACGGAGTACGGAGTTGATAAGTACTACTCGGTAGTCAGAACTGATGGCACTATCTATGCCAGATTGTCAGGTCAAAGAACAGGGCACCCGCTATCTACCCCATAGTAGCAATCCTAGTTCGGGCTTACTACACCTTGCATTTGACCTTGCCACATTTCTAGCCCTGCTCGTTGTTTTTCTTTTTTGGATGCGCTCGGAACCTATCAACGGGTTGTTTCTAAGTGCTTTGTCAAGTTCCCGATATGCTGTTTTTCCTTTTAGAAAAAAAGGGCGGTGGCCAAAGCCTCTCTCTCCGCGGAGGCTACTATTACGGTAGTTACGGGAGCAGGCCCGGTAAGTAAGTAGGGACCGCATCAGTAGTAGGATGGACGGTAGTAGTTTAGCAGCCGTGAGGATGTTGTCGCAGGAGGTATTTGGGAGTCTGCAGGTCAACATAAGTGGTAAAATTAATTAGTGATCCGTATGATGGAGGGCTAGGATTGGGATTCTGCTGTTCTTTGGCCCGGCTAGTGCCTGCCTAACTAACCCAGGGTGTGGTAGCGTCTGGGATTATTTTTATTATTCTTCTGGGTTTTATTATTATTTTAGTATTATTAGTATTATTATCATTCTTTATTTTATTTTATTTTTTTAGTTTCTTACCGGGTGATTTGGTTAACCTTTTTGGCGGGCCTTTGACAAGCCCTCCTGCTGGTCCTCTTTTAAGGGAACCAGACGAAAAAGGTACCCTGAACTGAAGGGAACTGAACGATACGATACCGCTTCTCCCCACTCACGACCGAATACCTAATACTGATCTCTCCGCTCCAAGGCCGCCTTACACTCGCATCCCCGTTCCTTTGGCATCATCTCATCTCATCCTTCCCCTTCCCCTTCCCTCTCTTCCTCCGTTCCCCTCATCCCTCCTCCCTCCTCCTCCCCCCCTCTCCTTCACTCCCTCTCTCCCTCTTGACTCTCTTTCTCCCCGACACCTCCAAGACTACCCTTCTTGCCATGGGTCTTGTTGGCTTCCGCTTCTTGTTTGCTCTCTTACATGCAGACTTCCTTGCCCTCTCTGCCGTCACTGCCGTTGCTTGATCTATCTATGGCGTTTTGTTCTGACTCGCCTTTCCGTGCATTCGGCCGCTGACCTGCAGCTCCCACGCTGCCTTCCGTCCGTCTTCCGGATCTCGAATCCTTCCCACCTCCCAATTCCTCACCTCCGATCGAGTCGGTCGTGTTTCGCCGCCTCTTCCTCTCTCTGCCTCGATCTTTCCGTCTCTCCCTACCCCATTGCCCCTCTATACCTTTCTCATGCCCGCCCTCGAGGTCCCCGAGACCGGGTTGTCTCTCTGCAGAGACAACCACGGCAATGACGCTACGAACAAGCCCCCCCAGATCATGCGGCTGAATTTAGCTCAGAGCACCCTCGACGAGCTGATTCAGAGCCTCCGAAATGATCAGACAGCTCGAATCCGCCTGGGGAAACACTCGACCCTCTACTACGGCTCCAAATCTCAGCCCTTCCACTCCAACCCCGAGACGTGTCGATCAGAGCTATATCGCGGCAGCTCCGCAGACAAGGAAAACTTATATTTCACCGGTGTTTTGAGCCATAGCTTGGAAGTGCAGAAGGCGAAGGAGGACACTGCGGCCACAGATCAGGCATTGGCCACCCTGGAGCAAAGGCTGAGCGCCTTTGAAAGAGGAAAGGAGTCGAAGAAGACTCATATAATCACCAGCATTGACGAGGTGAGAGCTTTGCGGGCTGGCGACAACCGGTCCAGCTCTGGGAAACATGCTGCTCGTCTGGCTCGTCCCGCAAGCAGGGTGGAGCTGGAGAAGGATCGGCTGCTCACTGCCACCAATCGCTCCGTTTCCTCGAGTCCGGCTTTGGGGGTTGCTCGATCTCCTGTGTCCATGCCTCCGCTTACGCCCACCTCCGTTCCGCTTTCCCAAAACAAAGATCGCATTCGCCTCGAAGCCCTCAAGGTCCCCTTTATTCACCTCCTCGCCGTCCGTGCGGTTTCCGCCAAATTCCTTGCCCGCCAGACCCGTTCGTCCCTCGAAGACTGTGAGGCCTTGGCTCGGAAATATGGTGCCGAGAACCGAATCAATCCGGAGAAGTTCGATCTCAAGGACAAATTATATCGGGACCTCGATGTCTGGAAATTCCCCTACCCGTCTCAGGAAGACAGGCTGGAGGCCATCGAAAATGCCATCTCCGCTTTCGATCGCTTGCGGATCTCCCGCTCCGACAAGCTATGGCAGCTGCTTCTTCCCAAGGAAGAACGCGGAAAGGGCAAGTGCCTGTCACGCCTGGACCTGCGGACGGGGCCCATCAAGAAAGCTGCTACACCTCGGATACAAGTACAAAATTCTGATGACAACGGCAAAGACGGCTACGCTACTGGCCAGGAGACCGATAAAGCTAGTGGCAATGGTCTAACACCGAGGACTGCTGAGCCGACATCAGCTCCCAAGTCTGGGACGATCGCGCAAAAGAAACGGATCGGCGAAAAAGATGCAGGTGCAAAACGGCCTGCCACAAAGAGCAAAAGTGTGGCTAATAGTACCTTGACTGGACGCGTCACCAAGAAGGCGGAGCGGAAGCCGGCTGCGAAACCAGAGGGCAAATTCAAATCAGCGGAATTTGTTCATGACTCGGATGAGGACGACACAGACATGCCAGACGCCTCGTCCGCAGAGAAGCCTCAGCCTGAGAAAATTCCAAAGCCTGAACATAAGCTGCCGGCCAAACCGCCAACCCTCAACCCTCCTAGGGAATCTTCCCATACGCCGACACCGAAGGTAGAGCAACCGGAAGCTACATTTAAAGCCGAATCATCCAACCAAGCCCCTCATCGGCCAACTGCAGCGAAGCGACCTCCTTCATCGCGGCCCCCAGCCTTGAAGTCCCCGCAGAAGTCCCCGCAGAAGCCGTCGCCACTCGGGTCCTCTCCCCCAACCAATGCCTCTGATATCCAAAGTCGCAGCCGTTCTTCCAGCCAGAACAATTCGTCCAGTTCCTCATCGTCACCACTTATAACCCAGGTGAACAGACCCAAACCTACTGCGGGAGTCCCCATTGTGAGGAAGGTGGTAAAGCCCAATGGGGTGTCCAGACCGGCTGAGATGGCCAATCCCTTGAAGCGCAAAGCGGAGCTTGAGCGACCTGCAGTGTCATCTCAGGCTCCCGCCCGCACTGGGGATCTTGAGCACAAACGCCGGCGGGCCGTGAGCACGTCCAGTGGCAGCACTGGGAGCGCTTCGCCGCCCCTCAGCCGCGAAATCCTCCTCCAGCAATTGCGCGAGAAATCGCAGAGATTCAAGAACTTCTATGTCAAGTACCGCACCTTGCATGACGCACTAGCCTCGCAGTCCAACCCACCACGAGCGGAACTGGACAAGCTCCACAAACAGCACGTTAAGCTGCAGCGGATGAAAAAGGAGATATGGGACGAAGATCGACGGCTCCGGGATTGACTAACGACAGATCATGGCATGTGCATGAAATTTAATTCTCGACCCTTGTTTTTTCTATGGTTCGATCCCGGACATGACAGAACGGGGTTCTTGTTATTATTCCACGATGTTGATCTTTTGACTACCATTGTGTTTAGCATGACGAAGCCGGATATAAAAAGTGCTTCGAGGCGTTTGTGATGATCTTTTCCTTGTTCTTGTTTTTCCCTTTTTCCTTTTATTTTTCCTTTATCATTTCCTTTGTTCATTGGCATATCTGCATCTTTATAACGCTTTGACAAACTGCATGCATGTAATGGGAATGGTTATATATTAGAGGCTGGACTGTCATGGAGGGCAGGAAGCAAGGAATCTGCAAGGAGTCTTCGATACCTACAGCCGCGGGGGGAGGGACATGAACTAGAGACCAATTAGAGAAGAGGTTCGCACACCATTTCCGTTTCCTTGTCTCCGTTCCTACAGTAAGCTAGTCACCCGGAGGGGTTAATCGGCAGGGCTCCAAGCCCTCCAAGGAATTCAGTGGTCCGACGGAGGTCATTCCCGCGCCCAGTCCGTCTTGGGCTTTTTCATTCTTTCCATCCAGTTCCGACCCTCAGAGCACCGCCGTCCCGACACGACCACCTGCCCCTCATGTGGCTTATTGCCAGGCTCCTGGTCCAGCCCAATTATACCCCACCAACCCCGACCCGATCAAAGGAAATCAACCCCAAAAAAAAATTTAGAAAGGGACAGCATGACCACGGGCGCTCCCAGCCACCCACCCCAGACGTTACCCGGGGAAACCACACACACTGGCATTCATAGTATCTAGTAGTTATATAGACCCCGTACATAGTATGTAGTAGTATCTATCTAGTATCTGAATAGGCATCAATCCGGTTCACCCCCTCCCCCTCCCGTCCCGAGGTACACGGATAGATCAAAAAAAAAAGATAGATGGATGGATCAATCTAATCACACCCCTCACTCCCAGTGAACCCAACCCCGGTCAGATCCGACGGCCAGCCAGCCAGCAGCCAATGACTTACCCCGGATCAACCTGTCTGATGGACATTCACACTAAACTTCTTTGGGGGGTAGTACCCCACCGGCACGTGGCTGGCCGATTGGATTGTCCCGAACGGGGAATTTCAATTACTGGACTTTGTTACAGTACGGGGTATTTACCGTTTGGGGTGTGACGGGTTAAGGTTGGGGTCTGATGTCATGGGTTGGGAGTACTTGGGATGGTGTGTAGGATGGATTTGAGGGGTAGGGGGTGTTGGTTATGTGGTTTTGATGTTCTTTTTGGATTTAGGTGGTTTGTTCTGGGGGGGGGGGTAGTGGTAGTGGTAGTACTAGTTGTGTTTGGCTTGGTTTGGTTGCCTTTGTCCTTCGTTTGTTTATATATTTGTTTGGAGGGTGTTTGGTGGATAGTTTGGTTGGAGAGAGGGTTTGTGTTCAGATTTGGGGACGGGGATAGGGGATAGGGGATGTCTATCAGAAATCTCATCATTACTATGTCAATGCCTGCAGATTATGCTATTCTGTACCCTGATAAATGTTATTTCTCGAGAACATTTGATAAGCCTGAAGGATGATTAACGGGTGAAGACTGAGGACACGCCGGGTGGCTAGAGACGGAGATTATATGGGCAGGCGTACATTGAGGTATTGGCAAATTTGTATCATCACAGGACCTTTCTTTCTCACCCCCCTTTCACCCCTTCTCATTATGCCCTCTACAATCATCCCCACTGTTAACCTCCGAGACAAGTGACACCAATGGAGGTAAACCGCGTCGGTATACTTGGGGACTCCTTCGGTCCGCCGCCATTCCCAATAAGGTTTACGGCCGGGCCGGCCAGGCGGTGGGCGAAAGCAGAGCTTGGGATTGTCGATTTATCGATCATGGCCTCCCTCTCTCCATCATGCTCTCCGATCCGATAGCCTCCTTTTCAGTCTTGATGACTCAGTGATGCTACTAAGAATACAGATCTCGGCCCATTGATCCCGTTACTGCTTTCGTGGGTGACCTAAAGGCAAGCCTTGCCCGGGTGTTCTACCGACCGGATAGCTGGTGACGTTAATCGACTCGACCCTTGCTGTCGGCGCGGTCGCTTATCAATTCCCGTTGATTCTACCATTGCAGTTTATCGGCCTGAAGAGAAAGGTGCTCTAGATACCATTTTTCGATATGACCCCTGCAAGAGGGAGAGGCCCAAGTCAAAGGAGTCCTCATGTCCTGGTGAGTATTTGTCTCTTCGTCCACCTGCCTCCGCTGCCCCTCAAACCTGGATAACACGCATCTAACAACGCTCGTCATCTAGGTGACCGACTCCCGAGACCAGCAAATTGCTCAACCCCGTCGTCGCCGTTCCCCCTCAACTCGTTTCATCACAGTGGACAATGTCCTCCAATATACCTCCGATGTCCCCTCCATGCAGCAGCGCCATCCGCCCCAAGGTATCCGCGCTCGTCCACGGTCTCGCCTCGCCTCTGCCGCGGGCGGGTTAATAGGCACTGGTGGAGCTGGCGCCTCCGGCGGAGGAACCAGTGCAGTTAGTACGGCAGCGACAATGGGACGACTTGCAGCTCAGCCGCGTCTGCCTCCTCGAACGACTAAAGTTAGTGAGAAGCTGGTGCTTTTGCCGGAAGCGGAAGATAAATTGCACGAGGAGGAGGATGAGGAAGAAGACGAGGAGACGGTGGATGAAGAGTTCGTGCAGAAGATCGCGAAGGATAAGAACTTGAATCCGGACTCGGTGAGACAGACGTTACTGGCGCAGAAAAAACTGGACGGGGATTTTGGCGTTGATAATGATATCGCGCCTTTGCTGGCGGAGGAAGAGTTACTGCGGAGGAGAAAGGTCGCCCCGGAGAAGGCGAAGAGTTATGCGGAACGACTGCCCAAGGCTAGGAGAGCGGAAAAGCTGGCGCGCGTGACGGCGTATTGTACGGCGCAGGCTTATAAGATGAGTTCGTTGGCTTCGTTTGTGAAGGAGAGACATGGAGGGAGGACCAAGCTTTATGACGATTGTTTGTATACGGCGTATCATCTGCCGTTGTTGCCGGGGTATGATGGTTACAGGCTGAGGAGTAGTCCGGTGGTGAAGAAGCCTGGCGGCAAGTCGCTTCTTGATGAGGAGATTGAACGGAATGAGCTACGCGATCATCATGAAGACTACATGGCGGAGGCGGAGGAGCATTCGGTGTTTGGGCGCCATGAACATGGCTCACCGCGACAGGTTGATAATGAGATGCATCGGCAGGCTGAGGAAGACCATGCCGGGTCGGATTCGAGGGAACAGCACGGCCAAGATAATGGACATCCGGCTCCGACTGCTGCACCACCTTCGACGCAGCTGTCGTATAATGTGGCGGAAATGTTCGTCTTCAGCTACGGAGTCGTCGTGTTCTGGAACTTTACCGAAAAACAAGAGAAAGATCTCCTGGCTGATTTGGCATTTGCAACATCGTCTGCGACTGGGACACCCATTCCACTGGCTACCATGCCTCTGCAGGAGGAGGACTTTGAAACAGAGGAATTCCACTTCGAATACTCCACTGAAATCTCACGCCCGCGCGTCTATAACGACATGATCACTCTGCGGAGCGGCGACCACATGATCAAGCTGGCCATCAGTCATGGCATTGCGCAGAGCACCAAACTCTGCTTCTTCGAGGAAGTCATGGCTCGCCAGATGGCTGAGGCCAAGGACGTTCCTCGCCGTTTGGCCATGACAGGCAACCTGGGCATGAAGCGAGATGAAGTCTTCCGGATTCTGGGCAGTCTGTTCAAGAGCCGGGTTGAAGTGAACCTCTGTAAGTTTTGCTGACACGACCTCACCAAATCTACCACTGACCCAAACCACAGCCTCCAACATGCTCGACGTCCCCAACTTCTTCTGGGAGAGCGAGCCAACTCTCTACCCGCTCTACATTGCTGTCCGCGAATACCTCGAAATCAAGCCCCGAATCCAAGTGCTCAATGAACGCTGCCGTGTTTTCCTCGACCTGGCCGAGATCCTTTCCGACTCGATAGCCGACAACAGAACCTCTCGTACGTCACCTATCCTATCTTCATTCGAGGCAAACTAACCTGACCATAGACCAAACCTGGATCATTATCGTCCTGATCATCATCTCCATCCTCGTCACCACCTCCGAAGTATTCCTCCGTTTCGGTCTCCTCTCCGCCCGTGAAGGCGGCACCTCCACGACAATAACCACTATCCTCACCCGAGCTCTAGGCAATTCTCCAGCACCGGTCTGCTCCTGCCCAGCTCCTGCTCCAGGCATGGGTGGATTGAATGCGACCGGCATGCCTTTTTGATAATTTCTTCCCTACCCCTTCTTATCTATATACCTACCTAATACATAAGTATCCACTGTTCTCTCATCCTTACATTCAGCAACCCTCTTTACACTGCATTGCCTTGTTCTATCCCCTTCCCTCACAATAGCAACTAACCTGACCTATTACAAAGCTTCTCCCGTAAATGCAGACAAAATCAGTATACTTATTTCCGGATTCACCCCCCTTTCCTTCCTATAAGTAAGAGAGAGAACGATTTCAACTTCGTCATTGTACCTATTCCTCAGCCAATTAATGAACCATTCCCTACCTAGATAGCATTCGCCGTACCATCTACATACATACACCTACACATACACCTACACCATTCCCCTACAACCAAAACACACTCACCACCTCAATCAACATCTCCTCTAGCAAGTAAACAGCTAGCAATCTATTCTACCAATCAATACCCATAGTAACGCACTAGGCCCACACATTCGAATCGATCCACACATTCCTACAAGCTGTACCACCCTATATATTTTTCTGCCTCAGGTATTCAATCCCTGCCTAAGGCAGAGATAGCTATTCTGGCCTAGGGCATGAATCATTATAGGCCTGAGGCAATAATTAATTCAGCCTGGGGCACTGATAATTCAAACCCTGCCTGAGGCAAGAGTAAGTTCCAGCCTAAGGCTGAAACAGCACCTACGTCAGGCAAGAAAGAAAGAATGAGCTCATCGCGGGACGGAAAGTACGTACGTCATCATCGGGTAGAACCTTGCTAGTGGGTGTTTCATGTAGAATGCTAGTTTAGGTTGACAACACGAGAGCAAGAGCAGATCTGAGTAAGAGTTACATGGTACAATCCGTACAGTACAGTAAAAATAGGACGGAGAGAGTCCGTGAGGGGGAAGGGATCTGAAACATGCACTGTACTGCACTGCCACTTTGCAGGGGTATACATTTCGATAGATAGGTAAGAATAGTAGTAGTAGTATCTAAGTAATAGGGGGTAAAAGGGTTGTTCTATATCATACATGACAATAACAGGTCATCTACACTTGGGTAAGTAAGAGGCCGTGATGGAAGTCACACGCACACAAAGGAAATAACAAACAATAGGATGAAACAAATAGGATGGGGAGGGAAATCGATACAACAGAAAGAAATTAGGTATAGAACAATGCACAGTGGAACACAAGATAATGGTAGTAATAATAGCATAAATCAGACCAAGACCCCGATTTCCCAAACCCCATTCCGACCGAGCCATGACACCTTTTCCAACACTCTATTTATGCTTCGTCCTGGTGGTCGTATCTCACATTAGACACAAAGAAACAACAGAATGGACAGAGCGGACGACTTAGAACTGCGCACGCGACAAATCAGCTAGCCCGGACTCCTTCCAGCGCTTGTGACCCACACTGGGAAATGCAAAGATGACGGTATATCGAATATCCACAGATGTATGCCATGATGTAGAACATGAGATGCTGAAACAGACCAGAGTGACAAAGGAAACAAAAGAAACAACAAAGGAAATATTGCTAATCTGCCTGACTCCATTCAAGGGAGGTCAGACATTATGCGAAATGGTGTAACAGAGTGAATCTCCCACGTCATCGGCCCTGCCGCTCGAGGGAGTTCAGCTTGTTATCCATTCCCTAAACTGGAGTGGACCATGCACTCTCGCCCATCTTGGGCTTCAGATCATAGTTGTCCGGCTCGGTGCTAGTGGGCCGGCGGATGGTAGAGTTGGGAAAGTACATATGAGGAGGCATAGACGTCGGGTATGCGGGACCGCTAGTCTCAGGGTAAAAGTCGGTTGCAGAACCAGGCGACGGAATGCTGCCATGCGAAGGAGAAGCCCAGCCCAAGCTGGTCATATGTGGGCTCCCACTCACGCTGTTGGGTCGGTGGTCGTTGTTGGCAGGAGGCTCAAGAGGTTGCGGGGGACCGTAGCCGGACGGATGAGAGGTCATAGAGGGACGGGGGTGTGGAGCGCTACCATAGCTGGACAACGATGGGGACGTAGCCGTCGGAGAAGCCCGGGGGCTAGCCTGTGTGAATCCACCTCGGACGTGGGCTGGGATCGAGCCGTTTGGCATGTAGTAGTCGGAGCGAGGCATGTTCAACGGAGGGAGATCGCCGACAGGGGATATGGGGTGGTGTGCCGGAGAAGGGGTAGAATGGACAGAACCGTGTTCGGAGAACATATCACCTGGCATTCTCGCCCTCTCCTTGTTCTGTCTCAAATTGGCCTCGGTTTCAGCGGCGGCCTCCTCGATGGTACCCGTGTGGTGATTCTGATGGCGTGTCAAGGTGGTACGACGAGTGAAGGTCTTCTGGCAGTTCGCGTAGGGGCACTTGTAAGGACGCTTCCCGGAGTGAATTCTGCGATGTCTCGCCAAAGAGGACGAATCACTAAAAGGCTGCAAAGGTGTTAGTGAGGAGCCACCGAGGAGTTGGAGCAGCCTGTACATACCTTGCCACACCTCTCACACATATGAGGCTTCTCGCCAGTGTGAACGCGGGAGTGTACTGTCAGAGCTGAGCGCTGAATGAATTGCTTGCCACAACCCGGCCAGTCACAAGCATGCGGTCTAACGCCGGAGTGAATCCGCTCTATATACAATTAGACGACCGTTTGCCGTACCTCTCGTGCGAAGTGCTTACCGTGTCTTGCAAGATCACTGCGCCGGGCAAATCCTTTCCCGCAGGTACCGCAGTGAAACGTCTTCGGAGGAGGGTCCGGCCTCCCTTGAGAGGCACCCGAGTTCGGTATTTGAGCACTACCCGCATACCCTCCGGGGACAAAAGGATTCTGCAGTAAGGGCAGCCCCGGAGCCGGGTGTGCCTGGGGTGCATAGCGCATATCATGTGCCATGGTAGGCATTTGGCCGAGCGGACCATGAGGGGGGTAGGCAAGGACAGCTTGGTCTCCAACGTCGGAGACGCCGGGCTCCGACTTCATTTTCGGCGACGAGGTGTGGTCGATGCTATGATTCGGTACAAGATGCTGATGGTCAAATTGTCCGTCTGCGGCAACCATTGCGGCCGAACCTTTTCTGTTCAAGATAGTTGTGATGTCCATGACCCGACCCCGCGGGGAGCTGAGGGACGGCGGTCAAGGACAGTCGAAGGATCCCACGGTAGCCCGTCTGACGCGTAGCCGCAGAAAGACTCCACGGCGTTGGCTGAAGGCTATTGAATGGCTGAAGTGATGAGTTAGCTTCGCGCCACGGAAAGGCAATCGAAATGCGGGACAGCGCAGTGGTGGCTGGCGTTTGAGCGTAACCACCCCAACAATCAGGCCACACGCCGGGGAAAACGGCCAAAGAGCTCCAATCCCCACCCCGGATAAGGTTCGAAGGCAAACAGACGTCGCGGGTTGATGATTTGACCGGGCTAAGCGAAAAGGGATTCAGAACTCACCTTGCTTTGCGCCAAATGTAGCCCAAGGACTTTTGTCCTAGCGAGGTGTGACGTGGGCGAGGGTGACCGGGATTCGATTTTTGTAACCAGGAATGTGAGGGCAAGGGCGAGTTGGCAACCCAAACGGTGCAACCGTCTCAGTTCTGAACAGCAAATAACGGCCCAGAAAGTGTTTTTGCTAAAAGTCCAGGCGCTTGACGGACAGATTCAGCTCCGAATATGAGATTTCAAGATGTGTTGAGAAAGTGGCGTTTCTTCACGAATCGGAACGTCCACGGTCGTCTTGTTCAAGTAGATTCGGGACTGACCCAACAAAGACCAAGACACTAGTCCTGACTTCCTCGGATAGCTGCAGCGAGACTTGTTCGGAAGGGGCCAGATGGAGATGGCTCGAGGTCACCGTTGTAATTTCCACACGATCCAGATCGGTCGTTAAACAAGCGGGACTTCTGGTCACCGAGGTATCGCCACGCCTAGCACGGGATTCGCGACGAGTTCCGAGTCGCCTAGGTATCGCCTGCGATCGCAGATTGTGGACGTTCGCGCTGTCGGTTTGTTTCGGCGGGTTTTCACGGAAAATGGCTCAGGGACTCCAGAGGAGGGGTAAACGGGCAGGACGCAAATTAATCTGGACTCGAACGGCGGCCAGATGGATCGATTCTGAACAGGGGCACCAGTACAAGGTTAGTAAAATGCGCAAATGAACGTGGTGGAAAGTCTCTTGTGTCCGATCTGTTCAGTGTCTGGGGGCTTTTTTTTGCCCACTGAAACAAACGGGGGTGGTGAGAAAGTCCAGCCCGAAGCCGCTCAATGGATGGCATCGCGCGCAGAATTTTGACCCAAGGAATGCGACAAATAAGGCGCTGGCCCGCACAGCGACATGACCTGCAGGCGCTCATACTCATCCATTCGCAGCGAGAGCCATCCAACGTGGACTGGAGTTAAGATATCGGGGTTGACCGAACCGCGGGGGAGCTGCGGTGTGAAAAGCGCCAAAGAAGCCAAGAAGCACTTACAGAGACCACGAGTTGACAGCTTCAGGTGAAACACACACAGATGCTCAGTGTCTGGGAGAACCAAGTTGCTGTGCGCGGAAGGAGGGGATCGACGGAAGGATGGGGGGGGGGGGGGTTCCGAAGAGTTAAACGGCAGCAATGAGAGGGCTGTTCGACGGAGCTTCTCGGGGTTATTCTGACGGGTGAAGCAATGGAAGTAAGAGGGGAAAAGGAAATTCCTCGAAAGGCACCACCGTGGCGAATGATGCAGCGGCGGAAAAGCAAAGGAAAGGAGGACGGGGGAAAAAGCAAGGAGGGAGATCGAATGGGAAAAATCAAAAGGGAAGAAGGTTTTTTGGGGGAGGGGGAATAAAGTATTTCGGCCGGATTGGAGAGAGAAGCCCAAGAGAAGAAGAGGTGAAGAGAAGAACACCGTCAAGTTGGATGAATCCCGGATGATGGGGTATGGTAACCGTAATATTAATTCAGCGGAGAAGAAGCAGGTGGCTGCGCGTGTGTCTTATAGATCCATCCCAGAATCCCGAACCTCACCCTCAATGCCTCACCCGTTCCCTACTTATTTCCTTCGTATTATTATTATTCTCTTCTTAATAATTATTATGGAGTTCCTCCTCCCCTTTGTCTCTCGTTTCTGTCTCTCTCTGGCGGGCAAGGTACCTAGGTAGGTAAGTTAAAATTAATGTTATTATAATTAGTAGTCCCTCCCTTAGTGCTTGGTGCTGGCGGTAAATAATAATATTTTCTTAAAATTATTATATTATTATTATTCTGATTATGATTACTGACGACTAGTGCCGTCCCAGACGTCTTAGAACTCTTAGTCAACGGAGGCTACCACGACTCTAAGTACCACTACAGCTTCGCACGTTTCCACCACAGGCCCCAAGTGGCTCCAGTGAACTCACTCGCCCGAAGAAGCTGGCGGCACCAGAAGGTCACCGTCAGCGCTCGGCTCCACAACGTGGCTTTCCCCGTCCCTCCCTGGCCGTGCGAGCATCGCTGCTGCTGCTGGTGGGTACGGCTGGATGCCGATCTGAATGATTTCTGACAATAATATTCTTTTTCGGGTTCGCGGGCCAGGCGACACTGGCCTCTGAGTCGCGCGCTCGGCACGATGGCCTGCGAGATCCTGGAGGATGGGGAGCGAACAACGGTTCTGGTCGCCTTACTCCGTACCAGAGAACCGACCTGCTCGGACGAACCGCGATGAATGACTACATACCACGGGGTCCAGTATGCGCTAGGGGGGGAAGGATGGTGTATAACGTAAAGGAGGACAAGGTCCCCGATCGCGTTGTTCCCGGTTCTCTGTTCCTTGTTCCTGGATCAGGAGTCCATACGTACACGGGGATTGCATCGCCGCTCGGAAGCTACTTTTCCTACCCCAGGAGTTCCATCTCAAGGGGCCTCTATCTGCCCCTGGTGCGGCGGTGCGCCCCCCTCGAGGGGGCAGTGAGGGCACGGAGGATAAGCCGAAACCGCAGGATGGACAAAGGCAAATTAAAATGAGCGGAAAGGAAAAGAAAAGAAAGCAAAGGAAGCGGGAAAGGAAACCAGGTGATCCGATCGACTGGCTGCATGCTTCATGTATCGTGCGACATTGCTATCAGGCATCAACCATTCATTCATTACCTTACCCTCGGGCGTGGCATTGCTCATTGCTCCCTATCGTGGACCATCAAGCCAGAGAGGGAAGGAAAATCCTGCACCTTGCCTTGTACACAAGGTTGGAACAATTTGGTTGCCAACCCTCCTGGACGAAATTTCAGGGCGAAGCGGTCGCCAATCTTGCTTATAGTCCGAATCAGATTACCAGCAGCAGCTAGATAACCCCAGGCGATTCGGCTCTTCAACGGAAGATGTGATTTGCCCCTTTCGGGAGAGGGTCTCAGCATGGCCTGTGATTACCGAAGAGCAACGGTGGAAAGCTAATTTCCTTCTAGAAAGTTTCGAATGATGGGGAATCGGGCGTGGCCCAGGACCTCCTGGAGGAGCTTTGAACGCACTATTACATAGTGCCTTTGAGACCCGGCCGTCACGCCCCTCCCATCCGGCCACGGCTGCAGGGACAGGACGGCCTCGCCCTGTCGGATGCCCGTCTGCCTCTCACGGATCTGCATGTCACGTTGGACCACATGCTGACGGGTGCCGCACGGCGCCCAGGAGCGTGAACACTGCGCACTACTGAACACTCAGCACCGTCCCAACCTATTGGGCTAACTCAGAAGCGCAAAAGCAGGCAGGGTTTGATGATACGGAGGGCAGTAATGGGCCGTGGAGTCCTTCTCCCGCCCGGTTCCTACAACAAGTTGCCCTAGTCCTGCGACTAGTCGCCTAGTCTTGCTAGTCTACGGACCTGACGGAGGAGGCTGCGACGAAGTGTCCACCCGCGCTGGCTCTGGGCTTCAATTCAGGGCTTCCCTCCTTTTTTTTTTTTTTTTTTTCTCTGTGCTCTCCCAGTGTTTCCGGCTTCCATTTTCCCCTTCGGTGGTGGTCTTGTTGGTCTTGTTGGTCTCCCTTGCAGAGGGCGACTCCACTGCAACACAGACTAACGGAGTCGTACATCGTACGGGCCCCGTACCGACCAGTTAGGTGGGCGCGCCAAGCCATTTCGGGCTTCCGGCGACCTTCTAGAAAAAACTCGGAAGGGCAATGGAAGCCTTCTAAAGCGTCCCTCTTCCACCCCCCCCCCATGTGCCATTGCGGCTGCGTCACTCACCCTTGGGCCGATGGTGGCCCTTGTCTCTCCTCCTGGCGCTCGTGTCACATCCCTAAGTAAAGGATCAATCCCCCGACAGCGCAGCGGGTTTGGGCACACACGGGGCTCCGACAACTAAAAGCGATGCGAACTCAAGCTGCATCCTAAGAAACCCTAGAATTGACTTTCGGGTGGTCAGTGTCACTTCCCATGAATCGGTGACCCGAAGAATAGGATTGTTGCCCGTCCTGTGCATCGTCATCGTCACCCGTAATCCCTGCAGGTGTCCGTGTTGGCCGCGGATCCGTGGTGAATGATTCACTCGGCCCCACGGCTGGTCTCTATCCCGGGCGTTGGCCTGGTCTAGGCAGTGCGAGTCATATTGTTTCGTTCCTAGACAGCCTTCTGGGATGGCTTGACCTGGCCCACGTAAATTCAGGGGTGCTCGGGGCCCTGGGAAGTGTGGCTAGAGCGGAGGGTGATGACGTCCGGCCGCCTGCATAACACTACCTAGTAATAACCGGAGGGACTGAAGTGACCGGAATATGCGGGCCATACGATTGGACCGGCGGGCTAGGCTTAATTGCGAGTGGCCGGTGGGAGTTTCAGTTGTTGGAGAGGACGGCGTGGTGTGTTGCCAGAAGAAGAATAGGGGAGAGTTCCACCGGTGGTGTGGTCTGGCCTGCTGGTCTGCTGGCAGGAAGGCTGGGAGCCTAGAGCCAACGGCGCATCGATGAGGGATGGGGGATGGGAGATGGGCGACTACTAGGCCGTCAGATTGATGAGGGATGATGCATCAGCCGATGGCGATGCAGTAGCAGTGCTCTAGCGCCAGATTTCCTCTTTCTGGAAGCTTGCCTATGCAGGACAATCACATCCTCAGCCGCGGTCAGCATGCAGAGGGCTACGTGATTAAAGTTCTCAATGCCTTTGTCGTTGTCGCCACTGTCACTTTTTTACTCTACTGGGCAGTGGAATCGGTGCCGCAGAAGGCAGCGATGCAGCTGCAGTACCACATTCTTTTGTCACCCAACCCGGATAGGGGAAGGAGAAGGAGAAGGAGAAGGATGAAAGGAGTCTCAAGAAGAATTATTATGACCAACCAACACGGCCACAATTAACATCCCCTCAGCACCACTCTACCTATTCTATTATCCCGTCGTAATTGTTTTTCTCCTCCTGATTCGGTATAATTACTTTACTCCGTGGCAACGTCACACACACATAACACACCGCATCATCACCACCACCACCACCGCTTCTTCGTCTCTCCCCCCCCCAACTCAACAGGTTTATGGAGTAGGTAACTCCATACCAACTATGAACTAAGTCGACGCCTACTCCAGACTAGTCATAGTCATAGTCGGAAGCCCCATTCCTCAACCGCCCCCTCACTGGACAATCCTGATCGACACCCCAAGAATCAATCCCGCCAGCGACTTACTCTACGCAGGCAGTGCGCACCACCCATGATCTTCACCGGCATCATGAAAACGAGTCCCGACCCGAGACTACCACGATCACTAAAAGGCGACTTAACCGGCCGAAGCTCTAGCGGCTCTTTAGTTCCGTCGAGAATTAAGTAGCAAGCAGACACTATACAAAATGCAGATTCCAGAATCCAGATAGGAGAAGAAGGGAGGAAGCCATCCATCCGGGACTCCTCCGGATCCATCGAACTACGGCACAGAAAGGAATGGCCGGACTCCATCCGCCCCATAACCCTGCTACCCGGTGGTTCGCACGTCGGTGGTATGGATAGGGAATGTTTCTAGAAGACACGTAGAACACTCCCTTAAGTGGGGTCTGGATGGTTCACCGACGGAGTTTTATTCTGTGTTTGGAGATGGTGTGGATTGTCGACGACGAGAAAATGAGGGATTATATTGAGGGGTACCAGTACGGAGTACTCCATACGCCGTTATGTACGTACTGTTTGGGAGATACTCCGTATGGTAAGAAGATTCCTCATCATTGCCTTGGGCCTCTCTCTCTCTCACCAGTCGCCTCATCCCCTTGTAGTGAATATTGATATGTATCTATGGAGACGGACAATGCACGCCACGACGCATGGCAGCTGCACAGCGATACATACATATGCCTCGTATCGTCTCCATAGTTGATCTATCACATCGGATGCCATCATTTCTCGCCACTTCCGCCGAACCAGCAACAAATGTGACTGTTTGTAGATCAAACAAACAAACACCAGCCTTGGCATGTTTGTCTCTCCATATCCGCGGCCGCAACTTCGGCTTCAATTCTGCCAAATCCAGCTCAGCTATCTCGCCGCCATTGACGATGCGCGTCCAATCCAACCCTCAATAGGTAGATTCCTCCATCTTCCCAACTCCCATACCAACCCACCACTAACATCCCCAGAATCCCCCACCACCACCACACCTCCACCAACAATAACAAAACCACAAAATGCTCCGCCCAACCCTCCGCACCCTCCGCACCCTCAAAACCCTCACCACCACAACCACCACCCGCCTCCACTCCACCACAACCACCACCACCTCCGTCTCCCCCGATGAACTCAATCACTTCTCCTCCCTCGCCAGCTCCTGGTGGGATCCCCAAGGCCCCTCCCGCGTCCTGCACCTCATGAACCCCGTCCGCCACGACTTCATCGCCTCCTGCCTCGCCGAATCCACCCCCACAACCACCACCCCGTCATCCCCCACAGACCCCAACAAAAGCAACACTCTCCAATACCTCGACATCGGCTGCGGCGGCGGTATCTTCGCCGAGTCACTCGCGCGCACCATCCCCAACACCTCCACCTCCACGAACCCAGCATCCCACCCCCCAACCCGCACGCGCGCGGCCTCAATAACAGCCCTAGACCCCAGCCCAACACTCATCAAAATCGCGCGCGACCACGCCCGTCTCGACCCAGCCGTGAACACGCACCTCCAAACGGGGAGATTCAAATACGTGAATTCAACGCTCGAGGAATACATCCCTACCCTTACTACCACCACCAGCAGCCCCAACGAGAGCAAATTCGACGTCGTCACTCTATTCGAAGTAATCGAACACATTGATAACGTGCCGGGGAGCATAACGCCGCAGGGGTTCCTCTCGTCGTGTTTGTCGATGGTGAAGCCGGGGGGTTGGCTAATTGGGTCTACGATCGCAAGGACGTTTCCTTCTTGGATCGTGAATCAGGTTATTGCTGAGGCGCCGTGGCCGGTGGGGGTGGTGCCGAGGGGGACGCATGAGTGGAGTAAGTTTGTGAATCCGGGGGAGTTGCAGGGGTGGGTGCAGGAGGGGTTGATGAGGGGGGTGGATGGGAAGGCGGTTAGAGGGGGTGGGGAGGCGTTGGAGGGGATGAGTTGGAGGTGTGAAGGGGTGGTGTATTTTCCGGGGTTGGGGTGGAAGATTGTGAGGGGGTCGGAGAGTTGGGGGAATTATTTTTGGGCGGTTAGGAAAGGGGGTGTTACTGCTGCTGGTGCTACTGCTACTGCTGGTGTTTAGGAGGGGGAAGGTTTGGGGATGGGGTGTATATCAGTGTATGATATGTGTGGTAGTGGTGGTGCATTAGATGGTGTTTTTTCATTATTAGTTCTGGTTTGTTGCATTGGTGCTAAGCCTAGCTATAGTTATTAGAGTAGTCTGCTAGTGGGTTATTGATATAGGGCAGCTGTAGAGCAATTGCATCTGGCTGCTGTGATGAATTGGATGGACTCGCCGGTGAGCCTGTGGTCTCCATTTTGAATCACCAGGCCCGGTCACTTCCTCTTCCCCTTTCCCTTCTTCTTGGGCTTTTCTGGCTCAGGAACACTGACCGTCCCCTGCATCACCTCCTCGCCCTGGTCCTTCAGGCGCTCCGACCCGCTGATGAAAAAAGTCAAGTCCCGGTTCTGCTCCGTCAGGTCCGCATTCGCCAGTTTGAGACTCTCCACCTCCGACTTCAAAAGCTCTACCCGTTCAATCAAGTTCTCGTTCATCGTTTTCTCTTCCCGCCACTCCTTTTCCATCTTGCGCGTCATCAACTCGAACTTCTCGGCGCGCTTTTCGACTCGGGTCTTATCCCGCTCAAGACTGGGGATGATCTCGCGGGTCAGGTTGTCGTATTTCGCTTGGAGACTCTTTAGACTTGCCGTGGCTTTCTCGACGGCTTCCTGCGCGGAAGTGGCGGCCGCACTAGCCTGGGATGCCTTGTCCACGGCACGCTCGACCACCTCTTCGAAGTAGGCCCGCTGGCTCTCCAGCTGGCTGGTGAGTAGGTGTGTGTATTCCACGCTCATGTTCTCCAGCTTCTCCCGGGGAACGGCGTCCGTCCAGTCTGGTGGGTCGAGCGCGCTGTTGTCCGCTGCAGGGAGTTCCACGAGCTTGCCGTCGGTTTTGCTTTGTATAATGCGGTGCACATATGCGTCGCCAACGTAGTCCCACACGCGCTGCGTAGAGAGATCCATGGCGAAGGCATGCGCGGTGTCTTTGTAATGCTCAAAGGCATGGGCTCCGTCATAACGCCCGCAGCCGATGCTCCCGCAGATGAGGCAGACCCAGAGGTTCATATCCGAGTGGCACACGCTGCACTCAGCCGATTCATCATCATACAGGGCGACTTGGCTGTTCCTTCGGATGTCGTCCTGCGTGTATCGACATACAGGACAGCCGCTCCCCTTCCACTTCTGTAGACACATGCAGTGAAACACATGCTGGCAGATGATAGTGAGCAAACCCGTGGTTTCATCCATACGTTCCAAGCACACAGGACATGTCGGCAGCTCGATCAGTGCGGGTGTCGGAGGCGCCAGAGGCCTGGTAGAGAGAGTAGCGGAAGATATGGCGCTTGATTGAGTTGTTGAGATTGGTGTCGTCCGCACAGGGGTCGTCGTGTTGTGTGAAAGCAGCCCGCTCTGCGGCTCATCGGACTGCGTTTCCGGCTCGACGGCTTGGATTTCAACGGTTTTCACGAAGACGACATGGCACGTTTCAGGCTATAAGCAAGGGCGCGTTAGCATCGCAGCTGTGGGTACACCAGCCACGCAAGATGCACTTACCTCCATGCTGTTAAAGACCTTCCCATTCCAATCCTTTTGCCATTCCTTGGCCTTCTTTCCGCTGCGAAACTTCATCAGAACCATATATCGATTCACTCGAGCGGTCCGGATCATCCGAAAATGACTAACATCATTCATGGTAGTCTCGCCCACGAATCCTAAGAGATCAAATGGCGACATGTATGAAGGGACAGCTAGAATGCAGAGCGTCGTGCAATCCTCATCCGGCATATGTTCCTCCCCGCGCAGGCCTCTGCTATTTCCACCCAGCTCATCGTACGGTGGTCTCGCGGCGGCCGCAGAACCCTTCAGGTACGAAGGATAGTCATCCTGTACCAGGTACGGGGTCTCCTGAGTATCCCGATACAGGTGTACAATTCCCCAGACACTCTCCGATATGCTCTGATCCAGCGGTATATATTGGCCTTTCGTGCGGAGACCGCCAAGGATATCCGTCCCGATGCCCGTCGCGATCGGGTTGTCGTCAAGATCTCTCCAGCCTGTCCGCTTCGCAGCAGCAGCAGCTTCTTGTTGGGACGGAATCATATCAATGCACTCGATGGATACCTTATCGAATCGGAGGTCTTTCTCGAAATCGGATGCGTTTGTCGGCGAAGTCACGTAGGGATGAGGGGTAGGAGTGTATCCGGGGTTGAATGTGGCGTCTGAGCGGCGAAGTTCAGTGGAAGGTTTAGGTGGGGAGCGATGGTGTTTTCCGGTCGATTGATGGCGAGGGGATCGATGTGCCCAGGTTGAGGGCCGGCGCTTCTGGAACGGCAGCAGAGCTTCACATGCGGAGTCGAAAGCGAGAGACGTGGAAGCGTGCTTATCCACACCTGGATAGGCGCCTTGGAGGTCAGACTGCGGGCGAGAAAATAGTTCGATCGCAATGTGGTAAAAATAAGAGGGCATTACGACGGATGCTCACATCTCCAGAGCGGTACAAGTCTGCAACTGCTCATGGATGGAATTGGAAGCTACTTTCACGTTGCGCGCCGCTGGATGGGTTTAGGTCACGTGCCAGATTTGGAGTGGCAAACAACAGTGACTCTCAGCGGAGGTTCTCCGTTATTTACTTACTATTAATCGTGTATAAGCCGTTTGACGTGTAGTTTTACGTGTAGCTGAAGCAGATTCTCGCTCGTCGTGGCTGGCTTCTCTTTCGCACGCTGGGAACAGCCGTGTGGCTATACAGTTATACTAGCGCATGGCTGATACACTGAATCTACAGATTGCAAACAATCATGAGGAATGTAGTAATTATCAATTCCTAGGTAGGTAAAGAATGTCGCAAGGCACCATAGAAGATGGTGACACTAAGATATGCCCAATTTATCCGTAGCATGAAACAACAAAAGCAACCATCCCAACGCCATGCAGGCCACTCAACCGTAGATGAGCCGTGCTAGAAAAGATCAAGAAGACATGTTTCCACCACGGAGGCGGAGCACCAGGTGCAGAGTGCTCTCCTTCTGGATGTTGTAGTCGGACAGCGTACGCCCATCTTCCAACTGCTTACCAGCGAAGATGAGACGCTGCTGGTCCGGAGGAATACCCTCCTTGTCTTGGATCTTACTCTTGACGTTGTCAATAGTATCCGAGCTCTCTACCTCCAATGTGATCGTCTTCCCGGTGAGGGTCTTGACGAAGATTTGCATACCACCACGAAGGCGAAGAACAAGATGAAGGGTCGACTCCTTCTGGATGTTGTAGTCACTCAGAGTACGGCCATCTTCCAGTTGCTTGCCTGCGAAGATCAGACGCTGCTGGTCCGGAGGGATTCCCTCCTTGTCTTGAATCTTGTTTTTCACGTTATCGATCGTGTCGGAAGACTCAACCTCGAGGGTGATAGTCTTTCCCGTAAGAGTCTTGACGAAGATTTGCATACCACCACGAAGGCGAAGGACAAGGTGAAGTGTCGACTCTTTCTGGATGTTGTAGTCGCTGAGGGTACGGCCATCTTCCAGCTGCTTGCCCGCGAAGATCAGACGCTGCTGGTCGGGAGGAATGCCCTCCTTATCCTGAATCTTGCTCTTCACATTATCGATAGTGTCGGAAGACTCAACCTCGAGGGTGATGGTCTTTCCGGTGAGGGTCTTGACAACTGTAGTGAGTCAGTATAGTGCCCAAGTGTAAGTGGCCAATAAGTGGCCAATAAGTTCAGGATAACATACAGATCTGCATTCCACCGCGCAGACGGAGAACCAGGTGCAAGGTGGATTCCTTCTGAATGTTGTAGTCACTCAACGTGCGACCATCCTCAAGCTGCTTGCCCGCAAAGATCAGGCGCTGCTGGTCGGGGGGAATGCCCTCCTTATCCTGAATCTTGGACTTGACGTTGTCGATGGTATCGCTGGACTCGACCTCAAGGGTGATGGTCTTGCCGGTCACTAGATGGAGAGAAGAGGTCAGAACATGTACTGATAAGGCTGGACTGGAGGCGTGGCCAGGAGTACTCACGGGTCTTCACGAAGATCTGCATCGTGGCGATAAGCTAACTAGATTCGCAGAGAGGTTTAGGTAGGAGATGTTGGAGAAGGGTGGGGGAGAGACACGCAGATAGAGGTGCGAGGGGAGAGGTATGGAGGATGAAAGAAATAGATAGTGAGAGGAAGGAAGAGAAGGCTTAAGTAGTCAGGAGAGGAGAGATGAGGGGAGGAGGCGGAGGCGAAGCGCCTTAGTCAGAGTCGGTCAGTGATAACGTGATGCAAGGGAAGGCTAATGGGAAGAATCACAAGAATAGGGAAACGAGCAGCAGGGACCTTAGCCCGGGCGGGTGTTAGCCTGTCAGACCAAGTACCTCTCGGGCGACGCTTCTGGCTCCTCCTGGGGGATTCCCTCGCCCTCCGGCCATTCACCGGATTCCGCCTGTCTGCGTCATTTGGTTCTCCAATCCGCTTCACTGCCGAAGCGCTGGGGGGAATCTACTAGAAGGTGGCTCTGTTCGGGGGAAGAGAGTCTCACTGTTGGCTTGATAGTAATCTACAAGGATACAATCCGCCCGCAGCGATAGTTGGGGATGGAAATCTCCGTCTGTTCGAATGAACAGAGGGCAGCCTGATGGTTGTTCCCGTTGCCTTGGGAGGCAGTCAAGGGAAGATGCCGGGGGCCTGGTATCAGTCCGGGGGAACGAACGGCCAGGTCGACTCCGTCCGTACCCGCCACTGACGCCACCAGTCGGTATCTCAGCCCGGCCCAATCCAGACCTCATCCGTGTTTCCTGATATAGCACCCCTGGGAATTTGCGATGCTGTCTTTTTCTCGCCAATAAAATACTTACCATGGGCATCCTGGAATGAACAGCGGTGACCAGGAAGGTGATAATGCGACAGCTGGCGTTACGGCGGGAGCAACAGCGATGACGTGTGAGTTGGGGGACTCCTTATCGGGTTGGGGGAAGGTACTTATCTCGACGGAGCAACAACTCGGGACATGGCCTTAGGCTCTCCCTTAGCGGCAGGAGATGAGGGGGTCAGGTGATCGTCGCATCCGGAATGCCCCGCTTTTGGCTGGGGAGGTGATCAGTCCTCTTCCTTTCTGTCTCCTTCCGCTGGGTTTTTGGGTCGGAGCATCGATGACTGCATGCATAATTCCAGGCACGACTTCTATCCCCAGCTCATCGTTTGCATCATTGCTGTCATTAGTACTCATGCACTCGATTGTTGTCCCCTCTCAGCCATGTCATCTAGCGTAGGTGGGACACCCCATAATAGTCTATTTAATTGAGCAACCAGAACCAGTAGAAAGTTTATCTAACCCGACTAGATAGTGATTCTGCTTTTTGGAACATGATAACTACCCGACCGATGTGAGCCACGAGACTATCAGGCCTAGCCCTTCAGTTTGCCGCTGGATTTCGGTTGGGGTGCAGACAAATGTCTCGGATATATATTTCGATCAATTACATTAGTATGATGAGTTATGACATATAAATCAGAAAAGGAGATGGTGCCACCCTGGAGTAGTACTTTTTTCTCCAATGATCCGCTTGGTCAAGTCATTATCAACAAACAACCCCCGGCTTTTCTCAGCAGCCACTGAGGCGCATGCAACCAGGCCGTTGCTGGGTCAGATCGTGATCTTCCCCACATGACCGACAGGCATGATCTTTTAAAAATGGCTTTTGACCCGGACGTTCACTGTATAAATTCTGGGACACTCGGGCAAGGGTAGTGGTGCCAAGGCTTTTCTGCTTTTGTCAATTGATTCCCCGTTTCAAGTAGCACCCGGCAGCGAAAGAGGCCCCAGCAGAGGACAACAACCAAGCCATACTCTCTACAGACTTCAAAAAGTAAAGAAAAAATCAAGAGGGCAAAGTAATATCCATTGAGCCAATATCCTCGAGTGCCTCAGACGCCGTAGATGCCGAGTACTATCGCTGATGGATCTACTGTGGACCTACCCCTTTGGTAGGAACCCAATCGGATACACCCGATGCAGACCGACTTTGCTTTATTTTTTCCATGTGAATCTTGACCTTCACTGCAGTATCATGGATTGATCAGGCCTTCAACCTTAGTAGTTAATGTTAACGTCCTTTAATGCCGACAAGAATTTCTGACGAGTTACCACATCCCTTCGGTGGTACCTGCCGATAACTAGGTGCTTATCTCCGTGCATATCAGGGGTTCTTCCCCATCTTTAATTCCATCTCCCCCTCAGCTGAAACTCTGTCTTGACCTTCTTCTCCATCTGTCATACCACTTCTAGCTAATACACCCATCCATTGCCCATCATGTACGAATGTGAAACCTGCACTCGTACTTTCTATAGCTGGTCTACCTGTCGTCAGCACATGAAGGACAAGGGCCACTGGCCAGTGTTTGAATGTGAGACTTGCAATGCGGATTTCAACTCTGAAGAGGAAGCCGATTGGCACATGAGCCGCTACGGACACTACGCACCCAAGATTCCCTGCGAGACTTGTGGACAAAGATTCCATACTCAAGACTCGGCGGATCAGCACATGGGGCAACTGAGACATTACCGAAACTACTGCCGTGCTTGTGACCAGCGATTCCAGACTGAGAATGGTCTGAAGATGGTAAGCCCCCTTCCGTCGATGCTCCCTTATCGACTGACATCCCCACCTGTAGCACCTCAACTCCAAGATCCATCGCGGCCAAAACATCCTCTGCCCCTTCTGCAAGGCCGGGTTTGCTACAGCTACTGGAGTCACTCACCACCTTAAAGGGGATCCTGCCCTCGTGCTCCGTCGCTGAACCGCGAAACCATCTACAAGTTTGTCCGCAGCCGTGACACGCAGGGCGTCCTTACAAAGAAAATGCTCGAATGGCATGACGACGATAACGCCAAATATTCAGCTACAGACCATGCTTTCAATGGCTACTACTGGGAGTGCTATATCTGTCACCGGGGGTTCAACACTATGACCGCGCTTAATCAACATCTCAACTCGACCGTACATAAGCAGAAACTGTACCATTGCCCGAACGTGAAAGGACGGTGCAGGAAGGAATTTGTCACTTTAGCTGCTCTTTTCAATCACCTGGAGAGTGAATCTTGTGGTTTCATGAGGTTCGAAAAGGTGCAGTTGCAGGCCCAGAATGTGTTCGCTGGCAACAGATTGATTGGGTTCTAAGGACAATCAGGGAATATCCTCTAACTATCTTCTCGAGATACGAGTACAATTAATGGTCAGAATGTAGCTAAGCTAAAGTGAATTTGACATTATGATCATCCTTACTTGAAGAAACATTGTACATGACCTGTAGTCACTTGTAGCCAGCTCTAGCCAGCTGAGTATGGAACGAAGAAGGCTGCATATGCTACGGCATTAACCCCTGGGATTTTCCATACAGCGCACCTGCAATTAGAGGCAGTTCCTGGTTATGTGGCCGTGGAACGGAAAAGGTAGTATACTACAGAAACTCCCCCACGGTACCTTCGAATATCGGGAGCTTTCCTTTCATGAGTTGCAAGACTCCGATTGCTAAAGCAGGCCTATACACGGACCGGTATCTTGTATTGTCTGGTTGGCCTTGCAGCCTCCTGGCTCCCGACCACCTCCAATATATATGATTTGAAGTAGTAAGATGGTACAACATCTAAGCTCGCTGCTTAACAAACCTAATAGCAATCAGAACATTGAAATTCCCTTGCTTCCATGTCCTATCAGAGAAACCATGTGATCCGACGAAACATATTCTTCTGATTCCACCCGAGGAAGTACCCATCAAACAAACATCCAATATGAGTCGGAAACAGAAGAATATATACAGGTATCATCGCCAGACACCACCACCAATTCCCCTTAAACCGAGCAAGTGATGTGACCGCTTTCTACCATCCTTTTTTCCTTTCATCAATATCTTTGTTGAGCACTATTATCGACCACGAACGCGGATTTTGTTTTCCTCGACGATGCTCCTTTACAACTGAATATCAATCCCTGAGATGCATCAAACATTGGGACTACTGTGGCTGTGGTGGAGATCATAGGCTGTGGGGTTTTGCTGCTTTTGTATAATTGGAATCTATACAAAATAGAGTGGACATTGTGCGGTTCCAGAAAAGCTTCACAGCTAAATATCCGCCGCGTAAATCATATTGAACAATAGATGCACGCCCTTAGTCAAAACATGTGAATAAATCAAAGAAGAACAGAGACCTCATAGAGTCCGATTACTCAAAAGGCCCATGAAGCATCTCACGAAGGGTCTTGTCCTGAGCATTTATAAAGATAAGTAGTCTTACTGCACTGTTTATGACATCCCAAGGAGACTTTCTAGTGAACCACTAGCAAGCTAAACATGGGATTGGTGTTCCTGTAGGAGCTCCCTTCCTCAACCTAGTGGTCTTAATTCTTAGTAGTACTGGAGATTAAGGTAATCATTCTAGGTAGCTGATTGAATTGCTTCGAGTGGGGAATTGCTCCAGGCCTAAGGTCGTGGTTCTATTGATGCACTGGAAGTAGCTAGTCACTCCCACTGTATAAACTATTACTCTGATTGGCTTGAATTAGTGGTCCTCATGTGATCTCCGCCTTCCTTCCGGAGAAGTGTTGTGTGTACTCTTTCTTGTACATTATGCAGACCTACCCAGTCACTCCTATCCAACATGGAGCGAAAGGCGGGGTCTGAATGCCATCCCAGGGACATGAAGACATCGCAGTCTTCATCACTTCCAGTCGTCCCCTTAAAACAGGAATATCTCTTACAACTAGAGGCCGAACTCAATAATTCCTCCAGTATGACGCAGCCTGTCGGTATAGGGCCACAGGGCCTTCGGACAGTTTCACCACCTCCTTCTCTAACGTCAGTATCAACCAAGCAATCTAGCTCCTCTAGCCCACGGAATCCAAGCGATTCTGCATACCGTGCACGGACGCTATTCCGTGCAGGGATACATGTCGACGTGACCGATCCTCGACAGGTACAGAGCCACATTGACTTTACTCTGGAAGAAACACCTCCGGCGACCTTGGCCACAATCAACAATCTAGCATCGAAGCTCCAACGCGAGTCCATGGACTTGACCGCAGCGCAAGCCGGAGCAACCGAATGGACGGACCTAATTTATGAGATCCTGAAAGAGATGAAGTCCACAGATGTAATGGTTGCTAGAAACAGGGGTATAGACTCCAATATGAAAACCCCCCAGGTTTTCGGTGAGCTGACACAGCATACCTCTAGATTGGCGACCCGATCTTAAACCTGAAGTGCGTCAACCGTTCATTTCAATTCCGCAGAAGCGACAGCGCGACCAGATGAGAGACAAAACATCAGAAGATTCTCATGTACCCGCGGGCCCAGAAGCGCCAGCACCCTCCACACAGTTGGCTGATTCACCGCTGTTAGGTAGATCCCAGGAATCTACGTCTGCGAGCCAGTTACTTTTGGGCCCATTGTCATTGAAAAACCCTCGTCCCGACATATCAGTAGGGCTTTCAGACCAGGCGTTCGCACTTGCATTGCGCTCCACTCACAGGGATGGTGCAGACTTTTTCTTGAATGATCTCCAGGAGACTGGCTTACTCATTAGTGACCCTGGGGTGACTCCGTTAGGTTTACGGTTTCCGTTTCTTCTCATCGAGGCCAAATCAGGTGCCACCGGTGGTAACCTTTACCAGGCCCAAAATCAGGCCGCCGTAGGCGGTGCCTCAGCGATCAACATCCTAAATAAGGTTTTCCTGGCAAGTGAGACACCGTCGCTGAATGCGGTGGGTTCGGATGTTACGCTGCTTACCTTTTCCACAGCTATAGAAGGGCCCATATGTGTGCTATGGGCACATTTCTGGGATGTGGACGAGCAAAATTATTGCATGGCTAATGTTGGCGTTTGGCGGACAACACATGCGTACAGTGCGTTCGATTTCGTTTCCAAGATTTCGAGGGTCCTAAATTGGGGCACTGGGAAATTGAAAGACACAATAGTCGAAAGGCTCACCTCTGTTTAGGCGCGACACTAGTCAAATGGCTGTAGTTCATGTACTATTTTATGCTAGGATGATCAGGTTATTCTTACTCTTTTCGCCAGGTAATGGGGTTATCAGTGTCGATGAAATTGAGTTAGTTTAGTTATGTTTCTGTCAAAAGCTCCCAGCTAGACCAGAAGAGATATCTCGGGCCCACAGGAGTGACTGGAATGGTGGATAGTTCTCCAACAGTTTCCCGTCGCTGATAGTGGAGATTCACAACCAGTGGCTTTTGGAATGATGATGCCAAGCCTGATATTAGTCCTCATACAACGTTGTATGTCCGGAGTGGGGAACGGAAATAAGTGAACCAACGAATCTGTGCTCAAATTCCAGAATAGGTTGATATGAGCTTGGTTCCTAGCATTATCTAAATGCTGCCACGTTAGTTGTCCCTTGGCGCTGCGATGGTGAAGACCACCATAATCCGGGATTTGGTTCTGCTTCCTCGGGATCTACTTTGAGGATATATCAAGGATTACTCTTTCCCAATTGGGTTGGTCGACATGGTATAAGTCAATCACTTATAGGTTGGACCAAGAAATGAACAGTCCTGATATCCATCGATGCCGAAATAATACATAGTAGATGCAGCTCTGTTATCTTCATGAAACCTTAACACATCGTATTATCGATAAGCAAAGGTCGCCACTGGCGTCGGCTTTAGGCGAGGTAGATCTGAAACGATCAGAATGCAGAATTCCCGAGGCGTCTAGTTTAGCTGCTCCCGGCGAAACAATCCAGCGAATGGCGGATACTTGATGGTGCATTGTAGGCTTGCTCCATCGCTAACTACTGCCGCATGGCAAGGGAGCCTTGCATTTCGGACCCGTTCTCAGAATGATGTCTCACCTATGTGCGTTCTCGTGACCATATGGTTTTCATCCTGGGTAGAGGTTGGGGATCAGACCATTGATAATCGAGTTAGCTAAGCGCCACCAAGGTGACTAATCCAGGTACCTAGTTACTTAGGAAGTATATCATCGAAGCGGTATAGGGTAGCTAGATTAGGGTATGATGCAACTGGCCGAGACAATGTCTACCTTAATCCCGCTATCAATCCATTGGAGACCCTCGGCTAGACCAATGGTTGGGTGCTGACATTGGAATTGCTCTAGTAGCCTCTCCTTACCCGATGAGGATGGTGTAGTGTAAGTGCGACTATCGTAAGATGGAGGCTATCGATGCTGGACGGACAGTATCGAGCCTACCCTGGCGGATATTACCCGGACAGTAGTGGACTGGTCCACCTGAGGCCAACCTGACGGTACGACATCGGGACGAGCAGAGTTCCCTGTCATGCGGGCTGATGTCATGGCTCGTGGGATACCCGACTAGTCCTGTAGGTCGATGTATACTGATCACACGCTGGCAAGGGTTCCGTCTGATTTGGGCTCCGGCAGATGAACTGTATGCCTGATATCTCAAGTGAATGGGTGTCAATGCTCAGCTGAAGTGGAGGAGTGTTGGGACGAGTCATACATCGTCTTGCCAGACCATGCTGTGATGATCGTGATGGCCAGCGGTGCCTGATATACAGTCACAGAACATCACCAGAAGTTGATGACCGCAGACGACCGACCCACTCCGAGATGGATTCCTTCGAGAAGCAGCGTTGAGTTTGCAGGTGCAGGGAGTCGGTCGGTGGCAGCATGGGATGATGATCATGATAGGTTACGCCGATGGAGGCCCAAGAACTTCCTCATCGGGAGGAGTGGATCGACCGGCGGAAGACAGACGGCGAGAATCGGCCGGAACAGGGATGGCGCTGAGACAGGGGAAACCAGCGTTGCTTCCCCGGCATGGCTGGCCCTACAGTATGTATCGATCGCGTGGGTGAGTTGCCTAGATAGATGCCTGCTGGAGAACTCCGCGGCCAGCCCCATTGGGAGAGATTATTACAGTAAGATCTTACTGACTGTGACTGTGACCGTGACTGATACTGATACTGATACTGATACTGATTGAGCGGTCTTCAAGTTTCTCCGGCAAAGGACGCCAACCGCAACGGCGAGGGAAGGAGCGATTGCCCACCGTGCGCCGAAGTGTCTGGAAGGCGGCCCAAGCTTAGTTTGGGTCTCTTGGCAAAGTCCCCGCCAACGTCAGCGGCGGCCATGATTGGCAGCACCACAGCCCCAGTATGATGTCACCGGCAATACGGCCCAGCCTCTGATAGGCTCAGCCCCCCAGCCAGACCCGAAAAGACCTCCTCAACTTCGTTGATGGATCGCGTCGCCTTCACGCCCGGCCAGAGAACAGGAACCCCCCCCCCCCATGACGATGCGCCTTCAATAGATCCCCCCCCCCCGACGCAGACTATATAGACTCAATAAGGTTGACTGATCATCTCCCGAAATTTGGCCTAACGTTGGCCAAAAAAGTGTTAAGATTCAACGGGGTCCTCGATGGCATCAACGCCTACGAGTGGGATCCGATCTCGAGTTTTTCTACGGTTTCTCCCTTCTCGTCCTAGCTCATGGCACCCCGCAACGGAGGACGGGTCACGGATCACGGAGTTGAAAGGATTTCGTTGTCGTCTGGTTTTTCGAACGCCAATTGCCTGTGTTTGCAGCTGGCATGTCTGGTACAGCTAATTCGGCTGACCCCTGAAGGGGCCAGAACCCTCTTTTTTTGGGCATGCTGTAGCAGGTGAGTGAACAGGGTCCAGATTCGGCTCCGACGCGACAACCTGGTGGCTGGTTTGTGCACGATTTGTCAAGTGAAATCGTCATGTTCCCGGTGAGATTGGTGGAATGCATGGCTGCATGACTGCCTCCATCCACGCAAAGGACCCCAGTGCGACTGCCTCTCATTCCACCTGACATCGCCGTTTGTTCCCAAGGCACCATTGACCTTCTAGACAATTCCCTCGACCAGGAAAGGCACACCGAAGAAACGAGTTCTCTTTCCACGTGCAACTGGTGATGGCCATGTCGGTTGACGGCTCAGAGACTGACGGTGGTGGTGGTGGGGATCGACGCCTGGCCGACTGATTAAATTCGAGGGCGGACACCCTACGTCAGTTGTGGTCCTATGATCTCAGCGTGCATCATCCAGGGTGGAGGTAGGATTGGCTCCCTTTTTGGCCCGAGAATAGGGCGACGGTACAATGGATCCTGTGTACTGTGTAAGGAAAGTTGTAAGATACGCGACAGGACCAGCATGCGGAAATCCTTCTGGCGAAGAGACAGCCGACCAGATCGTCAACCCGCGCAGATGTTGCAGTACTGTTCAACCCGGTGAAAAGAGGATGGCATTCTGCATGGGGTGTTTGCCCATTTCCATTTTAACCCTTTTTCTCTGGTGTCGCCTTCTCCACATGGAACAGGCCAATCAGCGGCCCTCGCACTGGTGGGATGTTTGACCTGGATATTTTGAGGCTTTTTTCCCCAGCGAGTTTTCGTCCCAGGCGAGAACGCGCAGTCGGCTCGGCTCTGGGAAGCGCAAACTTGTGACCGGAGAGATGTCAAAAATGAAATGTCCTCCATCGCGACATGGGCGACGTCTCTCATGCGGCTTAAATAGGGGAATTTGGGACGGAGATCAACCAGCGAAGAATGACGCCAGAGGATGCCGCCATGGTTGCTTAAAATGCTGGCAGTCCCGCACTCCTTTTTTTTGTTCCCTTTTTCTTCCTGCGCTTTCTGCTGGCGACTGACTGATCATCGCTGCTCTGCAATAAAATTGTTCTTCCCCACCACGACGGTTTGTAAGCTTTCCCGAGGCCAGGCTGTGGCTCCCATCAATTTCTTCCGTGCCTCCGGGCTGTACTATGACTGCTGCAGCCCACCGTGCCGGTGTCCAATGATCTGACCGCCTTTCATGAATATTGGCCTGTCACTTGAGGCAATTGACTGCAATATTATTATTACTATTATTTTTATTTTTATTATCATTATTGTTATTCTTCTTTGACCCCTCGGTTCGTCCCAGAAAGATTGGCCCACCGTATTATTCATCCCGAAATAGCGCTTAAAATCCTAATCATAATTCTACCCCGACGGTGACTGAAAGGAGGGACAGGCGCGGTGAGGTCACTTTTCTGATCCCATTCACTGCCCCTCATTGTTGCAAAGGGGATTGGCGGGACTGATCCAGCACCGAACCAAGCGTACCTATCTATTTATCTACTACCTTCTTCCTACCTACCTACTTACTACTACTACTACTAGTACATCCATTTTACTTTACGACCCAAGTAATAGTGAGTAAGTAGGTAGTAAGGTACAGTACCTATCTGTTTATCGGCTGCCCGCCCATCCAGCCCACTTCCTCCCCTCCTCCTCTTTTCGTTCCCCTCCACTTTCTGGTTCCTCTTGACGGCGCGCGCCTAGCCAGGAAAAAATAATTAATAAAAAAAAATCGAGCGCGAAAAAGAAGATAAAAATTAAATAAAAAAAGGGAGAGGGAAAAAAGAAAAAAGGGCCGAAAAGGAAAGGAGGGAGAAGTTCACACACACACAAGGCCATCAGCATCGTCATTTCCTTTCCTTTTACCTCATCCTCTTTCCTCCTCCTCTCCTCTCCTCTCCTCTCCTCTCCATTCCTCCTCCCACTTCCCACTCCCACTTTTACCTCCTCTTCCACTCTTCCACTTCCAACTTTTTCTGGCTTCGCACGCCTCCATCGTCTTTAATTTTAGTCACTTGACCTAATCGGGAATTATCCTTTGGCATCCACTCGCCTCATCCTCACACCTCTCAGCCTTCCCAGTCGCCTTATCGTCGGGTGCCGTTAATCTAAGTTTAATTTGGCGATTTCCACTCCCGCCGAGCTGCCATACTTTGTTCATATACCCAGGCGGTTTCAGCTCTGCTGTGGTGGACGGAACGGGTTCCAGGTGGGAGAATGCCCCCTTGTGCTGCTTGTTGTTTAGTGCTGCTCCCTCGGACAATCACTGCCCCTCCCCCTCGTCTCCTCCTGATCCAGACAGCTGTTCCTTTGCTCGTCCCATGTGGATCCATCTGGTGTGCGGTGGTTGAAGGGATATCTGTGCTTCCCTTCTCCCCGCTGCCTCGTCCGCGCCTTTTCTTCTTTCCCCCCTCCCAGCCTCACGAATTCCCACTGATACCCCATCCCCTGGTGGCAGGAAGTCTCTGGTTGAACAGCCTCATCTCACCCTCAGCCTCGCATAGCTAGATCTCTTGTGTGTTTCTTTTGCTCCCTCTTCTATCCCCCCTTTCCCCCGCAAACATGCTCTCCTTCCCTTCCCCTCATCCACCTTTTCTGTTCTCTCACAAAGCAACCATACCAGAGACGAACATTCTCTTCAGCTCTGTGTGTGTCTGCATTATTATTCCCTTGCTGTATAGCTCTTGATCTTCTGTCTTTGTCCTGGGCTGGACTGCATGACCCTCGTAATACCCCTATTGCGTAGGGCAACACCGCGATCGAGTCGAGCAGCTGTAACGTCGTGCGATTCGTGTTCACCAGCTGACATGGGATTGGTCTGCAGATTCGTTTCGTGTAATTCTCAGTATACCGTGCTCGCTGGTTTACGGCTTGAAACCCGGAGAATAACCGGCTAGATTGACCCACAGAGTCCGAATTGCAGCTAGTCAAGAGCTATTGACTTCTGGTGGTCTCGAGCATTTGCTTCTACATCGAACGACCCTTGAAACCTCTCACAAGACCCGAGAAACAGACCGTATCACATCGTCATGGCACCTACCACCACCACGAAGACTGTGGAGGAGCCTGTACGTGTCGCGGTGCCGTCCGCTGATGCCAAGGTTGACGCTGACGTCCCGAAGCCTAAGGAGACCAAGCCGATCCCGTCCACACTGGCGGAGATGAGTGAAAGCATCGATCAGACCACATTCGAGCAGATTCTCGAAATGGATGACGAGGGGGACAACGACTTCAGCAAGGGCATTGTGTACGGCTTCTTTGACCAGGCAGAGAGCACATTCGAGAAGATGGAGAAGGCTCTGTAAGTGGTCTCCGGAAGTCTTGCCACCAGCTCCGCGCTAACCGGTCTTTAGAAAAGAGGAAGAGCTGAATGAACTGTCTTCTTTGGGACACTACCTGAAAGGATCGTCAGCCACTCTTGGACTTATCAAGGTCAAAGATGCATGCGAGAAGATTCAGCACTACGGCGCCGGCAAGGACGAGACCGGCTCGACTGACGAACCGGACAAGAAGACCTCCCTGTCGCGCATCGAGAAGACCCTGACGCAGGTCAAAGTGGACTACAAAGAAGTAGAGGCATTCCTGCGCAAGTACTATGGCGAACCCGCGTCCTCTTCTTGAATTTAGGATGAACAGAAACAAAAGGGCAAGGTAGATGCAGGCGAGGGTTCTCTGTCAGTTAACTGAATATACGCTGAGGGCGAGGCCACACGCTCCGCCCAAGACCAATGCAATCGAAATCACGAAGTGACAGCAATCACCACCAGCTATTCTTAAGACTGTGGACAGATGAAAGGGGAGACAACATGCCGCAGGGGGAGGTTGGGTTCCTTGCCCCTTATCTTGGCGGGGGGTGTTTGTTCCTAGACCTGTATGAACTATGAACCAAGGGAATATGAAGAAACAGACAGAGGTAGATGATATGATTCTTGTCTCCCTGCCTTGGCCAGCCTAGTTGTGAGGCACCCCTTGACGGATGTCGCATGCACACTGCCTTGTGGCATGATCGGGTAGTCGTCGCCGGGCAGGGGCCGGGCGTGTGAAGCTGAGCCGACGGGATGGAGTTGCTGGGGTCGATTCTCGACTCACCCCTTGTCAGGCTCCTCCCTAGACCATAAAATGTAGTAGGTGGTAGTTGAGTCGACTTTTATCGGGTCGGGACGAACTGGGCAGATGCTGGGCAGATGCTGGGCGCAGTTTGCGGGCTGCGAGACGGAGTTCCGCCATGGATTGTCAGACATATTGGAGTATGTACAACCATTGCCTCACTTGCACCTTTACACAAGGTCCAGGCTGAGCAACGTCGGGAGATGAGGTGGCCGTGGAGGTGGCCGTGCCTTCGGGATCCACGAGTGTCGACCTTCTTGTTGGATCGCGGCGACATCCGAGTCTTTTTGGTTTGTTTTCTTTCTTCTTCTTTTTTATTTTTTTTTTATTTTTTTTTTTTATTTTTTTCTATTTTTACAAACGACCGGCACTTGCGCAGAGGGTGCTCGAAGCTGGCAAACAGTCGGCGGACCAGCCGGCTTGATATAATTCCCTTGAATGAGGGAAAGGACGGGCTGGGGAAAGGATCGACACGGGGCCTTGCAATTCAGACCGGGGCGTTTGCTATCCGTTGGCGGGGACGTCCCCAGCCAGGGTAGGGTTAGCCACGCCCCCATGAGGTGGTGATTGAAGTCGGCCTGCTTGGATTCTGGTGGGAGGGGGTAGTTTTGTCGCACGGCAGACGGTTGGGAGTGGATGATGGGGGATGATATGGGATTCATGCCCTCATCCTGGGGGGTAAACCGGCAGGAAAACAATTCCATTCAGCTTCTCCGCTCCCAAATTATGTCGTGTGTACGACTCACTCACTCACCCGGACCGGGACTGACAATGCAACGGGTTACATTGTCTGCCCGGCTGCATTCCGTGCCTATGCTCGACTCAACCATCAGATATCATGACCCAGGCGCCCCTATTCGCTTGGTCAGACAGACAGACTATGTCTGCGTATACTTGGGGGGAGAGGGGGGTGATCAGACCATGAGTTATTCACGGAGATCGGGGACGTCCCAACAACGGCTACCTACATGCACCCATCAGCACGAGTGGGACAGTGGGAGTGCATTCGTTTACGCACCTTGCGTGCAGTGGATCTGATGACATGGAGAGAGGGGGTTCTAGTATCACGGATTGATTCCGTGACCGGCAACGGCTGTGCAGCCGTGGGTTGCCCGAGGCAGCAGGTCTACACGCAATACAATATCCTGCACAATTCAGCGAGGCCGTCCAATCAGACTGGATCCAAAATATCCCTTATTCTTCGGCTACCATCTCATCTGCAGTCTCCATCCCCAGAGGTTTGTTGATCCGACGGAACAAGCACTGCCATCCACATCATCAAGCCCTTGTTCGGCTGTACGACTGGCATTTGAACGGCGATGAGAACATCCCCTGAATCCCTTCGGATGGCGTGATGTAGACATATATACCGCTACTGCCTGCTTCTTTCATATCGTACTATACATTCCAATCCACCTCAATCAATACTATCTATCTATCTATCTTCACCTAACCCCTACTACCACAAGCCACCCACACGCACATATCCAGAGAATACAAAAAAGAATCAAGAAAGAAAGAATAAAAAAAAGAAAAAAAGAATGCCCGTCTCCCCCCGCGCCTCCAAAGAAGAATTCATGGCCGCCCTCGGCCTCTCCACCCACGACCCCCAACACGAACAATACTACCGCGCAATGCGAGTACGTCCTCCCCATCCCCATCCCCATCCCCATCCCCAAACCCTAAGACTTAAAAACCAGGACGAAGCAATATCCACCTACAACCACCTCAACGAATCCCCCACCAACCTCCTAGAGAGCATCCTCCACGAACAACCATCCACAAAACCCCCTTACTTCTGGCACCATATCCGGCCGGATCGTCAACGCTGGGCCATCACAGAGATTGCGCGTAATGCGGGTCCCCTCACCCGGCCGTTGTTTGCGAGGGGTCAGACGACTGGCGAGTATGCCCCGAATTGGGTTGCGGGGTGGTTGCTCTATAGTGTTTTTCGGTCCAGGGATGTGAGGAATAATAGGAATAGGAGGAGGGGAATGGGGTTGGGATTGGGGGAAGTGGGAGTGGTGGGGGGTGGGGGAGGAGGGTATGTATACATTTTTGTTTGTTTTCTTTGGTTAGGTTTAGGGGATGGAGGGGGTTGGGGGTTGTGGAGGAGGAAGAAGAGGAGGAGAAGGAGGATAGATGGATGGTTGTGGTTGTGGTAGTGGTATGCTGTACAGGTCTAACTAACTTGCTATATGCTATAGGGTCCAAGTCGCCGCAGACGTCGTTGAGACAAGGGGATGGGAATGGTAGTGCGAGTGGGAGTGGAAGTGGAAGTGGGAAGAAGGAGTATTATGATCCGGTTCGAAATGGATAAACTTGATGCTGATGTTCTGATCTTTGGTGATGTTGTGATGCTGTGTTGTGTTGTGATACTGATAGTGGCAGTGGCAGTGGCGTGGCGTGACGTGGCTTGGCTGGCGATGTCTTGATAAGTGTAGTAGTACTAATCATCTCCCTCATCCTCATCTCTATCCCTCTTGGATCCATTCTTCTGCGTCCGTTCCTGCTTCAACGCCTCCGTAACCCGTTCATCCCGTTCATCCTGCATCTCATCCCATTCCACATCATACTCGGCCGCAATACTCTTAATCTCTTTGCGCAAGGTATTCCCCTCATCAATCAACGACTCCCACAGATGCAAATCGACCCCTTTGGCCTGATACAGCTTCTTCTGCCGCGCATTAATGGTAAAGTCCAACGCTGACCGATACGAAATCTCCCGATTATGGTATAAAAACCACAGATACCCACCCATCAGCGTCGACAAACTGGCCAGATACGTCACCGGCTCCATTGTATCCCAGCCCAACTCCGTCTCAAACGTCAACCTGTACACCAGGTACCACCACATCGCCAGGATCCCAAACCCGCCGACCGCCACGCGCTGCGCCCCCCGGTGCGCCAACGCATCACACTCGTGCTTAATCTCCGCGATGCCCTGAATTCGTCCGGAGATTTTCCGTAATCGCATTCGCAGGAAATGCGTCCGCTCGTCGAATGACGGCACCGCTACCCGGATCTGGTGCAGGCCTGCTGGTGCGCCTTCAACACAGACAATGAATTCTCGTGCGCGCGCGGCGTCCCGGATGAAATCCCCGATTTCGGTGGATTGGGACCAGCGCACGAAGCGTTGCTCCATGCGATTGTTGTCTTTGCTGGGTGAGGTGCGCCGTAGGTACGTGTAGGTGTCGTCTTCGGTGGGAGCGCGTTTGCCTTTGCCGTCGTCGATGCGGCCGAGTTCGTCCAGTTGGTGCACTTCGGCCCCCGTGCCTTCGTAGACGGCTTTTCGGGGCCGGATTGGGTGGTCTTCAATTTGGAGCGCGATGAAGGACACGGTTGGGGAGCGCGTCTGGTTGTCGGAGGTCTTGATGGGGGGGACTTCGGATTGGATTAGGCGTTCCAGGTGGGACAGGGGCTGTTGAGGGTGGACAAGGATGGCGATGGGTTCGATGTCTGGGTTTAGCCATCACCGTTAATATATACTCATCCATGTACTCATGTAGATGATTATGGAATGATGTGCATACCCTTATGTTCCTGATGATACCCCGTTGACAATGGAATGAGTAATTTGAATAGCCGTGACGGTGTTGTCAATAGTTTTCCTATCCCCAGTCAGTTGACTATCCCATCCAAACCAAACACTTGGAAATCTAGATCCAACAACTCACCCTTGGTCATCGCATCCTCCAACCCCCTTTCTCCCTGTCCCTTTCCCTGCCCCTTCTCCCCATCTACACCCTCCCCATCCGCCTTCTCTCCCTCCCCCGTCCTCTCCCTCAACCTCAACCTCTCCAACTGCTCCCTAGTCTTGCTCTGGTTATTATTCTTCTCCCACCTTCCTCCACCCCTCGCCCGAAACCACCTCCGATCCAACGGCATATATACCCCGCTCGTGGGGGTAGTATATCCCCCGCTTGACATTCTCCCTGATATAACACCCAGAGGGGCTAACCTTGGGCTATTCCATCGCAAAGGCGGAATTGCAACGGGAACACGACATAGAATGGACCGCATTGCGGTCACGTCATTGGGGGGTTCGTGCGGGGGACATGTATATTTGGTGTAGTCAATTGGGATGCTGATGTGAATGTGAAGATGTGGTGATTATGAGTTTTGAAGTTGCTTCTGAGAGGATTTATTAGTATGTAAGTGTCTATGAAGTTATTATTCCCCTGAGATTATCAAAAGAGAGAAAGAGAGAAAGTAAGGTGCCTTGGAAGCTTGGATGGGAATACGTCATGATGAGTCAGCGGGTCGTGGTGTGGTGTGGTGTGGGGAACGCGGGTGGCTGTGGCATGGCAATTGATGGACTATAGTTGGGACGTTTTAAGGTGGTGATGTTGTTGTTGGCGTCATTGGGGAAATTATATATGGGGATGGCTACTTGGTATTATGGCGTATCTATACGCAACAGGTTGGGATTGGTGTGGGGTCACCTGATTGGAACGGAACGGCTTGGGCTTGGTCTCCGCGGAGCCTGTTCTTTTCACATCACTGAGATGCGTCGCTTTGGTGTTGAGAGTACATCGAGTATTCGAAGGTACTACTGTTTCACGATTTGGGTTGTTATGAATCCAACAGAGTTACTACTATTATTTGATGATATGTCAATGATGACGTCGTGCTCAGGTGCGGTCACTTGGCTCTGTGAAGCTGGTGTTTACACGTCAGATCCCTTACTCATGGCATTGCTTCTCTTTTAGATCATTAGTTCTTGCTGGCTAGTCTATCTGAACTCGACATGGCCATCATCTAGGTATGTTGTCTCACGCTTAAGTAACTAAAGACAGAAATCTGACCAGCTTCTTATAGAATCACTTCCATTCCACTTGATCTATAAACCATCAAGGAAGAGTATACCCCCCATCAATAATCACATCACTTCCCGTCGTATAAGTGGAAGCATCACTAGCAAGGTACAGATACAGCCCCTTGATCTCCTTAGTATGACCCTGGCGCCCAAGCGCCGCCATCCGATAGGCCTCATTCACCGCCAGCGGGCTCGCACCCATCTTAGTATCAAAGAACCCCGGGGAGACAATATTGACTCGAGCAAATTCCCGCCACTCACGAGCCAGCGACTTTCCAAAATGGGTCACGAAAGCCTTGGTTGCATTGTACACTGGTTGATCGGTGGGAACGTTGACAATGTGTGCACTCATACTGGATGTGATGATGAGGTTTCCGCTGCCTTGACGCTTGAAGACCTCGCCGGCGTATTTGGCACAGAAGACGACGCCGTCGACTGTATGGATTTAGTAACTGGGAATGGAGTAGAATGTTGAGTGGTTCTTACCGTTGACGGACATCTGTTTCTGGTATTCTTCTAGCTTTTGCTCTAGGATTGGTTTGGAAATTGCCATTCCTGTCGCTGTTAGGTGCTGGTTTGGATGCGAAGGGATTGTATTTACCTGCGTTGGCGATGAGGACGTCGATCCGTCCGAAATCGCGAACGACGTCTTCAATGGCTTTCTTCACTTGCTCAGAGTCGGAGACTGATGGTCGGGTTAGCTGGGGCTCGCATAGGGACGATTCAACTGACTGTCAACTTTATATGGCACGGCCTTGATACTGTGGGCCTGGGCCAGCAGTTCGGCCTTTTGGATGGCGACATCATTTCTCCAATCCGGTTAATATACAGCTGAGCTGACTGCAATGCCGCTTGCAAGGGGGAGATGGACTCACGAGTTATACCACATAGCCACATTAGCACCAGCCTCTGCCAGAGCCTCTGAAACAGCATGGCCAATGCCATCCGCCGCCCCGGTCACAACCGCCACCTTGCCCGACATCTTGAATTGTTCCAACACATTGGAGGGTGTGTCCGGGAAAGGACGGGGAAATCCCGCCCGGACTTGCGTGCAATCAGATACGGTCATAGACATCTTGAGAACGATTGTATTGGTTATCTTGGTGTTTCCAATGAGGTTTCCCAACAGGTATTTATAACTTGTTGGATAGGGACAGAGCAAGAGTGAGGACTGAATAGACCGGCTCTCTGTCTGCCGATCGGTCATTGTGCCGTTCGGTGGCCAGTCGGGCCTCTGCGGGCCGACTGCCCACTTCTGCATCATCAAGCCCGAGAGACTAATTGTGGGCGAGGACGCTTATTCACTAGGAATTACTCGGGAAAAATGACCATCCATCGGGCAGCTGCGAGGAAATAATGCATCTGGTATGTACATGGGTCAACCAATCACTGGACGTCGGCTTATTGTTTCGTTGCGGCCACCGCAGAATATTCACGACTCTGTAGCACTTTGCGGATCTCTAACCGTACGACCATCCTTGACCAACTGCCTGCGTCTTTGGCGTTCTACACCGTCCAGTCATGGTGCTCGACCTCTTCAACATAGCCACCGGAATCATCCTTGACAGCACCAACACTGCTAATCCCAAGCTGATGCCGGATGCTTGACATCCGATTTCTGTCTTGTTCAGCCTGGTTGCCACCGAAGATCTTGTCCATTTCTTCGATTGAAACGCCTTTGGTTTCTGGAAGAAAGAAATACACCCAGAAAATGAGGAAGACACAGAATGCTTACTGATCAGCGCTGCATTATGCCAGGACAAAGGAGTGGGGCTCACCGAGGAAAAAGTAGAATGTCCCAAACGTGATGGAATCCAGCATTCTTGGGGTAATGAGTGCAACGATAAACTGGTAATCAATGAGTACCGCACCGTCAATCGTCTCAGATGCTTACATTACTCAACCAGTTCACGCCAATGGCAATTCCAACGGCCTGAGACCGCACACCTTGCGGAAATATCTCGGAAGGAATCACCCAGTTGATGCAGCCAATGCTAAAGGCGAAATTACAGATGTAAACCCAGATAAAGGCAGCAGTGGCCCATCCTGCCCCCCGGTGGCTAGCCCAGGAGTGCTCGTACACCGCATAGAGAGTGGCCACAATGAGCTGAGAGATACCCATGCCTACGGCACCCACGATGAGGACCGTTCTGCGACCCCAGCGATCCATGAACATGATCGCCGGAATGGTACACAGGAAGTTGAGAATCCCAATGACCCCTGTGGCCAGGAGGTCCACCGAGCTGCCGGAAAGGCCAATGTCCTCGAAGATCTGTGGTGCATAGTAAATGATTGCGTTGATACCTGCTAGGTCAGCCGGTTCATCCAGATGAGGCTGGAGGCTCACCTGTAAACTGTTGAATCAACTGGAGCGCGCAGGCAATCAGAAGCCGGCGATTGAGATGACGAAGGACAAACAAGGATTTGTATCTCTCAAAGCTCAGACGGATAGGAGAGGAGACGCCCGGAAACATGGCAGCGGTAGTGGCTTTGTCAAACAGTACCGATACCTTGATTTCAAGCACCTCATTCTTGATACGGCTATCACTTCTAGGGACCCGACGAAGACGGGACAACGTTGAAAATGCTTCGTCCTCACGATCTGTACCCGGTTAGTCCTTGGTTGCTCAACTACCCACTACCCACCTTTCGACCTACCTTTCATCATCAGCCAGCGGGGCGTATAAGGCAGAAAAAAGGTACCGACAGCAAGGACCAAGGAAAAGAGGCATTGCAGCGCCAGCGGCAGCCGCCATGCAGCGGGCGACTGCCCATTCCCGGTTCCCCCGATATGCTGGGTTCCAAAATTCAGCCAAAACGCTACCATTATTCCGGCAGTGATTCCGAATTGCTGCAGAGCCACGAGTCCACCTCGAAGATTTGGCGGCGCCAGTTCGCTGATATAGAGGGGTACTACCATGGAAAGCTGACCGATTGCTAAACCAGCAATGAACCGAGCAATGAAGATCATGGGTACATTGACCGAAGCCGCTTGCAAAATCGACCCGATGAGGAAAATGTTATTGGCTAGGAGGATGGACCAGCGCCGGGAGAGACTATCGGCAATGGGACCGTTGGCAAGGGCGCCAAACATAGCACCCAAGGTGAGGACAGAGACCATCCAACCTTGGAGCGTCGAGTTGTTGGCCAACGAGGGAAACTCTTTGTCCTGCGCGGATTAGCGGGTTATCGAGTTATTGAAGAAGAACTGACAAAGCTGGTCATCACCAGAACCCCACTGATGACTCCTTGATCATAGCTGCGCCACGTTAACTCTGCCACGGAGTCGAACAACGCATGATACATACCCGAATAGGACACCTCCAATGCTCGCAAATAATGACAGGAACAGTAAGAATGGGTTGTCCACGAGGCCCTTGTATCCTAGATGATTCGTCAGCATGACCAAACGGAAACCCGAGGCTGGCCTACCGGCTGGACCATAAGAGGTCTCTAATCCCGGAGCCGAAGCACTATTGCTAATGGCAACCATGGTTGAAGGACAATATCGAATCAGGCAGGGTAAACAACGAGTGCAACGAAAAGTGCTATGAGCAATGCCTGCAATGGCAGGCGGATGCCCGAGGGTAAATATATGAAAATCGTCCACACATAGTAGACATCCGTCTACTTTGAGCCGGTGCCATTACCCGGGGATGGAGTCTGGGGTCTGGGGCTTCGGGACGTGAGGCCAAGTCTGGGGCTGTCTAGATGACGGGGGTCTGTGTGCCGACGGTTGCCTGATCGGAGACAAGGAGATACACTCGGCGGACAGTGCCCCGGCCTTGCAACGCGAATGAAGTCATCCGGAACTCTAGAATACGTACGAAGACCAAAACAGAAAAGGGAATCCATCGGATTGGCCCATATAAAGCTCTTGGGATTCTTCTCTGCTTGTCATTATACAGACATTTCTATTATTTTCACGAGTAACGTTACAATATGGCCCCCTCCGCCGAGTTACCGGGCCGTGAAGCCCTCGCCGCTCGAGTCGTTCCTAGTATGGTGTTCAGCGATGGCAGCCTTTCCTCCATGACTCCCCCACCCCAGCCCAGCCTGGAGAACGATGCAACAAAGGGCGCACAGAAGAGATTTACCGTGCAAGGCAACGCAGTCGTTACCGGCGGAGCTGGCACTCTGGGGTTACAATCCTGCGAAGCCCTGCTCGAGCACGGTTTGAACGGACTCATGATATTCGATGCGAACCCGACAAACGCACAGACGAAAATCAAGGAGTTGCAAAAGAAATTCCCCCACGCTCAAATTGCCACGATGCAAGTCGATGTGACTGATGAAGTGGCCGTGGAAGCTGCAATGGAGACCACCACTCGGATGCTCGGATCAATCGATGCCTTGGTCTGCTTTGTCGGGATTGTGGGCTGTGTGGAGACGCTGGAAATGCCGGTTGGACAGTGGCGGAAGGTGATTGATGTGAATACCACGGGATCGTTCATCTGCGCTCAGGCTGCGGCCCGACACATGGTGGCGCAGGGCACTGGCGGCTCCATCACCTTCATTGCCTCCATCTCTGCACACCGGGTCAATTATCCCCAGCCCCAGGCCGCATACAATGTGAGCAAGGCCGGGGTGCTGATGCTGAAGAACTGTCTGGCTGCCGAATGGGCGCGGTATGGCATCCGGACGAATAGTATCAGTCCTGGGTATATGGATACGATCTTGAATGAGGGTGATGGGATTGCTGAACACCGGAGGGTGTGGGCGGCACGTAACCCCAGTGGAAGAATGGGTGCTCCGTCGGAGCTGACGGGCGCGGTGGTGTTGTTGGTGAGCAGTGCGGCGACTTATATTAATGGGACGGATCTTGTTGTGGATGGGGGAGGTCTTGTGCTTTGATTTGAGTAGTATGCTGCTGAAACCATAGAATCAATCAATCAATCGGAGGGCTCCTGGAGAAGGGGAGCGCTTAGCGCCTCCCGGTCCCTCTCCCTGCTGCCACTCCACTAGTCTACCTCTTCATCTCTCATCTCTTCATGCCAGTATCAATCCTCTTCTAGTCTCCCACTCCCACTCTCCACTCTCCCACTCTCCCACCTACAGATTGCCTATTCATCTAGCTTGCCAGCTTCATCTACCACAAAACCTTCATCATGCCCAAGCCTTCCCCAGCAAACCCCCGAGTTTCGGGCAGTATGTCTTCAAGCTCTAGTGACGACACTGCTAACCGATGTCATTACGCAGAATGCCGGGTGAATGAGCTACAGATGACAGAGGAGCCATAGAGACAGATGAGCGGTAAGCCGGGAAATCGTGTGGCTGCTACTCTAGCACCGCTCGACAGTGCTCCGGGACGCGCTCTGCAAGTTCTGCTCAACAGAGTCTGCGTCTTTGGCCGCCCCACCACGCACATCTCTGACACGAGTTGCAACTATCATTCGGACGTCTTTCCATCAATGCTAGAAAAATGGATCAGATTGAAGGTCGCTATGCGCGTCTCACCACCCTGGTCCAGAGACTCAATCCCGACATTGATATCGAGGATGTCCTGGCCCTCCCGTCCGATGCCTTCCGGGACAAAGAGCGTGATGCGTTCGAATGGAGCCTAGACTCATCAGCAGGCTTGGATGGCATGGCGTCTTTGCCTGCGAGCACCGAAGTGGGCTATCCTGATAAGGCAGAAACAGCGCCGAAAAAACAACCCGATAGTAGTCCAGGAAATAGTGCCAATTCAACCATTCTTCGAACTGTCCCCGGATTACTTTTCGAGAATCCGGGCTCTATCAGTTCGCGAGAGGCCTCGCCCTCGCCTACCCAAGATTTCTGGTGTTCTGGCCATCTGACCAACACGACCATCCTAGACGGCTTGCTTGATGCGTACTTTACCTGCTATAATCCATCGTACCCGGTTGTACATGAGCGCACATTCCGACAAAAGTATCAAGACCGCCATCAGATTCCGCCACACTCCAATTGGCATGCTATTTTCTATGTTGTTCTGGCAATCGGAAATTGGATTCTGGGTCATTCGTCGGCGTCCAAGCAGTGTGTATACTATCACGCGGCGCGTTCACGCATGTCCTTGCAAATGCTAGAGTCTGGCAGTCTTTCGACTGTTCAGGTGTTTTTGCTGATGGTTAGTCCTCCATATCATCAAAGACAAAATACTGACCTGAAGCAGGGCAACTATCTTCTGAAGCAAGATCGTCCCAACACCGGGTCCAATCTCATTGGTATCGCCTATCGAATGGCCCTTGGCCTGGGTCTATATCGCGAGTTACCCCCAGGGAAGAGCGAGTTATTGTTCCACGAACGCCGACGAGCCTTGTGGTGGATTGTCTACTGTTTCGATAGTGCGTTCAGCCTGACTATCGGCCGTTCCGTCATGGGGTCTAATTTTATCGAAACCCGACTACCCCGGAATATAGACGATTCGGTAAGTCCTATAGATGCATTGGCGAACATAAATTAATGAGCCCAGACATGTATCCTATCCTCTAACCTTCCTCCGCCTACGGATCACCCAACCGGATATTCCGCCATCATTGCGCAGGCCCAATTAGCCTCCATCGGAAACAGTATCTACACGACCGTCATTTCCGCTCCCCAAGGAGCAGTCTTCGATATTAAGACCACTCGCTCCCTCGACCACCAACTCGAAGCATGGTGCCTCTCTTTACCACTCTATTTCACAGCCCACGACATCCCAGAGTGGTTCCGAGGCCCACGCGCAATCGTTTTCTGGAAGGAACAGAATCTCCGGATGATGCTGTGGTGGGGTGCCCGGCGTCTAACGTGTAGCTTACCTGCTGAGATTGAGGATGCACGCGATATGTGCAACTATGTAGCTATTGAAACTATCCAGGATATTACGACTTTTTGTTTGGAGTATCCGGAGTGTCTTCATCCGGGACTCGGTTGGTATGCGACATATTTCCTGTTCCAGGCAAGTGTCGTCCTCAGTTTTTACTCTATACATTCGAACAATTTGCCCAATGGTTTGGGGATGGTGGATCGGGAATTGTGGATGATATCGCTTTCTAGGGCTCGCGAGTGTTTGACTTCTTTGAGTCGGAGTGTTGCGTCGGCGAAAAGATATTTGAGGGTGTTGGATCAGATTCGCGAGCTGGCACCTGGTGTTGACATCCCAGAGCTCAGTTCAGAGAGAATGGATACGCATCCGCCTTTTGATGCTGATCCTGCTTTGCAGATATTGTTCCAAGATGAATGGTGGAATGGTAATATACTCGAGGGGTTGACCGAGTCGGACGAAGCTTTTTCTATGTCACCACCTGCAAACTACTAGCGTCCCCATGTGATCTTTCAGAATACGATGAATAGGAGCCTTGGAGAGTAAAGATTATACTAAATGGTTTACTCTTTGATGACCTTTGAGCCACTCAATGCGAGATTCCTTACATACCTATGCCAGCCACGTCCGCTATCTCATAGAGTGAACTCTCTACTGGGGACTAAGTAGGGTTTATAGAGTTATCAACACCATCACCAGCCAAGGTCTAAAACTGTTAGTCACTCGGCTCATAAGACAAGTTTCCCATATATTCACACCAAATACCAGTGCCAGAGTACGGGAGAATATGTCAAGTCCATATAGCTCGCACCCATTCCGTCTACCGTTTTCATACCGTGCCTATCAACATGATAAAAGAATTCTCTGTCCTTGAATAAAAACGTAATTCATTACTAGGGATTAACTACTTGTATTTGATAAAGATCCAATAAGTGGACTCCTAGATGCTAATATATCTCATGGTTCTTAGTACCTTCTATATGGCCAACTTCCTGTCTTCCATCCATATTCCTGTAGACGCCTCCCGCCATCTTCCTACAAGCAGTAGGAGGATTCCGGTGAGCATCGAATCTTGCCTGCCTGATAATAGACATAAATACCCCCTCAATCCCCTGGATCGGTGCAGCTAAGCAATCGCTACCTACAATTCCTACCTACCCATCAAAAGTAAGAACCCCATGGCCTGAGATGCCTGATATCATCAATCATACTGATCAGATATAGATATGTACGGGACAGAACTTCTTTAGGTCCAGCAGGACCAGCAAGTGTCAGGATCCGACTTAGTGCGCTTCAAGTCATGATCTTGCCAGTACGCACAGAGTTACTAACTCGGTTATCCGGCAAAGGACGAGAGTTCTAAGCTCAGTAGCTTAAAATGCGCACCACTTATAAGCTTACATTCACGGGCGGAGATGTGAGGTTCTCACAGCGGGCCCTATTCTCTCAATGAACTGCAAACCCACTTTGCCGAAGGTGCAGAGGCACCGGAGTATATTCGTTCTTTGCATTGGAGAACGTTTATAGCATATGCAGGAACTGCCATGGAAAGGGGCAGGTTGAGTTCTTTGACAGAACTCGACTCCGTTACCCTTATTTATTTAGGAGATGGTGTATTTTCAAACGGATGGACTATACCACATGGTTGGACTGCTCTTGTGGATTATTGCTATGAGGTAGTCATCTATGTTGGTGATTATCATATCGTTGGCTTTTGTATCTGATCGAGAGTTAGGTACCGATTGTTTGGGGATATCAGGTACACTAACCGCACACCCTTTTCACTCTCTGCCTACCTATTCTTTTTGAGAGCTACCAGACAGAATATCTTATCTACGAAGGGCTCACATAGGGAGTTTTTTAGGGCTTTGGGAATCGGGATATGAAAGACAGTACTACTATTTTTATGCTTTATTAAAAAGTATGCTATGCAGACGGAGAGTGACGGTCATCTCATGGGGTGTGATTCTTGGAGATATTTGGGTTTCATTCCTTATTTCGGTCAGCTCATCAGTAAGGTAGACAGTATAGATGAGATACTTTAAGTCTATATGCTTTGTTGTTCTATTATAAGAGAAGTAAACAGTGAGTCGGAAGTGGGATCACATAGGCTAAACAGCACATTCTGATATGGTATATAAAACCTGTCACATTCTCATCCTTCCAACAGATAAATCTTGACAGCTCAATGAGAGAGTCTAATCTGGAATGATGGAACCAACACCACTATTCACAGATTCCTCCGCAACTTACGTAAATCATCTATACGTGAATACTAATCTGTGACTGCTCTGTGACTGCATGACTACCTCTACGTGAATATCCAGGCACAGTGAAATAAAGATATGGATACCCTCTACGTAATGGGTCAGTTCAGTGACACTTAATAGACATGAGTATCCTCAACATATCTCACTATAAAACCCCATGCCTTTCTAATCCCTTACATTCATCTTCTTCATCATCTTCTTCTTCATCATTATCATCTCCTTCCTACTCCACAAATCCAAACCCCCTTTAACCAATCAAAGAAAAAATGCCACCCAATTTCATCAAACCCCCCATCCGAATCCTCGTGCAAACCCTCACCCACCTCGTCCGGGGCCACCGCAACCCCGACAAACGCATGTTCATGCTCAACCTCATCTGCCGATACCACTGGAACCGAAACTTTTCACCCGCCGAGCACCGCTGGACCACCTACAATGATTTTTTTGCCCTCAGGGATCAACCCTGCTTCTTTGTTCTCGATTACGGCCAGGCTCCTGATGATGCTGAGGTGCGGGTGCTGTCTTATGTGTGGGATGGGCGGACTTTGTAAGCGTTTTCCTCTTTCAGCTATTCTGGAGATAGGCTGGGTTGTGCTGGGCTAGGTAACTAATGATAGTTATTGGGATAGAGAATACGCGCCATTCTTCAATCAAGATCCATTAATCCAAGCCAAGGTGAATGGGATTCCGTTTGGACAGCGCCCGCCGCGGACGGAGGAAACCCGTCCCAAGCGAGAAGTTATCAGATTGAAGCTGGCTAGGGATATTGAGCTGGAGGATGAGGAGTTCAGGTATATGCGTGAACATCCGGAGGATGCGCAGTGGGTGAGGGATAATGTGGGGGTGGAGTTGTGGTGGAAGTATAATGAGGAGGAGATGTTGCGGACGGGGTGGGGGGTGGTGGTGGTGGTGGTGGTGGTGGTTTGGGGGTTCAATCGGTTGTTGATGAGAATGCTTTTGCTGGGTTGTGGAGATGAAATGATTGTGTTGTTGAGGGGATGTTTCGTACGTGCAGGGATTATGGGCGGTGGGGGGTTCCCTTGAGTTGGGAGGTTACGTCGTGGTATATTCTCTAAGGAATAGTTGATGCCCTGGGTATGGAATATTGGTATCAATGGATGAACCGATTGAGGAAGCGTTAAGGACTTTATGAATTTGACAGTTTATCTTAACCATAACAGCATACTACATCATATTGTGTAATTCATACACCATACATCTACCTTGACGTGTGTAGATATTCATATACATTAATCGTACAGTTTCGACATCTCGTGCCCTGGTGAGAAGCTGAGCTCCACAACCCGTCAACTCCTGAATGCAGTTGGTTGTAGACCCCAAAGAAAAACGCAACGACAGGGTATCATTTATCATGTATCATGTGACTGGTTTCTTCTCAAGTACATCGTTTCTGTGGCGCCCAGTTCCGTTAGCAGAGCGACCGGGATGAGATTTCCGTAAGTATAACCTTTGCCAGCCTTCGCCACAGCTCTATCCTCCTTTAAACCTCATATTCTACCCCGCCAGCTCGTGCATGGGAGGTCGCTTCTCTGTAGCCGGCAATTCCTGTATATATTGTTGACGAACACCTCCCAGGCCCTGTGATGGGGTTTGGGCCTTTTTACGACGACGTCTGAGATAGAATGCCCCCAAGAGTACGGCAGCTAAAGCCGCGACGCCAACGCCGACTCCCACACCAATACCGATAGTTTCCGAGTTTGATGTAGAATCATCAGAGACCGATGATGAGGTCGGGGATGCGGAAAAAGTCGACAAGGAGGTGGCAGAAGTGGTGGTGGTTGTGTTGCCGCCCGTGGCAGTGGCTGCGACCGTGGAGGTCGTGCTACTTGCATCTGTTGTCGTGGTACTACTCACTGGACGGACATAAAAGTCGGGATTCCAGGCCTGCCAGCCAAACAGAGGAACCCCATCGGCACCCAGCAGAACGGATGCGTTGAACAGTCCGATCTGGTACTGTGGATCGGTGGTGTTGAAGTCATCGGGAATGGCCCAGCTGAATTCTTCCAGGGTGCAGTTTGCGGTGTCGTCGACGACGAGTTGGTAGAGAGCGCTGGTTTTGGTAAACTGGGCGCCAACTAAAGGTCAAATCTCAAGTGTCAGTTGGGAAGTCCAACAGACTACGATGTGGACACACCAATAATCTCGTCAATGATGTATCCTCCCGCCCGCCCTAAGGTGATGTTGAGTGGAGTGGCCCCGTCGTCGATCGCCCCCCATTGGAGACTGAACGTATCTCCGGGGTTAAACTCGGTTTTGGTGAAGCCGTAGAATGTCCCGGCCACGCAGTTCTCATAGCCATAGGTGGACATTGCGAGCGTCCACGGTGGGCTGTCGATCGTAGCAAACACTGAGATAGGGCTTGGTGGCGCACATGGGGAGGGCCTGGGTATAAAGGCTCGGGGCATTCCAGTGTCCCCCATGCCCGCCCAGCACAGGCAGCTTCTAACATTATCCGGTCTATATTGGTCTGTCCGCAACTAATGCAGGCGTTCATGCACCTGTTGTTATCCACAAATTAGACCTGATCTGGGTGACGTGGACCTTGATTCAGCCTTGTACCGTGTGGCACGGTTCGACTGTTGAGCCTGAGAGAGGCCAAGAGGGGTAGATAGCTGGCTTCCCCGTCGCCATCCGGCCACTCCCCATCACCATCTACGCGCGCCAGATGGGAATATACACCCCTGGCAAAACATGCGCTGCATCGATTGGTGGTCCAGAGCGATCAGCAATGGGGACAATCAACATGGCACGGCCAACCCGGCGACTGGCTTGCGACGGTCCGTTGCGTTAAGCGCCGGTTGGGTTAGAGAGCGGCCTCGAGTGCATTAGTGCCACTCTGCTAATTTATATCCCCTCGCCATCCAATCATCCAATCTGCTTAGCGCCTGGATTCCAAGTCGCTGTTTTTCCTTATATGGGCCTGGCTCAGCCGCGGCTTGCTGGACTGTCTGTTCCCAGTTCACCTTCGCGTTGCGCGGCCCAGCTTTATCATTCATTCATTCCCTCTGGACCACCACCACCACCACCACCCCGCCAGTCCAACAGCGCGAATCCCTCTTCGAGTCTTGATCAATTCCTACCAAGAAATGCCTTCGACGACATCTCATTGATATCCCAAGATGGCTGCGTTCCGAGCACAACAACGGCGACGAACCGCCCTGATCACCCTCGGCCTGGTCGCCGTCTTCACCTGGACATTCGCATCCTGTCGATCGCACACCCCCAACACCTCCACCAGCCATGAGCAATTCTGGACAGAGTTCCATCCTCTCTTGGTGGCCTCAGACCCCAACTCCAATCCCCCAGTGAGGGTCCGAAATGCCGACTCCGTGGGCTTCGACCCATCGAACACCGACCCGCTACCTGATCTCCTCCGTCTGACCAGAGAAGACGTATCAAACATGAGACTTGCGCACAGCAAGTTCATCGATAGCATCGAACAAACCCAACCCAGACTCCACTACCAGCCACACACCCGCGGTCTCGTCTCAACCGCCGGCGGCTCCTATCTCCCCGTCCTGGTCATCTCCCTCCGAATGCTTCGCCAGAGCGGCTCAACCCTCCCAATGGAAGTCTTCCTCGCCAATTGGGAAGAATACGATGGCTACGTCTGCCAGATCGTCCTCCCCTCCCTGAACGCCCAATGCGTCGTCCTATCCGAGATCCTCGACACCATCCCCAACAGCAAATCCGCCATCGAGAAATACCAATACAAAGTCTTCGCGATGATGTTCTCCTCCTTCGAGGAGATCCTCTTCCTCGACGCAGACGCATTCGCTCTCCAAGACCCCGAAGTTCTCTTCACCTCCGACCCCTTCCTCTCCAAGGGCCTCATCACCTGGCCCGACTTCTGGCGTCCCACCACATCCCCTCTCTACTACGAAATCGTCTCCCAAGACCAACAACAACCACCACCAACCCCAAGAAACCCAACAACGACCCCAACAACAACAACTCCCCAACCCCGCCACAATCCGCCAATCCACCGAATCCGGCGAAGTCCTCCTCTCCAAACGCACCCATGCCCGCACCCTCCTCCTAGCAGCCTACTACAACTTCTACGGCCCAACCCACTACTACCCACTACTCTCGCAAGGCGCCGCCGGCGAAGGCGACAAGGAGACCTTCATCGCCGCCGCAATCGCCCTCAACGAACCCTTCTACCAAGTCAGCGAGCCCATCCGAGCAGTCGGTCGAGGCACTCCCGACGGGTTCGCCGGATCCACCATGGTCCAATATAACCCGATCGAAGACTACATTCTCACAAAGAAAGGTGAATGGCGCATCAAGAGCGCAACCGTACCCCCATCACAGCCATTCTTCGTCCACGTCAACTTCCCCAAGTTTAACCCGGCCACGGTGTTCACGGAGAACGGGCCTGTGGTGGATGAGCGCGGAAGGTACACGCGGGCTTGGACGGCGCCGGAAGATGTAGTCGAGGCGTTTGGGGGCAAGAAAACGGAAAAAGCGTACTGGAAGGAGATTCTGTGGACGGCGTGTGCGTTGGAAGGGAAGAGTTTGAGTTGGAAGGGGAGGACGGATATTTGTTCGAAGACGGCGGATTATTGGAGTTCAATCTTTGGGGGGGAACAAGAGGAACATAGTATATAGGTAGATAACTCCCTGGGCGAGGGCCGGGGTGGTGGTGGTGGTGAATCTTGTACGAGTTACAAGATGGGTTTTGTAAATTATAGGAATTGTTTAACATAGGGATGTAGAGATTTCTTGGGTTTGATAATGTTATGAGTTTACGATAGTTGGGTTCTTGTTCCTTGGTGAGTTGGTGTATCAGTAAGATATCAGTACATGTATCATGTCTATGTATAGAGGAGTCAAGGTCAAGTAATCCATAGACTCGCTACTATATAACACCAAACTTCATTCGTCTATCACATGCTATTACCTAGAAATATCTACCTCACTCATACCAGGTGAGAAAAATACAACCCAAACCCAAACCCACAACCCCATTCCCCCCCCCTCCCCCTACAACAACAATTCCTCCAACCAGTACGCATATCATCCATCCCACACGATCCATCTATCTACACAAGATCAAGATCCAAACACGAGTAGCTACCCGACCCCTTAAATAATGAAGATTGCTTGTTTCTTCAAGTATCCCTCCCCTTGTCAACAAACCCGGAATAACAAAGAAAAAAAAGCCCCCTGACGAGTATTTCAATCACGACTGACTGACGGGTATCCGAAACAACTGTTAATCACAAAAAGTAATTATTTAAGTTATGTCAGTTACCAGCGTTTCCTAGATGGTATGGTAACCAAGAAAACGTACAAGAAATGCCGATCCAGTATCCCCGTAACTAACCAACCAACTACTACTTAGTATCAAGCCGCCCTCCATCAAGGTACCATACATATTTTGCTTCCTGGGAGTGAATATATCTGAAGCAAATGAGTAGTATTTCACAAGCTAACATTCCTAGATCCCCCTCTTTGTTTATCTTTCATATATTATGGGATTGAAGTGCCATGTAGATATACATGTCCATGCCAGAAGAGATTAGACCTATAGAGATATGGAAAAAAGAAGGGAAAAGAAAAAAAGGACAATACTTCCGGAGGAGAGTGTACGTCATGCCACATCCATGTCAAGAATGGGTTATAGGTAAACAATAGATACCTATATAGTATCTACCTATGGGCGGATCTATCTAAGCTCAACATTCCTCCGCTGTCACAGGATCCCCCCCAACGATCTACCCTATACCTACCTGACTCATCACCTTAAATTGCGAGGCGGACATACCAGGGTGGAAAAATATCCGCGCCAATCAAAGGACGCGTGGCAGGGGCCTCTTCGGATCGGATTTAGCTATTGGAAGTAATGTCAGGGGTGTAATTGCTGACATGATAAGAGGATGATCCCATCATATAGGAGTCTGGAGAGGAATGCGGGCTGACCGTTGAAAAGGGAGGGAGGGAGGAAGGGAGGAAGGGAGGAAGGGAGGGGCCGAACCGACCAACCACCAGTACCAAGAGAACAGGCATGTGTGGAAATGCCCGTGCGTACGGGGCTCGCTTGAGCCTCCTGGATGTAATTTAGATGGGAGACAGGGTTGGTTTGCTGTGCGAACTGCAAACTGCGAACTAAGAACTACTGTTAGGTGAAGTTTGGCGGGGCTCGGGGAGTACCTGCTCAGTAGGGAAGAGAGGAATAGTCCCCCGAGACAGCATGGAAAACCCACACACACACTTGCTCCGTGCTCTAGGCAACACTAGGGGAACTCGGGAGGGATTCATTCACGGCGCCGGATCCGAAGAGACCGGTAGATGCCAATAATCATGGCCGCAGGCACTATTGGAAACTAAATGGGGCAGATCTAGTCGGAGATCGTGTACGGACTACGGAATCCTCGGTAGTCTGACTGTGTTACGGACTAGGACTCCGTCACCGGAGGAAAGTCTAGTCAGGGTGGGTGGTATGGACTCCGGGCCAGGTTTTGGTAGCATGATAGAGTTCGATGGAGAGCTCAGAATACGATGGTGAAAAGCCAGGGTGGTGATGAGTCGGAAATGTAGGTATCTGATGCTGCAGCAGGCCAGCCATGCAGATAGTCAACCCCTATCAGCGGTGCCGGGCGTGCTTGGCCCTGGATGCTTGTTTAGCGTCGGCGGCAAGTCTCGACTCGGACGGTCGGAAAACGGCACTCCATCGCCATTCGGCCTATCACTGCTGTGGCTGAGCCGGGCTGGGCCAATGGCAAGCATCAGGTGCACGGATCATCTGCGGGTCTGTCCTGGGCCTTTCCCTTTTAGGCTAGCATAATAGACAGGGTTACACAACTGGAAGTCAGGTACCCAGGCACCTTCATTAGGAGGCCGGCGCAGGTGCAGGTACGAAAGAAGTCCGCTGCGTGCCTGCATCCAGACGATCCGAGGTGGCAGGAGAGATACATCATTATCCCTCTGCCCAGTGCCCACTGCCCGCTGCCCACACTTTCGATATCCCCAGATTGCCTGCCCTACCGTATAAATAGTAACCCGCTCATGGGTTTGCATTAATTAAATTGTAAATTAATAGATTCGGCGATGGAATCCAGATGGAAGACTAGCCCCGACTAACCCCTCTGTAGTTTGTACAAGTCAGCACGAGTGCCGAACGACCTAACGCTTCTCCACCCCCTAGCGCTGTCATGCGCCACCGCCCAATCAGGGCCGGCGTGATGGCGAGAGGGGCGGGTACCTGGATCAAATCACCAGGCACCATGGCTGTGGCCGGCTCGGGCGGAGTGCCCTTCAGGTCAGTGAGTTGCGGTCGCGGACGGAAATGGGGGAAAGCGAGGGGAAGTACGGAGTACGGAGGAAATGGCATATTAATAGAAACTCCAGGATGTGCGAGGGTACCTGAAAAAGCGCAAGAGTGGGAGGCCACTCAGGCGACTGGTAGAAAGGCAAAATGAGGTCAGTAACTGACTGACCTGCTGGAAGCGGTATGGCTTCTGATCCTGTTCTGTGGACGGAGGCCGGACAGACCCGAATTGACTTTCCAACTGTACCAGCTACCGATCCAAGGCCTCCTGAATTCTGTGGTTCACCGTCCATGGTTCTGCCCATGGTTCAACCCATGGAGCTGTTATAGGTAAAGTAATAGTTAGTCAGGTTGGCCCTCTTCCCCGTCCGATCCTGCGGCTGGTGATGGAACCACGATCCTGCCCTGTGGTTCGATTCAGGAACCGGGTCGAGTATCTAGCAGGTCGCTTCTGGGGGTTCTCGGCTTCGCCTCTTTCTTTTTCTTTTTTTTTTTTCTTGGTTTCTCCTTCGCCTCGCTCCCCGGACCTGATTCGGCGAAATTATGAGGTCACTCCACCATCTGAAACCCTTTTTGTAGCTTGTCAATCGTCGGGCGCTTATGCGATCCCGTCCGGGCTTTGGAACGGTCCAGGTCACGTTGTGCCTGGGTGGCTGCCCCTGTCGTGTCGTAGTCCGATCCCTCGGTGGATTCGGCTGCACGATGGAAGTAGTAAGAACCCCAATTTCTGTATGTTGTATGTACAATGAGAGGCGACTGGGACGGAGATCATGTCAACTATTTATGGGTATGGGATGTGCCCTGCTTCTGCTGGGTAGTCGTTGCCTTGCGTAGGCACACGGGTCGGATTTCCCGTGCTAGGTACTATGTTCTGCCTGCGCGACGCGAGTGACTGGGAAAAGTACGAGGATAACCTAAAGCATCCTGAAGTTGCAGTCGTCAAGGCCGACATCCATGCAGAAAAGGCTTGGAGGGGGCTGCTGATTGGAGGGCTGGGATCCCAAACAGCATCGGGCAGCAGGTGCAGCGCAGCGACTGGATGCAGGGGCTAAAACAAGGCGGTGGGTGGAGGGCGGTGGGCTTGTAACATCCTGGTCCTGCTTCAAGCCATGTGAAATTCTGTAACAACCCTGGTGTTTTAACCCTCCGTGAAATTGGAGCAGTCGGTACTCCGTACCAGGGGATGATATGGATCAACCTTGGCGCGATGTGATATATTATCGTGGTAATTCTGCTTTGTCTTTCCTGGAAGAGATGGATGATGTTCTCCTGAAAGAGTCCCTAGGACCTAGTATCTAGTAGTATCTCCAAAAATACCAGGAGAACCCGACCATTGAAAATCGAAAAGGGAAAAAAACGAGAGCGGCCAGCCCCACGGAGAAAGTCAGGAACAGCCGGTGCCAAAACAGTCCAGCGCCAACTACTGACCCGCTAACCGCATTGGGGCTCCCCCATCCATCTCCTGACCGTCGCGCTCGCTCGCTTTCTCCTCTGCCTCCTCCACCCGTTTGTCTTCTCTTCTTCCTTTCCCTTCTTCTTCCCTTTCCTCCCCTCTCACCGACCATCTTCCTATCTTTCTTTCCTTCCCCCCCCCATTCACTCTTTTTTGTTTTCCAACCCCCCTTCCATTCTTTCTTTTCAACTACATTCGCTCGCTTCAGTCGATCGTTTCACTCTTTCACGATCCAATCCAATCTCTCTGTGTCTTCCGCTTACTTCAGGACGGTGATCCAACTCGGCCCCTTCGTCATTGAACCATTGTCCCGAACCGGTGCCAATATTTATCTATCAACACATACAGACAGCCCTATCACGGTTGCGAAGATAAAGGATCCTGTTTACTCCCCCCAAGCTGCCTAGGCCAGCTGTTTATATTCTACCAACATTTTGACTACCCTCCTATCCGACGCTTCTGCGACGCGCTCATCTCCGCCTGCGCTTTGTTGTCTGGACTCTCGGCACTCAACCAGATCCAGCCCAAGCGCTTCCATTCTTTTGATATCATCCGTATTCTCTGGCGCTTGACGCTGCTTTAGAGGACCGGACACCCCTCCTCTTTGACTGTCGACCGGATCGTCACCAATCTGCTCCCTTTTCAACCGGGACATCTCCCTCCTCCCCGAACTTGGTCGTATCTCTTTTCTATCCAGTACCATTCAACTCAATCCCTGCAAACATGTCTTCGAGAGACACCCCTGACCCCTTGACCACGTCGAACTCTTCTATCACAAACGCTCCTACCATGACTTCGTCTTCGTCCACTACTTCAAGCCCGTCTCCGGCCATGTCCAACTCCGCGGCTCCCTCTGCTTCAGCTCGTCGACCTCAGCGGAAGAGCACTCTGACCCAGCAGCAGAAGAACAACAAGCGGCAGCGGGCGACCCAAGATCAACTAGTTACTCTCGAGGTGGAATTCAACAAAAACCCTACTCCCACGGCAGCCACGCGCGAAAGAATCGCCCAAGAGATCAACATGACTGAACGGTCTGTCCAGATCTGGTTCCAGAACAGGTTGGTGACTCCATACCATTTATCAACACCGCTGACTGTATGCCAGACGCGCAAAGATCAAGATGCTCGCCAAGAAGAGCATCGAAACGGGTGAAGGCTGCGACTCCATCCCTGAGTCAATGCGCCAATACTTGGCTATGCAGTTCGACCCCAGCAAGCCTGGTGCAAGAGACCCCTTTGGCCGCACAGGCGGGTATGGAACCAATGGTGCTTATCCCCATGAGTCGGCTCCTTCTGGCAAAGTTGGTATGTTCGGTTGCCCCTTTTTGATGTATCAATGGCTGACCATTCAGTTATCCACCACTTCACTTGTCGATCCTTGACTATCGGTAGCTGGCGACGCATCGGACAGAACGCTATGGATCTGGTGGTGTTCTACTCCCCGGAGAAGGCCTGCATGACCTATTACATCAACAACGATTCTGCTGGATACAAGATCGAATACCCGTTTGCCTACATCAAGAATATCACTCTGGAGTCGGGTGATCAGACTCCTCAGCCCAACGGCGCTCCTCCGCGACCCGGCGGCCTTGTCGTCGAATTGAACCGGCCTCCGTTGTTTTACATGGACTCGTCCAACTCGGGCGGGTTTTACCAGTGTGGCGACTTTACGGAGGATCAGCAAGCCAGCCAGATCATGGTCCACCATCTCGGGGGACATCCCAAGGTTCTCAGCGTGCAACTGGCTAAGCTCGTGTCACTGGAGTCTTTCCAGAACCGTCTTGCCTACAACAACTTTGCCATGAATCCGCCCATGTCGCCTCCCTTCATCCAACGCCCTGCTTCCCAGCCGAATCAATTCGCTCCAACTTTCCTGAGCGTGCTGCCAGAGAGTCATCCTCATCTGAACATCCACGCCATGCGCGGACACAAGCGTCAGAGAAGTCGTTCAGTTCCGGTAGCTGTGGACTTCTCTGCCATGCAGGCTCCTCTTGCCCACTACAATATGCCACAGACCCCTGCTCAATTCAATCACTCGGATACCGGTATCTTTGCTCCAGTACCTCAGTCAACTCACCCCTTAGCTGTGAATCTCCGGATAGATACCTCTGCCGCCTATGGGTTCGACCCGCGGACACACCCCATGTCGGCGACTACAACTGCCTCCCCATCTGACTTTGCCAGTCCCGGGCTCTTCAGCACCGGCGCTGGTGGTGACTCGACCCCTGTTGCTACCAACATGGGTACCCCTTTCAATCTTCCCTTCGTCTCGCCCGCGGTTGATTCCACCGTGGCGCCTCAAGCAGCTTCTTATTCTAACGTCAGTCATGCCGATCCTATGATTGCAAACCATTCTCCCCCGTTGTCAAACATCTCGCACACCCCCCAAGACATGTACAGTCTGGGCAATGAGCATCAGCCCACATACACGGATGACAGCATGTCCATGAATGGGATCTATCCCAAGCATAACCTGAGCTTTGCCGTTCCAACCTCGATGGGCCTTGAGAGCAACACGTTCGATCTGCCCATGCAGACCATGTCAGGTCATACCTCTCCAGGTGTCCATGGCGACTTTCAAAGCCTGACCCTGGAGAATGTCGACCCCAACTCTTTGGCACCCGGTTGCTGAGGTTCACATGGATAGAGTCAGTGACGTTCATCATCGTCATTAAATCCACAATTGCTCTATGTTGGCAGAACGCACATTGATGAAGACCGTTAGGTCCTCGTTATCGATGTTTCCGGCTCCATGGCTTGCTGTCGAACACGCTTCATCGGGCTGATGAAATCCAGGCCTCCTGTCTGGCAACTGATGATGAGGATGTATCCTTTCTTGATTATGTTCAGCGTCTTCTGTATTAATAACCTTCTATACGGGGCTGGTCCTGAGCGTTCATCGCATTTCACTTTCCCCAGCAGGCTAGCTGGGATTTCTTTTCTTCTCCTGCCCTGACCATTTTCTTTTTTTCATTTTGTTTATACCTGGTCAGGGTTTACGTGGTTATGCCAGAAGTCAGACTCAGATGGCGACATTCGGTTTATTTCTTGGATTCTTCTGGGTTGGCGGGTTAGGATTGTTTGCTATTCCCTTTGTGATGGTTATTTATCTGAGGTGTCTGCATATCTAGTGATGCATGTAGCAGTTTGTTCTATTGGTGCCTATTGTGGCGGAGCTGAAACAATCTCCACCCGGGCACAGCTGATGTGAAGACATTCTCAGGTCCAACCTGAATCATGAACAGTTCCTGTAGTCTCGTAGGACGTGTATATCATCAAGTCTATTTAACATATAATACAGGGTATCAAAAGTGACATCAATTACTGACTCTCCCACCCCTTGGGTGGCGGCGCCCTCAATCCCCGCGACTCGCGGAGATACTTTTCAACCCAGGCCTCCATCTTCTCGAGGAGGTTCATTTCGCGACCCCCCTCGGTCACACCATCCCGACACCAAACACTCCACGACCCCATGGCCACGGCCATTAAGACATCGGTCCCTAACCGATCCCCCACCACGGCAATCTCATCCGGCCTAGTAACCACTCCTCGCTCGCGGAACCACTCCAGCACCTCATTTCCACAAAATGGTTTTTTCTCACTGCCTTCAGGTAGCCTGAACACGGGGATCTTCAGCTCCCCCAATGTCTCCTCCAACTCGCGCACCTCCTCGTCATACCGCGGGTGACTGCCTGCCCGGTTGGAAACAATCAAGATCGAATTCTCCTTGTTGAAGGGCGACGTTGCGGATGTGCGTAGCGCCGTGAGCTTTGCTAGGATCTCCGACGGGAAGGCGGTTGTTTTAGGATGGCAGAGGGTGTTGTCTTTGTCGAGGACGAGAGCGCGGATCGTGGGGGGCTTCTTTTCGCTGACATTGGGGTGAATAGCCGGGCCTAGATTCTCGGGCAGATGGGTGATGGTTGGAATGGTGAGGTGGGGGAGGAATTGGGAGGGGGATTTGAGGAGGGTTGTCACGGCCAGATTGAAGGCGCGGAGGTTGCTGTTGGGGGGCTGCATTTTCTGCCTCTTTTGTTTCTTTGAATAGTATGGGGCGGTCGTGTATGGGGTTGTTTCAGAGTGAATAGATCTCGTAGATCTAATGCATGATCGTAATCGATCTGGAGGGCCGTGGCCAGTGTATCAGATTGATTATCAAGGAGGGAAAGCAGAGATGAGAGGAGAGAGAGGAAGGCTTGGCTCCGTCCGCACCGCCGCAGAGCCGCAAAACTCTCCGCCGACGGAACGCGCCAGTCCAACTTCCTCGATCTGTCAAGTCTTGTTGCATCCCGCGGTAACGAAATCGAGGCCATTCTTCACTTGTTTTCTTCGGACTGTCTTATCCTCTTTTCGCTTGTCTGTCTTCTGGTTCTGCGCTCTCGCGAGTTGGATTTTCCACGCACATTCCGCAATGGGTAAATTGACTTCCACGATCGGTATTCCGATCAAGCTCCTCAATGAGGCTCAGGTTAGATCCTCCTGTTCTTACTCTACATCTAGCATGTCTTGCTCGGGAGGAATCAAGCTAATGAGCATGTGTAGGGCCACGTTGTTACCCTCGAGATCACGTCTGGTGTCGTCTACCGCGGAAAACTCCTTGAGGGTGCGCCCACCCCCCCTCCTCCCCATCGCATCCCATACACTCAACTAACTTCCCCCAGCCGAGGATAACATGAACGTCCAACTGAAGGATATCACGGTCACTGCGCGCGACGGTCGCGTGTCACATCTCGACCAGGTGTACATTCGGGGAAGCCATGTGAAGTTTTTCATTGTGCCGGATATGCTTAGGTTGGTTCCTCTTTCTATTTTATGGCGAGGATATAGGGTTTTCTAACGTGTGTAGAAACGCTCCCATGTTCCGCTCAAGGGGCCAGCGTGGTCGCGGTGTTGGTCTTGCTCGTGGTAAGGCTACGGTGCAGAGGGCGAGGGGACAGAGACGGGGTTAGTGGGCATAAATGGATGATGCTTTGGCGGCGTTTTGCTTTCGTTTTCCTTTGTACTTTCGATCTTATCCTTGTGTCTATGGTTGTCGGTCTCAATAGGATGGTTTTGAATGGATGGGTAATTGTAGTGCTGGTTGTAAATGGTCCGGTGGTGATATATCATGGAGGACGGGTGGTAGAGTGCTTAACGACAGCTTAAGGTGGCTAGAATATGGGTGCACAAATCAAATTGATCAACACAATTAAGCTTCAGCTTATACGAAATCCTTCTCTAGAAGAAGGGTACTTCGAAAGAGCTGACCAGCGCGCCACAAATCGCCGCTCAGGACAGCTCCTCCGAGCTCTCCGCCGTCCCCGCACCCAACCACCATTTCTCCATATCGTAAACTTCTCACCACCACCACCACCTCCTCCATCTCAACAACTCAACCCACCCTCGAACTCGACCTCAAGTCACACCCGCGACACCAAACAGAATGCCACCTTCACCACCCTCACCACCACCACCAACCACATCCAAACCAATCCCCAACCCCCGCCGCCTCCTCATCCTCACTCCAACCACCCACTCACAAACCATCATCCCTCCCCTCCTCCACACCTTAACAGGCACCCCAGTCACCACGCCTCCAACAACCACCACCCCGACCCCTCCTCTCTCCTCCTCCGAAACCCTCGTCCCATCCATAAACACCACAACAACAACCACAACCTTCGCCGGCTACACAACCCACCCCCCTCTCCACCTCAGCAACAAATACTACAGCGCCGACATCCCAATCTGGGTCGACGAGATCCCTCTCGCCTCTACTACCTCACCCACGCCCACCACCAGCGAGGGAACCACAATCTCCCCCTCCCAATGGAAAACCGAATTCTCGTCCCCGGAAGCCCAGGTCGTTCGGGACGCTATTGGGGCTGTGATGATTTGCTTGAAGAACCCGGTATATAACCCTTCTCTTGGGGCAAATGAGGGCGTGGATGTGGATGTGGAAGACCGTCCTGAGGTGCGCAGTCTTAAGGACTTTGTGCAGGCTGTTGGGGATGTGAGGGCTTTGATCGAGGAGGAGAGAGGGTTGGGGGAGGTGCCGGGGTTGGTTGTTTTGGTTGGTGAGGAGGCTGGGGGGTCTTCTGCGAACGGAAATGGAAAGGGGGAGGAAGAGGAGGGGATGGAAGAGTTGGAAATCGATGAGCCGTTTTCTGTGGGGTGGTGGGAGGATCAGGTTTGTGAGATGGGGTTGATGGGGATGGAGGTTGTGAGGTGGGATGGTAGTGGGAAGGGGGAAGATGAGGGGAGGAATCGGTATGGTGGTATGTTTTAACTTATATCCTAGGGTTGTTTGGGGTGGTAATGGTGATGATGCTGATTATAGTAGAATTACAGGGTATGCGCCGGATTAAAGAGGTGTTGGAGACGCACGATTGGGCTGCGACGGAGGATGGGGAGCCAGGGTTACTGGATGATGGGTTTGATGATGAGCTGGAACGAGAGCTGCTGGGGCTGGATGATGAGACGGAGACCGGGTTCGGGTTGGAGGTGGATGAGCTTCAGCGGGAAATGGTCGGGTTGCGGATGGCCATTGAGCGAGGGGGAGGTGATGGATTCGATGACGGGGATGAGGAGGATGAGGAGCTGCGGGTGGATGCCGTTGAGGCATTGCTGCTCCGGATGCGAGCGATCAAGGGTAGTTCTTCTCCCCGTGATGTTGTGGAACTTGCTAACATGACATGACTAGATATGAGCGACGAGTTACCAGAGACGGAGCGGAAGCGGTTTGCCGCCAAAGCGGTGCGAGATATCATGAAGGAGTTATAGTTGTACATGCTACTTGTAATCTACTTTCATATCACCATCTACCACCACCATCTACCCATCTATCGCATATCCACCACGATGTACATAGACCAGCCAACACACCCCTATTTCTTCTTCAACGCCTTACGCCTCTGCGCAATCATATGCGTATACAGAATATACGACCCTAAACCCAACCATTAGCATCCCACATCCCACACCCCATCCCCTAAGAAAGAAGAAAAAGAAAACTCACCAGGGACATAAACCCCCAACACGACGACCAAAAACCACTTAAACAACGGACTCACATCCGCGGCGGGTTCCAACGCCTTAAACACCATAATACACTCACTGCTAATCCCAAGAGGATACAGCACATAGAACGTGTTATACCTGCCATACCAACCACATTAGCCTCATCCCCAACCTAACCCCCAAACAACAAGAACCCCCTTCCCTCCAAAGAAAACGAAAAAAAAAGAATACATACCTCAACCAAGCCCAAACCCCCGGCACACCAACCCCAGAAACCTGCAACGCAAAAAACCCATACCGAATCACTTCCGTCACCCCCCAAGCAGCCATACACCCCAAGAACGCCCAATCGCCAACCTTTACCTCACTCCCACTCCCCGTATCCCCCACGATCTGACCCTGGAAAGGGAACATAATCCCCCAAACCAACAAAATGCGACTCGCAACCTGCATGACCGTCGTGAAAACCGGGGCGCGAACAAGACCCAGGATACTGTGGAGGATTTCGAGAAGCGCCAAGGATTGGGTTATTTTGAGGAGCGGGTAGACATTGTTGAAGATTTGGGGGATTGAGTGGTTTTGGGCGAAGAGGGAGAGGGTTTGGAGGGTGCAGGTGGCCCAGAGGAGGAGGGAGGTTGTGTTGTAGGTTGTTAGGTAGGCTTTTTGGAGGGTGAAGCCGGTGGGTTTAGGTTTTGAGGGAGGCATTTTTGGTTCCTGGGTGTCTGTGTTTGTGTTCGTGGAGGGTTGTGGTGTGGTGTGGTGTGGTGTGGTGTGTTGTTGTTGTAGGTGTTGTTGGTGTTGGTAGGAGGGAGAGGTAACTGGGCCGGGGAAAGATGTTGAACCGAGGATGGATTACGATTGGGAAAGGCTAAGAAGAGTTGGGACCAGCTGATTGGTTGATTGGGTGGCTGTCGATCAGGGTGATGGTTATGTAAGCACCCCGGATTTGAGCCATTCTTTAGTCGATGTGATGTGTTAGTCGATATGAATAAATCAATATGTTATTTTGCATCCTCTTTTATGCTACCGAGACTCTCCTATTGAACAATCGCTAAACAAACAATCAAATGGAAAAAGGACACAAACAACAGCAGTTGCCATCAATCGTGACCGTACATATCATGACATCGTGATCCTCATCATCGCTATGTAAATCGGGCGAGAATGTATACCACTGAAAATAAAAACATGCTGAAAGACTTCGTGAACATCAATGAGCGAAGTCATAATCATAATGCCGGCTCTGCCGTAGCGTAAGTTAGTTGGCGCGAATCACAAGGCGGGACACGAATTTGTTCGATAAACAGTCAAAGTCGTCGTGGTTGAACTTGGAACCGGAGCGGCCCCGCAGGTAGCTCTCTGCAATGGTCAGTAACTACTTCATACCCAGGATGGAGGCAGGGACATACCGAATTGCGTGACATGCTGCCGCACCTCGGTCATCGTGTTGCACACGTCCGGATTCGAGTGCAGCAGGTGGTGGTGTTTTTGCGTCTCCCAGTCCGTAAATGCCGGCAGCTTCTGCGAGATCGCCTGGAACAGCCCGACGATCACGCCAACCGGCGTCGTCTCCATATCGTTGCAGAATTTTTCCACGGCAGCAGCATCCTACACTATTAGCTCCTGAGCACATCGTACACGTTGAACTGTACTTACCGGAACGCGGTAATGGCAGTCGAATTGCATCTCCTCCCAGACAGCCAGCAGTATTGACGCAAGGATAAAGATGGTCGGCCAGTTCTTGAGCTTGTCGCCACTGTACACACTCGAGTACAGAGCCGACAGTTCCTCCAGCACGTCCTTCTGCAACTCGCGCCACATGTTCGCCATCGCACACTTGACCTGGAAGTTGATCATCACCGGCGCTATCGTCTTCCCCTTGAACTTGGATGACTGGTCGTTGATCTTGCCAAGGAACTGCTCCTCCTCACCCAGACCCTCCACCATCGTGACATGCAGCGTCAGATTGTAGGCGATAACCAGCTTCAGCGCCTTCCGGATCACCGGCAGCTTCGTGCGGAAGTAATACCGGAACGCTGTCTTCAGCATCTGCGTGAGGAATGGCGTACCCTCAAAGTAGTCATCGACAAACTTCTCAAACGTACCGTTGCCGTCGATATGGCGGTCCAGGTAGTCGGACAGCATCGCATGCGAAATCCCCTCCATTCCAGCGGACAGCTTGGCGGTTTCCACCTCGTACGGTGTCGGCTCCCGGTGCATGGACTCGACCCAGTCAACCGTGAAGCACTGCTCGTCGCGCACATACACCTCGCGGGCATTGATCGGGAGGACCTGCCCGTAGCCGTGAGTGATGAACAGCGTCGTTTCCTGCTCCGAGAATCCCTTAATGTTGCCGACTGTAAAGCCCAAAGCGATATGGCGTTCATAATCCGCCTTCCAGTCCTTCATGAAATAGCCAATCTCCTTGATGTCAATCCGCGTGCAGGGCACCTGCCACAAGCGCGCATGGGACGGCTGACACCCCGCGCAGGGTTCTCCTTTGTCGCACTGTGCTCGTCAATACCATATCATAAAAATTGCAAGGTGGTCTTACAGTCTTCTTCAAGAACTTGCAACGCAGGCACGCGCGCAGCTTCCGGATCTCGCTGGCTTGCTTCCGCTGGTCCGGCTTGAGCGGTCCCTTGCGCTTACCTACGCGCTTCTCGGTCTCGGGCTTGCCACTCTGCGTCTGCTTGCGAACCTTGGTCTCGGCCGTCTTGGCGGCAATCGGACTCTTGCGCGACGGCTTCCGGCTCGGGGGCGACGCCGACGTGGACGCCGCGGACCGAGATGGCGAAGAGGAGGCCTTCTTGGGCACGGGAATGGGCCGGACAATGGCCACGGGGCTGACAGCCGTCGGAGACTGCGACCCGTGAGACGTGTGGTCGTAGGAAACCCGGCGGGCCATGCTGTGGTTGAACGCGGTATCGAAGTTGCTGTCCGAGCTGGGGGAGTTGATGGGATTCGTGATCTCCACGAAGCTGCCGTAGGAGGTGGAATAGGAAGACTCCGACAGACTGCGGTCGTGCAGCGTCTGGGTGGGATTTATAAATATACCCTGGTCCGGGAAAGAGAACTCATGGGAACGGCGGGGCTCGATAGTGCTCCAGCCGTTGTCGCTACTGGAGCTAGTCAGGGATCGGACCTCCAGATAGGTGTCGGTGGGCGAGCTGCTCTCAATGACATTGTGCGGTGCGCTGTAGGCGGTCATATCGGGCAGTCCATCGGGCGGGGGAAAAGCCATGAGATCCGCTTGAAGGTCATGATAGGGGAAAGGCACCATGTCGACTGGCGCGGACAAGGGCAAATACGGGCCGTCCAGCAGGCTCGTGCTCATGTGTGCGTGGGCGCCGGCCATGAGATCCACGGGGGAGGAGTGGATGGACATGCCATAGCTAGCGGTGGTGAACTGGGGAGGAGCGGAGGAGGGCTCCTCATGGGCGTACTGGAGGTGGGGTTGCAAGTGGTGGAAGTGCCAGTCCACCATCAGATTGGGATCCTGAGCTACCGAGTGATCGTAAGCGTGACCGCTGGTTTGCAAGGGCGAGATGTCTCGCGCTCCATCCGATCGCTGAGCTGCTTGGTGGTCCACCGCCACGGGCCACGACGCCGCTGGCAGGTAATTTCTCGAGTCGTAGTCCAGGCCAATGAAGCCGTCGCTGGATAAATCGACATTCGACATGATGCTAGGCCAACCGGACTATGTACCACGGATGACGAAGGGAAAATGAGGGCATGAAAGGGGGAAATAACGGGGGAAAATCACAGTAAAAAAAAAGGAAAATGAAGGGAAAGCAAGCGATAGACGGACCGGCGACAGACAGAGTGGTACAAAAAACAAATAAGAGAAATGGGGGGATTGGGGGGGATGGAGTGATGGTGATGAAGCCTGAGGACAGAGGCTTCGGGAGAGCAGAAAGCCCAGAATCCGGGGGTGCAAAGCGAGAAGAAGAGGACGAAGCCGGGCGATAGGATGAGGCCATGGCGGGCACGCTGGGCTAGCGGTGGGGAGCAAAGCAGCGGTGAGGCGGGAGTTGCGTCGGCCGGAGATACGCTAGGGGATCCTGGGAAGGAGTTATCACTTGCAAGTGGGGAAGTGAAGTTGAAAGAACAAGAGGCTGGTGACGAAGGATTGGCTCGGATGTCCTTGGTTAATGCCACGCATTCGACAGTAGACAGTACAGATTCTGTTGGTAGAGTACGGAGTACTCCGTACTGGGTATTTACCCCAGTGGCTTTAGCACGCACAGTAGTTCCTCTACATTTACCACAGATAATCCTGGTATCAACAGATCAATCAGACTAAAAGAAAAAAAGAAAAAGAAAAAGGACGAAAAAAAAAGAAAGAAAGAAAAAACTAAAGTAATCTACCAAACTAGTCCGATCCAACCCAAGAAAGACCCTCTCTTCGGTACAACGGATCACTCTGGTATACATACCGTACCGCTACGCCCATCTGAGTATAGCAGTCCCCCGATGGACAAGTCTCATGATTATCAGCCTTCGATCTTGGACAAATGGAAGCCAAACACCACCGCCCAGCAGCCACTAGCCACTAGCTGCTGGTACTAGTCCATACGTCCATGCACCCCATTGCCCGCTTCCCGTTGGTCCTCCCCGTCCGAGCCACGTACCGACGACCGACAGCATCCCATCGCCCATCAGCGTAGCACTGCCCTACGTCAATCCGGTGCATTCGGCCAGATCCCCCGGAAAAGTCATCAGGCAGGTGGTTTGTTGGCAGCCAACTATGAACTAGTACTATGACATTAAAACTGGGCATTGAAGGTGGAATGAGGCAAGTGAGGCTACCGCGGTACCGGACGGAATTTTCCGTGGCGAGACACGGGATCACTTTCGGGAAAGGAGATCAGTGGAAACCGTCAAGATCGGTTGAGTCCCATCCTAGTATCATTATTGACTAAGGCGCCACGATTATTGGCAAATGTCTCCGACCAAAGCGCGGTCGTGGCAATACCACCCATCCCGATGGCCGTTGCTCGGAAAGACCCCGCCGACTCATGGATTGTACGTGAATCCTCGCCAGTGACAGCCAACCTCAGGTTTGACGGGCAGCGCCATGGTGCTCGGTGAGGACTATTGTTTATGTACGTCCTACCGTGGCCATTCGTCCACCCCCATCGACCGGGGGGGTATCTGCTAGTTCACAGTAGGTGCTTATCGACTCGCCCAATAACGCCCTTTCTCGCCATCAGTAGGCAATCACTGGTGCACACATGTTGCTTCGTGCCAACAAGGTGGCTAACAGTGCAGTAGCTCGAGTTCGTGAGCATGCCACCGGCTCGGGCACTACGGTATCATCCTCATCCCTCCTTTCAGCAGGATTTCATCAGAAGATGGTGGAAGTACGTGACAGCCCGTCCTGCCTTTCCTGGTAACATCAACATGATGGAGATGGGCATATGCAATCCGCGCGCGCGTTGGCATGTACATCTGCGGATGTCTCTGCCTCCGTCGGTACAGGGTCCTCTTAGTTTTTCCCACTTGGTGACCCACCCGGTTAGATAATTTTAGCAAGGACACTTCCCAGTTCCATCAGGATAACCGCCAGCGCTGCCGCAAAAGTGGAGGAAAGCGTGATAGATCCAAAATTGGTTCTCAACAAACCTGCAAACGCAGGGCAATGTCAGCGTAGTTGGGGTGGTTACGTCCTCCACGGGACCGTGCAAAGAAAGGCAAAACGGTCTTGGCCGCGGTGCCCGGTAGGGAACGACGGATTCCCGAAAGCAGACAACGAGCAGGCGTAAGGAAACGTTCTGCATATGAAGTCAAGCCCGTGAGCTCCACTCGGACGGGGCGCGACGAATCGATTTCCCGGCTATGAAACATATCAGCACCTCGGACGTCTGACTCGCAGCTAGCCACGCCAGCGGCCGCAAGCCATAGCACTGAGCGCATCGCTCAGAGCCAGCAATTTAGCGGATGCGCCGGTTGACGACGTTGGCGCTTAAATCGCAGCAGCCATAAATCTTATTATTAGCAATGTTGTCGGGGGATGACTGGGTGTGAAGTGTGAATGAATACGGGAGGAGGATCTGCAGCAGTTGGTGGTCAGTGCCCGAGTCTTTAGCGAGGGCAGTGTAGGGACAGTATCAATAACTTTAAATCCTGCCTGGATCGGGGATGATTCCGTCGCTTGAGTCGGCTAGGAGAAGTGAGAACTAGAAGGGATGGGACTTGGGACTTGGGAGGCTGGAGAACAGGACCACTGAGCTATCGGTCGGATCACTGGGGAGTCCGTCCAGTGTCCAGTGTCCACAGTACAAGCTTAGACAAAGAGCAGGAATGGAAGGGAGGGGAACCTGTTCTGGAACCCTCGACCCCTCTTGGCAGTTGGCCGAGTCATGGCGTGAAAGAGTGGGAGGCTTGGAGGCTTCACTAGGAGTCGGTAGATAGCCTAGGAACTGGGATGACCGATCAAGACTCCCGACCGGAATGCCCGCTAACCCGAGTGGGAGAGACGGCGAGGATCTATTCCGCTTCCGCAATGGCAGATGCCTGCAAAAAAAGGAACAAAGGGTCACGGGACCGGCAGTTGAACGTGTCGGCGAGACCGTGACACTGACAGTAGATGCCCCCCCCCATGGTTCTGGGGTCTGACAGTGACGCCAGGAGATCCTGGCAATGAAGGGTTGAAACCTCCATCCCTCGAACCAGCCACTACATTCCAGTAATCTCGATGTTATATCTAGAAAGGACATAAGACCATCCTTTTGCGCAGTTGGCGTGTCCGCCCAACTCGAGTGGCCTCGAACCTGAATTGAGGGAAAACGGGCCCACCTGACCGGGTCTGAACTGACCGCGGCGGGGAGAAGAACAATGGATTCTGCGGCATCCATGGCAGCTGTCATCTCCATTCATGAGCAAGAACAATCACTTCCCTCACCTTCGCCCATTAAAGAGTAGACCACTTCATTCCATGCCGATCGTTATTGCCGCCGCAGGGAAGCCGCGTCGCAAAGTTCGTTTCTCCTCCAACCAACCACCAAAAGCAATCGCCCAGAGCAAAACCTCCAGGTCTAGCGTGTCAACAAGTAGCCGCCAGCCATCGGCGCCTACTGCCAAAAAGGACAGCATGTATGAACCTCAAGCCCATCCTGGGGTTCCTGCCTTGTATCAGGAGCTGCCGCGCCTCCTAGATGCCCTGTGTACGGAGACCTCCGAGCTCCAGAGTGAGACCGTCGAGAAATGCCTGCCCTTCTTGAAGGGCATTCATACCAGCCAGGCCGGGCCGTTCAACCGATACGGCGTGCCATCGCTGAAGCAAGATGACCATATTGGCTATCTCTACGACTCGCTGGAAGAGTACCCCGCGGGCTTCGCGGGGATGGATGCCAGCAGGCCCTGGATGGTCTACTGGGCGCTGGCAGGATTATGTTTAGTAGGAGAAGATGTCACCAGGTTTCGTGAACGGTAAGCTCACTGACTTATTATCGCGGATGATATGAATCTGCGATCTTGCGCAATAGTCGTAATATTCTAAGCATCACAGTGTTATTTCTACATTTTCGCGAATGCAAAACCCTACTGGGGGACTGGGCGGGGGTCACGGGCAGTTGTCCCACTGCGCCTCTGGTTATGCTGCAGTACTTTCTCTGGCAATGGTCGGGGGCGAAGAGGCATTTAACCTGATCGATCGGGATGCGATGTAAGTGTGATGCCGTGTGCGCAAGCCATGCTGACCAGATGCAGGTGGAGATGGTTGGGGAAATTGAAGCAGCCCGATGGCGGCTTTCGGGTCTGCGAGGGTGGAGAAGAAGACGTGCGGTAATTTCCCTCGCGTGCTCGGGTTTGCTTTTGCTAACCAGGTCAGAGGCGCCTACTGCTCGATGGTGATCATCGCAATGTTGGATTTGCCACTGGCTTTACCCCCTGATGCCGAAGCGCGGCAATACGGGCTGGAAACATTTGCCAGTGGCCTCCCGGAGTATCTTTCCAGGTGTAAGGAAGAATCCTTTCCTCACCCACCGGACTAGACTGATCTAGCGCAGGCCAAACATTCGAGGGAGGTATATCCGGAAGCCCCGGTTCTGAGGCACATGGCGCCTATGCATTCTGCGCTTTGGCATGCCTGTGCCTTCTGGGCCAACCAGATGTGACGGTGTTCAGGTAAGAGCTGCACCTGTTTTCCCCCGCTTCCGCTGATAACGTAGGTCCATGGATGTTCCTCTACTCCTGTCGTGGCTTTCTGCTCGACAGTACGCCCCGAGGGAGGGTTCTCGGGACGGACCAATAAATTGGTGGATGGGTGCTACAGCCATTGGGTTGGCAGCTGCTGGCCATTGCTTCAGTCTGCACTCGACGGGGTCCAGTCCGCTGCCGACCCGCAGGGGTCTGCGGGTAATCTCTACAGCCGGGAAGGATTGACCAGATATGTCCTTGGCTGTTGTCAATCCAAGCATGGGGGGCTTCGTGATAAGCCCGGAAAGTACGTTGACTCTCTCTCTCCGTCGCGATACGGTCAGCTAACAGCTACAGGCACCCGGATTCGTACCACACCTGCTACACGCTGACGGGCTTAAGTACGGCCCAGCATCGTCATTACCATACGACATCCAGTGCCAGTTCCAATGAGGTGTTCGCGTCGGCGTTTTCCTGGAAATGGACTCCGATCACGGCCTCGGAGGATACTTCCTCCGACCAGAATGTATTCGACGAAAAGGACCGCTTGAAAGCCTCCCACCCGATCTTTGTGATTCCCCATGCGGCCGCCGAGAGCATGCATGGGTGGTGTCAACGACACCCAGTGAGCGTCTGAGTAGATAGCGGGATGAGAGGACCAAGGCAATCAAAGCACCTTTGTACAGTACGACGCATGTAAGAATGATGCTGAGTTACACACGTTGTAGAAACATGGCATCCAGCCACGCGCGAGGCAGACCAAACAAGGAATGAGTTGGACTCGAGTATGACTGGAATGCCAGCGTCTGCCATCGGATTAGTTGTTTGGAGCGATGATGCTCCGAGTCGACTCGGTGCGACATGAACGCTCGGCGGATTTTGCTTCATGTCTTCACGCTGATTCAGCCTGGTCTTGAAACTAGACGCTGAAGCGGCTGGACTACTGGATCCTACGGGATTCTGGTTTTCCGCTCAGCGCTCCCAGTTCCTGCCACCAGGAGGGAGATGATGGGGGCAAAAAATAAATAAAAAAAACCAAGAGTTAGAACCTTCTGCCCCCCCGCGGCCCCCCATCAAACGGCGCATGTCACATCGTTGCGACGCGAGCAAGGCAGACATCTGCAGCCGTCCACCAAGGAAGAAAAAGGGACCGCGAATTCCCCGGTGGTGAATGCTGAATAAGAAGAAGGCAATCTGCGCATGTTACTCTGCAAGGTTAACCTCCTTCTTCCTTTGCTCCTCGTGTCAAAGTGGCATGGATTCCCCGCCGCACGAAGCGAATGCCAACTCATCAATGCATCCGCGATGCCTGTCAACACCACACCACGGAGATGGCTCGACCAATTGTTCCCGGTCTGGGGCCGTCTAGAGCGCATCGGTTTGCGCGCAATCCATTGCACCCTCTCGAATGAATCTGGAACTGGGACTGAAGGGAGGACTCGTTATCTCTGATTACTCAGTCGCCGAAGCGGTCTGGGCAGGATTCGGATGGGCTGCCGAGGGATCGTCCGCGGCCAGAAAGTCTCGTCGAGACCATCATTGGTGGCATGGCTGGACAAAGAATCCTCGATGGCGGTTGTCCGCCAGGATTATCTGCGCGACATCCCCCCTTGTTATGTATCATCATTGTGCATTAGCGGAATTCCGCGACTCCTTGAGTCTTCTCCCGTGCTTCCATACACAACTATGTTCCGGGCTCACTACTGCGGGGAAGCCAACCCTCAGAGAGACCAAAGGACGGGAGAATTTAATCCCAAGCTGACTACCTATCCAGCCGGCCCACCGAGAGGGATTCGCGGATCGGCGGCGAATTACACGGTGGCCGTTGTCTGGATCTTGCGCGGATTCACTGGTGAACAGGATGCCAGCGCATCAGGGTTTGGACCGCAACTACACTACACCACTGGACTAGCGATTGAACCAATCTGTGGTCAATTCAAGTGGAGTGATTTCACTTAATTATTTTTTTTAACTCACCTTTTCTGTCCACCGTCAATTCTTCTCACTGGGAATTAGGAATAATTATCAATGGAGCCCCACCTGGATCTGAATATAGCTGGCAGGATCATATCTTTCTTTTCTTTTTTCTCGAGGTTGCTTGACTCTTCACCTGTGTACAGGTTTGGTTTGCAGACATTGGTATACAATTGTGTCCTTGATTGCTCTGCGACGCTATTGTAACTAGCGAAGATTATCATTGGGCACTACCCACCATTACCACCGCCAACCGTTGTCGACAGACTGTTCGGTGTGACTACCAGGATCTTGTGCAGTCACTACTACCTTAGGGCAACGAATACCGGCCGGTGCTGTCGGAGTTTATTGGCCCTTGTCACGATGTACTATATTCTCTATCTTGCAAGTATGTTTGTCCTGTTCTATACTTGCTTGGAGTATCTTTCTCTCCCTCTTTTGTTTTCTTGTGTTGGTTGAACTATGGTGCATATCGTGGAATATGCAATTGGAGAGATTGGTACCTCTCTCACACATACACACACTCTCTCTCTCACTCTCTCTCTCTGATAATTCAATCCCAATGATTGTCCTTCGGACAATCAATTCACATTACACAATTCCCTACATCTCCCAAGAAACTATCATACCAAACCAACTCCATTACTCAACCCCTACCCTCCATCCCCTACTCCCAAGCAATTCCCTCAACAACCAAAACAAACCCATATACATACTTATCCCCCAACCAACCCAAAACTAACAAGAAAAAAAAAAAAACCAGGCCTCTGCCGCCGCCGCCACTGGCCCGACCCAACCTACTCCTCCTCCCCAATAACCCTCACCCCATCTCACCAACCCCATCCCCACTCCCCATCATCCCCTACCAGCAGCACCTCCTCTTCCTCCACCACCTCCTCTTCCTCAAGGAATTCCACCACCCCCAAAATCCACGGCTACACATGCACCGTCCTCGTAAACAACCGCTCATACCAAACGGACACTATATGCGAGACCGAAACCCGGGCCAGAGAAAATGCCGCCATGCGGGCATATCTCATTTGTCGGAATTTCTCGGTCAATGATGGCATGTATCCTGTGGGAGTGGATCATGGGGGTGTGGTGCAGGGGGTGCCGGTTGCTATTGGGGTGGGGAGGGTATCGTATGGGTATGAGGGGGAGGGCGAGGGGGATGGGGATGAGAATAGTGATGGGAGTTATTATGAGAGGGGGATTGGGGGGGGAGGGCGTTGGCGTTTGGGAGGTAGAGTAGGGTAGGGTATGGTAAGGAGGGGGTTAGGTGGTGATGATGATGATGATGATGATGATGATGATGGGGAATGGGAGTATATATTGAGAAAGACATGGTGGTGGGTTAATGTATGGAATGTTGGTAGTTTTCTTTTTCTTCGAAGAAATACAAGGGGCAGGATGTCTCTTTCTTAGATGGGGAAAGGTATGCGATGATGAGATTAAGCCGACAGTAGCGATGTTATTGAGGCTTCCCCAGTGCCCTCAGTGTCCGCAGTGTCCTCTGTCTCTTCATTCTCCTCAGTGTTCTCGGAGTCCTCCGAGTCTTCCACCTCCTCCGGCTCCTTGAAAGGAGGTCGAGGATACCGCCACAAATAATGTCGACGAGTGAAGATCCGTGGATATTGGTCGTCCAGAAAGTTCAACCACAGATCAAGTGGAAGATTCTCCTTGAGCCATTTTATATCTTCCGGATGTTCTCGTAGATGCTGCAGATCAGTGCGGTTGAGGTTGGCATCACGCTCAAGCATCTTTTTAATAGAGTGCCGCCTTGGTCTCGGACAGTGCTCAGGGTTATGTGGTCGAGGCTTCCGAGTAAATGGGTAGTACTTTTTAAGCTTGCGTAGCACGCGAGGATGTTGCGCCAGCTCGGGCTTCGGTTTCCTACAAAGTTGATGTTAGCTGAACCATGGTCAATGCTGGGATGATTGGGAGGGCCTTACAAACACCACTCTGTCCACTCATAGGACAGAATAGGCACTTTAGCGTCTTCTGGAGCTTCCCCGTAATCAACTAAAAAGTAGCACCATAGGTCATCATACGCGAAGAAATCATTGTGGGAAGCCCAGCGGCGCTCTGGGGGATTGAGATCACAATTCCAATGGTGTTAACAGATGTAGTTCACCATAAACATGGATTTCTCCTCATTACCTCGTCCAGGAACTAAATGTGTTAGAGTCTGGACCAATACGCGGACTGGTGGATCCGCTTTCACACATTCTGCCTCCATGATGGTGAGTGTGGAGGAGGAATTTAGAGAAGGGGTAAGAGACAATATATATAGATGATATACCTCCAGGGATCAGGTAATGATTACTTATCGAAAGTGAGGCAAATGCGTGGAAGCCTTTGGGATTTACCATAGCAATTGTAGGGTACCACAGTGGAAGTTGCCTGCTTGGAGGCGGTTATCTCTGATTCTCTCAGTATGAGGTCGATGTGGACCGCCTACATTAAGTGCGGCTTGTTTGCATTCTCTGCTATATCTAACCCAAGTTGTTCGTCGCTATGATCAAATAATTCCCATGTGAACTATGGGGGCGATCATCTCAATTTATTTGTGAATTCCCCTTTCTGGTTAGGCTGTCCGCTTCAGGAATGGATTCCGGGTATCTGTGGATCAAATATAATCCCTCTCAAGTAGTCTTGCTCCACACTTCATGAGCGCGTTTCCGTCTACAGTTCGCTCTATCAACTTGGATCTTGGTAGAGGCGGGCACCATACTATTCGACCAATGTTTTCATACGTTTTGAGACTACTCGGCGTTTGACAAGAGGTTGACAACTCGAGTACGGCCCGTATTTGCAAATCAAGGGCCGCAAAATTCAACACCCATACCTTGACGAAGCTGCAAGCTGCTATTGAAAATGATCCAGAAGTTGACCTGACGAAAGAACTACCGCTGGGGTATTCTAATCGCCTGGAAAAAATGCGACAAGATGTCCAACCAAATGGGTAGCCTATAAGTGTGGTAGTTCAGCCTTCCTAATACTTTGAAACTGCTAGGAGTATCAGAGAATGCTGAATCTTCACTAGATTGTTTCTCGCAAAGACTGGCTAATGTTATCCATGCCAGCGAAATTATCTGGAGGGCTCCTTTTCTCGCCAGAAAATCGTCTTTGGCAGTGATCATGATATTGTCTTGAAAGCTATATGGGACTTGGATGATTCAACTGAATATACGACTTTAAAATACCTTCAGCAGCATAAGCCAAGTATCGCTGCGCCGGAACCCCTAGGATTCATTCGAATGAGAGACGTCTCACTGATATCCATGACTCGCATGTCTTCAGATAGCTTAACAGATATATGGCCGTCGATGAGCTCAGCCCAGAAAGCCTCAATCAAGAAGCAACTTAGCACAATCCTGATGGATATAAGATCTCTACCTTATCCTCCAGGTACTCCTTTCGGAGGAGTTGGGGGTGAAGGCTGCAAGGACATACGCAGACATCTTCGCCGGAGCAATAAGCCTATCATGTCTATCAGTCAATTCGAAGACTTTCTTTTTACAAGTCCTCACCCTGGGGGTCATGTGTTTCTGGAATTACTTCGCCAGCTGTCTCCCTCATCTCAGTCGCCATCACCTACCATTGTCTTTACACATGGGGACCTTCGTCCGAATAATATTATTGTGAAAAGGGGGGGTGATGACTGGATCATCACTGGCCTAATTGACTGGGAATATAGCGGCTTTTATCCTGAATACTATGAAGCCATCAAGTGTACAAATTGTTTGGCACCATACGAGGATAATGATTGGTTTCTGTTTCTACCAGATAGTATCTCCCCACAAAGATATACACATTGGTGGCTTCTTGATCGGGTTCGAGAGGCGAGACTGGTCTGACAAACTCTGGAAACACCTCTAGAGGGACGGCCATCTCTTCTCTTTCAGCTCCTCCTTAGCTTAACGATATTCCTCGTCGTCTCTATCCAAAATGAACTCATCTTCTAGCTTATCAAGTATATCAAGCACTTAGTCCTGGCAGTCCCACTCAACTGTCTCGATGTCCACTTTCACTTCCTTGGCAGCCTCCTTGATATACTCGATGTCGTCGTCGCGCAGAGTAGCGAGCTCGAGGCTTCCAAGATAGCTTTTCGAGGACTGGGGGCGGGCATCGATAACATGGGGCTTGAAATCAGGATGGCAGCCAGTGACTTCAAAAATGATACTGTCATTCCCGTCATTGATGTACAATGCCCAATGCTGGTAGTTGCCTTCACGGGGTCGATAGAAAGCAACGTATAACATTGGATTACCCATGTTGGAGGCTTCTGTTTCAGAGGATCTCAGTACTCAGTCAACATTACAACGCTGGATTGCCATACCTGTTCAGTTTTGGAGCCTTGTGCCGGTACAAAAGTGAATGCTGTCTTTGATTCTATCCTGCCTAGGAATGTTCTGTAGCTTGCGAGGTGGTCAATTAAGTCGGTGATATGTTGCTCTACTTATAAGGTTGATACTTGTCAAGTTTGATGGCTTTCTCGATGCGTAGATTTAGAATTGATTTCGGATCTAATTTTGCTATTTGGTATCTCCCATCTGCCCGTGGTGTTGGTCTCTATGCTGACCAACGAGTATTCGTATGACTTGTGCGAAATATCTCTCAGAACATCATGATAAGTCGCTTTGAAGTCATTTATGATTGGACGAGCTCCTTTCTCAGACCGTGTACTAGTGTGAAAAGCAAATACGTAGAATGCTCTGGTAGGGTTTTTCACTTCATTGCTCCCCCCATTGCTCCCCATTTTTCTTTATTGTTTCGTTGTGTATCACTTGTTAGTATTATCTAGCACTGCACTCCTCATCACTCTCGGTTGCTCCCCATTGCTCCCCATTGCTCCCCATCTCTCCCTATTTTCTCTCATTTCCCCCCATTTTGCCCCATTTCTCCCCATTTCCCCCCATCTCTCCCTATCTCTTGACCAGAGAATATAGAAACCATTCAACCGTGTAGAGCTAGGTATACTGGAAAGCACCAAGGTACAGTGCATCGTGGCTCTTTTGAACTAATTCTATGGATCTAACATAGACTTGTATACTATTGGTAGTCAAACCTTGATCTAACATTAGATGTGCACAACCATCCTAGGGCTAGGACAGAAAGTACTAATCTGCCCTGATTTCAAATACAGAGGTAACAGAACTGTCAAGCCAAGACAGGACAGCTGGGATATGTACACCATACAAATTTCGACTCGAACAGAACTGCGTGTGGTTATCGTTATCGTACCTACCAACATACTACTTCATGAGAACACCAAGCTTAGACTTTAGTCTGAGGGTAAGACCGTGGTTGTCGGTGTGAGACTTACCTGCTGGGTTTCACTCACATGCTTGCAAGTGGGAAATTATAAAAAGGTGAATACCGCTCTTGAGCAGGCAATCCCCGTTCTTCTCGGTATGAGGTAATCCCGGAACCATCACTACATAAGGCGTCCCCCTTTCTGCGCGGTTTCGCTTCCGTTCTTCTTCCCCATGCCCCTTGCTCCTGAGCCCCCTCGGCCAACCCAAGAAAGCCTACACACCGCTTAAGAGCATCCTCTTGATCAGATCATCTGTCCCTATAGTTCTAATCTGTCTCTCTACAGCAAACATATATAAGGATGGCTTACACACAATCTTCCCGACCCTTACAACGCGTTCAAGACAAGAATTACTGCACAACACACCCTGTGTACGCTTTTGTCTCAAGCATCTCAGGTCATCTCAGAAGAACACGCAGGCTTTTATACCAATTCCTTGGACAACCCATGCTGATAAGACGCATCGCAGTGTTCGGCATACTTTGGAGGCAACAGGCATGGGAAGGTGTACAATGTGGTCGTTGACCACTTTCAATGAGAGTTGAATGCTCTTCGCTGTCTGGGTATCACCCAATGGCTCCTCTGGGGTTTCATGCAACGACCAAATCGGACACAGATACCTGCACTCATTGATCAACTGCAGCCCATAATGCTCGACCCGTCAACGAATTACTTTCTGGATAACTATGCCTGCGTGCTTATCTTCAGTTTCGCTGGGTTACAAAAACGGATGAATTAACATCTTTGATGTCTCGGATGGATCTTGAATTTGATACATCTGTTCTGGGACGGTGTATGGAAAAAAACAGTCCTGACAACATGGAGAGGTTGAGCTCAATCTCTGACGTATCTTGAGACTTCTAGGCTTGCTTTGGAGATGCCTCTCTTGGAATATGTCAACATTACTCTAGAACGCCGATGTGGAGTCAGTCTTTACCTTCTTCACTATCCTCTCCCTGCAATCCCGCGATATCCATCAACGCCGAAATCAATTTACCTGTTGCAATATGACATGTCCGGACATTTGCAATGTCTGGTTGACGAGTATATGGACATTTCCGATTACGACATGGAGAGGTGTGCAAAGCTTCTCGGTCAGATTTTGCAATTCGATGACTCCTCAGGCTAGAATATGTCTTGAACATGTCATTCTGCTCTTCGTTCTCAGAGGAAGGATCTACTCATGTTCCTGGTATCAAATGAAAACTTTCTATTTTACCTCAGAAGGATTCCCTCGCTAGTGTATCGACATCGATCTGGCGGTTAAAAGGCCAGAGCCCTATACAGCAATCGACCGCCATTACCCTAAAAGCCAGATCCTTGGTTCCACTACGTTTGAGACCACCACAGGCAGACGCAGTGCCATCGTAGAAATCCATCGAAGCACTGCATTTGGGACTGAAACATATTCTATCATTAGAAGCCGGTCACAAGATTCCAGGCACCATCTTCCTCCCTACTTCCCGCCTAGATGTCCATCTGGCCAGCAGTCGCTGGTCCAGAACAATACTTTGACACTGGGAGATTTACCCATGGCCCTGGTAATCCAGTGGCATCCAGCATCAACATGGGTTGCAATGCTACTCACCTATTTATCTCCCCTCTTCTCTTATTAATCACCGCAAACAGACCAAAGCCAGGTCTGAAGCCAAGAGAGAGAGAGAGAGAGAGAGAGCCCAGATCCACAATTTCTTCTTCCAGCATTTCTCCTTCTATATTAAACCTTCCCATTCCCGACTTCTATTACCCTCCAGATCGTATCCGAGGGGAGTTTACCACATAACTCCCCTTCTAACCCAGACCACACCTCAAATCATCAGTGATTTCCCTCTAACCCAACAGCCTACAAACCCAGCAACCTCTCTACCTACCACTACCCCCTCAACATCTACGCAGACATATATCATATCATGGTTTTGATACGGAAATCAACCGCGAAGCAAAAGTGCCCCTGGGCTGTTCACCCGGCCACAGAGGTTTTTGCATGGAGGTAGCGCAGTGTGTCTCATTCCACATCTTCTTGGATATTATGGGGTTATAGCCTTGTCACGAAGAGAGCGGAATACAAATACCAGCAAAAGGCCTTGAGGTTGTCCACCGCCGACATATATATCTTTGCGCGGAGGTACCGCAGTGTTCCTCGTTACTGAACTTCCCATATGGGAAGGGGTTGGCTTTCGATCAGGGGAAGTGACAGACAGGCATTATGGGCTGTCCAATAATGCGTGGATTGACTAGGGCGAATATTTGAGAAGTTCAAAGCCTGACTGACTGACTGGTTCTTTAAAGTACTTGGGAAGGCAAAGGTCATGGTACAGAGTATATATGCGTGGTTTATGGGGGAGGGAATGGGAATGAGGAGGGGGGGGGGGGGTGGATAGATGGGCTTTGTGGGCTTAGTACTTACTGTAAGAGGGACTTCGTGGGTTGGGTCGGGTATTTGATCCGGACTTAGTGCGCTTAAAGTCGCTGGATCCTACCACGAGTTACCTACCAACTCGGCTATCCGGCAAAAGTCTAAGCTCAGTAGCTTAGAACGCGCATCACTTAGATATAAGCAAGCTTACTTAGATAGTTCACGGGCGGAGTCATGTGAGGTTCTCACACTCACTGGGTTACCTATTGGTTACGTCCATTTCCGTCCTAGTCTGGTTGCATTAAATGATAAGGTCCCGTATGTTAAGAATAGTCTATGATAGCACAGAGTAAAATTATATGTACTAGTGTTCAATGCATCTGGATGTGTCATGTAATGTAGGATATTATGAATCGGTCTGGTGCTGGCATGCATAACGGGTTATGCCGGTATGCAGCGGCCCCGGAAAGGGGGAGCCGAAGGGCCGGGGAAGAATGGGGCCCTCCACCGAGTCCACCGAATCCACTCAGCTCAGTCCACTCAGGGGCGGCCCCTCTCCGGCCTCCTTCCGGGAGCTCCGGATCTTACTCGACTCTTGTTCACAGCTCTTCTGGTATCATGTATCTGGTATAGCACCTCGCCTTTTGTCCTTATCTAATATCGCATGTTTATATACACACTGCAAAAAGAGTGACTAGACCATCCGGGGTATCCACTTAACGCTAAAACGCTCAAAAATCAACAAAGCAGACACGAATTTTCTTCATCTCACTTCAAGTGCCCCTTCCGGATCGCTCCAAATCCCTTCGAAAACAACTCGTGAACCTCGACGGACCGGCGCGGGGTCTTTGGCACCTCCTCCTCCGGCATCGAGTTCGCTCTATATCCGCCCAATTCCACGTCTTCAGTTTTGATCGGACCGGCGGCCTTGGGGTTGGTGGTCATCACCCGTGGCCGAGCAAGAAGCTCCCGAATTTGTAGCTCGCGCGCTTCCATCTCCTCCTCGCGAGCCAGCTCAAAGCTGGATTTCTTCTTGCCGTGATCCCAGCCTTGCTGCAGCTCCGAAGCCGCGGCTTCTTCAAACCGCTTCCGAATGTCCAAGTCTTGCTCGTACTCCTGGAAAACATCCACGTCCGTGGGGAAGAGCAGCGCCCGCACAGCATTCACGGTCATTTCGAATACAATCACCGAGACGATAGTGACGAACAAAGCCGCCCAGAATGCAAGGTCGTGTCCGGATGCGAAGATAAAGTTGCCAAGGACGTGGTAGATCCCGTCGCCGGAGCTGGGATTGTACCGGGCATCCAGGATCAGGTTCCACAAGAACCAGCCACCCACTGAGATCACCCACACAATTAAACACAGATACGTCTTGTTGTGCACCTCCAGGACCTGCAGCTTGGTGTTGATAACGATGACACAGGCCGTGAACGAGAGGAGACCGGCGGAAAAGATGTCGCTCCCCGTGTGGGTGAACATGACATTTTCAAACAGCCCGAACATGCAAAAGTAAATCATCACTGCCTCGCAGGCCGCCATGAACGTCCAGCCCAGATACAACCGGATGTTAAAGCCGCCATGGCGCTGGCCTTTGGTGTACAGCTCCGGGACAGCCAGGAGGGTCGATGCAGAGAGGTCTTTGGTGAAGATTCCGAGGAAGATGACCGCCAGAGAAGTGAACAGGGTGTTGAACATACTCAAACTCCACGACTCGTACAGACTGGTGCCGGTGTATCCGTTCCAGCGCTGGTAAAGCGCCTGGGTCAGGTAGAACAGCATTTCCTTCCAGAAGGTTCCGAGCGTGTACTTGCACGCCCGGATGTAGTTCCAGCGGCCGTGAACAAGGAGCAGCTTGAGCAAGAACCTAAACTGGGCAATTGAATAGTCCGAGATTCGAGCCGCCTGCAACCCCTCCTTACCGGTAATGCCGATGCCAACGTGGGCTTCCTGAATCATGGCAATATCATTCGCGCCATCACCGATCGCAAGGGTAACGCTACCCTTGACTTGTCTACGAATCGACTTGACCAGGAACGCCTTCTGCTTGGGGCTAGCGCGGCAGCAAATGACCGAGTCAACAAGAACCGCCAATCTGAAAAATTGTGCCTCCAAGATTTCATCCGATTCGATCATCGATAGCGTTTGTCCGTCGACCACGACAACCGAATGGGCCACAGTACCTTGGATGATGTCGGCGGTCAACTTGACAATCGACTGCTCGACCTCGCCAGTCTCTTGATCCAGAATGACAAGCGTCGAGTAGTCCTTCACCAGACGGCAGGAGTGCCCGATGTTGATGGCTGTCTCTCGCTTGTCGCCAGTCAGCATCCACATTTTGATGTTGGCTCGTCGAAGTTTGTCGATCGCCTCGGGCACGCCGTGCTGTAACTTGTCTTCGATGGCCGTCGCGCCCGTCAACTCCAGCTGTTGCTCGATCTGTTCTCCGACCTGTTCGATTTTCTCCTGTCGGTCGACAAGACTGGTGGACGCCTCGCGGTAGGCGGCCTTCCAGCTATTGTATGTGGCATCGTCGAGGAAGCGGTGCCCGTACAGGAGCGTCCGCAATCCCTCCGTTGCAAAGTCATTCAGGTGCTGGAAACACCGCTCGAACACGGCAGTTTCGTTGACAACGAGAGCCTCTTCAACCAGGTCTTCCTCCTCGTTTTCATGGACTGAACTGCCCGAGTCCGACCATGTGCTCGAAGGGCGTCCCAGCTGGGCTGAGGGACGAGGGCTGTAGTATTCGGGATCGTCTCCCCGCGTCAGCATACCACCATCAGTCTCTCGGTCACGGAGCCAAACATCGATGCTCTCCCTCAGGGCCGACACATGATCGCCGGTCACGCTGGATCGCCGACGGGTCATGCTAGGGCGAGCAAAGCTGGTCCGAAGCCCACTATCCTTTCGACTGTGATACTCGCTGTTCCGTCGCACGACCTGGGCAGCCTCGGCCGCCTTTCGTTTGCTAGCGCGCCTCTCAATCTCCACGGCCCTCTCTTGCGCAAGCGCGGCCCGTTTCAACAGGCGCATCAGAATGCTATCAGCGCCCTTGCAGAACACGCAAATGCGTTGATCAGGCATCCGCACGACAACCGACATCCGTTTACGGGCGCTCGAGAACTCGATCACGTCCATGATCTCATAAACCTCATCGCAGGGAGTGTCGTCGGGGCCGTTGGGATAGGTCCGGATGGTTAACGTGTTTGGTTGCCGGTCTCGAACGATGTATCCAAGCTCCTGGGCAGCCATGACCAGCGCCAACTCATCAGGAGATGCGGCCTGGAAGGTGACATTACCAGCTTCATCGTCTTCGGGGATACAAGTGTGGCACAGCGCCAATGCTAGGATAAACATCTTGGCTTTGCGAGCAAAGACGGTGTATGGTTTGCGCTGGATATACTTGAGCATATCAGTGGTACGGTTGTTGCGCATTGAAGCGCCACGTCCCTGCAGTTCGTTCGTCATGGACATCGACGTCCTGGGAGGTTGTCTCCGCGCCTCCGAGACATTAGACTTGCGGCTAAGTGCCTTCTTTCCTTTTACGTTGCGCTTCTTGTGGATCAACTTTGTCTGGTCGCCGGCCTTGGCAGCCTCTTCGACCAGATCAAAGTCATGGTACCACGCGGTGCCAGCCACACTCATCTTTCGGAAGCGCATCGAATTATTGGTCAAGGTACCGGTCTTGTCGGAAAAGATGTAGCTGACTTGGCCTAGCTCCTCATTGATAGTGGAAGTGCGAGCCTCGATCGGAGTGTCGGTCTCTGGGTCATACATGTCGATGTCGGAATTCATCAGAAGCATCTGGGCGACCTTGACGATTTCCATACTCACGTACAACGAGATGGGAATCATCGTGTTGAACATGATCAGGAACGAGGTGAAGATAGGCCCGATGGCTACACTCGCCTGTGTGAGATACCACGAGTTGGGTTCGACCTGCTGATGGAACCAGAACTTATAGGCAAGAGTACATGATACCGCGAGTATGACGACAAGGAGCACAATCAGCATGACAACCCGGTTCACCTTGGCTTGAAGGGATGGCGACTTGATCCGAGGGTTCTTGTTCGCATTCATCCGAATTTTGCACTCCTCGCCAGTATAGATGACCATACCATATGCACATTCGGTATTGCGCAGGATACTTCCACGATACACAATCTCGTTGTTGGTCAATGGCAGCTTCTCATCCTCGGCAATGGTCACATTTCCGTCGAATTTGTAGAGGTCCATGTTAGGGTCCTCGACAGCGAAATGGAGGGCGTTGCTGCAGATTCCTTCAACGGACCCACACACCTTGGCCACGGGCTGAGAAGGCTGCTTATTTTTGAGGTTTGTCTCGCCGTCCAAGGCCATGGTCTCAATGTATGCGACGCCATTGGGCCCGTCCGCATGGAGCAAGACCATATCTGCCGGCACAGGCTGATCACGCTCCAATCTGATGACATCGCCAACTTTGATATCCTTCCACTTCACCGGGGCCCAATCCTGCTCGCTCGACACGGACAAGCTATCACTGGGGGCCATCTGAGTAAACATTCCGGCACCAGGACGTAGGACAAACGCATATCGGTTATTTTCTTCCTTATCTAAGCGGTAGCGACGCCAGTCATCGAAGCCTTCTTTGCCCATCGAGATAGCGACAAAGATCAACAACGGGACAAGAGTGGTATATGAACCGGTGGTACTCAGCCCAGGAATCATCTGTAGAACTGCAACAATAAGAAAATAGAAGTTGGCCAGCTTCGTAAACTGCGCAAACAGCTGGCGGGGGAAAAAGCTCCAGAAGCTGTAACGACTCGAGCGGATGGAGTTTCCGACATAGAGGGTTCCGGTCCTCTCATCAACAAGGTCTTCGGTACGGGTAGCGTCAAGGTCGATGTGACGACCGTCTTTGCTCGGGGGGATTTCTTTGATGCGAAGGATGGTCTTGCGAGCGGTCTCGAGCATATCCTCCAGACGCAGCTTCAGCGTAGCAATTGCCGCCCTTCGCTGAAGCCATTTCTCATATGAGATACTCGTGGAGAGGTGCTTCCTATCCTTGAGATTCTCCGACGGCTCAGAGTAATATGTGGTCGAAATGTCCAGGTTGCTATCGGATGCGGATCTCTGTGTCACCAGCGCATCTTGCTTCTCATCTTCGGTCGACTGACGTGGTACATCTGCCGATTTTCTCACAGGTACTTCAACGAGGGGTTCTGCGACGGGTTCTTCACGTTGTGGGCTGACACCCTGAGCTGGACCCAATTCAATCGCACCCGGAGACGTAACAGCTGACTCGATGTTCTTTGCGAAGATTGTCCGTCGGAGAGAATATCCACGATGACGTGACCGCGAGCGGCCAACAGATTCCGGACTTTGCGGGGAAGAAGGGGATAATGCGGAATGCGGAGACAAGGGCGAGGTTGCACCCTGACCTGGGGACCTGCCCGATGCAGGAACCTGCAATTGTGCGATATTGGTATTGATTGTCAACCCCCTCGACCCGGGCCGTTGATTCCCGTCAGGCCCGGCGACTTCCTCCGCAGATGGACGCTCCAAGTCGGTCGAAAAGCGGACATGGTGTTGAGACGGCCTCCGACCGGCATCGGACAGGGTTCGCGATGGAGACAAGGACGGTCGGATTGGCGCAGCACCCTCCTGAGCGGAGTGTATATTCAAGGACTGGCTTCTGGGTAGTGTTTGAGGGAAACTCGATCCCTCCTCTGTCGTATGTTGTTCCTCCGACGTGCTTTCCTGGCCGTGATTGGACTCGGATACATCATCAGGTCGGGACATGGCGAAATGGCAAACGCCCTCGATGTTGTCGACCACGATACCCGTTATACCTCCTACCAGTTCACTTCAGATGTCGAGAGCGGGGGAAAGCGATCGAACGTCGTAGTCGTAGAGCCAGGATAATCGAAGCCCTGACTCATCCTTAAACCAGCAAGACCATCAATGACGAACCGCTTATGCCAGCATATACGAGACACCGACTGCGAACCACCAAGGCGTAGCGACTCGACTCGTTTCGCGCGGGAGTATCGAAAAGGACAGGGTAGTCGCAGGTAGGTATAGGAGGCGAACGGTAGGCGAATGCGATGGAAGGTTGAAACAAGCGGAAACGACTGTGGGGAACCTAAGCAAGTGTCCACTATGGGCGTAATCCTTCGCAGAAACACGAACAACCAAGAATGTCTGCACTCTGCAGAGGGTAAGAAGGAAAAAGAGCCACGCGGAGAAGAGAATAATACGGGGAGAGACTTCTTTTTCCGCAGGCGGCGGCGAGGGGGGGAAGCAACCTAAACAGCAGCGAATACGAAGAAGACCCGACCGAAAGCGGTAAGCGGGAACCACCGCCACTGAAAGCAAAAAAAGGAATTTAAATTAATTGAACCGCACTAGGCAGGGATTGCAAGCAGCGGAAAAGGAGGAAATAGATAATATGTATGTATGTAGGTTGGTTGGTATATTGAAGTGGACTCCGTATCTGGGAAACTAGGAAACACTAGAGACTAGCGGCCAGCAAGCACCAAGGCAGGAAAGAAAAAGGAATGGAATGGAAGGCAACAAACTTGGAAAAAAAGGCAGGGGGATGGTCTCGATTGAAGACAGAAAAGACCCGGGATGGGGATTGCGGAGGCACCTTAATTCGCGGCGGGCCAGTCATCGGTCTCCGTCGGTGCGAACGTGGCTTGGGCCACGCAAACACCTCAGGCTCTTGTCTGGCTCTTGGGAACGTTGCGTAGCTGCAATGCACTGCCTCGGACAGGGTCTTTGGTACAGTGGACCAGTGGCAAATATGTCATTTTGGTGCTACCGTTGCCTTGTAGAGTAATGATATGAGCTGCGGACAATAACGTCAACTAGAGTTATTTTTATACGTATGCTGGCAGATTTCAAGATCCACTGATGATAAATTGACACAATGTACCATCCTGTGTAGCAAAATGAGCTTTCTTTTTGTAAGTTGCCTGATAAGAGTACGGCTTCAGTGCATGAGGTACTCGGAAGTGAAAGGTGGCGCGGGCGCATTGGCATTAGGCCACCCTTTTCTAAGCAGTACTACTAACTAACGTTAGGTCCTGGCCTGCGGGAAGCCCCCAGCCCAAGGCATTGCGAAGCGCCTTAGTAAGCAACATGCAACGCACTTTGACCGCATTTAAAGAGCTTCATCAAGCGCATGTAAAGGGCTACTAAAGGGCTCCATCGAGCGCTCCTAAAGGGCTTCATCGAGCGCATTTAAAGGGCTACTAAAGGCCTTCATCAAGCGCTACTAAAGGGCTCCATCAAGCACTATTGAAGGGGCTTCGTTGAGCGCTCCTAAAAAGCTTCATCGAGCGCATTTAAAAAACTCTGTTAAACGCTCCTAAAGAGCTCCGTTGAGCGCTTTTAAAGAGCTCAATCAAGCACTTAAAAACACAATACTTAATTCAGACCTACGGCCTGAATCTACATAAAGACCTGGTTCAGACCTACAGTCTGAATATAGACTAGGGGGCCTTTCCCCCCCCCCCCCCCAGACCCCCTCCGAGACCCTTGTTGGGCTGAAGCGGTGAGTACTGGCAATATAGTTTAAATCACGTTACGAGTGAATCAAACAACCAATCAGAAAGCTGAAATTGAGCAAAATATCAGACCAATGAGAAGTCTTGAAGCTGGAAACTTACCTAGCAGGACCGAACCTAGTATTGCTCAGCGCTAGCGCGCTTCGCAAATCACTCATCAGCATCACATATCTGAGTGTGTTAGACCTATAATATTCTACGAGTGCTATTAAAAATAGATTTCAACGTTTTAAAGTTTCCAAGGGGGGCGTATTCCATGTACAACATCTCCAAAGACAACAACGTCAACGATACGATATGCCAGCACAACCAGCCTCATCCATGACGTCCCACCCAACCAACGTAACGTAGCATGCGTAGACTCACCAGGCGACCATTTTCCCAAGCAGAAACCAAACATCCATGATAGGCTAAATACTCCAGGCAGCTGTCAAAGAATAAAACCTAAAGCGAAAGTTTATCAGGCCTGGCCCTGTCGGAAACCCTGCAGTACACCCGACGGAGACCCGACAGTGGCGCGCATGACAGACCCCCGGGTCAGACAGGAACAGAATTTAGCAAGTCAAAATAGTGCTGCATTTTCTGTGGATTTGACTTTCTGTCCGTGGTGTTGCCACGACCCGTCCATGTGTGTGGTTGGTTGGAACCGTGGGTGGGATGTATTTGTTTTGTCTGGCGTTTTTATGATGTCTGGTGTGTTGAGTATTACATTGGAGATTGGGATCAAAAGGAAGGATAAGGGATGAAATGCAGCAATAATTAAGGAGATAGGGGCTCAGTTTAACCCACGTGGAAGTAGATAGCAGTGTGGGTGGTGTGATAGCAATAGGAATGGTGGGATTTGGGAGGGGATTGTTCCGCCAGCTAGAGATGTGTCTGTGCGTCTTTGTGGGAGAGGGGCTACACAAGTATACTTTTTGACTTACTACTGTACATGATTCCAGTGGAACAATATCCAGTCTTCCTATTGATTGCTTTGGACTGCCTCGGCACTGCTTATCGTATAATGTCCAAGTTGGGATTACCGTTCATCACAGCCAAAGATACTGCTGACCTAGCAGTATAGACAACAATCACTAACCACCCATCTCCCATCAAGAACATAAATCTAATGCCAATACCGATAAGTCCCCAAAACCCCCCTCCACCCCTCATCCAAAGCCCTCACCACCTCCTCAGGCAACGGACCCTTTTCCAAATCCCGCAAATTCCTCTCCAACTGATCCTCACTCGACGCCCCAATAATCAACGCATCCCCGAACTCTTTCCCCAACGCACTATGATGCACCATCCATCTCAACCCACACTCACTCTCCGTCTGACCAAACTTCCCCGCCACCGGCCTCAACATCTCAATAGCATCATACGACCTCTCCGTCAAATACCGATCATGATACATCAAATTACTCTTCACCCTAGGATCAAACCTCGACCCAACCTCATACTCCTCCATCTTCTGATCCCTCCGATATCGCGAAGTCAAGAACCCCGCCGCCAAAGGCTGAAACGCATACAACCCAATCCCGTAATGTCGAAGACACGGGAGAAGTTCCGCCTCAATTGATCGCTGGTACGCATTATATATCCCCTGGTATGTAGTTGGCTTGATGTATCCGTTACGTTCACAGATCTCGCAGATTCGAGCCACCTCCCAGGCTTGGAAATTTGAGATGCCGAAGCGTCGGAAGTGACCTTCTCGGAAGAGTTTGTCGACTTCGGCGAGGGTTTCTTCAATGGGCGTTTGTCTGTCTGGGCCGTGGAGGTAGAACATCTCGATGCCGGTTTCTGGGGCATTGAGTGCTTTTAGACTGGTGGCTAGGCCGGCGCGGATGTCGCTCGCGCTGTGTGTCCAGGTCTCGGGCGTGAGCCACTTCATGTCTCGTCGTTGGGTCGGGTATAGCTTTGTGGCCATTGCCAGTCCGCGGTCGTGCCAGTGGGCGTCTGCGAGGTAGTGTTCTGTTGAACCGCCGCCGTAGACCCGGGCGGTGTCGATCTCGTGGTGTCCGTGGCTTTGGAATATGTCCAGCATGGCGTTGGTCTCGATGGGGGTGCTGATTCGAACGTGCGCTGTGCCTGTGGTGGTCGTGGTGAACTTGTCAGCTTCTGTTTGCTTGGATTCAGTGGAGTAAGGGCAGTACCTGGCTTGCCGATTGTCATTGATCCGAAGACAATGGGGAGGGGGGTTTTGGTGGTCATGTCTGTGGGTGAGTTCAACTCTAGGAATGATCCAACTTCGACAGTGTATCCCACTGAGAGAACCTGCTGTGAAAATCAGAGGAATGCAGAGGGATATCCTCTCCCTTTTTATGGCTGGATTGTCGTAGTTCACTGAGCAAGACTGCAAGTATCTATGATCTCCACCATGTCATCCACTTGCATGACTTGCGCCAATGAGCGATTGGTCTCGTTCTGCGGATGTCAGCATTTAGTCTTGGGTTGCCTTTATAGGTCATTATATTTTGACATCTTGTCAGGACACCCGGTTTGTTAAGCTGAAGGCTTTCTGTTATACTGTCGTCATTGGCCTTTACCTATCACCTGACAGGCTGGTATTGTACCACGCGACGAAGGCGCTGAAGATAACAGCCAAGAAATATATTATTGTAATACGCTAATTTTCAGGGTCTAACTCTCAAGCTCCTTCTGAGTCCAATCCCACAATTTCTCTGCTAATTGGTCATCTTTTGCATTATCGGTGATCTGACCTGAAACACCAATTGGCTCATAATACTCTCCGCTCTTTACCTGTTCAGACACCGACGCCCAAAGTTGATTCTTCGCACCCTGGTCCACAGTGACGGCCATCATTTTCGCAACACCGCGAAAAGCTCGCATGATGGCCGGCACTTCACTTGCTCTGTCCATCAGTTCCGTCTGTACCAGACCTGGGTGCACAGAAGCCACAGTCAACTGGGGATAAACTTTGGCTAGATGGCGTGCCCAAAGAATATTGGCCAGCTTGCTTTGGGAGTACCGTCCAAAGCCACCCATATCTTCGGCTGTGGTTCTAAGCCGAGGAAAGTCGAGAGCGTCCTTGGGGGCTTGCTTGAACGCAGTCGAAGTCATGGAGACGACTCGCACCTCGGCGCCGGTGTCGGTGGTCTTGAGTAACAGCGGCATCAGTAGCTTTGTAAGTAAGGCGTGGCCCATGTGGTTGGTGCCGAACTCGATCTCGTAGCCGTCCTTGGTAAGACCCGGCGGCACGGCCATAACCCCGGCGTTGAGCATGAGGATATCCAGGCGGTCTGATTCCGTGAGAACCGTTTGGGCGGCTTTTTGGATCGAGTCGAATGAGGCTAAATCCATCTCGAGGATTCGGATCGGTACGTTCGGAACCTTCTGTCTTATTTCGTCGGCTGCTGCTTGACAACGCTCCGGGTTGCGGGCTGCTAACCAGATTTGACTGGGACTATGTCTCGCATACTCTAAGATACATTGCTTTCCGAGTCCGACATTTCCCCCTTGTTACCAGAATAACCTTGCCAGCAAGTGATGGAATGTCACTTTCGGGATTGAAGGCCACGGATTTGTTGCAGCTGAAAAACATGTCGATCGCCTAAGGTAGGATCTGCGAGTATGTAGATAATTGTGACGATAAAAACGGAACAGACAATGGCATACAGCTCGGGGATAAAGTAGATGAAGTAAAATAGATATAAGTAACAGATGGCTATTCGGCAATATGAACAATAGGGCCACTGTTTATTCTAGTTATATAGTAGTTGGTTATTACCTAGTTAGAGCTATAGTTAAATCAGCGGAGTTAGGAGTTTAGACAAAATCTGACCACGGGCTTCCTAATTCAGTTAAGACGCCTTATGTCATAGTAAGCAGCCTTAATATCATTGGTCAGTCGCTGTCATCAAGTGGGCCTCGTTCTGGGGATAAGCGGAAGTGTCGTCGGCCAGTGATAAATGGCTTTCCTTCCCAGGTCCTCAAATTGCCGGGTACGGTTCCCGAGGTGGACTACAACCCGCTGAATATTGTCCACGGTTTCAGGGCTGAATGAGAAACGGGTCTCTGCCCATGACTGACTCATCTAGAAGAGTAAATCGCAGCTTGTCTGAACTCGGGCTCATGATCCAGAATTCAGGTCATTTAGAACTTAAGAGAGAAAGCGCCTCGCTCTTGTAATTCAGAAAGACTTGTATCAAGTGTCTGTCTAGTTACTAAGCTGCTATATGTTTGAAGTTGGTGGAATCTGTAAAACAAGCACATATCAACCCATTAGTACTTCTGCCAAGGTTTCAAACTTGATATATCAGCTATGGATGCTGCTCTCTGTCATATTGAAGGGAAAGTTGTGAATTGCCTAAGCTAGTCTTAAAGTACCTGCACTGGAGTATACTTAGTTATAGGCCTGTAGGGTAAAATAACCAGATGGCATGACAGGTGTATATAAGAAATAGACGACAATCATGTCCGGAAACTCGAGTGGTAGTCCATATCTTGTCCTTTTGACAAAGACCAGATGTAACCAATTAAATATATGTAGATTTGTCTCATGTATGAGTGATTTGACAGCCTTTATATCTTTTTTGCAAGTAATTAAGGGTTGATAACTCTAGCTGATAAGCGTCTAATTTATCTTTACTAATATGATCATCTAAAGCTCCAATAGAGTAAAGACATTATGTTCTATCTCATATTCACATAGATAACTGATGACAAATCCAGAATGCGACAATCCCTCTTTCTTTTACCCCAAAGATGCCCATTGGTGCGGGGTTAACGAGCCGGGATATTCAACCGAAATCGGTCTTTTAATAATCAAGCTCTGGAAGTAATTACAACCCTGACTCTACAGGACATGTGAATTGGAGTAGTATAGACTAATATATATAATAGAGCAAGCCCACCAACTCCAACACTAACCACCCAGTCTCCCCTCTCCTCTTCTACCTTTTCCATCTGCAACCCCCAACATCCCCAACAATGACCCCTCCAAAAACCATCGTGGTATTCGGCGCCACCGGCCAACAAGGCGGATCTCTCATCCAATACATCCTCAACGACCCTCATCTCTCATCCACATATCAAATCCGAGCCATCACCCGCGATCCCTCCACCCCAGCCGCCCAGTCCCTCAAAACAGCCGGCGTGGAAGTCTTCCCCGCCGACGCCAACGACCCCTCCTCCCTCCTCCCTGCCCTCCAAAACTCCCACATGGTCTTCTCCATGACCCTGCCCAACTTCTTCGCTCCAGATGCCAAACAAATCGAAATCGCTCAAGGAAAAGCCATCGCGGATGCAGCTGTTGCCTCGGGCACAGAACACATCATTTTCAGCACGCTTCCGCACGTCTCTAAAATCAGCAATGGGAAATATACCAAGGTGGAGTACTTTGATGCCAAAGCCGAGGTGGAAGAGTATATCCGGGGGTTGCCGATTAAAAGCACATTTTATGCGCCTGGGTGGTTTATGCAGAATTTTGGGGGGAATATGAGGCCGCGGACGGTAGAGGGTGCGGATGGGAAGAAGGTGTTGGTGAATGTTGTTGGGCCGGGGACGAAGTTACCTTTGATTGATCCGAGTCGTGATACGGGGGTGTTTCTGGGAGGAGTGTTGAGGGAGCCGGAGAGGTGGCTGGGGAGGGTGGTCCAGGCGGCGGCGGAGGTTTATTCGTATGAGGAGGTGGCGGGGATGATGAGTGAGGTGCTGGGCGTGGAGGTGCAGTATCAGGTGGTGGAGAGAGAGGTGTTTGAGGGGGATTTGCCCCCGGTGTTTGCGGATCGGTTGGTGGAGATGGTGAGGTATATTGAGGAGTTTGGGTATTTTGGACCGGGGACAGAGGAGATGGTGAGCAGGACGGTGGGGGAGACCAAGGATCGGCTTACGACTCTCAGGGAGTATTTGGTGAGGGAGGGGAAGGAATGAAGGTGCAGCTGTGCACGATTAGAGATATGTTTTGGAGAAACTATCTATTCTCAGTTTATGATCCTTCTTCACCTAGAATATCGTATTCTAAATTCATCAGAGCACCAATGTCACGAAGAAGAGGGAAGGAACTGACCAGCCTTTTCAGGAGCATAACCTTAGGCTGACTTCGAAGATAGATAGATAGCCATCATGCAACTAAGCACTAATTCTACTAAAGTAGTGGCACGCCTAGCTTTTACTAGTATCAACCAAGTGCTTGACAGGTGACCACTCAGCCAAAAGGACATGTCCCCAACAAGACGAGCCTACCCATGACTGATCGGACGGTGCTGACAAGGGTTTAAGACAATGTCCGTGCAAGCGGACGCCTTATTCTGTGACGCCTATCAGTGGAGGGGATGAAGTCTGGATCCAAAACATCACTGGAGAATAGCGTACACGGCTACAGGAAATGGTTTCCACATCTCCAGGCGCCTGTCACATGTCTATGCAGTCATGATGGAGACGAGCAAGCTGCTGATAACACATAGTCTCGGCGGGTATAAAGGCAGCACGGTTTCTGGCTGCAATCTTCCTGATCTCGCAATTTTTACATCTCTAGCATTAATCTTCGGTAAAGGAAACCCTCAATTTAGCACCAACATGGTTCAAGCCACCCAGTTTCGTGGCTCGACTTCCGGAAAGGTAATCCAGACGACTGCTGAACTCCCCGACATCAAGGCCGATGAAGTCCTAGTCAAAGTAACCGACAGTGGTCTCTGTGGAAGTGATCTTCACTTCATGAAACTGCCACTGGTGCTTGGACATGAAGGTAAATCTCTTTGATAACTAGGCCACCCCTCCACTGACCATCACAGGTATCGGAATTGTCGAACAGGTTGGCTCGTCCTGTTCCCAACTGAAAGTAGGCGATCGGGTCGGATGGGGATCGATCAATTCGACCTGCGATGTGTGTGACATGTGCATGTCTGGCAGAGATGCTTATTGTCCCAGTGTCAAAATGTATGGTGTAGAGGGCTATGACACCCAGGGCTCGATGTGCAGTCATGCCGTGAGAAAAGAACAGTGGCTCTTTAAAGTCCCCGATAGTATTTCTTCCGCCGATGCGGCACCCTTGATGTGTAAGTCTGCCAAAGATCCCTATTCTACTTACTGATTGTGAACAGTCAAACTGACTTGACTGAAGGCGGTGGAGGCACAGTATGGGCACCATTAGTCCAGCGATGCAAGTCCTACGAACGGGTGGGTATAGTTGGCATCGGTGGCCTGGGTCACCTCGCCATCCAATTCGCGGCCAAGATGGGATGCGACGTTGTTGTCTTCTCGTCCACTGAAGATAAGCGCGATGAAGCCCTGAAACTCGGTGCCAATGAGTTCTACGCCACCAAGGGAATCTCCAACTACGCGACTCTTGGAGTCACCAAGCCCATCGACAAGCTTCTCATCACCTCCTCTGCCAAATACAGCTTGGGTGTGTTCTACCCGGTCTTGGCCCGCAATGCAAGCATCATTCCCTTGTCTGTGGACTCGGGGGATTTGACCGCTCCGTATATGGCTACTGTCTTGCTAGGACACAGCATTGTCGGAAGTTGTGCGTCGAGTCGCTATCCCCAGTATGTGCTGCTCCTGTCGCCTTGGGGGGAAGGGATGTCGAAAGCTAACGGTTGTAGGAATAAAATGATTGACTTTGCCGCTCGTCATAAGATTTCGCCCATCGTGGAACGGTATCCTATGACTCTTGAAGGTGTCACTGAAGCGATAGACAGATTACGGAGTGGAAAGATTCGTTACCGGGGTGTTCTTAGCTGGGACTAAGCATGTTGGTTGGATTTGTCAGTACCGGAGATAAAAGGGTGAAATAGGTGCTGCCTTATATATTCACTATATCCGTATGATTTCTGGGTGGCCTAATTCACCTATCACTTTGTCTTGGAAATGTAGACCGGTGGATGTTGGACGCCTGAGCTACCACTAGCCAGTGGGGTTCAGTGCGGCTTGTGATTGAACAGCGGGCTCGCAACCATATGACGTCATTGCTGGCAAAACTGCGGCAGCTGTTAGAACACTACAGTGTGTTACCGAGAGGCAAGGAAGATGAAATTGCTCAATTTTGACTTTACGAATAATATCCACCTAGCCGGATCTATCGTGCCCTTGACCTACTGCCTGCCAGTCTCAGTTCACCTGCGCACTAGAATATGCTAGCAACGTCATAGAAAAGCCATCATTAAAAGAAAACCCTCAATCTCCACTACCGATCAATTCCGCTAGAAATTCCCCGGGCCTTGTCTAGTACCTGGGTGGTGCTGGGGGTACTCCATAGGGAGAATAACCCCGCGTCGCTCCCGCAGAAGACTGACCATATCCGGGCTGATTGGGATGAGGCGAGGCAGCGCCATATCCGCCGTAAGACTGTCCATAACCAGGTGCTGGTCCCTGGCCTTGACCCTGACTGGGGGGGTATGGTGCCTGATTGTAGCCCTGGCCATATCCCTGACCGTAGCCCTGGCCAGATCCATACGATCCTTGCTGGGGCTGACCATAGCTGGGAGCAGGGCCCTGGTTGTAATACCCACCCTGGTCATAGGAACCGTACTGGTTGCCACCACGGGGAGCTCCTCCAGGAGGCCCGGAAGGCGGTCCAGACGGGGGAGCCCCAGCCGCAGCATTTCTGCCGGCAGCCTTTTCGTCTTTGGTGTCGTACGAGGAATCAATGGCACCGAGCATCAGTTTGGCGCACTAAGGTTGTCAGTTAGTAAACCACTCTAGCTGCTAACTACGGCTTCCAACTTACCCAGAGCTCTCGAGTCAAGTAGACCGGTGGTACAGCGCGAGACATTTCGTCCTGCTCAACCTCAAAGTCTGTTGGTCGTGTTAGTGACCCTGCTGTGCGGCCTGATCAACTGTAAGATGATAAACTTACTGGAAGTGCAATCAATCAACATTCCGATCCTCGGATCTTCGTCGAGCGAAGCGAGGAAGTCCCGGGCCTTGGTGTCATTACCCACCTGCGAGAACTGGAATGAAACAGCACCCTGTCCATACTGAGTCCGGGAAACCTCGCCCACGGCGTAGCCGATCGAGCTGGAGACGCTATCGAGAGGCTCTCCCGCCGGCTGCCCATCTGTAATGGTGATGATCAGGACTGGCTTCTGCAGCCGACCCGCCCGGGCCGGGCCTACAACCATAGGGTCGAGAACCTTGCTACGGAGGCTGGTGCCCAGGGGAGTAAGGCCCTGGAAGCGAACACGGGAAACGAGCCGGCCGACATCATCTGCGTTGCGGATGCCGTCTCCTTGCTCAGCGTTGTTCATGAACCGCACCGAGATGCCGTCGTCGTCGAATGTAGACGCAGCAGCGGCAACAATCTCAATGATTTGTTTCAGCTGCTCCTTCCTGACACCGCGTTCCTCAAACTCGATAGAACCACTGTCATCCACGTAAAGGATGACATCGAAAAGAGACAACTTCATAATATCCATAGCCACTTCTTGGGGCACGCGGAGTTCGTTCATGAGTTTGTTAACCTTTGCTGGCGCCTCGTTGGCAAGCGTCTGGACCAATTCATCAAGCCGCCCCGGGGGCCAAAAGCTTTGCAATCCTTTCTCCTGGATGGTTCCGATCAAGAGCTGTCTGTAGGCGGCGATCTGCTGTTCAGTTGCACGGGTAGCGGGAGGCGCACCACCAGCGGCGCCATATGGCGCTCCCGGTCCTCCAGCTGGTGGACCCTGCTGCGGAGGGCGTCCTGGGCCGCCAGGGTAAGGGGCATTTTGAGGAGGGTAAGACGGTCCCTAGAATGTGAATTGAGTCAGCCGTTGATCCTCCTCTGAATGAAAATATCACAATAGGACACGGTGGTAAACAGTTCAAAAACAAGTGCAACAGCTGGGATATAGTATGTACTTGAGAGGATTGCTGCTGAGGATATTGTTGTCCAGACGCTCCATAGGGCTGAGCTTGCGGTGGGGGAGGCGGAGGTCGGCCATAGCCTTGCTGTGATTGCCCATACTGTCCGGATGGGGGCTCTCTCGTCCCATAGGGAGATTGTTGAGGATAGCCCTGCTGCGGCGGAGCCTGAGATCCGTATGGCGACGGTGAGTAAGCCTGAGGAGCCGGAGATTGTGACGGATAACCGGGTGCAGGGGAATAACTCTGAGGAGCTGGAGATTGCGACGCATAACCCGGCCCAGGGTAAGGTGATTGAGAATTAGGATATGCCGACTGGGGAGCCGAATAGGCTGAGTGCGGGCCCGGAGAAGGCGAGGGGACGGGCTTATTAGGAGGTACCGAGGGGGGCGCGTAGGCCTGGTACTGTTGTTGCGGCGAGGTGGGATACGGGGACTGTTGGGCCGAACCAGGACGTAGCTGAGGCGGATAGCCTTGTTGGTTATAATAAGGTCGCGACATGGTTGACGGATGGATGGCGTCCAGATCACCCGTAAAGGAGCGGGAGGGCAAGAAATAGGAAAGTAGGAGTGTGACACGGGCGCGTAAAAAAAGGTTGGAGGGGGCAAAAGGGGGGCAGGTGGAGAGGGAGCTAATCCCTGCTCTCTTTTATTCGAGGAGAGAATCTCACGATGGAGGGCGAGGGTGACCCAGCAGCAATGAGGGGAAGAGCGCGGCGCAAACAAAAGGGAAACAAGGGTAGGAACTGAGTCATCGAAACCAAAAAATCAAGTCTAGCTTACCGAGGTAGCGGATGGCGCAGGGGAGCCTTGGTAAGCCTGATACTGCGGTTGCTGTTGTTGCTGTGGTTGATGTTGTTGCTGCTGTTGCTGGAAGTGAAGAGCTGCGTCAGCTATGGGAATTAAAAAGGAAAATGGGTAAAGCAAGCGTGAAGGAAATTGGAGGAAATTGGAGGTGAGGGGCGGGAGGAGGTCACTAAGGATTAGGCTCGCTCTGTAGGCTGTAGGGCCGACTCACCAATCCACCGGCACCACCTCCAGGCTGCAGCGCAGAAGGAGGACCACCGGCATAGCCTGTCGGAGGGGCTCCGTCATAGGTGCCCGGCTTGTTCGCGCTCATGTTGGGCGGCGGGTTCTGGCTGTTGGCGATCTTGGATGCAAACTAAAAAGGGACGTGCAGGATGCAGCGGTTAGTCGATGCAGACTTCAGTAGATATAGAAGCTCGGTTTGGCACCGCAACAGAAAAAAACAGCTTTGCTTGGGTGAAGCGGGGCAGTTACGCGGGGCACTGAAGGTAAAAAACAAAACAGAGGGAAGGGGGAGAAAAAGGGAGAACTTACGCCCATCGTTGAACGACGCTGACGTTTGACTGGGTCAGGGATGGGAGGGATAGGAGGTGAGAGGAGAGAGATGGTCGGAGTCAGCTGGAGGGGAGGATGATGAAGATGGCGTCAGAAGGAGGGCCGGAGTGGAAGGAACTATGGAGTCGTGCCACTATAAAATATCCAACAATCTCGATCAAACAGCTCAACCCCCGACCGGGACTAGTCCAGCACGGGATGACGACGGGCTGACTGGCGGACCCTCCACAAGACCCACTCAGATACGAACACGAATGGGTTGATGTTAAAGGTTTAGGTAGATGGATCTTGAGGGGAAACACGCATGGCTCAGCCCCTATATATAGGCAGAGCATTGTCCTCTTATTTGACCGGCGTAGGTTGATTCCTCTACATGGAATGGGTAAGCCTACCATCATGGCATCTTCCACAGAACTGAGGATATACATGAAGCTACGTCCCCCCCTCAACAGCAAGCTCAGCCACCCTTCATTATACTTAGTATGTAGTATAGCAACGATTATACAGGAGAAGGACTCCGGTCCTTTCCGAGATAGTAGGTACAAGTACCCAATCAGCCAGCACCCGCACTTCCGTAGGGCTGATCCCATCCATAAACCTCCCAGCCGCAAGAATCAGGCTGAAAGATGTCTGCTGTGCGGCAAGGCGGAATTCCCCCAACAGTCAAGGCCACAGCTGACCTGGAGTTGCACATGATCTATATGACTGCAGACTGACCTCACAGCCCACCCACCAGAGTCGTCATGTTCAATTCCAGCTGACACCAGGCTGTTGACCTTCAGGGATATGATCTTCGCGGGGTTTGGGCGCTTCCTTGGTCGTGCCTCTGCATGCAGTCTTCAGGTTTTAAGGTTGGACCTTGGAGGGTCTGCCGAATCGGAGGGGGGCCCTTGGATCAGTCATCGTCTGTGGGACGCAAACACGATGCACGGATCATGCAGGCCATCTCCAGCTAGACAAGCTGACCATCTGGCACAGTCAGGATCGACAGGGTCCTAGTAGGCTAGTTTACTTCAGGAATCACCTTGGAAAGCTTCTAGAGCACTCCGTAGAGATAAGCATAAAAAAAAAAAACAGGCAGAGTTGCAACGAAAGGTAAAATCCTACCAAAGCCACTGATGTCATGCATGCCAGCCAGAATTGCAGAGAAGCTTCAAAACACCCATGACAACCATCACAAAGACAACCCCTACAACACCAAACTGCACAGCACTCACCTTGAGAAGCACCCTTTGTTCAGCTTCTCGTCACTTTTGAACTCACTTCCCGCCGGTAGTTAACACATTTGTGACGACCTCTGTCATAGTAGCGTGGTTTCCAACCCGGTCACGCAGTCGGTATTGTTACCCCTTGCACATGCATCCATGCCAACTGCCTCGTTGCTAACTAACCCCTTCCAGAACCGTCACTTTATTCCTCGAATACCCCGGACGATGTTCTTTTCTTCACCTCCGCTCGATCTCCAGAGCCTATTCTCCTTCTTCCCCCCAGCCGATTGAGTCCATCAATCATCTACCACTACCATCAAGTATGTCCATCATTCTCATCCTCCCAACCAAACAAACTCATCCTCACCACCCAGAAAAGAACCCCCAACAGAACCCAAACCAAAACTATGACCCAAACTCAACCCCAAACCCTCCTCCGGGTGGGAATCCTCACCGCAGACGAAGGCGCCAAAGCCATCCAAACCATCTACCTTCCAGCCCTACGTGCCCTCCCGACCTTCTTCCAAGTGAAAGCCATCTACGATGGAACCAAACAGCCCGAGTCCTACGAATACATCAAAACCAACAGCGTCTGCAACGAGACCAACACCACCACCAAACTCAACGGCCATGACCACGACACCCCCATAACCAAATCCCTCACCCCCGACAGCATCCTCACCGACCCAACCATCACCCTAGTCCTCAACTTCATGCCCAACGAATACCACGAGACCTACACCACTGCTGCCCTCGCCGCCGGCAAACACGTCATGGTCGAAACCCCACTGAGCCTGAGCATCCCCAGCGCAAAACGCATCCTCGAGGCCGAGAAACGTTCCCCCAATGGAGCCAAAGTCTTCGTGGCTTGTGCTCGTCGCTACGCACCCAGCATCCAATCCGTCTTTCTCCGCGAAGTGGCCAGTCTGGATCGGATCTACTACGCTCGGTGTAGGAATATCGCGGGTCCCAGCACCGCACATACGGCTACTGCACCCAGGAAGAAAGTCTGGAGTGAAGTGAATGGTCACCATTACCACTATCACCAGACGAATAAGGAGAATAAAGAGCCTACCCGGCCCCAACTGCTTCATTCTCTTCTCGATGAAGTCTTCCATGGCCAAGATCTAACCAAAGAGCGTATCGCGCTATGCGAGTTCCTCGCCTCATTGGGATGTCATGATCTTGGGCTGATGCGGGATACATTGGGTTACCCAGATGCTGTGTCGAGCATTTCAGTGAATGAACCGTACTACTCGGCTGTGTTTCATTACTATAGTGGTGGGAGAGGTGCACATCCGTTCACGTTGATGTATGAGACGGGGACGGATGCGGTGCCGAGGTGCGATGCCCATCTGGCTATCTATGGGGATACGAAGACGGTGAGTGTGCATTATGGGTTGCCGTATGGTCAGAAGCAGGGAGTGAAGGTTGTGGTTGAGACGGCGGATGAGAATGGGGAGATGAAGAGGACGGAGACGGTGAGTGAATGGGAGGAGAGTTATGTGGAGGAGTTGAAGACCTTGCATGCGTATTTGACAGGCGATGGGAATGGGGTGGTGGCGGCGAGGACGACGGCTAGAGATGCGATGCAGGATTTGAAACTGTTTCAGATGATCTTTGAACAGTATGATCGGCAGTGTGGCACTATTCGGACTCCGTTGGGTTGAATCACTCGGGAGGTTGCTTGAAGAGAATAGGTGTCTAGGGAGGTACGGGGGAGGAGTTGATTGGGCTTCATTGCCATATTTTCATGAGGTTATAGGAGAGGACAGGACAGGATGAGTTGGGTGAGGACAGTCTCATGTATCATTTATTATGCATGGCTCAGATTGTTTCTCGATGGAGAGGCCGTTCATTCATCTCATCAGATTAGCCCGACATTCGAATCTAATTTCTACATGCTTTGTGCAACAACAAACTTCCTGTGGTATATCCTGCTAGCAAATGCAAGACGTGTCTCATGAACGGGAGAAGGTAGCAGCTATAGATTCTATGATAGGGGTGCGCATCTACCGCTTGCCCTTCTTCTTTTTCTTCGAGCTGGCCCCCCGCCTTGAGGCTTCTGCTGCTGACTTGTGGGCGCAGCGGCCGACTCCTCAGCCTTCTCGTGCACGACACCACCCTGTGTCCGCTCCGCAGCGCGCTGCTTGCCCTTCCGGCCCTTGGGCGGTAGCTGGAGCGGTCGCGAAGCGGGAGCCAGCGTTCTGGGTCGGCAGTCTTGCTGGGATCGTAGTCCTTGGGCAGACGTGACTGTCTGATGCGCTTGGTTACGCGGTTATCTTTGTTGGCAGGTCGCTTCCGAGCACCGGCCATGGCCGCGGCAGCGGCAGCGTTGGCAGAGGAGGATGGGGAGATGCCGGCAGATTCGAGAGAGGCAACGTTGACGCCAGAGATTAGGTCCGCGACGGTCGGGAGACTGTCCACCTGTGCTTGGACCTTGGAATAGTCGAGCGTCGCTTGCGAGGCGACGTAGCCGGCTACGGCATACCGGTCATTCGTGTCGTTCTGGTAGAGGGACTTGAAGAGGTCGCCGGCTGTCACCAGGTCCGAGCGATCGGATGAATGCAACAAGGAAGCCGCCGCGGCGCGGAGCAACGAGGCTGGGGGTTCAGCCTGGCTCTGCCAGTACGTCGCAGCCTTGGCGAGTTCGCCTCTAATCTGGACTTTACGGCCTTCAAGCTTGTAAAGAGAAACCAGAATGCTTAGCAGGCCGGGGTTGAAACGGACTTCCTTGTCTTGTTCGGAGATGGATTCATCGAGCAGTTGGACGGTTCGCTCCAGCGTGGTGATCGCGGACGTCGTGTTGCCGGCACTCACATAGAGCTGAACGGCCGTGAGGGTTAGACCAAGGTCCTTGGGCCGTTTTTCGAGCGCGGCCAATATCGGCTTCAGGGCCTTCGTGCCCGTTTCCCCGTGCGCATGAGCCGCAGCGTTGTATACAGATAGCAGGTTGACCCGAGGTTCCGTCGAGGGGTAGGCAGCTTGAGCGAGTGCCTTCGATGTGGAACGGATGATGCCATCGTATTTGTGGACGAGAAGATCTGCCGAGTGTGTGTTCCCTGTCGCGATATTATCTTGGTACTCGAAGAGCTTGTCGCTGTCAGCAGAATCGGGGGTTTCGTGGAGGGCCTTGTATAGAGCGAAGGGGTTGGTGGTGGTGCCACGAGCAAGGGTAATGTTGGTTTGCGCGATCTTTCTCGTTGAGAGCTCGGGGATACTATTGGCTATGTGAGCTTTCGACGTCAAGGCCAGGGTACTGCGACAACCGTACTCTCCAACGGAAATCTCCTCCAGAACAGATTGAGCCTCTTCCGACTTGCCCTGACGAAGCAAAACGTACAACTGCTGCACAGCGATTGGGAGCAGCTCCGCAGCCCTGTCTTCGGGTGTAAGGTCCTCCGATGTCCGGCAGAGCTCTGTACAAAGTTGATTAGCGGCCGATCGCGTGTGCCCTCTAGAGCTGACCACACGAACCTTTTGCCCGCTTCAGAAGCACTTCTCCTTGTTGGAACTCCCCCTTTGCAATACTCAAACAAGCTGCATTGTAGACTGTCTCGAACGCCTCCAGATCATCCCGTGTCGGCCTGCTGTGGCGTACGAACTCGGGGTATCCCTTCCATTGCAGCTGTGCATCCGTGGCCCACGAGTTGATGCGCAAATCGTTCTCTTCATTGTACAAGGACGTCTCGCCTTTCGACAATTCTTCGTAGATCTCGGCCGCGCGACGGAACTTCTCTGAGCGGTAGCTCTTCAAGGCAATATATGTCAGATTGTGCGGACAGGCAATGGCGACAGATCTCCAGAAGTGGGGTATGAGGGAAGTAACGACATACGGCTTGAGCTTCCAAATGAAGTGCACCTCTCTCGCCAGCCAAGCGTGATACCACTTCAATCGCCGGCTCCAGCTGACCACATTTGTACAGTGCGTAAGCATATTCCAGCGCCGCTCTCTTCTTCAAACCATCACCGGCCTCTTCGAACACTCGCAGGCAGTCATCGTAGCGATCTAGTTTCAACAAGGCGACTGCCTTGGCGTGCTGGGCATGGAGGTCGGACTTGGACTTGGCCAACGCAGCGTTGGAGGACTGTAGAACTTCCTCGTGGTCGTCAATGGATGCCCGTTGCAGCAACGAGCTGAGTGACTGCGCAGCCATGGCGGAGGTGTCAATTGGCAGGAGGGGCGGGATGAGTGGCCCGGGGAGGGCTCGGCGGTGAGATGGGAATTATTAACGAATTAGACAAGAGATCTCATCCAACGAAGGGTGAGGAAATCGGAAAGTATGGATTGACCGAGGTTGATCATCCAGGTGGCCAGTCCGAGCTGGAGGCCATGTGTGCGGGATCGAGATATTTCCCCATTGGGGAATTCTGCGTCAGTGGTCGCAGCGCTCCCCGTAGCCCCCGGGGAAGCCATGTGACTTGCTTCCATTTCCAACTGTCATATTGTTGTGATACTACGCACCTCTCGACAGTGAGGGACCGTGATTATTCAATGGGGCCATGGATTGCAACAGCCAGTGTGCGTCCTAGGTAGACTGTTGGATTGTTTTGCTTACATTCTATACCCCTTACCTTATCGCACCACGGCAGTTCTTTGGCTAGTTATTTATATCCGGAAAACGCCTGAGGTGATGCAGGGGTACTCCGTAGATTGCACCGAGTCGGACGGCACAAGACAATTGATATGAAGCCCACAGAGACCCTACTGGTCGGTGTCTTCTGGATGGGGAGTGGTGGAACCCGGACTAGAAGCATGGATGGGTAGGATGTAGGATGTATCTGCCTACTGGAATCCGTACATGGTTTCATCTGTATGTGAACAGATTCGGCTCGTGATGCAAGCCATGTCTCTGTGCGAGTCGAGCATTATTAGACATGGATGATGTCTATAATTATCAGCATGCGATCCAAGGGATATTATTGTCTCTCGCGAACAGGTCCGACGAAAAGCGATGCCGAGTACCAAGCGCTCCGCCGTGATTGGCTGTGGGAAATTAAAACGATCACATAAGCCGGTCTAAGGAGTAGATAGTGATACACCACTGACACCGGAAAAAGAAAACGACTGCCAGTGGCTCGCAGAGGAAGATTATATTGCCCTGATGGAGTCGACGCGTGGTCAGAATTGGAGGGATACCAAAGTCGAGATGTCGCTCTGGACAGAAGAGTAACTGGCAGGTTGGATAGAGAGGGATGCCATCCCTCTTTCTCGACGGGAACCCCCAATGCACACCCGCTAGCAGACTAGATAGTGGTTTATGGTTAGTTATGTAGGACTTATCTAAGAGGCGGACACGCCACTGGGCCAAGACCACCATGTAGGAATAGTACTCGTCCTTGGTTATCTATCATGAGACGCACAGCCAAGCGCCTCGCCTGCAGCCGTCGTCATCCAGCCGTGGCCCCGCCGCCCGTTGGGACCGTTCACACCAAGCGGAATGCGCGTCAACGGGCGGTTGTACCAGCTGGCTTGGATGTGGTTGTTCCGCGGATGGCACGATGGTACGTCAAGGATGGATTGGTGTTACCCTGGTGGCCTCGTCCCTGGAAATCTGCCGAGATGGTTCACTTGGGGGGGTACCTGATAGGGGGAAAACCGAGAATGCGACCGAGCGACCGATGGGGGAGCCAGGACCCCTAACGCAACCCTGGGGAGACTGTCACCTCCCACGCTGGAGACTTGGAGAGAAAGCCATCGGACTAAAATCTCCTGGGCAGGTCTGAATGGCCGATCAGCCCCTGGTGGATACAGTGGCTGCCCCAGCCAGCAGGTGTGCCCTGATGGCCAGACCGGTTCTCATTCGCGACCGCGACTGGATCGGGCTCCATCCATGGCTCCAAGGGCATGGCCGATCCCTGGCTGCACTGGCTGGTCGCCATTCTCCGCTGGCTCATGATTCGCGTCGTCCCAGGTCAGATCCGACCATTTTCAAGCCGTGCCAGTGCTTGTTTTCTGTCGCCGTGGTGTCCAGAGCCCCGTTGATCGGCTATCAACCTTCCTTTTCAACCCGCGCGATTGACGCTGTCGCTTGTTCCTCTGCCCTGGCCTTCGTCATTCCCTTCCCCGTTCCTTCCTCCATCCTTTGGGGTCCAGAGATCTTCTGCTGTTCATTATTTCATTCCTTGGGGTTCCCCTCCACGCCCCCTTTGCCGCCAATCCTCCTTCTCCCCGTCCTTCCTTGCGCATCGTCCGAGTGTCACTTCTCCCCGGTGCCCACCTTTTCGTTCCTCTGCCGGAGTGTTCGAGATGGTCTTGCCCTGCTAGTACGACATCCCAGATTATCGTCGTACTCGATCCACCCGAAGAGGACCGTTCGAAGAGACAAAATAACCCAATGGGCGCCAAGACCGAGAAGCCCCGATCCTCAATGGGGAAGAGAAAGCTGCTGCGCTTCGTCTTCGTCGGCTGTCTGGTGACCAGCTTCACAATTTTCCTATGGCCTCAAGCTGAACCCCCCCGCGTCACCACTCAAACCGTCTCCAACATCACCCTTACCTCGGATGTCGACTGCCAACCGGACTTTGAGGCCCTCCATCGCCTCGACATTCAGAAACTTTCCCAGTATGTGCGACGCGAAGTTGTCGCCGTTCAATCCCCCACCAATGTCTTGCCGCTGTCACAACGCCTCCAAGTTCCCTTGTTTCCACCAAAGTCCCAAGTCGATCAACATCGCCTGTCCGAAGAGCCACTCCACGATGATTGTTTAATACCACAGCAGGTGTCGGTCCAGGTTCCTCCGCCTCCCAAACGTGCGGATGCGTCCCACATTGATTTCGGTGTCGCTACAACGTTAGAACGACTGAACGACTCGTTGGACGCGTTTTCACACTGGGCCAGCCATAACAATGCTCATATATTCGCCCTGATTGAGCCCGATGAGAGAGCGCACGAGGTCTTGCTGAAGGCGAATACGCTTGGAATCAACCTTTCAATCGAGGAGTCGAGTGAAGAGTACCAGCGTCGATACTTTTCGCTGGTGCCTCACCTGGCCAAAAATATGCGGCCCGAGACGAGGTGGTCTTGTGTCATGGATGATGATACCTTTTTCCTATCGATGCCGGAGTTACTGAAGGGGCTCAGCGAGTACGATGATACGAAGCCAATGTATGTCGGTGGGCTGTCAGAAAGCATACCTCAGGTGGGAGTATTCGGGTTGATGGGATTCGGAGGCGCTGGCGTCTTCCTGACTCGACCTCTAATTCAAGAATTGAGCCGGCCTGAGATTTTCAACGACTGTCAGAGGATGGATGTCACTGGCGATCGTAGGATCTCTCTCTGCATCTATCAGTACACCAGCGTACGCTTAACCATCGATCACCGCCTGCACCAGCTCGATATGATGGGCGATGTGTCTGGCTTCTTCGAGGCGGAACGACCCCCTCCGCTATCGGTGCATCACTGGAAGTCGTGGTTCCACGCCGACATGGCCAAGGCGAGCCTCGTCAGCAATGTCTGCGGCGATTCTTGTCTCTTGCGCCAGTGGCACTTTGGGGATGGGTGGATCCTGACCAACGGCTTCTCGGTGGTCAAGTACAGCACGGAGAAGAAGCCGGGCGACCGATCCATGGAGCTCACGTGGGACAGCCACAACGGAGCCGTCTTTGAGTCGTATCTGCATGAGCTCGGCCCTCTCCGGGTCAAGGACGAGGGAAAGATCAGCTACCTGCATGAGGACGCCATCACGGACGAAGACCGAGTCCGTCAATGGTACGTTCATCGGGATCCGGAGAAGGGCGATCAGGTCCTGGAGGTGATCTGGCGCTCAGGCTAGACTGCCCGTCGCCGTCGCCAAGATGGCAACCCCCGCTTCTTATATCCACCTCATCATCATCACTCACTACACTCTATATTACCCCCTCATCTACCTTGTCGACTCTGATTGGGACAGGCCCTGACCTGTCCACAACTAGCCACGTTTATAATTTTTACGGCGCATAGATCATGAAACTTGATTTGTTTAGCTTGGGATGATATCAAACTTGTGCGATACAGGTACATAGTCTTGGGTTTTCTTCCATATCACTTGTACATTTACCTTGAGGGCCCGGTTCTGTTCGTTGTATAGCACAGTTAGACTGAATGAAATGTTTTGGTTGTCATGTCACTATTCCCATGAATTTGGAGTGGAGGATGGAAGGCTATGTATCTTGTATGGTTCTATACACTGGAAATCACTCGGTAGAATACGAGATACGCTCATATTATAAATCAAGGCTATCTGCATAGTCGGTTAATAATCACATGCATGGCTTCATCACCTATATACAGACAGCTCATCCGTGACATCGCTATATCCTTAGGCGAGATATTTGGTATCATAAACAAACAAATCATAACAAAATCAACACGTACATGCCAGCATCATCGTCTCAAAAAGTCTCCCCTAGTTCAAAAGACTACCATCCGGGAATTGCACTTGCGAGGGTGGCAAAAGCTGTGGCAAGGGCTCTCCCACCTCGGTCTCCTGTTCATGGAGATCCGGATTCTCCGGTAAGGATATCACGGCCAGTCCGCTTTCGCCTCCCCATGAAGCACTAGAAGGTGGCAGTGGGAGGAAGTTGCTCATTGATGTTGGACTGGTGAAATCTAGGGCGCCTTTACATCGTTCCAACAATGTGGGAAAGAGGTACGACTGAGAGCCACGGATGCGCGATAGCGTACTAAGGATTCCCCACAGGAGTTCGCGGGGATCAATGGCTACCTCCGTAAGACGGTGCGCGGCTTTGGCATTAAGCGATCGGGAGACGTCTGCAACTGACGAGCCTAGATCGAACAGCTTCTGTTCCTGTTGGGTGACAGTCAGCGAGTGGGAATCGCGAACATTTCAGGGAGGTAAGATACTGACCATTCCAATCCCGTGAGCATCAACAGCTCCCTGGGATGCAGCACCAATGACATTCATAACGGCTTTGCCGACTAACACAGGGAGATGAAAGGGAAGGACTGCCTCATCGCGAGAACCAGGCTGAGTGACGCGAGTCATGGAGAGTTTCCACATTATGGTCTGTAGCCATTGCTGGGTGATGAGAATGTCGACCTTTTGGATTTCAGAGACTCCTTCCACCGAGATCGCATTAGAAAGACTGGACTGAATTGCAGACGTAGGTGGCATCTCAGGAGAGCCATCCATACCCCCTGCAGACACCCAGTCGTACAAGTTGACTGTCAGTTTCTCGAAAATACTGATGAGGTTGATGAAGCCGTATGCTAGAATAGGATCCTCGGAGCAAAGGACTTGCGGCTTTCGGATGGAGTTGCGCAGCATGACCGGCTTCGCTTGTTGGAGTGCATAGCCTCTGAGTCATATTAGATTGGGTTGAACAGGAAGTGCTTGGTATTCGCTTACCTTTCAGTGACAAAAAGTAGCCAGAATACCCTTCGTCGCTCCTCTGCTTCTTCGACACTCAGTTCCACATAACTGGATTCCCGGTGTAGTGCCAGTGTAAAGACCATGGAAGTCGCCTGACAAAGATAGAACCATGCATGGTCCTGTCTGTCAAGGTTACCATAAGAAGCGAACAGAAAGAATGATGTGAGCAGGCTTTCTATGTTCATTCCATCTACTGGGTCGCAATCCTTCCTTGCGCGTACCGCTTCCGCCAACAAGTCCTCCCCGGACATCCAGGAATGCCCGTCGATGCCGGGTTGAAGGTGTGAAGGATCGGGTACAGACGCTGTGCCATCTAGCTTGAGCTGAATGTGCGTAGCTGCGCATAGAGCGACCAAGAACGCATACCGTTGAGGCGATAATCGGTCAGGTTGATGGCAGTCTTGTTGCAGCTCCTCCTTCCGCACTACTGGCATGATGGGGAACAGATACTTCAAGTAAACGTTCACATGAGCTAGCAGCACCGGTGGAGACAGGCGTCGTGCATAAGGTCGCACTATTGCCATGCCAGAATCCGATAATGAGTTGGTCGAGTCCGGGGACGAGACTAGCTCTGGCGGAGGGAGCTGTGCGAATGCCTCAGGAACGTCATGGGGTAAGTATTGGGCATCTGCCACCGTGAAAGGGGGTGATGTCGGAGAGCTCAACGGGTACCCCACTCCGTCTGCGGGCCATTGTTTATTGAGGGGATTTTGTGGCGGATTTTGGTAGTATTGGTTCTGTTGACGTGATACCAGCGGATGGATAGGCGCAAGAGGATATAGCGTGCGAAACTTGGGGCCTTTGCGCCGGAGCACATCACTGTAGGAGCAGGAGAGAAGAAGACGGCGACACTTGTCGCAGGGAAGTTCTCGGGAACATTTGATCTTCCGGCGGCGACAATTGTCACAGGCTTGTTTGGGGGCTTTCTGCTTGGTGGGGGAAGGATGTGAGTCCATTTGTATGCGGAGGCAAGAATGACTCCCGTCAAAAGTCAACAGTAGCAGCGGCAGTAGTGCGAGACTCTGGAGACTTCATTGTATTCAGATGAGAGAGATACTTGCGGGGCAAGATTCGGTGGTCATCAAGGCCACAAGGTGCGTAGTCACCCAGGATCATGCGATTGCTGAAGGAGGGGAAAGCAGAGAAAAGAAATCTGGGGAATCGCAGCGGGGAAGCGACACAGAGAGAAAGTCGGCAACTCCAGGCTACCCGGACCCCGCGGGCCACCCCAACAACTTACTACGACTGGCCTGTTAATTTCGGCCCGTTGTTCGAGCCAGAGCAGGTAGGTATCAACCATCTGGAGCTACGGACTAGTAAGTCCTTTAGTCCTTCCTGACCCAGGAAGTGGATCCTCCACCCGAGCCATGACGCGGGTAAGTATACCCAGCCGAGGGAGAGGCCGTGTTTCTGAGCTGGTAGAGAAGCATAGGCTGGAGGCCTAGCAGCGACTCATAGATCCATCCTAAGTGGTAATGTCTCTTCCTAACCGGCAGACGATCCGATCCATCCAGGAACTCGTGTACGGGTGATGAAAGTGTACGATGAGCGTTGCGTCGGTCTGAAGGATCATTCGACCATGGTATCCTTGCGCTATTTTCGGAGACTCGACACCCCTGCACACAATATTGTCCTGGTATTTTCATGTGCCAGAAGCTGACAGGTTTTGAGACTCGCTGACAATGGGAATTATGCTTATGACGGTCCGAGAAAGCTTTGACGTTGCACTGTTGGACAGCATGCCACTCGGGAAGCCGAGAGATGAGAGACTGAGATTATCAGAGCCATTAAATGCCTCGCATCTAGGGGACCCTAGTAGTAGGGGTCTTTCAGCTTTCGAAGCCTCGAAGGACCCATGTTCATTCGTCCCCGCCTTTGAGGCCTAGTTCCGATGTCGCTTCTCATGGCTTTGGATCAGAATTGAGTGCCACTTAGATTCAAGCATAGACAAGAGTGTGTTGACTGTGGTATAATTAGGGGTTTCTTCACCGGCAGCATTCTGGGGAAGGTGCCAACAACCCGGAGTGGGCGTGGTGGTGGTATGGAGCACAGGAATCGTCAAAGCCGATGGCCGAACTGAGGGGTTCTCGGTGAATTATCGGGCGTCGGGCCAATCAGCGAGCGCCCATCAGCTGATCGCCTGGGTGCCAGGCTCTTCAGGCATCAATACTGTTCCGGGTGTATCCACTCCGGTTTCCCCGACGCGGCGAAGCGATCGAATCCCCAGGCTCCCCGCCAACTGAGGTGGATGCTTCTCCGGTTCTCCATGGTCTCGCCTGCACAAGGTTAGTACCGCATGGTCCTCAACATCTTCAATCAAGTAGGTCCTTAGCTGTATCATCTCCCCATTTTATCCTCTTCTTCGGTCTTGCTAAACTCAATCCCGTCACTAGCTCCATCGATTCTCCGCAACCCACAAAATTGCAAACCATTTCGCCCTTTCCACGCCGGGAATTCACCGGAGCAATGATGTGTTGTTCTTCAGGCACAGTTGCACAACATTATGTCTGGACGCAAGTGATATCATCGTCGTCCATGAACCAAGAAACAACTATATAAACCCCAATGGGCGTCCCTTGATCAGGACTTGTATGTTCGCTACACCATTGCCCATCAAATAACGCGACCGCGCCTCTGGCCTCTCCGAGCTAGCCATGGTCAACTTGACGGGTCTCCTGGCCAGCGCATGGGTTATACCCTTGGCTTACGGAGCGAGCCAGTCAGTCATATCCAGTTCAACCGCTTCACGTCCGCAGTTTACCATTCCTGCTTCTGCAGATGTCGGTGCGCAGTTGATCGCCAATATCGACGATCCCCAGGCTGTCGACGCTCAGTCAGCCTGTCCAGGTTACAAAGCTTCAAACGTGCAGCATAATCTTCGAGGATTCTCTGCCAGCTTACAGCTCGCTGGCAAGCCATGCAACGCCTACGGCACGGATGTTGACTCATTAGCCTTGTCTGTGGAGTACCAGGACTCCGATCGGTTGAATATACAGATTCTTCCCACCTACGTCGATGCCTCTAACGCTTCATGGTACCTTCTTTCGGAGACACTGGTGCCTAGACCCAAGGCTTCCTCGAATGCATCTGTCTCACAGAGTGACTTTCTCGTATCGTGGTCAAACGAACCTTCCTTCAACTTTAAGGTGGTCCGGAAGGCTACGGGTGATGTGCTCTTTGACACAGAAGGAACCGTGTTAGTATATGAAGATCAATTCATCGAGTTCGTGACAACCCTGCCTGATGAATACAACTTGTATGGCCTGGGAGAGCACATCACACAGCTTCGTCTCCATAGGAATTCCAACCTCACCATATATGCCTCGGATGATGGAACCCCTCTTGACAGGTAGGTTCTCATTGCTCGTCTCTCATCTCACCGCTGACATTTACTTTCTTTAGTAACATCTACGGTCAACACCCATTCTATCTGGATACGAGATATTACAAGGCGGATGGGCAGAATGGGACTTATATTCCGGTCAAGAGCAGCGAGGCTGATGCATCGCAAGAATATGTTTCCGCTTCCCACGGTGTATTTCTAAGGAATGCCCATGGTTTGGAGATACTCCTCCGGTCCCAGAAATTGATATGGCGGACCCTAGGTGGAGGGGTTGATCTGACCTTTTACTCGGGCCCAACTCAGGCCGATGTCACCAGACAATATCTGACCAGCACTGTGGGACTACCGGCCATGCAGCAATACAGTACTCTTGGATTTCACCAATGCCGTTGGGGCTACAACAACTGGTCCGAACTCGCCGACGTTGTCGCTAACTTTGAGAAGTTTGAGATTCCCTTGGAATACATCTGGTGCGTATTGTGTATCTTACCGGGCCTGAATGTCGTACTGACAGCTCCTCTAGGACTGACATTGACTATATGAATGGGTATCGCAATTTTGAGAACGATCCGAATCGATTTTCCTACAGCGAAGGCGAGGAGTTTCTGAGCGATCTACATGATAGCGGACGTTACTATGTGCCCATCGTCGACTCGGCGCTCTACATTCCCAATCCGGAAAATGCGTCTGATGCGTAAGCTTGCTTTGAACCCTCGTGCATGTTCTTCAAGTGCTTACGCAGCATACAGATACCCTACTTATGACCGAGGCGCTGCGGATGACGTTTTCCTCAAAAACCCCGATGGGAGCCTCTACATTGGGGCTGTCTGGCCTGGATACACCGTCTTCCCTGATTGGCATCATCCTAAGGCGGTCGAGTATTGGACGAATGAGCTCGTCATCTGGTCAAAGAAAGTGGCGTTCGATGGGGTGTGGTATGACATGTCTGAAGTATCCTCCTTCTGTGTAGGAAGCTGCGGGAGCGGGAACCTGACTCTGAATCCCGCCCACCCACCGTTTCTGCTGCCAGGTGAACCGGGCGATATCATATATGATTACCCGGAGGCTTTCAATATTACCAATAGTACCGAGGCAGCGTCCGCCTCGGCAGGCGCTGCTAGTCAGGCCGCGGCAACCGCGATAACCACATCAACTTCGGTATCATACCTGCGGACGACGCCGACGCCTGGTGTCCGTAATGTGGAGCATCCGCCCTATGTGATCAATCATGATCAGGAAGGCCATGACCTTAGCGTCCATGCGGTCTCACCAAATGCGACCCATGTCGATGGCGTCGAGGACTATGATGTGCACAGCACTTTTGGCCACCAGGGGCTAAACGCTACCTACCAAGCTTTGCTCGAAGTCTGGTCGCACAAGCGGCGGCCATTCATCATTGGCCGCTCAACTTTTGCTGGCTCGGGGAAATGGGCGGGCCACTGGGGCGGCGACAACTATTCCAAGTGGTGGTCCATGTACTACTCCATCTCGCAAGCTCTCCAGTTCCAACTGTTCGGCATTCCGATGATTGGTGCCGACACCTGCGGATTCACCGGAAACAGTGATGAGGAGCTCTGCAATCGCTGGATGCAACTGTCGGCATTCTTCCCATTCTACCGCAACCACAATGAGCTCTCTACCATCCCACAGGAGCCTTATCGGTGGGCCTCTGTTATTGACGCAAGTAAAACTGCGATGCGGATACGTTACGCTATACTGCCATATATCTATACGTTGCTTGACCTAGCCCACAGCACTGGATCTACCGTCATGCGTGCGCTTGCTTGGGAGTTCCCCAACGATCCCACCCTAGCTTCTATTGAGACTCAATTCCTACTCGGCCCTTCCATCATGGTGATCCCGGTCCTCGAGCCTCTGGCTAGTACTGTCAAGGGTGTATTTCCAGGGGTCGGACATGGTGAAGTATGGTATGATTGGTACACACAAACTGCAGTTGATGCCAAGCCCGGGGTTAACACGACCATTGCGGCGCCACTGGGCCATATTCCGGTGTATGTACGGGGCGGCAGCATCCTGCCGATGCAGGAACCGGCATTGACTACGCGTGAGGCCCGGAAAACTCCATGGGCTTTGCTGACCGCACTGGGAAGTAATGGAACCGCGTCGGGGCAACTCTACCTTGATGATGGGGAGAGCATCAGCCCGAATGCCACGCTTCATGTCGATTTCACAGTATCACAGTCGAGCCTGCGGTCATCAGCACGGGGGAGATGGCAAGAGCGCAATCCGCTTGCAAATGTGACAGTGCTTGGCGTGAGCCAGGAGCCCTCTGCGGTAACTCTGAATGGGCAGAGGGTGTCGGCAGGATCGGTCAAATATAACGCAACATCACAAGTCCTGTTTGTTGGAGGCCTGCAGAACCTGACGGCAGGTGGAGCATGGGCGAAGAACTGGGTGTTGGAATGGTAGGTGGTGTCAGCCACGGGCCGATTGCGCATGAACCACATGCAATATGCGAATCATTCTCAGCAAGATAGCTTTCTGTGTAGAATTAAGTTTCCTATCAGCTTTTATCCACTTCACCGCCAGCCTAGGTCATCTTGCGTGGCTATTTTCAGTAACCGGATACGACGACGCCGGCCGATGTCTCACACTTGGCCTCCGATGTCTCATCGTGGCCTCGATGGTGGTACAACTGCCAAGGCGGCGACGGGGCCCCGAGGGTGAAGTGGCCAGTGGGTGGCCTGTCAGCCTGAGACTGTCAGCTGGCAGTATGGGCCCGTGATCGCCAGGGTCCAATGGCTTTGTCCGCCTCCTCGTCGGTCCGGTTCATGATGGAACTGGAAGACTTCCATCCATCTCCTTCCAGCTGGCGGTTGGGCACCCATCCAACCAGCGGTCTAGAATTCCCTCGGGGTCGGGAATTTGCAGGCGATCGATAGCTAAGAATAGAGCACTGGAGATCGAACCCATCGAACAGCCATCCCGAGATAAGTGACAAATCACATTGTCCTGTTGGTCGTGCTGAACTCGGCGAACGCTGACCTGCTCTCGACCACACTCTAGCTATAAATTCCGTCATCTCGCGGATAGAATGGCGTTGTTTCCTTCAGACCTATGACCTTGAAGGCTCAACCAGGACCAATGAAGATCATTCTGGTCCTCTTTGCCCTTGTGGCTGCAGCTCTGGCAGCCACGCCCGCCGAATGGCGCTCGCAATCCATCTACTTCCTGCTCACCGACCGGTTTGCCCGGACGGACAATTCTACCAGTGCATCCTGTGATACCAGTGCCCGAGTTAGTCATGCATGGCCAAGAACGCTCGACCGAAGTGCTGACGGAATTAGCAATACTGCGGAGGAACATGGCAGGGCATCATTAATCAGGTTCGTCGATCTATTGCTGCAGCGCTACTGCGTGGATGCATGACCTAACAGCCACCAGCTGGACTACATCCAAGGCATGGGGTTTACAGCTATCTGGATTACCCCAGTAACCGGCCAGATTCCTCAGGAAACTGGCTACGGAGAGGCCTACCACGGATACTGGCAGCAGGATGCGTGAGTTGCTACCTACAATACCCTCAATACTGCCCAGCTCACCATGTGCGCAGATATGCCATCAATTCCCATTATGGCACTGAGAGCGATCTCAAGGCACTGGCCTCGGCTCTCCACGCACGAGACATGTACCTCATGGTTGATGTGGTTGCCAACCACATGGTATGTATAGGGCTTCGAATAGACACACGATTTTCCATTAACAGCAGAATAGGGCCACAACGGCACAGCCAGCTCCGTGGACTACAGTGTGTTCAATCCGTTCAATGGGCAGGACTACTTCCATCGCCTGTGCTTTATTTCCGACTACAACAATCAGACAAACGTCGAAGACTGCTGGCTGGGTGATAACACTGTTTCCTTGCCAGATTTGAACACGACGCGCCCTGAAGTGAAGACTATGTGGTATGACTGGGTCGGTTCCCTTGTCTCGAACTACTCCGGTATGTATTGTTCTTTATCCACGGTCTATTCATTACCACTACGCGCGGGGCTAACAGACATCAAGTCGACGGCCTCCGCATAGACACAGTCAAGCACGTTCAGAAAGATTTCTGGCCCGACTATAACAAAGCCGCAGGAGTATACTGTGTCGGGGAAGTCTTTGATGGAGACCCAGCATACACTTGCCCTTATCAGAACTACCTCGACGGGCTTCTCAACTATCCCATGTAAGCCTTCCCCAATATCTCTCTAGATGTGATGAACCAACAATTCCAGGTACTACCCACTCCTCCGAGCCTTCAAAAACAGCTCTGGCAGCATAAGTGACCTCTACAACATGATCAACACCGTAAAATCCGAGTGCAACGACTCCACCCTCCTGGGAACCTTTATCGAGAACCACGACAACCCTCGTTTTGCCAAGTAAGCTTCCATCTTCCTATCGTTCCCAGCACGAGAACTCACCCCAGCAGTTACACAAGCGATATGTCACTCGCCAAAAACGTCGCCACCTTCACCATCCTAGCCGACGGGATTCCCATCATCTACGCCGGGCAAGAACAACACTACAGCGGCGGCAACGACCCTTATAACCGCGAAGCAACATGGCTCTCCGGCTACTCGACCACCAGCCCTCTCTACACTCACATCGCAACATCCAACAAGATCCGCTCCCACGCCATCAGCCAAGACTCCGGCTACCTCACCTACAAGGTACACCTTCCCTTTCCCCCTTCATCAACCCATCCATTCCCAGCATACCTAACTCCCCAATCCCAGAACTACCCAATCTACCAAGACACGTCGACCCTCGCCATGCGCAAAGGCTACAACGGCACCCAAACCATCACCGTCCTCTCCAACCTCGGCGCCTCAGGAGCCTCCTACACCCTCTCCCTCCCAGGAACAGGCTACACGGCCGGCCAAAAGCTCACTGAGATATACACCTGCACCAACCTAACCGTCAGCTCGAACGGCTCGGTCCCCGTTCCCATGAAAGACGGATTACCAAGGATTCTCTATCCCATGGACAAGTTCAATGGGACTTCATTCTGCAGTGAGTTTACCTGCCACGCCTCAAAAACCTTCTCCTCCCCCCACACTTCGTTCTCACTTTTTTCTCTTCTATGACATAGGTTCCGCAACATCCATACTCAAACAAGCAGGTGTACCTCTACTCCTGAGCTGTATTTTGTGAGTACTATCCAAACTTAACCCCTACATTATATATATTATATTATGTCCATGACCCGAGTTGCTAACGATATGATTGGTTGTAAAGGGTCCTTGCTCAGATCCTATGTCTCATGACGTGATTTGGGAACCGGGAGTTTCTATTACCTTATTCCTCCCCCACGCTGATGGATTCGATGTGTAATGGATATTGTGGGATTGGTTAGAATATATATAGTCCATAGAGGAGGGTTTTTTTGAATATAGGTGGGGTTAGTAGGTAAGTATATAGGACGGTATATCTAGATGGATGGATGATGGTTTGGGTACGTGCAATGTGACTCATTCATACTTTGGATATGAGACAATAGATCCAGATCGCTAATACTAAAGGGATAGACTACTATGGTGGATGTTTCACTTCAAATAATTAATACTATATTACCCAAAGTTTGAATAGTAGATAGGTATGTATGTAGCATGAGTACATAACGCTCACTAATGGGTGTGTGGAAAGCCTTTGTACGGAGTAACTTAGTCCGGAAATATAGGTACAAGTATCTACCTAGTACCTACCCACCAACAAACCCAAGCCCTCCAAAGCCAACCGCACCCCCCAAAAAGCCATCCCATGTTTCTTTATTTCTTCCTTTCGTACGATAAATTATCTTAAACAATAACCCGTCTCTCTACGTCTCTTGTATACCTAGTAGATACTACCTACCTCTGCTGATCTCCATCACCCACCACCCACAAACCCACCCACCACATCTCCACAACCAACCTATACCGGAACCCCCCGGTTCGGTTCGGTAGAATCCGGTCGGTAAATATTAACCGTTTCGCAAACCACCCCCTAATATTACAACCATAGTAATAACTACCCGCTATCCGGAGATGATGATCGTCGATCGAAAGTGGTGCTTGTGCTGTGCTTGTTTTGTTTTCCTCGGAGGCAACAGCCAACTAATTAATCCCTGTCGCTCTTCCCCTCTTCCCACGCACACCGCGGAACGGTCCGAGGGTGGTAAGAGGTGGTGGTGGCAGTGGTAGTGGTGGCAGTGGTGATGGCCAAGGCACGAGCGTCGGGGGTGTTACCGATTACAAACTGGCGGTGATTGTTTGGAGTGGAGACTGGGACGGAGTCCTGTGCAGGGCCGGTGGGTTCCTTCAGTACGATGGGGGTCGGAGGACGGAGCGCCTAGTTCAGGTTTTCAGCATGTGAAAGTTGGAAAGTGCCGGGGGTGGTCAACACGCTAACCACTACTATAGTAGTACTGGATTTAGTAGGTACATGCTTCGCAGCTGTAGATAGATACAGTGAAGGAGCCGCTTACGTGATAGGGTGGCACGGACCCTTGGTTGGCCACTTAGTGAGATAGGCAACCTGATCGGTGGATCGTGATCATATTAGCCCGGCCTATATTCATTACACGTCATCATGCTCAATCCAGCTTATGGCCGAATGGTTGCAGTAGTCTCAGTATCTAGTCATCTAGTCCCCCACCCCAGTCGCTACAGCGTCGATGACCGATACGCTGCTAGCCCTGTCACAGGCATCGCATTGAGCACCCCATCAGGGAAGGAACTCGGCATGACTTCCGGCATCAGTTGCTCGAATCCGTACCCCTCGATCATACCATCCATCATGGGTGGCATGTACGGTGCTTGCCCCATGCTCATCTTCCGATTATCGCCGTAGGTAGACAACGGAGACCCTTTGACAGTGGACGGGTCATTGCATTCTGCGCCAGCGCACCGCCGCTTGAACTCGGCGATCATGCAGGAAAACCGGTACGCGATGTGGTCTTCGTTGGGGGAAAGATGTAGCAGAAACATTTGAACCTGCTCAATGAGCGGGTCCATGAGGTTGAAATCGCAGAGGTTCAGGGCAGCGTAGCCGACGATGAAGTAAACTTGGTCGACGAGGCTCAATGCGATAGAGTACCGGATTTGGAGGAATCGTGACATGATGAGACGGGAGGTTTGGAGAACTTCAGAGGCAAGTCTTTCGGACCTGGGTTGAAACCTCATTGCGGTGCGGTGCAGAAGTATCTGGCAGAACCAGAGACTCAGCTCCAGGGTTGAGTTCTCGCCCGCTGTTTCCTCGTTAGTTGCAATCGGGTAAACCAGGTTGGACCTCTTACAGAAAAGATGAGCCCACTCCGTCTTCCATCGCTCGATTTCCTCATAGTCGATGTCGGCCAGCCGCATGCGATGGCTATTGCTCTGTAGCCGTAATGTGATCAAATACAGCTGGATTTCCGCCACAACCTTTGCATCGTCCAGGGTTGCTGCGGGGTGCTCGAGTATCCGCGGGCAGTGGTCAAGATATCTCTGCTGGATGTGGAACGGACGCGCGTTTCCGACCGCAAAACTATATATCATCAGCGGTAATCGGGATTAGAGGGCCTCGACAGAACTCACTGTAGCTGTGTCAAGCAATACGTATTCCATAGCCGCAGCTGCGCCGCCGTCTCGTTATCCACCATGACTTCTGAGGGCGCATAATTTAGGAAATCAATGGAGATGATCGCATGGTTGATCGAAATCCCACTCAACAGCCAGCTGTCCATGGGGGGTTCTTTCTGTACGGTCGCTGGCCACAGGCAAAGCAGCGCAAGGGCTTGAAGAGTCTCGTACTTCAGAGGAGGCTTCTCCCACAGGATATTGACTACTGCCTGGCGGACTTGAAGGTATATGGTATGTACGACAGACCCTGGTATCCCTGGGACATAGCGTGAAGCTAACAGACAGGCGGTATTATAGAGTAAAGAGTCGGGAGCTTTCATGTCGTTGTGAATATCGGAGAGGTTATATATGGAGACGCAAGCGCCGAAGTGGTCAACAAACCTTTTTTGCGCGAAGTGTCAGTAGCTACTTCAATTCTTGTGGATCGGGTACCATACATTTGCAATAGTTTGAGGGATAATTTGGAGTCGATAGCACCCTTGGCAGCGCCATCCCCTGAGAGGGAAGATTCAACAGGAGAACTCTCTGCTTCTCCAAAAAAATCGGATTGGAGGTCCTGGATCAGCCGAACGGGCTTGGGAAGAAAGGGAGACGACGGGCTTTCCTCCATGGAGGCAGTCTCGTCGGTGAGTATGTTCTTCGTCGTCAGGTGCGGGATGGCGCCATGGGCCAGGCCTGGGGAGTGGTCCATCATCTGTCGCATCATCCCCGTCATCTCCCTCATGCATCTCTCAAGGGAGGTGAGGCGCTCCTCGATGGACGGAATTGCCGAGGTTGCGTCTGACCACATTGGAGCATTGTCTTGGAAGCGGTCGGTCGTTTCAGGCAGCTTGCAGTCAATTCTAAAGAAATTGGATAATGTCAGAATATGAAGCCAATCTATTTCATGTCGTTTGGTTTTCTTTGTTTTTCTTTTCTGATGGGATGCCAGAATAGCAGAGCTTGGGTAAACAGGTACGGATCGTCTCTGACCTTAAGGATAGACAACGACGGCAGGCATGCCCGCGCGGGTCCAGATCACATCTAGTTTTAAGCTTCCGACAGGTGTGACAGGCAGTCATCGATCGTCGTATCCGACCTTTGGGACGTGCAGCATCGGAATGGGAAGCTAGTCGTCTGCCGTCGTCGGCAACGTCTAGGCCTTTGTGCTCCCATGAAGGGGCCTCGTATTTGATCTCGTCAATGGTGCGAGTCATGACATCAAACAATGTCCACTGGGGCCAATTGATGGCAAACGAACTGGTGCAAGGGAGAGTAGAATTGCGGGAAATGAGTTAAGTTACTACGTGTAGGCCATCGGGGGCGGGCAGGTGGAGAGAGACATAGGCCTTTTTAACAGTTGGCGACCAACCCTGGGAATGGGGATTATGCTCGCCAGCTGGGAATTGACGAAATTGGCTTTGTTAGATTGGTTATGGGTCCGTCCAGTCCGTTCTTGACCTGGGGTAGACGCTAAGTGACGGCAACAGGGCGACCGGCCAATCCATGTCCCTGCAGGTCTTCTAGAAAGATAGAAACAATGGGTCGCGATACTGGCCAGTACTCCTGGGAGGGGTCTGATTGGGATGAGCTATGATATTCTCCGAGTCGCCGATGTAAACCGGATCGTAAGTAAATCCCGCTTTTTTTCCAAGGAGGGGGTTGGGTTGAAATTGACGCCGGTCGAAAGTGGGAAATTAGTTGGGAACTGCCGTTCAAGTCCGTTGATTTGCTCGGCTCGCTGCTTATCATGAAGATATGGATCGGGCGGAAGTCCAGGATAAGCAGGTCAGTAAGTCTCTCTGTATCTTTGGCTACTCAGCCTTGGGATCATGATTTCCTTTTTTTTTTCTTTTTTTTTTCGTCTTTTTTCTGTCTTTTATTTTTTTTCTCCCTGTTTTACTCTTCCCCCCTCTTATCCGTTCCACATTGATGGTCAGACATAAGCGCGTAGCTAAATTTGCTCGGAACAGCTGTTGGACACTGAATGGAAACGGTAACCGCGAGAGGGAGAGTCAAAGCGACGATGCAGATCACAGAGTCAAAATTTCCCTCTAGACACCCCATAGGCAAATGAACATAAGCGATTACCTTATAAGCTCTCTCAAAAGGTCTTGCACGATGAAAACTTTTTCTACTCCCAGCCGGTGGCATCCTGCAATGCGACCTCGATTCTGGTCCCAGCGGCTACCAACGGCAACTCTGTTGGACTTTTGGCAAGGATATATGGTTGTATTACCGCATCCATGTCTAGGACCGAAGCCAGCAAACCATAATTCATGCAGGTCCAGCGTTTGTGGTGCCAGTGAGCCCAGGTTTGTTCCACCGCAGCAGCCCGTGGGGGATCCTCAGGACTGATTCGAGCCATCAGGATCCTGGCGGAGCTTTCACCTGGCCCACTCCATCCCTGTATGTCCGTACAATGGTCTCAGATCATACCGTTTTTTTCTTCTTATCACATCATTCCTTATCATAAGTTCACCATTCGGGACGGAGGAGGCAAAGTTGATCCAACATTGGCTGGTCGTCTCATAATCGACAGGCACCCGCGTTAAGGTCAGCAGCAGTGGTGGATCCAGCACACGGTGGAGCCTGGGATGTCTGACCAAGGCTTGTCCTCGGGTGTGGATGTTGCTTAGGGTCCCTTGGGGCGCCCATACATTGGGGGCAAGTCAGAAAACCCTCAAATAGCCAAGCCCGGCCCATAGAAAGATAGCGAGCGCCGTTCATGAAAGAGAATATCAAGCTTCAAGCATCCCCATGCGCCGACAATTGCTGGCCCTTGAGTTTGGCGAGGTTCAGGGCACAATATTACTCCGCTCGTTTAAGCATTGTTAGTAGGGACACCCTGAACCTCGGCTTCACGGCCGTTAGGCCGATTTGGGAATGGGGCGCATCGGCTGGCAGCGCCGGCTCCAAAGTCAAGGCGCAACTTGGTTCCACCACTCCCAATACCGTTTCTCTGTTGTGCTTCAGGATTCCGTCTCCAGGCGGCAGCGGAAGAAAGGGCGGGTGAGAGGGGAAAAAGTAAAATGGGTAACCAACACTGCGCTTTGGCGGTGGATGGTGCCATTGTTTTTTTTTTTTTCTCTTTTCTCAGATGGTCCATTAGTAGTAAAGTTTGATGAGGGCAACCATCGGTGGTCGACGAGGCTAGCCGGTCCCCACTGGCCTGATAGAATGGTTGCATCGGGAGTCGGTGGCACATGTCTCACATGCTATCGCGAAATGATGTGTCAATGTTTTAACGTTATTGACCCTGAGCGAGCTCGACACGAGAAACCAACGATATGAGATATTTACGCCGTACCTCCGTACCGCTTTGTCCCTATTGTTGGAAGGCATTCCAGTCGGATATCTCCGAGTTGGCAGGTCGTGGAAGCCAGTCTCCTGTGCTTATCGAAGATGTACCTGCAGCTAAATTAACTCAGCCTAATGGAATAATAATGAATTGTCTGCCGTCTCTTTCATGGAACTCGGAAGACCGAAGGAGGAACACCGAGGATATCCTTGCTCACCTCAGAAGCTAAGCTCCAGCTAACCTCCTTGGGTTTAACCGTCCATGGCTATTGTCGGCTGAGGTTAATATCGGCGGACAGTTCGGTCTATACGAGACTCGTCATCGGAATATGTAGGCCGTCGAGCATTCAGTGGGAGGGGGTCCACGACCAGGCCACCGACCTTGCAGGCATGATAGGCATGATAGGAACTGGGGAGGGAGAGAGTCTCGTAGGCATGTGTTCACGAAGATGCCGAGGAGAGGAAGCAGCGATGACTGACTGGCAGGGAAGTGACGGAAGGCACCTGATCCCCGGTCACACCTTGCGCGCTGTTTGTCTGCTTTGCTCCCGCCGCCAATTGGTGGCGTCTTCTTTGCAGTCGATCCAGTTCGTTCCATCTTTTGTTTCTCTCCCAATCCAAGGTGCTTCTTCATCTCTTCCCAAAGTCTTCCTGGAAACCCAGACAGCAGACCGTGCCCACCTTATATGCCATGCCAATTTTACGGCCCCTCCCCCGGCCTCTTCCAAGAAATGCTCCATAAAATGTCTGGAAATTAGGCACGCAGTTACATTTTTTAGCGACAGTCAGCTCCACGAGCGGAAATCGTCGGCGCAGCGGCAAGAATCGGCATTGGGGCCGGAGTCCTGGGCCCAACTCCGGAGCTGAGGTTGCATAGGGGGTACAACCTGACCGATTATTCATCCTCAAACGTCCTCCCTCCCTCCATCCCAATGAACGCTCGCCCACTCCGGCTTCGCCTTCAATTGCCTGTCGTCACGGCATCTTCCTCCAGATGTGGGGGAAGTGGATAACCCGGGTACTCGGGACTGGCTCCACGAGTTCAGATCGACATTGCTGCGAATCTCGTCCACCTGCGCTTGTCAATTCAGGAATGGCAGTCGGACTCTCCGATAGCCAAGCTTTGGTTAGCCTTCTAATAGGCGTGTGTGCTGAAGAATTCCGATTACTGGTGGGCCTGTGGAGGACTGGTCGTACACTATATTGTGCGAACCGGAATCAAGCCGATGGCCCTGTGGGCTTCTAGCCAGTTCGAGAAGGTCCACAATAGCAAGCACATTCAGCCGTTGCAACAACGTCGGACTACCGACTCCATACCGACTCAAGTGGCCCCAGCAGCCGGGAGTGCAGGCTGCTTGCAGAATCGCCTCCCCGTGCCAGGATTCATTGGCCCATTTCGGGAGATTAGCCTAGATCCTAGCCGTTCCCTTGTCGAAGATGAATTGCCTTGGCCAGTTGGACTTGGTGCGCTATTGGCCGAAGTTGGATTATGCTCTTTGATCTGGGAGCCCGCATGGCCAGTCATGTATCTCGCATGGAAGATGGGCGGGATCGAAGCACCCGAACCATCCTGGCCGTCGGCAACCATTAATATGCAGTTGGCTCTGAAGAGTAGCCCAGACGGAGCCCTGCATGTATCTCTGGCCACTAACATGTCTAGGATAGCAGCCCATGTTTCTCATGGAACCTATCACCCGTTGACTTCTTAGATTGGTGGCGTCAAACAAGCACAGCGCTATTCGACACTTGTTCCTGTTTCTGCGACTGTCAGATATGCATCTAGCAGGATGACGTACAGTTTGGCAGCAAAGTCCGGATTAATCATTAACCAGGCCCTGCTGTCATGCCCATAAAGATCTTGATATCAGATCTTACTGGGCGCTTGGCGTATGACATATTCCCCGTTTCGGTACAGATGTTGGAAGACAGACCTTTTGGAAATACACAATCAAAGAGAATTCGATTTGTATTCCGAGCCACAACATACCTTTTCTTTCACATACCAAGAGGCGCACGAGCAAATTAATGCTGGTCCACTCCGATGCCGCCTTATAAAGCACTGAACAAGGACTCATCGCTACATTATCAGACCCAAGCCTCGCAAACAACATCGTAAAGATAGCCAGCCATTCCTTACGTTTTCATCTCCATATCTACCCACCCCCAAATCAACCTACTACTACACCTCCCTTTATCAACCCTCAAGTAAGCAACATACATCCTCCCCAAGTATCCATTATCCTCTGACACCATCCACACCATATACTTCCACAGCCAAACAACTTGACCTACACGAGAACCTTGCACATTCCCTTCCCTTCCCTTCCCTTCCCCCAAGTCCCATCACACTCAATGTGACAAGCATAGACATACCCTATACCGCATACCCCCGACGAACAAGACAACCCAGAAGACCACTCACCCACTACATAGTAGTAATCATATCTAACCCAACCCAAACCCAATACCATCAAGTTTATCATCACTGTACACACCACCTATCATAACTAATAACCCATGATCTACCTACACACAGAAATCGACTTCATTGATGTGATTTTCCCCCTAGCCAGGAAGATACCCCTCATATCCCGCACACACACACACACACACACACACACACACACACACACACACACACAATCTCTTACTCACTCACTCACACACACTCTCTCTCTCTCACCAAACAGATAGGAAGCTTCTAGGTTTCAATAGAATCCATGTTTGTAGTACTCGATCGCTACTATCTGGTTCTATGCAGTTAGTAGTGGATAGTAACTGTATGGATATCTGTAGAGATATAGATATATATATGTGTGTGTATCATTGTAGAAGTAACGTGTTATAGTATTTTATTTTCTCTAGATGAGGATGCAAGTAGAACGCACGTTGTTTCGAGTGACAGAGTGTATTCCTATTCGATTCTACTGTGATGATGATGATGATGAGTTAGCTAGCTGGAACTTCCCCTCCTAAAAGGGAGGGTCTATCTGCCCTATCAGGTAGATGGGTAGTTGAAGAAACGCAAATACCCAAGAAAGGTAAAGAGACTAACATACTACTCCCATGCTTACCTAGGTACATACATACCCAGCCTCACACACACATGTAATATAGCCTACATAGCAGACTCAACGAAGTCCATTCATACCATCCAATGTTTCACTCGGATAAATAATCCAGGTTGTCACAACAACCGGCACCCGCAACCTGTTCATCACACAACAGAAGCAATGACACGTAGCTTGATTCCCGGGTAATGGATCCACGACGACCATGGAACAGGCGCCAGCAAATAAAGAACGCATGCGGGTAACAAAAAAAGAGGGAGAGTGGTATGTAAGTATAGATACCTACAATGCGGAGCAAACGCACAGGGCGCTGGATGGACCATGGTACCCATGCATTCCATACCAGGCGGGCGTAGGGCTAGGGTTAGACAAGAAAATGCAATATGAATATGCTGTCCCACCTACGTTGTCGGTAGGGTAGCGTAGCTGGGGGGGGGGGGGGGGAGAAGGGAGTTCTCCACCACATTACATACATACAGATAGACAGACAGGGTGCAGATTTGGCTTGCGTTTCACCTCAGACATATATTCATGTCTGTGGGTAGGCTAGGTGGGAGGTGGGAGCCTGGAAGGTGGAAGGTAGGGATGTATGGGGTATACGTACGTGCATATAAGTGCATATCCAACACAGACAGTCAGACACACGACACAACCCCCACACCACCTTCCCTCCCCCCCGACCGTCTGGATAAAAGGGCCAGCCAACGGGATTGATTGCTGGGAGGTTGTGGTGTCAGATCCCGGAATCCCGGATTGCATTTGGGTAGGAATAAGCCACCCTTTGACTGACGTACATACAGGAGATAGCTTCCAGGGTGGGCCGTGCATGACTGCCTGCCAGCTGGAAGAGGGGCGTGGATTGGAATTCGTCGGTGATTAGTTCCGCTCAAGTCACGGTCCCTCGAGGCGGCCAAAAGTCATGGAGGGAGGCAGAGAGGGAGGGAGGGAGGCAGAGAGGGAGGGAGGGAGGGAGAAGAGCCTGTCAGACCGTCAGGCAAATGCAATTCAGGTGCCTAATTGTTTAGTGATTTCTGAGAGATCATTCGTCAAGGAGACAATCCCAGTTGTGCAGATGGGAGGACCGAGCGGGCGCACTTGCTCTCTGGTTCTCTGGTGACTCGGACTGGATCGGGCAGGGCTCCAGGGTGTAACATGTCGCAGCCTGGGTTTGGTTGGAGGAATCAAGGATGGGCGTGCATTAGCTCATATCCACCTATATTTCGTACATAGTCCCATGTACCTGGTAGACCAGATGACGGCCTCCGGAAATGCCCCTTTGAGCGTTGACGGACAGGTATGTGGCTGGAGTGTGTGGCGAGGCGGTTTCTGTAGGCATCGATAGTGTCGAACCAGTGGTTCCCCAGCCTATAAATGCAGTAGCAGATCGCGACGAGTTCCTTACCGTCTCCCACCTTGCAGCGTGGAGTTAATATTCCACGGCCAGGGATGGGCGGGCTGATCGGCAAGCTGGCGGGGATGTTCGGTGATTAAATCGTCCAGAAGTCACCAGAACCAACAATAATATCCAGCAGAATGCACTAATTATTGACCTGGTCTGTCGATCCCCTCCTTCGACCCCCCCAGGAAGGGAGATCTGCCGCACCACAGTGGGGTGCAGCTGGCTGGTTTCCAGGTTTTCCAGGTCTCGATGGGGAATTCTTCGTGACAGGCTTGCAATCAATCGGTCGGTCGCATGTAGCCATGTACAGGTACCTACAGGGGCACCTTCAGCCGGGCAAGGGACCCTGATAGGCTGATGAACCCTGCCTTTTCACCTTCTGATTGGGTTCAGCAACTAAGACCGGTGTCATGCAATACCACTTCGTATTTCTTCATGCCCATCTGCATCCATCAACCGTTGAGCTGTCGTGTCAAGGCATGCCCTGACTCGATCTGCGTTCCTGTCAAGGCTCATACTGTGTAGCATCCCCCCACCCCCTCTCTCTCCCTCCTCTCCTCTCCTCTCCTCCAGTAGAATGCCGCCCATCCTTGATCCGAACAGTCCCCCTCGCTTCAAGAGGTGACATCCGGAGTGCCTGGGATCCCCATGCGCGGCAGCCAGATTCACCGCCATGTGATAGATCGGATAGATCCCGGTTTCTAAATCGCTTCGCGTCTCCATTCTCGTTGCTCCCTCGCCTCCTCCCCCCGTGCTTCGTGCAGCTGGAGTCAAGCCCTGTGCCACATTCAACGAGTCTGATATTCTGTCCATGGCCTCGGAGGCATATTCCGTCCGTCCGTCCATCTGTCTCTAGCCTGCATGGGTCCCGCGCGCTGGCGACCGTTGGGAAAGAGGGGCCCAAGGGGACCCAGCCTTGAATGTTCTTCATGCACCGTAATGCTGCTGTGGCTCATGGGGCCTTGAGGATAACAGGGCCTTTTGGCCTACGTATGCCCGCACAGACAGCGTCCAAGATGACCTCCTCGGGTGACGCCAGCTTCAAGAATCCCACGGCCAAGGCCGAATAGCATCAAGCGCTCGCACCGTCAGGGAGTGCAAACCCTCTCGAGTGGTCTTGGGTCATCCACGAGGCGCGCTGGTCGGTAACTGGCCCTTGGCGATCTAGCCGTCCCGACTGGCCGGAACCAAAAATTAGGGGCTCGTAACCTTCTCATGACGTGTGACAGCACGCCTCCCGCCTGTCCTTTCCTGCGCTCACCGCAAGGCTAGGGGCTGTGAGTGGCTTTTCCAATTCCCGGTGGATCGATTCCCTGTTGCATGCGTCTCACAATGGTCCTCCATCCATGGATCATCCGGATCAGAAATGCGAGGCCAATTCCATGGTTGCTTTACCGCTCACCAGGGGACTACTGTCTGGGATCATTCCTCTGGCGATCGCCTCTTTGCGGCGGTGGACCTGACAAAGCCTGCACCAATGGCTTCCCGTCAAGCCACACAGCAGCCTTGGGTAAGAGTATCTGACGAATGCCACAGATGCACGGTACCGGCCGGATATGAGATAAGGGAACCTCTCCCAGCCCAACCATGGTCCGACTTATAACGAGGATCGTGGAATGGATGAAAGAGGTAAACGCGGAAAAGGAGACTTCCAAAAGACCCAACCGGGGTAGGTAGTAACCAACGTTCTCATTTTTGTCTAATTCCAGAATCTGAGATAGCCTCCCAAAATGTAAGCAATATAAAAAATAAGAGAGAAAAAAAAAAAAAAAAAATAAGAAAGACAGTCTAACTTGACATGGTCACATCATCCGTACTTGTACTGTACAAAAGTCATGTATATGCTTGATCCTCATCTCCGATTGAAACCCATAGCAACCCGTTTGGAAAAGTGTAAGCGCATCAGAAAGAAAATACGTTAATCTAGTATAAAGAGACAAAACAAAGGAAATAAGATAGCCGACAAAATATCCAAAAACACCTAAAGATGCAACATCGCAGTGGGCAGTCGTGGTCAGGGAGGTCAGCAGATGCCCCTCCCGGACTGTGCGCCTCGGCCATTGACCCCTTCTAGGGTGAAGCCATGCAAAATGATTAAGTTCGATTAGATAAACGGTAAAGGGTATCAAGAGCGGTTGTCCATCTCACTCGGCTCGTCGTATAATTCCTGGATGATCAAAATGAAATATTAGAAATGGGAGTTGTTGGTGAACTCTCGCGTCTATGCTGTTCTCGATATCCCAGGGCCCATAACTCATGAAGTGACGAATATATCTCGCGGTAGCGGTCTCGAGTCTAATCTGGCCTCACCGGCGACCAGGTAGATTGAGCGCAATGGTGCTCGCAATAGATTATGATTTGGAGATCTGGTGGGGAGAAGGCATTGATTCGGGAGACGTCTGGTCCATATCACTGAAGGGAGACTGCCGTTGAGAGTCAATGTCGGTTCCGCCGTTGCGCATCTGGTTCCGGAGAGCAGGAAGTTGACGCCTTCTGGCGTTGATGAACCAATTGCTGATCTGTGGTGCATTGGACGACTGATTAGCAAACGCTGGGTCTCATGTGACCTGAGCTTGGATACTGAACTAACCTGGCTGATGGTGAGCCCGGTGCGGGTCATGAACATCTGCTTGTCCTCTTCACTGGGATAGGGATGGTCGAGATGCTCATGGAACCAGGCACGCAGTATGTCCGTCACTGGCTTAGGCAGGTTGCCCCGTCTCCGCTTGTTCTTGGGGTCGATCGAATCGCCAAGGATACCAAAGTTGGATTGCTGGGCGTGCGATAACGATTGCGGAGAGGCTTGTTCGGAATCGCTCTGATAAGCCAGGGCAGGGTAAGAATACGTTGACTGGCTAGACATCACTGGCCCATTGTTTCCCAAGAAAGAATCCACGCTCCTCCGATCACCGGGTACTGTGCCTGGAATATTGGCCGGGGGAAACCCGTGGGGACCAATGGGTCCGGCCCTGAATTCCTGCGCTGCAAAGTCGGGTCGAGAAAGGGTCCTGGATTCCGGGAAAGCAGAGCCCGACGTGTTGAGTCCCCGTTCAGGGAGCGACTGGAGATCCCGAATTGACGGTAGAATAGGACTCGGCCCACGAGAAGCGTAGCGGGGGGAGCCTGTGATGGAGTCGGTCGGGTTCCCGGTCATGCGACTTTGAGGTTCGCTGGCTCGGGCGGCTGCGACAGAATAATCACCGCCGAATGGCATCTTAGGTGGCGATCCGTAGGGAGGACGGTCAGAGAAGGGGCGGGGGTTGGACGTCAGTTCGTGGGCTGCGGATGTCGGCCGCTCGCGCACATGTTGGCGGGAAGTGTAGTATGAAGTCGACTCGATTTCGTCATGAAGATGGGGCGGAAGTAGCTATCAAGGAATCGATTAGCTTCCCAGTTCTTTAGGTGACACAGCCGGTCAGTTCTCGGGCGCGGGATGAATGCTCTCACCTCTCGAAAGGACGGAAGAGCTGGAGTATGCTCCGCTGGAAGTCCACTTGCGTATGAAATGGCCATTTTTCCAGAATCCTCACCCAGTTCACGGTACTGGGACATAGACAATCACGGCGGAAGAGGGGGAATGATTGCTGGGGGGTCGACTATCCAGTACTGTAGGCAGGATAGAGCGCCAGGGCAGAGAGGCTTGATTACACAAGTATAGCCGGCCTGCGGCTTCCACACGAACCAAGAGACGGGCTGGAGGGAAACCCACACGTCAGACCACTTGGGCTGTCAGGAGGGTAGTTAAATTGATGAGGGTTGGTGGTTGAATTAAATGGCGGGGAGGAGGGATGAAGTGGATATCAAGTAATGGAGAAGGGAAAGAAGGACGGAGGGAAGAGTTAGCCGGAGGAGGGTTATGGTTTGAGGGAAGGCACAGAGCGTAGATAATGAATCTGAATGAAGATAAATGAGGAGAAAACATGGGCGACAGATAATAGTAATATACTTACCAGCGCCTGAGTTTAAAAGTACCTTGACATTGCCGCACACGATGACGATGGAGACAGCTGAACCAAGGTTATGCAAGGTAAGGAGTGAGGCAGCTCAACAATTGGATCTGGGCTGGGTGGACACCAGATCTCTCTTTCAAGGTTGTCGGGGTTCAGTCCTTCTTTTTTTTTTTTTTTTTTTTTTTTTCCCTCTTACCCTTTCTTCTTTTTTCGGATCCTCTCCATTTTTTTAATATCTATTTTATTTTCTCTCTATTTTTCAATTTTCTTAGCTTTTTTTAATTATTCCCAATTAGGATTTTAGTTTTCCTTATTTTTTAATCCTTTTATCCTTTATCCCCTCCAACCAACTAAACCTTTCCCTTTCCTGGTAGACAATAACAATAATGGATCATGCATGTCCAACTCCGAGATTCTGCAAGACAACTTGTACATTTTATGATGGCATTCGCGTTTATAGGGGAAAAGAAAAGAAAAGAAAAAAAGGTCCTCGTATCTGGTCTACGTAGGAGGCACAAGATCTCTGGAACCCGACACTCAGACACACGCGCACACTGGCAGCGCCGTCAGCTGTCCCATACTTAGCAGGCAAGCCACCCATGGTAAATGGCAAGAACAGGGGGGAAAACCCAAGAAAACCGACGATCGTGGGTGGGAGTGGATACAGTAGCCACAAACTACAGACGACCGTCATTTGCTCCGGCGGTATCCAGAAGGCATGCAGAGAGGGGGATGAAAGAAGGAGGGGGGTTTTCCTGGGAGACCGTGAGGTGGGAAAGTTTGCAGAAAGGATCATGAGAAAAAAAAATTAGAATCGAAACACTGATTCGTTGAATTCATTTATTTTTAATTTCGCTGCCATTCCCCCCCTACCCTCTAATGAATCTACATTATTCGCTCTTAAGGTTGTCTTGACAGATGGTGCCAAGGGCCCGGGATCTGGAGTGATGACCCAACTCGGGCGCAGGGAGGGAGGCAGAAGAAACAGAGAGGGGGAAAGTGGAAGATAAAATAAAAACACATCCCAAATACCAAAATAAAAAGTAATAGAATAAAAATATATTCCAAGTAAACTCACGGTGCCATTCAATCAGTGGCGCTACAGAAAGAACACTTCACTGGGCACCCTGCTAGTTAGTAGATAGGTGAAGTTGTCGGTATTCCTCCTGTCTGCTTGTCCGCTGCCATCTGGAAATCCTATCCGGGCGGACTCCGTTTGTCTCTATGCATGTACAATGCATGTATGTCCTCGATGTCTGTCTAGATGGAAGTCACTAGGTACCTAAGTAGGTACGTAGGCCGGATACCTGGATGGCGATGGCAGTCCTCAATTGCGACGCTAAATCTCGACATGCCTACATGCCTGCCTAGTGAGGACTGACAAGCGAAGATTGCTGGCTCCAGGATAATGGCGGCCAGCCTGTTCGTCCTGTTGTTTGATCTATCTATCATTCACAATCGGAGGGAATCACCCCAGACTGCATTCACATCTCCATTCCTTTCAAACTCTTTTTTTTTTAATTTTATTTTTGCTTTTTGAGGAGTTCATCCTAGTTCCCCTGCCTAGGATGACTCGGGTCCCCGGAAAACAAATCAGAGCCGTTTCGTTAGCTTTGGGGATATCATATGCCGGGGCTGGTGGAAAGGAAGAGGGCAGAGATCGTTGACGGGACTCCGTATTGTCGGCTAGACTAGCACCAGCACCAGCGCCAACACCGTCGCCGTCGCCATCGCCAGGGCAAAACGAAGCTGAAACTGGGATTCCTTCCCATCAACATGCGCACCCCCCCACCCCTCATATTCCGTACAAGTTCGTAACTAGTAAACTTCCAGAAACGAACTAAGCGGGTTAGTTCTGTTTGTCACCTCGATTCTTTTCTTTTTCTTTTTTTAGGGAATCCGTTGAAACACGGGTTCGTTACCTCTCCGGGGAAGACCTGGGTTCCCAGGCGGTTGATCACCCCGGAGCCAGTCACTCGTTGGAGATAATAATAACCACCATAGTTCTCACGATACCTTGCGGTGAATGGTGCTAGTGTGGTAGCATTTTTAAGGTACGGAGTAAACTTTGGTCTCACGGTGGCGAGAGATGCCGCGCCCGGCCTTTGCCCTCTGAGGACGTCGTACAGACGTCTCACTTAATTACTGCTGTCTCTGCTTAATTAAGTGCCATATAAGGTGGGGGTGATACAAAACCGAGTCCACCGTGCTTGACTCGAGGCCTACCTACGGAAAAAGCTTCCTGCAGGCATATCGTCAGGTCGGCCGGGCTTTAACAGCCCTGCTATTAATCGGCCATCCTACGTTGCACAGGGTAGTAGCAAGGACTAAGGACTAAGGCCACCTCCTCTCCTGTCGGCCACATCCCCGACTAGCACCACTATCTGGCCAACCAACCGGCACCAACGCAGTCCGCACTGCACGGGAGGGAGCTAAGGGGGAGCAAGGAAGCAAATCCTCTCGCTCAGGAACGGTCCGGAGCAGGCATGGCTGCAAGTCTAGCCCAAAGCGATCTTAGTGAGGATGCAGGAGAGGGGCGGGGGCTTGGGGATTCATTTTTCAGCTGCGGATTTCCAAGCCAATCATGAGCGGGGAACGAGGGAAAATGCACGAAGAATACAGAAAAAGCAAAAGATTAAAGAGGGTGAGAGAAATTTGAGATCGCCGGGTGGGCTCCACCACGGCGGTGGTGGTGTCAGAAAGGGCGCGTAGGGCCACTGCCGACCAAAGAGAGATTGACTGACTTCCCCAAGGCATCACAAGTCATAGCTTATCCTAGAAAACAGGATGCACCTAGGTTGAAGACGGTTAGAATGAACAGCCACCAAATACAGGATAATACAGCATACCCAGAATAGTAGTGTCCATTGTATTCCATGCAGGTCGTCCCGATGCTCAAGGCTTTCCTCTTTTTTTTTTCGCCTTGCAGACATATAGTATAAACAGTGACGGCTATGGCGTCTCTCCCGCTGCAAGGTAATTAAACAGGGCGATGTCCGATCGACCGGTTGGGGAGTCTCATCGAGATCGATCATACTGACCCCGATGGCAGAGACTCCTAGAGAGTCAGAGAGTCAGAAGGAGGATCAAACAGCGGGGAAATTGAGCTAGGTGACAGAAGAATAAGAGACTAATCCCGGATGTAGCACGTCGTAGTTTACCATCGACGTGACAACTGAGCAGAGGTTCCAACTTCCGGGACAGGGAAGGGCTGATCGCCGAGCAGTTCTTCTTCTTCAATGGGCCCGACCCCACTTGCTTTTCAGATGGGCTGCAATCTGTGGTCAGAAGATCCACGCCGGCCTGTCTTTGCTCTTGCCAATTCCATCACCATACGTCGTAACGGTAGTCATTATTAGTATCGTCGCCCCAATAATCGCACCGTTTCTGAAACTCTGGGTAAATACCGAACCGCCTCGCTGGGAACAGATGACGGAGAATAGAACCACCCGCCTTGATTCGAGACACCACTGGCCAACAGCTGCAACGACACTACCGTTTAAGGGAGAGCCTCATGTTCGTTACAGTTACTTACAGGCTTACAGCGCCCCTCATGCCCCCCATGCCCCCCCCTCTCCCACCCCTTCTCTCCGCCCCCCCTTGGTAGCGGCGTGGTGGTCAAACCAGGTAACATGACTAAAGTCGGTCGCAGCCAATGCCGTCCAGGCAAGCCTAGGTTAGCGATGATTGGTCGCAACCCACCATATAATATGCAAGATCCATTGCCCGTGCATATGACATCTCAGGTTGTCGGCTAGGAGGTGGGTATGGAGAATTGACATGCCGCGATTAGAGGCAAAAGTTCACTCCAGATTAATCAGGATTCATAACAAGGGTTGGCTATCACCGGTCGCGACAAAGTCAGGCCCATTGAAGAAAAAAAATCAATGACTCAGTTTAATTAAGATCGGAGAGTCGGGTGCTGGTCCAGGAGCGCTTCTGCTAACGAATGATATGCATGACAGTTATTGCGATAAAGTGGGATTAATTAGTCGCAAATTGTTTGGATCCCCCCTTTCTGACGGACACAGCCTGCCCACGAGGAGACACCGTTCCAAAGTTCGGGAGAGCTCTGGGATCAAAGCCTGAGCGAGCCACTCTGGATCCCGACGAAAAGTTTAAGGTCCAGTTTCAGGGATGACAACCACATGAGGGCGAGAGGCATGACAGGGACAGGCCTGCATCCATGGTTGACGGATTAATAGTTCTGACAATGAGAAACCACCACATGATAGTGTGAAGGGGGAGGGAGCAGATGCAGTGGGTCTATTATGAACATTGGTTGGAGAAAGGATCCTGCCACGGATACATGGCATGGGCGATGATGATGATGATGATGGCAGAGCTGAAAAATGGAGGAGGGGAGTGACAGTGTGGACGGGGCGCAATCCTCCTTTTGCTTAGTGTCGTGGATGGACTGGGCGTGCCCAGTCACGAGCCCATGACGTACCCCACCAGTGGGCCGATCGGAAAAGCGCCCATCGAAGCGACCCGGCTGATTGGTTCTTCCCCTGGCACGGGAGAATCACCGCCGCGTCCAATGACAAATGACAACTGACACCGTCACGGGCCAAGCCGCGGGAGGGTGCACGACAAGGTCTCTGTACCAGAGACAGGAGCATTATTGTTATCATTATTACCATTATTATCCTCCTTGTAGGGAGCACCATGTGTAGGTTCCATGGATTTGGGACAACCGATCAGGACTGCCCCTGGTAGGGCAAGGGGCATCCTCTCGTCCGAGAAAAAGTGTATCTAGATGGCTAGCTAGATGCACACACGCCTGGTGCACTACCCTGGTGCACTACTGTGTACCCAACGTTAGCGTCGAGGTTCTGGCCTCGGGGGTTCAGAGTTCAGACAAGTATTCACATTTCACACCGACCCCGGAGTCCACTAAGGTTCTGGTTAATGCTCGTAATAAGATGGACACCCATAAACGGTCTGCTCCTCGACCCTAGTGCTGCTGCAGCGTTCCGAGACGTTATCGTCTTGGTGTCAGAATTTCGAGCCTTCCAATCAATTACGATCAACATGTCGAAACTTGATGCTGATGGCTAGGTTAGCACAGGGCTAAGGCAACTTTAATGGAGGTTGAGATCGGGGGGTTCGGCATATTCCCGATTACCAAGCTGGACCATGAACCCTAAGCCGGAACATCAAATCATGACAAGCAAGGTTTGAGCGATGTCAAGACTAATCTCCGGGGTGGTATCTCGAAAGAGCATTGTTCTTTTTCTCGACATGGCAGTCTGCCCCGCGGCCAATCGACAAGAGAGTTCGGTACGAACCAGCGAGACGGTCAAAGTTTGCGGTGGCTGACCCAGAATCCACAACCAACGAACGCTATGCGGTATCCAGACTTCCAGACCGAGTAAGCCCGTCAGTATTCCTTCGCGTGCGAGCTAAAAGGAGCCACCCTCGTGGCTCGCCAGATCAGAGCTGCATCCGCCGTGAATGATTTGTCAATGGGAGGGGGTGGCCTCAATCGCCTTAGTCGCCATCCCACCAGGCCCCAGGATGTTGCCACGGGCTCCTTCCCGAACAGGAAGGGTTTCTGCCTTGGCCGGATGTCAGTACTAGTAGGTACTCAGTCCTACTTACTACCTAGTCCTGCAGGAGTTACGATTCACCGGGGAGGAGGGGGTGGTTAGCAGAACCTACTTACCTGTCTAGTGCACACCATCTGTGGCATAGTATGTAGTAGATAGTAGCGGTAAGGAAAGACCTATCCGGACTGGACAGACCACCTAGTCAAGCCCACCCACCCTATGTGGTGGTGTCTGAGTGTGTCTGTAGGGAGAGGTGGATTTTTGACTCTCCCGATTAGGAAGAGTGAGTGGCTGCGCCGACATCAGCCACCGATGACGCAGCCAACAGGAGGTCAGGAGGCTGGTGAATCCGGTACTTAGTGGCCAGTGGATACTGGATAGGTAGGTAGGTACTATGTAGTGCCCAGGTACTGTGCTAGACTGCTAGTTTTGCTACTAGTCGGTAGTCAGATGTAAGTGACAGGCCGAGTATGTAGTGCAGTTGGTGAGTGAGCGAGAGGTTGTTGCCACCGGGAGGGGCGCCTGCAGCGGAAGGCCCGACTCGGCCTAGGGTCTCGCGCTTCTTTGCTTCTTTTCCCCTAAAATTCTCTGTTGTCAGATCCCAGATCGTGCAGGGATGGAGCAAGGGTGTCGATCCAGCCTGGATCTCGCAGGTCAGACCAGTCCATCCCCGATCAGCCCGGCCATCACCCGGGCACTATCTGAAGAATCTGCCTTAGGGCGGCACAATTGGAGAAGGAAAATACAAAACAATCAAGAATAAACCCCTCCCAAAAAAAAAAATTAATTGATTAATTAATAAAGAAAAAAACATCCAACGCGGGTCAAGCAGTTTCAAGATAACCATGGTGGGCTCTTGTCGCTGGGCGGGATTTCCGATTGTTCAATGACAGATATTCTAGAAAAATCGAGCCCAGGATGGTGAAACGAGATCCTCTTGGTCGCTGGTTGCGAGTTGCGAGTCGCGAGTCGCGACGGACGAATCGAGTATGGGTCACTCACTCGAAGAAAAAAAAAATGGGGAGGAGCCGAGGTGGAGGAGCAGGAAGAGGAGTGGCACGCTGACTGACTACTGACTGACTGACAGTACACGATTATTTGTCATTTTTGTCATTTTGCCCCTTCCTGCCGTGTCACCCGCCTGCCTTGAGTGGTTCCTGGTTCTTGGGATCCGCCTGACGGGCATCCATCGGCCTCCATCGCGGACGGGTTATCTAGGGTCGTGCATCTGACAGTCACGCCAGAGGAACTAGATGGATAATAGATAACAATGAATTGAATTATGTCCTCTCGCCAGATAGGCACCTACTCCTGTGAGTCCTCCTTGAGGATGCCTGCCCGTTATTTTCCCATGGTTGGGGTTTCTTGCTCATACCGCCGCCGCCTTACTTGTGGCCAATGGGCTGGAATGCGAGGAGGGATCCAGACCGACTCACCAAATCAAAGGCGCTCGTCCAGCCAACAAACTTTCCTCTGGAACGCGACTGACATCATACCCGGTTGCAGGATGTCTCACCCGCCATCATCGTCACCCACGAGATCGCAATGGTCGATGGACCGGTGGGAAATCTCCGAGAATTCCCCCAATTTGCAGCCCCTGTCCGGGCACCGACTGCCCCGTTGAGAATGGCGCCTCCAATAGCCTGAGGTTCTATTGCATCGCTCGCTAGTTGCGACTTAGTCCCAAACTCAACCCGAGCGTGTAACCGCTGCTCAAACTCTGTTCCCAGCAAACAACCGCCACGGGCTTTTCCTCCCCGTCCCAAACAATGGCCTTCTAGAACATGGCAGGGAGACCACCATATTCCTGCTGCGGCAACCTTCGTGTCCGATCACTAGTATTCTGGATCCCCCCCCCTCTCCCCCAAGCCAATGACCCCCTTTCTTTCCGGCCCCATCGGTTCGTCTGGATGCGCGGAGGATCGCCCTCTGATTCAGCGGCGGCTGCTGATCAGGCATTAACCCAAGCATGGCATTGTGATTGCTCGGGATCTTCTTCAGACTTTCCTTTTCCCGGGTCTGACCTGCCTGAAATAGACCTGACGGCCGTTGTTTGAGAGTCATGTTTCTGCCTTCGATGCTGCACTACCGAGTAGGGGAGTCGCCCTATTCCTGCGAACTCTGGAACTAGTGATCGCTGTGGTCGGGGTAATTCGATCTGGGCTAGTACCAGCCACGTTTTCCTATACCCTTGATGGCATTGTTTCGTGGGGCTTGCCTCTTTCCCCCTCCCTCCCTTGTTGTGATTGTGATCGCTTTGGGAAACCAGGGATGGGTGCCAGGCATCTCTTGCATTAGTGGATCGGGAGCCATGGGTTTGGATCAGTGCCTCAATATCTTCAATTATGCGTACCAGAGGGGGGGAGTCCTTTCCCCCCCTCGAGTCCCGTCCTCGCATCGATTATTTATGAAATCGACGGAGGACGAAGCGCATCATCATCATCCATCTCGGACCTCCTGACTGACGGACCCATACTTGCACAGTCCAGCAATCCGCTAGCATTTCCCTTTCCAACACACCAATGGCCATCTCACCACAAGTGTGTATATTTAGCCACCAGCCGCTTCCCTGCTTGAAGCCGTCACCGGCGTTTCGCATCCAAGCCCCAGGCAGTTTCGAAACCAGGGCCGTAACTTTATCCTCGCCGCCGGGTTCACCTCCCGTCTCTTCCTGTGCATGAGATCTGACACGGATGTGAAACCCATCTGCATGTCTCGTCGCAGGGTGCACCAGGATGACGTGGGTGTCATGCCGATATTCTTGCTGCCTGGTGGACTGGCATGGTGCATTGAACTTAGCCACCGTACGTCCTGAGTCCTGTCACGGCTTGTAGCTTGTGTCATCTGATGGGTGGGTGAAACGGATGACTTGACGGCTTGATTCACCGGAGCATATGACAGGTAGGAGCAAACAGCCGATGCTGTGTGATTGGTGGGCTAAACATACTCGATACGTGCCGGGGCTCAGCCAGGGTCAGGTCCAGGCTTTGGCTTGTATGCAGGGTAGCATTGAGCGGATTCATGACCTTGTTTGGTGATGACTTTGCTGGCTATGCTGACGGGTAAATCCCGGGCTATTAGACATGGTTGAGAAGTTTAAATTTAGCCCGAGTGGCCAAGGGGTGGAATCTTCACGATACTACTGTGTAGTGTACTCCGTACTCCGTATAGACTCGGTTATACCTAGCCTGGTCAGGCGTGCCATCGATCATGAGTGGAAGGGTGGGACACCACCCACTTAGCGTCACTTCGGTCGACCACCAGTCACCTGATCTTTTGGATCTCTTGTTGCTGCTATTCGATCTCTTCGTCTAGATTCCCTATTCCATCTTTTAACAATAGTATCCAAGTCTGCTCATAGCAAAGGCATATTCTATCCTCACTCAGATCCATGTCAAACATACATTACCCCCTATACCTAACTCCCTTATGAACACTAACGCGAATGACAATCAATATACTCACTCCATACTACTAAATCAAAATAAACAGATCCTGATACTAAGTCTGACCGACCGCCTATATAATCACAATGTGAAGCATGTACAACAGACAATTAAATAGAAACACCATTCTGACTACTAAATACTATACAATCTAACCCAATCCAGTAAACTGTTGATATACCAGCTGAAGTGTTTGGATAGCCAGTAAGTCTGGAATGTATAATGTACTAATTATGAATACTCATACACACATAAACATATCTTTATATATATTTAAGAAACTACTACATTACCTGATGTCTTTGAACCCCGAGAATATAACATGTTTTCTTTTTAAGATAGTATATATGATATATGTTATACTATATATATAATGGGTCTCTCGGCTGACTGGTAAGGATAGTATTACAAGATGATGGGGTGTTTTTCCTGGCTATATCCAATTAGTAGATACTTGATACTATGTATACTAGACAATGAACCAAAACCTACTAGATAAACCATCCCCTGGCATAAGAATAGCATCAATTCTATATATTATACTCTAAGTAAATAGAAATTTATTCCTTATATCCATTGTGAGAGTATATCATATCCTAGTGTGATCGAAGTGAGAATATATACTTAGTACTACCCTATCTGGTCTTTAGATTCCGACTGCCATACCGTATCGAATCTCATATCTATAAGGATATCGTCAAGGCATCAAGTGAGGGTTCTCATGAGCTGCGGTATCTCCTTTACGTGATTAATTAAGTTTAGGCTTTGCTGTTTCTTGCCAGAGAATTTGTCTTAGGTGAAAGATGATGGATAGGCTATCGTATATAAAAATATCTGCTCTAGTAGTTGAGAATACCCCGAGTTCAGTTTGATGTTGGTTGTGTGATAGTTATCCCCCTCCCCCCTCTTCTCTCTATAAATATATTAGATATCACAAATAAGCCAAACCTTACTACGATTTGATAAGAAAGAGAACAATCTCATTAATCAAGACAAGACTAGACAAGACACAGAGAACAGGAATATGCAGATGAATACCTATACTACAGCGAACTATATCATTACGCAGTAGCTCTAAGTATAGACTTGATGTCTATCGAGTTGAGTCATACAGAGCTTAAATAACTGAAGCTAAGCATGGGGAATGGACTGTTTGTTTTTGCAATTGCGTTTCTTGTGGTGTGGTGTGGTGGTTTTCTTTGTCTGTAGACTTACTAGGTACTATTATTGTGTTTAGTATATATTTGTGGGTGATGTTGGGGGGTTTGATACTATACTGGAACTTGGGTTGGTCTTTTAGACGATGTCACTTGGTGAGTTGGATCTCTGATTTCATGAAGTGAAGATACTCTCAATTAAAGTAGTATATGTTCATCTACATACATAGGTAGGACGATTTGTTGACAGCGTCAAGCGTATGCAGCAATGAAAGAGTCAGCTACATTACCAACACTATACTCATACTTCTCATATCCTTACTGCCCAGACCAATTTGTGTACAACCCATACATTAGGTATTGCTACCAAAGTTACTTACTACTAATCTATAATATCAACCCCGTCCTCGACGGAAATCCCGGATCAACCGTAGATACAAAATGAAACCAAACCATCCCGCTAAAGCAATATTAAATCAAGATACCCAACCAATGTTCAATCATACAGATTCGAACGGAAAATGTCACTGCATGCGATGCTGTAATCTCGTCATGCAATCAATCCACTGTGCAGCTGAAGTCAATCCAGCTCTTTTTTTACTTCTTCACACAAAATGCTTTTACCAGGTTTCCTAGGGGACGAGTTGGTTGGGTTGTTTGTAGTCAAAGTAGAGATAAGCGAGCACTTACGGCAATATACTGTCCTGCCTCCTTCTTGTTGTCCCAGAACAACGTCGCTTCTTCCATGTTGAGGTTACCCTTGGCCATGGCTACATCGACCAGGGCGGCCTCGACACCCTCGCCCATACCCTTGCCGCTACCGCAGACGAAGACACGACCGTCCAGGGCGTTGATCACGTACCAGACCAGATCGGCTTGGTTACGGACTTCTTCCTGAACGTACTTGCTCTCGCCGCGACGGCTCTGGACGACGGTGCGGACCTTTTCTTCTTCCACGCCCCACTCACCACGGTAGAGCTCGTCCAACAGGGAGTCGCGAACTCCCTGCAACACCCACACCTTGTTGGCGCAGTTGGCGGACTGCAGGCGTCGCTGCACGAATCCGCGGAACGGGGCAATGCCAACACCCGCTCCGATCAGGAGCATTGGGCCGTCGGATGCGAACCGCTTGGCCAGAGGGTTCGCCATCAGGCCTCGGAACATGGGCACGCTAAGGTTAAGAGTCCGTGGGTCGATGCCCTTCTTTTCGGCCTCGATCAACTGTCGTGCGACACGCTCGAGGTAGCCAGATCCTACACCAGTCCGAAGGCCACCCTTCCAGTCCTTAGATTCTGCCACACTGACCGCCACTTCGACCACACGCCGGGTCTCCGACCCCTTCTGCTTGCAGGAAAGGAGAGGGTCCTGGGAAAGGGAATAGAAGCGGGGCATGAGAGTGTTCAGGACAGAGAGGAGGTGATCCAAGGGAGGGTGAGAGGAGGGGAAGGCGTGCAGGAGCTGGGAGACGGTGATGTGAGAACTAGTGCGCAGATCACAGAAGGCACCCTGGCCTTGAGCGGAAGCAAGAAACATGAGAATCTTCTTCTCGTTGGGTTCACTGGCATATTCACCCAGCAAGCGGAACAGATCCTTGGTGGGGGCGTAACTCTGAATATCGGAGCACCAGTTCAACAGCTCTCTCCGGCTTGTGATCAACTCACGGGGTTGGTCGTCACCCCAGATAGTGGGCCAACGGCCCTTCTCAGTGCGAACAGTGATCTTCTTGTCACGCATAAACTTAGGAACACCGAGCTGGTTGAAGATATCATCCACCTCCTCGTCCTTGTTCTTGGGGCACACTCCAATGGCACCACCCACAATGAAGTCAACATTACCACTTTCGGCAGGGTAGTCGGTGACGTCAATGTCGAAATGATAAGTTCTCTTCTCCGCACCAGACTGGGTCAGCTCGCGCGCATGATACAAAGGCGCTCGGTAGACATTGTACGGGGGGTGAGGCTGAACGAAGGAAGGAGGATGGTCTGCTGGTCCCATTTTCATATCCACTGCCGAAGCCGGGACAGGCGAGAAGGAGACAGTCTTCTCAGGCAGAGGGGCGACGTTGCTCAAATCGCTGTCCAATGTGAGATAGTCAACTCTGAGGTTAAGGCACTGATACGCCTTGTTATCGGGAGGAGTGACGGGCTTCACTCCGACCACAGGAGCAGCAATGCCCCTCAATGGCTGGCTGCGACAGCACCCACCACCACAGCATAGAGGCTGGAGTTTTTGTGTGCCACTGGATCCAACATTTTCCAGGATACGTCTCATATCATCGGAATTCTGGGAGATGAGCACGGTGGATGCCCGTCGCTGCTTTTCAGGGCCATCGGGGATCAATTCCTCAGCATCGGATTGAATATCAGTGGCGGGAGTCTGGACACTCGACGCCGACTCAGAACTGGTAGTATCAGTCTCTGGCGACGAAGGTGCGGAGACGGTGAAGTTGGTGAAGTTTATATCAGTGATAGATAGCGATCGAACGCCACGAGGCTCCTCGGGAACCGGGTTGTCGGGGTGAGAGGTGGACGATAAGGGAATGCTCGCATGTTCCACATCGGGAGCAAGAGACGTCCGTGACGTTGCGGGCCTTGAGGGCGGAAGAACGGCGTGAACTGTTTACAAGTCGAGCGTCAACAATCGCACCCAACAGCTATGAACAAGCAGAGAGATCATCAACCATACCCATTGTGAATGTGTAGAAGCGATATCGAAGAGACGGGGAACGAAATCGCCGGCCCAGAGCAATTGGCGGGAATTGTTGGAGAAAAGGAAGAAGATAGTCGACGACTGAGAAATCGCAGAGGAATGGCTGGTCGACAGTAGAAAAGAGGAGCCACGGAAAAGGGGGCAAGCGAGGCCAGTGAACCGGCCAGGCTAAAGGATGAAAGTGGACACTGCAAGCGTGACGCAGAGACCCCGATGCGACCAGCAATCAAGAGAACAGGTCAGAAGTGGGAGATGAATCGTCGGAGAATGGGGGGTGGAATGAGGCGGGAAGCAGTTTGCCTGGGGCAGACGGCGCCGGGATAACGGTTCCGAGGAACTAGACGACGATGCGCATCAGATGGTGGGCGATTTAGTTGCTGCTTAGTCGGGATCCTTTGGACCTGTCGGGCCCTTTTTGGCGTACGGAGGATGCCGATAGTCCGACCGGTGGGCGTGAGGGGGCAGAAAGGAAATGAAGAACAGGCGATGGCTTCAGCTGAAACCAAATAGTTGAGGAATGTAGCCCAACACGTGCAGGAGAAAAATCAGATAAGTGGCCGCTGAAGGGACTGGCGGCGTCGCACACAATTATTATTCAACCATGAGGAAATGAGACACGAAAAGCGACCGTCGGCCTCGCCACTGGCCCCGTCGGTGAGGAACCGTCATTACCGTCACTATGTATGTAACTTTACCCGTCCTGCCCAAAACCGACGGAAGCGTTTATCCCACGCCAGGCAAAATGGACGAAAGATAGGCAGCAGCGAAGAACTATCTCCTCCACTTGATCAGACATCGACGGTACTATTAGTACAGCCTCTCTCACCGATTGGGTCATCTTAAGGGTTCAGACCCCGCGGGGGTGCAGACGAGTTGGCAGCCCGATCGGCAGCTAGCGGGATACTTTACTTGACGCGGTAGTAATTGGAGGCAAATGAATGGGCTGCCCTGTAGGTCGATGGAATCATTATCCCGGGATGAATATGATATCAGTCATACGTGGGATGCGAACCAACTGCTCAGGTCATCATCATCATCATCACCCCCCACCTCATTGCTCGCTGTGTGACCGCATCCAGATCGTTCATCCGGTGGTGGGCTGACAGCGGCAGTGGTCAGATTCCCCCGTACCGGTACGTAACAACCAGCAGCCGAGTTACGTTACCGATCTAATCTGATCCGGTTGCAACCCTCCAAGGTCAGGTTATGTCCTCGGCTAACCAGCTGGTGACTTTCCCTCTTTCCGTGGCACTTCAGTCGACTCCTCGATAGTTCCAGGAAACACAGAACAAGTACCGGAATGTTGCTCCGATTTTGTCCCCATGACCTTCCCCATATTGCCCCAGAAGAGGAAGAACCTCTCCGGATGATAACCGCATACCGTTCACGTGACCGGTGGCTAAGGTGTCTTGTTCCGGATCAGATAACTCAAGTCGCGTGTTGAGTCCGTGTGTCGCGGGACTCGATGCTCCGTGTTCATCCCACCTGGGTACTGTTAGCCCGAGTTCTCCCGACCTCAAAATCCCAATTCCTCAAAAGTAAATAACAACAATCTATTGAGTTTCCCAACATATGTACTATCGAATCGAACCGCCCCTCAACCCCCAATCTTCACATAGTACAACCCAAAGTCCGTAATTAATCGACGGAAGAAAACCCGCCTCCGGATCCGTGTTACCGCATGTGACAAGTCATCCGGGAGAGTGGGGCGCGTTCCGACATCGGCCGACGCGTTCGCTCGCCCTATCAATCAAATCAATCAGTCAATCAATCAGATATGCGTTCATCCCTTGAATCGATTGGAATCCCAGTACGTACAGGCCCGCAGCATCCCCATAAGGCTCGCCGCAACGTAATCATGACTAAAAAAGCACCACCTAGCGTCAATAGCCCTATTCTTCCAGAACGAAACTATCGGGTTCTGGAAGCGGGCTGGGGGAAGATCAGGGGGTGGATGATGCGATGCAGCAGACGGAAATACGGAGTTGAGTGTTCTGCATGCATTATCCTATCCCTGTGTTTTCTGTTGAGTTATCTCAACGGATACGTGCTGTGTACTCCGTATGTAGCACCGCAAACCGGGAAATTGCTGTGTAGGACGAGGAAGTTTTCTTGTTCGAATCATTCCGAGTCTACATCTAGGCTCGCGTTACGGTTACGCAATACCTATTCCGGCACCCGACGGGCTTATCTGATCGTGCTGAAACCCCAGGCCCCCGGGGCTAGATAGGTGCCGGACTAGCTAGTGACTAGTAGCAAGGTGGGTGAGTGGGCTCCCTTTGGGTTGGACACGGGAATCTGCTTAGAGTAGGTTGGCACGGCACAGTCACACAGAGAGGTGAAAAGTACGACACGTACTTTCTTTGTGGGGTTACCTACTCTGCTGGGGCTGTCGTTCCCAGTGTCTTTGTAGGGGGGTCTACAAAGTACATTCCATCCTTTCATACTACGATCCCAATTTGATTTGTGGACAGTAAGTAAAAACCTTATAACCCTTCCTTCGTTGTCCATGGCATTCTCTCTTTCTGTCGGAGAGTGCGTGCGACCTACACACGGTTACACACAAGGCATCCATCCATCCATCCATTCGGCAAGGATGATCGGGAAATAGTTCGCCAGAGATCCCTGACAACGGGAAGACGCGTTTCAAGGTCTGAAGCGGAATGCACCCTTGCCCCATGACACACTGTCAGAGAATTCCCCGCGACCAAATAATCTCCAGCAGACATGGGGGCGGGAGTATCTGACATCTGAGGGATAGTTTCGGATTGGTCGTGCAGGATGTGTCCGCGGGAAGAATGGATACCCAACTTCCGGGGTTTATCCTGACTGGGCCGCTTTTTGTTTGCCTTCTCGTTTTGGGATGGCGTTTGTCAGGTGGGACTCGAGTGGGGTTGGGGTGTTTGAGTTTATTTTTTTGGTTCTTTGGTGTTCTATTTTTGATGTGTGTAGATTTGGGGGTTGTGACTGATTGGGATCACTGTTGGGATGGTTGTTTTATTGTGTATATGCTACTATAGAATTTAGTGCTAATTGGATTAGAAAGTCAGCGTATGAATAAAAGGAAGCACTCTATTGTCAATACGCAGCCTCATTATATATCGCTCAGGTCAAAGTCCCTCCTGACCAACACCACGGGTGCAACAAACTGATACCTTCCCCGGAAGAAGTAATAGGCCGACGCAAACCCAACCACGGCCACATACATAACCACACTCCAATTCATACTCTGCGTGGTCACGGTCTTTGTCAGTGGGAAGAATGAAAAGATAAATATCGGTAGTAGAAATGCTAGACTAGCAATGTTGATGGCCATGCCGAAACGGCCGAGCGACCACCGCCGCGCTGGCAGCACTTCCCCACGTAGTCGCTTCAACAGAACACAGCCGATCGAGAGGACGTAGGCTGACATGAGAGAGGTAATTGTCAGAGACATTATGGCGTTCAAAGCTAAATTGGACCCGATGTTGATGAGGCTTAAGAGAACGGTAACGACGAGTGAGACCAGGACGGAGTTCAGAGGTATGTTCCAACCGGGAGTAACCTGCGCATCAATGGCATGAGTCAGAAGGGGTTTGTGATCGCTGAACGATGACACTTACATAGGCAAAGAAGGACGAAAATGGAAGTCCTTGGTCTCGTGCAAAAGACCAAAGCTGGCGAGATGCCGTGGCTACCTCGGTGATCGTGCTAGCTGTCAGTGTGATCACTAGTATAGCCGTCATGGTATTCGTGGCTGCGTAGCTATTGGTGGTGTTATAAAATATCTGGATAAACGGAAAGCCGGTTGGACTGCTCAGGATGTTGTTAACATCGCCCAGAGTGAAGCTTAGCGTAATTATCATGATGAAACCAAGGAGGCCATTGACACCAACCGCAGCCATCATGGCCTTAGGAAGCGTCTCTGATGCATCTTTGATTTCTTCAGCTGTTGTAATATTAGCGCCATATTTTTCGCAATACAAGAGGCGCTTACACATATGAACAGAGCAATCGAATCCGATCATGGAGGTGATAGTGGTGGACAAGCCAACCAAGGTAGCTGTGCCGGCACTTCCCCATCCACCTCCATCGTTGAAATCGGTAAAAACAGCTTTGGGACTGTTGCGAGGCGCAAGTACCCACAATGGGATAATAATAGCAAATAAACCAACCACATGGATGATGAGGATCAAACCCTCGACCATGGGAAGATTCTTGGCCAGGAAGGTATTGAATAGGATGGAGAAGGCAGTGATGGCTATCACGAGTAAGGTACCGTGCCACCGTTCGAAGACATATGTCGGATTATTTAGCACAATCAAACCTTGAATGATTGTGCCTGCGAGATATGCAATGGCGACAATGGCACACTGCCATCCCATCGCACAAAGCCATCCTATGTTTATCAGTACTATCATAGGGGATGTCAGGCTCTGAATATACCTGTTATATAGCTCAAGAAATTCTGTCCCCTACGAGGAGCAAATTCTGATACCCAGTGATACTGACCTCCCGATGTTGGGGACCTTGGACGCTCGTTAGAGTTGACACTCTTGTTGACAGACAATACTTGGCGATGTAAACGTACATAGATGCCATCTCGGCTATACTGGCAAAGACTAGAGCGAAGCCAGCCGTGACGATGATAAACCCCCATATCAATCCCGCAGTGCCCCCATCAGTCAGGCCACTGGATAGGAAGCTGCCCTGTAATTAGCCAAGAGCTTCACCATATCTAGTCAAATACTCACGTCAATATGACTTCCCATGTGGAAATCAGCGTGCAGCCAAACCCAAGGATTGAGACAAATCTGAAGTTTCTCTGTCTTGCATTATTACAAGCCAGCTAAGTCAAAGGATGTCGCCCTCACCCTAAGGACCTGAATTCGTCCCAAAGAACTCATGTCGCGTTGATCTCTGACAGTACCCATGTACTTAGGAGCCACAAGGCCCTTTGGCGCATACTCGACATCTCCAGGGCGGTTCACCTGTATCCGCCTTTGATCATTGATGCTATCAAGATCCATGGTGAGAAAGAGAGATGCAGTGAGCCGAGTCTAGTCAATTCAGAGAGTCAAAAGATGCACCAGGACAGATAATGTCAGTACTCTCCTCCAATGGTAGGTGGCAAACCGGCCGTCACTCTCTAGTCAGCTCGTTTGTGTGACATTAGATCCTCCCCTTCAGCTAAGCATAGCACGCTAAAGAAAGGCAAACGTTGGATAGATCCCAGAATCGAGGAGCGCATTGGTAGCATTTCAACGCAGATCGAGTGTGTTTTGCTTTTTCTGGTCTCAATTTCGGGATCATTATACGAGCGCGCATCTGGGCACAATGGGGTTTATAACCAAGACATCCAAGCGGCGGCTCGAGAGTCGGACCTGATAATATATTTTGCAGAATTCTAGAATTTTTGCTTTCAAGACCTCGACGGCATATGTCCTTACATATGTCTAGTCGCCATAAGAGAAGTCCACCGATACCAAGTAAGGGGGAGTGAAGAGAAGGCAGACAATCTCCGCGGAAGAGACCGAAGGCAGCCCGGGCTGATTTACCCCACGTTTGTTTCATAAGCATCGGGAGATGAGGAAGTCACTCCCTTTCAGAACAGGCAGACAAAAACAGTCTGCAGTGGCTGCTCTTTAGCTAATGCCCCACTGATCTGCAGCTTTTGTAAGCATGAAGGACTCAATCGCCTGATGAGAGAACACCATCACCGGGTCTACTCTGGTTAACACGCTGAAATGTTTCACATGTTCGTAATAGACGAGAATCGGAGCCTTCTCTACTGCGGGCAATCCCTGGCCATCAGTGAATGACTGGATCACCACATGATTCCTGGATTCAGCCACCCCGGATTATCGTTCCCAGAGGAGTCCCATGGTTGGAGATTATATTCACATGCAACAACAGATGGTTCAGCTTGGAGGATCCTTGGCTAAGTTGACATCCAGAACACTGAACAGTCCAATCTTCAAAGCTCAGGTCATGCTGATGTGAAAGACGCTTAGTATAGCTTGATAGAAGCCTACCAAATCTGGAATCCTAAAACATGTAACAATACATTATCAGGAGAACCTTAGGCAGGCAATGCCATGGCTTGTTAATGACGTCGGACGAATGCAATGCCCCCGCTTCAATAAAAGCAATTATATAAGGGTAGTATCCGCTCATAGTCGGGTACACCCCCAAAGGCTACTCAAGTTACTCGGCATCATGAAGATCCTCATCTTTGCTATTTTGTCCCTCGTTTCTATCACCTCCGCGGCAGTGATCCCCCTTCTATCCAGTCACTACACTCAGAACTGTGGCTATCTAGCAGTATCATGTGCGGGTCGCAGTTCGTATGACGACTTCCATAATTGTATTCAGAGAGCAATGCAAAGCGAAGGATGCGGTTATAGTGGCTAAGAGACAAGGTTGTCCCTCCCTGTTCCTAACATAGTGCTTCCCAGATCCTTCTCTGAGTTGCATCAACTAATTTGCATTTAGGGCCGTGATATGGGGTCAGTTCAATCTGAAGCAAGAAGCATGCTTGATATGGGAAATCTATCCCGGAAGTTTAGCTAGGAAACACGATGAAAGGGCAAGGGATTGGTTGTCATGATACCTATAGTAGTGCTATGTTCACCGGCATGTCCAGCTAGCACGAATTTAAAAACTAGTTTTTGGGAAAGGAATTCCAAAAGGATACCATTTCATTGTACAATGTACACCTACATGTTCCTAGAAAATCCTAATCAAAGAGTTGGGGCGTGGGGGTTGCCTGCTTTTCCCATCCACGACGATCTGGGTAGGACAACGGGAGGCTTCCCATCAGCATCGCAACCACCTGCATCCCCTCGTGCTTCCACCTGACAGATCGCCAGAGACAACGTGGGCAAGCATGCAACCCAGTATTCTGCGCTTACTTCGGAGATCTAGATCAGCGCAGACTCACCGTTCATCTCCCAAGGCGGCCCAGTAGTCATGCTTGCTTTCGCGCAACAATTGGAAAGGAGTATTCACGCTTTCCATCCTCTGAAACCACAAAGCGAGGCAACGGAGCGACTTATTACTCTCTTAGCCAATGCCCTCAACTCACGACTTCCGCGCCGTTCCGACACTGCCATCCTGGCAGGTGGTAGCATGCCTGAAAGAAGACATGCTCCTATACATGCATCATGTACTTGCATCGCTCTAGATCAATCCCAGAGGGTTGGCAACCAACCATGACGAAGAAACCATAGAAAAGCAAACAAGCATGTCCACCATGCATAAGAAGATAACTCCGTCATCGTGGTCAATGCCCTCGTAGTTGGTCTTTGCTTTCGTCTTTCTGCTTCCAGGATCCGAGGGCCATCCTCCACCATGGGTCCATATGTCCCTCCAGGACAATCACCTCCTTTCCAAGTGGTAGATGATTTGCATCATGGAGCTTGGGTTATCATCACGGGGGCTCTTGGGCTGGTCTTATCGCTAGTCAGCTTCTTCATCCGGCTCTATGTGCGACTTGCTCTGCATCCACCGTTCGCGTATGACGATTATCTCCTGCTTGGAGCGACAGTATGTTCTTCTTCTTCTTCCTGCCTTCGATTTATAATCAGACCGCACGGAGCCAAGGTAACAAGAGCCGACCTGACAGGCCGTGGCGATTGTGCAAGCGTCATTGCTCTTCGACGCCGTGTCACATGGTTTCGGGACATCAATCAACCTCCTGCAGCCCGAACAGGTGAATCAGATCCAGACAGTACGTTCAACCCACAACCAACCCCTAAGCCCACCAACCCCTAAAAGCCCCCCCTTCCAGCTCATAACAGTCAGCGATATTCTCTACTTGATCACCATCTACATCTCCAAATGCTGCGTCTGCGGTATCTATCTCCGTCTCACGCCCCAGAAATGGCACAACCGAGCCACCCTCACCACTCTCGCTCTCTGCACCGCATGGATCATTCCAGCCGTTCTCATCATCGCAGTAAACTGCGAACTCAACCGTCCCTGGAAAGGATCCGGAGGACAATGTATTGATCTGGTACTTCCCCCCCCCCCCTCCTCTCCCATCTCCCCAACCCAATAACAACAACAAACTAACAACCCAAGCTCCAACGCTGGCAATTCATCGTCGCATTAGACATAACCACCGAACTAACCCTCTTCGGACTATCCACCGCTCTCCTCTGGGGACTGTTCATGCCATTTAAACGCAAACTAACCATCGGGTTCGCCTTCATGTTTCGACTTCCGTGAGCTTCCTTCCCTCTTACCCCCTTCCCCAGAAAATACTAACCCATACCTCAAAAGCCTAATAATCTTCTCCATCTTCCACATCTACACCATAAACCGCAACGCTCACACCCCCGATCCCACATTATCCATCGTCATACCCATAATCTGGGCCCTGGTGGAACTCAACTACGCTCTCGTGGCATGCAGCGTCTTCTGTCTGCGACCTTTTATGGCGGCTGTGAGCACCAATTACGGTACAGCGGGGGATTCGAATCTCGAGAGTAGTGGGGTGTCGAGATCGGTGAAGGTGGACTCGGAGTCGAGACCGAATTATTTGGTATCGGGTGAGAGGAGATCTTGGAGGATGTCGAGGGGGTTGGAATTTGGTTCTGGAGTTGCGGTGACGAGACCGATTGAACTTGTGGATATGGAGGGGGGGAGGGGTGGTGGTGGGAGTGATGATGGGAGTGCGAAGATGATTATTCGGAAGGATGTGGAGTATACTGTTGAATATAATGGTGATGGCAGTGGTGGGGGGTCTGGGTTGGGTATCGCTGGGACGGACTGGACTCGGTAGTAAGTTGTCTGTCATGAAGGGTGTTATGTAAATATTGTCCCTATATGATCAGCGTGGTAGGTAAGTAGTTATGGAGGAAAAAACAATTCACCGCTATTTATAATGATGGTTATCTATATGTACAATTCCATCCAGTGAAAGAATATACCAGACGACGCCTGCTCGCCCCACGTTAAGAAAACAATGAAAACAAAAAAGCACGACCGCATTATTATTGACTCGCAGCAGTCGGACGCTTGAACGGATGCGCTTCAGTATTCCTGCCCCAACACCGTTAGCAAAAGCATCCACACGGTCCTGAAACCATGAACAAAAGCACTTACAATACATATTCATCCAGATTTACGAGATCCGGCTCAGAGAAAATAAGATAGAAGTATTTCAGCGTCTCCGCTAGCCAGAAACTCTCCATGTAGTCCATTTGCGGTGACTCGGGGTCCCGAACATCGGAGATTGCTGCATGTCCGTACGAGGTGCGTGTCATTCTCTCGATGTTTTGGAACATCCTCCAGGCGGCATCTTGCAGAGATCTGTCTCCTGTTAAGCGGTACATGATGAATACCGACTCGATGGCTTCGGGTCTATGATGAAGTTAGTTTAGAAGCGATGTATGTAGAGGAGCATAGGGACATACCGTAGCAGGTACTTGGCATCTGGAATATCAGCTACGCCTGGTGGGAGTTTCTTTCCGTCCGATGTCGTTATCCCGGCGCGGGCGCTTCTGGACAATTTGCAGTTTTCGGTGTTCTTGCACACGGTTAGATGCAGGGTCTCGGGCATGATTCCGGTGGGCATGACGTCGTAGGCCCAAATGCATCCGTCGACTAACTTTCGTGCAATAGATAATTCCTCTGGACGGTCAAAAACCTTGGCACCGATGCCTACAGTGCCTCCGAGGTAGCATTTGAGATGCTCCCATTGGGGCTCTAGGGTTTCATTGCCGTCCGAGGGTGCAGGGACACGCATGTTTCCAGCAAAGAGGATATCTCGGCCATCCTCAGTCTTCGGGCGGAAAAGCAAGTGGCTTTTCAATGCTTTCATGAAGGAGTTGTACATTTTACGGTACTGACTTGTCTGTCCTCCCAGCAGCATGTGCTCCTTAGGGAGGTACTCGTATGTCGAGTCAGCCATTCCTCCGATAGTGAATCGGGGGTCAGCAAATTCCAAATCCTTGGCGTTGACCATCAGGGGCCACATCCCAGGTACATTAGTTTTTTCTTGGGATCCTTCGAGGAAATCGGTGATCCTTTGGATAGCGTCAAAGTACTTGGGGTCATGGGTCAGTTGAGACAGCCGCGTGAATTCCAGGTTCAAGGACCCGAGTTCAGCAAGTACGGTGTTTCGGCCGGCCTCAATCTTCAGACCTCCAGCAGATCTAGACCCCGGTTAACACGATTCTGCTCGTTTGCGAATGGCACCCCAAGGATACAACGGAGTAATTTGATGATCGAGGGATCTGCCTCTATATGCCTTACCTGGTCCATTCCCACCGCGATTGCGGCATTCGGTTACGAGTATCGAAAGACCCATAGATCATATCTGCAATTTCAACTGCCTTCTTCAAGAGAACCGGATATCTACCATTGGTCAAATCATAAGCACCAAGAAGCCCGCCCAAGTAGCGGATGTTGGTCTCAAAGATATTGATTTGGATGGCATTAGTGGTCGTGAAATCAATGAACTCGACTGCTTCAACGGCTTCCTCAAATTCGTCCATGAGGCCCATGATAACGAGCGTATCCAAGGAATCGACAAGAGTAGCTGCCCAACCCGCAAATGTTTCGCGGTGGCCACCGCTTAAGGGCGAGAGTTCATCTTCTAGCCAGGCATTATCCTTATATCCTTTCCACGCATGCTGGAATGCTTTCTTGACCGCATTCTGCCTTTTCACTCTTCCCCATCGTGCGAACCACGACTCCCTAGGGAAGTCATACTGGACCCGTGGGATAGGCGATGTCGCAGTCGTGGGAAGAGGAATGTAGTCGGAAATTGGGTATTGTTCGACATGCTTCCGCCAACGAGCCCTACCTTCTTTGTGTGGAGGAGGGTCGGTCGAGTATTGGTGATGGTGATGAGGTGGCTCCGCACCAGGCGGTAGGTTTGAGAAAAGAGCGTATGTAATGCATAGGAGAATAATGGTGGGAAGCAGATAGCTCCGTCGCGATATCATCATGGCGAACAATGAAAAGTACTGGATTTAGGATCGCTAAATGAACGATGAGAAGACACTAAGGGAGAGGACAGCTGTACGGAGTACAGCAAATGGATTATATTAATCAAGAGCGAGGTAACATCAGGGATGCGAGAGCATGCTCGATGTCAGGCTAAACAGAAGTCGGCTCAGCTTGATAACGCCGCGCAGAGATTAAAAGAGGGAATGGTTCGTGAGGTCGACTCGAAAAGACTGATCGAGACGACGGTTATTTGCAAGGGCAACACGCCGGTAGGAAACTGGACAAGACATTGGGGCCGTATATATCCTGTTGCCAGGGAACACCCCTGGTCCGGCCCTTCTGTCCCAGTCAAAGCTAGCAAATAAGCATGGACGGCGCAGTGGAGGTATGTTGCATCCAAGCGCTTATTGCTCCATCCCATAAGCAGCCAGTCATGGGTGGCATGTTGATCGCAAAGACGCGAGTGTGAATCCGCAAAAAGGTTCACTGACGACTGAACTTACCGGAGTAAGTAATAGCTGAGCGGAGCGCAAACAAGCAATATGGCGGAAGGATCTGCTCATTGCGTAAGCTAGTGGTCCCCTGGACCCTTGCCGGCTCAAGGATCGCGAAGGGGGGAGGTTTAATCCGACTTTAGTGGGTGCCATTTTCTATTCTTGACCTGTTGACGTCCTCGACTTCAAAACTAAGACCCCCTTGTGGCCTCAGCCTCATTGACGGAGTATTTGTCCCGCGTCTTGGCCCCGACAGGCAACAGACCAGCAAAGAACTGAGATTAGGAATCTGTACCCCCTGGGGTTGTTGGCACACTCCGAGACCCAGGTCTAGACGGACCAAAGGCCGCGCCTCTGGTTGCTCAATCAAGGGTAGAGTCGGGGATAGAATGTTCGAGGTGGAGCCCCGAGGACCCAGACGGCCCAGCAATTAATTGCGTGAGGTGGAGGCGGGCCTGGCAGAACGCCACGGAGAACGGAGCCGATACGGACTACGGAGGTCGGAGGCTCACAAAGCCCCAGGCAGGCGGGCGGCCGGCCAGGCCTGAGGCCAGATCACGGGCGAAACCTGTTTTGCTCGGTTTGCATCGTGGCCTGGCTCCCCAGGCACCTACTCGGGCAACCTGCTTCAACACATGACGGATCAAACGGCATTGTTATTATTTGGGGCCAACACTCAAGACCAGGCGACAAAATTAGAACTCTTGCATTAACATCCCTTTTATTAGACACTCCGTATTGGACCTTAGTACGTCAGGATTCTCACCAATAATCCGGCCCCTACCAAAATGCCCCTTCCCTCACAATCAATTTACTGATTGGGTAATAGCCATAAGCACCCTTGACATGAATGCTGTGCGCTGCGCAATTTGATATCGCAGTCGCTAGCAATTGAATTCACTCTCTCCATCATTTTGCGCTTAGAAGATACCCGTCTTGCGTTCCAAAATCTGGCACGTGCTTGCATCTGTATCCACCCCGATCAGGATCGAAAAGAAACTTCCATAGAGCCTTCCTCCCCCTTCAATCTCAAACAAAATGCCTATCACAGGGTAAGCGCATGACAACTATCATGCCTGAACCCTAAGACTAACCTCACCCCATCAGGGTTTACTTCATCCCATCAAATCCTAATGCATCCACCGGGCTGGCGACAGTCACCGAGCGCCTGCACACAGCCCTAGCAGATGAGCCAACTGTATTAGGCCGTTGGTTCCTAGAGCACAGGCTGATGCGGGATACACCATCATGTGTTCCAGCATCAGCCTCCCAACGACAAGCGCAACCGCGATACATGCAATTCTTGTCTCTTTCCTTTCATACAAATCATGGCTTCATCTACACTTCCGAGGCGCCTGAGAAAGGTGCCGGACACCACCCCACGACCTCTACAGCCGGGTCACCCGTCAACCCTCCTCCAATGGGAGCTACAGGCCCAGCACCTGTACCTCCCAACCCATCTGCTGCAGCACAGCCATCTCAGTCCGGAGGACAAATGGTAATGACCACCGTGCCACTTCCATCCTGTAATGCACTCTTCCAGCATTTTGGCTACTCCTGCCAGCCCTTCTGGTGCCATCGACACACAGTCACAGTGAATGGTGCAGTCTACGACGTGGGCGATTTCCGGGTCCGAGTTGGTGATGTGAAACAAACTCAACCGGCAGCGAGGGTTCGGGGGACGGTTGTTCAGATTGAATGGCGGGGTCCGTCCATAGTTGATTCGATTGCAGCCCAGAGTCTGGCCAGCAAGCTAGGTGGCGGGCAAATGGCTGACGATGACTCCGGCATTGATATGGCATTTCCGGATGCCATAGAGGATGCGGATATCGATGCCGAATATGCGGCGAGTGCTGCGTTAATTCGGGAGTTCTGGGCCCGGTTGGGCATCGATGGAGCCAGGGATGCTATCCTGCTGCCGGATGTGGGGAAGGAGGTCAAAAGTCAATTGAGGAGGTTGAAGCAAAAAGGCTCGCAGACTGTTTTCGATGATAAGACTTTGCAGCAAGTGGACGAGGATCCCGATCCGGATGCGGGTGTGGATGTGGCGAGGCAATTTATGGAGATCCTGAGGTTTAACCGGTAAGGTTAGGAGGGCTCAAGATTGAGATGTAGATTCGTCGATATATCCGCTTCAATATGTCTATATGAAGAGGCTTGGCTATGAAGCTAAATCGTGGTAGATCTGGTGTAGATCTCTTCTAGACTGAGTTTCCGTGGCGTGTGGTACGGAAATCTACGTGATGGACATGGACAGCTGTGAGAGGGCTCTGGAGGGGGTAATCGACGTCACACAACCCCTCATCATCTGTCGTTGTTTGATTAGATCCAAAAACGTACTCCCATATAAGATACGCCCATCCCATGTGGGTGCTGGAGAGAACAGTTGTCAATAGTCAATTGATTATTATCATATGCTTTCGAGTTACTACGATAGATCAGAGAATTGGCGGCACGAATCGGAACACGGGAGCTATAAACAACGGGGCAAGGGGAAATGAGGAAATGATGGCATGAATAATGACAGGCAGCCCTCGCGGGACATCAGACCAGAATTTCCCGGCAAGCCCGGGAGAATCCTGTACCCCTAATCAGACACATTCAGCCTCAGCTCGCTTAAATCAGTTTAGACTTATGGTCGCCTCTACCGTCCCTGCAACATCAAAACCAACAACGATAATGCAAGCGCTCGACCGTGAGAGGAAGTAAGAATCATAGCCAAATGATGAAACTACAAGAGACGGGTTGAGATAAAAGATGGGACATTGTGGAGTAGATTTCATTGCTCCCACCCTTTCCGCTAACACAAGACAAATAGAACATGATAAGCCGTTTATTTTTGCATCATGAGCTGGACGAACTCATTATCTGGACACCAAGTTAGTATGCTGAACGCATGTGGTTGTTGACAGGAAACATACAATCAATGCGGCCGTCACCGTCCTGGTCCGCCTCACGGATCATCTCATCAACCTCATCGTCGGTGAGCTTCTCACCGATGGAGGTCATGACATGACGCAGCTCAGCAGCGGAGATAAAACCGTTGTTATCGCGGTCGAAGACCTTGAAAGCCTCGCGGATCTCCTCCTCGGAGTCGGTGTCTTTCATCTTACGAGCCATCATAGTGAGGAATTCTGGCAGAAGTTAATACCCGATCCGCATTCCCGCTTCGTATAAACATAAGCCCGCCACATACCAGGGAAGTCGATCGTGCCGTTGTTGTCAGCGTCAACCTCGTTAATCATATCCTGAAGCTCAGACTCGGAGGGGTTCTGGCCGAGCGAGCGCATGACAGTGCCCAGCTCCTTGGTGGTGATCTGGCCTATTTCCCAAGTCACATCAGTATTACGGCTCAAGTCGATCAAAAAACAGCTTTCGGAAACCCGCGGTCGGTTCGGTCGCCATAGGTAAACACGAAGGGAATAGGGTTCCACCCACCATCGCCATCCTTGTCCTATCGGATTAAAGCACATGAGCATATATTCTTGTGGAATATTTTATCGCTTTCGCTGGTCGGAAGTCATTCAGGGGGTACTTACAAAGAGGGAGAAGGCCTCCTTGTACTCGGAGACTTGCTCTTCGGTCAGAGAGTCGGCCTAGATGTTGCGATGTCAGCAATTCTGTCGAGAATGCCAGGCAGATCTGCCCCGCAAAGTGGGGGATTTTCAACACAACTGGCCAGGACGGCGAGGGAAGAGCCACATACCATGATTAAGATGGTAAGAAATAAGTAGCGGGAGAAAAGCGAAGCTGTGGATATGAGTGAAAAGAAACAGGCAAGCTGGTGGCTTTACGGTAGCGGTAAAGGCAGCGGGGGAAAGAGGAGGTGGTGTTGGTGGTGGTGGAAGATGATTTAAGGGGAACCCGAATCCATCATAATAATAAATGACCACTGAGCTGAACGCCTGGCAAGGCGGTCGCTTATGCCTGAAACGTGACCCGCCCTGGCCACCATGTGCCCGCAGCGCCTGGAAAGGCTGACTGCCCGCGCCCGTCTGTCAGTCAACTCGCCTCCTTTCCCCCTCCCCAGTCCAGTTCCCATGGATTGGTTGGTTCCTATTCCTTCAACTGCTGCATGATCGCTGCATCCCATCATACTTGCCTGCTGTAAACGCCCGTTGCCTTGTCGCGATCAGTCTTACAGCTGCATGTTGGGTGCAGCCTTGTATGTGAGCCTTATGTACCTTCTGCCCAGTTGCTGACGACTACTGCCGTGGAGCCCCGGCAGTACCAAAGCTTGAAGGCAACAAGTCCCGCCTGCTCTTCCCAGGACGAACCTTGTTCACCCACTCTACCCGAGAACCCTTCTATGGGACACTTTTCTATGGGACACTTTTGTACCTGACGATTCAGTCATGCCATCACGGGTCGTCAATTGTCTCTTCTCTCACTGACTCATAAGTCCGTTGTCTAAACTAATTCCGACAACTAGACACCGTTTCTGTGCTGGTCATGGCGGTATAGATATGCGTACTTGGCACAATTTGTGCCGGGGCACGAATCTTACCTCGACAACTCAGATAGACAATGATATTGTTCGACTTCTCTTGGAGAGATGGACATCGAACGATGAAGAGTACATCCAAGTGCGCTTTGAACTTTGTCCCAGAAAAGTGATCCGTCTCATTAGGAGCAGTCCTGTACCTGAGAGTCCCATAACTGTTTGATACTAATGCGCAGGCGGCCAGTCAAGAATGCAGTCAAGATATCTATTCAACGTGGGTATGACGGTCCTTGGACATATTTCTGTCTTAAGCTTGGCCTTGGCAATCTACAACAGCGAGTTCTTATAGAAGAGGAACGTTCACATGATTCTTCCTGCTATGTTGCATGCGAGCTTCATAGCACCTCTCGGTCTCGATCAGTGTAGACCTTTGGCCATTTACTATTGAGTACCATATAAATAGAACAAGTGGCTAACGTCGCACGATGTAACCGTAACCGAACAAGGATGTCCAAGCATTTGAAACAGCGCAACAGTGCGCTCACTAGGGGTCGTGATAGTGCTGCAATTAAGTCGCAGCGCCTTCACCGTTGTACCAAGACATGAAAGCCAAAGCTGTATACGCACGAACGATGGACATATCGTTCCCCTTCGGGGCATCGTCCCCCGAATACGACGACCTCCTCGATCAAGATGCATAATCTCGCATAATTACTCAGGCATGGCATCAGAGCATCGTGGCTGACGTAATATATTTAGATCGGCGCGGCTGCTACCGCATTGGGGTTGGTGCGGTCGTCCCTTCATGTGCAACATGGAGATCGAGCTCCGGGAAGTACAGACTACAGCGGTGCTATCGGATTCATCCTGCTGCAAACGAGCTCACGCAGAAACGGCCTCATTCCTCGTCGCATTGAACGCCCTATATCCAGACATCCTGTGTCCCGAGTTCTTGTGACTCGCTATCTCGGTGTTCCTCTGACGGCATCCCTCGGCCAACAATGATCAGGGTAGCCTAAGAGCACCCCCGACGAAGGATTACCGCAGAACAGCAACCCCTTCACGATGTGGCGGGACCGCACCAACCTGTAACATCCCCAAATCGGACCATTCTACGCAGCGAATATAAAGAACTGACCATCTTCCAAAAACAGCTACATCTCCTACCGACAGTCGTTTGCGCATCACCCAGCCAAGAAGCCACGTTATCTCGGAGCATCCAATGGCTTTTCCGATAGCCCGTCACAGCCCGAAGAAAGCCGACGACTCATTTCAGACACGGGAGGACTAGACGACGATGGCGACGCAATCATTGAGATGGACGTTTTACCCCCGCGCTGGGTCGATGTACAGGAAGAAGTGACGGAACTACTAGCGGACATTGCGCAGAAATCCGCCCTCCTGGATAAACTACATCAGAAACACCTTCTACCTGGATTCGGCGACGAAGATGCAAGGAAGCAGGATGAGGTTGTGATAGAGCGACTCACACAGGAGATCACGCGCGCCTTCCACATGTGCCAGAAGGCGGTTCAGAAGATCGAGGTGATGGTGCGGGAGGCTAAACAACAGGGTGGGGTGAGCAGCGGAGATGAGACGATGGCCAAGAACTTGCAGATATCTCTTGCTGCGAGGGTGCAAGAGGCTAGTGCCCGGTTTCGCAAGAAACAGAGTAACTATTTGAAGAGTGAGATCATTTGATTTGTCCTAATGTGTTTGTTGGGCTAACCGCATGGTCTGATAGAGTTACGAGGACTGGAGGGTGGATCAGCGCCGTTTGAACGATCCCCGACCCCGATGCAGAACCCCTACACGGACCCTTCATTGATGGAATCCGACGCGGACAAGTCATTCTCGCAGTCTACGCTGATACAGACGTCGCAACGACTGACGGGTCAGAATGATGCAGCCATTGAGCAGCGGGAGCGGGAAATCAACGACATCGCCAAAGGGATTATCGAATTGTCGGATATCTTCCGCGAGCTACAGGCTATGGTTATTGATCAGGGTACCATGCTGGACCGGATAGACTACAACATCGAGCGGATGGGGACGGAAGTCAAGGCCGCGGATAAAGAGCTTAAAGTGGTATGTCTGCGTCAATTGCGGTGTACCGAGAATTTTTTTGACTGATCTATCTGCGCCTTGCAGGCCACGAACTATCAACGACGTACAGTGAAGCGCAAAGTTCTTCTCTTATTGGTGATCCTGGTAGCAGGTCTGTTTATTGTTCTACTGGTGAAGCCGAAGAAGCACAGTTCCCCGGATCCCGCCCCGGCACCGGCCCCGGCACCGGCGCCGCCTCCCCCGCAAAATGAACAGCCGCCCGCTGTGGCTTCTCGAGCATTCATGACCATATCCCGCCGGAACAGACGTCCATCCTTGTCACGGGCCGCGAGAAACAAATGGGGCGATCCAGATATATATCGATAGCTCGCATTTCAGTATTCGATGATAATAGTAATGAGACTAATTCAAATGAACTCAGCGATTGATCCATTAATTCTGAGAAAGATTATATGCCCAATGGACATCATGTTCAAAGTATAGCTAATCACATAAACAGTGAAAATCCAGCCACTATCGTAACAAGCAAGGATGGCTGCATCTCCCTACTACGGGAAAGGAATACCTACAACTTCAGTAAATAGCTCGAACAAATGGTTTTCAAAAGGTGGTCCGCCACGAAGGGGACTTTCAGTGAGCCTACTGCTGGGCATCACTCTCTTGCTTAAGAAGCTCAGCAACATCTGCATCTAAATCGCCGCTGGCGAATTGGGCATAATCCTCCTCTTCGTGGGTAACCTTGCGCTTTTTGGCATGAAGCCCATTTGAGCCGTCCAGTTGGTGCTCACTCATTTCCATAGAAGGGAGGCCTGCCAACGAAAAAGAAGAATCGATGGAGTTTCCGAATCCTGGCAGGGTGAAGCCACCTAGAATCTGGGGTTGAGTAGGTGCCGCACCAGAATTTGTCTCCTGTGCTGCCTGTTTGGGGGAACCAACAGGAGTAAGGGCCTCTACGGGCGGGGGAGTTAGGGCCTCAACTTCAGGACGGGAAATAGGATCTCCCTCTACCCCAGGATCTCCGTGGCTGACCGCGGGCGAATTTTCAGCAGAAAGCCCCCGCATGATCCCATCTTCAACCTCTCGCTTCGTCGCCTCCGTCTCCGCTTTTCTTTCCTTCAGCTGCGCAGCCGTTGCTTGCTCCTTCAACAAGGCTGAGCGATTGGTTTCGAGTAGCTTCTCAAGACCGTCGATGAGCAAGCGGCGTGATCTGATCACCTCTGAGACAGAGCTCTCTGCGTTCGCAAGGGCTTTCAACAATTGACTTAGTCGAGCAGCATGGACTGGGGGTGTTGGCAAAGGTGTGTTGGAATCATGAAGCTTATCATACTCCCCATTAGCTATTGCGGTTGGTCCCACGGAAGCCAGTGTGACTTTGGAAAGGGTTGATTGTAGCGGCACCAGAGGCTGGAGCTCAGGTGGTGTTGAGACCGACGAATTTGAGAAAAGAGAGCCTCCTAGCAAGGGCTTTTTACCGGTAGAACGCGACTTATCGATTTCTATAACTAGGTGAGACGGGCGAATGGGACAGAAAGTGAAGGGTGCCCTACCATCAACTCGAGCCTCTACAGCCTCCTGGATGGGAAGCTCAAAGATTTGTCGTTGTCTCCACACTTCGACCACCCGACGAAGCTTTTGCTGGATATCATTTGAGGAGCCTTTGTATGCGATAGCCGTGGCCTCTGCGATAATCTGGTAAATGTTAGCTTTTACTACGTCTCAGTACCCGTATGACAAGACTGACCGGTGAAAATGCGACGACAAAGTCCTCCTTCCGCCGGGCCTTTGACTGTTGTACAACCTCTGGGAACTGTTATTAGTGCCAGGCTACCATCGGCAAGGAAAGACTGGCCATACCATTAGCCAGATATATCAGGTTCAGACGTTTCGGTGCTGGCGAATCGCGGAGCTTTTGCAGCCAGAGTTGTCCTGTCCGTTCGGCATGCCGTCTAAGATCCATGGACGTATTAGCATAGCTTTAGGATACATGAACAGCTGTCATCTTGCCTGTGAAACATCACCCATTGCGCAACTGTGACAATGCCTTCCTGCGTTTCGTTGAGCGCGGAGAGCTTCGCCTTCACGGCATCATCTGTATAGGCCATGCTGATTTCCCTATGAAATCAACACAGTAGAGAGTGGTTCTTGTGACAAAGTCATCAAATGGTGTGTGAGGAAGGCAGTGCGTTTTGCTCGTCGCAAGCTAGTGGCTGAATCGTTACTCCCTGGGCGCGTATGTCGAAATGAAAGGCAATGGGCACAGTCACCCAGGCAAGAGGAGCGATAGCTAAGACCGTCTCAATATAAAGTCAGGATGATCTGAGCACCCCAGCGAAGATCTAGTGTGAAGGAGAGAAAGGTTCTTGAGGAGAGTGAAGCTCATCCGTCGCACCTGGAGTGCAGTGCAGTGTAGCTGTGCGACCGCCTTCCCCGGCAGAATCCGGGGGGTTCTCTATTCATACTTGGAACGGTCCGTCCGCATCCTCAAGACGCCAGCTGGAACCTTACATTCAACTTTCCATCTCTCTACATTTCTCCCAATCTCACAATCAAGCATTCCTTGCGACTTCAGCTCCCCTTCTATCATACTTTATCAAGCGAACATAATGGCGGATCGCTTCCCTTCGTTGGAGGACTTCTCTGCGGGTGAGCAGTCGGCATCATCGCCCGCCAACACTACATGATGACACTAATCGGCTTCTAGGCCAGACCGAAGTTGTCGAAACAAACGGTGTATCGGATGAGAACGATTTCCTAGCTCGTGAGCGTGCTATGCTCGGTGATGATGCAGAACAGTTTGCGACCCCCCAAGATCATGTCGCTGCCGACGATGTAAACAATGATGACTTACTGGGTGGTGCGGATATCGCTCCGGCCGCCGGGGATGTTGAGCCTCAGGAGATCGCTGGCTTCGAGTCCTCCTTCCCGGCTCTTGATACCCAGAACGAGGTATGAGAGTCTCCTGGTGATTAATTGGAAGTATTCTTGCGCTAACATAATTGCGACTCAACAGCAAGTTGCCCCTGGTGGTACGATTACTGGATCGGGTGCCCCCTTCCCACCTACCGGCTATTCCAATTATACTTATCAGGCACCAGAGGAGGACCCAGAGCCTGTTCGGTATGTTAATTCATCCTTATTTCAGGCGCCAGGACTTGCGCTCTCTCCTCGGTACTATGTCACTTGTATGAGCTCCGTGTGCTGATTGTGGGTCATTTACAGGGAATGGCGTGAGCGGCGAGATGCGGATATCCAGCGTCGCACGGAGATCTCAGAAGAGAAGAAAAATGCTACTATAAACAAGGCCCGCGAGGATATTGACGACTTCTATGTCTCGTACAACAACAAGACGGACAAGCTTCGTGCCCAGACCCGTGCTGAAGCGGATCAGTTCCTGGCTAACCGTGAGGATACCTCGTCCGGAGGCACCAGCTGGGAGCGCATTGCGAAGCTTGTCGACGTCTCTGGAAAGGGATCTAAGGGCGGTGCCAGTGGCTCCGGTAAGGAGCGCTTCCGTGAGATGCTTCTTGATCTCAAGAAGGACCAGAATGCCCCCGGTGCCGGTGGTGTTTAAGCAACCGATCTCATCAGGGTGGCACTATCATACGGATTATGGGTCAAAATCTACGATCAAGTCTACAATCCGATGATATATTCCAACATCAAAGTCGAAGAGAATTGAAGCACTTATGGAGATTAACCCTTGTCCTCCCTGCTTTCCAGCGCCATTATCATGACCGTCACCTTCCATATCACTCCAAGTGTCTATCATATCCTTCGCCTAACCGTGTATTCTTGCACAGCGCAAAGTACTCGAGCTAATGGTTGTTTTCTCAGTACATGTGTCTTTTTCTTCACTTCCTAAACACATGTTTTTTTATTTTGCTTATTTCCCCTTGATGTAGGTAGACCACATGCACATTTGAACCCCTTAATTGTCTCCTTTCATTCACTTGCCCTCAAAAGAAGTATGGTGCATAGCCCAAACATCGAAAGAGCTGATAACCACCAAGTGTACATGTTACAAGGAGCGAGCAATCACATACTATACCCATTCCCAGGCGCATAATAGATGCATTATGAACAATTTGAGTATATGCCAAATAAACAATAACAGAGCTGCTGTTGAGTATACACATCCAGTCATCCAGCAGATGCACAATCATCACTCATGCCCTCAGTCCAGCTCAGTGACATCACCCCCCGGCTCTCCTATTTCCTGTTGCTCCTCTCTTTCCCTCTTATTCTCAGCCTCAATCTCCTCTAGCCTCTTCCTGCCTTCTTCAGTGGTCGCATCAACGATGCCTTCCTCGAGGCTTAACATTCCGCTCTGCCCCAGCTTCTCAACGACATCCTCGGCTTCCTCGACACTCATCTTGCCGAGGACCTTGTTGACCTCATCCAGGGACTCCGATGCAAGTGCTGTTTGCAGATCCTTGGTGAAGGATTCGAAGATCTTGCGTGCCTCAACCTCAATCGGTTCGTTACTCTCGGCAGCAGGGATATTGATGGTAATCTTGGTGTTGGGGTCAACCGCATGCAGCTGGATCTGTTCCACGCCTGCCGGATCGTTGGATGCAGAGCTGTCCTTTGCAAGCTCCGCCGCACGGGTCTTGATCTTATTGTAGGTTTCATTGACGTCATTGCGGAAGAGGGTTCCTGCCTGGTGGTCTGCCGTCGTGATGCTACACGCATACACATGTTAGTGGTCTATTCGTCTCTCACGAAGGTTCGCACACGCACCGTTTGAAGAAGAGAGAGATTCCGTCACGGCCTAGGGAGCGGCAGTACTGCAGCAACAAGCCCTGGTGGACACATGTGCGAGCATAGTCATCCTTTCCTTCCATTTGGCTGTTGAAAGCTTCGACCAATAGACCATCAGTTTCCTTCTCAGCGACAATCTGCGGGTTCGCGGAGACGAATTGAAGCAGAGCACGGTAATCACTGCGGTCGATCTTTGCAAACCGCTTCGCAAGATCACTAGCTTTAATGTTCTCGGGATCTTCCTCTTCGTCGTCATCAGCAGCAGCAGCCAGTTGAGACGAGCCCGCCGTTGATGCTCCAGGATTCAGAAGCTCAACTGTCCCCGTCTGCTGTGACGATCCCGTGCTTCCAGCTTCGCCTCCCTTGGCAATATGGGAAGTGTTGAATCCCTCGTGCAACTTATCGCTGGTGATTTTACTGCGCTCTTCCTTCTCAAGCTGATCAAGCCTTTGGAGCAACTCCCTCTGCAAGCCCTGCACCTTATTCTCGTGTCCCTGCACGCCCTTGATGTATTCTTTATAGAGGTTCTCGGTGCTGACATCTCCCATCTCCTTCTTGACCTGGTCAAGCAGAGCGCTCATCATTTGCGAATACTTGGGCTGCTCCTTCTCCTGTGTATGGACTCCCGCGGGGGGTGGGGGAGGATGGTCCTCCGACGGGTTGCCTGCGAATTCCATAAGGTTTTGGAAAATGACTTCCTCAACGCTCTTAGAGCCTTCATTCTGTTTCAAGGATGTAAGAAGCTGATCGATTCGGGAAAGCAAGCCGTCGTTGACAATATGCTCATATTTCAGGGTATCGATCTCATAGCGGCGCTGGGAACGTTGTTGATGGATCTGGGCCTGTTTGGCCCGGATGAACGAACGCTTGTCGACGTTGGGGTGCACTTCAATATCGGAGTCATCCGAGAGCTCGAGCGCATCCCATTTGCTGTAGTCGAGCACCATGATGGGTGACGGCGGAATGTAGTGGACTGTGAAAGAGGGGTGGGGGTGGGGTAGATGCTGGAATGTATCGAGCTTGGGAGGAAGTGTAGTAGAGGAGGCGGGTTTGGTTCTTTATAAACAAAGGGTCGACAGACTCAAACCCAAGTAAGCTTCAAGTTTCAGGAACTAAGAAATGCACGCGAGCCGTCTCCGCCAGCATCTGGAGCGATCATCGAAAGCTCTCGACCAGCTTCGACGCCGGCGGAATTGGGGCAGGCGGTGTCCCCGGGCAGAACCGCTGCCGATGCGAGGCCGAACGGCGATGGCCGGTCTCGCGGCTTGACGGCTGACATTATTCAGACTCCCAAGCGCCTAGCGGTCTCCAGGGGAGCAGTTCATCTTGGCTGTGTCATGCGTCTCAGCCGATCTTCGCTCATCTAGTGGGATATGGCATCCTGTTTACCTCATTTGGCATCCATCTGAGCAGCCATCCGATTCCGCTTTCTACTCTCGTCCGAAATGCGCGGAGCCAGATTGCTGGCTTCCTGGGCCCCCGGGATCACCACCAGGCGGGGAGCCCAGGCGAATGGAAGCGTACTGAGGGAGCTCTACTCGGGAGCTCATGTATATCAATCTGGAATTGGTGGCTTTGGCGTTCTCAGCCGGCAATTCTCGGGAGTTTCAGGCCCATTACGCAATAACCTTTCGCTGACATCTGGACTGCCTTTCGCTCACAATAATGGCGCACGAAATTCTATCATACGGTCACAGCTGGCAGCAAAATCTCGGTTCTTCTCTTCTACCCAACGGTCATTGGAAGCTAAGCCCGTGGACCCGTCGACAAAATCGGCTCAAGCGAACAACAGCACAGCTCAGGATAAGGAAGATGACGACATGGACAAGGGCTTCGAGATATCAGAGAAAGGAGCACAGGCTGCACAGGTCAATCTCTCCGCTAAGCTCGCGAAAGATGGTGCTAGCGGAAAGAAAGCCGGCTTTAAAGAGATATGGAGACTTCTACTCATCGCGCGACCTGAAGCTAGGACGCTCGGGTTCGCTTTCTTCTTCCTGCTCATCTCTTCTTCAATCACGATGGCTGTTCCCTTCTCAATCGGTAAAATCATGGATGCTGCTTCCAAGCCTTCCGAGGAAAGCGGAAATCTGCTCTTCGGTTTGAGCGTACCCATGTTCTATGGTGCTCTGGCCGGTATCCTGACCTTGGGTGCCGCTGCTAACTATGGTCGCATTGTCATTCTCCGTATCGTTGGTGAGCGCATTGTCTCTAGACTTCGCTCGAAGCTTTTCCGCAACACCTTTGTTCAAGATGCGGAGTTCTTCGATGCCAACAGAGTAGGCGATCTGATCTCTCGGCTTGGTTCTGACACCATTATTGTGGGGAAGAGTATCACGCAGAACCTGTCGGACGGCTTGCGAGCAGCGGTTAGCGGTGCGGCAGGATTTGGTCTGATGACTTATGTCAGTCTCAAGCTGTCTAGCATCTTGTTTCTGTTGCTGCCCCCCATTGGACTCGGAGCCTTCTTCTATGGTAGAGCGATAAGGAACCTCAGCCGCAAGATCCAGAGGAACCTCGGTACTTTGACCAAGATCGCAGAAGAGCGTCTAGGCAACGTCAAAACCAGCCAGTCTTTTGCTGGTGAAGTCCTTGAAGTCAACCGGTACAACAACCAAGTGCGCAAGATCTTCGAACTTGGTAAGAGGGAGTCATTGATTAGCGCAACGTTTTTTAGTTCGGTATGCGTCAACCTACCTTTGTCAATATCTTCAAGTGCAAGTTTCCTAACGAGTCAACCAGACTGGCTTCATGGGTAACATGACAATCCTCACGCTGCTCTATGTCGGAGGCGGCATGGTTCAATCTGGTGGCATCACGATTGGAGAGCTGACATCGTTCTTGATGTATACTGCTTATGCTGGTTCCAGCATGTTCGGTCTCTCTAGCTTCTATTCCGAATTGATGAAAGGTGTCGGAGCAGCCAGTCGTCTGTTTGAGTTGCAGGACCGTCAGCCAACGATATCTCCTACCAAGGGCAACAAGGTTGAATCTGCTCGTGGCCCCATCCGTTTCGAGAATGTGAACTTTAGCTACCCTACACGGCCTGCTGTTCCTATCTTCAAGGAGCTGAACTTTGAGATCCCGCAAGGGAAGAACGTTGCCATTGTCGGACCTTCAGGCGGAGGCAAGTCAACCATTGCTTCGATTCTGCTTCGGTTTTACAACCCGACCGGCGGACGTGTCTTGATTGGCGGCAAAGATATCAGCGAGATGAACGCCAAGTCTCTCCGCAGGAAGATTGGCGTTGTCGCACAGGAACCCGTCCTGTTCTCGGGAACAGTTGCTGAGAACATTGCCTATGGCAGGCCACGGGCGACCAGGTCGGAGATTGTTGCGGCAGCCAGGAAGGCGAACTGCCAGTTCATTAGCGATTTCGTAAGTGGAACTTGACCGTCAACTGTGCCCCTGACTAACGTTTCCTAGCCGGATGGCCTTGACACTCAGGTTGGACCTCGCGGAGCTCAACTCTCCGGTGGACAAAAGCAGCGCATTGCCATTGCGCGCGCCCTCATCAAGGATCCCGACATTTTGATCCTGGATGAAGCAACCTCTGCCCTTGACGCCGAATCCGAGACACTGGTCAACAGCGCTCTCGCTGCCCTTCTTCGTGGAAACAACACGACCATCAGTATTGCCCACCGACTCTCTACCATCAAGCGCTCTGACACGATCATTGTTCTCGCGCCTGACGGAAAGGTGGCCGAGCAGGGATCCTACGAGGAGCTCAGCGCCCGTCCTGATGGTGCCTTCACGAAGCTGATGGAGTGGCAGATCAGTGGCGGCGAGAACACGCCGACCAACGCGCCCATCAGCCCAGCGACTGAAGAGAAACTGTGGCAGTTGGAGAAAGAGGAAGCCGACGCCGACGCCGACGCCGAAGATGCAAGCGGCGAGCGCAGTCAGCAGAAGCAGTAAGCTGACCAATCGTTTGGATAGATTCGGACCTTTTTTGTTTCCTTTGTTATCTTGTCTTCCGCGGTGTAGAGTATATAGCCTGTATGGGGCACATACACTTTGTCTAGAACGCTGGGCCACCTACTCTGGATGTATCTATTACGGGATTTTTGGCACACTCTGATGGTCTAGGTCTGATGACTGGATAGATAAAATATAATACCCATCTCTACTTCTCCGTGGCGCCTGCGGTGTATCAGTCAGTTGTGTTCTGTAGTGTCTGATAAGCATTGCCTTAGTCACCCGCCTGCCTTTCTTGGCGATCGTCACGGCCTCATGACCACCGCAGCTTGTCCTCCTCTCCTCCCCGCTGATCTTCCCTGTCTCATTCCTCTCGACCATCATGGGCTGAGCTCGTACTACTACCTGTCCCGTCTCAACTCCTGAACAGGGACAACCCAACAACCCACCACAATGGATCGCATCCGGAGACTTCTCTCTCCCAGGCCGACCTATGAGGCAATCGAGCAGCCGGTCGACCCCGACGATGAGAGCAACCATCCATCCCATCAACACCGGAGCCATGCCCCTTTCTCCAAGTACGAATATGCAGTATTCTTGCTGTTGGGAGTGTCCATGTTGTGGGCGTGGTATGTCTCACCCTATAGCTATCGCATTGGCAGGAATAGCATCATCTAACTATACCGGCTTGACATAGGAACATGTTCCTCGCTGCAGCACCATACTTCTACCACCGGTTCCACTCGGACGACTGGGCAGCGACTCATTACCAATCGTCTATATTGACTGTCTCAACCGTCACTAACCTAGGCTCCTCATTCATTCTCGCCAAGCTACAGAAGGGAGCATCATATCCCAAGCGGGTCACTATCTCCCTGCTTATCAACATCGTGGTGTTTACACTACTAGCCTTCTCGACCATCCTCATGAAGGATGTCTCCGTGGGCACATATTTCGGTTTCCTAATGATCATGGTCTTCGGGGCCAGTCTAGCAACAGGAATCAACCAGAATGGCGTATACGCTTACGTCTCCGGTTTCGGACGAGAGGAGTACACCCAGGCCATCATGAGCGGCCAAGGCGTAGCGGGAGTGTTGCCCTGCATTGTCCAGATCCTGTCCGTGATCGCCGTGCCCAGTAAGAAAGAAGGGCAAGCCGCCCCGCCAGAATCCTCCAAATCAGCGTTCGCCTACTTCATCACAGCTACGGCCGTGTCGTCATTCGCTCTCCTTGCCTTCCTATCTCTCGTAAAGCGTCGATCAACCACAACCCTATCCCACGCAACAGACGACCACAGTGACTCGGGCGTCTCCGAAAACACCCCCAGCAAAAGCGTCAGCCTCTGGACCCTCTTCAAAAAGCTCCGTTTCATGGCCACAGCCATATTCCTCTGCTTCACCATCACCATGACCTTCCCCGTCTTCACAGCGGAGATCGAATCCGTCCACACCCCGACCCCCAATCGATCTCGACTCTTCGATCAGGCCGTCTTCGTCCCCCTGGCGTTCTTCTTCTGGAATGCGGGTGACCTCCTGGGACGGGTGCTGGTCCTGGTTCCCCGTCTCTCATTGGTACATCGTCCCTGGGCGCTATTCCTATTCTCTATTGCTCGAGCGGGATTCATCCCTCTGTATCTGCTCTGTAATATCCGGGGTCGGGGCGCTGTCGTGGAAAGCGATTTCTTCTATCTGTTTGTCGTGCAATTGCTCTTTGGTATCAGCAATGGGTACCTGGGTAGCAATTGCATGATGGGCGCGGGACAATGGGTGTCTCCTGATGAACGTGAACCCGCGGGTGGATTCATGGCACTGATGCTCGTGGGTGGATTGACTGCGGGGAGCTTGATGAGTTTCTTCGTTGCTGGGGCGTGAGGGTTTGGTGGTGGTAGGGTCTAGTATATGTGTAGATTGTATTGTCGTCTTCTAATGTCGCTGCTACTATAGATTAGTCACTGCTCTCGTAGGTAAGGACTACCTCTTGAGATAATGAATCGAGCTTTGTCCAGTCTATATTTTCTTGTCTCGTAGAAACCAATCTCATGAAATTAATTATCCAGTCGTGAGCCTGAAAGATAGGGAAACAGTTCATACAAGCAACCCTCTCGCAAGAGGTCAGTCATCATGCTCTCAAGATACATTAATAGATCAATAAGATCAGTATCGACTTCCAGTTATCCTCCATCCAGCCAGCTAGCCAGCCACTCTGACCCCCAAAAAAGAAATTACGAATACATTGTACATGAAGTTAGGCAACGGACGGCAGCAAGCAACGACGCACTTTTCCCTTCCCATCATAGTTGAAAAACACGCTCATGCCCGGCGAGTACTCTTCTTCATCATACGACGGTGCTCCTTCTGTTGCTCACGCTCCAGGTACTTCTTCTGCTCTTCAGCAGACATACCACGGAGGAGACGCTCACGGTCCTCCTTCTTGATCTTCTCGGCTGCCAGCTTGCGCTCCTCAGCCTTTTCGTCCTCGTCGACACGACGCAGCTTCTTGATCTCTTCTTCACGAGCGTTGCGGATCTTGCGAGTCACCTCGGAGCGGAAATGAGCGGCACCGACGAGACGATCAGCGAAACGCAGGAACTGGGAGAACAAAGGCAGGGTGGAGGAGTAGCCCTCGGCCGAGGAGGGAAGAGTGACGGACAATTCGATGCGCTTGCGGGGGGTGGTTTCCTCGATCCTAGACGCAGAGCTGCATTAGCACACACGTACATTCCCAAAGAAGGGAGCAATAGATGGAACTCACTTCACAGGCTTGTCAATAGGCTGATCAGTAACAATCAAGTACTTGAAATCATTGCCCGCCTTCTCAATAGCCTGAATCAGCTCGTTGGTAAGCACTGCATCCGTGATCTCCGCACTCTCCGTCATGACGGTAACCCAGTTCGGCAACTTGTTGTTATCCCTGGTGAAAGTCATACTGGCGTCATAACGATCCTGACGGAACTTGCGCATGTAGTTCTTGTGTACAACCGCCCAGATAAATCCATCATAGGTAGAGTTGTTAACCTTCAACGAGGACCGATCATTGGCAGGCAGGGGCACAACATCCTTCTCCTTTCCGTCAAAGGTATAAGCCGTAGCCTCGTAAGACTCAGTGGGTGCCGACCAGCTCTCAAACAAGAAGCCCATGACGTGCTCCGCCCAGAACGTAACGGGGTTATACCGCTTAGGCAACTTGATAGCCACGTCCACAAATGCCACGTTCTGGCGGCCCGTCGCGTAGGAGGAGAATTCCTGAGCCGAACGTTCCTTGAGCAGAGAGTCGGAGTCGGGGACGGTTTGTTCCTGGGGACTCTGGAATCCAACGACGGCGAATTCGCTGGACAGCGTGGAGGCGTGGGATTGCGCCCAGTCGCGTGCCTTGCGGCGGTTCTTGCGCGTGCCCCAGAAATGAAAGAGGATGATCAGGAGGATCACCGGCATCACGGTCGCTTCTTGCATGAAGTCACGCGGGGAGGTCCGCTCCCAGACCCGGTACCATTTTGTGTAGGGGACCGGGGTGATTGAGTCTACGCCTTGAGTATTCAGGGCTGGGGTCGAGGAGGAGCCGGCCACGAGGGATGCCGGGGATGGGTTCGGGGCTTCGACGAAGTCGGCGAAGTCTGGATGGGGGAGGTTAGAGGGGTTGGATGAGCTGGGGTTGGGGGACAATGGGGGTTTTGCTGGGGGAGGACCAGTGAAGCTGGGGTTGAGGGTGTGGGAGAGTGAAGCTTACCATCATCGACCTTGGCAGGGTTCGAGGGCTGGGAACCGCCGAAAACGTTCTTGAACAGGCCCGCCATGACGAGGGGAGGGGAATTGGACGGACTGGAGCGGACGGGCAGGGAACTGGCGACGTGGCGGAGGAAGGAAGAGAGAAAGAGGGAAGCGAACGGGCGTCAGTTAGTTAAATGGTTGACGTTCGTCGCAAACCGATCCGAGCCACGGTGGAGCCGACCGCCTGCCATCTCCCCCCAAAGATAAGGGCTCGCCGCCCAGATCGTGGGGATTGCTTTCTTATGACTGATCGCATTACTACGGAGTACAGGGTGGAGGATTGGGATATCAATTGCATCACAATATACAGTCAGTAGCATTGCTCGAACCTCTACGGCAATTCAACAAGGCAACCCAGACGTGCCACCCATTCTTTTACTCCTCCCCCGATTGCGTGCTTCCAGTCCAAATCCCAGGGAAAAATAGACAAATGATAAAGAAAGAGAGAACAAAGGAGAGTAGAGTAGAAACACAATGAATGATAGTCAGCGAGCGAAGTGGTATCCCTCAGAAGCAGGTCGCTCGCACAGTACAAACACAAAATACACGCCGATTCTTTTAGGGTACAGTCCAATCAATGTACAAAATTCTAAAGCCCGCTTGAAAAACAATGAAAAGCACAGTAAAAAGATAGCCAGAATTAAAAATGCAAGGTCATATCGGTCATGAACTGCTCCAGGCTGGCTGGAGCTGGGAGGATTGCACTGAAAACAGCTGCATGGCCTCTGAGAAAAGAATGGGTGAAGATAAAAGAGTACAAAGACGCCCCCGGCGCCGTTGCAGTCATTGACCATATGCTGGAGGGGCATCATCATGGCTGAGCCGATCCCAAAACGAGCTGCAGGGATTACCAGAGGTCAATTTCTCATCCCGCATGCGACGTGCGATTTCTCCTGCCAGCCTCTCAACCAGCGCTTGGTCAACGATGCTTGATGTCGGCTTCGCGTCGGTAAATGGCAGTGCCTTCGAAGGGAGCTGGCGCGAAGCCCCGGCCTCTTGCTTCTCGTTCTCACGCTGAGCAGCCATGTAGGGGTGTACAGCAACGCGAGGAGTAGCATCAGTCTCAGCTGCCGGATGACGAACCGGCTGGGATGTGGACGGCTCCCCGGCCTCACGCAACATCTCGGTTGCGATATCACGGCGGGGCATCGGCCTGGAAATGCTCATACGGTGTCGCTCGGGGATCGTTGGAAGGTGAAGTTCACTGTCTGGTGACAACGGAGGTGTAACTGGGTCATCGGTCTGTTCGCTCACCACCGGCAGGGGAGCCGAGCAGACGGATGGCGCACTGGTAGTTTCTGTAAAAGTGCTTTCACCGCTCACACTTGCGGCATCTTCGGTAGTCTTGGGACGACGCAGATCCACCACGCGCTTCTTCCGCCTCCTTGCATTGGACTTTGAGTGACGACCGGCCCCCAAGTTTAGCCCATAGCTGCTGAAAGTGTGTGTGTTTGCTGACGACCGACTATGTGTGGACACCATACTGGCGGTATCATGGAAGGAGGACATACCGCCAATCTGGGAGTGGGTCCGAGAAAGGGCGGGGCTCAAAGGAGACGTTATGCCTCCAGAGACGTCGCCCGCATCCGAAGGCGAAGTCCATGCGCGATAAACCACCTCTTGAATAGATGGAGTGAACAGTGATAGCGTTCTCTGAGAATCTGTGAGGGCGGCCAATCGTAATAGGTTCTTTTGAGAAAACAGAGAGTGCGTCTCGACTGAGGAATCCAATGAAAGCGATGCGATCTCCGACTCATCCAAAGCGTTACCCAAAGCATCCACGGGGTCCTGAGGAGGACTGGCCAAGGGATCCTGGCCAGGGCCTTCACCTGCGGTGTTGGTGGCCTGGTTCGCCATTTCCTCTCCAGCCCGGTATTCTGGGACCCACAATCGAAGAGATAGACGGTGGATAATGGCGGGGAGCTCGTCCATGAACAGAACCCGAAGTTGACCTTCTATTTCTCTCTGCAAGAAGTCGCGCACAAATGGGATCGAGTCGAATGTTGACGAGACCTTGAGCGACTCGAGGGGATCATTTCGGAAGACGACTGTGATGCCTTTTTGTTTCGAGAACACCAATATAACGAAACCTGACAGCTTGAAGTCGGATAATGTGATTTGAAGGGGGATAGTGAGAGGAGTTCTGCATTTGGGAGCGAACAAGTCAGCAAGGATGCGCCTAGTTTGCGTTCCGGATGATCCAACACATACGCTGCAGCGACAGGCAAGGGAGTCGCAAAAGACGGTCTGGTGAGGAGGTAGGTATTGAGCGGATTGGCTTGGACTCGGGTCTTCAGGGTCAGAAAGGCGTCGCCAGTGTAGGACATCTTGAAGATGCCTCGAAAGCGATCCTCGGCCAGGTCTCCGATTTCCAAGATCTCCAGCTCGGGCGGGATGGAGCCTAGATTGAGTTCGGTGACAATGATATCATCCACAATAATGGGCGGTTTTGGTGATTTATTGAGAGCGGCGGTTAACAGCTCCTGGGCGCGAGTATAAAAACTCGCGTCCGCCATCAACGGCGACCAGTTGAAGTTGAACGCCATCGCAGGTCATTGAGATGATGGGGTGATCTATTTCGATGGAGGCGACGACATGGAGGAAAATGTAGGAAAGTCGACGACGACGGCGGCAGAAAATATAGGAAATCAGTTGGGGAAGACGGCAGTGAGGAGGTGGTGGAGGTGTAAAGGAAGAGAGGGGTGGCCGAGGAAGGGTTGATGCGCCGATAAGCCGGAATGAAGGGAAAAGATGAAAAGGGCGGCGGATGGAAAGAAAAAAGAAGGCGAGGAATCCCGAGGGCCCGGCCAGTTAGTGGTTACGGGTTAGTGGTGTTGCGCTCGCGTGATCTACGCGACAGCCCCAGCAGAGTTGGGTATTCTTTTGGTCCTGTCATTTTGATCGCATGGTTCCTTATTCTAAAGTATATCCCATGATTATCTATGGATTCATTCGAGTCTAGAATCCTGATCTATGCGCCTCCAGAACGCTGGAAAGGCACGGTTGATGAGGGTCTTGCCGTGCGATTCTTTGTGAGGCTGGCAATGAAAAAAGTTCTAAAGAGGAAGGCATAACGTCACCGCACAATGCCGGTAATGCACTAGTAAGCAAGCCGCTGCACCGGCAAAATTACAATAGCAGCACACCTTCCTCAGTTGCTCTGCTCTCTCAATTCCCTCCAACTTCCGATCTCCTCCGACTAAGGAGCCTGTCGTCGACTCGTCGGACTCATCGCGCGTCATGAGGGCATGATCGTCATGCTCCCAGGCCGATGGGTCCATGTCATCCATCCGCCTACCCGTCGCGGTGCATCATCCCCTTTCCCTCCCTCCAGCACTCCGTACAATTCTTCCCGTCCTGACTGGATCCTCGCAATCTTGCTGACAGGCCCGTGCTGGGCTGCCGGGCCAGAAGCAGTGGAATTCTATCCGGTCCACCCGTCCCTCGAAACTCCATAATCTATTTACGGAGTACGGGGTACTTCTCCGGAGTCGATGATTCTCCTATTTTTTATGAACGGGATAACGGAGTAGAAACTAGTAGTATGCATGTCAATAATTTGCCCAGTCCATCAGGGGTGCGGCAGTCTTGGACTGCTTTGAGAGGGAGTCATCGCGCTAGAGGTCCCAATGCGGCAGGTGAATGCCCCTCGAAGTCTTTTGCAAAGCAAACCACGGAAAGACTCCGACACACACGAGCTTGCCGAGGCGCTTTCAACCTGACCATTTCAGCACGGAACCTGGAGGATCGCCTATACTCCGTATTGTGTATAGTTGTACTATTACCCCTCCATCACATGGTTTGTAAAAGTCTACGGCCAACCTCAAGTCAGGAAGCCAATGGCTGCAGCTCCATCAGATGTATACCTTTTAAGGTTTCGTGACGCCAACCAAGAGCTTGGTACCATAAAACCTGCCTCAACTTGAGCTACCAAAATACAGCATCCGAGTTCGGAGTAGAGAAGCGACATCCATGACACTTCTCAGTTCATGCCGGAAAGAATACCATAAAAGTCTTTCAGAATGCCAATAAAGGTTAATAACCTTCATTACTGAACCGTCCATACATAGTATTAGATTGCCTCACATTCCTCGATTCAAACTCCTTTTCTCTGAGGGGTATCGAAATGGCATTGACTATGGACTTACATAAGCCGCTCTTACCCCAGCAACCAATCCGCTATTCCGCATCAGGAAAGGCATCAATAGTCCGGTAAGCATCAGTGGCCTCCGCGGAATCTCGCCGTAGCTTCTGTACTTGTTAATCTCGACCACATTCTTCAACATACGCGGGCGCTAGGCTCCTTGAGCCTCTGGAACCAGTTCTATCGGACAGACTCGACTCTCACGACATTCCGCCATCATGCTATCCCCATCCTCGCCTGTCGTCGCGGCCGGCAACACAACCCCTGGAAGATGGACCTCGAGACCGGCGACCAGAACACGCACTGGCACACAAAGAAAGGTGTACGGAAAGCGGAAAGCGGATGCCCCTAGAGCAGTCTTTGAGCAGCGAAGTCCGGCTAAGGCTCTGGAAAAGGAAGAGAAAAAGATGGACCAAGAGGCTGTGGATGGCCTAAGGGAGAAGTTGGCTGAGGTTACGATAGAGGAGAAACATGTTGCTCAGGAGCCAGAAGACCACGAATGCCAAGAGATAAGGAAGGAAGCGAAAGAGATAATTGAAGAGGAGGCTATCAAAATAGACGAATCTGAGCATGAAGAACCTGCGCCAGAAGCGATACATACCCCGGACATCGAACCGCAAGACGAGCAGACCCCGGCCGAGGAATTATCTTCAGAGACTATCCACGATGAAGAGGCAAAATACGAGACAATGGTCGAGGTGAGAATCAGCCAAAAGGTATCTGTCGACAGACCCCGGAGACGAAAACAAGCTCCCGAAGTCACCACAGAAGACGGTCGACGGTCAGCAAGGAAGGACAAGCCAGCACCCCGACTATCGTCCGGATGCATAACGGATGAGAAAACAAATTCCTACGTTCGGTCAATTCTTAATGAAGCACTGTCGCCGGTTGCTGCGCAGAGCGTCCAGAAGTTCGGGTCATGGGCCGCCCGTGCGGGTAACTTGCTAGAGGTGGTGAAGATCGCAGAGGGTTCCTACGGAGAGGTCTATAAACTACGTCTACGCGAAGAGTTGTGCAAGAAGGAGATGTCTAAATCCAAGCTCGCGCGCTTAAAGGCCTACGGTGACGGCGTGTTCAAGGTCGTCCCTCTGCGCGCCCAGAGCGGCCCGGGTTCGAAGAAGTTTACGAGCATCGAGGAAATCGTGTCGGAGGTGAAGATGCTCAAGTACCTGGATCCAATTCCCGGGTTTGCTCGCTTTCGGGAAATCCACGTTGTCCAGGGACGGTTCCCCGAATCTTTTCAGAAGGCATGGGACCACTACAAGAAGACCAAGGACGACTGCCTGAACCCGAACCCGTCCAGCAAACGAGCGTACCCTGACACGCAACTCTGGGCTATCATTGAAATGGACGATGCTGGCTGCGAGCTGGAGAAGTTCTCCTGGTCATCAATATTCCAGATTTATGACATCTTCTGGGGAGTCGCGATGGCGCTTGCTCGTGCCGAAGAGTATGCATTGTTCGAGGTACGAAGCACTCATTAACTCCCAACCAAGATCTTATTATCCTAACATCCCTCTAGCACCGAGATCTTCATCTCGGCAATGTTTGTATACGAAGCACCCGTCCCGAAGGCCACATGGATCCGCCCACCGACCACGAAATCATAAGCCAGTCATTCACCAGCGGTTTCGGACTCAGCACGTTGGAAACCACCATCATCGACTACTCTCTTTCCCGCGCAGAGCTACGTATTAGCGAGGAAACCGAGCTTGTCGAAGTCGCCTCCTCAGACCTCGACAAGAAACAAATCTTCGATGCCATCGGTCGAGATGAGGACGAGATCATGCTACGAAACACCTATAGGCAGTACGTACCCCATCCTCTCCCCACCAAATATCTCCCCAAACTAACACCGCAACCCAAACCAGCATGCGCGCCCAACTCTACCACGGCGATCCTCTCCAGACCGAAAAATCCCCCGACATCCCGGGCGTCTGGGCCGAATACGCCCCACGAACCAACCTCGTCTGGCTTATCTTCCTTTTGAAATCCCTCTTGAAGAACAGGAAGAGTGAGCCATCAACGTCAATGTCAACACCCACAGCGAGCCCCAGGCAACCTCTTGCGCCGTGCTCACCCAATAAGGCCGTCGCGAAGCAAACAGGAAAGAAGCAAGAATATACGAAGCCGAGAGTTACAGCTGCAACTCAGGAATATATTTCTCAGTTGAAGAAGACTTTGGAAGATAGATTGGATGCTGTTTTGGAGCTGCTGGATCTAGAGAATGGGCATGAGGATATGTGCTGTGCGGCGGATTTGGTAGCATATGCGATTGATACGCAGTGGTTGGGAGAGGAAGATTTCTTTTAATGGTGTTGATACTGGTATTGGTTTATGGTGTGCTGCATTGCGAGGTGTTGGGGATTGTTTTTTGCATTGGCTTAGTTCAACATGACCAGGGTGTTTTGGAGGGTGCTTATATATTTATACCTAATTGCAGCTTTTACTGACTACTACTTAGTGCTACACCTGGTTTACCCACAATTACTACTCATCCAGGACTTCTACTCGCACACAAAACACATATCATTCTATAAGCCAAGAACACCTTCCTCTAACGATACCAAACAGTATCGCCCAAGCAATCTGCCACAGTCGTGACTAAACCCATCAATTAGCATCCACCACAACCATCCACCACAACCACTCAAAGAACAAAAAGAAAGAAGAAGAAAAACTCACCATACAACCCCCTCCTCGCAACCTCCTCCAACATGGCCCTCGTCAACGTAAAGACCGTCTGAGCATGCGTATCATGCGCCAACACAATCGACCCACCCGCATCCACCCCGGCCAAAAACCTCCTCACACTTTCATATATCAACCACGGATCATTATTCTCAAAGTCCTTGGTATCCACACTCGCTCCGACAACATTATACCCTAGTTCAGCCATCACGGCCAATACCCTCCCGTCGACGGCCAAGAACGGTGGGCGCATGTAGGTCGGAACCACCCCGATGATGTTCCGGAACAGGGACTCCAGCGCTCCCATTTCGTTTACGATGGAGGCGTAGTCGAGGGAGGGGAGGTGCGTGTGGCCGTACCTATATTGATGAGGAGACTTGGTCGAGGGAGAGGGGAATTGGGGAAAGGTAAGACTTACGTGTGCGAGGCAATTTGGTGTCCTTCGTTGAAGATGCGTTGCAGGACGTCGGTGTATTCGGTGAGTCGGTAGCCGTTTAAGAAGAAGGTGGATCTGGCGCCGTATTCGCTGAGGAGGTCGAGGAGGGCCGGGGTGTAGGTGTAGGGCCCGTCGTCGAAGGTTAGGGCGATGGTTCCTGGGACGGCGCAGTGGGTGATGACTGTGGCGTAGGGGGTGGGGGGGTAGGGGTCTGTTTGGTTGTGTGGGTGGCTGTGGGATGGTTGGAGGAGGGTAATGATGGTTAGAAGGAGGAAGTTGAGGGTGATTAGGAGCATCGTGGTGGGATTTATATAGGGTATAAGAATAGAATCGTTGGAGATAATGATAGGGGATGAGGGTCATAGGGTCAGGAGAGAGGAGAGATAGGGAGTTGGTCAATTGAGGGAGTGAAGCATCTTCTTGTTAGGGGTCTGATGTTCATTGCTCGACCGGCGAGCAGTATTTGGAAGGAAGTAGATGCGATGCTTGAAGGAGGGAAGGCCCCCGGGGCAGCTTAGATGGGAAGGTGTGTAGCATCGTGCTTGGGTGGTGTTTTGGCTGTATGGTAGGATATTTTGATGTGCTAGGATTCACTTTTAGGTGGTTTACCCTGGGAATGAGCTTATATAGGTATTTACCTCCATGAACCGAGAGGATTGATCGAGGAGGGCGATATAGAGATGTAAATAATGGAGTAGATGGAGCTCCGACAATCCCCCACTGACGTCATGTGCGCCGTCCCCTCAACTCGGAATCCCATTCGGTCCTCAAGATTCTCCTAGACACCATTTGGCCATATGCTACGAGAGTCATTCTAGGACGGAGAAAGTCCTGATATATGAAGCTAAGCATCTTCTCTGCCGACTCCTTCAGTTTATGAGACGATGGCTCTCCAGATAGGCCAATCTGATGCGCCAAAGACGATGATAGCCTTGGGTAGATACAACATGTACTCTGCAATAATCCAAGGAGTCTAATTGATGCTGCGCTAACTCGAAAATCTCACAATCTAGTATACCAGACCCGAGACGAAGTCTATAACTATACCACTCACAACTTCCCATAGATCTTCACGCGCTCCTCCACCGGCTTCTTCGGCTTCTCCTGCCCCTCTGCCTCAGGGCTACCAAACACCAGCTGAGAAATAAGTCTCCACTCGGTAGGAACATCCCACTGCTTAGCGACGGCGGAATCGATAAGCGGGTTATAATGCTGCAGGTTGGCACCGAAGCCTAGGGACTCAAGACCGATCCAGACTATCCTCGTCAGCACCACAATCCAGGAAAAACAACGGACAGAATACATACGGAAGTACTGATGCATAGCATTGGTATGCTCAGCCCAAGGTCCAAACTGGTCCTTGAAACTCGGGAACTTCTCCTGGTAAGGCTTGATGTGCGCGGGGTCTTCATAGAAGAGGATCTAATCAATTCGCTTCAATCAGCACAATCCGCACCCACCCTAGAATCAACGCAATCCAAGCACCCACCGTTCCAAGCCCATCCTTAAACCCCTGAATCTTCGGCTGAGTCTGACCCTTCCACGTCTCCTCCGACAGGGTCCCATTCTTCACCAGGCCCTGGAAGCAATCCATAGCGATATCCCAAAGCCGCTCATGCTCCTTATGCAACAGCACAACCAACCGAGTCGACTGGGTATTGAACGCGCTAGGAACATTCAAAATAGCCTGATTGACAAGCTCCTCGATCTTGTCATCCGACACCGGACTCTCCCTCCCCAACTTATAGATCGAATGACGACCTTTCGCCAAATCAACAAGCGCACCAGAACTAGGCATCTTAGAAGGCATCTTGACAGCGACCGTTGAAGAAAACGGTCTCGCAGCTCCAAAAACAGACGTGAGGGGAGGCGTAGTGCGTAAGCCACGGAAAGCCGACACAGACCGACGGAGCGCAGCAGTAGCCATGGTATTTGTATTCGTAGTGGGAACACTGACACTCACACGAACAGATACCACCTCGGAGTAGATAAGAAAAGCAAGACCCGCTAAACAAAAGCCCACAACCCCAAGAAGATGTATCCTCATTAGCAATGCTCACCTCACCTATCTCGACGGGGCGCGCGCGGAATTACGGAACAAACAAACAAAAGCTTAATAATTGCGGTGTTTTGCCTTGCTCTGTATCCAAAGAAATCCAGAAAGAGAACCTTGAGGGTAAAGAATTCCTCCGAAAGAGATGGAGCTGATGTCAATTATTGTGGATTATCTGGCCAGACCTGGCCATGCTTACGGCGTGCTGCCTACCTATCTATCTGTCTATCGATCGATCGCGGTCGGTGAATTCGGCTATTCTGGTCGGGGGTCGGATTTAAGGGACGGGCGGATTGGTGAGATGACGTCATGGGGCTGTGGAGAATAGTATGGAGTAGGTAGGTAGAAATTGATACTTGATGGAAGTGTGATGTGATGTGTATACATTAATCAATAGAGCTATAAATAGTGGAAAAGAGAAATTCCTAATGTACAGCAAACATGTAGGTAGGTAAACAGCAAGCAAACCCAATGCCATGACCGAAACCGAAATGCATCAAACTCGTAGCCAGACGTATCGCGAGAGGTTCCCACCCAGGTTGATATGCGATAGAATGGAAATATGAAAGGAGATGGGAAAGAAAAATAGGTACGCTGATATTAAGGTCTCGAGAAGTGACCGAAAAGAAAATAGGTGAAGGGAAGGGCCGTCTATCATTACCGGGAGACCTTCATAACCGGCCTCCCGGGATGAATTGAACAGGGTGCTGTAGTCCCCGATTTGGTGCTACTGCTATTGCAGCTGCATGAAGTAGATGGGAGTTGGAGACGACATTATGGGGCTTATATGGACGATTGTGAATGTATCCGTGGGCTCTGCTGAGCGCACTCGCTCTCCGATACATTACTCTTGGCCCCTGCGTACCAGTCTTCCACGATCAACTGGTGCTCCAGGTCAAGCCAATACTGGGCTTTCCCTCCCGCCCCGGTCTTGAGATCCAAATCGCCCAGTCGGATCTCCACACGTCCGGAATCGTCGCGTGGCATCTATGATGGGGTTAGCGGACACGTGGCGTAGGTATAATAGCTGTAAACATACCCTTATGAACATGGTGCAGTCTCGCAGAGTCATCGCAAGCGACTTCTCTCGAGAGGTTGGGGGTGGACCATAGAGCCCCACATCTTGTAAGGTTTTCTGATGTGTCAAGAGCCGCTGCAGCGTACTATTGCGATAGAGTACCTTTGCCAGCCGTGCCTGGTCTTTGCACCCTTTCACAAATTGGGCCGCACGGAGAACATTGTCGAACCTGTCAGATACCAAGTCCAGCGGGCAGAAGGATTCCTCTCCTGCCACTCCTTTTCTGCGCGCTTTTTGAGTTTTCATGTCGCGGAGTGCGCAGGTTCGGCATCTGCGAGAGTTAGGTGGTGCGGATGGAGATTGAAGCAGCCATTTGGGCTTTAACTCGGAAAGCGTTGTCCCAGGACTGCTAAATGCGGTCATATCTGTTATGAGTAAGCCGAACGGCTCGACCGTGGAGAGATACACTCCTTGGCGTCGTTTTGGACGCTGGCCCTTTCGCTCTGCTGCCTGTAGCTGCTCGTTGCAAGAATGCACAAGCCCTTTTGGGAGATACACAAGCTCCTGGTCAACTAGCTCTTCTGGTCTGAAAAGAGGACGTATACATCGATCGAAATTGCGTGCAATTTCTTGGTATGAGATCCCCGCGCTCGTGTCTTTTCGAAGCCGGAGCAATTTGCCTTGGAATCTGGCTGGGACATGGATCGTATCCATCGCACTGGATAGTGAGCTGGAAACAGCCGTTGAGAGGTCATTCTTCTGACCAACGTTCATTTCCGCTGGAGAAAGAATTCGGTAGATAACATTGGCACCGCCTTCAGCGAGATAGACGAGCCGGGCTCCTACTGGGAGCTCTAATAAATTGGGCTTGGTCATTTGTCGGGTTGGGAAAGAACGAGCGATGATGGTTATCAGGCGAAAGGAAAACCATGACAGACTCCAAGCTAGACGCTTCCAAAATGCCTACAGCCCCGGTTAATATAGCAGCAAACGACCCAGCTCGGTGGTATTCGCTGCAACGTGATGTATATGGTCACGTGGGCTGGATTTAGTCCCGCAGGGCAAAAGTCCGAAGGCGCAGCAAGCAAGAACCCAGTTGCAGTTGAATAAGTAACGTGCAGGTTTCCATGTACGTAGATGCAATTCACTTAAAATGGACACTGGGCCTTCCAGGGGAATGGATAAGCGTCCAGCACAGCAATCCCGAACGTGGAGAGATGGGAATAGCTGTTTTAAAATACTAGTCCCGCCAGTCAACGATTTTCTTTCTCCTGGATTCCTTTCAAACGTTCACACTTCTTGCCGGTACGGAGCCGCGTTACAGTCGGCCAATTGGCTCGCGGCAGATGGAGAATAGACTGCCTGAACAAATGAGACACGCTGTCCGCTGTGCTCAGGTGATCGATTCTTGGAAATAAGGCCTATTCTATCACCCGCACGGCAAGTGATGAGCTCAGGGATTTTGGAGGAAAATCCCCCAACCCGATTGCGTCTAGTGGAGGTGTCGCTAGATCTGGGAGGCGAGCCTTGTGCAGGGATTAGGTCGTCGCAGCCCCGTGGCGCTTGGCCGTGCGAGTCTTAGGCGGTTTCCATGCCAATCATATCACGGCAGCCAGATTTATCTTGAAATGCCTGGATATCGTTGCCAACCCGCGCATCTGACGCTTCATGCGACACGAGCAGCCAGCCAATACTCGAGGCAGATGATAAGAAGAACTTCGTAAATGGCGAAAGTAAGAAAGACGACTGAAGGCCTTGCAAGGTCCAGGTGAGCGCTGAAACGCAGGGCGTCGGGCACGCAGACGTCGGCAGAGCCGGGCCTTGAATGCTGCACTGCGACGAGAACAGGCGGTCAGAAACAGCCAGCCGAACAAGCACTGGCTGGGAGGTGAAGCGCGAGGAATAGATTTGTCGAACGTCACGGAATCTGCTAAATCATGCGAGCGATACTGTCGCAGTCGCTAGTGAACTATCGGGACGAACTAACGACGCGCAGTGGGAGATAAAACGGTCGGACCAGCAGGGCTGCGTCACTCGCGGCCGGATGGGTTGCGACGACGAAGAACGACCCGCCAGTGAAGAATGGGGGGAGATCGCGCGCTCGATCGGAGATGAGCGACAATCTGGTAAGTCAAGAAGCCAGTGAGGCTAGAAGAAGATTAACCACGAGACAAGACGAGGGTTGATAAATCTAGGTTGGGATAACTTGGTTCCAGAGGGGCGGACCGAAGAATCGCAGATGACAGACGACCCAAGCAAGGGTCCAGCTCGATTGCAGACTCTTTTTCCTCTTTTTCCCTCCTGCCTTCCCGTCTTACTCGGCCAAAGCCTCAAACGCCTCCTCTTTGCATGCTTGCAAGCCCGGCATTGTTGGCCATGTCCACTTGTTCGGTTCCATTTGCTGTTTTGTTCTTCCTATGAAGAGGGACAGTAGTAATCGAATTAAAATAAAGCAAGTGTAAAAAAAAGAGGGTTGTTCAGAAAAATCGGACAGGCGATTCGCTGGGTAGACTAGCATCTGCCCCAGGATCGTTAGATCCAGATCCATCATCCATCATCCCACCATAGGGGACAGTAGGTAATCATCAGTGAGTGGTATCGCCATCGGGCCAATTTTAGTAGGTCGGCCATGCTGTCGACGAGGAACCAAAATCCGGGGAAATGCACAAAAAAAGCAAATGGTTGAAGGAGCACTAAATCCCGTTGCTATGACCATGGCAAACTTGGTGCAGATGTGAAGACCTCACGAATCGATCGTCATTGATGTAGATCCACCGCAAGCCAGCGCGCGGGCGATACTTTGCATCCCAGTTTGCTGATGAGTTGTCCGCGGGAACGTACAGATCCTGGACGATGGAGTGCATGGCATTCTCTGCGCCTCAGAGAGAGGGTCGGATTAAATTCCACCATAGAGAAGAAGCCAGTGGACATTGCGATCATGACGAGGCAAATGCACCTCTCATGATTGCAATGCGGATAGACCAGAAAGGCAATCGGTGCTTGGATGAGTGAAATCGCGAATTGGACGGAGTACAAGTGACGGACGGCCCCTCCGCCGCTCACCGTTTGGGCCCCGCGTTGACGGACTGACTGACTGACCCCCAAGCTACCTACTGTCCTACCTCCCCCGTCAGTTGTTCAGTAATTTCCATGTAAAGGATTCTATCAGAATTCCGCAATCCGATCTCCGTCCTGTCAGCCAGCCAATTTACCAGTCACCACTAACCACCATGGCCGAGATATCTTCTTCCATCCCGACTCCCCCGCACTGCACCGCCGATTTCTGCTTGATCCCGGTAGGTTTCCTTTTTTTATCCCAAGTCTGTTTTCTGTCGCGGCCTGCCTTGCAGTACTTTGCATGCTGCCTGACTATCTCCGCATCTCTTACCTACCTATATTTATCGAATGCAATCAATCCCCGGCCTGCTTTGCCCGAACCGAGTGACGCGTTCATCGTCCTCAGCTTGCCTCCCATCATCCCACATGGGGTCACCCCACGAACCACCCAGATAACCCCCCCCCTCGTTCGAAACCACTAACTACGTACGCTACTGACCGACTCAATACTAGATCGGTACATCGTCCCCATCCGTGTCCGCCCAAATAGCCGATGTTCAGCGCCTTATCGAGAAATCCGGCCTGAAATACGTCATGCATTCGGCGGGGACTACTCTTGGTATGTAGTAGATACTTGATTGTCTTTCGGACGTTGCCTACTAGGTATATAGTCGTGGCTGACGGGGTCTCCTTGCCTTTTTTTTCGTTTCGGTGGATGATAGAGGGTCCTTGGGATAGAGTTCATCAAGTGATTGGTCAGGCGCATACGATCTTACACCAGCAGGGTGTTGTTAGAATCCAGTCGGATATTCGTGTTGGATCGAGGTATGTGGACTGATCCTCGTTTGTTGTATCGGGCTTTTGTTTTCCCTTCTGGTTCGTAGATGGTTGTGGGTTACACGGGCTAAGTGGTCATACTCGTGGTGTTATAGAACCGACAAGGAACAGTCGTTTGAGGATAAGGTGAATAAGGTGCGTGAGTTGTTGAAGAAGGATTGAGGGGTGAGAGACGTCAATGTATTATACTCCATTGGTTGAGAATGATCCAGCAATTGTACTTGCACATGCGATCGCTTATGGACATGGTAAAAATGGTCCTATCAGTTAGGTACACTATCCAAGTTGAGAGAATCATCCAAACGCCGCGCCCTTATACCCGATTTATAGCCAAAGAATGTCATGAGGCTCGTCCAAACTTCAAATCCAGCGCTGATCTGTGTAACTGCGGAAATGTTGAAATATACTAAATATGCTAGTAACCCCGGAAGGTAGAAAGAAAGGATGAAGAAAGAAGGCCGTAGCGTTCGGCTTAGATCGCGATCCCGCCACCTAGTAGACTTCCCCAATCCCCGCCGGCCCAGATCCACTCACCCGTGCTAGGGTTCGCCCCGTCTTTGGCTTTCTGGACAACTTCGACCAGGCCCTTGAAGACGTTGGAGTAAGTGGAGGCCGAGCTCGTTACGCTGATGGAAGTCAGGTTCTTCCGTCCGGTGGCGTTGGTAACATTGTTCAGACTATCAACGGTATCGATTGCAGGTCCCTTGTCGAAGAAGTCCACAAGGATGAAGGTCGGCTGACGGCCGTTGTACTCCTTCTTGCATTTGGTCGCCGTGTCGCCAAGGTTTCCTGTTCCTCCGGAGGGCGCATTGGTGGTGGAGATATAGCTGACGTTGGGGTACTCAATATCCAGGGTCTCCTGGTAGAGGAAATGGTTCATGAATGGTAGCCGATTGGAAGACAATGCGGCGGAAAGTTCGTTCTTGACGGTTGAGGGGCGATCGGGCTCGCAAGAGAAGTTGGATGAAGAGGTCACGTCGTAGGGGTTCTCCCAAATAAAGGTGAACTCATCCATCAGATATGGGGCAACTGTGTTGTTGGAAGCTTCCAAAGAGGCCACAAATGTCATCAACCGAGTACCGTCATCGATCAATTCTTGTAACGTTGGCCACGAGCTGGGCGCTGAAGTCTGCGAGGTAGGAGTATAGGTATAGTTGCCAACATTAGCGGTTTGGAACTGCGAGTGAAGGTCGGAGGCTGTCGCATCGTCTGAATTGACCAGCAGGATAGTCACAACTGAACTTGTGCAGGATATATTAGCTATGTTTTCCCAGAGTAAACGAAGCCTAACAAGAACGTACCATCATTTGGATTGGAGTCCAACCAGGTTTTGATATCCGAGAGCCATGTGCTTAACAGTCCTGCATCCAAGTACTCACAACTAGAGTGGCACAAGCGCCACTCTGAATTTGACTTATGGACTTGAGCCGTGACAAGACGGACACCAGCATCGAGCTGGAGGGTGGTATTGTAGTATCTGAGATGCTGTCAACAAACCGTGATTATTGATGTCCTAGTCCGACTCACTGGTCTCCAAAAGTAGAGTAATCAGTCGATGCGTCTCGTAGAAAAGGACTGTCATGTGCGCCCAGGTGAGTAATCTCTCCGTACGATTTAGAGCATAAGTCGGGGGAGTTGTTGCAGGCTGTTGTTCGCGGCCGCAGAGCCTTCGCCGCTGCGAAGGGAAGAAGTGCTAGAACGCCTAGTCCTAGCATGCTGACTGCGCGTTCTGTAGGGGATGGAGATCTTTCAGAAATTATATAGTGGTGGGGGACATGTAGGAAGTCCCAGCAACAAGCGACGCAGCCAGACGCGATCTCAAGGAGAGGGAGCTATTGGACCTATTGAATCAATGCTCGGTGACGGTAATGAGTTATGATTATTGCTTCAAAGAAAGAGGGATGAGGAAGAAAGAGCGAGCATCAGAGACTGTCAGCACTCTTCATTCGGATTATAGGATAATCAATAGACCCCACTCGTAAAAGCAATAAGAGAAATCAGAAGTGTGGACTACCAAGAGAAACTACCTACATGGCCGTGTGAACCACGGCAACAACCGCGCCATTGGCTTGGATCACCCTTTACGGGGTCCTCAGCGATGAGAAAGTTAAAGCTCAGTGGGCCAGTCCAGACAAGGCTCAGGGTGATGGAGTCTGGCCGCGTTGCCTGCCCACCTATTCTTAGGAACAAGGGTCGACATGGCCTCTCCTGTCTCGCTTTGTGCTGACGGGGACACGCCATGCCCGTGGCGAAGCCCACCCGTGTTTGGCCTGTTTGTTGCTGCCGCGTTGCCCCGGTCCCTTCACGGTTCACCTGAGAGCCCTTGGCGGGCGGCCTGAGTCTCAGGTATCCAGGCACCCAGACAGTGGAAGTAGATACTACTAGTATGGTATCATTACAGTCTATCGCTCTATTCTATGTGGTATATGGTACATGGCACATGGTATATGGTACATATTCACCGGCTGCTCACAAAGGCAGCTCCTCGCAGATTCTCTTCCCTCCAAACAGTACGCCGTGTCCTGCGCTGAGACATCCTCGAGCTGGGCGGATTCACCAGCCGGTAGAAATCCCTGGATTTCCGACCTTGGAACAAGGGTGGCTGTCCCCAGGCACGGTTAATATCTTTTAGGACTCGCTCAGCGCTGTAAGGATTCTCCTGTCGCAACATGCGGCTCATGTGACGACTGGAACGTCGGGGTCGTCCGAAAAGAACAGCAAGCCGGTGCCGGCAGGCTTGGCTGATCCATCTCATCCAAAGCTGCACACCGTTCTCTTCTAACTCGCGAAGAAGAATAAGACCGCGTACCCAAGGAACAAGTCTTTCTCCATCCACGCCAAAAGGGTTATAATCGTCTCGCTTGGAGGAAACGCGCATTCGGAACCCCCAATGGACGAGCGCCGCTTGCATCTGCTTGTTGAATATGGTCTCAAGCACGGAATTGCCATGTCTGTGGACTAGGGTGTCGTGAGCGGAATTTAATGTGGTTGATGGTGAGATGATCTCCAAAGGTTCGTTTATCGATCCCGAGTTAGGCGAAAAATGACGTGCGAGCCAGAGGCAACAGGTCCGCACCTCATCCCAACAGTGCATCATTCCGAGTCTCTTGATCATCTCAACCCAAACGTCAGGGGTCACAGACGCACCCAAAGGGACAACGCGTCGTAGTACACGGAAAAGGAATGTTACTTCCACAGCTTCAGAACGACCTTGTCCCTTAGTTGGAGCAACACCGGGTCTGCGGGGAATCAGGACGTATGTGATCATCAGGTCGATGCTCTCTTTGCTCAACCCTTTTTTGCGCAGGGCCATTTCGTCGACCAGCTTAAGAGCCAATGCCAACTCGCCGGCCGCAAGATGCTTTCTGAAATGGATGTTGAACAAGTCCGGCGCTTCTTCGGATACCTCATTCAGGACCGCCAGAGTCATATGATACGTACGCCAGTCCTGGCTCCTGTATGCAGATATAAGTATGGATTCCTGTATATGCGCATCCTCGAATACATCGGGATGCTCGTCGCAGCGGAGCAAATCGGACAGAACAATGTCCCGATTCTCCGAGGCGAGCTTGCGAAGGAGACGCGCAAAGACAGAGTTCCCCAGGGAGATGCCTGCTCGTTCGAGCTGCCGGAGCTTGCTCAACAAATCTTGACTCCCGCGGGCTCTAAGCGCCATTTCCCGCAAGGATTGTGGTCCAAGTGCCGGTACATTGAACATCTCCAGGCCAGAAAGTATTGTGTCGAAGTCAAGAGCCTCCGTGGCAAATATCCGTGCGCCAAATCCATCCTTAATGGGCCTCTCATCATGCGAGATTTTTTTTGGAGTCTCCGTCCGGGATTGGAGGTTGGTTTTTTCGTGTTCATTCAGTTTGCCAGGGAATCGTTGGCTGGCGTAGCTATAAAGCTCTTGGTAGAATTCCCATGGTCCGTACTCCTTCGTGCTCTCTAACAATGGCTCAAGGTCGACAAATGAGTGTGGATGGTCATCTTGCTGCGTGAGAAACCTGTGCATGGAAAGCATATCATCAACATGCCCACTGCGCATTAGCCTAGACATGATGGGGATGTAGATCTGGTGGCCCTGAGTCATGCGACAGATGCTGCGGAAGGCCCATAGGGTTGGTGACGTAGCCCGACGTCCAGACTTCATCAGAGCGGCGACCCTGCTTTGCTGCCTAATGGTGATTTCTGGTCGAAAGATATGTAGTATATCATCGGGGTGCGTCAGATGTGGATGCTGAAGTCTTCTGTGCCATTTAACAGCCTGCTGTGCCATGCCCCTGTCAATAAAACCACCAATCACCCTTTCGTATAACTTGTCCCAGCGTCTTCCTGTTGTGTTCCAAAGCGCCAGCGCATAATTAGCAACTTCATTCAACACGACATCACGCCGTAGACCAGCATCCACAAAGCTTTGCCAAAAGAAATCGGCCACTTCTCCATGCACAGGAAGTTGTACCCCACCAACTCGGGCCGTCATGCCCTCCCAGATATCCAACGTGCCTTTGTCCCCATAATGCCGTTGCCGGTAACGTAGTAATTCCTCCCAAAGTGCGAAATCGTTCCGATGCACTGGGTCGTCTATCAAACGGGATCCGATGTCATCTGTATGCCCAATGTCCGATTCGTACTCCAATCTCTCCGGCTGGAGGCCCAGACATCGCGAATCCGACGCAGTACCACTCCCATGTGGGTTGGCAGGGCCTCCACTTTCAGCTGCCGCCTGCTTGTGTGGCGAATGAATCTCGTAAACCCGGAAGCTGAACGGTCGCTTCGTCGATGCCAAAGAGGGTTCGTTGGCAGATGTGTGTTGCAATTCTGTAACAGGCACGCTTTTCGCCTGTTTGGCGGTCTTTGACAAGCAGCGAAGACATTTAGCTGCGCGTCCGACATCCAATTGCTCAACTCCAATGGGCATCGATATTAGGGAGTCGAGAACCGAGAGAGCTGACGGCCTCTTCAGTAGTCGAAGAAGAGCCGGGCGCATGAGGTTTAAGGGAAGGAGGGCGGAAGGAAGGCGGTAGTAGATCTGACCATCCTCGTCAATCGCGCTCTATAAGAAGACGTCCGTTGCACATGTGGACAAAGACAAATGGCGGTCTTCTTCTGCTCTGCACACCTTTTGTTGCCGCGGACTACTTCTTTTCTGGGAACGCCGGACTTCCACTGAAGTGCACTATACCCGCTACAGTTAAGAGCTTCTCAAAGCACGTGATAATTACTAAGCCTTGATTCCTAAAGGCGGAAGTGGGAGGATCGACACGTGACTTTCAAGGACCGTTCGGGTCCACACTTCACGACATCGACTGATCATTGTTGCTGCTAGCCTCTCGTCTGTCATTGTCCCTTTTACCCCCCTCGATAACTTCCTTCGTCGCTTTCGCGCACCGCCAAAATGTTCCGCACCGCTCCTCGTATGGCTGGGTATGTCACTGTTCCTCTTTCCTACCTGTTTCCACGCATGGCGCTTTGAGCGATGCCGGATGACGGCTTGCTGGCCAGCACCGTTTGCTGCTCAATTGAGCGGAATCTTCTTGCAATTGGAACCCGAGCTCGATATCCCTTTTAGGACTGGACTTGCTAACCGGAACTATGTCTTTTAGGTTCGTGTTCCGTGAGAACCGTGTCCCTTACTACCAGCGTCTTTTCCAGCAGCACGACGGCAAGCGCCAGTGGTGGAAGGTACCTTGATCTACGAATACAGTTCATAGTTTGGAGAGCAACGAGGGAAATCTAACCACGGGGATATCTACAGACTGAGCGCAGCGCCTACGTCATGTGGCCCTACCTCATCTCCGTTTACGGCATGGGCATTGGTAAGCAGTTCGAGGCTTTCAATTACGATGCACCGGCACTAATATGTCTGTTTCTTAGCTACCACCTACGCCATGGGCCGTATGGTCTTCGTAAGTGTTCTCCTCAAACTGCCACTCCCTGGCGGGGATCCAGTGGATCATCGAATTGTCTAATGCTAATTCTTATACAGGGCCACAAGACCTGGTTCGGCAAAGAGTAAATGCAATCTTCGCCAACTTGTCAACTTCTCGTCACGGCTTCTTGGCTTCAATTGGCGGTGTACCTCTATTACCATGATGGGCGGCTAGAGAGGAAGATTACCGACGTTGTATATAACATAACCTAGGGCGTCAAAGCGTTATCTATTTCCTCTATATGACCGGTCGTATGTTACAGCCTCGTTATAAGTTAGGCGCATTTCAGGCCATGCCTATCGTGATATGGTTTGATGGCCTATAAAGATACCCAGAGGAGTAGGTAAAGCCCGGATAAGGATTATACAACTTTACAATGTTGTCTTCGCTCATGGCTCGAAATAGTAGATGCTGTTTGTATGAGTAACAATGTTAATATCAGGCGTGGGGAGCCCCATGGCATCTTCATGATGGCATGAGCGCAGCCGGTATCTCCCGGGTGAGCCAGGGATTATTCTCTCCGGGGCCGTCAAGATGGTATCAACTGGGTACATGTTTCTGAGCGCCACCCAAGCCAGCACTGGCTATACTTAAGCCAAGCTATCGTTCGCTTTATGTTGAAAATGTTGGAAGAAACGTCAGTACTGTGAATTGAATAGATTAGTAATCTATGCTCTGCCGGCTCGCCCCGGCGCGACTAACAGACGGATAAATAGGTAGTGATCATCCGAAATCGTGTGGCATTGGCCTGATAGTAGTTCAACTCTTAATGTTCCAATAATGTTCGAGCAGGACATATATTTGCTTATTATGTATTGATATTCCAACGCGTATATATCCATTCAGATCTAAATAATGCCATATGGTGAGTTTGTCACCCACTTCAAAGACATCTGGTCTTATAATGGGATACTGGTCTTGAGTGCATGCCAGGACAGGGTTGTTGCTATGTCTGACATTAGTTTTCTCAGTACAACGCAATCTACTTACAACAGCACATATTATACTACATGATTATCAGGGTGTGGCATGGAGCCCACATCTGGTGAGCGGCCGGCTAAGCGAGTGCGGCAAGCTTGTGAACCATGCAGGTCAGACGGAACATCTGTCCGACCTTGTGCTCTATGACGCAGTCCTCACTGACTCTTCACAGACGCAAGAAGGCAAAATGCCCCGGAGAGCAGCCAGTATGCTCTCTATGCTCCCGCTTGAACCAAAGATGTGCATATGCTGGAGAGCACAGAAGGTCGTTGACAGCTGGTCTTGCCGTCTCTGGGGAACCGGCTCCTACCCCTTCCAATTCAGAAAGTAAGCTCTCTCAGATACTGGTAAGAACAATTCTACGCTAATACTAGTGATGCTGAAACAAGCTAAGTAACCACAGGAAGAACGGCTTGGAAATCTGGAGGCCCGAATGGGTCAGGTTCTCGACGCCTTGGGGTATTCCACCACTTCTCCAACTCCTACGTGAGAGCTTCCAATGCCTAATATCTTTAATTATATTAGGCAAAGCACCACTAGACAAGAGCAACGGGCAACTGCTCCTACGGCTTCCATAAGCAGCGCCATGGCCTCGTCGATGCTAAATCCAACCACGCCCTTCCCTACGTGGGAGAAAGTGATGTCAATAGCTGAGCTGTATCTGATATATTGTGACGCCCAGCCTCTTCCACTTTTCTATAGGGACAGCTTCCTCAGCACGCTAGGGAGCCGTGACCCAGAGATCATATATGCTATGTTGGCGCTGAGTATCCGTTTCTCCGACGATATCAGCTTCACTACCAACGATCTTACATCGATAATCAACGGCTATACGGAGGTGGCCAGAGGCTTGGTTATGAAGAGAGTCTCGGAAGGACCTATAGAGCTTTCAACCTTGCAAAGCTTATGCCTTCTAAGTTTGGTCGACTTTGCCAGTAACGCATCCGATTTTGTGAGCTTTGCTGACAGCATGCTAACTTGATACCTTTGTAGATGGGAATGCGCATCGTTCAAGCATTCATTGCAGTTTAGCGATGAACTTAGCGCAATGTGCCAATTTTGGTTCAGAGTCTCATTTGGTGCAGTCCCCTACTGCACGCGAAGAACGCAGACGCTGCTTCTGGAGTATTTGTCTTCTGAAACGCCTTCACGGGGTTGATTTTGATAACCTGGATTTTGCCGACGGCTGCTTTCCTCCCTTTCCAGAAAGCCCAAGCCGGCCGGCACCGACAAGCTCGCTAAGCGATGGGACGAATGAAACCCGGTCATCAGGCATGCAGGATCAGGGTATAATAGCCTACGTGATCATGCTCAGCGAGATTTTTGCAAAGGCTGCAAGATACGTTAGACGCCACGGAAGACCTAGCAATGTACCTCCGTGGTCCTCGCAATCAGAATACTCAAAGATACTGACTGCTCTGATGGAACGAGAAACACAGATGCCATACAGTCACAGATTCAAGCCAGCCAATTTAAGTGAAAGGACATTCGATGACCTTCAAGGTAAGAGAGACTACTGGGGTCCATGGCTACTAAACCAATTCCTGTATCATACGATCCTGTGCCTTCTCAATCACCCCCTTCTGCTTTCTCTCAGTCTCAGAAACTTTCGGAGTACAATTCCGGAGATATTCCTGCAGCACACCTCCGATTTGATTTCATCGCATACGACATGGATTATCCATTTTATTGACTACTTCGAGGAGAGGTCTTTCATTGTCTCGGATCCTTTCATGGGATATGGTGCCGCCGTGGTAGCAACAATTGAACTACAATTGAGTTTTACGGAGAACACCACCATCCGCGAAGAAAAGCGCAACCGGTTTTCCAAATGTGTTGGGTTTGTGCAAACTCTTGGAAATAAATGGCCTCATATGGCACGCTTGGTAAGACGGCGTTTAATATATCCATTGTTCAACTTGCTAAGATGAAGATAGGCGGACAGATTGCAGAGGCTGGAAGATGCTGTGTCTGCATCCTATGAATTGGAATCTGGTGCCCAAAACAAGTACTTACTCATAGACCTCTCACGTTTCTGGGAGATCCTCGAATATTCCTCCAGTGACGCAGATTCTGCCCGCCGCATGTTCGGCGATTCCCTCTACACAGAAGCTCCTACGCTTGGTGCTGAAGTGTCGCAGACATCCCCCTTACCCGAGCCTTTTCGTCTGCACTCGCAGCAAACCACGTCGCAGTCGCCAACGTCTCAATTCAACATTCAAACTCCCCTCGCCACAGGTGTACAGTACCCTATGGGAGTTGGTTCTCCCCTACACGATGAATTCTCAATACTCGCCGCGAATTTCTTCTCTCAAGCCCAGGACTTTTTGCGAAGCGGTGATCCTAGGGATGGATTCGGCAATCTCTGAGATGTTCTCGTACACTGAACAGGCCTACTATAACACGTTGGTATTCTGGACATTGACTCCTATATTCTCAAGCTTCCCACTAAGCAAATTCGCAATCAAATCTCAAACTACATGGTCAAATCATCATTAATTCAAGTACAATATGAGCAAATCTTAGTATCAAAACCCCGAAATGTTGGTATCTATCTCTAGGAATTCCCATCAAAATAACGCTAACAAATCCAACCAGGGAAATAACTTATGGGTACAGCCAAGCCTCCATCACTCTGCAAGCGCATCCTTGAAAATCTTAGCAAATGTCCATACCTCACTGAAGGTGTTATATAAAGGAACCGGAGCCACGCGCACGACACCCGGCTCCCGTTTATCGCAAACAATTCCTGCTTCCTGCAACCTGTGTGCCACATTCTGCAACAGACCAGGCTTGAGTAGGAGACTGAGCTGCGCGCCTCTAGCCTCAGGGTGTGCGGGTGTAATTATACGGAACGGTCTTGACTCCTCTTCGGTGTCTTTGAGCAACAAGAACTCAAGATATGCTGTTAAAGACACGGACTTCCTGCGAAGGTCTGCCATCGATGTTTCATCGAAGACAGAGAGAGCGGCACAAAGACATGCAAGATCGATGGCCGAAGGATTCGAAATTTGGAACCCCCCAGCCCCAGGAATAGGTTTGAATTCTATTTATCATAAGATCAGCTCACTAGCTCCCAAACATAGTCTGGGGTTGTTTCACTTACTGTTATCCATCTTGAACCTCACCGATCTATCGCCACCATACCATCCGGTCAAACGATGCCGGAACTTGGGCTCATCTTCTCCTGCGCTGTAGTCGACCTCGCCATGCTTCTCGTGCACAAAGAGGCCCCCCATGGCACCTGGGCCAGCGTTTCCATATTTGTATGTGCACCATGCTGCAAAGTCAACGTTCCAATCGTGCAATTTTAGCTCAGCATTAGCAAAGGCATGGGCTAGATCCCACCCGACCACCATGTTGCGCGAGTGCGCATACTTGGTAATTCTTTGGATGTCGAAAAGCTGGCCGGTATAGTACTGAATACCGGGAAGGAGAATGAGAGCAGCATCGTCGGAATGCTTGTCGATATACGAGAAAATCTTCTGCGTGGATATCTCATACTCGCCCTCGTCAGGGCTGATTAACACCATGGACTCTTTTGGATCCAAGTCATGCCAGGCAATATGGGACTCGATGGCATACTATTTTAATATCAGCACTGCCAGGAACAAAGTAGTCAGGTGGGTATCCGTCGAACATACATGATCACTTGGGAACGCCTTCCAGTCCATCAGGATCTTGTGCTTTGTTTCCGTCGGCTTATAGAAGCTGGCCAGCAGCAGATGGAGATTTGTTGTCAGTGTTCCCATAGCTGCAACCTCCTCAGCCTTTGCGCCGACAATTTTGCTCATTGACTCAGCTGCTTGCTCCGAAAGCAGCTGCCATTGCTTCAGGGGAGAGTCTTCGAGGTCGGTGAAGTGACCGCCCACCCCGATCGATGACCAAGTGTCCAGCTGTGCTTCCAGGTACCTTGCGGTGGGCTTGGGCTGGATGCCAAGTGAATTCCCACAGAAGTAAATGCATGGTTCGGATGAAAGACCTGCGACACTCGTCAGCGACGGAAGAAGAAGATCACGGGGTTAGAACACACCAGGCTTTGCAAGTTTCTTCGAAACAATGTTTGCTTTCGATGGGACAATGAACTTGTCCCGGAAGGTAGCTAGACTATCAGAAGAATCTAGAGATGCAGCATACTCCTTCGTCGCTGCCTCGGCAGGGAATGCCAGGTTGGTGCTGTTTGATTTCGACATGATGAAAGCGACCGGTGACAACGATGCGATAATTGAATAGAGAGGACTTGGGGGGAGACTTCCATGCTAACACTTCACAATTATATATGGACTGGTGCGTGACACGAAGCACATCCGTCTCTCCCGGTCCGGATACCGTTCCGCTTCCGCCTCGTCATCCGTGTCGACGGAACAAGAGATAACAAAACATCCGCTCCAGTGTTCCATAGGCCTGTTGAGCTTTTCGGCGACCTACTCCATTTGAGCTTAGGGGAAGTCTTTGCTGGGACATCAACTGACAGGTTTTGCTGTTTCCTTAGGCGGTCCTGACACGATCCGTTCTAAGTCCGCCTCTCTTCCGTCTTGTCCTTGGATATACGATATAAACACCATTTGCTTCTTTTGCCTGTCTCAGGTGACATTTTCCCCGAGAAGTCAATCACAAACTGGTCCTTATTGAAGCCTACATCCAGTCATGCTCGATACTCCGGCAATATCTCTTGTCGAATACGGCGTCTCCCTTCAAAACGGGTTCCTTCCGGAGGTGCTTCCCTTACGGAGGTTGGAGGATCCTTACTACTCGCGATGGGAGGATATTGTCCAGGACTTGCCCGCTATCATTAAGGCTGGCACTATCAGGCAAGCCGTGAATAATCTGCCCATTCTTAGTACGGAAAATTTGCAACAAGAGCCCGAATGGCGAAGAGCCTACGTTGTGCTGGCCTATCTCACACACGCCTACATATGGGGAGGTGAAACCCCAAAAGATGTAATTCTCCCTTTCAACTTCTCGTTTCCTCTTTCGGCCCCCTTTTGCGCTTCTCTATAGCCCTTGACTTTGCTGACATTAGACTTGATAGAGGTTACCGCCCTCTATAGCGCGCCCGTTCATCGAAATTTCCAACCATTTGGAGCTACCACCATGTGCCACATATGCAGCTCTTAATCTATGGAACTTTTCAGTGCCATCGGAGGATACAGATCTCACAGACCCGGACAACCTATCCGTAGTGACCTCATTTACTGGCACCAAGGATGAAGAGTGGTTTTTCGTCCTCTCCGTCGCTATCGAGGCCAAAGGAGCGCAGCTCATCGAGTTTATGCTGGATGGTATCCACGGTGCTAGTATTGACGATGAGAAACGTGTTATTGCCCGCCTCGAACAACTTAGCTATGGTCTTGGAGAACTTGGAAAACTCTTGGAACGGATGTATGAGAAATGTGCACCATCTGCTTTCTATCACCAGCTACGCCCATTTCTAGCAGGCAGTAAGAACATGGCGTCAGCTGGGTTGCCAAATGGAGTGTTCTATGACCTTGGGGATGGTCAAGGCGAGTGGCATCAATACAGTGGTGGTAGTAATGCGCAAAGTTCTCTGATCCAAGCCTTTGATATATTCCTCGGTGTGGAGCATTCAGCTACTGGGGAGACGAAGTCCAACGGCAAGTCGCAAACTCAAGTCAGATCCGGTTATATTCAAGTAAGTGCAAGGAGCCGAATGTGTATCCGAAAAAAGTGATTGACGCTGACTGTCTCGTTCCCAGCATATGCGAAACTACATGCCAGGTCCACATCGACGTTTCCTGGAGATGATGGCCCGCACCTCCAATGTTCGTCCGTATGTGATGAGCCACAAAGCCGGATCTGCCTTGAGGGATGCATACAACATGGCGGCCATGTCACTCGGGGGGTTTCGAGACAAGCATGTCCGGATGGTGACCCGATACATCATTATGGCTGCAAGAACTCCGCCACCAAACCACACACCTTCGCAGACTAATCTGGCAACGACAACATCTACTTTGATGGACAAGTCCCATGAGAATATTACAGGAGGGATCAGAGGAACAGGCGGAACCGACTTGATACCGTTCCTCAAGCAGACCAGAGACACTACGAAGGCAGCAGCCCGATATGTGGATTGAAAGAACTGATACATTTGATGCAGCAATCTATTTCAGCGACCTGGTTTCGTCTTTCTGTTGCTTCGTGCATCCAATGGCTTAGCGATTGCCTGTAAATACCTGGTTGTGGAGGCTTTTTTTTTTAATTGAATATTTATTTCATTGAACATAGGGATTACGAATAAAAGATTCTCTTCAAAAATAAAAACTAGATAGAACACAATCTAACCCGAGAATTGAATAGTCTAGACGCGTTTATTCACCGATCAAAGATGGCGGCAGCTCTCGGAGACGGGAGCGGAGGCGGATACGGATACCGGACACGGTTGACATGCGTCTGGATCCATGGGAAGGGAGTCTTATCACCTGCTATCTCGCGACTTCCCCACCACCACTTACATCATGATAGACGAACATCTGAATCATTCGTCCCATAGGTAGTAGCTTTACGAGAATTCCAGCCATGTGACTACTATCTATTCCTTATCCAAGCATCGATGATAGCCGTTCTCTATATGGTATAGTCGTAAGCAAGAAGCCATGCCTGTTGACAATCAACATCAATACCCCTGGCCACTTACTTCGAGAATTGCGCTAGAACAGCCCCATACCCACCGCGGCTGTGCCTGAATCCAACTAAATATATATAGTAGTACTAGTATCTCCAGTGACAATTACTTATGAAAGTCCACTAACACAGCATCAACTAGTATCCAAACATTGGGTGTTGTCAATAAAGCCCAAATTTAGAAGCTTTTGTAGTACTAGTACTCAGCTTCACTGTACCACTATCTGTGAATTAAGGGGTATACCCAACACCGAGTCGGCGATTGTCCCAAAACTAAACCCTATGTGAATTCTATGATTAATTGCAACACATCAAAATTAGATTAAGTCAGATGAACAAAACATTTGACTTTAGTTGAAGTTAGCATGTCCTATGGAGAGGATGTATGTATGTATGCGGTCATGGATCTTGTGACGATCGCCTAGGGTTTCTTCCATAGGATACCTACCATCGATCTAGATAGGTGGCCTCCATGGAACAAGCATGATAGGAGCCCGCATACTGCCGGTTCATCCGGGCGAAAGTCCCGAACTATTTGACACGTGAGTTAGATTTAGGTGGTTATCATTCCTGACATTCCAGGTCTCACCAACCGGTAGGTTATCTAGGTAGGGTAGAATCAAGGGGGTGTTGTGGAATCGCCGATTGGGAACTTATCCGTTCGCCGACCGGCTTATCACACCATCAACGCCATTATGGCGATGCTCACCGCAATTCCTGACCAGTTAGGGAGATGATAGGATTGAAGCGGTGTTGGGAGGTTGGGAGATTTTTGGGGGGGTTGGAATGGGGAGTTTGTGGATGGCTTATTTGTATATTTTTTATGTTGCTTAGTGGTGGATTAGATAGATGTGTCCGGGGAAACAGAAGATACTTATTCGGGGATTAGCGTAAGGATGACCTCGTATAGCGTCATTTTCTCGTCCGAGAAGATGATGTATGTAGGTGTTTTGCGAGGTATAAAGGTGGAAGATGGCCTGGTTCTTTGCAAAATCCTGGATCATGAGGAGAGCGGAAAAGCTGCTTGAGATCATAGTGGGTATCTAGATATCGCTATGATGGAGTTTCGGATTATTCTGATACTGTCATGAGGAAGCAACCCTCGAGGCAATAAATTGTAGATTGCCTGCAGATGCGTCCCAATCCTCGATTTTACGGTCCCAAGGTAGGTAACCGAGACCATAATGACAGGACAGCTGATGCGCCTTGCAATCTCGCTGCCATAGCATAGCGGCTATCCCATCATCCGGTTACTCAATACACAAGCAGACACACTGATCATCTCACAGCAGTACAATAATCCAACCAAAGCTTTGCCCAACAAGCTACCAAATCCCCATTTACTACATTGACCCACCATATTCACCAACTCCAAGCCACATTCGCACGCAAATCCCACACCGCGTCCCACGAAACAGACAATATACTCAATCACTCGATTGTGTGGACAATGACGAGACCTTCCGAATCGGTCTCATCACAGCACAAGCCCTCCATATACCAAGCCACAACCTCAATCACAGTGGATACATACTAGGCAGCAATGCGACATGTATATTGAGGACTTATCTTCACCCTAATATGGGCAGTGCACTTCCCGCATGGCTATGCTCGGGGTCTGTATCAGACCATGCACAAGTTGTTGGCTCTTCCGTCCCATGTTGGGATGTATACACTAGTGTATACACGATATGATAATCCGCCGGTCCCCCGGACGCATTTTCGGGTAGTCCGGAGGCTATGCATTATGTGCCCATGGAAGAACAAATAGGCATGTGAATGAGGGAGCTAGATTGAGGAGGTCCTGCATCGGTGATGAAAAGAAGTTGGGAGTACCCTGTTTATTGTTGCATCCTGAAGAACGGATGCCTCGGAGTATTTGGGACGACAGGCAGAGAGCCTTCTTTCAGCCAGATTCCTGGCCAGGTATGTACCTGGTATCTAAATCTCAGACCGGTAAGGTGTCGGTTACACTCGGGGGGAGTACTTGTTCTCTGATGTCTTGATAGGATTTCGGACATTGGTGTCCAGATTCATTTAGAACGTGTATATTGATTCGATACGATAGGAGATGCGAATGTGCCTCCACGTCATGTCATGCGCGGTCAGTCGTCATAGTTTCGGGAGAGTGAACATGGCAGTCGTACATGGCGCAGTAGATCATGTCTGGGAGCTGAGGACAAGGGGGTGAAGCTGAGTTGCTGGCCGTTGAGATGTGGCTTAGGACACGGTTTCATTGGTTGGTGATGAGTGGTGGAACTCCTATTGGTTGGTTTTGGATCGCCGATGGAAGTTCCCCGGTCGGCGATTGGTATTTCCTTCCATACTGGGAGAGTTGGGGATTAAAGTACCAAGTACGTAGCTTATCTGAATAAAGGTATAGGACCAAGATCGAAGACTTATAAGGAGGAACTCAAAGACGAATTTGGGTTTGGCTTTTCTTTAACGAATATCGGACTTGATACCTAAATTATCACAACATGTCTTCCACAATGCTTGCGTCTTTCCCTGGTACTGCCACTGGTTACACCTCTCGTCTGAACAAGGACCACGTTTCATTACTGGGTGATAATGAGACCTACACTTTCGAACAGCTTGTTCAAGACCTCAGAGGCTGCTTGGGTAACTCTCGGGGTATCGATGAAGAACATGTTGACCATGCCGTTTTGATGGCCTTCATGTCCAAATATGCTTCCAACCCTGCCGACTGGGCACGTTTCACACGCAACGACGTCAGCAAGAACTACACTCGGAATCTTGTGGAGGATATCAATGGTCGTGCCAATTTGGTTAGTTATCATCTAGATAATGGACTCGTACATGATGACTGACAATGAACAGTTGGTGTTGGTTTGGAACCCGCAGAAGGGATCTCCAATCCATGATCACGCAGACGCGCACTGTGTCATGAAGATCCTCGGCGGCGAGCTGAATGAGATTATCTACGAGACCCCAGATCCTGCTCGGGGCCATGATGCGCCTTTGACCGTGAAGAAAGAGACAACGTACAAGACCGACCAAGTGGCATATATCTGTGACCAGATCGGCTTGCATCGGGTCATGAACCCGCAGAAGGATCAGGTCGCGGTCTCATTGCATTGTAAGTTGGTGTGAATCTTGTGATTGGAAATCATTTGGCTGATATTCTGCAGTGTATACTCCGCCCAATGCAGCGGATTTCGGATACAATATCTATGATCGGGAGACTGGACGCAGCAGCCATGTTTATCAGGCACCATAGGAGGTGTATGGACAGGAAAGGAAGAGTGCAGGACACTGGTAACGAATAACGACTGGCGTTGATAATTTGCTTGTAAACTAGACTGGGAACTTGGAGTACTCGGGGTTTAAGATACTGGGTTCTTTGATACTCTGATCTGGTATCTGATAGTTTTGAATTAGCATTACGTATTACTCGTGCATCCTATACTTCTATATCCACATGTAGGTGATGAGTAGCAAGTCAAATTATGAGAAAGACGTGTGATAACGTACGACTTATCTGTAGACAGTAGTTGGAACTGGAACTCGTCGTTCTGATACAACGTTGCAGCAGTGAGACCGGAATCAGGTTGCAGATAGGGATGCTCCACATGGAAATTGAGCAATATCTCAAGTGGAGAGCTGGTCTCTGTTGATACCCACGAACATTACTCCGTAGAGTAGTGAAGTAGATGACAAGAGAAAGCTAGCGGGGATCTGGTTATGGATGCACAGCGCTTAGTCATTGAGGTTTATGACCTGCACGACCCGAGCAAGTATCGCCGTCCTGCGCCTTCCCCGAAACAATAATACTCGGCTTAAGACATGATGGCCTTTTCTCGTCTCTAAGGGCTGAGTACCAGGATGAAGGAGGATACTTATCGAAGAAAAACATCCTGAACATGCCCCGACCATCACCACTCGCCTGTACAGAGTGTCGGAAGCAACATCTCAAATGCGACGCGAAAACACCCTCTTGCTCTCGCTGCCTCCAAAACCGCCTGGATTGCAATTATCTCCCGTCTCGCCGAGGAGGGCGGCGGAAAATCCGCGAAGCCCTCCGACAGCAACATGCTGCATCTTCGGACTATTCTCGTCACCTTCATCAATCGGTTTCTTCGGGTCCAACTTCTGCAGACCTGATCTTGTCCCCTCACACCACTAGCCTGAACGGGCCAGATGCTGCTTCGATTGGCTCTGGACAGCAGGCCCAGGGTATCGCCCCAGTCGAGGAGGGCCATGATTCTTCGGACTCAGATGCTCGTCTAGTACGATTGTACTATGATAATTTTCACTCAGCGCATCCCATCCTGGTTCCGGCTCCCTTGTACGAGGAGCGCAAGTACCCAGCATATCTACATGAAGTGGTCATGTTCATAGGCAGTCATTTCCTACAGCTATCTAATGGCTCTCTACCTGATATGGCTACCGTGCAGTTGAGCGCCAGTCGAGAGAGGACGCCGTGCAAGGCTCAAGCTCTTTTGTTGTATTCGATAATTGCGTGCGCCCGTGGTGAGTGTTCACAAGCTCACTCCTCCTTTTCCCAGGCTGTCGATATCGCGTTGGAACTCGGGATGTACCGACAGGAGTTTGCGACTACGTCTTCCAGTGGGCAAGCTGTGGAAGCTGAGAGTCTCCGACGTACTTGGTGGGAACTTTTCACCGTGGATGTCTACATGGCCGCTTTGCAGAAGAGGGTTGTCTTGCGATGCAGCGGCGTTCCTTATGACGTGGCTTTGCCTTGCGAGGAATCAGTGTACGCCAGCCATACTAATATACCCTCACCCCCGACACTTGCTGGATTTAACAAGCGCATATTTGCCGACGACGATGGGGAAACATATCAATCTCGGTATTCATCTTTCAGCTACCGTATCGAGGCAGTGTGCATCCTGGCACGGGTCCTAGTGCTGAATAGCCTGCCCGAGACGCATAGAGATCACCTGCAAGCCGTGGAAAACGCGCTTGTTAGCTGGACAAACCATCTTCCGCCGAACAAAGTTGATATCGTGGATACGTATGGCAGCGTGGATGAAATACTGTTTCAAGCACATACTACCATCCACTATGCTGCAATGCTTTTGCATCTTCCGAGGAGCAGCCTTCGACCCGCCTGTCCAGATACAGGGTTCCCAATTTGCCCAGTGATTCCGTCTCGACTTTCTCCATCTTTCACCCGACATGTTCATGACATCAAAGCTACTGAAGCATCCAAGCAACTGTCTAATCTTCTGTCCGTCCGTCCTAGCGTCCAAAGATACAGCCCATTTGTTGTCTTTAGCCTAGTACTATGTGGAATGGTGCAGCTTGCTACGAGTCGGATCCATTCATCAGATTGTTCAGACCACCACTGCAACCGCATTATTCTTGTGCTTGGGTGCTTGAAAACTTTGAAACAGAAGTGGCCCATTGCAGACCGGGCCCACCGCTACCTGAGATGCGTGGCAGCAGAGACATTCACGGCTTGGATCGAGTCTCGATATCCCCAGACTAGTAGTGCTGTGCCTCCAGTCTCGAGAAATGATGCTCCCGGCAATCCCTCGTCTACTGATAATAATGTGTGGCTCTCTATCACCAGCAATCATGGTATAAACAGGTGTACAGAGGCGGATGTACAAGGGCTATTCTCACCTGGACTGCTATCAGCCTACATTGACCCAACATGTAGTGAGCCACTGCTTTTGGGTTCAATGCCCGAACTTGACTTTACATGATTACCGCTGCGGAGATTGTCACACCGAGACGCATATATGAGATTTCTATGCACATGGACACAGGTTACCGGCTCTCTTAGTTTGACCTTGGCGGAGCCTTGCTGCTCATTATACGGCCCTCGACTAGTTCAGCTACCTCTTGCAAAATAAATCGAGGAACCGCAAAGATAAACCACAGTGCTGTTGGGAGGCAACTGGTTCCAGTCAAAGTGAATACTCAATGCTTTGAGCTGGACGCTGGGGTCGCTGCCATGAAGCACTGGGCACGAGATGGATTGTGAGCCAAGTTTGGAATGTGGTCAGTGATGTATCTCCGGACATATTGGCCATGTCACTCCGTTGGGCAATCGCATAAACTGTCTGTTTGCAACTAGCCACTATCGTGGACTATAGATGGACGACCGTTCTTGTTTAACACTCACCATGAAAGAGACCCATGAGGTGCCCAGGATTCGGGTCCTCTACCAGAACTCTAGCCCATGCTGTGTGCCACTTAGCCCTTCGCCCGCTCGCAAAACAGACGATGTTACAAAGCAGTATACCAGACGATGCGCTCGAAATCATGCTACAGCAAACTAAACTTGTTTTCAAGGCCACCGAAAGAGATCGCAGAATCTGCCGGACTAACGAAGCAGAAACGAACCGATAAGATGGATCCAGGGGAGAGATATTGGATAGAACTGAAAAGATTCGGCCACAGTCTGCCATGGCAATCAAGAGCTCTTCTCAACCCGAGGTCTACACATACCCGCATTGTCACATTGCCGAGTGAAGGCGAATGAGACGAACAGATGCTGACACCACGTGCAGTACTCGTGACCAGGAGCATTGACAAGTCTGTACGATTGCTAGTTACTTATAGCGCTGACTAGGTATGCCAACTTGTACCATGACAGTGGCAAACTAGACATGCCACCGTAAGCTTCCCAATAGTGCATATTGATATGCACGCAGCCTGGTAGCTTAAAGCATCGCTGCAATGAGGGCCCAGTACCCCCAGGGTCTTAAGCCCTTCACGGTCTCCAAAGACCACTGATAAACCTTGTCCCACCCTCTAAAGGGAGCACTTCGAGGAACAGCCCTGGCTTCTTCCCGATGCAGCATAGAGCCATCCCTCCACCGGAGAAGAGAAGCACATCTCGAAAAGACCGTCATGAACCGAAGCGTATCAAGCCCATGGCTCTCAAAATCATAACCCAAATACCCCTATCCCCCACACACCCTTACCGCTTCTTCGTAGTCGCCGGAATACCCTCACTCGCACGCAACTCCGCCAACTTCTTCTCCCTCTCAATCAATCGTTCCCTCTCCAACTTAATCATCCCCTCGACCGTCTTATTCGCCTCCCCCAACCGATCCATCTCACTACTCTCCGCCCCCTTACTATACGGATTCTCTGGCGTCTCATTGAACGGAATCTCCGCCGTCCTCACCCCCCTCTGCAACAACATCTGCGACTGTTTCGTATTCTTCCCCCCCTTCCCCTTCTGCCCCCCTCCTGATGTCCCCGTCCCCGCCCCCACCCCCGTCAACAGCTCATAAAACTGCTCCACCGGCTCATTAAACACCACCTCCTCATAATTCTGACTGACCACCAATTCCCGTCTCTCTTTCTTTGCCTCCGCGTCCGGCCCATACGGATGCAGTTTCAAACTATGCCACAGCGTTTGGGGTTTCTCGGTTGACTCAGGCACAAAGTATAGTTTGATCTGGATCTCGAATTCTCCCCATCCTGTCTCGGTTACTTCGAAGGGGGGTTGTTCGATCGTCCGGACGTTCTGGGCGTAGGTCTCGTGAAGTTTGAATTGCACTTTCTTCAACCAGTAGGAGATGTCTTCGTCGTTGACGCCTTTCACGAATACTCGCCATTGGTGTGTGTGGTCTGCTGGCACGTTGGGGGGTTTTTTGGCTGGGTCGAAGGGTTGGGCTTCGCTGCCGAAGACTGTGGGGTGTTAGATGTTGTGTAAGAGGGTGGGAGGTGGAGGTAATGGCATACCGAAGGGTCGGAAGACTGAAACGCCCTGGATGTTGAGATGGTGTTAGTTGGTTGCTCATTCGGGCATGTACTCAGAGAGGGAGACTCACTCTAATGCGCTTGGTTCCTGTCGCTGAGGGCATGCTGCAGTACCGGATGTATTATCAAGCTGATACAGAAAAGAGGTATCGATACGATGGCGAGGAAATGACCGATTAGCTGGATTGTAGGACTGTTCAATTTCCTGTCGCGAAAGCGCCGCGGAATTCCTGCTCCGGCACGTGATGGTCGCGGGCGGTGATACGATAAGGAATCCGGCGGAAGCTGAGCTGCCGCGGTGCTTTCTCCGGGATGGAACGAGCTTCGGATTTCAATTCTAATGAGAAATGCTTCGTTGAGGTTCTTATTTGCGGTTTACTTTCTATTCACACTTTAAATTGGGCATTAATTGAATCTACCCCACAATGGCAGCAAAGAGGGTAGTCGTTGCCGGCGGAAACGGTTTCTTGGGTAAGTAGTTACACTTGATTGTATGCTGTCGCATGAGATCCAACACTAACGGATTGCTTCTTTTACTCTACAGGATCAAGAATCTGCAAGTCTGCCGTCGCTCGAGGATGGTCCGTTACATCGCTAAGGTACGACAGCATACAAACCCTATATCCAGCATCCGTGCGTGATATTCATACAAATGTTGCAGTCGCTCCGGAGAACCGCGGTGGGATACCGTCACCAGCTCCCCCAGTCGTCCTAGCTGGGCCAGTTCTGTAGAATGGGTCAAAGCCGATATTTTGAAGCCGGAAACCTACAAGCCGTTTCTGAACGGTGCGACGGCCGTCGTTCACAGCATGGGGATCCTCCTCGAGGCGGACTACAAGGGGGTAGTGCAAGGTCGAGAACCGATTCTTAGCGGATTGCAAAAGGCGTTTAGTGGGCCGAAGCTGGGGAGTCAGAATCTGTTGCAGAGGCGAGAGGGAGAGCCGCTGGAGGTGAAGGAGCGGAATGGACAGTTTACATATGAGTTGATGAATAGGGATTCTGGTGTGTATACATCCATGCCCCGCGGAAGGGGGAGAGGGGTTTGAAGAGTGAGTGCTAATGTGTGTTTGCTGTAGCGATTGCGTTGGCGCAAGAGACCCTGAACGAACATGTCCCGACTTTTCTCTACATTTCTGCGGCGTCGGGTGCGCCGGTTCTCCCGAGTCGATATATTACAACCAAGAGAGAGGCAGAGTCGATCATTGCGGCGAAGCTGCCGGAGTTGCGCAGTGTATTTGTTCGAGCTCCGTTTATGTACGATGAAAGCAGAAAGTTCACTCTTCCGATTGCTCTGGGTGGCTTCGTTGGGTCCCAGGTCAATGCGCTTTTGGGCAACAGGCTGGATTTTCTTGGATCGATGGTGACCAAGCCTTTCCAGGTGGGTGATGTCGGTGAGGCTGTGGTGGAGGCCCTGGATGATGAATCTGTCCGGGGAGCCCTGGGAGTAGCTAAGATAGAAGCTCTAGCTACGAAGGCCTGGAGAAAGAGCATGCTATAGGGAGGACAGGAAAGGAAAAGCACATGAAATTGACTGTCAAGTGGCTAACAGTTTGGACTGAAGCTCCTGGCGCCTTAGCGGGAAGTTTCAATCAAGACAGGCAAAAGATATTTTCTTGCGTTAACCAGAGCAAGAAAGACATGCGAGGCTAAGCCAGAATTTGGGACCAGGCATTGTCTCGGGTTGAGATATCCGAGTCAGCGAAGTGCCTTTGTGACTGGGCAATCGCGAACCACCCTGGGTCTCTGTTTCTGGAAGTTGTACATTATATCATGTATCATAACGAGGCTATAACAAAACACCCCTAATCAAGCTCCAAGAGCCCAATGGTATCGTAGGGCGACAAGCAACGCATGGAATCGGTCGGGATAATGACGTCACTGGAATAGTTGCATCTCGTGCTATATCGAATGCCTGCTTCGTCCAGTAGGGTAGCAGTCCTTGCAGGAAATTCGTTGCCATTTGCGTACTGTCTGGAACGGCGTCCCAATGTGCAGATGCGGGACTCGACGCACTGTTACCAAGTCACTGCTGCGTAGGACTTTTGCGACCGTGTTTGAATTTGTCATTGTAGATTCGGAACATTGAAGGTGGATCAAATCATGGTACCACGCTCGAAACTGTCGCGGATCTCCGTAGTATACTATAGAAAGATTAGTTTGGCTACCTAGCGATGGGTCGAACTTGAGACATACCTTGTTATAAAAGCGCCCCAGCTTCTGGTTGAACTGCTTATTCTTCTCATTAATGTACGTGACGTCGCCGTCATCATCTCCGCGGCGATCTCTCCGCTTCTTGAGCCGGACCTCCTCGGCTTTTCTAAGGTTATCCACCAACTTGTCAACAGCAGCTCGATCAGGCTTGTTCTCCGTGAACCCGACACTGTCAGCAGTGGAATAGAATGAGCCGTTTTTGTCGACAGCAATCATTTCACCGTCGTTGGTCTCAACGATCTCGAGGTCGCCATTGGCGGCAGCCTTTTCGATCGCCGCCATCTTTTCCTTCTCATAGCTTTCGAGGTCAGGCTGCACTTCTCGCAGCTGCCTCTTGTAGACTTTACGGGCGTCCTGAGTATAGTCCTGGAAAGCAACATTGTCGCGATGACGCTGCTTCTTTTCCATTCGCTTGTCCCATTTCTCCGACTCGTCCACGGTCCAGTCCCAAGCACGTTTACGTTCAAAGTCCTCGCCAGCGGCTTCCGTGTCCGCCTTGAGGAGATTGTGTGATGCGAAAGCATGTTTGCGGGATAGCGAGGAAAGTAGCGACGGGTCGGTTGCGAGACGTTGCGTCTCGGCGGCGGTTTCTTTCAAGTTGCGCTCGGTGGCGGTTTTCTTTTTCGACGTCAGCACAAGCGTAGTCATTTATGATTACCGGTTACAAAGCACTTACTGCGCGAGCCTTGAGGGCCTTGAATCTTTCTTGTCGTTGGCGGGCTCTCGAAGCAGCATCATCCTCGTTTTTGTCTGAGGTCGCCTCTGTCGAGCTAGCCTTGGCGGTCGAATCTCCTTCAGCCTCCTTTAAAGGCGATCCAGATTCCTTGAGTTCACGATCGAGTTGTTCATTCGCTGCGGAGTGCTGGGAGTTTTCCTTGGCGTCAGAAGGGCTCGCCGCAGACTGCTCAACAGGCATATTGCACGTAGGTGTCACAGGTAAAATCAGGAAGCCGCGTTGAAAAAGTAAAATAAGTATAGTCGATTCGAAAGCATTCGTTGATCCGGGTGAAACGGGAACAAGCCAAGTGAGTTCAGTTTCGAGTCGCTGCCATGGTCCACCGCCCCACTGACCGCCTTTCCGCCTGGTGGATAGCGCTGGTGTTATCCGGTGTTGTCTCCACCCCGTTTCCCCCGGAATATCGCAGGCACGCCGACTGAAGGTCTGCTCCGTCGCTTCGCTCTGCTTGATATCCAATGCCTGCAGGAGGCCGGTACTCATGTCACTTTACTCTCGCTTCCAACCGCTGGCATGGCGGCGAGCATGCTTGCCCTTCGGTATCTCACCATCACAGTGCCGCCATGTTTCGGTAAACAACTGGAGAGCTTCATATACTGAGCCCACCCCGTCCCAGCTACTTAGATTCGCCCTAATGGGTACAACGAAACCTTCTGGGAACGATGTCTCCAATCCTGAACTCGACCAACACCTCTCGGATATCTTTCTTGGAGACTGGCCACTAGGCTCGTTACCTCCCCCGTTTTGGAGTTCTTCTCAGCGGCTAACAGAAAGCCCCGATGATTTCGTGTCATTCAAAGGCTTGAAGCATGATGTAAGGAATCTTCGTCACTTGCAGGTGTTTGTCGAAAGGAATGTGAGTGAGGAAGAAGGCAGCCTACTGTTGCAGGCCCAATCCTGTACCCTTCTAGCGCAGGCGCTAAAGCGTTGCCAACGACATAATTCCTACGGGGAGATTCTCTCGGCGCTCAATGCCATCATCACAAGACTAGAGAAGCTGGGCTTACCGTGCTCAGGAAATTTATACTTTCTTGGGATGTATTATGCTGCACTCACATGGTCTGCCCCAGCCCTTGAGAGGTTTATAGAAGGATACCACTCCGTTAGCTCGTCGCCTTTGGATAGCCAATCCAGTACATCTCTGGTGGATGCCCTTCTTGATGCTCTCCACTCCCTGAGGTTCCGGGGAAAGGCAGAAGATACGAGCGCTATACTGGACTTGATCACTGGGAGGTGGCGCAGTGAAAGAGACCTACATAGCCTGCTGTGCTGGGTTAGTCCTGATGATCCGACAGCGTCTAGCGGACAATATCTCTCCTTACTTGCCAGGTTAGGGAGCGAGAAGCTTCTAACCGAAGCATGGTCCCAGACACTACAGAGGCTATCTTCTGGCTCCTCATTCGAACTGTTCCAGTCTGTATATTCTTGCGTGGTGGCTCTGGTCGATATTGGTGACATTCCAAAAGCCATACAGTACTTGGCAGCAGTATCCAAACATGCCAAGGATACGCTGCCTGGAATTTCGAGGTTCAATGGTCTGAATGCTCTGCTTGCCTCTGAAGCCATTAGTGCCCTCCTGCCGCAGCTCGCAGGACGGAGGGAATACCTCAAGCTTCTTGAAGTTCAACTCGTGGACATGGAGGGCAGATTGGGACTTTGCTGGGAGCCTGGCGAATCATATCATAGAAGTGCCTCTGATCCCCTCTTGCTTGCCTCAGAGCAGCCACTCCTTACTTTAGATGGCGACAGCACAGGCTATGAAAGCACTGAACGCTTTCTCGCAGAGATGAGAGCACTGGGATGTTCAAGATCAGCAAGAGATCTCGGCCAGATTGCGGAGCTACTTGATGAACATGAAGGAGATGTGATCCCCGTTTCGGTTCCATCGATCAAAGACTCCAAATTCGAATTTGCTTGGTTTCCTCGGCTTGCTCCAGTTCCATCTACGCGCGTCGTTTCATCGGCTACAGAAGATACTACTTCACATTGGATACCTTCAACGTTAGGTCTGATCCGGGTAAGTTATGACAACAATGGGGTCCCTCTCACTAGTGAACGCTCCATACATGCGATGCAGCTCGGCCTTTTGGTGAGGAGACACAAATGCACCAATGACTCTCGTCCCGATTATGCGCATCCTTGGGAGGAGACTGGACACATGGTTGCCTGGGATCGTGTTTATGGGCAGCTGATTGCAGTATTTTCTGGGCAAAGCAACGGTCCCATTGAACATCGCATAGAGACTCGAGCCGCACGGCCACGGTCTGGCCTCAGTGCAATCACGACAATTGGTCTCCCTGGCGATACGTCCTCCACTTCGAATACGGATCTCATTCACTCTATAGGCAATGGGTCTATGCATTATCATATTGATGCAGACCCAGGTCCAGACTTGTTACTTTGACCGTATTGAGTGATGGTCAATGGTGTACATAGGCAGTGAGCTTATAGCGTTTCCTCGCCATAACTGGCTGGACCCTTGGTTCGATGGCTCGGCGACTATCAGCATTGACCGAGAAGGCGCGATTTGCCCCCCGGTGTCGAGTATTGCATTTTTATAAGTGTGTGTGCCTTAAGGTCTACATGCTGATGATAAGAGCACTAGTAGTGCTACACTCTACCTGCAGGTCGCTTCCACCGTCCTCTTCCATAGAGGAGAGGGTAGGCACTTGGCCATTCACGAGACCGAGAAGCCAGCGTCTACTTCATACACCTACGTCTCGGGCCACAAATATGCTTAGAATTCAATGGTCTAAAGAGGGCAAACCGGTATTCACTAGTGTCCAACACTAATCCGAATGGGAATCCGAAGATACACGACATCCTGTGATAGCACCATTCTATCGGGTAAGTCCGAAGTCAGGGTTTCTCAGGCAAGCCACGTCAATATCTTCCGAATGGGCAAAGCAAGCCGCAACATAGACCTAGAGACCGATCGCATGCGTCTTAATCCGCCGCTTAATGTCAGATAACACTATCTCACACGTGAGCTGAAGCCCCTTGCGATTCTCAGTCTCAAGCCTACGTCATTATTTTATGTCACCATAATGCTAGGCATGCAACTCACAGATACGTGGACAGAGCCAGACTTCTAGATATTGATGGCTTGACTATGTTGAAAAGCTAGCGAGCCCTCGCCTTCTATTACTTCCATGGCCCACAGCACGATCGGATGGTCGGCTCCCAATAATTACCTACTATGAGATCCAATTGGAAAGCCATTTTAGCGCTATTCCACAGTGTCACTTCCGGCGAAACTATTGTTTCAAGGTCATCGGCAGCGGTTCAATGATATTTCCAGGCTGGATTTGGATCTTCTGCCGAATATACCCATGGTATGATCAGCATCTTCAGTTCTGCATGCACACCGAATCCATGGACAGTGTACGTAAAACGATATTTCACTGACAGGGATCTTCGATTCGTTCAAGCCACATCCAAGTTTGTAACATATTGCGACCCTCGCTAAGAGGGTAGGCGGTGTTCCGTGGGATAGATCCAAGAGAGAGTGCCGGGATACCCTGGCTCCGGGCGGGAGACTGTTGCAGACGCTTGAAAGCCAAGGCAAGCTTATCGGCTTTGGATGTCAGGTTATCCCGGCTCCCTTGCTCTTAGCAGGCCAGTGTCGGCGTAGACTAATGGATCGAATGGGAAGGTCGATGGACTATCCACCCATAGGATGTCGAAGATCTTCTTGCGTTGCAGATTCGCACTAATAGTTTGCGATCGAGGTATTTTGCTGCCCTAGCAGGGAAACTGGTGCGTCCGGGATTCGGTGTGCTCCTTTGCTTTTTTCTCAAAAAAGCCATGACGAACGAGGAGGGTATCAAATCGTAATCTTGCTCCCCTGAGCGTATGTAGTGGTCGAGTAGGACGGTTCCCATGCATGGGATTTTTAAGATGCTTCCAGAACACAAGCACTGTTGCTCAGGCCTGGCCTGTAGGCTCAAGGGCATCGACGCGAGGCGGGCGGCCCGTACTTCGGACGGAACTTTGGCTGCTGGAAACATCCGGTGGGTGGTGAAACCAGACGATACATAGTTAGAAGGGCTGCACGTAAGGTTTTGTCTAGGATCTAGTGGCCGTGTCTCGACCCCAGTGGCATAGTCAGCATTCATCCCCATTCGTCCATGCTATCATCCCATACGGACGGACGGACGAGTTGAGGGATTGACTCGGGTGAAGTGAGCAGTGAGCAGAGGAAGTTGGGCTGGCCGAAGGAAACGGTTGCTGTACGGAGTATCTAGGCAGTAATGCTGCTATACGGCGGCGGCGGTGTTGGGTTCCGAGTCACTTGATCCCCCCTTCCTTTTCCAAATGCCGCAATCGACAGGTCGACGAGATCGCAGCCACTCCTCCTCCGCTCTCTTGCAACTCGAGATCTCCGATGCCCACGGATTTTTCCTGTGGCCCAATCGGAGACACGCCTTCCCTTCCCCGTAAGTCCCTCATTCCAGGCCTCCTCTAAGGTTAACCCGGATGTTTGCAGACTGCCCCTCGGTTCCTGGCAAAGTTTCTCATTCGGTTGCCTCTGGCGAACTCGCTGAAGTGGTAGCGCCTTCATGTCTCGCTCACTCCTACACGGGTCTTCCGTCTCAGTTGCCTTCTACAGGCAAATGGTGTGTGGCTGGCTCCACGCAGCATTAATTGAGATCCGACATATTCGTCAAAGTCTCCATTTGTCCTACTCCGTACCTTAAACGCAAACGCAGGATTGTCGTCGGCGATAACAAGGTGGATAAAACAGCCGGAAGGAGGGAAGACCCAGGAATAGACGAAAAAAAAAAAAAATTGCCAATGGCCATGCATCATTCTGGACGGTTATGATGCGCGAACAGGATCATCGCCGTAGCCTCCAACCAACAGACTAACCACTGCATTGCCAGTGCATCTTTCGGGATCTCCATGGCCAGAACCGTGACTGCCTGGGTAGGAACACAGGGGGGTGGACACTGGAAACCCTTAGTGCGCATGCGACACACCCGGATTCCGGGAATTAGAACGCTGCATGGGCGTGTCGGTAGTAGGTCCATGATCCATCGCCCTGGCGGTGGTTGACTCATCAGCATCCAGCCAATTCTCATCATCCAGCCAATTCTCATCATCCATCAAATCGTCCAACCGTCAATGATGTGACACATCACTCATCGTTGTCGGCAAGGCAACCACACATGCAGGAGGCCATCCACCGAAGAGGGAATGGTGGACGGCTGTTACAGGGCTAATGCAAGAAAAGTACCTCCATCGCCGACTAGGACCACCTCCCCGCGGCACCAGAGAGCTCCGATAACACCAGTCAGCTGAGATGAAACAACCAGTGTGATATGTGGCGGTGACTACCGATCGATCTTCCATTGCAAGGATGGCCAGCGTACCTTGTCCTGTTAGCCACAATAACCATCGAGCGAGCGTGCCTCAGAATCTACTGTGTATACGCCCAACGGCTTTTTGCTCGAGCTTAAATGATGGCTAACATGGGAGTGACTTGGATCCCCACCTGAAGAAGGTAAACCATGTTTTTTTTTTCCTCATTTGGTTCTTTCTGCCTCTCTTCCTCCATCCATTTCAAAATTTAATTTACTAACCCTGCTTCTATATTTTGGTTGGGCAAGTGACAAGAAACATCGTTGGTCCTTGAGTCTTCAAAAGTATGGTTGTTGCGGAGAAAAGCTCACTATAGCCTAGGATTAGATTCGAGCAGCTCAGCCAACCGAAATGGCCCGTGCAAGAGCCCCGGTACCCACGATGAGCAATGACAAATCGGCAATAATCGCGAGCCCGGAAGTCGGGGGTCGGGGACTGGATGGGCGCTACCCATACTCCGTACTGTATGCCTCATAGTTACCCTTCTTCGTTCTACCCATGGCGCTCCTAGCTCCAGTGTGCACCCAAGTCTATGCAGGGCTCTGGTTTCAAGCTAAAGACGTGGCAGCAAAGTAATCTGGACGCTGTCGGATGGAGTTCCCAGTCCCGAAGACACTAAACTAAACAGCTGAACAGCCGTGGTCGCCTAGCGTACGGAAGAACGCCCGACGGCAGTGTCGGGATTTGCGGTCAATGGCCTTGCTCCGAGCTCAATAGTTGTCATGGGGCTTCAGAGCGATGATATCTATCACCGCATTGCTCCAGAAATAGCGCTCTGTATATGGCCGATAGTTGAAAACAACGGTGAACTCAGATCTGGGCTCCACTAAACAGTCTTCTAGCTGGTTCTCTGCGGATCTTGCAGCGTCATCTTCCGCTATTCTCCTCCTTTCCAGGCTGCAGCAGACGCCAATATCGGGACTGCCGGGGCTTGCAAATCATAAGTATAGCACCAGTTATTCCTTGCACCGATCAGCTGTTGGAGGTCCATCTAGCTGCATTGCGTGGATAGCGACCATGGAAAGCGATTTCGCAATCTGAACTGCACTGCTTACGGCGTACATGGAATGATGGTCTTTCCAATCAACAAATTGAATATCCATCGTGGGGTCGATCTGCGCTTCTTTGCCCTGTTCTTTCTTGTTTTTCTTTTTTCTTTTTTGTCGCAGCTCGGCTCTAAAGCCTGGCCCAGGAATCCTGCCTCTGCACGAACTTCCCACCAGGTGGGTTCCTGCTGGCTTTCCAGATCATCGCGCATTTAGAATTTCAATCCTTCGGCAGCAGATCGCCCTAGTTCCCCAGGAAGTGGGTAAAAATTGGGCGCCGTGGTAATCACACTTCAGCCTTTGCCTAGTTGCTTAGGGGCGACTCATTGCATATACGGGATTCTGCTCCATTATTGGCCGTCGCAACGGAGATAGCGTCTCCTCAAGATACGCTCACTGCTTCGACGAATACCCGATGTCCACGGAATACCAGCGTCAGCTTTTGGCGAGGCCGTCATACTGGCGTGTGCAGAAGCTAGATGGGCCCATATCAAAAGGGGGTGCCGAGTGAAACCTTACTACTAGTAAATTTGACGGTCGCGCAGGATCCTGGCTGTGTACCTAGTCACCTACGGACCAGCCATCGTTCTGGCCACTAGCAAAAACCTACCATCAATTTGTCAAATATGGGGGATCGGAGAAGCAGACGATGGAGTAAAGATTTCCAGCATTCGGGGATATAGATGGCTGGGTCCTGTCAGGGACGCAGTGTCGGACTCGCTGCATGTCTGAATTTTCTCACAATGCCACACACATACGCAGTGGGCACGCACAGGCTCTCACAAAAGCATCGGCCAGCCCAAATCCCCAGATCCGCTTCTTTTCTTGCACGGCCACAGGCTGCGATATAGTTGCCAATACCCTCTGGCGAGTTCACAGCTTGGCTTAGGGTTAGTATCACTCTTCCGTCCATTCTCCTCTTCTGCTGGTGTGGTCATCAGACACGCTTACTTCAAGTTGATACAGGGCCCAAATTCCTGGTGCTTGCTTTGCCGCAACTTGCGCCAGTGAGAGTCGTGCTACAACCTGGTTGGGCACGCAGTAGTTGGTGGGCACTTTTCTTTTCTTTTTTCCTCCTTCGTCCGTGCTTTCTTTTTCCCTTCTTGGGGCCCTCCCCAGACAATTGCTTTGTGGTCTACCAACCCTGGAAAATCCTCAAGGAGAGCTAACGTATGCATGTCACTCTCCCCCAGCAACTCTGGTAGGTTGGAACAGCCACCCACGGCGGACCATGTTGCTCGAGCCCTCGACCTTTAAAAAAGCGTGTTAAACCTACCGCACAGGTGCCCTGTGTTCCCTGTGAAGACTGAAGAGACTTTGGCGCTCGGTATACCGTTACGTAGTACATGGGCATTTTGTTTCAGTGGTTCCCCGGCCCCTGTCGATTGTTCTCTCCATATTGGGCATCATTCAGTCTTCCCCTAAAGTCGGCGGTACCTTGCTTGACGAGTTGGAGGTTCCCTATTGTGGATGCCTAGCCTGCACAAACAACGCAAGATCGGCTTTTGGCACTTTTCAACCAGAGCAGGCCCTAGACGAAAGAAAAAGGGTATTCGGGCTCGCGAAGTCCGTACCCAGCTGCATAGATGTCGAGAACACCACTACCGCAATGGATGTATCCCGCGTCCACTGGCCAACATCCAGATGCAAAGTCCCACGCTGCTGGCGATGACCAGCACATGTTCACGGCCCATCCAAATCAATTTAATGTGCCGGAAGAACCGCCGCGGTTCCTGTATCCCGAAACACAGGTCTACGAGCCGTCTTATATCCCCGCTGCATCGAATTCCAGGGTTCCCTATCATGGCAGGCCTTGGGATAGCGTCGCAGACCCCAAATATAACTTTTCGCCAGGTCCTCCTGTCAACACGGGCGCCCCTGCTCAGTACGGAGTGCAAAGATCCAATGTTATGAGAAGCGTGGAGTATGGCTCGGCCTCAGCCCTTGTCTCTAGTCCGTACCAGGATTCTTCCAGTTACAGTCGCGGTTCCATTGGTTCTATCTCGGGCACACGGGCAAACGATGTGGAATCTCAGTATACACCCCTTTCTTTAGTCAGATCAGCGACCCCAATGCCATCCTGTCTGGAGTTGTGATTTCGAGATCTTGGTCGCTCTCTGAAATGTGCATTCTCCTGCCGCCTTGCCTCGAGCTGCGGTTCTCCATAGGTCGTTTCACAATCACGCTGCTAATCCTACACGCGCAGATACAGTAGTAGTTCAGCGACGTTCCCAAGCCCTGTTCACTCGGATGAGAGCTCCGCCATTTATCCTGCTATTGCACCCCCCATGAAACCTCTGGCGCAGCCAAACCAGCGACATACGACATCTAGTATGCCTTCCGGCTTCGAAAGGCTACTCCATCATTCCCCGACTCCATCGCCTCCACCGCGACGAACATCTACCGCCTCACGATATCATCTCCTCGTCCGACAGCAGCCCATAGCAGCTCGGGCTTGCGGGGCCGGAGACCGAGACCGTCGACCTGTAGACCCACCTCCAATCATTCAATTGCTCCTGACGGACTTTGACCCCAAAGAATCAGACGACATTGACATCCTCCAAGATCCGCGCTTCACTGTGGGCTGCTTCCTAGTCCCCGAGACGCGGGGATCCTTCTCAGATCTCGATGGCGACAGCGCCCTACGAGAGGACCGCCTCGGAACTGCTCCTGGCCAATCTACTCCATTGCTGGCAGGCAAATCATTCGTTTCGCCCTTCTTTGTTGATGAAGATCCAGATCCAACCACCGCTCCAACCCACCCATCAACGTTTGACTACATGTCCGAGAGAAGAATGCAGCTCGCCCCTTCCACCAACGGAGCCCGACAACCCGCAGCCTTCTTCATATTCTCCGACCTCTCCGTACGTACAGCTGGACGGTACCGCTTGCAATTCCGACTCATGAACTGGGGCCTCGTCGAAGACACGGGACAATCGATGCCCGTCCTCGCCGAAGCATGGTCCGATCCTTTCCGCGTATTCCCCGCGAAAGACTTTCCTGGGATGAGAGACTCATCGCGTCTCACGGAAGGTCTGAAGGAGCTCGGTTTTGTCGAGCTGAAGACGAGAGGAAAGAACAAGGGCAAAGGCAAACGAAAATGACTGAAACAAATGGTTCATCTTTTGGCTTTCGTGGACTGGGCTCTTTATTATACCTCGGTATTCTCTTGTTTTATCTTTCTCTTTTCATGGAACAAAGCTATGGTGGAATATGGAGGATACAGTTATGGTTACTTATATTATTTCGAACAGAACACAGTTCGGGAAGAGGTACATGATATTGATGATGGGAACGGCAGTATTCAGGTTATCGGATGTTACTTCTTTGGCTTTTTCCTTCTTTTCTTGGTATCAATCCTGGGTTCACTTATCAGTAGTAGTGACACCCGTTTTTTGGAGATCTCGTGGGCTATACAGAGACTTTTTGTATATAGTTCCTCATTTAGTATCAATATGGTTGGATGCAAGTAGATGTTAGATGGTAGTCATTAGTTGGCTTCTATATCGTATATGGAAGTAAAGGACTGAGAATATACTAACGTTATTACTTATAGATCTTGCTTTGTTTAACATTGTGAGCCCGTAGCTCAGAGGATCTCCCAATAAGATACAGTATATACCAAAATTCAACCCGAAGTAAGTATTCTGGAAATTCAAACTGATTATAAAGACCAGTCCGGCTGGTGGAGGGGAGAAGGAGGCTATCGATGTTGGTTCGGGTATAATGGCTGGCAGGTCCGGCGGCGGGTCATTTGTTTACTATTGCTATTGCTACTCCGTACTGCTACTGCTACCGAGTAATACTACCAGCATCACCACCTCCTTCTATTCTTTTTTCCTCTTCCTACTTCGACTATAATATGTCTTGGAGTCGGCGGTCACACCGCCTCAGTCATCAAGAGTCAAGTGATCCGCCCCAAGTTAAAGTGTAAACTCTACACCCGCAAATCTTCCATCTGGTTTACACATTGTCCAATTCAATGCGATAATAATGTACACTCGCCGCCCTTTTTCTCCCGCTTTCCGGTTACATCAGAACAATCTTAAGAGATATATGACGGAGAAAAGAAAAGAGATAAGAAAAAACACACACACACACACACACAGAGTACATGGCGACGAAAAAAAGGGTTAGTGCGAGACAACAACTAAACTCCAGCTCGATGATGCAGTCCAATCACAACGTTCCAGGCCCGGTCCCCCCAAACCCAAGCACCTTGCCCCCTCGCTACCTATTCAGCTCTGAGCTGGGGAAAGGGGAGGGGAGGGGAAGAAAAGGCGTAGGGTAAGTGGTGGTGGTGTATGAACCCGGTAGCATTTAAAAAAGTCCCCGGAAGCCGAGTGTTATATAGCCCCGTTTGAATTATTTGATTTAATCCATGGTGGCCTTGGCGCCGACAGCCTTGAGGGTCTCGACGATCTTCTCGGCCTCCTCCTTGGGCACAGACTCCTTCAGGACCTTGGGAACGGACTCGACGAACTTCTTGCTGTCGACCAGGGACAGGCCGAGGAGGGTCTTGATCTCCTTGATGACCTTAGCCTTGGAGGAGGCCTCGACGGACTCGAGCTTCAGGTTGAAAAGCGTCTTCTCCTGGGGAGCAGGAGCGGCGTCGTCTTCCTCAGCGGCGGCGGGAGCGGCGGGACTAGCGGCCATGGCGAAACCGCCAACGGGGAGGTCGGGGATGTTAAGGCGGGACTGGATTGAAGAAAGGATATGTTAGTGTGCGAGTTTGGGGTGATGGCGGCGGTTTTTGTATTAGAAAGTATGGGAATCACGTCGGAGAGAGGTAATGGGTTGAGTTTGCGACGTAGGGACCTGCAGAGCAAAACAACGTACCTTCAGGCTGGCCACGAGGTCGGCGGTCTCCAACAGGGTCAATTGGCTGATCTGGTCGACAATCTGAGTGATCTTGGGGTTGGCAGGGGCAGCAGCGGCCTCCGCCTCGGTGGATTGCCATCTCCGACTGATTGTCCGCTGGGACAGATATGAGGGAGCAAGGCGCAGGGTAGCGGTAGGGCGGACAATCTGTCTGCAGCAGCGAGCTGCGGCCTGGGCGGAAACGGACATTATGGGCGTGAGGTGATACGGACGGGACGGAAACAGGGAGAGACGAGGGACCGAGGGGGAGGTGGACCTGAGAATTGAAGCTGCTCGAGATACTCAAATGCTCGAAGAAGGCCTTTGCGGGAAAAGAAAGTCGAGCGTCGGTCCGGAAAATCTGCTCGTGTCACGTGACATGTCCGACCGCCCTGCGGCGTTCCTGGATCTCTTCCTACTATAGAGTCTATACAGTATTCGGGAGTTACTCGACGTCGAGAATATGCTTTAGACGCATCTACAGAGGGTGCAAGGGTTTACTGCCAGCCCGAAGTTGGAACGAATCAAAAGATTGACCATCCAATTTCGGCCCAAGGTACTATCAACATCAACAGTATTACCACTACCAAGCAAGGCATTATACACTCCCGACATGTCGGGCCAGCTGACGTTCATGATTATCGTGTCTCTATCACATTTTTGCGCTTTAGACCACCTTGGATATACTGCTCTCCGCCTCAGATTTAGTCCTCGTCCCAGTTGGGGTTAGGACCCGGGGGCTTGGGTCCGCCCGCCTGTCGAGCAACAATGATCTGATCGACGCTGAGGACCGTGCGTGCGGACTCACTAGCGAGGCGAATGGCCCAGCTCTTCGACGCCAACAAGTCCAGGATACCCTCCTCCACAGTGTCGAGGGTGCCAGACGAGGTGCTCGCCTCCAGATCAACACCCGTAGTCCAGTAGGGCTCCTCCTCGGAACTGCCTTCTTCCTCCGAGGACTCCTCTGACGATTCGGCGTTGGGGCTGGTCTGATGGTGGGCAGTGTAAAGACGAGAGAGGACCTCGGTGGCGTCCAAACCGGCAGACTCCGCCAAAGTGCGAGGGATCACCTCGAAGGCCTCGGCGTACTTGCGAATGGCGTGCTGGGGCAAACCGGGGGTCCGGTCAGCAAACGCAGAGATCTTCTCAACAAGCTGGATCTCGGTAGCACCGGCGCCAGGGACCAGACGGGGGTCCTTGGTGATGGCCTTGACTGCATTGACACCGTCGTCAATGGCACGCTCGACGTCATCCAGGTGGTTCTGGGTGGCACCGCGCAGGACGATGGTAGATGTGCGAGTAACGGCGTTGGCATCCTCTTGGCGGAAGACAGTGACGCGGTCACCACCAATCTCAGTGGTCTCGACAACGTCGATCGAACCCATCTCATCGGGCATGGGGGCACCCAGACGAGCGAGAGGAGTAGCACCCACCACACGGCAGAGGCGGCGCAGCTCGAACTTGGACAAGATCTTGATAACGAGAATGTTGAAGCGGTTGAGGTAGTGCATGGCGAGATCACCGATAGAGGAACCGCAAACAACGACGCGAAGACCAGAGTCGTAAAGCTCCTTGATAGCCGCCTCCAGACGCTCCTCCTCGCCCTTTGTGAAGTCCAACATCTCCTGCGCGCTCTTCAGAAGCACGGTGCCCTTGGTCTCGGTCTGAGAGATATCAATGGGACAGCTGAAGACACCGACCTTAGCCTTCTGTGCCTTCTTGATCACACCATCGGGCTCTCTGCCAAGCACCATACCCTTGATGACACGAGACTGCTCCAAGCTACCACCCATAATCTTCACCACACGGACGTTATCGACGTTGAAGTTGGCGGGGTTCTTGGGCAGCACGGCGAGGACAGCCTCTGCAACCAACGAGGCCAAGAGGTCTTCGGTTCCGGACTGCTTGCTGGCGACAACTGTACGGAGGGCCTTGCTGAGTTCATCCTGAGAGCGGAGTTCCTGCAGGCGATCAATCTCGAGAGCTATAAGATTCTCAATGTCAGCATATGTGGGAAATGATGGTGATTGTCAGGGGAGCCGAGTGATAGCCCCTGAACATGTCGTAGAATCAAGAATTCAAGAACAACCCACATTCCAGCACCTCGAGGGCGTAGTTCTGTGCCTTCTCGTAACCCTGCACAATATCGCTGGTCTTCAGTCCCATGCGCAACAATTCCTCGGCCTTCTTCAGCAACTCTCCCGCCAGAATGATGACCAGGTTGGTGCCGTCACCCATCTCCGAATCCTGCTGTTGACTCGCCATCACGAGCAACTTAGCAGCGGGGTGCACAACATCCAGCTCGCGCAAGATTGTCGCCGCATCGGAGGTAAGGATCATCTTCTGCAGGTGGTTAATCACGATCTTGTTGCGACCGTACGGGCCAAGCGATGTCTGAACGGTCTGAGAGATAGCCTGGCAGGCTTCGATGTTACGGATGACCGCACCGTCTTCGGCATCGTGGCTATTAGATGCAGTCAGTTAGCAATAAATCGAGCTAGACCATCATTGCCAGTGACTGCCGGTGCCTGATATGGTTCCGTCATGATGGACGTGAGGGGCGGGACATTCCACCACGGGGGCATCGCTTACCTCTGATACCCAGGCTTGAAGAGACCAGCCTGGGAGGGGCCGGGCATAGACAACGACATGATGGCAAAATCCTTCCTCCGGGTTCAGGGAAGAATTAAGAGATAGAGAGATGGGGGACTGCCACAACGCTGTCCTGAAGCTGTTCTGGGAATTTTCGACGGAGCTTCGAGACGGTCTGGCGGCGGCTGTTTGCCTGGTTTGCACGCGGAGGGGCTCAGGGCACAACCGATGGTCCTTGCTTTACAGCTACGTATTGCAGTTGAACATGCATTGATGCAATCATCTTGATTTACTACAGATATATACATTACTTTCGCTAGCTAACACCATCTCTTTCTCTTTTCCTTCCTCATCTCCCTACCCCAAGTCTCAATCCAAAACCCAGCACCGGTAACTGAACTCTTCCGCATAAACATCATGACAATCACGACAAATCAATACTCTCACACTCTTCGACAGACTTCAGATTAAATGCCTTGTATCCTCCCTGCCAACTCACTCCGACCCTCTCCCGCGCATACTCTCTCAGTGTCTCTTCATACTTCCCAATGGCTTCCACCCCCGTCTGCCCGAATCCCTTCGCCTCGACGAGCCTTCGAACCAGTTCCGCCGCATCACGCAATGCCGTATTCACACCCTGCCCACCAGTCGGGGGCATGGCATGGATTGCATCTCCGAGGAGCGTCACCCTAGGATTGGGCTCCCACGCCGGCAAATCCGGCCTGACCGAAGACATCCTCAACGTTGATGTTTGCGTGACGTCCTGCTCCTCGAACAGGACCCGAATAGACGGGTGCCATTCCTCAGTCAATGCCAGGGACAACCGGGCGGATTCCTCCCCACTCAACCTCAGCGTCTCCTCGTCCGGCAATGGAATAAGCGACCGATGAGCAAGAAGCACCCAATAGACATAATCCCGCGGCAAGGTGATCCCCAACCCTTCACCTTTCGGGAGCCGCATCGGCTCAAACAGCAACGTCTTCGGCGCCTTTGAATCCCCATCCACAGCCAGCGACATCCCCTCCACACCTTTCTCATGAATCCTCTCCTCCAGACTCCGCGTGATATACGTCTTCCCATAAATCATCCGCATCCCCGTATCCACAAACGGATACTCCGGCAAAAACTGCTTCCGGACCTGCGACCGCGCCCCATCCGCGCCCACCAACATCGCCCCTTCATACGAGCTCCCATCGCTAAAATGCGCGACCACGCAATCCTCCTTAACCTCATACCGCGTGAACCGTTTTCCGAAATGCACATCCTCTCCAAGCCCAGTGAGAAGCACTTCGCGCATCGTCCCGCGATCCACCGTAAACGGCTTCAACTGTCCATGAATCCCAGGCGGCGGTCCACCCCCCAGAGCACCTGAGGGAAACGGCTGCCCAGTGACAGCATCCAATCTCGCCCCAGACCCCGGGGGTCCATCGATAGCAGCAGTCTTCTCAAACAGCGACCATATATCCGGCGTGAGAAGAGACGGCAGATCATCCTGGGATACTCGTAATCTGTATCCCTGTGCGCGGAAATCCTGCTTCGCGTCTCGCTCTAACACCAAGAAGGGAATGTTATTCCTTCGTAGACCCTGCGCCAGAGCAAGACCGCCTAATCCACCACCAGCGATGAGAACACGGTCGGACATAGTGACTTGAGTCAATTAACCAATGTAGAATATAGTAATCGAGGTAGGAACAATAGTGGTAGATAGAGTAACTCAGTCAATGGAAACCAACAAAATCAACCCAGATTCAAAAGAAATCCTGAATGATACTATACTCTATAATTCAAGACTACCATACCCTTTTTTATACCCATACTGATCCCCATCCCAAACAGATAGTAAGTAGGTATATCGGAGCTTAATCTCCCCGACATCACCGACCGGCGTCGTGGTTCCGACCAACCGACCGCCGGCTTACGGGGCTAAAATCCTACCTACCTACCTGCCTACCTAATCAGGTATGTGGTTGATGGACGGTCTGGTGAGTCAGAAGCCATCTAGATAGAATCTACCTACGGGGTGTATAAAAGTCCGAAGGATTTGGTTTGAGGGTATGGGATGGATGGGATGAGAGACCGGAATGGGTTAATTTAAAAGATTGCGGTGTTAAATGGATATGTAGATAGATAAATACAAAAGGCATTGAACGTGTCCCTTGGGATGAGGACGCTATGTCTAGTGTGATAGGAAGAAGACAAGATGATGATGTTTCGCTGGGAAAGTCGCAGTGCTGGATGGGGGTAAGGGGAAATGATAGGAGAAAGATCCATTCATCTCCGTAGTCAATGTTTCCCATTACCCCTAAGTTTGGGATCGTACTTGTCTGTGTCCCAGTGGGCGTAATGATCAGCTGCGTCGCCGAAGCCGGAGACTGCGTATAGATTGTTAGTATGTGTTGTTGGCTGTTGGAGAATTAAGAGTGGTGGTGAGAGTGGTTCTTACTGTAGCCGCGAAGAAGATGGCATCCGCTGTCTTCGTAGAGGGCTTCTGCTCTGTAGAGCCTGCAAGCTTGGATTAGTTTGATACGGGCTGAAATTGGGTCTGGGTGTATGTACCTCTCGCTCAATGCTTGCATTCGTTCGAATGGCTTTCTATGGTTAGCCCATGCTGTAAGGGTTTCATAGCGGTGTCTGTTTTACCAATGGATGTGACAACAGGAGTTCAGGTGGGGGGAGGTTTTTGACGTTCTTGGAGCAGCGTTCCCAGCTAAAGAAAGATTGTCAGCCTCGAGAACGGAGGATATTCACGGGACCGAGCTATCCCACTCACAAATTGACCGCAGCGCGGGGGTTGTAACAAGCCTTGGCTATTAGCACTAGAGAACGGAGTTAGAGGCCGATGTAGATGGGAACTGCATGGCTTTCATACTCAGTCCGATGTTGTCGGCCTCGGCCTGATGAAGAAGTTAGTTGACATCGGTTCTGGCTCGGAGCCATGGATCGATCTTACCTCCACCGATCGCGTATTGCGCACTTCGTCAAAAGTATTGATCGCATCGGACACAAAAAATCCGAGGCGGCCAAAAGTGTTGACGAACAGAGATTGAGCGAGAGCAATGAATGGTCTGGAGCTCAAGTGTTCTGCGAGGTGACGAGCAAGCACATGGCCAATTTCATGGCCCAGCACGCCCGCAAGACCATCGGCATCATCGAGAGGTATCAACATGCCCGAGAATACGAATACCTTGCCACTGTGGTGCAATGTCAATTAGTCAAGTCGCAATGAGGTTGTAGTGAGCATGCTCAGAAATGGAACAACGCCCGTACTTTGGAAGGACAAATGCGTTCTGTACCGTCAGGTCATGGACGATATGCACTTTCCAGTCGGCATCATGTACAGGTGCATGAGCAACCAGTCGGTCCAGAATTTCTTGCACCTCCATGGTGAGTGGGTGATTATCGGGCAAGAGGCCATTTCCAGCAAAGCCGTGGAGAAGACGCCGGTATTCATTGTCTACCAACTGGTTCTCCATCCAGCGAGGAATCCAAATAAATCGCGTGCGGCCTGTTACCTAAGGAAGGAAAACATCAGCCATGGTATCCCTGCAACGCCATTCAATTCTGGCGCACAATTAATGACGCACCTCATCGGTTTCAAGGTTATAAAAATAGAAAGCAAGTACGGCAGTGACCGGGTATATCAAGTTCTTTAAGTTGAAAAGATTCGAGATATGCGTCCAGTCCTCGGGCCGCTTGTACTTGTTGCTTTCCCACCCATTTTTACGAGCGGATCTAGAGAAAGGACGGCATTGGAAGCGGCGAAAGGCTTGTACTGGGGTCAGGATGCGTGATGCGATGCGGGAAGAGCTCGAGGTCGTTGCCGGCCGGGGCGAAACGCGGGAGAACGCGCGCACTATCGGGGGACGGAACATGGCGAGTCACTTCGCATTGGAGGAGAAAATCCAGTCTGGATGGCCCAGGAACTGCTGAAAGGCAAGCCCAGCAGTCTTGGACTGGCGGTGTTGCGAGTGGCTGCAGATGTCTGTCTAGATATCTGTCTGTCTGTCACGTCTCGACCGGTCCGTTCGAGCGGGCGGCATTGGACTGCCGCTCAGCCAATGAGCGGGCCCCAATTCCTCAGGCACGGCATCAGCCAGAATATAAGGAGATGAGTGGAGGCCAGTGATTCATTTTTGGTAGAAAAAGAGAGTAATAAAGCAGGAAATATACTTTGACAAGGGAAGATTGTTTTGTGTTATTGTTATGTTGCTGTTGCTGTTGCTGTAGAAAATCCTAAGGCCATAACCGACTCAAAGATATATACTAGTAATCATGGTACACACAGAGGAAGATGAATACACAGAGTATGAATGACAGTTTACTAAGAACAGCATGTGGTACAAGTTCCAAATATCATAAAGAATACATTATAGCATGATTAGATCTAGACTCAATCTACCGAGAAATGCAAATCGCGATAAATATAGCAACACGAACCCAAATGATGGCATGTGGTACCTGGATTCCCGGGGAAGGAATTTCCACCGCGACAGAGAAGCCAGTCCCGATGTCTCCTTAGCATGCAGCAAATTTAGTCTGATTTAATTATAGTATCAAGCCGATCACAAGCATCGGATCGTGCGGGCATGCAACCTTCAGAAAGCCGCCTCAGATGTAGATCCCACGATGAACTCATGGCCAGTGATCATCTCTCGAACCTCATGCGATGAAACTGCATTTCCAGAGAATCCACATGACAGCTCAACAATCAAAGGAGCATCGCAATTGCTATTCTGGGAGCGTTGGGCTAACCTCACCCTCAGACCAACCTCCGCCAACACCAGATATCCAAAGGATCTGGCCACAATTCCATATTGATCTATATGACGCAGGAAGTGTAGCATGTTTGATCCTCCCAGCCTTATCGAATCTTCAATGCCAATAGTTTTCCCGGCGGCTACGTGCAGAGCGCCAAACTTCTGGATCTGATATGCCCGGCACCGAGGCTGAATCAATGGTGGTCAGAGATGTGCAGCTACTTAGAGCAATAACAAGACGCACTATGCATTGAGAGTTTACAGCTAGATGGTTGATCAGCCATGATTTCATGCATTCAGTGATCCTTTCTCTGGAAGATATCTTTAGACATGTTACCCCTCTTTTAGACGCCGGGGAGGGTCTCTGGATGCCTGGTCGGCGGCTACATTCAGCCCAACTGGGGATCCGCGGTATCCCATTTTTTTTCATTGGAATATGCACGGGTTTCTATTCTGGGTGTTGATCTCTTGTTGATTGGGGTGGGGATGGCCCAGATGGGTGAAATTCTGTGCAATAATGTCCAGTTGTGTTCGGTTTGGTTAGATGATCGACCTAAAGTTTATCCATCATGATTGAACTAGTGATGGTCTGTACCAGGCAATCTTTCCTCAAAATAGAGAACTAGTGTTTGCTTGGGTAAGATTTTTCCCAACTGGGTCCATTTTCTGTTCGCCGGCAATATCGGTGAAGTCTATTCCGGTTCATTGTCGTTGCTGGGCATTGTATTGTTAATGATGAACATAGGATGTATTGAACAGGGTGCAGTGGAGAGGCAAAAAGATACCAGAGGTTAATACAGAAGCGATATAATAGTACTCTGTAAACTTGTTGATACTGTAGATCGTCTGAGTCAACCTACCCCATTATATCTTCACAGTTCTAGAATGTGCTCGACTATTCTGCTAGGGAGACTCGACTTGTATGCGTAGGTACACCATACCCACCTACATGCTAGTTACACCGCAAGTAGAAGAGAGCAGCAGCCAAGAGAGATGAAGAATCAGCTACTTCGAGATAGAAGCAGTTGCCCGAGCAAGCATCAAGATCCACCAATGAAAGCCCCCCAACCACATGGTTTGTTTTCCACACCAATAAAATCAAACTTTGATCTCAATGTTGGCTGTCGAGTTCGATTGATCAAAACATGCAGAGCTTCGCGCTGCAATCCAGCACGCACTGCAGCGCCAAGTAGCACTCGATCAGGTTTCCCGAACAGGACATTTTACAATCTCCAATTCGGTGTCATGCCACAAGACGAAAAGCAACCATGAACTTGGCATTGAACCCCACCTGAAATCTCACTTCAAGATGTGGATGGCATAACGGCGAATCGCTCCTTCTCGGAGATATTGGAAAGGCCATAATTTGCCGACGTCACGAACACTGCGCGGTGAGAGGAATAATTAGCCCATCTGAAGAACCCACCAATGCGGAGTCGTGGTTGGATGGTTGTGACTCGGTGTGATAAGTGCGCAGGGTGCATGCCAGGCACGCTGAGAGCGCAGAAGGCGCCTGACTCGCCAGTGGTGGGTTAAAATTCGACCATGCGATGATCTGCATTGGGGAAGCACAATAATCTGGGCGGCAGGCATGTTGCTCGAGTTCCTGCGCCTGAATGTCCCGTACATATGTCGTCAAGCAACACGCACTGAGCGCAATGATGGCACAAAAACAGGGGACATGCATACGTATGGCCATTAGGTGGCATATTGCTGGACAGTTGAGGGGTACAAACATTGCCGGGACAACTCGAGTGACTGCAACGAGGGTGGCACGCCCCTCGTCACTGGGGGTACAGGCCACCCAGGCCGGCGCTAAAGTGAATTCATGCCAGGGCGCTGATTTGTTGGAAAGGCCCTGATGGCCGAGAAAAGGATGCTAATTGCGAGCGTGCAGCTGCAGGAATGTGATAAGGAACTGCAGGCGCATCGTGATAGCCATGCTAGCTCGGGAATTGTGACAGTGACTGGCTTCCGGCATCTGCCCACCCGGTCTGTGCTGACCGACTTTGTCAGGTGGCGGGGAGGGGTCGGCGCTAAGTGCACATGCTCAATGGATAGATACAGTGGAAGAGGGGTCAACAAGATTCCGCGGACATTCATTCTGAGGCCGACCGAGCCCAGTATTAGGTAGACTCATTATGCTACGGATAACGGTGCTGGTGTTCCTTGGATACATTGTGCGGGAAGCTAAGCGGTACCACACGTTTGCTGCCGACGGTGACAGAAAGTGTGACTTGAGGGAGAGTGGTTGCAGAATCAGCCAAAGTTAAAATGGAATCCCCAGTTGAGGATGCCTCTCCACCCAGCAACTAGTCCCGCTGTCAGATCTTCGCGAGGATGACGGATCATGGGATCGCACGGGACCGGATCAAGGCCAGTTACTTCGGCAGCGAACTAATTATGGCAGCTCGTTGGAAGGACGAGGGCGAGTGGCCGATAAGAATAGCCTTTAGGCGCTGGGAAAAATCGTGGGCGGTTAAGTGTTACTAATTAAGACCTGGCCTTGCAAATGAAAGAAAGGAAATAATAATTGAAATGTCGAATGGGAGGGCCCTGGCCTGGATCGCGAGGCTAGCGTCATCTTGTTACGTCTTGGCGGAAAGTTTCCTCCGGTCGCACGGGCACAACTGGGCCGACCCACCAGCGCACGGTTGGCTGCGGGTTTCCCGCTCTGCAAGCAACCATGTCCGCACCAGCCAATTGCCACCGGGAAGAGGAAGCTTGGCTCACCACGCTAAGTTGGGACGCAGCCATAGTGGCCCGCCTACTGGACACTACTGTACGCTACTGTAAAGCTACTGTAGGTGCTGGCCTGGATGGCAGTTGATAACCCCCGCAATGCGTTCCCTCGACGAGGTCACCACCACTCGACAGCCGCCCGACCCTCTGATTGGCTCTGGATAGACAAGACCCTTGTTCGCAGGACAGGGTTGGTTCCCACGTCCTCGAGCAGCCTCTGCGAGGATGCAGGAGCCGGTTGGGTTGCCAATGTGCCTGGCATTGCGCTCCCCCGCGCCATCAACGGCTGTACGTTTACGAGTCCTCGTCCTCCGACTCTGCACTTGCATTTTCCCAATCGGGCAAAAGTGTTTCCCAACATCCAGTCCGCCTGGGAATGGCAATTAATTCGTGCGCGCCAAAGGCCTGCCATTGGCCGGCGGGGTTACGTGGTTATCACCGCAGGGTTGCACTGCGGGGAGCATGCTTCTGTCGCCATTGTCTCCCCAACCACGAGCAAGGCCTTTGCATTGCAGCATCCCAGGACCGCCGTAGTACCCGGAGACACTCCGGGTGGTGCTCTAGCCATCGGGTTACCAAGGTGGGAAGACGATCGTGGGACAGATGACCCCGGGAGAGATATCGCAAGCGCACCAAAAAAGAAACAGAGACGACCTTAGCGTTCCACCGACTTTCCCCGGGCAAGATTGTCCTTTGGGCAGGCCATTGCGATAGCTCCCAGGCCAATCAATTCCCCAGCCGCAGCGTGCTGGTCCCAGTAGCCCTCCAATCAGTGACACGGATGGGCTGCATAGGCGCCAGGTTGAAGAGCGCAAAGTGCTCGCCGGTCCAAAATTAGCCCTGGGGACTAGCGGTTCCTTGCCCGTGCAGGATCAAGGCCATCGATCCAATCCCGAGGGCCCCCCAGTGCAGGTCGACAGGGATGTTGGCGTCGCTGGCATGCGATGCTCACTCCCCTCCCACCACCACCACCACCACCACAATTTCCCCGATCCTGTTGGTCTCGCGCTCGGCTGTCGGCCAGAGATCTAAAATAGAAACATCTCATGGCCTGCCTGTCAGAGCTCAACGCACGTTTTAAAGCTTCTGCCATTCCCGCTGCCATACTTCCCTTTCGATCACTGTCACCCAGCGTCATCCCCAGCCCGCCTCGTTTCTGCCACCGCGCCTTTCGTTCTCTTCTGAAACTTAATTAGATAGCACAGGCTGCCGGTTCAGCTTTGCCTCCCTTAATACTCCAGATACCCACCCGTCCGCTCGCCAAGCGACTGCATTCTGTCTCTTTCGACTGCCTCCTCTAGCATAGCCAGCGGCGTTCATTTTCCTGACCACTACAATACCCTCCAATACATCTTCAACATGCCTGCCGCCGCTAAGAGAAAGACTCCCCCCGTCAAGATCTCGCCCGTCAAGGTCGACGACTGCTCCCAGTCGCCGTCGGGCAGTGAGGGTACCTCGACGGGAAGTGTGGACAAGACCCCGGCCAAGTTGCACAAGCGATCGCGCTCTGGTACGTGACTTCCAGGATGGCACTGAGCTGGATGTGGACCTAACGGAGGCTTGTCTTCTTACACAGGCTGCTTTACGTGTCGCCTGCGCCGAAAGAAGTGCGATGAGAAGCACCCCTCCTGCGGAGCCTGCGTCAATCTGAGCGTCAAATGCGAATATAAACGCCCGATCTGGTGGGGCAACGCCGATCAGAGGAGGATCCAGAAGGAACGCATCAAGAACAAGATCAAACAGACCAAGATGAATGAGCGCAACGGGGCCCTGACTGGTAGGTGATGGTTGCGTGGGACGTGAGGTTCCTTGCTGACTTGTAGTGGGCTGCGCATCAGATCCCAACGCTCGTCCTCGCCCCATGGCCGTGACCTCCCCAACCTCGCCGGAATACGAGTTCGGTCGTCCTGTCTTCCCCGAACAGTACGACATCTTCGCCTCGCATCTCCCTACTCCGGCCTTGAACCAGCCCTTCTATGCCCCGACACACCCGTACGAGATCGATGTGAGGACCGAGCGACACACCTTCGTCAACGATGTCCCCTTGCGCCATGACTCGTGCAGCTCGACCTTCAGCACCTTTGCGCCGCCGCAGTTGAATGCCCCGCTGCCGACCTTCCCCAGCGACGATTGGTTTCACGATGAGTACTTTGCCAGTGTTCCGGCCTTACCTGGAATCGACCCTGCGCTCTGCGAGCAGAGTATCGGCCAGACCTACGCGTTGCTCCAGTCCAACATTCCAGTCAGCGACCATGATCGGCCCCTCCTCGATCACTTTATCCACAACGTCTTGCGCATCATCTTTCCGGTCCTGGAGGCACACCACCGCGGACACATTCGAGCCCAGGCCATTCTGCAAGCCTTGGAAACAAACAAGTGTTACCTTCACTGCTGCCTTAGCGTTGCCGCCATTCACCTCAAGACCACCGAAGGAATTGTTGGTGAGCAGATCGACCATGATATTATGCGCAATCGCTTCGAGGCCGTTTCGCAACTCTGTCTGGCACTCGGAGAAGACACTAACCACGAGGAGATCCTGGATGCGACTCTCGCCATGATCTTCTTCCACTGCTCCGTGGGGCCGGCTGACGACTACCTGCCCGATATCCCGTGGTTTGAGCACTTCCAAGCGGCCTCCAACTTGGTGCACCGGCTCGGTCTTCCAACGGCGATTCCCGCCTGTGGGAACCCGTACATGCTACCCCCATTTACCATGACCCTGGCTTCGTGGATTGACATTCTAGGTTCGACCATGCACGGCAAGACGCCCGAGTTCGCCCACACCTACCGCGCCAAACATCTGAGCGGTTCATCTCTGGGGCTCCGCGAGCTCATGGGATGCGATGACCGCATCATGTACCTGATTTCCGAGATAACCTGCCTGGACGCGCTGAAGAGGGACGCTAGGATTGATGAGATGGGTGTTTGTTCTCATGTCTCGGCTCTGGGACAACAATTGGAGTTCACTGAACCAGTGAATCAGACGCTCGAAAGCCCTATCCTGCCAAACGGAGCCTTTTCGCCCGAGATCCTGACCAAAAACATCACGGCTGCTTTCCGCATCGCAGCAAGAATCTACCTGTGCAGTCTGGTTCCTGGATTCGACCGGAACCAACCGAGCACCGTTAACCTGGTGGCAGCCGTCGTCAATGTTCTTCAGTACATCCCGTCCGGCCCCGAAGGCTTCGATCGCTCGCTTGTCTGGCCTCTTCTGATCGCTGGATCGTACTCTGTACCACAAAGCCATTTCCGGACCGTTCTCGCCGATCGCGCCGCTGCCCTCGGAGAGCACGCCCAGCTGGGTAGTTTTGGCCGCATGTACCGAGTCCTGCAGGAGGTGTGGCGGGTGTCCGACGAACCCATCGAGCCGGTGCCCGAGCCGGTGCCCGCGCCGGAAGAGCGCCCGTCTTCGTCGTCATCGTCATCGTCATCATCCCTCGATAGCCCCGTGAAGCGGGAGGAGTCCCAATCTCCCAAGGAAAGCGTCGAGGAATGGAGTACGAAAGAGATCAAGAAGCCATTCCTACACTGGCGCGAAATCATGCAGCAAAACGGCTGGGACTACCTTCTTCTTTGAACTATTCACTTTTTTTTTATGGGATCGCATCTCATACGCATAATATCCCTTGAAGGGACCAATGTTCAAGCCGGCTTGACATCACGCATCAACCTGGAGATAGAGTATCTGGTCCTAGGGGCGACAATCGAAGCAGCAGCAGATTGAGCATCTCTTTGCTTACATCTGTTTCTTACTTTTCCGGCAAAAGTCCGATATCCTCAACATTGGAACCACGATTTGTATCTCCGTTCTATTCATTCTTTATACCCTGCTGTCTCGTTTACTGCAGGACGGAAACGATGACATGCTTTGTCTTCTCATGAGGTGAGCGGGGATACCGCGAGGCGCTGACAGTCATATCCCACACATACCCCTGGTCAGGCGTGAGGCGTTGGAGTTTGATTTATCTTCTTTTTTCCATTTTGTTCTCAGAATATCCACGAAACCAGATATCATGTTGATGTGCTATGTTTGATGACTTATTGACTACTGTTATTATTTTGCGATATTGATGTTGGGCTTGCTTTTGTTTCTTGTATATCATACGATATGTTTCTGCGATAAAAAAATCACACTCGTTAGACCCAAGCCTTTCAATACCTCTACTATCTACTAGTAGCGCTTCTGAGGATGTTCTCCATCCATTGTAATACTATAGTATCCCCTAGGTAGTGTATGATTGATCATCAATCAATTAGAGATAACGTATAAACAAGCATGTCTGTTTATCTGCAGTGATGATTTCTCTTCCTCGCTTGATAACCTTCTATTTCAAAATTAATAGCATACTACTTATTTTCCTAGAGCTTACTTTCCTTTTGAGCTTGCTATTACTATCTGTCTAAATATACACCTCATACCCGTCAGCAACTACAGGTAGATTGAGACATCCATGTTGGGGTTTCTCTTTTTCTCATTTCACTTCCGGATCTATCTCCATCTGGTATCGTATTATGTCTTGATAATAGTTCTCATTCAAGAGGATTTGGGAAAAATGTGGTTCACAATAAAAATAATGATACTAACAGGAATACCTGAGCAAAGTGATGATTTAGCCTTGAAAATATTAGATCGAGGCTAGTAGTAGAAGTCTTATTTAGTTATCTAGTTAGTCTACTATTGTTACATTCCTCTCAAGCTCTATGGTATCCCCTGTAGTACACCATTCTCCCATCATATCCCAGTCTCCGTCGGTGTGCTCGCATCTCCGAGAGTGATGATGATGGTTCTTCTCGCTTTCCTTTCTTCTGTGGAGGGTTAACAATCGTCCCAGTCCTAGTCCCAGTCCCGGATTCTCCAAGGCCGCACAGTCCCTCCGCGTAGTTCAGAAATGAGGCAAGACTCTCGTAACTAATGCTGATGCCTGGCTGTACTCCGCTGAAATCTTTTGGAGTTCGTCGAGGGCGAAGTCACTCAGATCTAGATAGAGAGATGCAGCTGGGTTGAGAACGGAAGTATCGGGGGCTCGGAAGGGCTGGTTGTGTAGGTTTATTAGTTTGTTGTTTTTGTTTTTGAATTCTGATGGAAGGAAGGAGAGTGGAAGGTGGTGGGTGGGTGGTACCTCATGATCAATCTCCATCCATGCATTCTCCTCCCCGTTCGAAAGGATATTGTTAGATCGCCAGACCGATATGGTTGATTCTTTGGTTCCTTTGGGATAGATGTGAATGCCAATAACAACTTTGGTATCTCCGTTAGAGTGGATGATCCATTCCCGGGCGAGATTGGGTAGGTCCTTTCCGTCATTGGAGTAGGAGACTTCGAGGACGACGCCGGGGTAGCGTGCCCCAGGTTGTTTAAACTGGGCGTCAAGTGATTTGTGTCGGAGAAAGAGATTGGAGTGTGTGTCGGTATTGTTAGGTGCGTTGTCTTCATCTAGGAAAATGCGAGATAATCCGTAGTTTCTGATGAGGGATGCGAATGAGGCAGCTTCGTCAGAAGTCGGGCAGAGGACTTTTTAAGGGAGAATATATCGCCTGCGAGGATCATGGTGAAAAGATAGGGTGTTAAGTTTGGGATTCGGATGTGGAGGTGGGATGCGGATGGGTTGTAGTTCCAACTGTTTCTCGATTCTTTGTGAGATGTGGGGAATGAAAAGGGGGAAAGGAGACGTACTGGACGTTAGTCTTGATATAGTTGCGAGGAGTTGAGTCATTATATAGTGCACGGTGTAGTTGTATGCATTGGCTAGGGGATATATGGAAGGGTGTGTAACCGTTTTGAGATTCTGAGGAGTGATGTTCTCGGAGTTTGCTGAATATGGCAAGGATTCTGTCCATGCATGATGGTAGAGAATGAGGGCCTGATGTAGAAGGGGCTGTTAGAGCAAGGAAGTAGGTGTGGAGGCTGGGAGAAGTACCCCTATCTGTGATTGAACTATCGGAGATCCCACTGGACTGGCGGGCTGCGGCCGCTAGCATGTCCAGTATTGACATTGGGTCTGAGTGCATGGCTGCTGGCGCACTGTTGATGTAAGTTGGAAATTGTGGGCATAAAGCGTATTGACGAAGTAAAGGAAAGGAAAGCGAATGGGAGCCAGACTTCAGTGCAGATCACTTCATCATGACGGTGCAAGGTGACCACACGTTTGCGTAATCGTTTCCTGATGACACAATATGAATATGGATTGTTGACTGGGATACGGATAGGGTGAGAAGCCTGCTGGAAATGGAGAATTATAGTGGATTGGGTCATAGTGAATCTCAAGGTAATGAGAGGTGATATGTCTGGATACGAGCAGTGATATCCAGACTCTGGTCTCGCGGATGGAATACCTTTCATGATAGGAGATTATCAATGAGAAAGTTTCGGAGGTTACAGAGGAAATGTAAGATGAATGAGTATGCAAAAGAAAGTCCATCGAGTTGAAAAGCACCCGCAAGGCTTTCAGTCTATCTAGCTTATGGCAAGAAGCCGGTAAATATGTCTAAGACTTGTCGAGGCATCTCTCGTAGAGTACTGTGATTTCAGCTTCTCTGCTAGGGAGCTTTTGTGTTGGTGGCTTTCTCATGGTCATTGTTGGAGTATAGATCGTAGGATTGAGTTAAACTGAATCCATAACCTAGGTATTGTTGTTGGGGTGGGTGGTAAATGTTGGAGACCTATGTTAGCTTCGTCCTGTGAGATCAGAGTTGATGGATCCCAACGGCGGTTGTGTAGGAAGTTCCCTTCATACTGTTGGTGACAGAATGGAAGGTCTGTAACCCCGCTTGGTGAATGAGCCAAGTAAATGTAGCGAAATGAGGGGAAGTTCGAGTTGGGAACCACATCTGCTGCCGATCCCAGAGGTTATGGGACGTGATCAAGCGCCGTGATTGATGGCTACAGTTTCTAGTGATGACAGAAATTCCACTATCACCTCTTGCCAAACAGAACCAACAGGGCAGTGGTCCATGATAGCCATGGTCCGAGTAGTAGACGCCGTGGCGTAGCCGAGGACTGTGATGGGACACCTCTGTGCTTGGATCCCGCACCAGCGCTACTTTCCCACGAAGGTGTTGGCCCAAGGATTGTCGCTGTTAGTGATTAAGATACTGTGACCAGAGGCAACCAACACAATACTCTCAGTTTGACTGTCCCACAAGACAGTGACTCCGAGACACCAGCAAGTCCGGATAGCCAACAAAAGTAGCGCTTAACGGATCACTTGTCTGGTCACTAACATCTTTGCTCCCTCGCAACTAGCATTACCAGATCCCCACCACAATGCACTGTTTTGGACATGAGGGGTTTACTCAAGCCATGTGCATCGTTCCCGCACAGCCAACCGAATCGTATGGCGAGCCATGTCTGCAAGTGCTAGTGTGACATGGCCGCAGGAACGCCAAGTGTGGTAGCATCAACAACGCAACATCCCAAGCCAAAGGCGAGATCACAGACCCCGCGCTGCGATCCCCTCCATGGCAACGAGAACAGACATGGGCTCCAACCGGATCCATCCCGTTGATTCGTAGAGGTGAAGAGAATCGGGACGCCAACATGACTTGCAGCCGCCCGGTAGATTATGGTGCAGCAAAATAAGGTAGGAAACAAGCAGCGTCGGCGGTTGGCCAGGTGCCAGACTAGAGTGACAATGGAATTGAAGGATCCAACGAGCAGCGCCAACCACAGCACGGAATGGGTGCAGAATTTGGGGTTCCGATGGGCAGCCGCCCTTTGCCGGAACGGTGGACGTGCGCGTTAACGATGGGCGAACCAGGAGGGGCCAACGCATCTCAACCGGAGATGTCGAAGAGGAGGCGTGAATTGAGCGCGTCCCAAGCGATAAGGCATATTGTATATGCAGGATGCATTTGCGGTTGGAACATTGACAGGGTAGCAAGACTTTGAGTCAGGGAACATGCACGACAATTCCTGGAGGATTTTGCACCTGTTGGAATGCTGGAAATCTCCGCCGGTAGTCAAAGCCGACGACGCCATCTGTCAGAGGCCAGGTATAAGAAGGGGGATGAGAACGAGTTCATGTTCAACTTCTATCAGACAGCAGCACTTCTCTCTCTCTCTTTCTACTCATCCCCTTGGGAACAAAGGAACGGAGCGACTTTGCACCGGTTCCCTCTGACAGCTGACTCTCCACCTTTCAGCACTGCGGTGGTATCTTGGCCCGAGATCGCCACTGGAGGTGCATTTGGAGAGCGAGAAAGAGTGAGTGAGAGAGGCTTTGCTTTGCCGCCCAGCGTTTCGGAGCTGACCTGGCCTTGCCCCCCTCGGCCTAGTCGTCACACCCTGTATTCTTACCGTCCCGTACACCATTACCCGTACGGTACGGTTCAAGGGCAGCCTTTCTTGCGTCGGCGTCAACTCGAGATAAATAATAATCGTCCTCCACTCCCTCTCGACCTTCCTCTCCTTTTCTTTACTCCAGTCCATCAGCAGAATATCCGAGGGTATTCTCTCATTTGACCTCATATCTCTAACCCCGTGCTGTCATCTGATCGCCTCAATCTGTCCTTAATCGCGGTCCCATTCTGTCTGTCCCATCTCATCACATACTATACCAGGTTCCTCGGCCTCATACTGCCACGCACAACGTGACCAGGTCAGGCGCGACCTCGTGGTCCAACTCGTCATCTGTGGACGTGTCTTGGTGTACTTAACTGTTGCATTGCCTGATCTCCCCATCCATCATCTGCCAAACCTCTCAGAAAATGCCTGCCAAACCAATCCTCCATCCGTTGCGGACGCCCAAGAACATGACGTTCCCCTCGGAACTACACGAAGACAATGGCGTCCGACTGGGTGCACCAGGAAGACAAGACGAGAGTCTTTCTACACCTATCACCCCTCCCGCAGCATATACCGAGTTCCTCAAAGCCTTCACTCCCGTCTTTACCCCCGATGGCAATGGCGGCACCGTCACCCGCTTCGTCTGGGACAAGACCAACCGCACTCCAACATCCCAACCAGGCAGCGCAGTCAGTGGCTCATTCAGCTTTCCCGACCAGACCAGACCAGCAACGGCAACTCTACCTCCACCATCACCATATGGAAGTCTTCCAGCCCGGAGAGACATGATGAATCTGCGCCGGTTGCGCATCCCGCCGGCGATGAGATACTCGCCCACGCTCGAGACGCCCGGAGTGCCACTCCTATCCTCTCGCCCTATTCTTACTCTTATTCCCCGGCCGACTGGAAGCTGCGCTACTGGGACGGTCCGCGAAGTGCGACTGTGGGAAGAGTAAGCGTGCGTCATGTCGTCACTCACACGGTGACGTACAAGCGGACGAAACTTGAGGATCCGCCCAAGGGAAAGCGAAGAAAGCACAATGACGATAAGGAGGAGGCTTCAGATTAGCCAGTTATGATTTGTTTGGTTGGTTGAGGTTACTAGCGCAGGTCCGGCGTTGGGAGTTTGGAAGCGATTGAATTGTGATTGTGATTCTGTTTGGTTGGTAGGCAGCGCAATTTGAAATTATTTCCTTTTCTTCAAATGCTTTCAGTAGTACAGTAGACGCAGAGGGTTGACTCGAGAGTACCTAGTATCTACCCCCGCTATGATAGTCCACGCCCCAGGACTATCTATTCAACCTTCAACCACCTCTACTCCCTTCTAGACCACTAGCTTCACATGCTCATCGCCAGAGTCAAAGCTCCCCCTCCACCATCTATGCAGTTCCCCTCAATTCGACCCCTCTTGTGTCTACAATAACCAATCCATCGACTTCTCCACCACAAACACGTCACCCATAACCCCTCATTCCAAATCAATCAATCAGCCAGTCCCTCAATCCTATCCCCAGGACAAGGGCACAGACACAGACACAGACACAGACATACACACAAAGACGCGGCTCTAGATCTAACCCACCCATCCAGCCAGTCTAATCTCCAATACATACCCCTCATATCAACACCACTCGAACCCATCTCACCCACCATTCAAATCCCAATCAACATATGCAATCAATTCCTCTAAACCCTCCCAAGTCCACAACACAGACATTAAAACCCACAAAATACCCATAACCCACACCACGTATCCCCCCCCCAACAAAAAAACCCACACCCAACCCAGCTAGTAACTAATAGCTAGTAACCACCGCATTACGAACCAAAACCCAGAAATCAAATCAAATCTCCACAGCTGCCCGACCCAAACCAACAAGGCTACTACTGCTGTAAGTTGCTGCGCCGCATTGACTTTCGGGTGCTTTTTGACTGGCTTGCGCCTTACCCGGGGGTTTGGTAACCACGACGATTGGGTGGGAGCCGGGTGGTTAGGCTTTGGCTAGACTGGTTGGCTGGGCTGGGCTGAGTTGGCTGGGCTTGCGCGGTAGAGGGGGGAGGAGGGGGTGGACAAGCGCGGTGGATGGATGGATGATGGGTTTTTGGGTGGTTTTGGGTTGGTTTAATTATCTGAGTTGAGTTGGAATGATTTTCTTGTCGAGGAGAGCGTGGTGGTGGTGAGGGTTGGATTTGGGTGGGTGTGTATTAGAGCGTAGAAGGGAAGAAGAAGTGAGAAGTAAAATATTCATCGCGATTTAGAATCAAATAAAAATCTACTAAATCAGTATCACATAGTAATCGAAAACCCACCACCTTCTATGAATAACCAAGTAAATCCCAAGCGCAGCCCATACACATACCTACAATACTCTCCCCCCCCAATCCAAAATAAAATACCAAACATACCAAACATACCCATACCACTCCCTTTCATACACGCATCCCATCCCGGCGGTAACCCTACCCTCCCCATTGGAAAACAACACCCTACCATCCTAGCCTCCCCACTCCCCTCCCTAACAAACCTTTTTTCTTTCGCTTACGGGGTGATGTGAAAGCCCAGCTGTGATCTAGCACAGGGCCATTGACGAGTGTGATTGGTCGACAAGGCGCGCTCTTTGTTTCATCTTCGTGCTGAAGAATTGCGGGTCGCGGTTCATTGGTTGGTTGGCGTGATGGGTTGGGAAGGCAGTGGGGGGGGGGGAGTTCGAATTGCTTCTAGATTGTGGTACTATTGACTCCGTACATACTAGGTCACTAGGGAAGGGGTGGTATTATATTGTTGGTTTGGACTAGTGGTGGGTTAGTTGGGTGGAATGAGTGGCAATACTGATGCTGGTGGTGTATTAATCTCAGCCTCATGCGACTCGACCGGCTGTATAGACGTAGGTATAGGTACGGTAGACACGCAGCAAGGCATAGCAGGTGGGCATAGAGGAGGGGAGAGAGGCACAGGTAGGTAAAGAGAAGAGGAGGGAGGAGAAGCACTCGGCGCGTCCGCGTCCAGCCAGCTGCGTTCCTTCCCCTCCATCACCTGCCCGACACTAGAACCCCACAATCAGCCAATCAGCGGGGCCGCGGGCGGGATATCCAGAGCCAGGGAACATCGTGGCAGCTGCAGTTAAGCGCCGGCACTAGGCCCCTTCGAGCCGGATGTGGGTCCCGCGACGGGTTCCCCTCTTCCTGTGTCGAGGGATGGCTTGTGATTGGGCCGTTGCTGGGAGGGTTGTGTGGGGGATGGGATGACGTGTGGATGGATGGTGCCAGTGATGCTGTGGGTTATTTTTGGATAGATTGCGTTGACAGGGTTGGTGCTGGTTAGTTGTTATGGTTGGTTGTGCGCTTGCTAAGATGCCTTGACTGTGTTTTGTAGAGTGTACACAGTACTAGTACTCCCTAGAAAGTATAAAGGAAAAAGGCATGGAGTAAGGTTATGTCATCAGCTACGCCCTAATGCACAAGGTCGTTCTCATCACACAACAGCCCTCATTGCCGCCGTGATCCAGCCGCCCGAGATCATCGCGCGCCAACCATCCTGAAATCCTCCTACCATCCCTCCAAAAGCAACCATGCCGGCACTACGGCACTAGCTTGTCTTTGTGATGAATCAGGACCCGGAAGTGACCACCTGGCCTCGGAGCCAGCCAATCCCCGCGTGGTTGAACCCTTCCTCCGGACCTACGGGGACCGGCGCTGAATTCGGGGCAGATGGTAGGTCAGCAGGAGACTATCAGGCGCTGAGGACGGGACTTGGGGCGGGATTAAGCCCGGATATCTGCAGGCTTTCTATTTTCATCACAGACCAGGAAGTTATTTCTGGTAACTCCAGGGTCTGTGGTGGGTGGATCTGATTGGTGGTGGGTTGGTGCTGATGTACTGCTATTCTGGGAGGGATATTTTTGGTAACGAGCAGCATGGGGATGCATCATAGATGGTATATGTATGTCTGCGCTGGATGGAGTTGAGGACTCTTCGAAAGAATATTGTTCTTGTTGGGTATATGTTCTCAATGAGATTTCTTTGCTCAAATGAATGCTTTTCATAGGGATACTTGAATGCCCCTCAATCCGACCCGAGTCGTTCCTGACAAAGGCTTGACTTGACTGGCCGAGACACATCCTTCCCCTCCGGTGTATCTTCTCCGCACTTTCATACCCTTTGCAGACCATAGGAGGTACGTTGCCCACCCATACTGTCAAATCAGATACTGATTCTTGCATAGTCTTTCGTCATGCCTGTTCTATGCTATGACTCGCCATCTGCCTCTTGAGTCTACTGCATCCATCACAGGTCTGCCGCCTGTTGTGACGAGGATGCATGGTTCCCGCTCGAAGCAATGAATGCCAGCCAATGAAAGTTCCACGTCGGCCACTGGCCGTGATATCAGCGCCTGGACAAATATAGCACAACCATGGCTGTCAGTCTTATACAACCTTAAGCGCATCCCCTGCATGACGACTGCCTTCATCACGGCGGGTCACGGGCGACTGCTGTCCAAGGAAGATGTTTGACCCCGCGTATTGTCTGGATGGGGGGTGGTGATGGTGCACTTCGTATGATACTGTTTGGTACGAGGTTATGATAGCCACAAATGTCAGGCCGGCCAACGTTGGGATGAATCGGGGCGTTTAACAGCCTTGTGCCACCGGCCAGGCGGCAACGGGGGACTACATCTGGCCGCATGTCCACATGTCGGCTGGTCCGGCCTGTGATTCTCTTTCTTTGTCCGGATTGACATCATTGCGGAATCCAACAATGAGCTCCGAGGTTCATGTTGGAACGGGAGATGTCATCCCTCCTTTGACGGCTGCAACCAGTACAGTCCAGCTCACCTCGATGAAAGAGCGCATGAAGAATCAGACTTGAGGGGGGATGATTCTTTGAGCTTCTGTTCTCCTCCTCGACCGATGCGGTGTGATGCCAAGAGGCTATAAATAGAACGCGGCGTTGCAGCCCCTCAACTGAGGCCTTGCAACGGCCCTCCAGCACCCTCTTTTCTCGCCTCTCTCGCCTTCGGTGAGGCCTCCAGTCCTCGGATGATCCATCTTCCTGCTCCAGCATTCCAGCCAGCTGAATCCCTCCAACTACATAGTACCTAAGACTAAGACACCCAAGATAACGGTTCTCCGCCGCCGCCTCCGTTGCCTGATGCGGTGCCCCCCCTCGGCGGCCTTCCCGTGATCTGCGCGCTTCGGCTTCCAACTCCAACTCCAACTCCAATCCTCCCGATGCATTCTCGGCCACCTTATCAGCTAATGTCCTGCGCTACTTGTCTCTCCTCCTAATATCGAGCCCCTCGTGTGATCTTCCTTTTGTCCTCTGTCCGCTGCCCGTTGTCCCTGTGCGCCTGACCGCCTCCGCCATGTCTCACTCGCTCCCTACGCCCTTCACCCCCAACAGCGACTTTGCTGCTCTCGATGCCCATCGCTTCCCTACCGGCACGATTTCCATCACTGCTCTGGCACGCTTCGAGTTCGAGGCCGGCAAAGCCAACGATGGCACCAAGATCCTGATGATCGAATGGGAGGACGACGATCTGGCCCGCTCGTCCTTCCCAGGGGGCTCGTGGCACGTTGCCTGGGAAGGCAAAATGGCCGTGCTTCCGGCCGACGAGAAGACCAGCAACAACACCCGTCGAATGTACTTTCTGCTGCCGCCATACATCACCATTCCTCCGACGGTTACCCTGTCGTACGAACCCCCGGCCCATGCCCCCGAATCCGCGAAGAACCCCGAACCCCTACAATTGAACCCGCTGCCGGCGATCTTTCCCCCGGAGCTAGGGGCCGACGGCCGCTCGGCAGGCAAGAAAGGAGTGCTGCACACAATATGGGCGAAGAAGCGACTGCAGGTGCTGGAGAAGGAGATCCATGATGAATGTCTGCACAATGCCGAGGGCATTGCGCTGCACATGGTCCTGCAGGAGAAGGAATGGATCGAGACGAATTTCGGGGTCTCACTGTCCCCTGACGGGGCCCGCGTCGTGGGCCAGAGTCATCCGGATCCGCACTACCCCATGGGTCCTGCGACACCGGTGTCGCCCAGCAGCGGAGGGAAGCTGGGCGAGAAGCTACGGGGGTTGAAGCTGCAGACCAGCGAGAGGGAATTGTCCCCGAGTACGCTGCCCAGCCCCTGAATCTCATTACCCAGTACTAATATAGTTGCAGCTACGGGACACCATCTCCTCTCCCCCCAATCTCCAGACGTCGCCGTCTCCTCGTTCAATTCCTTCCATACCATGCGCGCCACGCATACCCCGACCCCGGTGCCTGATACGGTGCGGACAGTAGTGCACTACCCGCCCGAGTCAGTGCAGGCACAACAGAATGTAGAACACCACACTGGTTTTGCATCGCTGGGGCAGTGCGCACAGGCAACGGCAACGGCGACGGCGACGAGCTATTTGCCAAGGCACTGAGCCCGCGGACACCCGACCTTCCACGGAGCCCATTTTCATTCAGCCTGCAGATGTAACCTACCAACCAAACCACCAGTCCAGTATATGATTCCGGCGCATCGCATTCATTCTGCTTTTTTCTTCTTGATTGGCACTTGCATCCAGCATGAACTGTTGATTAACTGATACCGTTGCTGTACATAGATCGTACATCCATTCCAGCCATACCATACCATTCATTTATTCTGAATCTCAATCTCAATCACAATCTCCCCATCCTACCACACCCTCCCCTTCTCAATCTCCCCCAAACACAACCTAACCTAGTTTCACCACCCATCAATTCTTCTTCTTCTTCCCCCCCTCAACCTTCTCCTTCTCCTTCTCCCCCGCCTGCTCTCTGGACCTAAAACTCTCCACCTCCTGCGCCTCCTTCCGCTCCGCATACCACTGCCCCGCCTGCAACACCAAAACCCCGACCAACACCAACGCCAAAATCGTATTACTCGCCGCCAAAACCTTCAAACTATCCTCCCTGCCCAAAATCTGCCCTTCCTCCACATCCACGCCATCCCCTTTATTCAACTCCAACAATTCATCCCCATACCGCCCCGCACTCACCAGTCTCAACCCCTTGACAATATTCGCAATATACACCGTGATTCCACACATATAGAGCACCAGACTGGCTCCATCAAAGAGCATATTGGATTCAGAGGGTTTGTAGAGTTTGAGAATCAGGCCCATGAGACCGAGGAAGATCACGATGTGCAGGATCCGGGGGATTAGGGGCGGAGAGGCATGCAGGAAGCGGAGGTGGGTTTCGAAGTAGGTGAAGTAGTCTTCGGGGGTGGGGGTGGGAGACCAGAGGATGGGGTAGTCGTAGGGGAAGAGGGAGAAGATTAGGCCGAGGAAGAAGGATGTTGCTGTTTTGTTTCTTTTAGTATTGGGGGGTTTGTGTAGGGGGTGGATGGGGGATACTCACGGCAGACGATTAGAAAGGTCGCAAAGGACCCGTTGCGGAAGGCCATGGTTATGGCGGTGCGGTTCGGTGGTACCGACCTTTGGTGTGTGGGAGTGTGTCTGTGTGTGTGGTTGTGGTGTTGGGGGGTGAGAACTGGGAGAGGATGGGAACAGAGGTCGAGGACGAGGATGAGAGATACGAGTGAGATTGGCGGCTTGGCGCGACCGGCCGGCCCGCTAGGCGGTATCTTGACGGAGAAAGCGCTGATTAGAGAACCGCTGATTAGACTACGGGTATGACAGATATGTATCTTACTCGCTATACTGCAACTAGCTTATCAATTACCAAAGATCATGGGGTTCCCATGTCGTATCTATTATGCTCCCAACGCCTACATGCCCATGCCTAGCTGGCATAAATCATCCAACGTATATGGTATCTCGCGCTATCCCGCAATGCAATCAAAAGCAAACGCCTTTTACCGCTGATATCGCGGCAACGACTCGTCTCCCAGCGCCGCGCTGCCCACCAGCTGGTGGTCACCCTCGTCGTCTGCAAATACCGGCGCCGTCGGCGCATCAGACGCGCCCGCTTCTACCTCTGGCGCACTCGCTTCCGTCATCAACAGCTGGCGCTCCAGCTCCTGTTTATCCTCCGCACTCGCCCCCTCCGTGCCAGCCACCACAGTCTGCACCGATTCCGCAGAGATCACCGCCCGCGGAGTCCCGCTCGGCGATGCTACGTGGTGGTAGTCATGGAGGTGGTCGTCCTCCCGGAGCACAGGCGCCGTCGGCATCGTCTCCGACGGCCCCGCCTCGTCCGGCGGCCGACTGGGAAGCAGCGTCTGCTCCGCCCGGCGTAACCGGCTCTTTTCATCGTCCGGTTCGTCCGCCGGCGGCGTCGACACCATCTCACCGAGCGAGTGGAACTGCGGTTCGCCCGCGTACTCCTGGCCCGCGTAGTCGGGCGATTGTGGCGCCTCCTGCGGGAAGCCGTAGTCCTCCGGCGTATATTCGCCCTCGCCATTGGGCGTCAGCCTTAGCTCGCCGGACCACGCCTCCCCGTCAGGACCCGCCGGCGATTGCACCGGCTGCAGGTCCACCTGGGCCGTCGTCGACGGCCTGCGCTCCACCGGCTTCACGCCGCGCCGCGAATCTCGCGTTCCAATGACCACTTCAAACACCACCGCGACCACCCCCTTTTCACGCCGGATCTGGTCCGTGTCCAGAATATTGCCCGCCCAGTTCGCCGTGATTACGCTGTTGTTGACATCTGACGGGTTCAGCACCTGTCCGCTGGCCGAGAAATTACCCCCCGACGAGACCATGTTGAACCGCGGCAGGAACCGGTCGGGCGAGGTCAGCTTACCCCGCAGATCGACCACCACCTCGACATAGTATCGGAAGTTAATCATGCTCCCGGGCGTGCGAGTGATGGTCGGAAACGTGTCCTCCGGAATCCGGATCGACGTCTTCACAAGGGCGGTCAGGTTCATCGGGTCCACCACCAGCGGGGCAAACGTCTGCGTCAAGTCCTTGCGGAAGACCCCCGTGGTCCGGCTGCTGCCTAGGGTCAGACCACCCAGACCGGTCCGCGACCGCGGATAGTAGTCTTCATAGACCGGCTTCTTGCCGTCGGCAGATTTTCCCACCGGGATCGCGGGCTGGAGGTCAATCCGGCCTTGGCGATACAGTGTCACGATGATGCCATGCGCGCTGCGCACCTGTTTGCAATGGTTGATCGTGACATTGATGGGTAACGTATCCCCTGGCAGCACGCCGGCGCGCAGCACCTCGGCCTTGGCCGTAATTATTTTATCTGTCATGGAGGGGGTGATGCTCCGGGCTTCGCTGTTGCGCATCCCGGTGCTGGCGGAGGAGCTGGGGTCGCTGGGCACCTGAAAGCTCTGGCTGCTGTTACTGAGCCGGCTGGACGAGCTGACATTGCTAGGCGCCGGGCTAAGTGGGGGGCGATGGTCGGAGCCATTGCCATGAACACCCGGCTCAATGGACAAGGTATCAGGCGCATCAGATCCGGCTGACTTGGCCTTGGCTTTGGACTTGGACCGTCGGGTGATCGGCTCGAGTGTGACGACGCGCGGCCTGGGCGGGGGGAACGGGGCAATATCGATGTTTTCCAGCACGTTGACGCGTCGTCGGCAGGTTGTGGTCGGGTTGATCGTCGTCGGTCGGGTCAAGGTGGATGTAAGGAGATATGATATCGTGCCTCGTTCGAACTATCCGGAAGCCATCAGTACATATACCAGAATCAAAGCGGTCAGACGCACATTGATGCTACTCGGTAGCGCATATGGGGGAAAGCACATCTCGAAGCGGAATTTGTAAATGCCCTCCTTGAGTCGACCGTCCCCGCAGAGGACGACTTCATCCTCGAAGAGGGTGGACAAGCCGTTTCCCAAATACTCAGGCCCGCGACGCCCGCGCCCCGGTCCCAGGAAGCCCAGATCCGGGGCCATCTCGCCCGGGGGCACGGTATTCTTGAACACTTTGACAAAGCCATGTAGACAGACCACCAGATGTGTTATGCGAACGGGGCGGACGACGGTGAGGACAACGGTGCCGCTAATTACGTCCCCCGGGAAATAGGAGCGCCAGGGGTCGTCGGGTTCAATATAGTAATCGGTGATGCCGCGATTCCGTTGACCGAGCTGGGAGCGAAATTTGGAGAGGAGGGAGCTGCGATTCCGACCGAGCGGCGAGGAGGGCTGAGAGGGGAGAGGGTTGACGGACATGACACACACGCGTCACCCAATCCATACAAAGGAGGTAGGGATCGGGGAGGGCGACACGAGAAGATCGGATGAGGCGGACGACCTGCTGAGGGCGGAATCAGGGGAAGGGCGGATCAGACAGGAGGGGAGGGGGGGGTGATGTGGAGGTCGGCTGGGTCGGCTCAGCAGCGGAATCCGAGCAATCAAGTGACGAACTCGAGACGGAGACGAAGAGTCGGGGTAGAGGCGGACGCAAGGGGGGATGAACAAAGTCCAGGCCCACCGAGGAAAGGGAGAAGATGGGAATGCGATCGAGACAGCTGGAAATTCTCCGTCCAGACACCATCGATCAATCCACCGATAGTCCGGCCAGATCGGGCCGTCGGGCGCGAAGGCAGCAGCGATGCGTTTCTCGAGGGCCAGCTCCAGCCCCAGTCCAGCACGGACAGCACCGGGTTGATTGCCAAGCGCGTAGTGGAATGGGTCGGCTTCCCTGGTTTCTGCTGACTGCGGGGACTTGGTCGGGGAAGAAGTCTGTTTGACGGGAAGGATGCAGAGAGTAGGGGGGAGGGAGCGGAAGAGAGAAAGAGAGAGTGAGTGAGAGAGAAAGAGGAAGAAGAGGAAGAAGAATGTCAGGGAATCAAGAGTAAAGGTGACAGGCCCGCATCATTTCTCAGCGGAATTCCAGCTCACGGCACAAAAGTCGACTAACAGAGCCCCTAACCGGGATATGAGGGGACGATGATGATATTGGGGGGGTCGAAAGGAATGGACAACCGGGGAACGCTGTGTGGATAGAGGGAAGGAAAAGGGTTGATGAGATCGGACGAGTAAAAAATCAGGCAGAGTCGGGGGTAGAAAAGGAACGGCTACAGGCGAGGGAAAAGGGGAGGAGGAGAAGAAGAAGAAGAAGAAGGTCAGCACCACAAGCCTGGGAGAGAGGGAGGGAGGGAGATGGATGGATGGATGATTGATCGATCAACGGGCGAAGATAAGCCGCCGCGCGAGGAGGAGAACGACAGCCGGCCAGGCAGTCAGGCAGGCAGTCAGTCCAGTCAAGCTTCTCTTGGGCCGTTCGTGGCTCGGCAGTTTCCACTCCTTTCCACCACTTCTGACTAAGTCTCAACCATCGGCTTAGTATGAGAAATCTTATTTACGATTCAGATGATTCTCTTTGTTGTGGTTGCTTTTCCTTGCGTTTTCTTGCCCCGTCGTGTCTGACCACTACACCATCCCTACTCCGTAGGTACATCGTACATAATCATACTAATACTACGGTGTAATAAGTACCACTAGTGGTGAGGATGCTGACGAAAATCCCCACGGCTGACGGCCCATCCAGGTAGGTCCTCCTAGCAGTCCGGAGCAATCCTCCAGGACTGCTCCGTACCAACCAGCCAGCCAGCCCCTCCACTTCCCACTTCCCACATCCCACATTCATCCACAGACACACTCACTCCAGTTCTCGCAATCCTTCCCCCTCCACATATTCCTCGTCGTAACACTCCTGCTGCACCATCCGAATCACTTCCCGGTCTCCTCCGGTCAGCTTGCCCATATACCCTTCCAAGACGTAGATGTTGTCCGTCCACATATGCGCCAGCCGTCGGTTCTCCTCCGTCTCCTCTTTAATCTGCGGCAAGCTTTTCCCCTCAGCCCTGGTCGACAACGCCAGCCATTCCCCCTGCAGCTGATGTGTCTCCCGCTCGAGCACAGCCTTCTGCTCCATCAATCTCCGGTGTTCCTCCTCTTCCTCCCCCTCTTGCACCCTGGCAGTCTTCCGCGCAAGTAATCGGGCCTCCGCGTCTTCACAGCTCCCTCGCAGCCGATCCACCTCTTTCTCGAGCCGACTCACTCGGGCCTCCCGCTCCTTCTTCTCTTCTGCCGCGAAACACCAGTACCAGTTCCCACTCCCGATCTTCTCCACACGCAGCCGGCCTTCGTCGGTCAACTCCTGAACGAACTCCTTGACCTGCATGCCGTTGATGGAGGCCACCGAGGGGAGCATCTTCTCCAGGTCCTTGAGGGTGTGGCAGGTCCCGGTGGACCGCAAATGAGAGACGATCAGTGCTTGTTTGGCGCTTTTGGAAAGTTTAGGCGGCTAGCTCGATTCCTGTTAGTTTGGGCCCTTGGGCTAGTAGATAGTTCACTTTGGCCCGCTCCTGAGTGGGCAAATGGCTGGCCTTCAGCGGCCGCCATTGGTTGCGGGGAAAAGACGGAGGCGTCGACGTACCATGGTGAGTCCAGTAGCCTTACTTACGTCTAGACCGTTGCGAGGGGTTGCTTGATACTGCTGCTGCTGCTGCTGCTGCACCCGGCGGAAGTTCGGGGACGCCGGTGCCAGTGACTGAGAGTCTGAGAGGACCAATGCCCGCCCCCCGGTCATGTGGCATCACGGCTCGCTCGCTGGCTCGGCAAAGAGCAAACAACCTGTTGTGATCATCTTCCTGGTAGCCTGGTAGGGCTGTTGGCTGCTGACTGCTGACTGCTGATTGCTGATAATCACGTTCATTCTTACAGAGTTACAGGGAACAATCGCTGCCATACATCCTATTGCCCACATTGGGTTCACCCTGGTAAACAATTTACCCTCTCCGAACCCCCGCTCGTCTCCCCTGCACACGGGCCTCCAGAGCGAGGGACCCCTAGGAGTGATCTTTGTCCCTGTAAGTCCTGCTGACCCTGTTTGGTCCCGTCATATTCATGCTACCCTCTCTAACGTGTCTTGCGCGTCGCGCTATACTTAGATAACCCGGAGTATCCACCTCACTGTCGCGCCACTACACAGTATGAGACCAGGCAGAGTTGAACACGAAAGACGATCGCCCTGGGTTTCAATGTGCAAGGGTCGGGACATCAAACAAAGAAGTCCCAAAGAGGTCAATACAGAACCGCGCTAGTTCACCGGGCCATCCTATGGCCTGCATCAATGCAACGCCATATCACCATCAAACCCTCGCCGGAGACTGGACGGAGAAATCCCGTCGTCTATTTGACCAGATAGACAGATCACGCGATGTTGTAGGACATCTACTGGATGCCGATCCTGGCGACCACCCGTTAACATCCATACATTTCCGGTCTCGTGCCGTGCGATACGACGGGTCCATACAGGGACAAGTCCAATATGCCGGTCATGGAGATAAGCAAAAGCTTGTGTCAGCCGATACCCTTGACCTCGAAATCATCGCCAGTGATGTTGATATGGGGATCTAAGACCGCCATCGATAAGGTTTTCTTGACGGCTATAGCATATCGACTTAAGCATCTTGGCACCAGCGTATGAAACCGGCTGTTGCCTGCTCGTCGACGAACACCTGTCATCATGGTGTTACTCCCTTTATCCGTCGGATCCATTGCCCCCGAGCTCCTCCTCCCTTTACCCGACTGTCGCCGTGATCCGTTTCAGTCCAGCTGCAGATGCGGCTTGCGACATGAGGAATAGCAGGCACGGAGTTAAGCCAGTGATCCGAGTAATATCCGCGGCCAAGAGACGAAAATAGAACCTTTGGCGGTTCTTCAGTAGGCACTCTCACCTAAACCGAAATGTTTCCGGGTGACGAAGCACGTGGGCAAGTGAGACGCCAAGTCTTCACCCAATTTAGGAGAATTTCGGCGCTGCCTCTCAAAAGTACATTGTCCATTTGACATTAGGCTATTTGATACAACGTGCATTCCGGAGCATCCAGCCCGGAAGTCGAGGAATTCTGGGGGATGGAGAATCAGGTATGATAGCGCCCACTGCGTGCATGGAGATGATGGTCTGGTCCAATCAAGGTTCAACGGCATTCCAGAAGGGCACCAGCCAAGACCTTGGCCTGCGCCATCGGACGATGATGATCTTGGGCTAAGGTTACTGATGTGCAACATGCGTAGGGCACGGCTCGTGACTGAAAACAGGGCTGAGCTAAGGTGGCAATCCGTAAACTAAGCGACAACTGTCCTTTATGGGCAACAATGTCCAGTTGACATCAAAGTGGGCATCGTACTATGCTCAGTGCATCATAGTCTAGTGGCTTGGGGGAGATACGAGAATTCTGAAGCCCCCACGGCTGAGAATTTGTGGACTAATCCCTGGCTGTACTCCCTTCAACATCATGCGCCCCAACCCCTGATTTCGCTTCCCGTCGAACGCAAAGGCATGAGTTGGTCTGCGGACACATTGATTCTGGTACCTCAACCCCGCATGGAGGCTAAAAGGCTAGAACTTGGGACGCAAGGATGCGGTTTCACCACGCCACATGTGAAGGACCCTTGCTTAGCATGCTAGACTACCATCTTTCATCGGCTTCCGTGTCAATGTCAGTTGCGGAAGTCATCCGACGACCCAATTTGCGTTTCTTGGGCCGCCTCTTCTTGACCACGCTCTCGAGGTCATCACCCGAGCTTGCCATGGTGCTACTCTGTCCGGTATTCGCCCTTTTCCGGCCCATCTTACGGCTGACTCGCGGGACCAAGGGATCCTCGTCAGACACGGCTTCCTCTCCCTCCACCAGGACCATATCTCCAGTCTCACCCAAAGACTCCTTGGCCATCTCCTCCATCAGGATACCCATGGCTATCAAGGCCGTCTCATCCATGCTCTGATAGTCGTCACGTCCTCGATCAATCGTTGCATGGTCATAGTAATCCGCCGAGTAGGCGTGAATCGCCTCGAGGAGATCCGAGCTGGGAAGAGGACGGCTGGGCGGGAGAGACTCATGCGCAAAGTAGAAGTCGTTCTCCTCGTATCGCGTCGGAGCGTTTTGTCGGCGGAATAGAACCTCTTCCGGCCGGACTGGACGGGTACTGGAGGAGGCCGTAGCGCGGTATTTGGAGGGATAAGGAGCCAATGGCAGAAAGCCATGGTAATTCACCCGCCCTAGAGACCGTCAGATTGGAGGTACAGAGGCGAGTCAAATAAGGACCAACCAGCAACGGCATCGTAGACAGTGGCCTGTCGCCTCTGTCGCCTGGCCGCAAGCTCATCCTGTTGGTCCGGGGCCTCGGGGACGTCGGGCAGTGGAGGCTGGACGAAAGAATTCTGGCTTAATGCAAGGGATTTGCCGTAGGACATAGTCCCGGATTCGCTAAGGCCGCCCGTGCGAAAGCATCAGGAAGCGGTGGTTCCCAAGGACTAGATGGCTGGAGGACTCCGCCGGGAGAAAGCAAGTGATAGCTCCGAATCTCTTTGCGACCCCCGCAGATTTTCCCTCCAATCCCGGCTTAACCTTTCTCCGGGCGGTGTCGGATAGCGTCATCCTCCTTCGTTCACTATCTACTTACTATCTAACTCAGTCTCGACAGGATAACTAACCACGCGAGGTTTGCAGCCTGATGAATGAATTCATATCTGCTTAATCGGGCTCTGGGGTCCATCAGTCCGTCGACCTTCCATGTCGCTCAGACTTCCCGGCTTATCCAGCACCTCGAGCCGGCCCCGGGCATTCGCTTCTCTTCGCGTAAAGACATCCCAGCGGGAGATCGAGCTAGGAATGGCTCTCCTGCTGCGATTACACAGCTTGGCCTAGATGGTGAAATATTTGCACATAAAGCGGGCGTAAATGTGCTCGCGATAGACCAATATGACGGCCGATTGTATGTACCCCCGACCTGGTGTCTGACTCGTGTTAACGATAGGCAGCATGGTCTCTGGAGGGGCAGACCCTTCAGTGCACTTGTGGGATCTCGAGACACGAGGCTCAGATCTGAACCACGTACATCATTCGGTTGCGTCTGTCAACAAAGCCTCCCATGAAGATGCCCACACCCGTGCCATCACCTCCATCTCAATATATCCCTTCGATCCCACTCCGTCTACGATTCTGACAACCTCGTATGATGGCACTCTCAAGCTGTCAGTTCTAGCGCCAGGTGCCATTACTCCGGTGCATACTTTCAATCTGGATTGCACGCCATATACCCATTCATTATCATCCAATCCAAATTCCCCACTGCTCATTGCAGTAGGCACCTCGGAGAAGCCCGTCCGATTACTTGACCTCCGCTCTGGTTTATCTACACATGGCCTGCCTGGGCATGATTCTGCCGTTCTTTCCGTATCGTGGGCACCTCACCAGCCACACATCCTGGCCTCTGCATCGGCAGATAGCAGAGTGATTCTCTTCGACATCCGTCGTGGGGGGCACAATTCAGCCATAGCTGCCCTAGACATGGATGATGCTGTCGGCCTTGTCCGCCCGGGGGCATCCACTCATCTTCCAAAAGTCGTCTTGCATTCTTGCCTCGCGCTCGAGCCCATAATGGCGCCGTGACCGGCGTGCGGTGGACCTCCAATGGTACACATTTAGTGACCTCTGGACAGGACGCTCGGATCCGTGTCTGGAAATCCGACACTGGTGCAAACACCTTCGTACATTTTGGCCCGAGGGTGCGGAACAGCGCGACCGCGCATCTGGCCGAAAGGGCGCCGCTGATAGTACCGAGAGGAATGGTCATGCCAGGCCAGGAAACCCTCTTGTGGCCGAATTTCAATGACCGAGACGATCGGGGAGAAATCTTCATGTTTGACCTCCACGAGGGGACATTCGTTAAGCTGCTCCGTGTTCCAGGCCTTATGATCGGCCGCCAGCAGTTCCAAGGGCGCACCAGTGCCCTGAGCGCTGCACGAATCAACTCCCTCGCCTGGCGCGGCAACGGTGCCTCCGGCGAGGGCCTCGAGATGTTTTCCGCTCATGGCGACGGTACTATTCGCACCTGGGTCTCACGAGAGCCCGAGGGAGAGCCCGATGAAGCCGACGAGGCTGAACGAGCGGACCGCAAACGGAAACGCGATGTTCTAGATGAGATCTACCGAGGATTTATAGGCTGACCACCCGTCTTACGTCCATATCATTATAGTACAGAAACAGTAAAATTCGTTCATCTATAGTACATCATGTCATATCAAGCATATCCCAGATACGCCTATCATTTATTCGTTTCGGATCTGATGTTCGCCAATGGCATCCTCATCCTCCGCGGCAAACCGGTCATAAGCACTGCGGTTCAGGTTGGAATGCTTCAAGTTCCTGGACTCGCCCTTGGCGCCAGGGTGGTTGGTGCCAATAAGATTTCTCTTGGATTCGCCTTCTGCGGGAAAAGAGTTTCCGGTGCCGGTGATGACCTCGCCCGAGGCACCCATGTCTCTGGTGCTGCGCGGCATGTCGGTGGCGTTGTCGGCGGCGAAAGCGGAGGTGGGATGAGCGACACCGTAGTTGTCGAACTGCGAATCTTCGGATCTTTGGTCTGGGCGAGGAACGGAGGGGATGGTGTTCATGATGCCTGCATCATTGGGAATGCGAGTGCCCTGGGGGGCCATGTCTTCGAGTCTGCCGCCACGGTGAGGAGAAGACATTTTGATGGTAAGATGTGGTTTTGATTGTTTCTTGAAGGATTCGTGTGTAAAGAGGTATGATTGTAGAGTGGTTGCTAGAGTCTGATTTCGATGGTTGATAGAGCATGGGTTGAGATGTGGTTTATATGGCGGGTTGTTGGGGTTGTGCTGCATCTGATGTCACCGTCCACTTCCCGGATCGACTCTGGGTCCATGATGAGACTATGATATCAGCGATACTCCCACCACGCATCCAAGGCCAGGGATGCCCAAATCTATGATGAAAGAAAAACTGGAGTAATCGACTGATCTCGCCCACCTTTTCGAAACCCTTGATCGATCTCGGTTCTGGACTTTGAAGTTGAGGGCAAATCGTCCCTAAGGTACCCGCAATGGCAGCCCCGTCAACAGAATCGCATCCGAGCATTCACTGAGGCTTGTTCCCTACAGGTACGCCATCCATACTCAAGCCACTTTCTTTGCCGTTCTCTCCTGGCAATTGGACTCGATAGCGTCATAAGTGGCCAATTATGACTCAGCATTGGTGCTTCTGTAGCCAATCAGACATCATACTCATGGTCGACTGTCTCCAACAACACGCACCTATGAACATTGGATCATTCTTTCACGCTTAATGGCTAGCGGCATCACATAGTATCCTACCGATGTGGAATGTCTTAATCTACAATCAACAAATTGAATCGTCAACGTTTGGCTTGCAGAACAAACCCGGTCTGCAGCACCCGTGTACCCAGCACCAATACACTACCAACAAGGATAAGCACGCCCGAGTAAAGCTTCATTCCCCAATATGATCCGTCACCATGTACCAGGATAGCGCCCGCAATGGGCCCCGTTACAAGACCGGCGATTGACGCGAACATGAAGTTTACGCCACTCCAGTATCCGATCTCCTGGGGCGGGGCGATGCATGCGACCATGGCGACAACCAGGGAAAAGTAAGCCCCCGAGGCGATTCCAAACAGTACATCAAATACGATGATGGCGGCGTTGCTAATGGCGGGGATCCAAAGTGCAAGTACGAGGATGCCAGTGCAGACAGAGAACGAGATCATAGTATTATACGTGCCGATTTTGTCTGCGAAGACACCGGAGAGCGTCCGTCCAACGATGCTACAACATGTCAACATCAGACTGCCAGCATGGGAGTGACACATACCTTCCCGCATTCTGCATGGGCACCAGCCACTGTCCTAAATTGGGCCGCATGCCCGCCGCCAATGCCGATGTGATTATGTAGTCGAGTGGAACCCACATGCCAAGGGTTAACAAGACGCTACCTGACACGAGCAAGACCATCTTCACATCCCGAAGCGGGCGCAGAAGGCTCTCTCTATTCAGGGGCTCTGGGCATGGCGGCAATCGTGCTCTGATGGTAAGGTTGGCGATGATGAGCAGGAATAATAGCAGGAATGCAACACTTCGCATGGCCCAGCCAAAGCTAGCTTTATCAATAAGTCGACTAACCATGACGGGGAGGATAACACCGGAGATGCCTGCGCCTGAGGACATGATCCCGTATGCTGCGCCGAGTCTTTTGTTAAACCAGCTGGGAATGATGCTCAAGGCCGGCTGAGCGATGGCACTGAGGCCTATTGAACTGCAAATTCCCTGCGCGAGCAGCACCTGATAGTACTCTGTGGAGATGGAGGTCATTATAAGCCCGAAGATATGCAAAAATGAGCCGGCAATCACCACCACGCGTGGCCCAAGAGTGTCGTTGAGCCGTCCGACAATAGGGCCCTGCATTTCTCCGTCAGTATATGGGTATTAAGATCTGCACCAGATATGCTTACCAAGCCAAGCATAAGAAAGACCTCGAGTGAGGGAATCCAGGAGATTGTGCTCGCCGAGTACTGTGGGAACAAGACAGTTTGATAGTAATCTTGAAAGACACCAACACCTATCACATTACATTCTGATCAGCAAGCAAGATTCTCAACCCTTCTTCAGCATCGGTACAACGACATACTATGAAGCCACCCATAACAGCTAAACATCGCACACCATGCACCCAGCACAACAAGCCAAGCCGTCACTCCACCATCCGGTGGAAGTTCATCTGTTTGCGCCTCTTCGATATCCGGCGTCGACAGTGGCCGACTACCTGAGCTTCCGTCCTGCGCGGTGTCCTTGAACTCTGCCTGCGCATGTTGAACATCACTAACCGATATAGACATATTGATTGACACAATGAAGTCAGATGAGAAGAGAACGATGGGTGATGACACATCGAAGAACCATCTCAAATATTCTCACGGACGAGATATAACAGCAAAGCACACTCAGCACTACTTAGATCGTCTATTGACATCATCAACCTTAATCTACAGCATGCATTATCAACATGTATCTGTCCTGTGACACCGTTAGCCGATCCTAACTACGCACTATAGCTATCCTACATCAATTAACCAACCCTATAGACAAACACAAAACAGCTTTTAATATAACCTTTATATTCCTTATCCCAAACCCCATATTCCCCTCTTAATAACATATATAATAATTCTAAAAGAAGCATTCATCTAAACCACGAACACAATCTTTCGAACACCCAAGATATATCTATCAATCACGCACGCTACCGAACCCACCTCAACAACCCACCTCTATACTAAGCTAGTAGTTACCTACATACGCACATGCAAAATCAACACAAGCACCACAATCTCCAATGCTGTGTAACCCTCCCTCCCTATCATACACCCTACCCACCCTACCCACAATCATCCTCCTCCCCCCAAAAACATAATTTACTAAACAACCCAATCTTCCCAACCTATCTCCAATTCACATTAGATACAAATCTAGCCTCTAAACATGAGTATGAGTTACGCAGCGCAGTCGGTTATATGGATAGACCAGAGCTCTTGATGATTACCTGTGTAGTCTGATTATAGTGTGAATGGTGGCTGGCTGATGGCTACATGGATGATCATCGGAGTTTATGATGAATTGTATACGCGCCTATGGAGAGATGCCATATAGTCGGTCGGTCAGTGGGGGTCGGTGGATCGGCGATGTGCATTGCATCGCGTTGCGGTTGCAGCTGGTGCATGTGCAGGTGCGGCAGGGAGATAAGAGGTGATCGGGTGCCGCGGTGGTGGTAGCTAATAAGCGAGGGAGATAGGAGGGGAGTGGAGTGACGTGGGTGGGTTACGTGTAAACACTTCGACTTCTTTTTACATAGGTAGGTAGGTAAATATAGACAGATGGACTGTTGGTTGCTATGCTGGCTGGGATATGTTTACGGATGATACGGAGATATACTATGGTAGAGAATATTCATAAGTTGACAACCTAATAATTAACAAAAAAGCAAATAACAATCGTATATGGCATTCTGGGGAATTGGCATTAAGATATAAAGGAAGGTCGTTTACAGAACGAGAGCCAGGAGAGCCACCAGACCGGCAACGATCGGGAAAAGGCCTGTAGGAGACACCTGTGCACCGGCGCCAGTGAACATGATGGTGTTTGACGAAGGAAGGGCGGAAGAGGAGGAGAGTGGCAGGTTGTAGCGGAATGATGGCAAGGCATCGACGCCGGTGGGACGAGACGAAGGTGCGGCGATGCTGCTGGCTGCGACATGGAACGTGTCGGTAGGGGCAGGCACAAATACAGGGATCATGTGGAATGTGGAAGCCTCCTGGATGGTGATGGTTGATGCGATGGTGTCCACGTCGAACGGGTCGGTCGGGGCAGGGGCCGCGACGGCAGCGTTGGTGGCCTCAGCCACCGGGGGTTGTGCCGCAGATGACGCACTGTTGTCAACCAGGTTGTGGGCTTCCGCGATGTCGGGGCTGAAGAATGTAGATCCGCCACTGGGCTCGACTACTTCGGCTTCGTTGTATACGGGGGTGGACTCGGAAGCCGAGGTGTTGTCGGCGGGGGCATTGTATGCTGGGGCAGATGCAGCGGCGACGCCGGTTTCTTCAGCCGGTGCGTTGTATACTGGTGTAGATGCAGCAGCGACACCGGTGTTGTCTGCCGGCGCATTGTAGGTCGGGGTAGATGCAGCGTCAACTCCAGTATCTTCGGCGGGTGCGTTGTAGGCTGGAACCGACGGAGCAGCAACACCGGTGTTTTCGGCCGGCGCATTGTAGGCTGGGGTTGACTCGGCACTGGCTTCCGACGCTGGCGCAGGAACATTGTCCACGGGAGCGTACTGAACTGTAGACTCAATAGCCGCTGGTGCCTGGTAGACAGGGGTCGATTCCACAGTAGCTTCAGTAGCCTCGGCTGGAGCATTGTAGACAGGTGTGGAGGCGGCAGCCACAGGTGCATTGTAGGCAGATGTTTCTTCAACGGCCCCGGTGGCCTCCGCCGCAGGGGCATTATACGCAGGAGTGGCATGCTGGTGATCGGCAACCGCACCCTTGGTAGGCTCACTGTTCAAAGTACGAGTGATGGTGTGAACAACTTCATGGACGATTTGGGAGGAGCAGGGCTGGGTCTCGGTGCCATGCGTCTCTGTCTGGTCCGAGGTCTGCTCAGTGGCATGACCAATCCCCTGGTCAGTGCCCTGGTCAGTGCTGTGAACAGGAGCAGAACTATGGCCCGAGTCTGCATGACCATGGTAATCAGGGTGCCCATGGTACGGGTCCACAACGGTGTCGTGTACATCCTCACTAACGGAGTGGTCATCACTGGAATATTCATTCGTCTCTTTTCCATAAGCATTTGTGATTGGAATGACTGCCGAGTTTCCTGTGTCCACTCCTGAAACACCGCTGATAAGACTGTCTTCGGCGCGATGATGATGGCGATGCGGGTCATTGACCAAGGTATCCTTGATGTCAGCATCGACAGAGTGATCATCAGCATGAGCCTCATTGACCTCCGAGGAGAATGTGTTGGTAAAGGGGAGGGCAGCGCTGTTCCCCGTATCAATTCCTCCCGCACCACTGATCAAGTTCCTTGCGTGATGGGGACGCGCATGGGGATGACCATGAGGTAACTGATCGACAACAGTGTCTTTCAGATTCGCATCGACGGAATGGTCATCTGCATGAGCCTCATTGACCTCGGAGGAGAATTCGTTGGTAAAGGGGAGAGCAGCGCTGTTCCCTGTATCAATTCCTCCAGCACCACTGATCAAGTCTCTCGGGTGGTGGGGGCGCGCATGAGGATGACCGTGAGCTGACTCATCGACAACAGTGTCTTTGAGATTGGCATCGACGGAGTGGTCATCCGAGCTTACTTCATTGACTTTGGAGGAAAACGAATTGGTGATCGGAATTGCTGCAGAATTTCCAGTGTCGATCCCTCCCGCGCCACTGATGAGATCGCGTGGCAAATGCGGGTGGGGGTGAGCGTGATGAGGCGGCGCCGGTTTCACCAGGGTGTCTTTGATATTGGCGTCAACAGAGTGATCATCCGAGCTAACTTTGCTAACCTGCGATGTGGCAACGTTGGTGATGGGGAGAACAGCCGAATTGCCGGTATCAACACCGCCGGCACCACTGATTAAATCACGTGGTCCATGGGGGTGAGGATGATGAGGAGAGGTGGGGGCGACGACTGTATCCTTGACATCCACATCTGCTGCGTGATCGTCGGAATGTGCTTCACTCACTTCATTCGAAGCTACATTGGTGATGGGGATGACTACCGAGTTGCCTGTATCGATACCGGACGCACCACCAAAAAGATCGCGGGGACCATGCGGGTGATGACCATGGACCTTTGGATCGACAACTGTATCCTTGACATTGACGTCTGCCGAGTGGTCATCTGAGTGTGCCTCACTCACTTGGTTCGATGCCAGGTTAGTAAAGGGAAGAGTTGCCGAGTTGCCAGTGTCGATACCGGAAGCACCACTGATAAGATCACGCGGCACATGCGGGTGGTGATGACGAGAGGCCGGATCGATGACTGTGTCCTTGACATTGACATCCGCAGAGTGATCGTCGCTTGAGTGGTCATTATAAGACGAGGCGAATTCGTTGGTAATGGGAAGAACCGCCGAGTTCCCAGTATCAATTCCAGAAGCTCCAGAGATCAGATCCCGAGGGACATGGTGAGGATGGTGATGATCCGGTGGTGCAACCACGGTATCCTTGGAGTTGACATCCGCAGAGTGGTCATCCGACGAAACCTCATTGTCCGAAGAAGCGAACGCGTTTGTAATGGGAATAACAACCGAGTTACCAGTGTCAATGCCCCCAGGTCCGCCAAACAAGTCCCGGCCATGGTGAGGATGATGGACTCCTGGACGTACCAGAGTGTCCTTGAAGTCTGCATCCACGGAATGATCATCTGATGAGTACTCATTCACAGACGAGGAAAATCCATTGGTAATGGGAATGGCAGCGCCGTTGGCAGTATCCACACCTGAAGCCCCTCCAAGCAACGTTGGGCCCCCGGCTTCCCCGCGAACGTGATGATGGGGGTGAGTGAAGTCCCGGTGATGTTCGGGGTCCACAATCGTCTTGTCCTTGTCGAGCTTGACTGAATGATCGTCCGCGCTGGCTTCGTTGACGGTTGATGAAAAGCCATTAGTGATGGGGATTGCGGCAGAGTTGCCGGTATCGATGCCTCCTGCGCCGCTGATGAGGTCCTCGTGCACCCTCCTCCAGTGGTGGTGGTGGCGGTGGTCTTCAGGATGCACGACTGTCTTGTCCTTGTTCACGTCGACTGAGTGATCATCCGAGTGTTTCTCAGACACCCCAGAGCTAAAGGTATTCGTGATAGGCACGGCTGCTGAACCGCTGGTATCCGTACCATGAACGCCGCCGATCAAATCCGCTTCTTCCCGGGGCCAGTGATGCGGTCTGTGATGAGCTCCATCCACCACAGTCTTGTCCTTGTTCAGATCCACTGTGTGGTCATCCGCATGAGCCTCGTTCACGGCCGAGGAAAAATCGTTTGTGATGGGTATGGCCGCAGAATTGGCAGTATCAATACCATGAGTGCCACCAATCAAATCAGGTTCCCCGCGGGGCCAGTGGTGATGAGGTCGGTGGTCACTGTCCACAACCGTCTTGTCCTTGTTCAGGTCTACCGAGTGGTCATCCGCGTGGGCCTCATTCACCCCCGAAGAAAATTCATTTGTGATGGGAATCACGGCCGAGTTACCCGTGTCAATACCGTGAGCCCCGCCAAACAGCTCAGGCTCCTCACGGGGCCAGTGATGGTGAGGACGGTGCGGTTCGGGGTCGACAACCGTCTTGTCGTCATGGACCGCAGCCGAATGATCATCCGAATGGGCCTCGTTGACAGAGGACGAGAAACCATTCGTAAGTGGTAAGGCCGCTGAGTTGCCGGTATCAATTCCACTTTCTCCACCGATCAGATCGTCGACGCCTCGCGCCTTGTGGTGGGTTGGTTCATGCGGATGGGGGTGATGACCATGGTCAGGTTTCAGGACCTTGACGTTGTCTTCGTTGATGTCGACCGAGTGGTCACCTTGGTGGGACTCGGTCACCGAGGTCGACTCCACGTTCGTCTCTGGGTGATAGTACTGAGCTCCAGTATCCTTTCCGTCGATCTCTTCCCTGACCCAGTGGTGTCCAGGGTGGCCAGGGCGGCCATGGGGTTCCACAACCTTCTTCTTCGCATCCACATCCGCCGAGTGGTCATCCGAATGCGCCTCGTTGACGCTGGACGAAAAGCCGTTGGTGATAGGGACGGCGGCGGTATTGCCCGTGTCCACACCACCGGCACCCGATATCAACTGCGCTTTAGCTACAGTGGCCAGCATGGCGATGGAGATTCCGCCCTGAAGTCCCTTCATGTTGCTGGAGGATTACAAATCGTAGTGAGCTTGAATGCGATACAATACAAGTCGAACTGGAAGTGATCAATGAATGACTTCGGCCAATAGGCCAAGGGAAGATCAGGTAGAAGGAACGAAACCACAGAAGGACCACAACGAAAGAATGACCAGATTCTGTAGGATAGGGAGCTCCTTGGAGGACCAACGGCCCCTGTTGCACCTTTTATTTTCGATCCTCTCGGAGCACATTTTCTTTGGTATGCTGGTGTCTTCCAACCCGCGCGACAAACAAAGGCAATGTTTTGGTCGGAGAATGCCTCCAGGAATGGTTGAGATCGGGGCCAATGGCCACGGAGGGACCATGTGCCCGGGCGTCTCAGGAGACATCCTCCTAAAGAATCGTCAGCATTCCTGGGGTCGATGGCGCGGAAGCCAGGGGATTGGAATGCGTGAACCACGCCGGCTGGTAGTCGTCATAGGCCCCTTTCACGAACAAGTACACGGGATGTGGCTGCTGAGAAGGTTAGCTGGAACACATTCGCGACTGTAAAGCCAATGAAGCGTCGACACATGCAGACCACTTGGGCCAGAAGCGTCAAAAAGCTGCAACTCAGCTGTCATTGTGGATGGTGGCGGAGTTGTGACTGCGGCTCCAGTGCAAGGCCTCAGGAATCCGTCCCACACAGCAAAGCCCGATGGAAAACATCATCAGCGATTCCACGAAGCATCACAAGATACATGACAGACATCTACAAGAAGGTATTAAACCGGCATGCGGCATCCGATATATAAAAACTCTCAAGCGATTTAAATTCATTATGGTATGATAAAAGAGATGTATCCCGTCATCGACATTCACCCCTCATCGCCCTCACTGAAGAGGACCCAACGAGAGACAAACTTCCTATCAAGGAAAATTGCAGCATTACTCTCCAGAGCCGATCAGTCCGTAGACCGAAGGCAACACATCGCCGTAGAAAAGGCTGGACGACGGTCGTGGCAGGCTCTGTTAAAGCTTTTCGATGTATGAGAAAGAAAAAAAAAAGAGGAGGAAAGATCGCCGCGGTCGCGCTCCTTTTATAGCCGTTGTGCGTCACGTGAGGCGCCTCCGGATCTCGCTTGACGGCGCCAGGCACCCAGGCCTCCAGGCTATCGGGCGGGTCCGTCAGGCACCACGGCTCCTAGGCTCCTAGGCTCTTAGGCTGCAGGCTTCCAGGTCAGAAGGATGAAGTGAACCATGGCAATTTATGTACAGTTCTACTCTGCCATCATGATCACATTTACACAGAAACCCAGCCCCTTGGGCAAGTCCTCCAATTCTCAAAGCCCACAACCTCCTGTGGCCTTTGGTCCAAATCACCGCCATCCAGGCAGCATCAACATGTCGCCTGCCTGCGAAGCTAACCCAATCCACTCTTCTAACCCCCTATCACCACCTGTTGAGTATCAGATCTCCACACAGCTCCTCCCACCGCGGCCGTGATCCCCAGCGCAATAGCCACCATTGTGCCGACCGTTAGAATGGCGATGCTCGCTTTGACCACCATGCGTTGCTTTCTGCTCAGCCGCGTCATCCACCCGCAGCTCCGCTTCTCCTGAACCCAGAGCTTCGACTCCCGATGCCCTGATCCCCCTGGCTGTCGGTTGAGCGTCGGTGGGTTTTCGGGGTCAATAGGGCTGTATCGGGTGGTTGCTTGAGCGGCCTTCTTCAATCGGTCAATGGCCAGCGATGGGGTGGCATGGCGATAAAAGGGTGAGGACGGCTTGGCCCCAGCCGACGGGTTAAACTCGCTCTGTTGTAGGTCTGGTGACGATGCAATGGACGCGGCTTCGGGGACCGTGGGCAAGTTTGGACCGGAGGCAGAGCGTTTCTCTTTCAGTATCAACGGGTGATCTGTCTCCTGGCTGGGTGGACTCGTCATATTTCCGTAACTAAGTAGGTAGAATGCAGCGGTAGGAATGTATGTCTAGCGCAGTGATGCTAAATCCACGGAAGGATATCAGTCAACAGAAGGAAATCAGGTTCTGGCAACATAGGTGAGGTGAGGTTTAGGAATAGAGGGGTGGCGATGGAGGTGACGATCGTTGGGGGGGGACTCTTGAGGTCGCGCCCTTGGGTCATCACCTGGATGTTGGAAGGGGTTGGCCGATGGTGGCTTCCTTGGGATCGGACATGGCACACAATCAGGGGGGGTGTCTCACCTATGTACGGACGACTCCGCTCGATGTTGGGATCAGAAATCTGCCAGATCCTTATCAACATGACATTTTGCGTAATGAGGGCCTTCAGTCGTTATCATGGAACAATCGCGAGGTATGATGGTAGACCAACCAGTGCAGGCTGGCTGGATTGCTGGGGCAATCGAGGGATTCTTCAGGGCCTGGAACGTGGCTGCAGATGGATGCAGGTCAACTGATGCCCTCGTCGGCCTGGAGCTACGCTCGCACCCGATGACCACTGTGTAGCATACGGTAGTTGAAGCGTGTAGTTGATTGAGCGGTTATATATTCCCCTGACGCCTAGACTTAGGACCGGTCGCGTACGACCTTGACGCTTGGCTGGTGTTGAAGTGGGTGAAAGCGCCATATGTAATTGTCGGCCAAGCCAGCAAGATATATATTTTTAGTAGCCATTCACTGCAAACAGAACCACAACCACCGGAAGGGTCAACAATTATTGTCTACTATAAGGTCACAAACAAATCCGTAGCAGCGAACATTGGCATTGTTTCAGATTATTGTCCTCCCACACCATTCAAGTGCCCTTCGTGTGGTGGCCTAGGGGAGTGGATATGAAATGATTTTGGGACTTGATCCTACACAGCTATCAGTTGATCTCCACTATGAGAGATTATCTATTCTGAAACGAGTCTATCTAGTAGCAACTAGCTTTAGGGAGCTCTCATACTAGTAGTATAGTACCTTATAAGTGGGCTCCCCACAACTTAGCCGCCGCTTTGATTAATAGACTAAACCCAGCCTATTTCAATATCTACCTAGTACCTACTCCATAGGTGTTAGGCTACAGTGAAAAGCGGCTCGAGAAGATTGACCCCAGGCGAGCCCCTCTTTCTCAAAGGTCATCTATGCCGATGTGCACACCATCTCGAAGTTTGAACCCCTTTCCATCCAGACAAATCCGGAACCCCTGTCGCCCCGGATACGTCCATTTTTCAACAAGACATGGAATGAATAGTAGAGATCCACACCTGGAAAGGCTCACTAGACAGGATTGGGTCCGGGAATTATCGTGTATCGAATTGGACCTTTTGTGGAGTGTATGGGATGCCTGCCTTCATCCCTTGATCCCTGTCCTCCCTGGCTTGGCCACGAAAGACCCAGTCCCAATGCCTGACTCCAACCCAGTGACATTCTGCATTCCGCCAACGACTTGACTTTGCAGAAGATACAAAAGAGGTGGCACCTATGGTCGCACTGGTTTAGGTTGATGTGGCGTGGAACCTTGGCAATTCAGATGCGGAGCGGAGGAGAGGATGTTGGTGAAGATAATAGACGCAACAAGCCTGATCAGTAATGGCTCAATCCATCAATCGGGAGGATGTGTCAGGTACACCCCGCATGCATCCTTGGTTCTACCGGGTTAGACTGTAGCGTCTACATGAATCAGATATTGTGATAGACATTGTGAGAAGACTACCTTTCCAATGCCATGCTCACAAAGTGATATCTGTTGGATTAACAGATTGATCGGGCTGGTGGAGGCAATCAATCAGTTTAGTTTTATCTACCCACGCGTCCAGTTCAGGTGAGTGTTGTGAACACATTCCATGCCTCTCAGCCATCGCCTTGAATGAACGGAAGTAGCCGACTTTATGCTAGCACTTATGAATGATCAGATAAGCAGTGCGAGTAATGATGCACGGACCAGGACACACGTGACCGGAATGGGTTTCGTGCCTCGGGGACCTGGCCTTGGGTTGTGGTCTTAGCCACCCACATGCTCCACTATTGGCAATCGTCGTGCCCCGGATGGCATTTGGGCCTTGGTTTGGACCACTGCGGCGACTTCTGACGCTATGCGTGACTTTTAAGAACTGGATCTGGTCTTTTCTACCCTTATTGCCACGCCTAACCAACCGGCCAGCAGCTGAAGACGTCTCGGTATATTACCTCACACCATTTGCCAACATCTTGTCTGACCATTGGGCAATAGGGACATATTCAGCCAACTTCAAGTGAGGGACATTCGGATGAGATCGAATGCGACAAGGTCGAATCCATTACCAGGGACGCGCAAGGCCAATTTATCTCGGGAGGAATAACGGGGATTGTGGAACTCCTTGATGATGGAACTGCGCTCAAGTCACCATTCCCAGATGCTGATGTTGAGGCCCACATCCTCGATATTGCCAAAGAAGCCAGCATCTACCGTCGCATTGGACCACATGGGAGGCTTGTACGACTACTGGGTCATTCTAGGGACGGTCTCGTTCTGGAATATATGGTAAATGGGGATCTAAAGACTTATCTCCAGGCCCATGATTCAATATCGACGAGTCTCAAATTGAAGTGGGCATACCAAGTAGCGGAGGCTGTTGATCTCTTACATAGAAATGGGGTCATTCATTGCGACATAAAGCCGCGCAACCTTCTGTTGGATGCGACCCTCAACATCAAAATTATCGACTTCTCTGGCTCCTCGCTAGACGGGTCGAAACCGGCCTCTGGCGAGGGCACCAGATTTTTCCTTCCACGGCACTGGAAAGATCAACCAACCGTGGCTACTGATCTATTTGCACTAGGCTCGACCCTTTACGAGATCTTCCAAGGTATCAGTCCCTACGAGGAGCTTCCTAGTGACGAGGTGGAAAAGCTTTATAAGCAGAAATCATTCCCTGATATTTCAGATATCGTGTGCGGGAACATCATCGAACAATGCTGGCTCTCTCAAGTTGATTCAGCGGCGCGTGTGCAGTCTGCCATCGGGGAAATCATTTCTTGTACAGTCAACGCCGACTGTATCCCTCGTCTCGATGGTTTGGACATTGGTCAGGATGCGTTGATTGACCAAGTGGTTTCTCCCTAGGGTTGGAACATTCCACACCATTGTTCCTTGCTGTGACACATCTATTCAGGGTTCTCGACGTCGTGTCGCATAATGACGGACAGCCACGGTAGTGCTTTCTGGACACAAGGATCTCGCACATACTGGAGACTTGAAGTGGTTATTCATCTAGAGTGCGCTCCGGTTGAAGGTTCACATACATACTTTGAATTCTCTTGCGTGTCACTACGGGACAATGAGGTGATGGTGGATGCAGAGTCGCATACCCTTCGAAGAAGATTGCTATAAGCAGCAGAATGCGGACATGCCATAAATGGTAGGCAACAGGCGAAAGCGGGGTAAGATGGCCAGACTGACAGGGATAGGCGTCAAAGCGCCAGTCCGGACGGCTTTTGATAGCTAATTAGCTCCATGCTTATCGCCGCCGAATCTACTCAAGTTCCATTCACACTTTTTGAGGTGGTAGTGCACTGAAATTTGATGCGGGGATATCTTCCCCATATTACCCGCCATGAGAGCTATCTACAGTCTCAGCAGTAAGCAATTCATAAATTGGATTCCGTATCTATCCCAACGCCAACCATCTCACAAAGCCCCAGTCATAAGTCATTGTCATTCAAGCAGAAGCACAATGTCCACCATCCACCCTCAGATCCGTGCCCGTCATGAAACCGCTTCCATCAGCAAGCATGTACACCGTTGGCGCCTTGAAATCTTCCGGAACACCAAGACGGCCTAGCAACGCACCACGCATCCAGGTCTCCTCGACCTCGGGCTTCTCCTGAAGCAGCGCATCGGTCATGGCGGTGCGGATGTACTGTCCATGTTAGAAGGCATCCAATGCGTCAACAAAGAGGGATACTTACGCCGGCGGACAGTGTATTCACACGAATATTATATTGACCCCATTCCTGGGCAACGGATCGACACATCTGATGCACGGCAGCTTTGGAGGAGTTGTATGCGGTGCAGGTTAATCCCTATCCATCCGCGTTAGTATACAATCACGTCGGAGAGACGAGGACATACCCGGTTGGCGATCTGGCCCGACATAGAAGCAATCATCACAATACTACCCGGGGTGTTCTGCTCCTTGAAGATGCGGGCGCAGTGCTTCGCAGGAATAAAAGTACCGATCACACTGCATCGTCAGTTTTCAATCTCTCCGGGGAACCCATAACGACTCACTTCACATCCAACATCTTCTTCCACATATCAATCGGGTATTCCAAAGCAGGCACCATCTGCTGGATACCAGCACAGGTCACAGCTCCGCGCAGCGGCATACCTCGACTCCGCGCCTCAGCGGCCACTTGTTCAAGAATTTTCTGTGTCGATGGCTCATCCGTGATGTCGCATTGGATGTATGCTGCATGCAAACCGCGGGCTGTGGCCACTTTCTGTACTGATGCCCATTCATCGGCGCTGGGGCTGGGAAGAAGGTCCAGACAGACGACATCACCTCCGGCTTCGATGACAGCGCCGGCAAGGACGATCCCGAGACCGCGACCACCACCCGTGATCACGACTGTGCGGTTACCCAGGGAGAAGAGGTCATTTGTGCGGCCGACCAGCGCGGGCTGAGTTGATTCTTGGACGGCCGGAGTGGTGTTGTCGAGGGCGACCTCGGGGGTGGTGTTATCGACAGCTACAGAGGGGGCCATGGTGATTGAACGTAGATTAAGCGATTGAAGGATTTGAGGAATATCGTTGACAAGGAGGCCCCGTGGACGGTTCATATAAGAGACGGACAGCTCAAGGAAGCGCTTAACGACAACCCAACTAGGAAGATTCGATCCGACATGCTATGCAGACTCCATCCGAGTAGTGACATGTTTCTAGACTGGATAAAATGCAGCAGCAGGGAGCGCATGAGTGGCCATCATCAAGAAGGCTTAACACTTCCCAGGCGGGAATCCCGATGGTCGGCTCTGAAACCGTGGCGCTGGCGGGTTGCCGGGGTCAAGGCCATGTGGGCCTGGCAGAGGCGCGTAACATTACCCGATCGGGTAATTGTTGAGGCCAACGTACGATGCCCTATCCCGGTCCCCACTGGTTCTCGTTTAGCGCGGAGAGACCCGGCTTGGAGGGTGCCTACTCGCTTGTAGAGGTCTGCGATGAGGGATACTGCTCTGCTTCATACGGGCTGGAGGGTATGACTTGATGGGGTTGGAATTATGATTGGGGATAAGGTGGATATAATGACGGATGTCCTGGGGGACGGCCTAGGGCCTTATGGATGGAACGAAACGACAGAACTCTAAAAAGATTGGGCTTCCCGGACACGCGTGGTTCTCTACGCCAACCCCGACTTTTCCCTTCAACCCCCGCAAACCCCAAGAATGACGTCGGGCCGTCCATCGGCGATTACCAGCCTTATAAAAGTCGATGGAGCCCCTGAATGGTGCGAGCCCTAATTGCATGCCTCTGTATCTGTTGACAGAGCCTGAAGCATGACTATCTTCGTTGGAAAGCCCCTGGCGTGGGCTATTACTACCACTGCAGGAAGTGGGTTTCTGCTGTGAGTGTCTTGCTACAGGCCAGGCGACCAGTATTGACCCTTCAGGTTTGGTTATGACCAGGGTGTCATGTCCGGTCTGTTGACCGGCACGGTCTTTACTCGAACATTTCCGGAGATTGACACTACCTCGACCGGTCATGGCAGTTCATCGTTGTAGGGCACGGTGTAAGTCTGAGATATGATGTGGGTTGTGCCTAGCTGACAGTATAGTACTGCCATCTATGAGATCGGTTGCTTTGTCGGGGCTATCATTGCGCTGTTGGTTGGTGAACGGATCGGTCGTCGAATGTGCATTATAGCTGGCTGTATTGTTCTTGCCATTGGGGCTGCGTTGCAGTGCAGTGCGTACACCATTCCGCATTTGATCGTGGGTCGAATTGTGGCGGGTATTGGGAATGGACTCAACACGAGTACTATCCGTACGTTGCTCCTTGAAAATAGAGGGCTAGGCTGACGGTGGTAGCTGTCTGGCATTCGGAACTGAGCAAGGCAGCTAGTCGTGGAAAAGGAGTGAGTTGTTCAACTCTGAATATGCACGGTGCTAACCAACGTAGCTTGCCATCGAGCTATGTATCAATATTTTCGGTGTGATGCTTGCATACTGGGTTGGTGAGTACGGCATCAATCCTCCATGGACTTGGCTAATGGTTTAGATTACGGCATGAGCTATGTGACGAACGATGCGCAGTTTCGCTTCCCCATTGCTCTGCAGATCCTCTTTGCCATCATCACTCTGATAGGAATTCTTGTGCTTCCTGAGTCTCATCGCTGGGTAAATATCCCTGCTGTGTATTGAGATGATATGCTGATATCCCAGCTCATTGCGCATGGCCGACACGACGAAGCCCGTCACGTCATCTGGGCTGTCCAGCCCAACGCTCGAATGATCTCGGAGGACGATGCCACAGTGGACGCTGATGTGATGGAAATTACTCGTGCTATCGCCGAGGAGCAGCAAGCAACGCAGGAAGGGTTGTTCCGACTGGTGTTTACGAACGGAAACCAGAAGTTTTTCTACCGGACACTGTTGGGAATGGGCGGACAGATGATGCAGCAACTGTCAGGTGTCAACCTCATCACATACGTACGTTGCCCGACCTCATGGATTCATGTTCTGACATGAGCAGTACAACACGGTTATTTTCGAGAGTTCGGTTGGCATGAGCCACAACTTGGCGTTGTTGATGGCCGGTTTCAACGGGGTGGCGTATTTTGTGTCGACGTTCATTCCTATTTGGGCTATTGATCGGTAAGTTAGTCAACACCGTGGAAGTATAGGACTAATGGATCAGATTGGGTCGCCGGAAGTTGATGCTGTTCGCGGCAGCCGGACAATGCGTCTGCATGGCAGTGTTGGCTGGCACGGTCTATGATGGCGGTCATGCGGCTGGTATAGTTGCAACTATCATGTTGTTTCTGTTCAACTTCTTCTTTGCCGTGGGACTGCTGGCCATTCCGTGGTTGCGTAGGTTGCCCTATCCTTGAGAATGCTAGTGCTAATGACGACAGTGCCCGCCGAATATGCTCCGCTGTCTATCCGAACTCAGGCTGCGGCGCTTGCCACTGCTACCAACTGTATGTTAAGCAAATCCATCTGGGGAAGTTGTCTAACGATAGCAGGGATTTTTACCTTCCTGGTGGTGGAAATCACCCCGGTCAGCATCAGCAACATCGGCTATCGCACATATATCTATTTCGCCGGTAACCTCCCCTCCTTCGGATTTTATTGAAGCGTATGATCTGACAATGATAGTGTTTAATTTCTGCTTCCTGCCACTGATCTACCTGTTCTACCCAGAGACACGTAACCTCACCCTGGAACAAGTGGATCGACTATTTACTGGAGACAAGGTGCAGCTGCACTGGCACGCATCGATGGGAGTTGCCGGGGATGCCAGCGAGCGGGTGGACGAGAATATGAAGCGGGTTGTGGAGCATGTTGAATGAATAGTCAAGTCACGTAGACAGAATCCTTGAATGAAATATCTGGGGAAACCCCGACTTCCCCACATCCTCCCCGGCGCTTATCTTTCCCCGATCGGGCAACCTTTCTCCCCAACTTTTTCCCCTCTGCTTTGACCCTCTTCACTTTCCCCGCCTCATCACATCAACATCAACATCAGCCCGGTCTAATCATGACAGAGACATCTCAGTCCTTCGAGTACAGCGACATGCAATTTACTATGGACACTCCCCGCCATCCCCCACGGAAACGGACCCGCACCGGCTGCGTCAATTGTAGCCGGCGCCGTCGGAAATGTGAGCCAGCCCCGCGGAGATAACACCCACAGTCGTTAACTCCACAGGCGACGAGGTCAAGCCCACTTGCACGGGCTGCAAACGGCGCGGGGATAAGTGCCAGTGGCGCATGGTTGGCTCGTTCCGTGAGGCCAACATCACGGTTCTGGAACCGGGCCATCCCTCGATGAACCAGACGGATGTTCGGACGCGGAAACGAAGTAAATTTAAGGTTGTTGATTGTTCTATGGGTTGTGAGGAGTAGCTGATGGGATAGATTTTGAATGTTGTTCCTTCTCAGTCGTCGAGGAGGGTACGGAGAGAGGCTGAGCTGGTAGATGAAGGAGCACCGCTGTCTTCCAGACATGAGCAGGAAGTTCAGGTACCGTCGAATACAGAGAATGTATCGGAGACAACTCCCCAGGCAGCGTTCAGTCCTTGTGCTAATGGTCTCTCGCCTCTTTCCCCCGAGGGCTTCCATCCTGCGGGAGTCGACCTTCAGCAGTCTCATACTGACAATGCACATATTTTTGATGACGCCCCACAGCCTTACATTCACTCCAGTCCAGAGTTTATTGGCGATGAGCTCACAGCTCTGCGCAACCTCGCCGGAAACCCGGTGCACTTTTCCGGACCCGAGGCTTACCAGTCTGTGACCTCGCCGCTGTTCGACCATAGCGTCTTCTCGGATCCGGCGGATCTAACCAATGATGTGTTTGTACCTGGCTCGGCCTACGAAGCTCTTCATACTGCTCTGCGTAACCGACAGCTGTGGACTGCCCGTACGGAGATTCCTAGCCGGGGGAGCACCCCAGCATCAGTCGGATGCGATGGCATAGTGCCGGAGGACTCGCACGTTCCGCTAGACAGACGAGTCCAGTCAAGAACAAGAGAGTTTGAACTGTCACCGGAGCGCGAAAATATACTGTGGCAGAACTATCTCAATGAAATCTGCTCATGGGTATGTAGCTACCCAATGTGGTGAACAACACTAATCATGCAGCTCGACATGTTCGACAACCACCGACACTTCGCTTCCACCTTCCCTCAGATGGCCAAGTCGGCCCCTCACCTGCGCTACTCGATTCTGGCCCTGTCGGCGCGGCAGATGGAACGGCAGCAAAACGCCAAGTCGCAGTCGGAGAGTCTCTCGTTGTACCAGGAGGCCATCCATCTGCTGCTGCCCGAGCTGGAGAGCAAGACCACGCCGGTTATCGCGTCATGCGTGATTTTATGTGTCCTTGAAATGCTCAGCTGTGCGTACCCCACCCACTTCCCCTCACCTCTGACCAAATGTAGGCAACCCCAAAGAATGGCGCCGTCACCTCGATGGCTGCGCCTATCTAATCCAGGCAGCGGAAATCAACGGCTTCTCCGGAAAGGAAGAGCAAGCACTGTTTTGGTGCTTTGCACGAATGGGTTGGTCACCCCGCTTTTCTGGAACCAACTAATGCATGTCATAGATGTCTGCGGTGGCCTCATCTCCGAAGAGGAGACCATTATTCCGATCCACCACTGGATCCCCCGCGACATGAGCCCCACCGAAGCGTCGCAGTTGTTCCTGGCCTCGAATGTGTACACCTTCGATACGTATGCCAACTACACGGTGTTTCTCTGTGCCCAGACACTAGGGGTGCTCTTCGGGAGCCAGATCCCTGCATCCTGCGTGTCATGCCATTACCTGTCTAGCCCAGGGGATGGGAACTCGACCATCCAGCGGTGGCAGCGGCTGTTCGACAATGTGGAGCAGTGGTACGAGAACCGGCCGAGTCAGATGAAGCCTATCTTTAGTGTGTCGGCGACGGGGGGCGGCAGCGAGCGGCCGTTCCCGACGGTTCTGTATGGGAATGGAGCAGCTAGTGTGTCCTGCATATGGTCTTGCCTAGTTATTGGATGCTGACGCCGACGGCAGTTTCAGGCAATCAGCTGTATCATGCGTGCGCGCTGCTTCTGCTGCAACGGAAGCCGAAGACGGTTTCGTTGCAGCGCCGGCCGGTGGGTACCTTGACGCTGCGCGGGATGAGACTGACAGGTTAATCTTAGAAATCGGTCTTATGGCATGCAAGGCAGATATGCGCTATTTCCGCGTCCAACACACACCAGTGAGACCCCTTCCCCTCTTGGTTTGTCAGCAGGGTTAATGGAATAGTGGGTGTTGGACCAATGCGTTGCAGCCGTTATGGCTGGCTGGGAAGGTGATGTCTCATCATTCAGAACATGCCGCCATTATTGAGACGCTGAATCGGATTGAGCGTGAGACAGGATGGGCGACGGCGTGGCGGGTGGGGGATCTGAAGGAGTTCTGGGGGGACGAGGACGAAGCGGACGAGATGGAAGAGAACATGCGGGTGGACATGGAGGCGGACATGAATCTACAGACCCCTCGGAGCATCCGGGGGAGCATCCATTCGAACTCGTGAGCCGGATGGATTTGGGGTGGTATTCTGCCGCACAGAATGTGGCCTGGCCGAGACTGAAACGAGCACTTGTCCGATTGGGATATGATCGAGATCGAGCTCCACTCGACAGGGATCAGGGGGATGATCGACAGTCTAAGATTGCGCTACGGAGGGAGTCGGAGAGCTCTGAGAGGGATACGAGACCTTAATGCCCTAATTTGAGCTCCCGCAACGTCAATAGCACCCAGGTACGGAGTACATTCAAACCAGACAGCTACAGGAATCCACATGCAAACCGGCTTCCAAGTTCCAACCCAAATCTTGGTTCAGCTGGATCAGGTCCGGCTCAGCTGCTCCGCTTCTGTAACGACGCTGATAGGCGCCGTCAGCCGCGGCGGGGAGGGCATCTGCAAGCTGAAGCCGAGATGCCTTCTGGTTCGTGCGCGTCCCGATCCGCCGTGGAGTTGCTCCACCGTTCGTCATGATCTCATTTCCTTTCATTCGAATAAGCTGACTAGATGGATCCAAAATCAACTCTCCGCGGCCACCCGCTTCAGAACAATCTCCAGCCCCTGCGCCCCCACCGGCAGATCCGCCCCATTGTCGTTCCGATCGAAAAACACCCGCCAGATTCCCTCGGCCTGCCTCTCGTCCGGCAGCCGCACTGCCAACCAGCCCTCCCACCCCTCCAGCGTCACTCGCTGCTCATCCTTGGTCCAATCGAACGGACCCACCACCTGTCCCTCACTTTCAGCGCGTCCTCCCCAGCGTAGCTCATGCGTCGTCGCGTCCAGAAACACCCATCGCAGCGTGGGGGGTTGCTCCCCCGTGATGGTCACCAACCCGGCCGTATTCTCCGGCGGAAACTCGGGGTGTGTGAAAAAGCCCCCATTGAAGGGCGCCATGTCTTCCGTCGGGTGTTTCGTGAGATACAGCTGTCAGAATTAGCTTTGGCTACTGCCTCCATCGTATGATGGTAGCATGGTGGCATGCCGCTAAACAGGGATCGAGACTACGCACCCGGCCTTCTTGACCCACATACACCTTTGCGTTTTGGATCTGCTCCCGCTGGGCTGTGGTGCCTTGCGTGAGGGAGCAGCTGGCCACCAGATGACAGCGCTGTTTGCGGGAGGATTGCTGGCGGTTTGTCTCGTGGTCGCGTGTGTGTTGACTGGCTTCATTGAGACCAACCATTGTGGGAAGCATGGCGGCCATCATGACAATTCCGAGAACCATCTTGCTGCCGTGTGTGCCGTACGTGCCGTGTGTACCTGGCTGGTGCGGAGAAAATGCAAGAGAAGGTGCAGATGGCCAGATCTGCGGCATTAAATATTCCGGTGGATTGGATGATTGGTGGCACTAGCTGCAGGAGTCTAGAAGCTGGAAGCTTTAGCTGGTTCAGAATCAGCTTAAGATGTCTGCTTCGTCCGGTTCGGATTCTTCTTCATCCACTTCCACTTCCACTTCAGCATTCTACTCCCATTTCTCTCTTGCGTCTGCTTTCGCCTCTTCCATCCCATTGGAAGGAACTGCCACCACCTCTACTTCTCATAAAGAAAAGGAATTCCAAAACAAGACCATCACAATGGCCGACCCAGTGACTTCCGGGTATGCATCTCCCTCATTCCTCCTTCTCCCTTTCCTTACTCCCCCACTAAGTCCAATCAAAACCACCATCCCTAACATCACCTCAACCCAGCCCTAAACCCCCCTCTCCACCACCACCACCTCCTCCAACATCTCTCCCCCGCCCCCTCCCCCCCTCGAACCTCCTCCCCACCAAAAACTAATTCTCCCCCACCGCAAAGAACCGACTCCCGCCCCACCGGCAACCGCAGATCCGCCCGTCCGGACGAAGACAACGCCGGTTTGGCCAGTGGCCTCGTCCCTAACGCGGGCATGAAGTTCCCGGGTGCTACGCAGGGCCAGGATGAGAAGGAGAGCTTGAAGATTCGCATTCATTTGAATTTGCAGGCCAAGGTGAAGTTGGATTTGGATGCGCAGTTGTATGGTGATATTGTTATTGGGTTGTTGTAAACCGGTTTTTGGGTTGGGGGTATTAGATCTGGGATGAGAGGATGGGCGAGGGTATGATGTTATGTTATGTGAGGTCATGTATGTGATGAATGGAATGAAGGTATTTGGTTATGGATGCTTTTGGTTTCTCAATGGTGATAATGAGGATGAGGATGATGATGCTGGGGTGTAGGTGTCGGTGTAATGTAGGTTCTTTAGCTGGCGTTGCGCCAGATCATCAGGTAGTGCTCGATTGATCCCATACCCTGGAAGCATCTATGACTGATATTGATACACGGGAAGGGATATCTGGGTATCATCATTATCATCATCATCATCCTCAACAAGCTCACTTTACACTATACTTCCCTAAACCTACTCATCGAGGAGAACCAGCTTGCCAAATTAACTACTCACCTCATGAGTTGTTCTGTCCGTAGATATCTCCCTTTGAAAGATGGGATACATCATCAGAATCTACCGGCAATCCCCTCCATGTGTCACTGAATGTCACACAGGATGTCCTCGCTAGCAGGAATGTATCAATAAAGCCACCCACACCATCTCCAAGTTCCACTAATTCCAGCACAATGATGACTCCCCATCTCATAAGTCCGGAACCTACTCATAGATCGGCATACTACTGACGGGATAATACTGAACAGACCCACAATAATCACCTATCAACATACATCAAGTGTAACATGCAAACAATTCGAACCGAAGAATTCCGCTTGGCAATCCATCTTCCGAATTATCAGGCGAAATTGATAGCTAACTCCCGACCAGCGGAAATGGCTTAGACCCAATAGAAGGGAATTCTCCCTATGGACCAAGGCCAGACGACCCGTGAGAAAGGTATAAAGTCCCCTGAAAATCCGTACCTGGTCCAGAATTAGACTCAGAACCAGAATCAGAATCACGATCAGGATCAACAGGATTCTCCACGGAGGCCTCAAGTCCACTGAGGACTGGGCCGAGGATGTAATACACTAAACATACATTCTATATATATTCTTGCAACAGAAAGCCTAATGGCTACCCCTCGCTCATGACCAAGAACAACACCTACTGGAATCGGAGTCCTGCCTCTCACGGGTCCCTTTCGGTCCATTTCCTCTAAGCCAGCAACCTAATCGAAACCATAGAACACTCGGCCGTACCAGGATGCAGCGCTGGTCCTCCGAAGTCCTCCGTGACTTGCAGCTTCTTACCATGAGAAGCTACAGTGTCGGCTTCATCAACTGAGGCTGTTATACAAGTGGTATTCCTATCTCTATCATCTATCCTCACAACGGCCGAATCGGCTGACGATCATACCTCTGTTTCTTGATGCCTTTATATCTCATCGGGCTTCGTTCAATACCGCAAACAACTGCAATCTCAGCTCAACATTCAACCCAGACCGTTGGATCATGGGGTCGGTGTCCAAGCCAAGCAACGTCGCAGTTCAACTGGGAAGAAATGCAAGTCACACTCGAAGTTCTGACCTTACGACGGCCAACGCAGCCTTTCTTAATCCTTGCTCTTGCCCAACTCATTGGGCTTCATGGACTTTGCAGGTCGAGATAATGTCCACTTCGGCTCTCCACCCTGACCGCTGGATTATGGGCACGGTATCTAAGTCAAGCCATGCAGAAGTGTAAATAGGAGGGAATATAAGTCACACTTGACTTCTTCGTGCAGGATGGGATCTAGAGCGACTTGCTATGGTATCAGCCATCTCTTCACGAAACGCACATCCAGACTCGTCGCACATCATATCGCAAACGACATTATGATGACAGTGGTTGGCTTTCTTTGGGGCCGCCGATAGATCCTGTGATTATCGAGTGGGCATCAACGACATCTGTTCCTATCGTCCTCTGCAACTTGAAATCGTCCATGAGAACAGTCAAGATCTAATACCACACTAGTTCTTCTTAACTTTCCAATGCAGCATGGAAAGAAAGTTCTAACACAGCGTACCTGGTGCAACAGTCTAACGATCTGTGAATCACAATCATAGCGCTCATCACGAGGAACAAATGCGGGTCGCCCTCTTCGATGATCATATTGCGAATCTGGCTGGCGGCCTGAGATTGACCATTCATATCTCACGCAACACTACCCGGAGGTATATGAACATGTGACAAGTACTTGCTTCTTCCTGTGAAGCCGAACTCCTATCAGGGAAGCACTACAAGATATGAACAGCTGGCCTCCAGTCTGTACATTCATCTCAGTTGACGCGTGGTTATTGGCTCCGACGGTCAGCACCCTGAGTTTGACTCATTCGAAGGGATGATCTGCGTTTCCTCCAGTGGTATACGTGATGGACACAATGTTGGAGAAACTGTACACCAACGAAACCATCCATGTCGTTCGATGAAATCCACGCAACGACCTCTAGCGATACATGTTGAAACACAGTCTTAGAGAACATCCACCGAACGAACAACTTATTACCCTGATTTGAATCCATCTCATGAATCGCGTGGTTGTTGGCCCCGATGGCCAGCAAAACCTGGAATATTCTCCTTTGAAGGACTCCATGCAATGCTCTCCGGTGGTATTCATTCGAAACACTAAATTGAAAGAAAGGATTGAAAGAAAGATGCTTTTCCTTTCCCAACCCGAGATCCGATCTCCACAACGCAAAACGACACGAGAGAAACAGCTGCTATCTCACCGTTCTTCAAAACCACTCACAAGATGTGTGCATACCAGCCTGGGCTGATCAAACCTGGGCTCCTGATGAACTCAGACAACATCATCACTTCCTGATGTACATTCGCAAGCCTAAACAGTAAGCACAACAGGACACAGAATCGAAGGTGATGGCGTCACTACTCTTGATGACCATCCTGCTAGATCCATGATACAGTATCCTGTGAAACCGCCAGCACAATGAGTGCTTGTTGGACTGAAATGATACAAAGCACAGAGCTCCATTCACTAATTTCTGGTGATATACATTGACTGGGACACTTTTAACGGTTTATACTGACCCATATGTGTTAACTGATATCAGTCGCTCAAGATATGTGCAGCGGCAGATGAGCCCAATGAGACCTAATTCATAACCTGCTATCGAGGCGCTTTCTCTGGACTAGCACTCGCACCACATACCACTCTCGTGAATGGACTTGCATAACACCTTCAGAAGAGAATATGCTCATTCCCAGTTATTCGTCATATTCGGTGACTTACATAGAGGGACCTCTATGTGGTCAAATGGGTGCGGTGTCACTACTTTCCGATTAACTGATTGGGTTTTTCCACAATCTGCCCACCAATCTAACGTCTTCGTCTCTACTCGAGATTGTCGATTGATTTATGTTGAAAACTCATCGCGAGAGAAATGGATTCGCTCGCTCCAGCGACCTTGGAAAGCACTCAAGAAGAGAAGAGAAGTCTATTCAAGTGCCTGATCAGATTGGGTGTTGTGGTTTATCAGTTCCACCCGATGAGAACATCAGACGTGGAGAAGCCCCTTGATAATTGTATTGGAAACCAGCACCAGCCAGACACACAAGCCTGCGAGCGACAGCAAGTTAACAGGTTCACCGGAGGATGACAAGTCCACGGAATCCTACTCTACATATCTATAATGGCCCGTCGTGACACTATAGATCCCTCTCTCCGGATTTGTTATTCCTTCATGGCACATATACAGCCACAGTCCTCCGCAACCATCGAATCTGATTAGAGTCAGTTGCCACAAAACTCTCCAATAGTTCTTGCAAACACCAAGAAAAAAAAAAGAAATGAACGTCTGATCGAAAATCTCGAAACACTAACTGACTCGCAGTAACACCTTGGGTACTCAGGTGGAAACATTCAATTCCACCCGATGAGAACGTGGCATGATACAAAGTCAGCCCAGCCAATGAGTGCCTGGAAACCATCACCAGTCAATCATACACAACAAACCTCGACTAGTCAACCGGAGGATGAAAAAGTACCAGTCATGCCAGTAACCGTCCTTCATTATCAGACTCGCCAGATCCACCTGGTCACGACTGCCATCCAGAACTGGACCGTTCCCTGTCTTGTGCTGAGATCATATCAGAAGATTGCTCACAATACCGACTCATACTATACACCTATATATAGTGAGACGCACCTTGATTGGATATAACTTCTCTCCCTTGTTCCGGATTGGTTATTCCTTTAGTGTGTATACACAGCTCTTCACGATCAGGACTTGGATGGGGGGGACCTCGGTGGGACAAACCCGGAAAACTTATCTCTCTCTAACAGTAACTGGGGGGTATGCGACGCTCTGTCACTAGCTGGAACCGACATACTGTCTACTGTTCTTTCCTCAAATGGACAAAAGGTAGTAACTCAGCCTACACAGAAGGCGGATGCGGAGTCGCCGGTCCAACTAGCATCTGGCTATCTATCCCATGCAGCGGTTTTGATCTCCATCAGACGCTCCAGTTATCTTGGCTTGGAGCGAACTCAATCACCAGAAATAGATTTCTGATCGGGGTCTGTATTCAAGGCAAGATGAGAGAGCTTGGTCGATTTTGTGAGGTCTGAGTCACATATGGCTCTGGCTGCTCCTGATACGGGTATAACAGATGGCTATGATCCTTCGGGATCTCTAGAGGAGTTGAGAGACGGTCTGCTGATAGACTGAGAGGAGAGAGCTGCTAAGATATGGGAAGATAGCAAGCTGGAAAGGATGATACCAGGCTTGGAAACTGGAAGATATAGCGGATGGACGGGGTCCTGCTGTGGATATATTCTTCTAGTGGAGATAGTGTTTCTCTTCTTCTTCAGCTTTGTGGAATTCCTTATGGTGAATGCTCAACCCCCTCTGCTTCGTCAGGATGGGATTGGCTACTCACAGCCATGTTGGGTGGTGGATTCGTTTGTGGTTGTCAGGGCAATCTATTAATCTTACTTGATTGGAATGTGAGAAGATGAGAAGAGGAGGTTATGTAAAGGATGCAGGTGATGGAGATCATGAGAAGATGGAAGATTAATGGTGGATGGGTATGATAACTATAACTGGTAAATTCAGATCTGGCCTAGTTGATCTCCTATATGAAAGGCTTTAGTTGATACTGATGAGATTGTTCTTTAGTAAGATTGGCTTAGTAGCATTGATTAAGCGATAATATCTATTTTTCATTCTTAATATGATTCTAGCATGATTCACAAGCACCCATCCCGGCACGAATATGATAAAGGCTCCCCACCCCAACAAACTTTGATTTTACCTTCCTAAGAAAAGACATAGATGCTTTTACTCCTATGCTAGAGACTGCAGGTTCATTTTTAATGACAAAACAAAGATATATTTTATCTTTTGGAAGCAAGCCCTATCCCTAGGCTTAGTTTAACCTGGTGTAGCATTTGATTATAAAAGAGTGAAGTTGGATTGGAAGTAAAAGAAAAGAGGTGTATTTCAAGAAATAGATAGGGCTAGAGCAGAGTATATAGATATAAACCCAAACGATGGCACGTTCTATACTCCACAGTGGAGTCAGTCCATCGAAACACCGGGTGAGTCATACACAACTCCATCCATGCAAGACATCCATCTACCCTTTACCCTTGGCATCAATGACTCATACCACTCCCAGATTACTATAAAACATAGACATCCCCAACACCATCCATCCCACCCATCCTCTAACCAAAACCAGCTCAACCCAACCCACCTCCTCTCCAATCCACACACACACACACACACAAACCCACACACAACCAACCATCCACACCATGCCCCAAAAACAAACCTACAGCACCACCTCCCCCTACGAAACCCTAATCGGCTACCACCGCGCCATCCGCCACGGGCAACAAATCTTCGTCTCAGGAACCACCGCAATCGACCCTACCTCTCCCCCCGCATGCCCTCAAATCCTCTACCCAGGCGACGCAAAACAACAAACCATCGTCGCTCTCTCAGAATGCATAAAAGCCGTGATTGCGTTGGGAGGGACAGGGGCGGAGAACGTCGTCCGAGTGAGGATGTTCGTAAGCAGACATGAGGATTGTGGGGCTGTGGGGGAGGGGTTTAAATATGTTTTGGGGAAGGATAAGGGTGGGGGCATTGGGGCTGCGGCGACGATGATTGTGGTCCGAGGGGGGTTTGTGAATGAGGGGATGTTGGTTGAGGTGGAGGTTGATGCTGTTGTTGATGCGGTTGGGGATGGTGAGTAGGGGGTGGGGATGGGGGTGGGATTTATGTGAAAGAAGGAAGGGGGAGAGGAGGGGGAGGAATCTTGGTAGGGATTAAGGGACTTGTATGTGTCTGTTAAGGGAAAGGGGGTGGATATAAGGGGGAGGGAGGGGATATGTGGTAGGAATGTCCTATGCGAGTGCGAGAAACGAGAAACGCGTCAGCTGTGTTAAAGGCTACTATTATGGAAAATACACTAATCTATGAAGAAAGCGCTACGAGGGTTCAGACTGACGCGGAAAGGGGCCCGAATGGGAAATGGATAAGACAATCATCATCATCATCATGTCAGCTCAGGAAGTGAAGTGGATGAAGTAGAAAATTTTTCTCGCTGAGTTCAGGTCATTTGTAACAGGGTTACATTGTTGGCAGACCTAAATGGAGGGTCAACTAAGGGCGCACAGGATGCAGTGAGTGCCTTTCAGATCTGGAAGACTTGGTTTCGTGTGAGTTTCTTCGTTCTTCTGGCCAAGTGTTCAGGGCATGAGCCTTGTTGCTGATCCATCATAGATCCAGTAGTGGTCAGTGTTATCCGGGGACTTCAATGGATTCCTCAGATAACAAATGAATATGTATGTATGAAAGCAACATCACCTCACTGCTGTCAGACCCCCATGACATTCATAATGGGGTTGCATAGTCAGCATCCCTGGATGGAAGGTCAGCTAAGAGCACACGATGCAACAAATTCCAGTCAGACTTGGAAAATAGGGTTATTTTCGTGCTACTCTCTTCATTCTCTTAGCCCTGTGCTATCGACCCCTGTTGTCGATCCAATATACATCCAGTAGTAATCAATTTCTTCAGGGAATTGCCCAGTGGATGCCTCAGTTAACAGGTAGTGAATTCACGGACATCTCCCTCATCACGGGGCCCGGCCATTCGGAACAGGGTCACGAACTTGGCAGATTTAGACAATGGGTCAGCTAGGAGCACACTCTGAATGCCTTTTAAAATTGGAAGGCCTGTTCTTGAGACTTTCTTCGCTCTCTTTGCCCTATGTTCAGAGGACGAGCCCGGTTGCGGATCCAATATAGACCCAGTGGCTTTCGGCGTCGTCCGGGAATTCTTTCCATGGAGCTTGCTATCTGTTGGCACATTACCTCACCACGATGTTCTAAGGTAGTGGATAGGGCGTCGTTATTGGTCCTGCTGAAAGAGAGAGTTCGGTTTGAGCGGGCCTTAGTATTCTATAAGGAACGCTCGGGGATGGAGGTAAAGTAAACTGGGGTAGACAGGTACACCAGCGTATACAGTGGTGTAGAGTAAGGAGATGATTCTGTCCAGCCCGTTGTGGGAACCCGTTACGTGGGAATCCGTTGCTTTGAATCTCATCGACTTTCTTCTGGGCTAGACATTTGTTCCATGTTGAGGACCCAGATTTAGGGTTCTCTCTCTGAGGAGATTCCTATCGCCGTGTGGGAAGTTGTTGTTCTCTCCGTTGTCGGGGAAGGCAGAATGGATATTGTCCTGGGTTGACGATATTCATGAAGGGTTTTTCTTGGCAGCTGGCGAGACGATGCATTGTAAAAGCCGTAAGGTCGAGCTCACTGTAGCATGGAAATCTGTTGCATTCTGTTGTCTTGGGTAGTTTGTCTAATCCGCTGGTGGGCTCGAATATTGTCTCATGTTTGAGATATGATTGTTCATTAATGGGCTCGCTTCATAGCTGTGGATGATGCATTTCATAAAAGCTAACTCAGTGCAGATGGGTAAGACGGTCACGGGGGAGAATGTTTGTCACTTGTCTGAATTATTCACCGTGAAGTATATCCTCATTTCTGCGAGCTGCGTAAGTAGTGATAAAGAACTAAGTCCATCCCCGAATTACTCGAGGACGCTATGATTTGGTCCGCTTTCTTCGTCGGAGTCGTGTAGCTACTAGACAGTAGCACGCATTTCGTTCTCCGATGGTGCCTTCTTCACCAACACCATGGCTTGAATTCAGCGTGGCATTCTGCCCAGGCTCACTTGGTAACACACCTTGCATCTATATCCCAGCCCAAAGCGGAGCACAATCTTCTTAGGCTTGACTCCCGCCCAAGACACAGTAACTCTTCCACCCTGTGTATATGCTGTATGTTGTGTAGATGCGTCGCATTCTTCTCTCACTGCAAGTCCCAGCTCCACGTCCAGGTGGATTCTCCCTTCCCTAGTCCAATAATGACATTTCAGCCTTCTAATGGACAGATGGCGTGATGACTGCTCGTCATTCATCTGGCTTGTAGTTCTGGCACTGGCCACAGCACGACCGATGCACCACTTCGTCGTAGATGGAGAACCAAGCGCAATAAATATTAGGTTTATGCATTGACAGACATCACTCCTTAAACCACCAGCGTCACCCTGAGAAAACAATAAGATAGAACCCTGACATGGTCTTCTTCGTAAGGGCCCACACATGGGTTCCCCAAAGAACATTCTCCTTCATAGCTCTCCATCTCGTACTCCTCTTCAGAGTCCGAGCCGGAACCAGAACTGGATTGGGTCCAAATGCAGACCCACTAACTGGAGTGTGAAGATCGTTCCAATCAATGATTTCTTTCATAGTCATGCGCCGAGGACTCTTCTAGTCCTCCAAGCCTATGGTTACAAAACCCATCAATGTTAGCATCAGCATGGGTAGTTGAGGGTTGAGAATCTCCGTGGGTCAGGAGATTGAGCTGTCGTATAGGCCGGTATCATTGTAGATGAGTGAATGAATAGGGTGGATGTACCGGCCGAGTCGTGTTGAGTGGTCTATGACTCTGGGTGGAGGAAGACAAGATTGTGTTGATACTCAGTGATGCTGGTCACCAATGAGTGGGCTCGTGGCTTTATATATTTTGTTCCATCTTCAGCGAGATTGACTTGAGATTGACTTGAGATTCACTGGCTTGGATATCTGACTCTACGGAGGTAAACACATGGGTATTTATGCTAGCTGTCGGACCGGGATTAGAAGGGAGGATTTGATTCTATATCACTATGAGGTGTACTGTTAGGTAGATACCGTGGGTACTGCCTATTGATTTGGGATTGGTTCCGTGGTAGTATCGGCAGTTGTCTGTAGTCTTTGGTTGATACTGTGAGGGGACGTCGACATGTGGAGGAGCGGACCGCGATTAAGAAGAGATCATCCGATTCTACATCGCGATGGGGCATCTTTCCATGTCCTGTTTGGTAGATGTCGTGGATTATTCCTGTTGATTCTAGAATGGTTCCGTGGTGATACTACCTATTGGGAATTATCTCTGTTTTGGGTTGATGCTTACGGGGAGATCAATGTAGATGGAGAACCCGGAGAAGATAGAAGAAAAGAAAGCAATAAGAGACAACTAAAGAAAATTGAAAGAGAAACGCCCTTGGAAACTTCCAACATGTGGTAAAATACAGATAACCAAAAAACCCATCTCAATTCACAGGCTTAGCCTATCACCCACCAACCCAACCCAACATCGACCCCAACCCTAACCCCAACCCCAACCGCAACCAAACACCAACCACCCTCAAACCCTGAAACCCTCGCCCTCTCCTTCATCTCCATTTCCTGTACCCTCCTCCCAATCGCCCCCCTCATCACCCCCTCCGGCACCTCCCTCCCCGTCCACAACCGATACTGCTCAAACGCCTGCCTCAACAACACCTCCAACCCATCCTGCACGACCCAGCCCTTTCTCACCGCGACCTTCATCAACGGCGTCACCTTAGGCCGATACGCCATTTCCACACACAGACCTTTTCTCGCCCCGAATACTCCCTCAAAGTCTTCTTCTGTCTTCACATCGCCGGGAATCGTCCCGATCACCACGTCCACATTCATATTCACACCCATAGCCCTGAGTTCCTGGACGGTTGTAATGGCTCTCATTTCCACCCTTCTCCCTTCAACTAACCAGGAAAAGTCTTTAAGAATTTTGTCGGCTTTTTCAATGGTGCGGTTCCAAATAACCACCGTGGAAAACCCAGCCTGGATGAGGGCGTACACGGCGGCGCGGGCTGCACCGCCAGCACCAATGACGAGGCCTGTTTTCTTTCCTTCCCCTTGATTTCCATCTTGAGATATGGCCTGGTACTCATTGATGAGGGAATATAATCCCATACAATCCGTATTCTCACCCCTAATCCTAATCCTAGCCCCCTCCCCGGAAGAAACCAAAAGAATAAGGGTATTAACAGCCCCCACCACCCCCGCAGCCTCACTGACCTCCGTACACCACTGAAACGCAGTGAGTTTATGAGGCATGGTCACACTAGCCCCCCCGAACGAGGGGGAAGTGATGATATGCGCCACGGAGGATAAAGAGGGACATTCGGTTATGGTGTAGGTGTGCGGGAGGTTGTGGTGGTGGAAAGCGGCGGTGTGGATTGTGGGGGAGAGGGAGGTGTGGATTTTTGTGCCGAAGATGTGGAAGTGTAGTGGTTTGGGTTCGGTGTTTGAGGACATTTTCGTGGTTGTGTGGGGGGGCAATGATGAGATTAGATGAGATGGATGGAGGGAGGGAGGGATTTGGTGGAGATTGATATACGCGATGGAGTAGAGGTGGATTGGGGTCGGGGTTGGTGGAGGTCGGGTATGGATATAGCCTAGGGTAAGAGGTTTCTCTGAGGAGGGTTTGAGGGGTTTTAGGTTACTGGTTGGGGTTATCAGGTTGTACTTAGCCATGAGTTAGGGTTGTCTGTGGGTTGACGGTTTGGTAGTAGCGTGTGGCATATGGGGGATATTGAGTAGGAAGCTTAGAGGGTACATGGATGAAGCTCAATGTGTAATGTTCATTTGGATAATCTAGATCATGCATATGTTGGATAACCCTATTGAGACACCATTTAGAAATTACTAAACTTCTATGAAGACGGTCATGTCCCAGAGACCTGAACCACTTGATAACCGACTGCTGTATACAACCAGACACCCAAGCAAACTACATCTCCAACTCCCCCCCCTCAACCCACTCCTTAGCCTGCCAATACAACAAATCATGCTTTTTCCCATTCACACTCCCCCCCTCACGTCGATGTCCCGGTAAATCCAACAACACCTTGACCCCCATCGTCTCCTCCTGCAAATACGCCAGATGGCGATACCCCGGAGGATAATTCTGCAACCGTTGATGATCCAACACCGGCACCCGATCTGGCGTCACCGCAATCAACTTATCCTTCTCATACCAATGACGTACAAAATACGCCCTCCACTGCCCCTCCAGCTCCGGATACTCCGGACCAGCCATCTTCTGCCAGAAAAAGATAAACCGGCAATCACTTTCGGCGTCTGCTTCGCAGACTCCCCCAGACACACAGGGTAGGTTGTTGAATCGCTGCGTAATAGTGGCTTTCATTTTAGTAACTGCTCGGGTACCCTCGGGGTTGATGTCCGTCGTGCTGCCGTGGATGCGGTGCATGATGAATGCCCCCTTGTCCATGCCGGCCTGCGAGGCTTCGATGAATGAGCGGTGGTGTGTTAGTCCCGTCCAGGTGGTATAGATGTGGGCTTCTGGGTGGAAGATGGAGCGCAGGTTCTCCCATTCGCAGGCGTCGCGGTAGCAGGGCCATCCTTCGGCGAGTTCGCGGAGCAGGTAGCGCTCCAAGGCGAGGTCGCAAGGGCCGTTGTTGCGGATGGCGTGTTCGGGACGGGAGCCGGTGGGGAGGGAGTGGAGGTCTGGCATGATGGGATGATAGAGATGAATGGTTGATTGATTGTTCAGCTCATGCGGGGTATATTTATAGCATGAATCGAGCGGGGAAGATCCGGGTTCGGCTAAAGGGATGCCCGTCGGTTGTGGTCATTGCCGGGACGAATTTAAAGGCTGGAATGACAACTCAATCTCGTCCATGAAGCAGCTCACAACATGTCGGTCCAGAATCAAGATCAACGGAGATTCGCCTACCTCGTTGGGGTGGGCGTCACCCATTCCATCGCTCCCCCGATGCACAACTATTCCTTCAAGTCCCTGGGCTATGACTGGGAGTTCATTTCCCAAGAATGTCCCACTGTCGAAGATGCAATGGCTCTCTTCCATCAGCCCACCTTTGCTGGTGGTGTAGTGACCATGCCCTACAAACGCACCATCATGGATCATCTCGACGGCCTGGATGAATATGCTACACGGTTGCAGGCATGCAACAACGTCTATCGAGCCGCGGATGGGTCACTAAGAGGAACCAACACCGACTGGAGGGGAATCCAAGGCTGTCTGCTCGGGGCCAGGGAAGAAGGAAGAAACCGACCGGCGGTGATTGTTGGGGCTGGGGGTGCCTGTCGCGCGGCCGTGTTCACGCTGCATGTCCAGCTGGGATGCAATCCCATTTATATCATCAATCGGGATCGAAGTGAGGTGACTGCTCTGCTGGAAGACACCAAGAAGGAATACGACACTCTCGAAATGATCCACGTGGAGCGTGCGGAGCAAGTGGCTGACTTGCCTTTTTACATTGTCGGAACCGTGCCCGATGCTGAGCCCAGCACTGCAGAAGAAAAGGAGGTACATCGGATAGTCGATGCCATTCTATCCAGCCCGAAGAAAGGTGTTTTCCTGGACATGTGCTTCAAGCCGAGAAAAACCCGATTCCTCAAGGCAGCTCAAAAGCACGGTTGGGCCACGGTGGAGGGAACCGAGGTGATTGGTCATCAGATGCTGGAGCAGTATCGACTCTGGTGCGGGGATGATGCCAGTCAGCGAGTCCCTGTGGCAGGGGCCTGGTCGGTGCTGCGCCAGGCTGCAGAGGAGAGTTCGGCGATCAACTTCTGAGGGGCGGATGAGGGCTTTGCCGATGACCTCACAGTGGGCCCTGACGTAGACGTACCCTTATCTATAAGAATCCAGTTGTTTGCTGCCTCCATATTTCAGACTTCAGACACAATTCTACTCCCACTCGCCATGCCATGCCATGCCAACCAGCCATCGCCTCCATGTCCGTCAGTCGGGCCTGGGTTCATTCCCTCCCCGAGAAGTTATCCCAGATCGCCCAGGCCGGGTTCAAGGGGGTGGAAATCTTCCACGAGGATCTCGAGTACCTGGCCAAAGGAAAAGGCGAACCCAATGAAGACACTCTCCTCGCCGCCGCCCGAGAAACCAGGGCTATTTGCGACCAGCACGGCCTGCAAGTCATCGGGTTACAGCCCTTCATGTTCTACGAGGGCCTGCTCGATCGACAATTCCACCAACAGAAAATCGCCAAACTCCATACCTGGTTCAAGATTACCAAGATCCTAGGAACCGATATTATTCAGATCCCGTCCAATTTTCAACCAGATGGCATCTCGGGGGACCTGGATCTGATCGTGTCCGACATGAAGGAGGTGGCCGACCTGGGCTTGCAACAAACCCCGGTGGTTCGATTTGCATACGAGAGTCTGGCCTGGGGAACATACGTCTCGACATGGGATGCCATGTGGGAGATTATTCAGCGCGTCGACCGGCCGAATTTTGGCTGTTGTTTGGATACCTTCAACATCGCCGGGCGGGTGTGGGCCGATCCCACCAGTCTTGATGGAAAGGTCCCTGATGCAGACACCGTTCTGGCCGAGTCGCTGGCCCGTTTAAAGAAGACGATCGACGTGAAGAAGGTGTTTTATGTTCAGGTCGTCGATGCCGAAAAGATGCAGCAGCCGTTGGTCCCCGGCCATCCGTTCCACGTCGAAGGTCAGCCAGCCCGCATGAACTGGAGCCGGAATGCACGATTGTTCCTCTATGAAGAGGATAGAGGCGGATACCTCCCGGTGGTGGAAGTTGCGCGAGTCATCTTGAAAGACCTGGGATTCGAAGGATGGGTGTCGATGGAATTGTTCTCTAGAACGATGTCGGACCCCGATCCGAGCGTTCCTCAGACGCATGCTCATCGGGGAATACAAGCTTGGAAGCAGCTGGCCTATGAGTTGAACCTTTAGTTGTGGCTGTTTATAGATTATCACTAGTGTCTGGGATGTGTTGCAGCTGTTCAAGAAAATCGGCATCCAGATTCCCAGCATAAAATCCCAGGTTCTCAGCGAACGTGGGCTCGCCCCTTCATATGTTAGCTGTGATAATGACCAATACGAATGACATACCGTGTTTGCGGGCTCGAAGAGACCATTTCCTCAAACAGGGCATCAAAATCTTCTGTCTGATCAAGTTGGCCAGGCATAGGAATCACGGGTGTGATGGATAATTCGGGGGTTGCCATCTGGTGGTCCGGATTCCCCAAATTGAGATGGTACTCGTTATAGACAGTCATAGGGCCAGACAGTCTCCGACCCGGAAGCCATGTAAAAAGGGCCTCCGGGGCGTTGGTCTCGCTATTAGTTAGCTTCAGCTGGTGTATAAGGTGGACTAATCGGCCATGCAATGGTCCCGTTGGACTTGACATGGGAACAATACGCAGACACCGATAGGCCTGGAAGATGAAGCAGCGTAGCAGGGGAGACGACTTGGCCGTCCCAGTAAGTCGAACATAGGTATCCAGCATATCAACCGTGGTATGGAGACTGTGCAGGGCTAGTTGTCCGACTGTTGAATCCGCTTTGTGCAGAGCAAGGCAAAACACCACAAAGTCGGCGGTGAGATGCAAAGTCAGAAGGGAAGGGCTAGCAGAGTCCCCTCCATATGGCCGCCTTTCCCTTACCAGTGCCCGCAAGCGTTGTAGATCGACTAGATCCTAGATGGAAGATGTCCCAGAAGGATATGTCAGGATTCGAGCGAGCAACTTCATCAACTCGTTGATGAGATTAAAGGTGCTCAGGGACCGCAATGGACCCTTGGCGGCCACTTTTTCTCCAGTCCACAGTTCCCATTCGTCCACATCGTCCTCACTCACAGGTTCACAGTGGCTCACATCGTCCAGAGAAATACCGGGAGCTTTGTCTAGAATGCCGGATATAAGATTGTCGAGGAGAATACATCCGTGCAGTGTATGCTGATACCGGACCGTCCGGGAAGACTCGGGCAGCATCATCAGCATCCTGGTGACCTCTCCAGCAAGCAGCCACGCCAAGCGAAGGTCCCCCCAGCCCAGGTGGAGGAGAGTGATAATCAACAGGGATTGGAGGTGGCCTATTTCTGCCTCGTCAGGGGCCATAAGGACTTGAAGTCGAATGGCATGGGCGATCTGCATCGGACCGTGGCTTTTTTCCAGTGTATCATCCATGGCAGACGAGTAGGCGACAATGGCCCACAGGACCAGACGGCAAGACACATCTCTAGCCGATTTAGATGCCTGTGGAGGGGTATGCAGGCTGCGAAGAACCTCTCGCCGCTCCACAATGGGAAACCAGCTGTGGATATGGGTAAAATAAAACTGCAACAACCGATCGCTGTTTTCTGGGAAAGGACAATCCAGGCAGTCACTCGGGGATGCTGATTCCTTGGGAGGTTGAGTGGCTTGCCTCTCGCCTCCGTTTTCATCAACAGCGCACATCACTTCAGATTCAGGGTCATCATCGCTTGGTGATTGACCTTTGTCTGTCTCGCCATTGAGAAGCCGGCCCACATCTCTGGCGAGCTTGGAATGCCGCCCTCGATCTGCCAATTCACTGGCCACCTCCAGCGTGTGTTGTCGCGTGTCACGCAAGATACGGCGCAGACTGCCTTCGTTGCCGGGGAACCTATCGAGCACAAGCCCTAGTGCCACTTCCAGGCTGCGAACGTATCCTGACTGCAATCCTCGGTGACGACTGGCAATCTGATAGGTACAAGCCCTGCCTGTAGATCGACAAATGGAACACACCGGCTGCTCCCCGTCGCATCTGGACTTGCGGTGTCGACACTGATCGCAGGCACGACCAATGCGCTGCCGTTTCGAAGGTCGGGGACTGGGCATGGTATATGCCCGATCAATGTCCATTCGCAAGCTGAGCATTATCCCACTGCAGAGGTGGCACGATTGAGTTCAGCCTGGTCACGTGATCTGGTATGACCTTAGGTGAACCCTCGGATTTCATCAAGGAAGCTGGACAACTTCCTGCAGCAATCAAAGAGCCTACAATTGGCGAGACTCATGTCTGATCCACGTTCCCCATCGAGGCATTCCCCCATCTTCGAGGATTCACGCCGGTATAGTGCAGATGCCACGGTGCTGCTTGTAGGCTTTGTTGGCGCGGGGAAGAAGATTCTAGGAATCATCGCGTCGGTTGCATTGCGGCGCCGGTTCATCGACTTTGATGCTGCGTTCCGTCAGGAAGTGCAGTTGTCTCCGCAGGAATACATCGCGCGACATGGGTCGGCGCGATACCGTGAGTCGGAGCTCGAGGTGACTCGATCTCTGCTCGAAAGAAACTCCACCGGATGTGTCATTGTCGGATTGGGCTGGTCGGGCAATCACCAGCAGCAGCAGCTTTTGAAGGACTTTGCGCGAAACCATCCTGTCGTCTATATCAGAAGAGGCCCAGCAGATCTGCGGCAGTTTATCGCCACCAGCCTGGACACATTCAGTCGGATTTATGCAGCAGGCAACCAATTCTTCCAATCATGCTCCAATTTTGACTTTTTCAACCGCAGGCAGGAGTCGACCGACTCGGTTGGTCGCCCACTGCCGGCATATATGAAGCTCAAAGAGACCGAACGGGTGTTTTTAGGGTTTCTTGGTCGCATTCTCGGGCGTGCTTGTCGTGTGCTCTATTCCTCTGAGCCATTCTCTCCCTCTCATACGTATGCCTTGCAGGCTCCGTTGAGCTGGTTGGAGACAGAGCCTGATCTCGAAGTGTTGGAAAGTGGAGTGGATGCAATCAACCTTATCATCGATTCCGCTGCAGTCACTGCAGAGCATGCATTCACTGACAAGCTTGTCAAGCACATGGCGACCGTCCGAAAACATACGAGAGTTCCGGTGTTTGTTGAGACCCGTTCTCCAATGCAGCCAGAGCTTTTAGAAAGCCTTTTGCGGCTTGCACCAGATGTTCTGGCATGTCCACTTGATAGTGGCCCATTCCGGGAGTTGAATAGCATCAAGGGTCACACCAAGATCATCGCCACCTATCAGCAGTCGACACCATTGAGCGGCAGTCAGTGTGCTGAATTGGCTTCGCTCCTCGAAAGAGCACGTTCAAGTGGGTTTGATGCATTGCGCGTTACTGCTGAAGCAAACGTGCCTGCTGATAGTCTTTCTTGTATCGCTCTACAACAACACATGAGCGAATCAAACTTTCCAGTCATCATCTACCATACAGGACTACAAGGTCGAAGCTCCATCTGTCTCAATCCGACTCTATCTCCTGTAGTCCCTCCATCCATGCAGGATACAGGTCTCACCCTTGAATCAGTCCAACGAGCACTCGTCTCGTGCTACCTCCTCCCCAAGAGAAAATTCACAGTTTTTGGCCAGAACGTAGCAAACAGTTTGTCCCCAGCAATGCACAACGCCGCGTACACTGCCTGCGGCCTACCACACGTATACAACATCGTCTGCAGTGATGACTTTTCGGATATCCACCGTCTGCTTCACAGCGCAGACCATGGTGGCGTGGCCATTACACTTCCTTATAAATCCGACGTGCTTCCTTTTCTAGACGAAATTAGTCCCGATGTCAAGGACATCCAAGCCGTCAACACCGTCACCATCGAACAAGCCCGTCCAGATGGGGCTATCACTCTCAAAGGTCATAATACCGACTACATCGGCATCCGAGACTGCATCCACAAACATCTCTCCCCTGCAAATGCTATTCGTCCGGGCATAACCGCCTTGATTATCGGTGCAGGTGGTATGGCCCGCGCTGCCATATACGCATGCTACCAACTAGGTGTTCGACAAATCTGCATTTACAACCGCACAATCGCAAACGCACAAACCCTCGCGGATTACTACTCCCACTGGGCCGACTCTAATACAGGCACGCGTCTTCACATTCAGGTCCTACGTTCTTCTGACCCCTGGCCAGAACACCTCCGCCAACCTACAATCATCGCAGCATGTCTACCAGCCTTCGACATGAGCCAATCCCCTGTGTCACTACATATACCCGACGCATGGCTTCAAAGCCCTACCGGGGGAGTCTTAATCGATGTATGTATCCTTTCTTTGCCGAACCCGGTCTTCTATCACAACATAGAGGTTGTCATTAACAAAACAGGTGGCCTACGGACACCCCCAAACCCCCATTCGAAAGAAAATTAACACAAGATCCTCCAAATGGGTCATCGTCGACGGCCTAGTCCTTCTCCTCGAGCAGGGTATCATTCAGTACGAACTGTTCACGAAACGACCTGCCCCGGTGCATGTCATGAGACGGGCTCTTGAGCAAGCAATCAACACCCACCCTGATCCCTGTCTTTCTACTCAGCAGCACCATCAATAACCGCATCGATAATATGTCTTTACCAATACTCTCTAATTTATAAACCTCTCTTTTACTATAATGCTTATTATAACAGTAATAGCCCCTTTTCTTTAGGAGAAAAAACTGATTTTAAAACATTCCTCTGTGCTGCCCTTCAAACCATCCTGTCATCTGGTAATCAAATGGCATCATCCATCTCCATCGCACCTTCAACAGCAGTCACCACGGCCTTCGTATGTTTTGCATGATGGAAAGAAGAGTGTAGATGACTAGCAGGCCCCCAAGGAAGAGCTGAACTCTACCACATGTTCCTGGTGAAGTCAATCCACAATAATCAACCCTCATCCAACCATAACAACAACCAGAAGACATCCCTCTAAATTATATCCTTTCTCCCTCCACCACAACAAACAAATCAATCGGGTATCCAAACTAACAACAATCCAAACCCGCCCTTACAAACAACACCCTAACCAGCCATACCAAAAACCCCAACAATAACCCTCCTAACCCCCCTAATACCCCAACCTACTCCCCCAAACCACCTCCCAAACCCTCACAAACACCTGCAACCACCCCACAACCACAAACCCCACAAACATAACCAACTCCCGAATCACCACTATCATCAACCCCTGCCCCTCCTGCCCCTCCCCCTCCCCAGCCACACTCCCCAATCTACCCAACCCCCGAACCACCCATCTCCCCAAACCCACCACCAACCCACCAAGCACCTTCGATAAACCCGAAAGCTCGCTCATCCCCAACATCCAATAGATAACCACCTCCGTAAGACAACGCATCAGTATCTCTCTGAGAATACCTACCATTAACTGGAAGGTATTGATCACGGTAGATATGAGAAGTATTTGGTAGTTAGTGGGTATTAGATTGAACACCCATTGTAGTATGTCAATAATGGTGTTTGTGAGAGATGTGAGAAATGTACAAAGCCATTCTAGACATTTAAGAAGGTCGAGGGTAATTTCGGTGCAGAGTTCGGCGAGGATGAGTAATTCATTGAGGGCTAAGGGCATTTTTGTGTAGATGGAGAGGGAGGGTTGATTTGGGGGTTGTGGTTTAGGAGGATGATGGATAAAGATAGAGATTTCTTAGGGTTGATGTCGGATGAAGCAGGTAATACATAAAGGAAATAAGCAAAGCTTTTTCAACCCCCGAGTGGCATGCAAGATTTTTATATGAGTAGGGTTAGGAAATGGCGTATAGAGGGATGATGGGAACTTTCCGATGTCGAACAAAATGTGCTCTGTAGTGGAGATAGCCTGTTTCTTGCAGAGAGACTACGAGTATTACCTGTGAGAAAATGTGACGAGGCTCATAAATATCCGTAATATGCTTCGAAGTGCAACAAAGGGCGTAGAAGCTGTGGGAGGACTTCAGGCTATACATGGCAGTTATCCGATCTTAACAAGGAGGAGTCTCACAAAGGAAGAGGGATGGCTATATTAGCATGTATACTAGCCGGGAAAAATAGCATAAGATTTGGCAAGAGCCTGTTACGACCTTTGAGACGCGAGAGTAGCTACGCAAGTTGTTGGAATACGTTGAGGTGGAAAATAGTCTCTTACTCAGGGTATCTCCGAGATATAGAAGGAAGCGAACTCCACTCATCAGATCTATTGACCATACATCTCAGAAGGAATTCAATGCCATAGGCCATCTACTCTGGTCTCGGAAGCATACCATACACAGTCCGACGTAGTCAGATCGTGGCTAAAGTGGAGTCACAGCCACCCAAGTGGACCATTTTAACCAATGACTGCCTACTGCAATCCTTGATGCATCGAACCTCAGCATATGGACAGAAAACCAGTCACACTTAACCCAAATCATTAACCCAAATCAAATGGCAACTCAATCTACAATTTAATGCCACACTCGGAACTCGGAAAGTATGGACGGGTTTAGGATCCACCAGGGATCCCGCTCCACCCCATCCGATAAATCATCAATCTTATCACGATGAACGCCCGGAAATCCTCCCGAGTCCCGAGACTAGTGCATCCCTCGATGACTCACTTTTCCATAGATAAACCTCCAACGGGGATACTCTCTAACTTGATAGATTTTTGCATAGAGTTCTTTATTTCATTCTAGAAAATATAACCATCTATACATCCACATTCCACCTCCATCAAAGTGAAACCAGAACAATGGCAACCCTAACCCCCATAAACCTCCACCATCCCCCGGAATACACCCTCCTCCAGCACCACCGCACCATCTGCGGCTGGCACTCCACCGACGATGTCCTCCTCTCGTGGCGCGAAAAGCAAGACGCCGGCTTAAAGTCCTTCTTCTGGATCACCATCCCCAACCCCGAGCCTAATGAATCCTCTACCCCCATCCACGCAGGTCACATCTCCCTAGACTCCTACGCCGATCCACCAGACCCTGATCTCGCCCGTGCCGATCGATCCATTCTCACTATTCAGACATTCTTCATTCTGCCTGAGTATCGGGCTGGTGGACTGGGACGGGAAGCGATGACGCTGGTGGAGGCGTTGGCTACGAAAGAGCCGTATGGGAGTCCGAGGTGCGAGTATCTTACCGTGAATACCACGAGTAAGGGGTATTATGTTGATGGGGCGGGGGAGAAGAGGAGGCAGATGTTGAGGGTGAAGCAGGAGGAGGAAGGGGGGTTTCCGGTGGTTTTGTGGTATGAGAGGTTAGGGTATGTTTGGTGGAAGACGGAAGAGAGGTATAAATATGTGGATGGGGAGAAAGGGGAGGAGGTTTGGATTGAGGCGGATTTTTTGAGGAAGAGAGTTGGGTAGGAGTTCTCGGAGAAGGAGTGGGTGGGGTGAGGATAGGGGTATAGTCGGGGTGGAGGTTAATGTTGGTCGTGTACGGAGTATCTCGGTCTGAATAGAGGCCGATTGTGTCAGTCTCGATGGCTTGACTTATCGGGTTAATAGGGGTGTATCGGCAGTTGGATGTGTCCAATGGGGGTGGTGACAGTATGACAGTCGGATAGACGACTGTCACAGGGGCTAGATCGGGCCCAATGCTTCCATATTGTCCTAGAATAAGACTTAGAGCACATGTCATGTTAGGCCAGCCAATAGTTGATGATCACAGAGTGGCTATCAACGCCGACATATTAAAGATGACAGAGGCGTTCAATTATTGGAGTGCGGAACTGACACATGGAGATGCTCGGTCATATGGCGAGTACTACTCACCACACAGGCATGGGTCGATCATTTGTGCCGGAGAAACCAGAGAAGATCACATCGCAGATGTTCGGTCATGTCTCAGTGTCATGACAGCTGATCCTTGCACCGGCCAACCGTAGGAGAATATAAATCGAACATGGGTTCTCGTCTGCCAGGATGCTTGTACCACCATCGTCATCAGCAATCAACATCACCCTATAAAGATTGATCACAATGAAGCTTACCGCCGTTTTCTGTCTCTTTGCTGCTACCTTGGCTGTTGCTGATCCCAATCCTGGTAAGTGCTTGGTTAAATCTAAAATTAGGTGTGCCAGTGGTATCAATACTAATTATCTCAACAAAGATCAGGATATCGATCATGGGGGCGTCGTCGACGGTCTTGTTGGTGGTGCTGCGCAGCGTATGTGTCTGTGGGGTTAGGGAGATTATTGAAACATGCTGACAAGATTTCAACGAAGTGCTTGGCTCCGTTGTTCCTGAGCAAATTAGACCTGGACACGCTCGTCGCAATGTCAATTTGAATCCCGGTATGTTCCCATTTAACATGGAGACGTAGGTAACATCACCGGATACTGACAGTATGGACTAGAGCCTCGAATTGGGGTTACTGTGGAACCCAAAGGTGGCCCTTCTCGTCGCAATGCCGATTCTAGTATGTGCTCCCGGATCTGAAGACGTCTGTGATGAAGATACTGACCATCCTCAAGACTCCCCGATGGACTTGGGAGATCCTCCCCCTAACAAGTTCGCCAGTATGTAACCACTGAAGCCGGAGCATACTCCAAAGACACTGACAAAATTGCAACCAAGCCGCAAGGGCTCCCAGTGCTGTAGAGTATCCGTCTGGTGGCAATGCTAGTACGTGTCCTCAGACTTGGTGTGGTAATGAAATACTGACAACGCAATAGAGCCTCAGTTGCACAAGTCTGGTAGGTAGCCGACGATCTCTGTAGTCAGGGTGATGCAATTCTAATGAGATGCCATGAAGCGCCTCGAATAGAGGTCGTTGTAGTGTCTGAGGGTGGCGCTTTCCCTCGCAATGCCGATCCTGGTATGTGCTTTTGTTCCGGCGATATATCGGAGATACTGACCAGATTAATAGAACCTGGATATGAAGAAACCAGTTTGTGCTCATTGGCTCTTAAAGTTAGTGGCGAGGGATACAGTGCTGACAGTCTCTAGGGCCTAGAATCACGCGCTCTGACTGGCCTCCTCCCATCCGTGTTTAATCAAGATGATGAACACGCAGAGGTACGTACACAGATTCACTTCCACGATGTCACGGTATAGTGCTAAGGAACATGAGGCCAAGTTGCAGGGTAGAAAGGAAGTGAATCACATGCTACGAAAAGAGAATACCTGTGGGTACCACCAGGTGAATGGGTAATCTCCTCGGCAATTGCTTCAAGCTCGCAGTCTGACTTGGATCTGTTTGTACAGGCATAATTTAGCTAGATTGACTTGTGCTCGTAGTGAAATTATTCGTTGCATCCGCGCCACCCGCACTGAAACCTTGTAGGAAGTAAATATACCAATAATTGTTGATCTGCAGCACTTTGTACATGTAGCAGACCGAATATCGAGACAGGGCATAATAGATCATATCAGTCGACACAGGCTAAACTCCGGATCAGCGAGAATCGAATAGCCCCTGCATCGGCTCTGCATTACTCTTAAGTCAGTGCATAAAACAGAATACAACTATAGATACTTGCCGTTGTTGTCGTTCACTGGCTCAATATGGACATTCTGTTACGTGGGAGTATGACATATCAGATGATGGTCGTTTCTTGAAGTGGCGGTGATCAACATCACCATTTCTCTCCGATCGTAGTGACTTACAGACCGATCATCTTTAGGCTTTTATCCCGGTGTATACTAAGCTACAATGTCGACTCTAGTTCATATCATTCAGGTCTTCTTATCTCTCAATACCATGTAGCACCGTACAAAGCTATGTCTATCTCAATTCCAATCCGCAAAGTGATCGTCAGGAGACAGTGACCGATATTGCATGAACATCGTTGAGATGGCGCGATGGCGGATCTGGGGCAGGCGTCGAGCATTGGATGTGGCTGCATCCCTTGCATGCAGCATCGCTGGATCGGTGAGCCGAGATCTGGGGTCCTGCATATGATACTCCACTATTGCTGCCAATAATGGATGGCACAGCCATGCCAGAGTGACTGGTCATCCTGATGGAGAACACGTCCGATCTCAGGACAGAATCCGGGACGATCCATCGGGACCCTGCAGCAGCCACGCATGCAATCCAATTATTGTCTCGGCACCATGAACTCTGCCATTATTGCAATGATCGGTGAACTCATCGCCACCGATTCCCGTGTTGGCCTCGTCAGAATATCCCGCCGAGCTCTATCCGATGACCTCGTGAAAATCTATAAAGAGGCCTCGAATCCTCCCCCAACATCTCTTCTCATCACCAGCATCATCAAGCTTCTCTCCTCACATCCTCAGCCTTCTCACAATCCAGCTTTCGAGCATCAAGCTACTCGCTTCTTTCAACACCATCAAAAATGAAGGCCTTCGCTGTTCTCTCCTTCCTTGCCCTCACCGGCTTCGTTGTCGCTGCTCCTGTTGCAGGTACGTCTGCTCGAGTCATCCTCAGCAATCTTCTATACTAACCCATCACAGGTGGCGTTCAGCAATACTCTGCTCCTGAGACTCCCGAGACCCCTCAAACCCCCCAGACTCCTCAGACTCCTCAGACCCCCCAGGGCCCTCAGACTCCCCAGACCCCGGGAACTCCCCAGGCTCCTCAGGCCCAGCAGGCCCTGCTGCCCCGGCCGCTCCCCAGGCCCTTCAGGCTGCTACTGGTAAGCATAATCTTACCCAGTGAATACCATATCTCACCCGTGGCTAACCCTATAACAGCCCCTCTCTACGGGGAGCACAAGCGTGGCTTCATCGTCGTCCCTGAGCGCCCTACCTACGCCGGTGAGCAGTCGAGCACCTCTGGTGGCCAGTACCAGAAGGCTGGCGGTGCCGGTGGCTCTGAGCACGACTCGACTTTCCACGATGACGAGGGTGCCTACCGCAACATTGATGCCTCTTCCCACGACAAGAGCGGTGGCAACTGGGGTAACGAGGCTGGCAGCACTGGCCAGTCTTCTCAGGCTGCTGGTGTCCAGCACTAAGTGGTGCTCCTAGTCTCGGTGTTGTACAGTGGCTCTGGCGTGTCTAGCTTCGCTTGATGTACCTTGTCATTCTTGTTTGATTGTGATGTTGTTTTGCGGCTTCCTTGAACCTGTCTATAGCTTCAATGTCTCTCCTTGGTATATAGCCCTAATTGATCGTGAATATGCTCTGCTTAGTACTTTCTCGTATCATCGGATTTGTATTCTGTAGCTATCTGGGATATAGTATCGATCATGGATTTCAACTATGTTTACCCTGAGCCCATGTATATCTCCACATATCAGCTCTTTGTCAGGTTGCACACAGTAGTCTGTCTCTCGAGAATGATTGCTATATCAAGAAGTTCGGCTTTCTAGAAATAGAATTGAGGAAGGATCACTTGGACAATCCAGAGTCTCATTCGACGATGATATTATCTTATTTTAGCATAGCTTTTATCAATCAGATTTATTTCTTTGCATATCTGTAATCCTTCTACTTCGGACTCCGACATAGTCCCAAGTTACTATGGATGTGGTGGCAATATATATATAGTTGCAACGCACCTCCACCCCATATTTGACCCCACGCCCAACTTGCACCCGGTAACTTGTGATGTACATCAAATACCCTCAACTAGATCATCAACATCATATTCATAGACAAACAAAATACCCACAACAGCATATCACACCCAATATAACTACCCACATAATCCCATCAACACGACCCGATAACCCCAAAGCAACCACAACCACCTCCCCCAAAACTCCCCGACAAACCAAACCAACCCAACCGAACGACAAATTCTATCTCCCATCTCCCCAGACACCCTCCAAATCCCACACCATCCCCATCCCCATCCCCGCAACATATAATCACCACCCACCTGTCTCCCTCCCATTGGCTGGCAAACCTTAAACCCCCAAACGGCTAGACCTTCCGACCATCCCCATCCCTGATTGGTCAACGACCTATATATCCCCACCCAATCAGGGACCGGTCAAGTTTCCCCTTCGCAGACATCAGACATCACCACCAACAAGACCCGGGTCTACCTCGGATCCTCCATAAGTAAACGTTAGCAGTTATGACTCACCCCACGGATACCTCCCGCAGCCATTCAACCGACCAATAAGCATCCGGACACAGCCTACCCCCATGTCTCATAACGGACCAATCAGCGATCCCAGACACCGGCAGGTGCCTGGATGGTTACACAGTACGTCACTGTTCAGCTACCCCTCCATGGTGGACTATTTATTGGGCTTGTCTCGCTGTTGCTTGGTATTCCTCTTTTTCTTCTGTTTCACTTCTTTATAAGTGCTTGGGAAGTCTCGTGGCTGAAGTATTATTACATGTCTATCCATTTCGGTTTCGATCAACATGGCTGATATCTCATCGACCGAGATCGATCTCGCTGAGCTCTCTACCACCGCTGTTACCTTTCATCCTTCGCGGGCTACTATCACGAGGGAAATTCCTGTTGCTGTGCAGGTATGTACTTCCATCATTCATCCATCTCATCTCCGATGTGTAGGTCAGAAGGGACACATTACTGACCAAAGTCCAGCCCGGCCCTAACAAAATCACCATCCACGGTCTCGACCGCGCCGTCGACATCGACTCCATTCGCATCGTAGGCTCCGGTCCCGCAACCGTCACCGACATTCAAACCGAGTTCGTGAAACGTCGCGATCCCCTTTTCTCCGATTCCGAAGACTCTTCCTCCGATGAAGACTCCTCGTTCTCTGATGAGGAAGACACCGTCTGGACCCCGGATCTCGAGTCCGCGAGGGCCAACGTTGCCTCGGCAGAGGAGGAATATCTCCGGGCGCAGTGTGCACAGGAGACTGCAGCGGCGGTGATTGATTTTCTGGATCGGCAGAGTACGAGTTTCCGGGTGGGGTGGCATGGGTTGAATGTGGGGAAGTTGAATGGTTATTTGACGATTTGTAGTACTGTGAGGGGGGAGAAGGCGTGGGAGCATGCTCAGGCGGGGATTAAGATGAGGAAGGCGCTGGAGAAGAAGGGGATGTGGGTGAGGAAGTGTGAGAGGTTGGAGGAGAAGGCGAGGAAGGAGAAGAGTAGGAGGTTGAAGGAGGTGAGTAAGGAGAGGCAGAGGAAGGTGAGGGAGAGGAAGGAGTTGAGGGAGAAGAGGGAGAGGGAGAGGGCTGAGAAGAGGAGGTTTTGGACACGGATGGTTGGTCAGGTGGTTGTGCATTTGGATGGGCAGGAGAGGGTGGTCTCGAGTAGACGGGGTTCGATGTGTGAGAAGCCGAAGATTGTCGATGAGGAAGAGGAGGAGAAGAAGGGGGTGGTGTTGCGTTTGACCTATGTGGTTCCTGGATTGTCATGGACTCCCCGCTATGATCTCAGTATCAATACCCCCTCGTCCTCGGCGAAGTTGATCTATCGGGCTCAGTTCAGCAATGTCAGCTCGGAGACTTGGCGAGATGCCAAGGTTACGCTGTCGACTTCGCAGGCGTTGTTTGCTGGCCTTGGTGAACGGATTCCCTCGTTGCAGACGTGGAATTTGGTCGTCGAATCGACTGAAAAGGGCAAAGACCAGCCATCGTGGGATAAGATCCTGCGGAGCGTGCCTGAGGAAAAGGCGCTTCCATCAGTCAAGTCGAACCACCAGGGATTGGAACAGCAGCCACGCCCAAAGCCACTCTTCAATCAACCACTATTTCAGCCAGAGCCAGTCTTCGGTCGACCACCAACTCAATGCACTCAGCCAAGCGCGTTCGGACAACCGACCAGTTCCAGCCTGTTTGGACAAGCACACAACCCATCTGGGCAAGCAAGAGGTGGTATTTTCGGCGTGTCTCCCCAGCCCTCTGCACCCGATAGCACTGGACCGCCAGCGGTGGGAGCATCGGCCTCCCCCTTCGCTCGACCGGTTGCAGGAGGCCTCTTTGGTGCCCCAGCTCAACCACCGACACTACTCGCCTCAACCGGGAAGCTAACACCAGAGTCGGGGTCGGAGTCAGACGACGAGAGTGTCACTGTGGAGGAGCTCCCCGTCCCGAGCCTCGAAGTCCAGGACTCTTTCAAGCAGGACTACGGCCTGACCACTACATACGAACTACCTGGTCGTCGCAGTCTCGCGCCCTCCAGCGTGCCTCGTCGACATGTCCTGGCGGAACTGGACCTCGATTCGGTGTCCCTCGCCTACGTGATCGTTCCCAAGCACCGCGCCGCAGCGTTCCTCCGTGCCGAAATCAAGAATAGCTCATCCGTGAACATTCTCCGCGGCAAAGTGGGCATGACCATCGACGGGACGTTCCTGGGTACTACTCAAGTGCCGAGCTGCTCGCCGAATGAGTCGTTTACGCTGTCTCTGGGCGTGGACCCGTCCATCCAAGTGACGTATGGAAAGCCCATCGTGAAACCAGTGACAGGTGGTTTCTTCAATAAGGAGACGGCGGCGGTGTTCCGACGGACGTGCGTGGTGAAGAACACCAGGAGCAATGCTGTGGATGTCACGGTGATGGATCAGGTGCCGGTTAGTGAGGATGAGCGGGTCGGAGTGCAGATTCTGGAGCCAAAAGGGCTGAATGTTTTGGGCGATGAGGTGACATTGCCGTTGGAGAAAGAAGGAAAGGGGACTGCTAAACTGGGAGTGAATGGGGAGATCAAATGGGTGATGAAATTGGAGCCGGGAAAGGAGGTTCGTCTGGTGTTGGAGTATGAAGCGAGAGTGCCGGTGGGAAGTGAGGTGAACGTAGCTTGATTGGACTGGACTGGACTTCGTATCATAAGAGAATGCTCTGAGCAACTGCAATGCACTATTCTCCGCTCATGTTAGCTCTTAGCCCTACTGATTTGCCCCGTAGTCATAGTATCGCTGAGTAAATCAGCGCGATGAAGACTCCCCAGTCTTCTTTGTATCAGATGAACCCAACCTGTCATAGGTTCTGATCGAGCGATGCTGACAATTATCCGGATGAGATACTCCAGCTGGCCTGTCTACTGACATCGGCCGAGCAGAGACATCCACTCATCGAGCCAAGCATCTCCACCATTTCGAGGAGTCCAAGTGTAGGTCTGGTATCATCATCAGAATCACACCCTTGCCATCATCTTAAGAAATAAATAAAAAACCAACCATAGCACAACCATCCCATCCATCACCCACCCCCACAGACCTGAGATAAAAAGGTAGATAAACAGATGAATAAAATTCATCTCACCACTCCCAACCCCCCGGCATCTTCTCCTTCACACACCCTACCACCCTATCTTTTCCATCTTTCTCCTCACCCCCCTCCTTATCCTCAGAACTCACACTCAAACTCAAGTTCGATCCCCCCTCCACGGCCCCCTCCCCCCACCGTTCCCGCCAAACCGCCAACTCCTCCTTCCACAGATCCGTCACGCACGGATCACACGAGCTCCCGCAGCACTCGCCAAGCCCCGGGGGAGGCGGGGGATCATTATATGTGCGTTTCGCGGCGCGGAGGAGTTGCTTGGTGCGGGTTTTGGTGAGTCGGTTTCGATGGCTTTTGAAGAAGGGGGTGTCTTGGGGGGTGTAGATTGGGGATGGAGACATTTTTTTTGCTTTTCTTTGGGGGGGTAGGAGGTTGGTTTAGTGTGTATGTGGTGGTGAGTGTTATGTTTGGGATGGATGATGAGTATGGGTGGTCAATCTACGATGGTGGTATACTGGGTTTGGATGGCGGATGAATTCAATCGGGTGGAATCGGGAGTCGGGATTTATGGATCGGGTATGGGTATGAGTATGGGTATGAGTATGGGTATGGGTATGGGGTTAGATACTGGGACGTTGTGTTGATTTGGCTGTGTTTCTAGATACCTCAGGACAATTCTATCACTGGATATATATTCCAACAACAGCACTCAAACCAAACCAACCAGAAAAAGCCAGAGCGATGGTTTAAGAAGTGCTGTTGTTGATTGATGGGGGTGAGCAACTCAGGCAACTCACCCGAGGTCACATGTCCCAGCCGATACCGGTCACATGCACACGCGCGTAACCCGCGTAATACCATACAGTAGCGATACACAATACCAGCCCTCTTCATCCCTCGCCCAGACCTCCTCGGATCGATGGATCACATCCATCACAACCACAGTCCAGTCCATGATTCATCATCCTTTCTCTACTCCGTACCGACTAATTGTCTGCCTATACTAATTCTACTACATAATACAATATATCCCACCCCTCCCTACTACAATCGCAATTCCAATCCAATCCCAATCTCTACTTACCTCCTGTAAGAAAGAAAGAAGGCAAACCCGATCGTCACAAGGAACCCAACCCATAATCTTGGCGCGGCGTTAGTTCCAACATCCGCCGGGTTTCACGGCAGCTCTTCATGTACGCGCTGGCTGGGCTTATGTAGGTACCTTGGCTGGCTGGCCGGCCAGTCTTTCGATCCCGATCCCTGCACCTGCAGACAACAAGAAAATTTTTCTCTCTCACACACACGCACCTCCTAGGTAGGTAGATAGGTAGGGAGGAATTGAAGCCAGGCAAAGTTTGACTTGTGCGAATTTAATAACAACAATGGATGAATCAGAATTTTGGTCCGAGAGGCGGTGGTGGTGGGTGACGTTTACATTTAGGATCGTCATGGGAAAGGTTCAGGGAGTTCTAGATCCACCGGGTTGAGTTGCCATTGTAACAGATGGCGAATTTGGCTGCTCTGGGCCTTTAATTGTAGGGTTTAAGACATGTTTTGGATTGGATTAATCCTTGGGGATCAATTGGTGTGTAAAATTCTCCCTTGATGATGGTGGTAGTCACGTAGTGATGGTAGGCGGGAAGGGAGGAAGCTTCCCCCGGAGACGCCGGGAAAACCGTTTCGTTTTCGACAGCTGGCATCAAGGCTCAAGCTCCGACCTTCTCTCACCTTGATCTAACCTGACCTTGAGCTCTGTCAAACTCGGAGCAGATAGCTTTCTGGACGTGACTGTGATCATACGATAATTGGCTTAGATCGAAGAAGCTGGACCGAGCACTACCCCAGGTTTTGGGGTCAGATTTTGTCTGCTTGGGTCAGATTTTGCTCAGTTCAATTAGCACGGAGTAGAAGACCCGGAATATGGTCAAGTCTATGGTATACGTGTAAGCTCCGATCTCCGTAGAGTTAGTGGCCATTTTAAATCTCTATATGTACAGTGTATTTGATGGGTTGTAGATGATGACGGGAAAAGTAGTACATGATATATAAAAAGACCACCACAATTGATTACCTCCTATCACAGCCTGACAAAAAGACAGTATTTTCCATTGGAATCCTCCCAATCCCAGTTCCCAAATCACTTGTGATCAACTAGTTCATCGAAACGGAATTGACCGGAGAAAAAAGTGTCATGTCGAAGCTGTAATCATCCCTCGGGTCGTAATTTAAACGTACTTGCACATCATGGCAACCATCAGGTCGAACAGACCGATGGCCTCAACGAAGGCAAAACCCAGAATGGCGTAGGAGAAGAGCTGACCGCGGAGAGCAGGGTTGCGGGAGACGGACAGAAGGAGGGCACCGAAGACGAGACCGATACCGATACCGGCACCACCGAGACCGATGGCGGCGGAACCCATACCAAGGTTCTGGGAGACCTGGACCATGGCGTCGGCGATCTCAGAGGAGTACTGGCGGCGAGCCTGCTGGGCAGCGAAGACCTGGCGGGCGTTGGCCTGGAGGAGGCCGGAGGGAGACTGGCGCTTGACGGTCTGGAAGGGGGTCATGGGGACGGCCTTGCGCTGGGTGGTGAAGGTACGCTTGGGAGCCAGCTGGAGGCGAGCGGCAGGGCGGGCGACCTTGGTGGTCGCGGCCATGGTGGAGGCCAGACGAGTGGCGAAGACGCGGGAGGAGGCCATTGTGATGGTGGTTTTGATTTGATTTCTCAAAGAGAAGGGGGAGGTTGGTTTGAGGAGTGGGAGGAAAGGAAGGAAGAACTTTTCTGGAGGAAAAAGCTGGAGGAAAGGTGACAACAGACGGCCCCGGGACATAAATACTCTCCCGCTAAATTTTCGCGGTTTTTTGCCCTTTTCCCACCCAGCCCCCCCGTCGGGTGTTAGTGCGCTTTGTTGGGACCAAAAAGCCCTACTACGGTGTCGTATCAGACTGGTATCGTATGGTGCCCGTGTATTGTTCATCATCCCTATCTTACGCCAGCATACAGTCCTCCGTACACCGTACACCGTTTCCTCCCTCTGCCTCTCTCTCGCCATGTCGGGTTCATTCGGGATGACCCCCCCAGGGGAGCTGCACCTGGTACAGCCAATGGTTTCAGGGTCTGTACTGCTCCCACGAGTCCGAGGCTTCCAATGATCCTGCTGCATCCACTTCCTCTCTCCCATGATGGAGTCCGTGTATTTTACCCTCCCCCCCCATCCTCCCCCCAATCCATCCATACATTCCGGTCTACGCCCCTTCATTCTTCCTTACATATAAATTGTCCCTCCCTCCCTCCTCTCCCTCTGGAAACTGACGCTCAGAGACAAGCTACGGTATGCAAAATTTTCCACCGGGGCCGTGCAAACCAGGCGGGAGGGCGCAAAAAAACCAGACGTGCGGGTGGGTCCCTGCATCCAACTGGGTCCGATAGAGTGGTACACCTCCCCACTTGGCGGAGGTCAGACAGCCAATCACACAGCGTCATGGCCAGCTAAATTTGAGCCAGCTTCTCGGTCGCAATCAAACCGGGCCGAATCGGGCATGCGGCTCCACCAGCGCCGGAGTTGCTGAGCCAGAAAATTCCCACCCTGAGACGCAAGCAGGTTTGCCCTCGTCGGCTGGAAGGAGAGCTGCGGCGGCCAGTTGCGAGTTGTTTTCCCTCCTCCTGCTGGCGGCCCCCCTCGGGAAATGCCTCACCGACTCGTCGCTTTGGGTATCTGCCGTTTTGAGACATCCCGGCTCGTACGGAGAGCGTCCCCGTCGCAACGCGACGATCCGTAGCTCCCCTTGAGCTAGCTGTAGTCGCGGTTAGCCGGTCACCGCTGTCCATACCCATGCACCCATCCGGCTCTTCCAGCCTTGCCTGCCCCCCAAGCCTTGTTCCATGTCCCCCGTCCGAGGGTGGTGCACGGGTTATATATCTTTTGGATAGATCAGAGAAATTGGGTCTCTCAGGGAGGGGGGAGGGGGGGTGTCAGGCTCAGCTCAGCTCAGCCCTCAGGGGGTAGTAGATAGTGTAGCCGCCGAACCAACCAACCCAGCACAACGACATCATCCCGTGGCCCTTCCCAAAAACCGGATGCAAAAAACACTTTTCCACCACTGTCAGCGCTAGCTGCTGTGGTTGTTATCGTGCCCCCTTCCACCAGACAGGTCTGCTTCCCTCCCTGGTTGCTGGTGTTTTTTTTTTTCGCTCACCCACCCACATCCCCTTTTTTTACCTTCCTTCCCATGAAGACATCCGTCTGCTACTTATACCTGAGATCTGGGTGAGGGTACTGTACGGATCCCACCTAATTTCTCCTTTTTTTTTTTTTTTTTTAATTCTTCCCCCTTCCCTTCCCTTAACCCCCCGAGCGTGTCTGCACTAAACTCGATTAATCCCGGTGATCGAGATATGATCTCAGCCGCCCTGCAGCATTACGTAACCCGGTCAGAACCGCTGCGAACCCAACCCAACCTGGCTGGCTAATTTAAGCATGCAGCTGGTGCAGGGATACGACGGGCTTCGCGAACCGTTCCGCGACAGGGGTGAGGTCTTTGCTTGTGTATGCGCTGTAGCGTAGGTTGATTCCGCGAGAAGAGTAGAGCGTAGAGCAGAGTTATCTCAATTGATGGCAGCAATGATCGAAGGCAAGACTAGGACGACGGTGATCGCGACCCGGAGGATATGTGGATGCAGTGAGCGTATTGCATGTATCACATGTGTCACGGCCGTATTATTACCGTAATGTGCATACAGGCTACTGCCCCAGGCATCAAGGCACCGGTCGGGTCAGCGGCTGGCGCGCGCCGGACCTCGGGTTGGAATGTTCTATACACAGAAGGTATGGCGGCTATCCATACCGTGGTGCGGTCACGTATGTACAACGCGGAAGATAAGCTGGCGGGCCGGGCCAATCGGAGGAGCTGGTGGTTTTGCATGGAATGTCGTGCCAAGGTGTGTTGGTAGGTATGTGGTGATAGGTATATATTGGTATGGAGGGGATGGTATGTGCAAGGTGCAAGTAGTTGGCTGGGAAGATATATCCGGGGTTATTGTTTGGTAGAGTTGGTGTTTGGGTATTGTTCTTTGTTAGGGGGTAGATACTTACCGGTAGAGGTATATATTTTGAGAGATGTTAGGCTAGGGTGGTACTAGCTCAAGAAATATATTCCCTCGGTCTTAAGAGTGAACGAAGATTAGAGGTTAGATTAGATGGTGATACGCTTATCCGGAGTAGGAATGTAGTATCGGATGGATTCTAAATTAAGACTGGATCTGATAGTAATCAGGACGTCAGTGCTACGTCGGATAGATGAGGTGTGTTGCGAATAGCTTCATACTTGCCGTATTGGGAAGGCGGTTGCGTCATGTGACCGGGATCTACATTAGCATTACCATTCTAAAATTGCTGTGATTAGCAGACCCTCTTAATTGATGATAGGCAAAAGCACTCAGTGACTTTCTTAGAAGCCTTGGTTTTGGCACAAGTACTTCATACCTCGAAGATCCATAGTTTTACCAATCCCTGGACGACAGGAGAGTACCTACTTCCGTATATGACCGGCCTGGTTTGCAGTCCATGTCTGAATGGAATATCAATTTTGGATAATCTTCAGAACATAACTGACGATAGATCAAAGGATAATCATCTGCTTGGGGCACTTGTGATAGGTCATGCCGAACAGTCACCTGACCCTTTGTTCGCGTCGCCTTGTCGTGTCGGATAACGCGTTTTCCCAACCATCACCAGGCATCAACATCATCAGTCACCTATGAGACTCTCATCATCTTAGCATCGCCAGTGTCATTCTCTTGTCCAGATATGCGGAAATTATGCACATCCAGTGCTTCGTAACCCCTCCTGCATCCCGTCAGCACCGATGGACCTTGGATCGAAGCTCGGCACCCCGTATATCAGCCACTGATGTTTGCAGTTGCGAAGGGTGGCATGATGCGACATTGATATGGCCCTAGCGAACGAGCAATGCCAATTATCATGTCATATTTGAGATCCATAGGTAGAATCTCGGTTCAAGAGGCCATTCGCTTACACTGACAAGGTTTAGGATGTTGACGACGATATGACTGAAGAACCCTCTTTGTTGGGACTTGATCATCACTCTGGCCAGGTCGATTCGCTTTCGGCCGACCGTCGGATCCAACTGCCCCAGACTTCGGTCGAAAGGCATATGCCATCATGTTCTATCATAGATTACCGCGTCACTTCGTCCCTGCGCAGGCAGAAATTATCGGCCCCTTTCTACCATATCATTACACAGAATGGATGGCATCAGCGAGCATCAACTTTTCGGTGACTTTGAACATATCGGACGTAGCGATGGCCCCCATGTTGGCGGCAAAAACTCCTCTCGGCCAAAGGAGTCGCTGTACCGCCCGGATTTGCAACCACCTCCAGTGCCTACTGGCATTACATCGAAACCAACGGTATCCGTGCGGAGATGTCCCGTCTCATAGCAGACTGGGAATCGGGAAAGGCTCATCTCGCCGAGACCGGCCAAGCGGTACGCAAGTTGTTCCTCCGGGGCAACTGGCCATCCGACGTAGAGACTGCTGTTCGCTCTGCATATCGCCGGCTCTCTACCAAAGCAGGTGTCGAGAATCTCAGCGTGGCTGTCCGATCCAGCGCGACGGCAGAGGATCTCCCGGACGCCAGCTTCGCCGGACAGCAAGAATCATACCTCAATATTGTGGGCGAAGACGCCCTCCTGGATGCATGTCGGCGGTGCTACGCATCTCTTTTTACAGACCGGGCCATCATCGATAAAAAGCGTGGCGACAAGTCCGTCAAGATGATCTACGGCAATGGGCAGACCCCAACCCGAAACGTACCTACCTCCAAGGCCGAGCGCGCCGCCCTGGTCCTCACCGATGCGGAGATTCTGAAACTGGCGCGTTGGGCCTGCACGATCGAGAAACACTATGGCTGTCCCATGGACATGGAATGGGCCAAGGACGGTCTCACCGACGAGTTGTTCATAGTCCAGGCCCGACCGGAAACCGTGCACTCGCGTCGCGATGCGACAACCGCTTTCAAGACGTATCGGATTGGCAAAAGAGGCCGCAAGCTGGCCACAGGGTTGGCCGTGGGCGATGCCGCCGTATCTGGTCGGCTCTGCCTGATCGAATCTGCGCACGAGATGGACAGATTCGTCGACGGCTCCATTCTAGCCACGTCCACGACTGACCCGGACTGGGTGCCGATTATGAAGCGCGCCGCGGCGATCATCACCGACCATGGTGGACGAACCTCCCATGCAGCCATTGTCAGTCGCGAGATTGGCGTCCCGGCAGTCGTGGGGACCCATAATACCACCTACGTGCTACACTCAGGACAAGATGTGACTGTATCATACGCCGAAGGCGACCAAGGCTTCGTTTACGCTGGCGTCGCGGAGATCAGCACCGAGACAGTGGACATGAGCGGACTGTCAGCCGGCCAGACGAAGGTGATGCTGAACCTCGCCAATCCAGCAGCCGCATATCGCTGGTGGCGACTCCCTGCTGATGGGATCGGACTGGCCCGGATGGAGTTCGTGGTGACCAACGCCATCCAGGTTCATCCGATGGCGCTGGTGCACTTTGACCAGCTGCAGGATGCCCAGGCCAAGGCTGAGATTGCCCGACTCACGGCCGGGTACAACCACAAGCCGGATTACTTCGTGGACAAGCTGGCGCACGGGTTCGCGGCGCTCTGCGCGGCCGTCTATCCCAAACCGGCGATCCTCCGATTGAGTGATTTCAAGACGAATGAATATGCCAGTCTCATCGGCGGGGCAGAGTTTGAGCCCAAGGAGGAGAACCCGATGATCGGGTTCCGCGGGGCGTCGCGATACTACTCGCCGCGATATCGCGAGGGATTTGCGCTGGAGTGTCGGGCCATCCGGCGGCTTCGTGAAGAGCTAGGGTTCACGAATGCAGTGGTGATGATCCCGTTTTGTCGGACGGTGGACGAGGCCAAGAAGGTGCTGCAGGTGATGGCGAACAATGGACTGCGACGGGGGGATCATGAGTTGCAGGTTTACATGATGTGCGAGATCCCGTCGAACGTCATCATGGCGAGAGAGTTTACGGCGTACTTTGATGGGTTCTCGATCGGGTCGAATGACCTGACGCAGTTGACGCTGGGGGTGGACCGGGACTCGGACGAGCTGACTGGCCTATTTGATGAACAGGACAGGGCGGTTAAGGCCATGATTGCGAAGGTCATCCAGCAGGCTAAATTGGCGGGGTGCAAAGTGGGAATTTGTGGACAGGCGCCGAGCGATCATCCAGAGTTTGCGCGATTCTTGGTGGCAGCAGGGATTGATTCCATCTCGGTGATTCCTGATAGTTATGTGAAGGTGAAAAGAGAGGTAATGCGAGTGGAGAAGTGATGTTATGCCAGTGCTCTTCCTTTGGGACTTCATGGTAATGTCCCTTTGTTATGATCTGAAGCAGTTAGTCAATTCAACCTCGCTTATTCTTGTTAGCCTGATGTTTCTAGCTATGTAGGTGCTTCCTGCTGAAGCAAATATGAAGCCAGAACATTGGCAAATCCATGAATGAAATCCAAGCCTCTAGGAATGCGTCAATCACGCCGTATGCACAACTAACATTCAACAATGATCAGAAAGTTGCCTGCATGTCCATCCTCTCCACTCAGCATCCCATTCCTATACTCAACTGTGTTTCAAGCAATCATAAGACAAACGAACTGAATTACTACCTGCTCGACAAAACACCGCTAACAACCCTACAATCCATTCTCCCTCACCCTCCCAATCACCTCCCTTAACCCCTTCACCCCCATCTCCAACCCTGCCCTCTCCCCCGGCCTCAGCCCCAACTCCACCCCTGCGTCTTCATCCAATACACCCCCCCTCCCAACCACGACCGGCCACGAAAAACAACACCCCCATTCCTCCCTCCAACAACTCACCGTCCTCACCACCCTCTCATCCCCAAGCACAGCCAGACAAACATCCCCCACCGCCGCTCCAATCCCCCACGCCGCCCCTCCTTACCCACCACTATACCCCTCGACCTCCCCTTGACCCGTTTCTCGACCTCAATCCGCCTCCTCGCACCAATATTCACCTTCACTATCTCATTAACCCCAGCCTCGGACTCCAAAACCCTAGACCAAACAAATACCTCCCCCTCACCTTTAACCCCAACCACATAGCCATCTACCCGTCGACCAGATAATCGGGATACTTCGTCCCTCAAGCGAGCTGATTCCAAACACGTCCCGATACCGAAGACCTTGGGGCGAGATAACCCGGATATGTCCTGCGCCAGGGTGGTTAGGAGATCTACCGGGTTGGCAACTATTATGAGGATGGTGTTGGGATTGAAGGGGTTTGTTTCGGTGAGGATGCTTTTCAGGATGGAGATTTTTTGGTAGAGGTGTTGGATACTGGTTTCGCCTGGCCAAATCAACCAAGGATATTATATTAGTCTTGGGGGTCAAATGGAATGGTCTGGGTTAAAGGGAGGGGGAACATACCAGGGGTATATTTCGCCCCTGCAGTAATAACCACCACATCAGCTTGACTGGCCTCGCGGTGCGTAGAGGCGCGGACCTGCGTGATGCTGCCGTGCACGAGGGCTGCGTCGGCGAGATCTCACGCCTGGGCGTCGCGCAGGGTGGAGTTGGTGTCTACGAGGAGGAGCGTCGCCTGCACGCGTTGGTGGATTAGGGATAGGGCTGTGGAGGCACCGACGGAGCCGAGGCCGATTATGGCGATTTTTGCCATTGTGTTGTGTTGTGGGTTGCTTTGGTAGTGAGGGAGAGGATTCATTGATCAGAAGATATATAGAGTTGAGTACTACATGTTTACTGGGAGTAGGATAAGGTGTGAGGGGAAGCTCGTGTTTCATCCGTCATGATTACGGGGTGGCTTTGATGGAAGTGTGTTCCGTGGATGTGATTCGAGGGGCTTGATCTGTGGGATAAAGGATGGGGATGAGGTTAGATAAATAAAGTTTAGATCATGCCATTCAATCATGCCATGGCTTGTGGTGTACCAGAGGTGGTGCTGATCTCGGCAGATGTCATTATGTCCTGGGCTTCGTAAGGAATTGACTGTTGTCCATACATGAGGTAGGTGTGTTACATGAACGCGGAATAAAGCCATCTGCTGAATGGGATGGTAGTATATCATGTTTCTGCGGTGATACTTGGCGATAATAACGCGTATAGCTTCCTGTTGAGATTCAATGTTCTTATATTGAGGCAGGCCAAACCTTAGATACAGTGCAACTAGGATAGCTGAGTCTGCCTGATGTCGATAAAGCTGAGACTGAATATCCTGAAATGCATACCTATCGGTAGGCAGCCGAGCCGGGTCGTTCATCTAACCCTAATTCCTGATTGGGGCTAAATCCACCCATCATATCAAAATGGCCCCAACTGCTCGGATCTATCGATCTATAAATATACTCCGTTGTGGCTGGTGAAGAGATACAGTCATCATCAAGATCGGTTTAATTCCATTAACGATATTAACCTGGCCTTATACATAGCCCAGAACGAGCATCTGGTCATCATCCACAACTTACCAAAGAAGAAGATACCCAATGAATAAGGCTCTAGGCCGATTGGCTAGAAGCAGGACAAGCGACGAGACATCAGGAGATTCAGATTCACCAATATCCTCGGTCTAGATCAACCTACTCTCCACGAGGCCATATCGACGTATACTTGAATATCGCGGCCAGAAGAGCCCCGCCCACGCCCCACATCTAATAAATCATTGCTGTAAAGCATGTGACAGGCAGCATGGCACGAACCCGATCCATCGGTGTGGGCAGTTCGGGATGTGTAGCTGCTATCAGCATCACGCGATCATAACTCGGCAACAGGCATGTGATTCTCGGAAGGGTGCATCGCATCCATGAGTGTCCTTATCACTTCCGATTAGAGTCTGTTTCAGTAGAGGTAAGCTCAGATGTCTAAATCTAATTATATCCAGAGCGCTTCGAGTACTGGCTAGCTGTGGCTAGACGTGGCTATCTAACAGTGAGATTCGGGCGGTTCCGAGAATTGCAGCTATCATGCAGGCGGCCCGCTGTCAGCAAGGGCTCAACGATGCAAGTTGCGGGTTGAGATAGAGATAGTGAGATCTTGTTGAACATTTGATCTGGATTCCGAGGGTATACGGCCATTGCACATGTTATTGACAGCGATAACATGCTGTAGACCGAGATTGACATCGGAATCGGCCCGGACTTGACCGCAACAGGGCTTCAGTGCTGCAGTGCTGCAGGCTCGGACACCCCGACCTTAGTGTCTGTGGCTAGGCATCGCGTGCTAGAGCGATGCGGCGGTGTTGAAGCAATAGGAACACCCGAGCGACTCAATCAGGAGACAGCAAGTGGGGCCCCAGGATCAGTCGTGTCAGTGTCACTATTCTCAGCCTGATGGAGAAATGTTTGCTGCTGCTGATGACCCACTGATTGGGCCGTCAGGGGCTGACGCTTGATCCTTCGGTGGGTTGCCAGCTGGTGGATTCACATGCCTGCCGAAGGAAGGTAAGCTGACCGATCACAATCGATTGTGTGAAAGAATCTTTATGAGAACATGCCATCTTGTTATCCATGACAATGGTTCATAATCTGCTGGCATGTTCCAAATCCAGTGATTGGCCTCTGCATCGGCGCCTGAGCCGATGCATAAGTTGTGCACTGCAATCATTCTCGGCTAATCACTGGCGGATCCGATGGCTCCACCACTGAATCAGCGGCTCCAGCATGCCGAAAATGCCCCGCCGTCATTGGCTCGCACTGCCCTGTGCATTAGCGCTGACTCGCAGCCTTGTTCGCGATGCCCTAATGCCGGAGCGGCTCTGCTTATCGCTACGCATGTCCTTCCAGGCCTATACTCTGCTATTTATGCGTCTCGCTTATGTTGCTGCAACTTTATAAATGCTATGCCCCTCCCATGCTGTCACTCACGGTAAACACCATCTCTTCTCCCCCCAGACACATCCACCATGCCCGACCTCGAGGAACAACACGAAAAGGCCTCAACCCCCCTTATGACCCCGGGTTCCAGCACCACCACCGTGGCCCTGCTATACCCCGAGACCGACCTATCCCAAGACATCGTCGGCTGGGACGGTCAAGACGACCCGCCAACCCGCAAAACTTCTCCCCGACACAGAAATGGACACTCCTTGCCCTAATCAGCTCCTTCACCTTCATCTCCCCCCTAGCATCCAGCATGTTCTCCCCGGCCATCGGCTACGTGGCCGCCGAATTCCGCGTCACCAATGAAACCCTACTCTCCTTCAGCGTCACCATCTTCCTCCTCGGCTACACCGTAAGCCCTCCCCATCCCCATCCCCCTAAACCCACCCCCTAACAACCCCCAGTTTGGCCCTCTGCTCCTCGCCCCCCTCAGCGAAATCTACGGCCGCCGCATCATCTTCAGCTCCGCAAACTGGTTCTTCGTCGTCTGGCAAATCGGCTGCGCCCTCGCCCCCAACCTCACCAGCCTCATCATCTTCCGCCTCCTCGCCGGCGTCGGCGGCGTCGGCTGCGTCACCCTCGGCGCCGGCGTCATCGCCGACCTCTTCCCCGTCCAACAACGCGGCATGGCCACCTCCATCTGGGCCCTCGGCCCCCTCATCGGCCCCGTCGTCGGTCCCATCTGCGGCGGCTTCATCGGCGAATCCATCGGCTGGCGCTGGGTCTTCTGGATCCTGCTCATCGCCAGCGGCACCATCGCAACAGCCATCGAAATCCTCAACCGCGAAACCTACGCCCCTGTCCTCATCCGCTGGAAAACCGAAAAACTCGCCCAAGAACTCCACCGGCCGGACCTCCGCAGCGCATACGATGTCGCTCGCGGCACTGCCGTCCCAACCGTCTCCCAAGTCCTGATCCAGGGTCTCCGCCGTCCCCTCATCCTCCTGATTAAATCCCCCATCGTCCTCCTACTGTCCACCTACATGGCCGTCGTCTACGGCCTCCTCTACCTCTTCTTCACCACCATCACCTCCGTCTTCGAAGAAACCTACGGCTTCTCCACCGGTCTCGCGGGACTCGCCTACCTCGGCATCGGAATCGGCTTCTTCATCGGCTTAACCCTAATCGCCCTCTCCAGTGACCGAATCGTCAAGAACCTCACCGCGAAAAACAACGGCGTGTTTCAGCCCGAAATGCGTCTCCCGACTATGATTTTCTTCAGCTGTCTCCTCCCGATCAGTTTCTTCTGGTACGGCTGGTCAGCCAAGTATCATGTGCAATGGATCGTGCCGATCATCGGGATGGTTCCGTTTGGAATCGGGCTGATTGGGATATATATGCCGATTCAGACGTACGTGATTGATTGTTATCCGGCGTATGCGGCGAGTGCGAATGCGGCGTTGACGGCGTTGAGGAGTCTGTTGGGGGCGTTGTTGCCACTGGCGGGGCCGAAGCTGTTTAGTAGTTTGGGGTTGGGGTGGGGGAATTCGCTCTTGGGGTTTATTGCGTTGGCGTTTGTGCCGGTGCCGATCTTTTTTAATAGGTATGGGCAGAGGATTAGGGAGAGGTGGACGGTGGATTTGGAGGGGAAGAAGGAGTAGGTGTTTGTGTTTGGTGGGGGAAAAGTGTAGTTTTGTATAAAGTTTAGAGAGGAATGAGTTATGACTTTCTTTTGTTTTGATGTTTGGTGAGTGGTATCACGTAGAGTGGATCTTGTCAACACACAGTCCATATCATGATATACATCTCATATTGGGATCAGGGATCTATATCCACCTCTTCACATAAGTAAGTATTCCCCCAGCCGGGAGATATCTATCTGGAGTCTCACCCCCATATACCCCTTCCTCTTCCCCTCCCCCTCAAACAACACCGAAAGAAATACACAAAGAAAGAATAAGAAGATCTAACCAACCTCCACCAAAACCCTCCCCACATCGACCCCCCTCACCACCCCCGGATAAACACCCACAAACTCTCTCGTAATCCCCCACCCATTCACACACATAAACCTCTCCAAAAACTCCTCCCTAACGACAAGCTCATTCCCCTTATCTCTCTCCAACACGGGCTCTCCCCACGGCCACCGCACCTTCAAACAACAGGCCAGAAACCCAAAGAGGTCGTCTTTTTGCCCTGTGTAGCTGCCCCATTCCCGGATCAGGTTTACTCGGATTTCAGGCCAGATGAGGAGGTCGAGACTGGCCGGGTGGGGGATGCTGAGTTGTTCGGGGACGGGGTGGAGGAAGATGGGGAGGTGGGAGAATGTGGATGGGGATGGGTCGAAGAGCCATTTTGCGTAGTGGTAGCTGAGCCAGCCGAAGGCGAGGCGTTCGGGGTCGCGGAGGGGTCGGCGGAGGGAGTGTGTGTAGATTGCGTGGGCGAGGGGGTTGGTGTTTGTGCCGTAGAGGAGGTCTAATGGGTTGGGGGATGGGGGGCAGGTGGTGATGGTGGTGGGAGGGAGGGTGAGGAAGAGGAGGGAGGGGGTGATGGGGTGTCGGAGTGGAGGGGGAGGGTTGAGGCTGCTGCTGCTGCTGCTGTTGTTGTTGTCGGAGATGGGATGCTGGTGGTGGTTGGTTTTGATATCGTTGTGGTGGTGGTTGTGGCGGGTTGAATTGGCGGCAGTGATAGTGGTAGTTGCATTGTAGATGGTGATGGTAGTTGTGGTTGTGACTCTAGCTCCTCCCACGACTCCACAAGAGCCTTCAACCCCTCCTGGCGCCTTCGCAACATCTCATTCTCTCTTTGCAACCCCTCAATCACCCGCATCAGATGCTGCGTGCTGCTATCATCGTGGTAACGCTCGCAATGCGCCACCTTGTCTTCCAACTGCGCAGTGTACTGCTGCTTCTTGCTGCGCAGGGCTTGTTGGGCGCGACGATCGCGCAGACGTTTCTTGTCTGCTGAGGTGAGGGTCGAACTGGACATGATGAGATGTGTTGATGTTGTGTGACATTACCCGTAGTTAAGTCGGGGAGGTTATGCAGCGGATCACGGCATAAGTTGTGCATGGCGGTGTCCCGGCTGTTGTGCGTGTGTACACTGCAGCTGGGCGTGGCAGTAGTACATGTCTTGCAGATGTTGCAGATCTTGGTCTGATCCGGAATGTTTCAGCTTTGGGCCACGTGGTGATCGCGCGGCAGATGCCGTGGTTGAAGTTAAGCTGAGTGACAGCGTCAGCATCACTGTGGATGTTAGAGTTTGATATAGGGAAGTAAGTTGGAAGAATAGTGGTGAATGGTGTTGACTTGTGACTTCTTGGAGAGATTCTGTGAACTGGAATGGGAATATTCTCTAGAGGAGAAGGATTGTGATGCTGTATATAGGAAGACTGGAAGAGATATGCAGTTACTACAGTAAAGACATACTATACAGCAAATAGTTCCTATACCCCGGTGGGATTCAAAATATCGCTTTATTAGGGTATAGACGTGAAGACCATGTTGCATCTTGGCAGCCGGGGAATGAATGGCTGACAACGGATAGAGAAAAAGCAATACAACGCATGCAAGTATCTAACTAAAAAGCAATGTTGATGCGCATATGGTCATCTGATACCCAATGAATAAGCTGCTTATTCACCGAGTAAGCCCTAATTGCAGTTGAATAGAATACCAGAACTATGCACTCGATGCATTGACTTGAATATCGCATTGAATAAGATCCTTGACTATATCTTCCCACATCCCTCTGCTCAATCCTCTCTTCCTCCTATCTTCTCCATTTCTACGATCTGTTAGACTGACCACTTGATCATACTGAATGACCTGAAATTCCTTTAGAATATGCCTGGATCCCTTGCATCAAGAACCACAGCATTCTATATCAACTAACAAAGCCATATCTTGTCATCAGGCTAAATTCAAGATACCCCATTCAAATCCTCAATATCCCAATCATCATCCATCCTGTTACTTCAATTTCTACCAACATTCCCATGATAAACCAGGCAATTGAACCCCCCTCGACATACAACAGCCACAACCCAGGAACAAGAAATCAGACATTGAGATGTGCTGACCGGCTCACAGAAAAACTGCATAATGACGGGATTGATCTACACAACCTGCGAAGCGACATCTGAATACAAGTCATATACATGCCCAACACACGCAATACAACAATCCTCAAAGAGATCTCGGCAAAGCGCAGGTACTCCTAGATCCTCCATACTCGCAACCAACCGCAAAGGTCATCCTCCGAATACAAATTGATCATGCTATCATTCTGGCGCTAGACAAAAGTCTTCTACTACCCGAGCCCCATAAGAGAAACAGCAATCATGGACCTAGAAGCACGGATCGAAAAGGCTCTATCGCTTTCGAATCATGATGCTAGCTGAAAACAGAGCATCGAATACAATGCTGAAACATACTTCCAATTTCTAATTGGGCTGTCATATCGAACTGGGCGATGAGAATATCCATATTCCATCCAAGTCAATGGATATGGAATCTATCGTCCTGACCAGAGACGGAGCAACCATGCGAACTAATCCCAAAACAAAGGGTTTCATCTTATCCTCACGAAAGCATTGAAATGCAATGGACACTCCACAACTCTACATGTAAACCCTTTATGTCAGGGCAATTCTATCACCAGAATACAAGGAAAAGCGCCCCCCAACACAACAGGCCGAGATAGACCGACAACGCAGCCTAACCATAGTTTAAACAACGTTTAAACCTGGCACCCCGTCGTTTCCTTCCCTAGATACCTTCACAAACAAACAAACCTCTTAGCTGCCGTGCTAAGAAGACATGAACCTCGAATCAGGTGACCCTTTCCACCACCAAAGGATACCCCAATGGGTCCTTCAATCGGGATTAATAAATAAGACGCCTTGCGTCTATAAATGTGACCAAAAAATTGTTTGTTAACGATGTTGTTTGTTTCGATCGTCAAACATCGTCGCGTCAGATATACCCACAAGAATTATTATCCTACAATATCGTTCGATGACTACACGATGAAGCTAATCAAAGATTATTCATAACAAGCAACAAGCAATATTCCAAACCGCTCAGATACATGTCAGAAACGTCTGTGGCACAGGTACCGAATTCAGTCGGTTTATCAAGACAGTTGATGAAGTCATCACTCCTAGAAAATATATTAGGAATACTCGGTCTTCGATGGCCCTGATTCGACTTCCGGAGTCATAATAATGGGGTGCGGGGTGTTGTCTGTTATTATCGATTTCTAAGGAACTTGAGGACTGACTAGGTGAAGTCTCCTGTCTAAGGCGTTGCCAAGTGTCTTGATAAGCACCATGTAATGCATTTCTATACGTGTGTGGTTGAGAATATCCGGTATAGTTAAAGAAGTATAGTATGCATAACTAATTAAGGGCTCAAAAGGGCTCTGTCAAATGCATTTGAAGTAGATAATTAAACATCTTATAACTCTGGTTCTGTCACTGTTTTAGGCGGCTGAGCTGCTGACCCTTGGATAGAATCATCATGAATACGATATATCCTTAGTGAGAGCCTCGTATTCGTCTATATAGATTACCTCTTTGGCTGCAAATATTATTGGTGTATGTATATCACTCAATCTAATGACATGCATGAATGGAAGTTCTCTGTCCTGCTCGGTTGAACTCTGTAGAAGCCCTGACAGTGACTTTTAATTAATTTAATTGCCTCCAACTTGATTATTTCAAAATCTTATTTAGTGCTGATTAAGTTGCTTCGTAACAATGTCATGACTCATTATATTACCAGTACCCACCACTTCAGTCTGAGAGAAGGGTCGGATCACATCTCACTTCTCATACGTCGTTTCTCGCGCTCAAAACAGCTGAGCCGCCTGTGACTCTTCTCCCAGGTGGAGGCCTCCCGCTTGGGATTCAAGGAAACGCCTCCTAATGGCGTTCGTCGGTTTTGCAGCGTTGCCCGCTCAAAGTCAATGAACATTAACCGACCGTTATCCTCGACCATGTTGCCGGGGATGGGATCACCTTGAAGGACGTGTAGGTCATGGATCGCTTGTAAATATTTCTCTGCTTGTTGGATGAGATGGTCACGTTCAACACGGTGCGAGCGTGCAATACTCTTCCCCGCGTAGCTCATGAACATCAGCTGAACCATCTCGGCGATACCATCATAGGAGAATGGATGGCGAAGTCGCAGGCTGCCGAGAAGCACCGGCACGTACACTCCTTGTACTGGAGCAAGATGTGAATATATGAGCTCCTCATGTTTCAGCCCCGCCACAAACTCCACCGGCGAGCCTTTTCCGACAAATGTATAGCCATGTGACCATAGAGTGATTTTGAACAGCGCCCCGCGACTTCCATGAATGTGAAGTGACTCGCACCCCATGTCCCCATCCGGCCGAATATTCATGGAGAATTGCCGGTCCAGCCGATGAATGAGAGTTGCTGGGGTTAATCGATGTCGATCCACTCCATGGGCTAACACATTCGGACATTGCCAATCTAATTTGCCTCCTTTGACCAGTCCCTGCAGGCACTGCTGGGTACAATATTGTCGAGACTTGCCTTTAGACTGTGAAGTTTGCGATTGTGTTTCTGTCGTTGCGGATGAGGGATCGAGTGGGCGACGAGGCAGCCGAGGCGGCCGCCGACTGGGCGTGTTAGGATCAAAGCCATCTTCAACATCGTCATCATCATCATCCTCAAGCGACCTGGTATCTTCTGGCGGATTACAGACCGTCGCCCCGGCAGCCTTGGAGCGGGTCTTGACAGGAGATGTACGGCAGTATTCCATCCGACTCCGCGTCGGTGGTTTGAAAACCGAAGAAGGAATGTCCTTCTCCTGAATTTCGTCCAGGAGTTCATCATATATCATTTCCCAGGTCTTCAGCTTACGCGTCGCCCATGCTATCCAGGCGGCATGACGGGTTGGTGTTCGCAGAGCGCGGACGGTGAAAGCCGCTACCTGGCCGAGCGCGGTTAGATGTAGCCGGTTGTCAGAATCTAGGTTGCCCGTCCATCCGGTTGTTTGTCCGACGTCCTCTTCTGGGATCGACAGAAAGTAGTATACGGTGGAAGGGTCGTCATCACGTACACGCAGAAAGATGAAAGCTTCCCCGGTACATACATAGCCATACTCAAGCCCCGCTTGGATCATGTAGGAGAAGGCCTGAGTGATCACTGCCCCTATCACCCGACGACAGGTATCTTCTGGAGATTCGTCCTCTTTCAGGCGGAGCACGTCGTCAAGGTTCATGTCTTGTAGACCGGCCTTGATGTGCGCAAGAGACAGCTTATGCGGTGCCTTGTACTCAATGATGAAGGCCGGGACCTTTCCGTCCGGGCCTTTATTATATACACAGAACTGGTCAGCCCGGGGTCGGGAAATCTTCTGCGGTGCGGCATTCCGATCTTGCCCTGGTGGCTGCGACTTGGCGGCCAAACGGCGGGAGCGGCGGGGATGAGACTGGGTGAGGCTCAGCGAACTCAAATCCGAGACGAGATTCGTCTCGTCCGTCAGGCTATTGGCGTGGTTTTCGAAAGAAATGTCTCCTTTCAGGCAAAAGGTCTGTCGAAGCCTGGGGTTTGCGTGCAGTTGCTTGATCACGGACGTCACGCGGGACTCGAGGGTCTGTCTGAGAAAATAACCCAAATCCAGCTCCGAACTAACCATCCGTTCCCGAACCTCTTTGCCATATTCTTTCAAGGCTCCCAAGGGGGTGAAGTGTCGTTCGTTCAAAAAGTCGAAATCCATGAGGTCCTCCCAGATGGCCATTTGCTCGGTGGGGAAGTCGGCCCACTCTCGAATCCAGGTGGGGCGGAGTTTCTGGTCGGCGTTGGCGGGATCGCCCTTGGTCGAGGACTGTTTGTCCTGCTGGACGGTCAGCCCGAGGGATAGGTGCACATGGCACGCGTCGAGGAATTCGGGCAGAGTGGTACGCCTCAGTTGGTCCTCCGCTTCACGTCGTCGTTGTTGCTCTTCACGTCGTCGTTGTTGCTCTTCCTCCAGCTGCCTGCGCAACTCCCGGATCTCCCGGATCTCCTGGGTCTCCTGGGTCTCCTTGGGAGACATTTTCGCTCTCCGTGGGAGAAGGGAAATGGCGGTAGTGGTAGTGATTGTGGTCGTGATGGTGGTGTGGTAGTGGTAGTGGTAAGTGAAACGGAGTGGAGTATCTAGTAGATAGTCGGTGGGGGGATCGAGGTTTGTTTTTGTTTTGTTTGGGCGGCCCGGCGGAGGAAGTCTCTCCGTGGTGTCCTACCGCCTACTTCCCTAGGAAAGGCTTGCTTTTACATCTAGCACGATCCTCACCGCCCTGGCTTCATGCCTGAGGATAATATATATGCCTCAGGCGACAGCATGGCCTTATGCCCTTTTTATGCCTTTCATGAGAGCCTTCAAATGACCGCCTCGAGGCCACTTCTAAGAGTCTTCATGGCCTGGCAAATACTGGTGGTACCTGAATCAGATCGTGGCCAAGACCTTACCTTTTATTCCTCAACCCCCCATACTTTGCAAGAACCAATTCCATTAGACAGATTTCCTAAACCACTAGACAGAAAGTACAGAAGTAGCAAACACCAGTGTATATTTCCTCCCAGAAGATATTACTTAAAAATCAATCATATCACATCTATCTAATCTAATAAACATTATTACAGGAACTCTTACATTAACCCCTCTATCCTTCCCTCCATCTATCCATCTAATTCCTATTCAACCTAGCCCTCATCCTCCCCCCAAACCAATAAAACGTATACGGGATCAACACCATGCCCACCCCCAGGAACGCCAACAACCACGACGCCCACTGCAATCCCAACCGATCGTACATCTGGGTAATGAACAACGGAAAGGCAGCTCCACCACCAGACCGCAGAAACACTTTCGCGGCTAGTGCCGATGCCGCGTACTTCTGGTAACTGTCGATAATGTAGTTGTTCACGGCGTAGTAGCATAGTACCATGCCGAAGCCGAAGGCGATTCCAGACGATGCAGGGCCTACCCAGATGATATGTTTGAAGGAGGTGGCTCCCAGGATGAAGAGCGAGATGGGAATGAAAGGCGCGCCGATGAGAGCGCCGATAAGACGGTCTTCAGGGGTAGGTGGACGCGAGAGACAGATGCGGTGGAAGTGTTTTTCGATAGCGGGAGTGCAGAGTAGGGAGAATCCCGCGCCGATGAGAATAGGGATGAACATCAGGCCGATCTGGCCGTCGTTGTAGTTGTACAGTTTACCGAAGATGACCGGGTAGGCGAAGAAGAAGGCGTAGAGCATGGCGTAGATGAGAACAATGTACATGCACATGAGGTCGAGGACGGGTTCGGTGGCGATCATGGTGATGGGGCGAATGAGACTGGTGCGGATGATGTCGCGGAGGGTGAGTTTGTGTTTTTCTTGCTCGGTGATAATGTTGGGGTTGCCGGTTTCTTTGCGGAGTTTGGAGGCGCGGCGCTTGAGGATGACGGGGGCGTAGGTTTCTGGGATCAGGCCGACGATGATCATGACGACGCCGGCGAAGGCCATGTTGGTCCAGAAGAAGAGGTCCAGTCGGTGCGAGCCTACGTTGATCCAGCCGCAGACGATGGGCCCGATGACAGGGCCGCAGTAGGGGGCTGCTGCGAAGAAGGCAATGGCCATGCCGCGGTCTTCGAGGTTCCAGATGTCGGCGATGGTGCCGCCGGCGAGGGAGAGGCCGGAGCTGGAGAAGACGCCGCAGAGGAAGCGGCAGACGAGGAGGCCGCCGATGTTGGGGGACAGGGCGCAAGGGATGTTGAAGATGGTGTAGAGAGCGAGGGAGATGATGTAGACGGGGCGACGGCCGATGATTTCCGACAGGGGCGACCAGAGGAGTGGACCAACGGCGAAGCCACAGACCATGATGGAGCAGGTGAGGGTTGCGACCTCGAGGGAGACATGGTATTTCTCTTCGATTAGGCCGAGGCCGCCGGTCACGATGGAGGAGCCGTAGGCGATGTTGACGACCAGTAGGGCAGCGACGAGCGTGACGTACCAGCGGTACGTGCGCGACCAGTTGAAGGGGTTTTCGGGGTCGTTGATGGTGAACGTCACGAACTCAGCAGGCTCGGTGGCTTTCTCGACGTCTTCTGAGCTGTCTGGGCTGGATGAGCGTCGCGAGGGCGTACGAGAGCGCATATGTTCGAGCGTTCGCTCGGGGACCAGCCCAGTGCTGGTCTCGACGGTGTACTCTTCAGGAAACACAGGATCCTCTTCACGACCGACATCAGGATAGTTGTAGTCCATTGGCGGGGCCTTTTCTGAGATGCCCTGGTTTTCAAGGGATTCGCGGGTTTCGGTCCTGGGTAGGCCAGGCCGTTGCTCCGAGTGTGGTATCGACATGTTGTACCAAATAGTAATTATAGATCTAGAAGACTGTCTATCGATACTGGGTTGATGATGAGCCATGACAGAGGGATGGACGGAGCTCTTTTATATCATCGAGAAAGTGATGGTATACTGGTTGTGGTACCGATCCATCGCCGAGAGGGCCGAGCAAGGGCCGCCACTGCATAAGGTTGATGTCAACTGTCGATGACTCGGACTACCAACTTGGCGTCACACGGTTCCAAGATTAGATTGCATCCCAGCTGATATCGGGAGCCAAGTATTCACACATGGTTGAGCTCAGCTGGGTAACACAGCTTGCTGATGGTGCGGCTCGTGCAAGCTGTCCAACATCCCCATTTGAGGTACAACCCTGCATTGTACTCTTCATGTCGCATTCCTGATCAACAACTCCATGTTCCTGCTGTCAGTGACCATGCTATCATCAGGGTCAATCTCAGAGGATAAGAACAAGCATGGCCCGACACAAGCTGATGAAAACTCTGCAAGTGCATTCCTATCCAGGCAAGAGATCAATAATCGCGCAAGATCCTGCGGTCCACTGGACGGGTGAAGAAGAATGTGGCTGATCATGCGTCAAGACATGACATTCTCGGCGATGTCTCGGTACCGAGAACCCCCCGAGATACCCCGAAGCATCACCAACATCGAGAAAACTCCGAAGACGAATCCTTCAACTAGCTGCAACAGCTCCGAGTGGACACATCACGGCCCGAGACCGGTTTCTGCCCAGGGCCAGAACCGTCTATACAAAGTTTTCATTTCACGTGGCTCCCTGGATCTATCTAATCACTAGCCTGGTACTTGGCCCGGTACTGCTCCAAGCGCTTCATATCCTCCTCGTTGCCCTTTTCCTTCATCAACTTGATCAAGTCATCCAGAGTGACGATACTCGTCGTGGGCACGCCATACTCCTTGCGGATTTGTCCCATCGCGCTCATCCGGGGAGCGTCGTCCTCCACGCCGTTTGCGTCCTTGGGGCCCGGCATCTTCTCCAAGCGATCCAAAGCCACCGCGAATCCAACCACCTTGCCGCCTTGCTGGGCCACCAGGTTCAGGGTCTCGCGCATGGCCGTGCCCGCCGTGATCACATCATCGATCACCAGCACCGTCTTGTCCTTGAGCGCCGCGCCGACAATGTTGCCGCCCTCGCCGTGGTCCTTGGCTTCCTTGCGGTTGTAGCTGTAGCAGACGCTGCCCCAGGTGGCGGGGTCGATGCGGTTGAGTTCGAGGAGGGTGGCGCAGGCGAGGGGAATGCCCTTGTAGGCGGGTCTAGAGAGGTTAGTTGGGGGGGATAAATTCACGGGAAAGGGGCAATACCCGAAGATGATGTCGGGCTTGGGGATAGAGGGGTTCTCGGCGAGGAAGGCGATGATGGTGTGGGCGTAGGCGGTGGAGAGGGCGGACAGCAGGGAAGCAGTGTTGAAGATGCCGGCGTTGAAGAAGTAGGGGGATTCTATAAGGTCAGTGTTGGTGTAGGGGGGTGGGTGCTGCGGGGACATACGGCGACCAGACTTGAGGGTGAAGGTGCCGAATTTCAGGACATTGGCGGAGAGGCAGGACTCCAAGAAGGAGATCTTGTGGGCGGGGAGAGCCATGGTGAGGTATGAGGTGTATGAGGGAGACAGACACGGTTTGCGGGGAAGAAATGGATCAATTCGAAATGAGGACAAAAAAGTCGGGCCTCCAGATGCTGACTCAGCCCCCGCACTAGTCCGGATGCAGTCGTCTTATCTTATCGTATCCTTATGCCTGAGGCAGATATTATCATTTGGTTGTTGTAAACATCTCACTGGTGGGTTAATTGATATAATAGTCATTCTCGTACTACTATCCGTATATGAGTAGTTATATTCTGCTACAGGCTAAATACTGATTAGTAGGTGGCGTTGGAGGGTTTCGAGTAACTTATCCAAGCAGACACCGAAACATATAATCCGAAGCTAACCATCAAGCGAACGGCATACTACATTTTAGTCAACCCCAGCAGTCAGAGCAACCACATCTGGTGCTGGTCAGCCATTGTATCGACACCCAAACAAGATCTCTAGTATATACATATCACGCGCACCACCGATCAAACGCAGCAAACACATCTTCGCCTCCTGACAATCGCGTCCACCGAGGCGTTCGAGACGCATCAATACGATTACACACACCAATAGCCCGCATCAACACATTGCTATTTCCATCCGTTGTGAAGCACGTTTTAGAGAGCCGGACATCCTCCTGCTTCTTCAGAATATCCACAAAGCCACGAAGGGCCAAAATCGTACTTTGGCTCTCTGCCAGCTGCAGCCCATCAATAATCCAAACTATGGCTCGAGGGCCAAGTGCGAGCAGTGCTTCAATAATATCAAGGGCGGTTGAAGCACTGGCGATACTTCCATCTAGCAGGTCAAACTGCTGCTGGCTAAGTTCCGGAACCGCTGGAAGATACATTGGAGCCAGACATGCCAGTTGGCTGATGACGGAGTACAGCAAAGCTACCGTGGCGGCCTCTGGGTTTGAAGTGGCTTTCTTGGTCCCCAGGGGGAATGTGTAGATTGGCTTGCCCCAAAAGGACACACAGGGAAGACGCGCATTCAAGGAACTGTCGCACAGCTGCATTGCGGCTAGAGAAAGGGTGGACCCGTACTCGGGCAGCCAATCTCCCTCAAGCCAGATCATTTTGGAGTGTGGGCGCTCAATCCATACCCGGACTTCCTGCAGAACTTCAGGGGGTAACGGGGATGGATTGCCCCGGACGGTATTGGCCATATATAACCTACCATCGTCGGCGTAGATGGTGAGTGGCTCAATGGCTTTTTGAAGATCGTATCTCGTACAGAGCTGTTCTGGGTCTGAGAGATGAAAAGTCAGTTTCTTCGTGCGTATGATGGGAGTGCACTTACAGTATTGGAATGAAGTGAAGTTTATCTTGTGTTCAGCCATTTGTCCTTCGAGGGTTTGCACAGGTACGTCTGGTGGCTGAATTTCTGTCTTTGGTCAAACAATTATCTGATCGCCGTAGCCGATATTGAAGGGAAGAAACCCTAAAAGGCGAGGATCTCAAGGGCTTGATATAGCTCGCAGAGCGGAGGCCTGCTACCGGAGGTCTCCTAGTAGGTAGGAGTTCTCCTATGCCTACCTGGCTTCGTTCTGGAAAATCAGCTCAGGTAGCTGAGGAGCAAACCTTGGTGCGGGATTGAATGAGGAGTAAGTCAGGGGAGTCGGTCAGGCTGAAGGACAGCCAGTACCCAATGAATGTCCACGGTGTAGACGAGAAATGCCTTGCCTTTATAGCATAACGAGAGATTAACAAAACGATGCTAAAAGGCAATTGCAGAAAATTCATCTGGTATCGGCCGGAAGTACCCGATTTATGATGAGCTCGAGTAGTTTATCTTGTCTGCTATCCTACCCATTATCTCTGAAACCTGGTCACCAATTATCTAGACTCCATATTCGGTGATGAGGTTCTTAGGACCAGTGATGCATCAAATCCTGATCGTATCAAACCGTTCGACTAGCTGAGTAACTTGTAGCCAATAACCTACAGACTCAATTCCTTTACAATGACGAAGTTATGCCCTCAATACCTACCCTCCATCAAATACCCCCACACACAACACAGAACCCTACCAAATACTACCAACTTCCACATTTATCACAAAACTATTATTTCATACCTCAGCAACTATATACACCTTCCCCACCCCCAATTACTCCAAAAACATCCAAATAGACATTACCCCAATCGAATCACCATAAATATACATTACCCAACGCCCAATATCATACACCCCCAACCCAAACCATTCTGACCAAAGAAAATCACCTCAAACTCTGCAAATTCACCATTTCAAAATACCTCCCCCTCCTCCTCAACAACTCCTTATGCGTCCCACACTCAATCACCTCCCCCTGTTCCAGAAAATAAATCATATCCGCTCGTTGAATCGTACTCAACCGATGTGCCACCGCAATCGTCGTCCTCCCCTTGGCCGCCGCATCCAACGCCGCCTGCACCACTTTCTCGGACTCGGAATCCAACGCCGACGTAGCTTCATCGAGAAGCAAGATCCTCGGGTTGCGGATTAGGGCGCGCGCAATCGCAATACGTTGCTTCTGGCCGCCGGAGAGCATTCCGCCTTTGTTGCCGACTAGGGTTTCGAAGCCTTGTCTGTTCACATAGCATCAGCACACCACTCAATAGAACACACCCAGACAGACAAAAAAGGAAGGGGGGCTCACGGTAAAGACATGATAAAATCATAAATATTCGCATCCCTACACGCCCTCACCAACATCTCCTCACTCACATTCTCGCGATCCGTACATCCCAGAAGAATATTTTCCTTAATAGTGCCATGAAACAACGACGGTTCCTGACTCACCAAGGCAAGATGACTTCTATACGACCGTCGATCCAACGCATTAATATTCCGTCCGTCAATGTATATCTCGCCCACCTGAGCCTCGTAGAACCGTTCCAAGAGGGCAATGATGGTACTTTTCCCGCTGCCGCTGGATCCGACCAATGCTACGTACTGTCCTGGTTTGACTTTGAGATTCAAGTGGCGGAGGATAGGCTGTTCCAGACGCGTCGGGTATCGGAAGGAGACTTCGCGGAATTCGACCTCCCCCTGCATACTGGACACGTGCACGCCCGTGCTTTTGTACGCGTTGATGGATTGGTTCCGGAAGAGTTTTTTGAATTCCACGGCGGCGTTCTTGGCCTTGCCCATGTCCGGGGCGTGGGAGAAGATGGTCCCTGCGGCTTGGGCGCCGAAGATGACTTCGCTGAAGCAGACGTAGAATTGGAAGACGGTGTATTGGCCCTTGCCGAGGAGGGAGCCGCCGTACCAGAAGCCGAGGGCCATGCAGAGGAAGGGGAGGGCTTGGGAGCTTGCGTACAGGGCGGAGGATTTAATGATGGGGAAGATGTCGCTGCGGAGTTGGTTGTGGAGTTGGGATTCGTAGGAGGTCAGCACGGCGGGTTCCATTGTGAGGGAGGCGACGGTGCGGATGGCGGAGGCGGCTTCGCAGGCGGAACTGGCGGATTTCTGGTATGCGGATTTGGCGCGGCGTTGGATTTTGTCGAGCATCCAGACGCGGATGAAGCCGCAGGCGAGGAGGACGGGGACGGCGGAGATGCAGACGAGGGCGAGTTTCCAGCCCATGATTAGGGCGACGATGAGGGAGGCGGCGAGGTTGACGGTGACGATGAGGATGGTGCCTAGGGTGACGCCGCTGATGCCGGCGAGTTGTTTGGTTTCGGCGGAGAGAGTGGAGGTGAGAGCGCCGGTGGTGTTTTCTTCTTTGTCGAAGAAGGAGATTTCTTGGTTGAGCATGACGCGGAAGGCCTGGCTGCGGGCGCGGTAGATCATGCGTTCGGAGCTGTAGGCGAAGAGGGTGCCTTGGAGGCTGTAGATGAAGAGGGTGACCATGCCCATCATGAAGAACATGAGGGACCAGAAGTTGGCGTCGTGGCGGAGTTTGGGGTATTCGATGGGGGGAAGGCTGAGGGTGCTGACGGCTTTGGCGAAGAGGACGGCTTGCGAGGGTTGGATGCCGCCGGCGATGATGGAGGCGAGGAGGCCGAGGAACATGATGGGCCATTCGGGGCGGTTGAAGGAGGCGAGGAATTGGAAGAGGGACCAGAGGGAGAAGGTTTGTTTGAGCTTGGAGGGCAAGGGGGCGATGAACATGGACATGCGTGTGCGGCGGCGGCGATGTTTGCTGCCGGTGCGGAGGCCGATGTCGGAGGCGTCGTCGCTGAGGAGGTCTTCGTCTTGCATGGGGTAGGTTTCGATGTAGTCGTCGTCGAAGAAGAAGGTCATGGATTCGTGGCGCTTCTTTTCTTCGCGTTGTTTGATTTGTTGCGCCTCGACCATGTCGTGGTAGACGCCGCGGCGGTCCATGAGGGGGGCGTGGGCGCCTTGTTCGACGATGTGACCGTTGACGAGGACGACGATGTTGTGGGCTTCTTTGATGGTGGAGAGACGATGGGCGATGACGATGGTGGTGCGGCCCTTGGAGGCTTTGTCTAGGGCTGATTGCACGATTTCTTCCGACTTGGCGTCCAGCGCGGATGTCGCTTCGTCGAGGAGGAGTAGTTGGGGGTCTTTGACGATGGCGCGGGCGATGGCGATGCGTTGTTTCTGGCCACCGGAGAGGGAGAAGGACCCGATGTTGGTGTCGTAGCGGCTGGGAAGGGCCATGATGAAGTCGTGGGCGTTGGCCATGCGGGCAGCATCGTGGATGCGCTTGGTGATTTGGGCTTCACTTTCGTGCTCGTACTCGGACCCGATGAGGCCGAACTTGATGTTCTGGTAGATGCTGGCCGAGAAGAGTCGGGGTTCTTGGGAGACCAAAGCGACTTGCTGTCGCAGCCAGCGCAGGTTGAGGGTTTGCAGGTCATGGCCGTCGAGGGTGATGCGGCCGGCCACGGGGTTGTAGAAGCGCTCGATCAGGCCGATGATGGTGCTTTTGCCGGAGCCAGAGGGTCCCACGAATGCGGTGGTCTTGCCAGCGGGGATGTAGACGCTGAGGTCGTTGGCGACGATGACCTCCGGACGAGAAGGGTAGACGTGGCGGATGTTCTGCAGGACAATGTTGCCCTTGATGTGGCTGAGTTTGAGGCCCTGCTCAGACGAGGCATCCAACGGCGAGGGACGGTCAATGGTGCTGTACAGCTTGGATGCTGCGGCCACGGCATTGGAGATGGCCTGGGTGTTGGGGGCCACGTTGCCCAGATGGTAGGACCCAAGCATGATGGACATGAGAATGGTCAGGATATCGCCTGCCTGGACACCGCTATCTCTATGCACGAGGAAGATACTCCCGCGCCAGAAGCCGAGGGAATAGTTGAGATGAATACAGGAGAGTAATGCTCCCACCATGATAGCAAAGATGATCTGCGACTTTCTGGCTGGCCCTTCGGACTCCTTCAAGTGGGCGTCGTACTTGGACGACAGAACGTTCTGGGCATCAAACGCAACCACCGTCCTGACTGAATCAAGGATATCCTCGGCGAAACTGCCGCAGCGACCCTGACATTCCAGCGATTTCTTGCTGTACACCAGGGAGAACATGGACCCGCCCCCCATGATAACAAGTAGGGCAATGAGGGTTGCGCTACAGATCAAGGCCAGCTTCCAGTACTTGATGTAGGCGATGATGAATGCCGTGGCAAACGTGGACAATCCGGTCAGCGCCAGGCCGACTTTTTCGGAGATTCCATCCTGGATCAGGTTGGTGTCTGCGGTGATTCGGGTGGTGATTTCACCAGCCCCGAGGTTATCGAAGAAGGCGATGTTCTGGCGCAGGATAGCACGCAGATACTCCACGCGGATCCGCTGGACCACATGGTCGCCGGTGTAGATGAACCCGGCTGTGGCAATGTAGATGGTAAGGAACTCGGCGATGGCGAGGTAGATAAAGTAGACGACGTATTTGTTGAGTTCGTCGTGAAAGTGCTCGTAGGTGATGGTCCCTACGGCGATGTCTTGAAAGGTCGAGGTGAGGTTGCCAAAGAGGACCTGGCGACGTTAGAGAAGGCAGATAATTGACAAAAATGTACACACCGTGAATAAAGGCAGAGCAGCACCTCCAGCTATCGAAGCAATCGAACTCAAGACAATGAGGAAGATATCCCAGCGACTAGCATAGCGATAGATACCAAAGAAGCCCGGCTGCGACGGCGGCGCATTCACCTGCTTGTCGAGAATATCCTTTTCGACATCCGACAGCGAGATAGCAGTGCTTTCAGTGCCCGGCGACTATCCATGTTAGCTGTCAGATACCACAGCATCAAACGAAGCACCCACCTTGGGCAGCTCCTCCAAACATATGTCCTCCTTCCACTTCATGATGTCGACAAATGACTGACTACCTTTCCGCCATCAAGGGGACATGACAAGCAACAGAACGATCGAATAGAACCAGACAACAGACGGACTCAGTCAGAAAGTCAATCGCTGGAAATTGCACCCCCCGGATGAAATCATGAAATCTACCTGTCACGCGGCACCTGCATCAGAACCCCTATACTTGAAACTCTCAGAAATGGCAAATCCACCCGAAATGAAGCCTCCTGCAACCGACCCATGTTCCACGGAACCTCGGTAGATCGCGACCATCCTTATTCTTTTTTTTTTTTTTTTCCCGCCAGCAAGGCATTGCAGCAACTCTAAACAAGACCAAAGATGGGTAAACCAGGGAAGTGGCCCGAGTGGGAACCGGTGTTTCAGCCGGCCGATCGTCAGGCACCGCGCGAGAACCCAATATTAGGGCTGCGAGGATCACCTGAAACCTCAACGTTTTCAGCCGCAGATCCAAATGTCGGATACTACACCCTGGCCGTCATTTAACAGTCTTGGCGGGCTTAGCTACTGGTGTGTGCTTGTTTGGGGGCAGAGTTGAGCGCCCGTTGGTGTTGGTGAAACTGGGGTGGCTTCTGAGTTGCCTCAATTTTGGGTCCGCGCCGCCGTTTGAGATGATTGACTGGCAGATGCCATTGGACCCTGCAAAGATGAGCTAAGCGAACTATGCCAACTACGCTAACTAATTAGTGTACAATTGATGGATCAGATTACTCGGGAAAAAGTTTAAAATATTTTCATGTGGTATATTGGAAACTAGTGGTGTTGCACCATAACTTTAATCTGGGTATAGCATCAACTAAGGGGGGAAGGAAGGTAAGTGAGTGAATGAAGAGAAGTGAAGTGAAGGTAAAGAATGTAAAGTGAATCAAGTAAGTCATGATGAATGAATGAAGAATGAATGAAAGAAGATCAGATAGCCTGTCGCTTCCGGAGCTTCAGCTTCAAATCAGGCACCTCCCAAAAGGCATAGCAACGACTCTCCCGCTGCCAGTCCTTGACTGGACCAACATACTCGGCCTCGTATTCCATAAAGAAGGAAGCCAGAGTCAGCTGCATCATCTGTTTCGCAAAGTACTTGGCGATGCAGGACCGGCTGCCCACCAGGAAAGGCTGGACTGCCTCCTTCTTGTCCGTCGACTCGGCCTCGGTCCACCGCTCAGGAATGAACTCGTATGGTTCGTTGAAGTACTCCGGGTTGTGATGCAGCGCAAACAGGGAAGTACAGATCTCAGTCTGCGACGTGAGTTAGCGGTGTTTCAGACAGGTCATGTCAGGCCACTTACCCCGGCTGGAATGTACGTCCCGTCGACATAGGCTCCGGGTGAAACGCGCGGGCCTCCCAGTGGCACCGGTGGATACAGACGGAGGGACTCAGTGATGACGGCGTTCAGGTAGGGCAGGTTCTGGGCGATGTCACCCGACACATCCTCCGGAGAGGCAAAGGCGGATTGCAGTTCGCCGATCAACTTGGCGTGGGCCTCGGGGTGTGTCAGGACAAAGTAGATGGTGGCACAGAGGGCATTCTGGGTGGTGTGGAAACCAGCCAGCATGATGGCCGAGAAGTTCTCCGCAATTTCTGCTACCGGGAGGTCACTGTTGGACGCCCTCTCCATGACTTCGACCATGATGTCACGGCGATTGTGCGATGCGGTCAATTGTCTGTGCCGTTAGCTTGTGCTAGGACAGTGATTTCGATTGACTTACTCGTTGATGAGTCTCATTCTGGCCTGCTCAGCGCGAGACCGGACTCCCTTGCGGATCAAGTAGCGAAGCATCAACTTGATCATGGTGGGGACTCCAGAGCCGGCGAATTGATCACGGATCGTGGCCCAGAAGAAGATGCGGCTGAGCTGCTCCGTCCAGAAGTACGGCTTGCCTCTCTTCAAACAGCCCAGAGACTTGCCCAGGAGCACCTCGGAGACCGTATCCACCGAGTGGCAGTAGAGCATCTGGTTCAGGCTGACGGTGTTGGTGCTTTCCAGCTTGCCATTGATGACATCGTGTAGCCGGGAGATGCATCCCAGAATCACGTTCGCATGAGCCTGCATGCTTCCCGGACTTAAAGAGGGACTGAACAGCTTGCGAACCGAAGCATGGTAGCTGGGATCGCTCGCCGTGAAGATGTTGCGACGCGAGATGCCTTTGTAGAAGCCGGTCTTGAGAAAGGCACTTCCCTTGCCGGACCCGGCGCCATAGATGTTGCGCAGGCCCTTGATGGTGTTGGTGGTGGCCTGCCCGGGGGCGAACCTGACGACATTTCCTGCGCGAGTTAGCTTGTCCATGATGCACTGGCTGGCTACATACCGTATGCTACATGGAGGGAATTGAAGTAATGGGCACTTCGTCCTGCAACGAAGTTGATCTTGGTACCAATCTAGGAACATTAGTTGAGTCCGAGGTACTTTGCTGTATACAACTTACACCACAGCAGAAAAGGTCGAGGAAAGAACCCGGGACACCCTTGATGGTTGGTCCCTTGGGGACAAATTTGATCAACAGAATGAGAATCCAAGGAACCTGACAATTAGTCTTCGTTCTAGAAGGCATCAGGCATACATACAAGGACAACCGCCATGACCGGCAGGGACAGGTTGCTAGGGTTGATCTCGGGCATCTGGCCCGAAGGCAGGGCCATTGCGAACACCATTTTGTGAGTGAAACGAATGTGAAAGTTGGATCTGGTCAGGAGCAAGAACAGCGCTCTAGGTTGGTCTATTTATGATGGCCGACTGGAGAGCCGGATGGGTTGGGACGTGGGATGAGCCGATTCTCCTGTCTCCATCTCCTTTCTCTCTCCTCTCATCTCCAGTCTTCTCCAATCCTCTCCTTTCGTGTCTCCTGATGGGGCGGGTTACAAGGCTAAGGTGGTGTACCGACGGATGGATGGGATGAGTGACCCGTGTTTTTACTTTACCTCATTTAACCTTGTCGGAGGGGGTTCCGTTCGCGGTAATTCCTCGGTTGGATCGCCATGATCTGAGGGAACCGATCAAGCCAGGTGGTACTGCCGATCACTCTGCGGCCATCTGCGGCCATCTACGGCGTTGAACCGTGGATGGGGCCGAGGGTTAGGGTTAGCGGCCCCCGGATTTGGTGCAACTCAAAGTTCGGCTTCGCAGGTCCCATTTTTGGGCTGTCGGGCATTCCACCTGCCAAGCCCCCATTCATCTACCAGAAACATTCCGTATCTGCAAGTGTCGCATGGTCGGGGGTTTAAAAAGGGTCCCTGTCGCAGACCCTGATCCCGTCGTTGGCACATTTTCAGGGTTCATTCGTTTCACTGCGGTTTCGACCCATTCCTCTCGGGTTCTTGTCACTCCTTGACAGTCCGTGTCATTCTTTTCCATTGCCCCGGGCACTCCTGACTTGTAGTTAAATTGACTGCTCTACCAGCGGGGCTGGCCTCGAGCATTTCCTTCCTTACCATGACCGATCAACCTACTCGAGTCCTCTTCCTGGCCAACAGCGAACATGGTCAAACGAACATTATCCTGGCAATCACACACGAGCTCCTCGTCCAGGGCAACGTTGAAGTCCATATTGGCTCGTTCCCCGTCCTTGAAAAACGGGTGGAGAAACTTTTGGCAGACAACGCAGATGCTTATGATGAGTCCTTCCGGTCGCGTGTTCACTTCCACCCTGTGAGGGGCCCATCTAACACCGATGTTTTTATTCGCACGGGTAAACGCGGTGCCTTTCATCCTCCGGGGTATCATGGCGCCGTGCTGGGCTTCCAGTCTCTGTGCGAGGACATCTGGGGGTGGACGGAGGAGGAGTACGTTGACATTTACGAGAGCTGTGTCGAGATCATCAACGAGGTGAAGCCATCGACGATTGCCATTGACTTTTTCTTTTTGCAAGGGAGAGATGCTGCTTACAACACGGGGCACACAGCCATTCTCATCAACACGACATCCCTCAGCCATATTGTGCTGGGCATGCAGCCCAATTCCGCTGCCTTGTGGAAATACCCACTGTAGGTACTCCCCTTCATATTTATTACACGGTCGCTAATGAATCAGCCCGGGAACTGGTTTCCCTTATCCTATCCCTTGGCATCTCATCCCGCTGAATATCATGGCTGTCCTCAAGACGGCCAAGATGTATCACGGCAGTGGCAGACGTCGCGAGATCCGTGAATGGCGGATTAAGCACAAAATCCACGGTCGCTTTCCATTTGCCGATGCCTGGCGTCCAGACCGGTATCATATCTCGCCAGGTTTGAAGGAGCTGGACTGGCCGTTTAGCAAGGTGCCCGACAACATTCTCCCGGCTGGTCCTATCCTGCTGCCCACGGCCTCGGTCGAGAAGCAGGACCCGGAAATGGCGCGCTGGCTCAACCAGGCTCCGACCATACTGGTCAACCTGGGCACTCTGTATGCCCCTGATCCAAAGGTGGCTGAGAATATTGCCACCGGGTTGAAGGGCTTCCTCAACTCGTGGAAAGGCGGAAAGGTGCAGATTCTGTGGAAGCTGCCCAAGCACCCACACGACGAGGACGACATCTACACTCGGTCAATCGAGCCTCTTAAGAAAGAGACAGAAGAGGGCAGCGTGTTGATCCGTCCCTGGTTCGAGGTCGAGCCCATGGCGATGCTGCAGACGGGGCAGATTGTCTGCTCGGTTCACCACGGCGGTGCCAACTCGTGGTACGAGGCTATTCAGTAAGTTTTTCACCCGTTGTGCTGAACATCTCTAACTTGAATAGAAACGGTGTCCCTCATGTAGTCCTTCCTGCCTGGCAAGACTGCTACGAGAACGCTGCTCGTGCCGAATGGCTCGGTATCGGGGTGTATGGCAACAAGAGTCGTGCTCCCAACATCAGCTCCAAGGAGTTGAGCAAGGCTCTTCTGAAGGTCATGAATAACCGCTCCTACAAGGAAAAGGCTACCGACATTGCCAAGCTCTGCAAGAAGGAGGGCCGCGTTGCAGCCGCTGAAAAAATCGCTGAGCTTGCTCGTAACCCTGAAAAGGCGACGGCGATTCACATCCCGCAGGCCAACCCTGAAGACCAACCACCGCTGTACGAGATTAAGAACCGCGCAGGCATGACGCTTCAAACTGCTCAAGAGCCCAAGACTGAGGGCAAGGGAGCATCCAAGTAAGCCCCCCTCTTACTCCATCTCAATCACCACTAACATCCCCAGACCCCTCCTTACCGACATCGCCGAATCCATCCTGATGACCCTCATCTGCACCACCTGGTTCCACCTCCCTCTACTAGGCTACTCCCTCCTACTAGTCCCCCGTCTCCGCCTCTTCGTCCTGCTCTACATCCTCTACATCAAATACTTCGCCAAGGCGCACAAATCCGGCACCTTGCCCTACCGCAACGATGCCTTCCGCACATCCTTCATCTGGAAAGTCTTCGCCTCTTACTTCCCCCTCACCCTGTACCGCTCTGCCCCCTTATCCCCCCGCAAGAAATACATCTTCGGCTACCACCCGCACGGCGTCGCCCTCCGCGGCGCCATCGGCGCCTTCGCCGCCGACCCCGTCGGCTTCTCCTCCCTCTTCCCAGGTATCACCAACACCCTCCTCATCAAAGACGACTTCTTCTACCAGCCCTTTCAACGCGAGTATATCCTCGCCATCGGAGCGAGCGGCGTATCCCGCACTTCGTGCATCAAGCACCTCACCCGCGGCGGGCACGACGAGCGCGGCATGGGCCGCTCCATCGCCATCACTGTCGGTGGTAGTCGGGAATATAACATCGCCAAGCCCGGGACGATGGGCGTGGTGATTAAGATCCGGAAGGGATTTGTGCGGGTGGCGGTGGAGACAGGGGCGGATTTGGTTCCGGTGGTGGCATTTGGGGAGAATGAGCTGTTTGATTTGATTGATACGAAGTCGTCGTCGGTGTTGGGGGTGGTGGCTCGGGTTTGGGAGTTTGTAGTGGGTCATCGTGTGGCGTTCTCGAAGGGAAGGTTTGGGATGTTTTGTCCGCATCGGAGACCGTTGAATGTGGTTGTTGGGGAGCCGATTGAGGTTGTGCAGCAGAGGTGGGAACCGGATGAGAAGTATATTGATCAGTTGCATGGGGAGTATGTCAAGAGGTTGGAGGGGTTGTGGGAGGATTGGAAGGAGACGTTTGGGGTGGAGAGGGATGTCAAGTTTGAGATTGTGGAGTGATTGATACATTTTTTCTTCCTTCTTTCTTCTTTGTTGGTTTTGTCTCTATTCGAGTGGTTGAGATATATCCCGTTACGACTGCCGGCAGTTGGATTGTTTATTTGTGGTTTATATACCTTGGAACATGACATATTCTTTGCTTTTTCGAACAGTATGACCATGCCCAATACTTTCACATCATCCCTGTCATGAATATACCGCTTAGAAATATTGATCTCGTTCACTATTACGCAACTCCATACAACCCATAGTAGCCCTAATTCTACCCCAGAGCGTATCCCTGACTCAACAACGTTGCTCCATCCCAATAAACCCCAAGTCTAGATTCTTGAGGAGTAGGAGTCAAGAAAGGTACCTCTAAACAAGACAATTTTCCCGAAATCCCATCCATCCCATTGCATATTAAACCTGAACTTCAGAAAAACCCTAAAGCAGTCATCTAACTAAACCCCAATTAGAACAATTCATCTTTACTAATATTTGTTCCATAATCTCACCAACTCACAAAGGATTCACCATAACCACACCACAACGCCATATCATGCCATCCCCCTTTAAAAACAATGTAAAATCCGTAACATCACCATAAAATACAATACAATACACACCCATACACATCTGCCAAACCATCCCGCACCCTTGCAGATTAGCGCTTACTGTGGATCCCGAATATGGTGGTGTGGAGCTGTATACAGGGGTATGATTGGTCCGTTCGAGTATCATAATTTAGAGTTATTGGGTGGGTTGGTTATTGCTGAGAATGATGATATGGGTGTTGGTTTCAGTGGGTTATATCTATTCCGCTGCCCAGGTAGCTAGGTAGCGGGTGGGTTCACTAGATGGGAGATGAGGAAATAAGTAGGGGCAGAGGAATTTGAGTCGGTGAGTTAGTCACATAATAGTTAGAGTTATTTCATAGTATATCATATTTTTTTATCACATTTGTTGGTGCTTCTTGATGTGGGTGACAGAGGGAGAGAAATAGATTCTAGGTAGGATTACTGTGCTGCGTGTAGAGCAAAAAGTATCTATACTATGCAATCCATCAGGCATTCTATACGATCTATTAAATAGCCATTTAGCGCATACTCACAGCCAAAACCAGCTCAAAAAATAATCTTCTACCTCCATCTACTCATCAAACAATCAATCAACCGCACAACTCCCCCACCAACACACCCCTCCACGCATTCATAATCCCTTTAACAAACACATCTTCATAAAATGCCTCATTCCAACACACCCCCAATCGCAACTCCCCCTTCCAACTCCACACATGCACGACCAATTCCCGTGAGAGTACTTCCACGCCAATCCACCAGTCCTCTATCTCCACCTCTCCGTACTGACTACCTAGTGAATCGTTCACCCTTCCCATCGAAACGAATACTGGTACTGCCGGTCCATGTAATGGATCTTCTGGCTGGATGCTGAAGAGTTCCAGGACCTGTTTCACGTACTGAGGGAGAAAGGCGAATACGTTTCGTGGTTCCTCGGCACCCAGGTTCCGAGAGTATCCTTTTCCTAGGACGGAAGCGATGGAGGAAAAGTCTCGGTGTGAGGACAAATCGATAGAGATCCCCAGACCAGTATGGTAGATACTCACTGCCGCGGAAGGCCCGTTGAATGGAGCAGGCATGTACCGTCGGAGGCTGAACGTGTTGAGCGTTGTGTAGGTTCCACCTGGTTGCCCACGCGTCGAAGGATCGAAGTTGTGTTGTGCGTGGGGGAGCATAGCAACTGCAAATGCGGCGTGTAGGGCTGTGGTGATTGTGATGCCCTGGTCTTTGCACGCGGCGATGATCTGGGTGGTTGTTTCCGCGGGGATGATGGTTTGGGTGGTGCGGGTGGTGGTGGGGAGGATATTGGGGAGAGTGGGCATGGAGATGGCGGTGGGTGCGTTATCGAGGACGATGGAGAGTTCGGCGTCGGCTGCTGATTTCATCTCCTCGGGGGTTAATGTGTTCGGTTGGAAGATGATTTCGTCAAGGGTTGGGTTTAGGCGTGTGAGTAGGTTGGTGACTGATGGGTCTGGGGTGGTTGTTCCGGAGAGGAGGTCGAAGAAAGATGCTTGGAGATGCAGCAGACCGAAGCCGTCGATGCGCCAGTGGGGAGTTCGCCAGAGGAGTTCGCGAGATTGGGGGAGGTAGTATAGTCGGAAGACCGTGGTTGGTTCTAGGGTTGGGATCAGGTGAGCGGCTGAGATGTCTGGCTTTACGAGAAAAGTGTCCTCGACCCAGGCATTGAGTTCGGCTGGGGATGGGACGGTGTATACGAGGCGGGTATTGCTCTCTGCCACGGCAGCAATCTGGGGATGCTGCTGACTCAGGTTCTTCCAGGCTTGTTGGATCTGTGCTGGGGGTAGGGAGGCCTTCAGCCGGGTCACCGATGAAATCAGATAGTGCTGCTTATTGAGAGCTGCCCCAGCATCGGCAATGGCACGATAGAAGACCTCGAGGGAGTCAAAAGACCGCTCATAGCGAGTGGGAGAAACTTGGGTCCAAGACATGGTAAGCTCAATTGATAGGTTGGTTGAAGTGGTTTCAGCAGCAGGAAGCAGGGAGATTTATAGGAGGCAAATCCACAACTAATGAATCATCATCAGGCCCCCCATGGCCACTCTGCAAGCAGCGGTATAGGTAATTCATTTTCCATACGATACCGACGAGGCTGAGCGGAAACCATCTCCATGTTAGGGCCCGACTAAAGCATCTAGATCCTGTCTAGCAGTTTAGCTCGTGTTTGGGGGCCGTCAAGGTGGGGCTGTTGACTCGCACATTTAAAGCCATGAGGGGCACTGACAACCTCATCCTCAACTTATTTCACTCATCATCACAGAATCATGACGGGACAACTCACCTGGCTCGTTACCGGCTGCTCCTCTGGCCTGGGAGAGGCCATTGTCCAGGCCATCCTGGCCAAGGTAACTCCCTTCTTCTCTTAATTGACGTCATCGCTCATCTAATCCCAGGGCGACAAAGCCATTGCCACCACCCGTGCCAGCAAAGGAATCAGCGGCGCTGACCGTCTCAGCGCCTTGAAAGAGGCCGGGGCCGCGGTGTACGAACTAGACATGGGATCCTCAGAAGAATTGCTTCAGCAACAAGCCAAAGACATCTGGGAGACCTACGGACCCATCGACGTCCTGGTTAACAACGCCGGATACATCGAGGCCGCCGCATTCGAAGAAATGAAGTACACCCCCCATCCCTCCTCAATTCAATAATACTAACCCACCCAGTGACAAATTCCTCCTCGACTCCCTCCGCATCAACGCCTTCGGGCCCTTCAACCTCACCCGGGCCTTTCTCCCCATGATGCGCGCCCGGCGAACCGGAACGGTGCTTTTCTCCGGCACGGTTGGATCCTACTACGGAGCACCTGGAGGAACATGCTACTGTGGCTCCAAGGGGCTAATTGAGGGGGTGGTTCCTCATCTGGCCTTGGAAATCGCGCCCTTCAACCTACGCACGTCCATTCTCACGTATGGTCACTTCCGCACGCCGGTCATGGAGCCGGGGCATGTTCATAACCGCGCCCCGAATCCATTGCCCGATTATGTGGAAATGAATACGCAGATGGTGGCAGGGCTGGAGGCTTGGTCTTTGAATCAGCCAGGGGATCCGCGGAAGGCGGCTGATCTGGTGGTGGAGGCTGTGAGGGCAGAGGGGAGATGCGAGGGGAAGGAGTTGCCGTTGAGGTTGCCGGTTGGGCTGGATACGTTTGATTATGTGAGGAAAGACTGTGAGGAGAAGATGCAGATTTTGGGGGAGTGGGAGGGGGTTTCTTCGGAGACTAATTGTTAGTGTTTTGTGGGGGGTGTTGTCATTTTGATGTGTGGGTCATTCTATGGCTGGATGGACGAGAAGATTTATGTATTCACCAAGTGAGAGGTTTACTGGATGTTTTTCCAATGCTTAACACAGCAAAAGGAGTGGTTAATAACGCGACACTGGGATGGTTGGTAAGCATGTGGAATCTGTATATTGCACTGTGACAATATGTGAATCTGCTAAATTTACAGCATTTGCACGTATTGGAGTCCATTACTAGTTAATAATCATAGGTCACTACCAAGTGCTACATGGCACTGGTGTCATGACCTATGATGCCCTATAACTCTGACTGAACCACAACATATCATTGAGAGACCTATAAAGCACGTGTCAGGTTCATGCCATTCAACTCACTCATCAACTTAGGTTGAAACAAGAAACTAAGCAGAATACTGGCAAAAGTGAGAATACTCAGACAGAGTCTGTAAGCCAAGTAACAATCAAGAAACATGCATCACTGGGATGGTATACTCCGTATTACCCTTCAAATACCATCACAAGTATTTCTCCTAGCGACAGCCAACCTATAAATACCCTTATTCTCCCTTTCTTCCTCCTCTTCTCTTCCTTCTTCCTACACTCATCATCCATTCCTCCACCTTTCCCATCATCTATACCTACCTACATCCACCATCACCTACCAAACCAACCTCCTACCCACACAACACTCTATCACACTCACAATGGACCCCAACACCCCCACAAACGACCTCAAAACAAAGCGCCAACAAATGGCAAAACAAGCCCGCGCCGCCAAAACCACCAAACACACATCCAGCCAAAAAAAGATGGAAAACGCACGGAAGCGAAAATCAACCTACGCACTAGCAGAAAGCAGAAATTCCTCTCATCCTCAAAAAGAATCTCCTCCCAACGCTGAACCAAGCTCTCCACTCCCCGACGACCCCATCCGAAGCTGGATCGAGGACCGTATGCACGAGATCCACAACCTCGATCTGAATCCAGAAATCGAAAACAAAAACATCGCAGACGGGAGGGAAGCGTACAAGGTTTACCTCGAATACTACCAACTATTCAGAATGCTAGCCAATGATCTGGTTAGTTCTGCGTTGAAGTTACGGGCAGGTTTATTTTTCAAGCCCCAGTGTTGGAAATACGCTCCTGAAGATAGCCGTATCTGGGATATAAAGCCCGGGACTGTGGTCACGGACAATGGCTTGGGGTATGGATTGCACGCCAGTCTTAAGGAATGTGAGAAGTATGAGGAGACCTAGAAGGATTTGGAAATACTCTGGGGTGAGGGGCATGTGGCTGCGCTTCCGAAGGATGGGCGGTGGAGTCAGGAAGCGTATTTCGAGTTGGCTAGAAGGGAGACAGGATGGGGGGGTGTTGCTGATAGGCTGAACCGTGCTGCTTTTGAGCGGCTGATGAGACAAGGGCGAGGTCGTGATGTTACTCCTGGGGTGCAAGGATCGGATATCTTCAAAGCCTTGGCTAAGGAATCGCCAGGAGAGGTACTCACTGAGCAAGAGCTGGAGTCGGTAGATGCGACACTGGGTAAAGATGGCTTGATTGTTCCGCGCAGCAATGAATATGTTCCCTTCAGTCGAAGGTCTAGTTCCGGCCTGGGGTATCGTGCAGCCAAGAGGCGATGCTGAGACAGGTTTATCCCTATCGAGTGGTCTGACGGACACATTGGCTTTATTGGAATCTTCGAGGCTCTGCTACTGTTCATCTGGCTCTAAGGACTCCCTACTATGTATGGTCTTTTGTCTCTGTGATTTACAATGTCTTCTCGTTGGGATGGGATAAAACCAAAGAAAAAAAGCGATAAAACAACAAAACACAAAGAGGAACGATAATGAGAAACTTTACAATGAGAGAAAATCAAATTACTTCATGCATTCGAATGTCCTCGACGCTCTGCCTATTACCGACATTCCCTAATTTGCATGCTCCATATCATGCTTTTCATAAGTCTTCTCATTAAATAGTCCAGAAAACAATCAAGACATGTACGTGTGCCATATCCCCTCCGTAAATCGAGTACTTTGAGCCTTCCTCAACCGATTGATAAGTCAAATCCATGCCGGAGTATATCCAAACAGAGGCTTTTAGGGCTATTATTGCTTTTTTCTTTCCACATTCCAACGCCACCCGGCAGAGTCAACCCTAATTCTTATTGACGACCATATCCATCACTCTCCCAACTTCCCTCTATCACAAGATATGTCCAGCCGTTCGCGAGCACAGTATCCGATACTCGCAGGTGATAATGTTATAGAGACACACGACATGGTTATGATACCATTAATTCCGTCAGTGATAATCCGCGTTGCACCCGAGAGTATTCTATGCTGCAAAGACCGATCAGTTAGCTTGTGGAGCCTCGAGCAAGATATAAAGCGTAGACATACCTTATTATAGTGTTTAGCTGCCGAAAGAATGTGGGGTAGTCTGGCCGTTGTGGATCGATCGCCATCGCCTCCGAGGTATATCGCAACGTGTCCAAGAAACTTGGATTGATTCGCTCTTCACCATAGGAACATGGGAAGAACATAGATCTAAAACCCCTGGGCCCTCAACTGTCGAAAATGGAGACACAACGGATCTAAGAATCCGTTCGTGAACAATGGGTAGAACCACATTGCTCCAAAACTCGCCATTAATTGCGAGAGTTGGACTCCATTTACGACAGTACGGGCCTCCTCCACTACCAAGCGGGTATATCGTTCCAGACGTTGGAAGAGTTCCGCATAACACTTGTATATAAAGATATTCGTGGTTGAGGACTGTAGCCGTGCGAGGGTTCGTTCGAGTCGACGGCATAAAGTCATCGGTTTATTGTCTGCTTTCAAAATCTGTGTCGGTATCTGTCTGGGATGAAAAAGGAGCATAAAATAATCACCCACACTTCTTTTTATCGTCGGTGCGTTCCACTGGGACGGTGGTTGGTGCCTCCCTTCTGGCACGGTTCTCAGCACTCTTTTGCTTGCAACAGGCGCTGGATGCGATCATTGCAGATATATCCTTTTGTTCTGTTGTGGCGATATTCTTCGTCACAGGTTTACGAATCTCTTGTACATTCGACATCTCTTTCGGGCGTTCGAGTTCGGTTGAAGAATAAACTCTCGGTTTGCGGTGGTAGATGCGGACTGGTGGGTAGAGGTTGTACGTGCGAAGGAGAACCTTTTATAGACAGTCTATTAGCATATTTCCTTGGATCAGTCGAGCTTTTGCGTCTGTGGATAGATTTCGCTAGGAGGGAGTCCCGCAGGATGTGCTGATGCTCTGCCACCATCTCTCAAGGTAGAAGGCAGAATTTGCTCACTAAGCGGGGGTGAGAGAAAGACGAAATAACTAACCGTGGGGTAGGAATTCTTTCAGATCCAGGTATGCCACACACGAGGTCGACGGCTGCGAGGCTGAGAGTAATGAGAAATGAGACTCGAGCACAGACATAACCTGCAAAGTTCGGCAGAGTATAGATATGAGCAGGGATCTTCTGGAATGACCTCGTCCTAAGTCAGACAAGGAGACGGCTAGGCGCTTTTCTATTTCTAATAGAAGACCATGTAACGAAGGCTGACCCTCTGCCTGGTCCTATCAGCCAGAGGAGGTTGGTCACGTTACTTGGTAGCCCGTGTCCGTAGCACCGTCACACATCAGGGTCCTTCTTCCCTACCAATTTCATCCCTCCATTTCCGTACACTGTACGACACAATGGATTGTCATCGTCCAGTCGTTTTTGTGAACACCAAGCTCGATCATGAGTGGCTATTGAAGCTACATGAGGCTCGTTCCAACGGGACCTTGTTCCGTTGGGCGACGACTCTGCATCCTCGAAGCCTCCCATGTTCTTCCAACCAGCCCCTTTTCCGACAGCAAAATCACGACGTTGTGATTGACTTGACCTTTAGCGATCAGACCATCTGGGTTCTGAGGTTTCCTCGACCGGCAGGCGTTTCTTCACGATATGTGGATGAGAAGGTTGTGATGCAGGTTGAGGCGCTCCATCTCATCAGACAGCGAACGGAGATTCCTGTCCCGGATGTTCACGCTTGGGGCCTGGCCAAGGATAATCAATTTGGTTTAGGTCCATACTTGCTAACGAGCTTTGCCGATGGTATCCCACTGTCTGAGGTATGGGGTGAGGAGGGGTATAACAACCCCAAAATTCTTAAGGACAACATTCCGGACGCCCAGCTCGAGTACATGCAGAGGCAGATGGCTCGAGTAATGTTGCAGTTATATGCTATCGACTTTGAGAGGATCGGGAGTTTACCAACGTCTATAACCAAATTCCCATCGTTAAATCGTCCGCTCACCAGAAAGGCGAATTTTGTCTTGCTGGCCGGCGATGTTGACATCCTGGGTTTGTTGTCTCCGTCCTGAGGTCGCGTTCTTTGCTAACCATCATCCCTAATGACTAGACGATCGTACAGCTGGCTTCACCACGACCCGCGAATATCTCGAATTCCTCCACCACCAAGACTGGCAGCAACTTGAGCTGCAGAAGAACTCAGCCACCAGTCCCGAAGTGACCAAGTCCCGGTACGCCGGGTTGAAAATCCTGCAGACTCTCCTCGGTGCGATGACCGATATATCTCATAACGAGGTGCCGTTTAAGCTGGTGTGTGATGGTTTTTCGCCACAGAGTGTGATGGTGAGGTCTCAGGATGATCTTACCATCACCGGCATCGTGAGTTGGGAGTAGGCCTATGCTGGGCCAGCCCAACTATTCCCTTGGGCGCCCTGGTGGGTTCTCCGTTCTCATCCGATGGAGAGCGCGGCGGGGCTTGAAAGCCACGAGGCTCTACAGCAGGATGATCCGTTCTTTCAACGGCTGGAACGCTATACACGGTTTTTGGTAGAGGAGGAGGCCCGGACTGTCCAAAATGGAGTCCAACTCTCGCAATTAATGGCGAGTTTTGGAGCAATGTGGTTCTACCCATTGCTCACAAACGGATTCTTGGATCCGTTGTGCCTCCATTTTCGGCAGTTGCGGGCCCAAGTTGGTGCCTCTTGGTGGGACAAGGAGGTCGAGAGACATAAGTCAGGAGAGGAGGTGGAGGGGTGGGTGGTGCGGAATATAAATAACCTGGAAGAGTACAACACGGAGCACATTGTCTCGCAGGAATGTGAGCATCTACTTCAGGAGGGAACCATTTCTAGCAAGGAATATGTCGATTTGATGATGTCGACTATCAGGCTTGATCCGGGAGAAAATTGGCACCATCCGAACCTTGCATTCCTTGATGAAATTTCCGATAGACAGCATGGGACTGCCTGATATTCATGTCCTTTTACTACTCATTCCGTTACTTAATCAGATTAGACCGGTTTTAATATAATTGCACTTACCTAGAGAATGTCTGACTTTGAAGACAATCATTTGCATCACCAGATCCTTATCATAGAGAGATGATCAGATTTTCACGACTATGGAACCATCCCTGCTAGCGCTAGGAAAAAGGATTATCCTACGTTAGCACAAAACCAACATCCTCATTCACTGCACTACAACCATAACACAACCTCCCACCAATCCATCAATTTACATCCATCCCATTCACCATGCTCCGAGCCATACACAACCCCCTAACCTCCAGACCAATAATCATCCCATCCCTCCATCCACCCCCAATCCCCATAACCCCAATAACCCACCAAAAGAAACCCATCACCACCCACTCCCACCCCAAATACAATCCCCAATCCCTCAAACCCACCCTCCAAAAAATCCTCTCCCATTTCCCCACCCCCATCGACTACGCCATTGCCTACGGCTCCAACATCTTCCCTCAATCCCAATCCCAATCCCCTCATACCAGCAACATCCCCAAAATGACCGACCTGATCATCTCCGTCCCCAGCACCCAAACCTTCCACACCCACAACCTATCCACCAACCCAACGCACTACCCACCGCTTATCTCAACTCTCGGGCCCACCCTCATCTCAAAACTCAACGATACCCTTGGGGCAGGAATATCCTACACCCCGTATATCACCATAAACAATACATCTCTAAAATACGGTATCATCAACACTCCATCCCTAATCCATGACCTACTGCATTGGGAGAGTATGTATCTCGCGGGCCGGTTCCATAAACCTATTCTTGTGATCAAGGATCATGAGGGGGTGGAGGAGGCCAGGAAGAGGAATTTGGAAAGTGCAGTGAAAGTGGCGTTGTTGATTTTACCCGGGACGTTCACGGAGAGGATGTTCTATGGGGTGGTTGTTGGGTTGAGTTATTCTGGGGATGTGAGGATTGTGCTTGGAGGGGAGGGGAGGGGCAAGGTTGATGGGATTGTGAGGGGGCAGGGGGGTGGTTGGGGGGTGTTTATGGGGGGGTGCTGGAGGGGTGGGATGGGGTTGAGGCTGATGGGGATGGTGGGGAATGGGGGGTGGAGGTGCAGAGGGGAGGAGAGGGGAGGGTGATTAGGCAGGATATGTGTCCTAGGGTTAGGGCGGAGTTGGTGAGGGGGTTGCCCCGGGGGTTGAGGAGGAGCGTTTATGCTAGGTTTAGCGGTGGGGATGAGGATGAGGATGGGATGGCGAGGAGGGTTGTCCTGGATCCGAGGTCGAAGGAGATTGTGGAGCGGGCGGTGGTGGAGACGGTTCGATGGCCGAGTCTTGTGCAGAGTTTGAAGAGTATTGTTACTGCTGGGGTGGGGAGGAGTTGGAGGTATGCGATGGAGAAGAGGAGGAAGGCCAGGGGTGGGGAGATTTGAGAGGGGATGTGGTTAGGGTTGAGAAAGATGGATGGATGTACTCTACTCATTGTATACTAGGAGTTTTTATATGGTGATGTCTTGATTTCTTTGGTCATCATGAGGTCGAGGAGTATGTGAGAGATTTATCAACTCATGCATGCACGGAGTTGAAGGCAAACTAAACCCTCCGCCAGATCTTCAACGGCATCGCTCCGGAGCTTAGGTTCGTCGTCTCGTACCTCTTCGGTTCCCAATCCGGAAACGGTAGGGCAAATTCGAACCGATGCACCAACGAAGCCATAAGAATGGTCTGCTCGAGATAACTGATATTCCTCCCAATACAGCCTCTAGCTCCCGTGCTGAAAGGCACGAAATACGGCTGCAGCTCCTTCCCCTGCTCACCGAGCCATCGCTCCGGACGGAAGGACTCTGGATCCGGAAAGATGGACTCATTGCGATGGACCACATATGCCGAGATACCCACCGAGGTATTTCCAGCAACATGATCAGACAAAATAGTAGTACCCTCAGGGGGCGTGCGTCGTGGAAGAGCAAACGACACCGGTGGGTATAGCCGGAGACTCTCATCCAAACAGGCCCGAAGATACGGAAGATGCCTGACCTTATCATAAGGTGCAACAATCTCATCATCATCCAGCACAGCATCAATCTCTTCTCTGAGCTTCGCAAGACATTGCGGGTTCGTCAAAAGCAGAAGCATAACATTGCTCAAGGCAATCCCAGTCGTATCAGACCCGGCGTTCATCATGATACTCACTTCTGCGACAATCTCGCCCCATTCCAGATTATGTGGGTTGTTTGACTTATCCGCCATGAGGGCAGAAAAGAAGTCATCGAGCTTCTCTCCATCCTGATACCGTTTCCACCGTGTCGTAGCTCGGTTGTAGACAATTCCATCCCAGTCCTTGTTTAGTTTCCACTTCCTGTGGTACGTCGGAGACAGCACCTTGCTCGCTCGCACTAGGGCTTTGTACCAATCATAGCACCACACAAAGGTAGCGGTGGCTGATCCCGTAGCAAACAGACAGTCCCGAAACCACACCTTCTTGATCGTCCCATCCATTGCTTCCGAGGTGATGAGATCGTTTCCCCGCTCGAGGAACTTGATATCCTCACTCAGACCGATATTCGCAATGGCGGCTATGGTGAACAGGTTGCTCCATAGGCGGTAATCTATCGTGAGATCCTTTTCAGGAGGAATATGGCCTTTAGGCAGCGGATCCGTACATTGTCGGTCGAATGCCTTGATGATGCGGTGGGTCATGTCGGCTACTTTGTATTCCCAGGTCTCCAGGTTCTTGAGTGCATAGGCACTGGAGAGAACCTTGCGTTTGCGTGCATGCTCCTTCTTATCGACCACGTCGGCAAGGTGGAAATGAGACCCCGCCAGGGTGGAGTAGAAGATGTCTTTTGTGCAGGTGGTGCCATGGCCGTAGATGTCTTTGATGGCATCTGGGTCTGCGTAGGAGAGTGAATTGGGTCCGATCCGCACGACGGGGTGTTTTTTGTGGGCCTCTAGAAGCCGCTTGTAGCGAGTTCCTTTGTGCGACTCGTAGACGAGGGGCAGATCGGATATGCCTGACCAGATGGATAGGTTGGGGTACTTGCGGAGACCTTTGGGGTCGCAGATATAGTTGATAACGGGGATGATGAAGTAGTAGACAAGGAGGAAGGAGAGTAGGAAGATGAGTGTTGTGACATACATGATTAGTAGAGTTTTGGTACTGGAGTTAGAATGTCTACCACATTGACCATGATTGAGCTGGTCTTTATGTGTTGAACAAATGCTGCATCGATGCAGTGGCTGGAAAGGGAGTGTTCGCCGAACCGTCCTGAAAGTGGTTAGCCCCGCCGAAACATCCCAAATAGGTTGTGTTCGGTGATAGAAGCAAACCAGCAGGTGACCGTCATGTGCGTGACACCGGTCTAGACGGTCTACAGTCCTCTGCCAGTCGACATGAATGTTTTCACCAAATACAGTCCACCTATCGGATGCTGGCTATATAAACCATGCTGATCCCGCCTTTCAGTAGCAGCTGCATCTGCCTCGCCTCGCATCGCATCGCATCTGCACCAACATCTACCATGGCATGTGTTCAGCAGCCCATTTCGGAATCCCCTCGTGGACTACCACTCTCCACACGCCTCCCCAACCCGTCTGGGACCAAATGGCGGCCGCGTTGACATCAGACAGCTCGACTTGCTGCGGCCATCCTCACCCTCGCTTCCACTGGAAGAACTGCGCTAACGGTTACGGGATGATGGCTACATCTTGTGAAGGGACTGATTCCTCGTGAGGATGTCCTAGATGCGAGGGAAAACTGGGTCTGTCTTCTGCGTCCTGTCAGGATTCTAACGTCCACAGTTACTTCCAAGCATACGACAACACATCTCTCCTTGCCCCCGGTACCCCCGGCGAAGGGATCTTCAACGCAGCCTCTAATCCCGACCTGCACAAAGGCATGTGGCCAAGATCTACCGCTGATCCTGAGGCCAAGATTCTCATCGATGCCCACTCTGATCCCAAGTACCGTGCGTTCGTTGAGCATCCGGAATCTGATGGGCTAGAAGGAGCATGTTCTGCTTGATCGGACGATGCTGCGCCACAATGTACCTTATGGGATGGAAACTGGCATACACTACGACAAGCCGTTCTTGCGTGGGGCGAAGAGTGCTTCCTTGCTGCATGGGTGTCTATTGGTGGGTGTTTCCTTGGAAGATAACCTCAGAATGAGGCTTACTCGAACAGGAGACATCTCGATCAACGGTGGAGGACTCTGCTACCTGGCCAATTCCCTGCCACTTGGAGAGGCCATCGAAACGGACTTTACCACCCGTGCAGCGCATATGACCCCCGAGCAACGGATCTCGGCCTTCAACGCGAACATGATGAGCGGTGGGTTGCTGGCGGCTTCCCCGTAGGAATTTTCGTCGGATCATGCCTTGTCTGAGACTCGGCAGTGGCTGGTCACTAATTATGAGGCGGATGATGTTGTGTTCCATCGTCCGTATACACTAGTGTGCATGCAAGTGGGCGAAACGAGGATGCAGCGGGTCGGATTCGACTCAGCACCGGATCTGAGGTACTATGAAAAGGGAGATGCGGGAATTGATACGCGGTGGTTCAAGATTGGATCCCAATAATGGGCTGTAAAGCTATGCTGTAGCGGTAATCTAATTCCGCTGGGCGATCTCATTAACCGATCGGGTATCCCTCGGCGAACCCCTCCTCTTTCTCTCAACCTCATCCTCATCCCCACGACCTGCCCTGATGCCATCTAGACGTGATCCTTGGTATGCGTACTCCTATGCTGGTTATATGTAATTACTAACCCTTGTAGCCAGCACTGCCGAAGTATGTAACTGATTGTTGTGTGGTGCTGTTCTAATATATATTCCACCCACAGAGCATCATCTCCGATGTGAGTACATCCAACACATGTCGATCATCAACTAAGACAGCCAGGCGACGATAATCGCCCATCATGTGCCCGATGTCAAACTACCGGACGAAATTGTGTCCGCTCACAATCCCAATTCCAATTCTTGAACAGCACGAGCGCTGAATACGAGCAGACTGCAGCGAATAGGCCGAGTCCATCCAAGACAGATACCTCGGTTTGCTCAGATGTCGAGCATGTCGACGAGACACCCGCCTTGGCTGCTCTGTACCACCAGGACCCTCCACCTTTGCTCCCTCAGGCCACACCTCGTTCTCAGTCTACCGCCTATACCTTCAGCCTATCCACTCCAGGCCATCTCTGGGACACATCGTCTCCTGCCTCTCCCACATCCTTGACATCTATCCCACCACCCCCAGCCCAACTCACTCTCGAAGAGGCATGTCTACTCCGCTACTTTGCCGAAGCCCTGGGGAAATGGGTATGCCCCTCCCTCATACCCTTCCCACTACCCTCACTAATACATACAGTTCGACCTGTGTGACCCTCAGCGACACTTCACCACCGTGGTCCCCCAACGAGCCCGAACCTGTCCCCCATTACTCGATGCCGTCCTCTCCGCCTCAGCCCGACACTTCAGCACCCTCCCTTCCCCCAAACAAGTCGAAATCACCCGCAAATACGGCCTCCAGGATGGCCTCACCATCACCGAACAATCCACCCTGCTATACCACAACCGCTGCATTGCCCACCTCCGCTCCGTAAGCGAGGAACCCAACGCCATGATGGACGAGAACCTCCTCGCAGCGGTAGTCACCCTGCGCTTCTATGAAGAACTCGACAGTATGCCCCCTATACCCATCTCTCCAATAACCCCACCACAACCACTAACACAAGAACAGCCCCCTTCCACCCCTCCCCCCCAACCACGGCAATCCACGGCCTCCAAATCTTCCTCGAAGCCCAATCCCACCATCCCACCATCAACAACCCTCACCCCTGGACCCTCCGCCAAAGCGCCTTCTGGATCGGCATCAGGCAAGAATTCCACATGGCATTTTCCCAACAACGACCCTTCCGACTTCCCCTTTCCCTCTCCATCCTCTCCTCATACCCAGTCCCAACACCAAGTACACCAGACCACATCCGGGTCAACTCCCTTCTCATTCTCTGCGCTGAGATAATCCAGTTCTGCTTCGATGAATCCTCCCCCGCTCTATACCCATCTACGACACACTAGTCACGAAACGAAACGAATGGATATCCTCCTGCCCCCATCATTCATCCCCGTGTACACCACACCCGGGAACATAAAAGAAGGTCTATTCCCGAATAAATGGTACATGGATGAATGCCACATCGTTGCGGCGCAGAGTTTATGTTTTGTGAGGATTTTGTTAGGGGCGTTTAATCCGAGGTTACTTGGGCTTAGCCTTGGGAATGGGATTGGGATGGAAGCAGCAGCAGAGGAGGTACGTGATGCCGTGTGGGAGGTTTGTGGGATCGGGGTATCGAATCGATGGAATCCGACGGGGATGTTGATTGCGGCGTTTGCGGTGGTGGTTTGTGCGGAGAGGTTTCGGGGGAGGAAGAGACAGCAGGAGGTGTTGATGGGGGTGGTGAGGGAGATGAGGGAGGAGAGGAATTATTGGCCGGGGGTGGAGATGGAGAAGAGGGTTAGAGATGTTTGGGATAATAATTAGATGTTAGTAAGTATGTTTGGGTATTATGGGATTTGTCCGGGATGTCTGGTAGAGTAATATATAACCAGTAGAATAAGAAAACAAACCTATATACCTAAAACCTTGGATATGATATAATATAATACAATACAAAACGCCATCCCAACACCGCACCATGGCGCAAATCACAACATTCCCATGAATCAATCAATCAATCAATCAATCAAAACTCAACATGGTAATCGCGTAGTCATCAATCATACAAGGTTATCGCAATGCTGGCTTTTAAGCAGAACAGTTCGCAACGGTAGGGCTAGTAATGCGACGATTCGTTTTCCGAGTCTATCCATCCACAACATCCATATTAGCTCACTTCACTTCACTTCACTTCACTTCACTTCACATCCAGGATAATAAAGAATACATACACCCCGACTCCACATCCCTCGCGACCGGCACCGGTGCCTTCCCAGTAACATTCATGGACTCGCGTTGAAAAATGCCCATATTCTTCAACCGAACCGTGCGCATATACGACTGCTGCTCGGCGGGAAAATTGTATCGTTGTTGGGGGGCCTCGGGCCAGAATTGTTTCGTGAGAGCGGCGCCCAAAGCCACCATGGCTAGACAGACCACGATGACGATGACGATGATGGCCGAATCGGTGAGTTTGGCCATGGCGATACGGATGCGACTTTCGATATAGATATAGGTATAGTGGTGTAGGATTGTGTATATACAGAGGTGGGTGGGCGTTGGTGGCGCAAATTAATCGTGGTCTGTGCTGGATGCTAGCTGGCGGGAAGGGTGGATAGATAGGTAGGTAGATAGGTGTTGATTGATCGAGGTATGTGTGTAGGTATGTGGTGGTGAAGCGATGCGAGTCAACGCATAATCTCTGGGGCGGATTCGGATCAAGTTGAAGTGGGAGTGGATGCTGAAGCGACCGACCGACAGGAGGAGGAGTCGACAGACGGGGGCAGCAGCGTGGAGGTGGTCGGAAGAATAAGAATGCTAATAAGCCCGCGTCGATGAAAAATTCAAGCCGGCTTGGGGCTCCACTGTTTATTTATAAACGGGGTTTAGTGCTGAGCTGATGGTGTCGGGCTGCTGGCTGCTGCTGGCTGCTGCTGGTTGCCCACGCGGCCAGTGGTGCCGCTGCTTCCAAGGCCCGCGATCGAGAGGGGGGCGGCGGTCCAGCCCCATTGGTCGGGGCCGCGCAGTGGGAGGTGCTGATTGGATGGGAGTGGGGCCATGATGGGTCGAGAGGGGATGATGATGAAAGACCGATGGTCAGCAATCAACAATCTTACCAGTACGAAGTCCGCGGGTATACCTCAGGCACTGGCAGTGTATTGTTGGGTTCCATGTCGGGTGAGTAGCTGGTTACAGACTTACAGTACAAGAGTCACGGACCGGAAAGCATTGTTCCATTCCGCGGTCGCGTCTCCTCGTCGCGTCTTATCGCTCTCACATTGCATCCATCCAGTACCGTGTGTATGCAGCACCAAATCATTGTGAACCCTTCTCGCTACATAGTCTCACTCGCTACCGTTCTTGTCTGCCTGATGTGGACTCGGTTTCGGTCCGACCAATACTGTGGCCAACGCGGTTCCGCCGCTCCCGAAAGCTTGACCAGCGATCGGTGCCTGGCAACCTGGCTTTCCTCCTCCTTGCCTCATTGGAGGCCTCCACCGTGAGTGACAGCTCCAGGCAACAAAGCAATCACCCTGGTCATGATGATCTTCACGATGCTGGGTGCTGATTGCTGACGTGCCAATTTCTAATCCAATGCTTATTTTCTAGTCTCGTCCCTGTCGTATTCCTCGCATTCCGAAACACGGGTGGAGCTGAAACACGCTTGTTTCTCCCAGGCCACCGACGTAATCATTGTCCGCCTGATCGACTCGCCCACTCGCCCTACGACTTTCGTGGCGTGAACATCAAGTCCAGATTCCCAACTCCCAGTACAAAATTATCCTTTGTCCTCTCGTCGAATTTCTCCGCCTCGTATCCCGGCGCGAACCGCACATCAAAGGTCATCACCAACTGCGCCACCGTCGTCCGCAGATTCTGCAGAGCTAATGGCCTGCCAATGCAGTTATAAGCACCTAATCCAGCATGTCAGCATCCTGTACCGAGTATAGTGCGAGAGTCGATGACATACCAGTGCTGAATGGCGCAAAAGCCGACTCGTCGTTGATCAACTCCGGCTGTTGGTACCACCGCTCGGGAATAAACTTTAGCGGCTTTTTATAGCTCAATTCCGCTGATCCGCGTTAGTCCGGTTATTGCGCTCCGCCCGTCGGATTTGACTTACACCGTCCGATCGCATATCCCGGACAGAATACGGTGGTGTTGCCCGGGATAAACACTCCGTCTACGCTGAGGCCCTCAGGGGGGGTTACTCGTTCCATTGCCGACGGAACAGCCGGGTATAGGCGCAGTGCTTCATTGATCACACCGTTCAAGTGTCCCAGATGACTGATCTTGTCATCCGAGAACTCAAGGGATTCACTCTCAACATACGGGGCCAGTTCTGCACGCAGCTTCTCCACTTCCTCGGGATGTCGCGCGAGCTCATAGAAAATAGCAGTCAAGGTCGTCGTCGTGGTATCACTGCTGGATTAGATGGGTTCGACGATGCCGAGGCGTACTCACCTTCCTGCGATGATGATCAACCGGCAATCACCGCTTAACCACAGTCGTTCTTCCGCAGGAGGCGCTCGGCCTTCCAGCGGGGCCAGGAGCGATGCGCTGATATCGGGGACATCAGGTTCATTCTACCCGATCAGCATATAGCGATAGTCGGCCAAGGTGAACCCACCTTTATCCTCTCCAATAGCCTCTTTTCGCTGTATTCCAATAGCTTCCACCACCCTGTCATCACCCCCGGAATGGCCAGCACCATGCGGAGCAACCATACGGGCAAGCACAACCCTACGGCGTCCTGAACTTCGATTATCATTTGCGTGGCCCAATGATGTTCGCCTCGCTCCATACTCTCGAACCCTTCCCCGAAAGCGAGGTCCCCCATCACGTCATATGAGTACAGACTAAACCACTTGGTCGCATTCACCGGTTGACCGTTCATTTTGACCAACCCATCGACCAATTTCCGGCGATACTTGCGAATGCGCTGCTCATACCCACGCAGCCGCTTGCTGCCGAACGCACCGCTCCATAACCTCCGTCGCTGTTGGTGCTCTATCGGGTCTCGACTCGTTTGCAACGAGTTGTTCGGGTACGAGTGATCATAGAAACTGCCCTTCTTGCAGGGGGAAGACGCTCCATAGATGATGTCGATCGCTTTGGGATCGATAATCGAGAGATCGGCGGGTCCGATCCGGACATAAGGGCCGTACTTGTCATGCAGCTCGATCAGCTTGAGATGCCTGTTACCGTTCCTCACTTGCAAAGGCAACCAGAGACTTGAGATTCGGGCGGCCCACGGACCCGGGAATTCCAGCGGACTGAACACCAGGCGATACGCAAGCACACTGCCGAAGACTCCGGCAAGGTAGCATGTCGCATGCAATAAAACTGTGGCGAAGGCATCCGTCCATGCAGTTCCCCATGATGCATGCAGATAAGCGACCGCAAGAGAGTTCAGAGCGATAAATAGCTTCAGGTAGGTAGTTCCGTAGAGATGATGCTCGCCTCGATGGAAATAGGTAATGTGCGACAGTATGCCCGCCACAGCGGCGTGCAATATCGAGGATACCATTTTGGTGAAGTGCTGGGGTCGGTTAAAAGAAGAGGTCAACTGTCTACCTTTAATAAGCCAGCGGGGTGACACAAGCCAGTAGCAAACGTTGAAGCGAGGGATCATGTCTGCAGCCCCCCTATTAGCTGCAACCCCTCTTTGACTGGGATCTGACTGCATTAGCAATTGGTCTGATTCCGTCAACTAGTTACCTACAAGGCCTGTGAGTGTGTCGAAGCGGGATGCAGCCCGGGAACCATTGCCTGCCTGCATGATTGGTGTCTTGGAGATGTCCACCTCGATGCATCTAGCCACCAATCCTAAGTGGGAAACCACATCGTAAGTAAGATGCTATTCATGTGACTTGAATAGACTAATCGACACCTTCAGCCCCCACTTACTGTCCGTGACCATCAATCTAGCACTTTGAAGTACCTAGCTGTATCATAATAATCTTCTCTTTCTGACATAAACCTACATCAATATATTCTTGATTCTGAGTACTACCAACTCTATCTTATTCTTCTACTAACCGACCTTGTCTTACGCTTAGTATATACACATCATATATATGCAGATAATAGGATTCTCATAGCCACTTACTACAATCACATATTTCCCATTAGAACTAAATACTCCTTAGAAGAAAATACTAATCACCATATTATATACCCAACCCCAACACCCCATACCGAAACCATCCTCGTATCTCTGCCACAACCTCCCTACCTGTTATATTACAGTAACACTAAACACCCCCTACTCACCACCTATGACACACTAATCATCGAACGTCTACTTCCGGTATGTATATCTATATACATAGAAATCTCCAAGCAGTGAAAACATAGGTACACGACTCCACTGTCAGGACTGCTCCCTAGGTGCGCTTCTAGGGACGGAGCCCCTGCTAGACGGCTACGCTATCTGGCAAAAGACTAGGATTCTGAGCCACTAGGCTCAGGTGCGCATCCCTTATAAGCTTGACCCTCTAGGCCGTCACATCCACGAACGGATTAACCGAGGAACGTACACAAACTCGCTATGTAGACATTATGTAATTATGCAATATCTATCTACTCAGCCACACCACACACACCACACTCGAACTATTAATAAATTATGCACGTTTGGGCGGAGTAATGACTGCCAGGTTGGGAACCTTTGACGATCAGGACAATAATAATGTTGGTGATAGTGACGCTGAAACAGTCTGGATACTACTAAGCTGATTTGGGCATAAAGTCATGGCACCGCTATGTAGAGTATCATGGAAATTGAGGATGATGTCACAAGTTTGAGGAACTGGCCTTTGATTAAGTGACTAGGTAGGGGGGGGTTCATGTATCTTTTGAGAGTGATGTCACAGGGGGGATGAAATGTTATTGTTTATTCTGGGGTTTGCGATCGACGGTATTTATTTACATCCGTCACACCTTCAGTAGCTAGTACTATGCAAGTAGGCATTGTCATTGTGTCTATTTATTGGTATCATAAAGGAAAACAAATCTCGCATAGCAGTATGCTATATACAGCGAGAGTTAAAATATTCACAAACCAGCTACGTCAGTCACAATGGCCGGATGAACGCGTCGAGCAATTAGCCGGCGGTGAAACACGCGTGTCCAGAATCCGCCCCCCCAGGCCAGTGGGATGGGGTGTTGATCGACGCGGCGGTGCTCCGTAGTCACCCACCCGATCTCGGAGACCGACCGTTCCCCAAGTCCGAAATTTGGGAGAGATAAGGAGTAGTCTAGGCAGGTGCTAGCCGGTGCTAAGGACTAACGATTGCTAGACTAACAGGATCACCATGCAGTTGCGCCAGTTGGGCCTGAGCCTGATTGTAGCGGTGGGATGTACCCGGTTGACGCTGCCAGCAGCATCAGCCAGGGTGTCCGGCTGCGCACCGGGCCGGTTGCGGCAGTGCTGTGATTGGTGGCGGTGTAGGGCTAGGGCAGGTCAAGTCACGCCGCTTGGTTCGATCGGCGGACGGGTAGGTTACCTGATCGGGAAACCGGACACTGGACCAGCCCGACAACCCGACACCGTGCGGGACTGCTGAGTGGGCAGTTCTCGCTGGAATTGATTCACCAAGAAATTCATACCGAGGGTGATGATTGGTGGATGGAATCACTCCTCACAACGACGCAACTGCTCGTGGAAAAACGCCCGGCTTTCGGAGTTGGCAAACCCACCGATCCCGAAGGCGGGAATGATCCGACACATACGCGTCAGGGACGCCCCAATCCAGTCCCGGCTGACTCGGCCAAATCGGTCCGAGGCCGACAGCTTCATGGGCCGATTGTAGAGGTCCAGGCCGAGGAGGTGGATCGGGGTGCTGATCAGCTGGATCGAGGCTGGGATGGCCAGCTGGGCCATGAGGACCTTGAGGTACTCGTTGGAGGCAACGGAGTCGGGGATAGAGGCTGAGACCATGGCGGGGAGACTGAAGGAGCCAAAGATGGTGAGAGCGTCGCGGATCAGGAACGCCGAGTAGGTTGCAAAGGGGATGGAGCGGCTGACACGGAGGATCTTGCTTTGCGAGGGGGCGGGAGAGGCCGTGGGTGTCTGAGGGGGAGTTGCGGGTGTGGCCTTGTGGCCAAAGAGCTGAGCGAACTTGACATCTTTCCAGATGCCCACGGATGAGTTGACCACAAAGGTGCTCAAGAACTTGGCTGTCCCGGCCATGGCTTGGTCGACGTGAGGATAAACCTGTTCAAGCACGGTCTCGGTGGCATTGGCGGCTGCAAAAGTGGCCGTGTAGAGGGACCAGACCAGGAGACTGGGCCGAGAGGTGAGGAAAGTGGCAGGCTGCGTGATAGAGACCCAAAGGTGTCGGCGGAAGGCAGGGAACATGGGTTGGTTGTGCGACGACTTTTCCACCACCAGCCTAGATGGGTCAGTACAGAGTGGTGTGGTGGAAGTCGAGGCAGCTACCTGTCCAGAATCATGACCGCTGGAGTAACCAAGGCCGCCGAACCCGCAGCAGCCATCACATCCGCCGTCAGGAACCCTGTCAGTCGGTTCTGGTACATGCCAAAGGGCAGAGTCTGGTGAATGGGGAAGTCGTATTCCATGGTGACAGTTGACAAGCAGTCACGTCTTGCCCTGATGGGATCGATTGTATGCCGGATGTTGATGCGAGAAGTGCTACCCGATAACAAAGGAAAGTAGGCAAAGGAACGAAGTGAGGAGAGCTAGAATCGAGGGGTTAGTATACGACCGCGGGGTTGAGATGCGGGCAGACTCACTTTGACACTTGGTTGGATATATTCGCTGGAAGAAACGCTGGAAACGCGAACCGGGGTAAGGAGTGGAAGAATGACGATGATGGATAAATAAAGGAGCGACGACCTCGGACTGGAGGCTTATAAGAAGAAGATCAAGTCATGGCGGCATCACCAGCTGGCCGAGATTGAGAGTGCCACACAAACCAGGCACCCGACTCGGGGGACACCTTTCGGCGGCAAGGGCCAATGGCAGCCCACCGGGCCGGGACCGGGTACCCTCGGTGATTTGGCGATAGGCACCGCCTTACCGAAGCTGGCACGGCCGTACACAGTCTGTACCTAATGGAAACTGACGCCTTGGGTTGGGTGGAGCGCGTTCTAGAAGGCAATGCCCTGAAAGGTGCGTTGGCGATCCACTTGCAATGAGGTTGTGGTTTCCCGGCGGGCGGGTTGAGGGAGCCCTAACGTGCTGGTGGCCGCCCTCCGCATGATCGCCTGGTAGCGATTCGCAGGGTTCACCGCGGTGTCTGGCCCCATCCTTTGTACTCTCCCAGCATTGTTTTGCAGGGTGCAAGGCCGCAAGGGACACCCGCTGGCTAGCGGGGAAAGACAACTCAGAATTCACAATAACTGGGTTTCCGTGGTTTCCCGGGGTGTAGGCTGTAGCCGGCAGTGATCGTGTCGATGTCGAGTGGGACTAGATAGTGCCTGAGGATGAGCTAATTTCTCCCCCATGATTTGCAATAAATAAGTCTAATACTTACACCTGGTCCTCCCCTCCCCTGGTTGGACCAATCACCATCCCGCACCCCGAGCATAGATAAGCATCGCAGATGAGCCCCTCCGGCTCCACCGCTGCGACAACCGACGAGGCCACCTGTTGAGTCTCGGGTCTCTACGGTGAGATCACACTCCAATCATCAAGCCACTGCATTCTCTCGGGTTACTTGTTATCTACCGTAAATCAAACCTGTCCCGCATGTGCCCGCAATTCCAGCAACTGGTTCGAACCATCAACGAATGCCTGTAGCAACTGAACGCTTCCAAATAATCCACAGAAATGACCTTGAATCTCACACAATAGCCTCCACTCGGTGATCATGCCGATGCGTCGGCAGCGGTGTCGGCGCGGCGTCGCGTCGTCGCGGCGGCGCTCACATAATTACGCAGCACGAGTTCTGCTTCTTCGCAGAGGTGTAGAACATCTTCGACTGGGCACTAAGGCCCTCCGACTTGGACACGAGATCGTCGATCTTCTCCCCACGCTCGAGAACCTGCCTGGGTCAGCATCGCTCAGCTATGGTGACAGTCACACCTACACTCTCGATGGTCTTGTGTAGGACGATCTTGGTCTCGTCCAACTCCTTCTGGATCTTGAGGATGCTGTCCACCTGGTGTGGGTCCTGGTAGGCCTGGATGTACGTCTTGAGGGAGGGAAAGGGCACAGGGTCACGAGAGGAGCCGGCGTTCGGGTTCAAGGAGACGAACTCGTCGAGCATCTTCGAGAGGATCTGGTGAGCGGCCAGGGAGGGGTATTCATTGTCGCTGATGATAACGCCCGCGATGCCTTGGGTTCGTGCGTAGACGTGGAATGTGAAATCTATGGGCGACCGGCGGTCAGGGGCTGCCGCGGAGGGGGGAAGAAACGACCACGCGCGATGCCAACTTGCCTTGCTCTTGGATGTCTTGTCTCTGGCCCTGTTTCGTCCGTTCAGCCACGGTCTTGCTGAACATGGTCATGAACTCGCTGATGCTGCCTTTGGTGAAGCGCGAGTAGCTGCTGAGGTCGCGCTCGGCGCAGAGCTCCACGGCAGGAGCTTGGGCATTTTGGAGGATCTGTGGAGAGGAGTCGAGTTAGAGCACGGAGAGAGGAGCAGAGAGCGGTCGTGGGTCACGTACACCGAGATAGAGGAGCTTCATGATGACAGTGATACTGAGAGAGGCTGACGTCGTTGAGCTGGCAAACTTGCGGGGATCAAAGGAGGTGCCCGTTCTCACCGCCCTGGCGCCTGAGGCAGCCTCCTTGCCATCCCATCCCGCCTTTGTTCCACTTCGCTCACTTCCCTTCCTATCCCTCCCTCCCACTACCCTCTTTGCCTGTGGTTGGCATCAGTATCGTCCTCGAGACTCAATGAGCTAATTCTTCTATCAACAATGGTTTGTTCAGCGCACAGCCATGTTTGTCGAGACCCGGAGAATGAGATCACCCTTCAGAGGCGCCTTACTGCAGTGACACGCACTCGAGCCATGAACTGCCTGTTGCCCCTTCATTTCGATTTAACAGTCAGCACTGATGTGCCTGGCATATATCTTTGGGAGTGATAGACGCGGGATACATCGCGAGGACCTGGAATCCTCCCGCCTACCCTCGCAAAGGGCAATTAGAGTCATCCGATCGAGGGGCACAGGCAGCATAGGTAGATAGAACCGCCTCCGTATCTCGGATCTTAAGCCGAGCTTTCACACGCCAATACCTGTATATCCATTCTCTTCGGGCCAGAACAGCATCAGTGTTGGGATCCTGGTGTTCTAGACCTGAGGCGCCGGTCAAGATGACGGCAGAGAATGATGTCGCGACGGGACCGTCAGTTCGACGTAAGTTCTACGCAACAGGATGAAGTGTCTTCATTTGAGATCCTAGAGTCTACATCATTGAGCAGAATACATCTCTCACAGGCGATATGACAAGCATTAAGCCCCCATGCCATCTGCATAATTATGCGCGCAGTGCAGATCCAGAGAATCCGGGGAATCATGCCAATGTCCTCATGCTTCATGGTCTGATACTCATTAACAGTACGCAACCAGCACTAATGGGGCATAGGTCATGGCCAGTCGATGGACATCTTCTACCACAAAACCCACTTCCTACAAGACGCCCTCAATGTGGGCGGGTCTCCGGCCAGCCAGCCTCTCCCCAATCTCCGCCTATACTACAGCGAAGCACCCTTTGATGTGAACATTCCGGGGCTGGGCTCTAAAGTCTGGGGTTATGGCCTGTTTGACACCCAACGTATCGGGGGCCTGGAGCGGAGTGTGGGACGTGTGCTACAGCAGTTGGAGCAGCTGAATCCGGTCGTGGGGATCGTCGGCTTTTCGACGGGGGCAACCCTGGCGATGATCATAGCGTCATTGCTGGAGAAAAAGGATCGGTGTCGGCTGTTTGGTGTCCATGTGGGTATACTCGTGTCTCATCTAGCCAGCGTTCCTGACGGGCTGCAGACCACTCACCCACCGCTCAAGTTCGTCGTCGCCTACAGTGGCTTCATGCTCGGCCATCCAATGTATAGAGAACTGTACTCTCCTGCCATTTGTACCCCCGTTCTGCTTTACATTGGTGAACTCGACACCATGATCCCACCCAACGCCACATACCGTCTGGCTAAGCGCTGCAGCCAGGCTGAGATCCGGACTTTCTGGGGGACCCACTTCGTTCCCAGGCACGTAAAAACCACTCGGGTGGCAATAAATTTTGTTTGTCGATGTGTGAACGGCGAGATCCACGCGGAGAACGCCGATGAGGCCCAGGCTGAAGACGGATGGATTGACGCGTAACGACGCGGAAAGTTGTCAGGTAGCTGTCAGAGTAAATAGAGTTCAAGCCAGCCGTCGTGAATGCTGATGCAACCTTGGCTTGTGAACGGAAGTGACGCCTATCGATAAGCACCGCGGTCCAATGACTGGCCGAGCAGGCGTCCTCTGGTATGTGGGGGAAACATTTCCACGGCTGGGTGGGTCATAATTCATCCGGGCGATGACCTGAATGGCTTCCAATGATTATACCACGTCGGTATAGAAGGAACGGTGACAGCCGAAATGGATTATCGTGGAGTCTGCAATTGTTGATAATTCGCTGACACGTACCGAGTCGAATGCAACTGATGTGTTGAGTTTGGCGATGTGCCTGGCTGTGCCTGTGCCTGTCCCTGTCCCTGCCCTGTGCCTGATGATGCTTTGGATGCAACACTCCTGTACATGCAAACATGAAGCCCACATCTAATGCAACAACATCCAACAAGATCTTCACAGCTTGCCAACTCGGACTTAAATAGCGCCTCATCGCCTGCCATTCTCTCACCAGCATCACAACTCATCCAATCCTCAAGCATCCCCTAAGCATCTTAATCATCCCCTGAACCACTCCAAGTCAAAACCCCACCACAGTCACAATGAAGTATACTGCCATTGCTCTCGCCGCCCTCGCCTCCGTGGCCATGGCTCAACCCTCCGCTCGCACTGCCCGCGGCGGTCCCCTCTTCCCCGCCCCGGCCGGTATGACCGTCTCCCAGGGCCAGGACACTTGCGGTGACCAGGCCTCCCTGTCCTGCTGCAACCAGGCCAACTACGCCGGCGACACCACCACTTACAACGATGGCATTCTCTCCGGCTTGCTAGGTAACCTGCTCGGCGCGGGCTCTGGCTCCGAGGGTCTCGGCTTGGCTGATCAATGCTCCAAGGTTGATCTTGAGGGTATGTTTATTCTTCTACTAGCTTGTTAGAATTAGTCGTTGACAGAAGTAGCCCTTGACCTCCTCGGTCTGAACGACCTGCTCAACACTCAGTGCGAGCAAAACGTTGCTTGTTGCCAAGATAGTGGTGCCAGTGCGGTAAGTCACTTCTTCTATTCGAAGTCTGGCAGTGGATCATGAACTAATAATCTTATAGGACGGAAGTCTCGTCGGCGTGGCTCTTCCTTGCATTGCTCTGGGATCTTTGCTGTAAGCGGGGTCCGTCTACCTTACCTAGTTAGAAGATAGACTAGATTTATGATAAGAATTTGTCCGGACAGCCAGTTGGTCAGTAGGCGAGCGCATCACGTGTCTCATCACGTTAGCCACCGTATTATTATCCTTTTCATCCCGCGTAGGCAGAAGCCCTCCTAGCTAGTCAACCAATATTACTTATTTTCTTCAGCTTCATATCTTAACAGATTATAAGCCCAGTGTTACAGACCCCTGCTAGCCAGGTTACTAGCGGAGCGGACTCGTTGGGCAGAAAGCGACGACAAGGCAGGTCTCGGACAACCAGCAACTCTTATCGAGTAGAATCCCGGTCTGAGTAACGTCCGGAGCGGCGTTGTGTCACGTGATTATCTACCATCGGATCTATCATCAAAGGTATATGCAAGGTATACTGGAATCCAGGAACATGATTAGATCGATCCTCAATCTACCCTGAATGGTATATGATATGGTATACAGGGAATAGGATATAAGGACACTCTTTCATATATTTAGCTAGTTCTGTTCTTCGTGCTCAATATAATCGTCTTTAAGTAACCATATGTTTGGAAAGCTTAGTGATAACACTTGTCTGCACTTACTTATGGATAGCTGCGCAGCACTATCTGGCCTTACTTCTCTTCTCTTATTCAGGACTAGTCATCTTTAGATAGTCATCAGTCTGACATTATCTTGATTCAGTTCGAAGATACGTATGCCAACGAAGCTAAGCTAACAGGAACAGGGAGAAGCGATCCTAGGGTTTGACACCCAGCTCTTTACTGTAAAGCACTATTACATTTATTATTAAGTATTATCTAAAGTAATTCTACAAATTTTCAAGTTACTAAGGATTTCTACAATACTTCTACAGAGTTATAACCGCAGGAATACTAAATCCCTATAATACTAAGAATCCTAATTCTGACTGATATTCATAATCTACGACTAACCACTTTATACTAACTACTAATTAGAAACTAATTTAAGCTAAAAGAGCTATAAAAAAGTCTATAATAGAGAGTGAAGAAAAAATAATATTATTCTTATATATCAGTAAGAATAATATAATAAATATAGACTTCTTAATTTAGATAAATTAAATCCTGATAAGATTACTAAAGAGTCTTGCTGATGTTTTAGATTTATTAAAGAAATATATTAATTTTAATATATAAGATTTTATAATTAAGATAATATTAAAAATATTAGACTGTAAGACTTAATAAATAAGAAGTTCGATAGATCCCTGATTATATATATAAATTATAATATCTAATATATAGTTGTTACGGACCCCTGCTAGCTGAACGAACTAGTGAGGCGGACTCATCAGGCAGAAGGCCACGTCCGGAAAAGCAAGGACTCTTATCGAGTAGAATCCCGATCTGAGCAACTGATGACCGGAACAGTTACACAACACGTGACCACGGTGGACATGTTACTGACATGCTATAACATGTCGGCGCTACAACAGGACATGGCAGCAATATAAAATAATATATTAGCAGTATAATATAGCATGGCGATGCCATGACGAAGGATAGGATATAAGGATACTTTTTTATGTACTTAGCTAGTTCTGTTCTTCGTGCTTAATATAACTGTCTTTAAGTAACCATATATTTTGATAAAGCTTAGCAATAATACTCGTCTATACTTACTTACGGATAGCTGTGCGGCACTATCAGGCCTTACTTCTCTTCTTCTGTTCAGGACCAGTCATCTTAGATAGTCATCAGTCTGACTTACCTCGATTCAGTTCGAAGATACGTATTGGAATGGAAGCTAAGCTAACAGGAACAGGAAGAAATAATTCTAGGGTTTGATATATTGAGTACTAGTCAGTATGAGTATTATCCAGTAATAATTATTTATTATGTTGATTACTTTGAATTCATTACATGTCCTACAGCAGTAGGGCCTGATGATACAAGAGCTGATGAATATGATTGGTTAGTTATAAGAAAGCATCACTATCTTAGAATAATAAAACCAGTTATTTGAAGGTTGCTTGACAGTTAAATCTGTTAAGGTCTGGTTACTAGAGCTATTTGACGGTAATTGAGCGAAGCTTAGGGCTTTCTTAACCCAGTTGGACTTATATCTCGGTATAAATAGAGAAAAGCTTAAAAATAAGATTAATAAGATTCTTTTCACGTCCACCTACCTGACTGGAACAGTATTTAATTAGTTTAAATCATATATCCGCGAGTATTAAGAGAAGTTGGTAAATAATCAGGATAATGATATAAAGTAAATCTTTACCAGTTATGCCAGATTCAAGCAGTGTCTTGAATAGATATTTGGAGATATTAATATAGTATAGAATACTGAGTAAAAGTTGTGATGACTTAAGCAGACTAGATTAATATCTAAGTATGTTTTAGAGTTTTTATAAGTTACTAGTTACTTAGATTGGGATGATGATGCCTATATTACATAATTTAAAGAAGAACTTAAGATAGAGATTTAAGAGAAACTCATCTAGTAAAAATGACCGAACATGTTGTTAAAGATGATTAAAGTAGTAGTTAAGATTGATAATAAGTTATACGAATATAACATGAAATGATGAGAGGATTAATAAACTAGTGAATCTATATCTTGATAAAACAGCTAATTAGGTCACTAAGCTAATAACGGGAGGTTGGTATAATCTAGAAGCTTGGAATATGAAGATTTCTATGGATTAAAACTAATAAAGCTAAATACAGTATAGTATCAGACTTAATAAAGTTGAATATTTAAGAAGGAACTCGAACGGCGCAAACAAGGCTGTATATACTTTAGCTGCGGTAAAGCAGGTTATAAGTTAAAGAACTGTAGTTAGAAACAGCTTTAAAAGCAGTTAAGAGCTATAAACCAAGATCAAGGCAGAGAAGTCTATGATATTATTACTATTTAGTATGAAGTTTGGATAAAATCTGTAATACAGATATTAGATAATAAGAAGTTATATGTTATTTAGTATGGTTGACTGTCAGAGAACAGGACGCACTGTGATCGGTTAAGGTAACAGGTCACTATGGATGAGTCAATAGTATTATTAAGTTAATAAAAAGACTGATGATTGTCTGTATTATTAGTTTAGACCACAGAAATTAATGATAACAATAAGCCAGTTCTAAGGAATAATTATTCTAGTATAGTTTAAGATGAATTTGATCTGTTGGATAAAGAGTACAGTACTCAGCTTAAAGATCTTGAATCTAGTAAGAAAAGACTTAGTAAGATATCTAATATCCCAGAAAAACCTTTATCAGAAACTAGTAAATCCTGTCTGATATAATAAGATAAGAATAAAGAGAACTAGAAAAATAATCAGAAAGATATTACTTATTAATTAGACTATATCTTAAAAAAGATCTCAGAGAATCAAACATGATTCTGTCTAGAGCTCAAGAAGATTATACAGTATTATCTATATTAGGATTTAAGATATTGAGAATCATAAAATAAGACTTGGAAATAATATTTACAGAGATGCCCCTGTTATCTAGAAGTTTATTTAATATATGGATAAGATAATATAGATTATTATTACTAGCTATCAGAGATTAGCCAGAAGGTATATATTACTGGAATAGAATCTTGGTGTAATAAACCATATCTATATATTTATTTTAAAGAAAACAAGGATTATTAGAAATATAATAAACTCTCTTGACTTGTGTACTACATAAATATATGCTTAATATATTATGATTAAAAGTATATTATTAACTACCAATCTAGAGTACTGGAAGTGGTTAAGGCTAAGATATGTTACTATCTATATTTAATCTTTGGTTGCGCATGTAAAGAATACCAGAAATATTCTTATTATAGATTAATATATTAGCTAGCATGTTTTAATAATCAGTATATAATATATTATACAGTAAAGATAAAAGGCTTGAGATTTCCAAGAAGATATCTAAGGTAGTTAGAACGTAACTGGCCAGAATAGTAGTTAGTGGTTACTGAGTTAGGACCATATCTGGAGATTTAAGCAGTTATATTAGATTAACTAGCTTAAGTACTGATAAATTCTAGAGTGACAGGAAACTTCATGAACCTGTGATTTATGTAATAGCTTGGAATACTTAAATAATAGAAAGCAGAATCTGAACTGATTATAGGACTAAATAGAGAGAATTTAGAAACTCTTATATTAATAATTAAGTCAAGAACTGTATTTATAATTGTAAAAGATCATTATAAATATATAGACTTTAATATAATATCTTTAAAATAGTATGATATTATGTTAGAAATTTTATGACTTAGGAATCATAATCTACAGATAGATTAGAAGACTGAGAATCTCTAATTCATGAATTATGATTATCTAAGATAATACCAGTAAGGACTAGGTTTGGGATCTGGATCTATATAGTCTGCTATTTAGCAAGTAACTGAAGTAAGGACTAAGCAATCTATAGAGAGGTTGAGATTATTATAAAACCTTAACACGCCAGGTATTGGAGATAATTTAGAGAAGAATAATATCTTAAGTATAGTTGTATAAGTAATAGCAGTAATCAAGTTATTATAGTAAGATTAGTTTATAGAATTATTAGAATGGGTACTGATAGTAATAAAAGAGTATTAAAAGTACAGTATTAATAGCTCTGATATAGAGATCAAGATATTAAAACAAGGACTAGAAAATTTATGGGAATTTCTAGCTATGGTTAAGAGTGATATATAAATCCCGCCATAGTATAAGAGATTTAAGGACTTGTTTAAACAGTTAGAACAATCTGAATTATCTTAATATGGAAAGTATGACCATACTATTTCTATAAAAGAAGAAAAATTACTAATATATAGAAAGATTTACTTAATATCTGAAAAGGAATTCCAGATATTATAAGAATATATTAATAATTAATTAGTAAAAGATAATATCAGGCCTTCAAAGTTACTAGTAGAATATAGAGTCCTATTTGTACTGAAAAAGGATGACAGTTTATAATTATGTGTGGATTATTGACTATTAAATACTATCATGAT